TTCTTCTTGTTCTTCTTGTTCTTCTTGTTCTTCTTGTTCTTCTTGTTCTTCTTGTTCTTCTTGTTCTTCTTGTTCTTCTTGCCCTTCTTGGCCTTCTTGCTCTTCTTCTTCTTGGGCATGATGTCACCCTTGGCCTCCGGCAAAGGCAAGGGCTCTTCGGCCCACTCGGCGGCCACCCTCTCCTCGAAGGCCTTCTGCTCAGCCTTCTTCTTCTCTTCTTCTTCGGCTTGGCGGCGGCATTCTTCGGCGGAGGGAGGAGGAGGAGAAGGCGCAGGGCCAGGAGGTGGCGGCGGCGGCGGAGAGAAGGAAGGCACGCGTGATGAGTATTCATATACTTCACCCACGCTCGTAAATGGCCCGAAGGCGACGGGGAACGACAGCAGGTCTTCGACTCTATAGATTCCACGATGTTAGCTCAGCTCAGTAGCGTAAGGGCACACAGAAACCCCATACCTCATCATGAAAAGGTCGGACTGAAGAAGAGAGGAAAAGAGAGTAGAAGCGCGAGGAAGTTTTCTTTTTATACGTAGGAGCCCTGTGAACGTGCCTTCCACAAAGAGAAAGAACCACACAATGGTCACGAGCGCCGGTAAGGAAAATTCTGCCTGGAGGAAATCAGGCAACAGACCGAGCATGTGAGCTTCGACATAATGTCAAGTGATTCTTATTCAATATTATCATATGTACATCGTGAATCGTTATCGTCTCTAACCATTACTCATGCAGTCAAATGCTCATATCACCGTGAAACCAAAAGCCAGACCCAGTGCCACCATGACACAATTCCAAGATACTGCTCTATCGTTCAGACTGGCGCCCGACGCCGCTTTGACGGCGGCGGCGCTCGCCGTCCACCACATGCCAGACCGGCTCGTCGACGAGGCTGTCGACCCCGAAGTGGCAGTCGCGACGGCGCCTCCCTCGTTTGAGTTCACGGATCCGCCATCAACGGTGATGCTCCTCCAGCTGCCGCTCGTGTCGCTGTAGCTGTAGCTGGTCGCGGGCGAGAAGTTCACGATCGAGACCTTCTCGACGTAGCAGGTGAAGGGGCCCTGGGAGTAGTCGGTGGTGCCGCCGGCCCAGCCGATGGTGCCCTCGTCGTTGTTGCTGTCGCCGCCGGCCCAGACGCCGAGGCGCAGGCGCATGGGGGTCTGGGGGTAGTTGTTGCCGCCGACGGCGTCGGCGTAGTTCAGGGTGCGGACGGCGACGCCGTCGATGTACCAGGTGGTGTAGTCGGAGGACCAGTAGATGGTGTAGTTGTGCAGATTGCTCTGAGTCTCGGGGGAAACGGAGTGGTAGATGGCGCGGTCATAGCTGGTGGTGTTGCCCTTGCCGAAGTAGTTGCTCTCGACCTGGTTGGGCTTGCCGCCGAGCCACTCCCAGTCGATTTCGTCCAGGTCGTCCGACTCCATGACGACGCTGCTGACGATGCCGGTGCCGGGGGCGGCCCGCAGCAGCACCTCGACCTTACCGAACAGGAAGTAGAAGGACGTCTCGATGGTGGGCGCGTCACCGGACTGCTTGATGGTGAACTCGGCGCCGTTGCTACCGTAGTTGACGGTACCGGCGGTGGTGGTCCATTGGTCACTCTCTCCTTGGGTGAAGTCGACTGTGTAAGATCCGGAAGATAGGGCGTCGTCGGAGGGACATGATGCTGCAACAGTCAGAAAAGGCTCACACTGGAGGGATGTGATCGACATACTGCTCTCGAGGGGGTTGCACTCTGTGTAGGTTTGCGCCAAGATGGAGCGAGGTGCGAGGGCAACAAATGCAGCAACTGAAGTCCAAATGCAACGCATGCTAAGGGTATGTTGAAAGATCACAGCAAGAGAAGGAAATCAGTAAGAAAGTAAAATGTTGTACAAAAAAGACGATATGCACAGTAGTCGATGGTTGGAAGAGCCGCAAAAGCCAGGGTGCCGGCCCTCATTATGATGGCAGAATATGGGGAGGCTGGGCGAAGGTTCCAAGGCTACTAGCAGGCGCAGGTACAGTGCGCTGCTGGCGTAGGGTCATGCGAGGCAACAGCTGAATTAGCTCAAAGGGGAAGCCCACCGCCTGTCACCGGCCAGTCACAGCCAGCCAGCCAAAAAGCAGGGCGCAATGCAAACTGGCGGAGCCACGCCATGGAAAACAGGTGGCTGGGGAAGGGCCCATTTAAAAGGCTGTGCCGACGCGGTGACGCGCGGTGGGGCGTTTGTCGTCGTCAGCGTCCGGGCGTGCACGGCGCTTCCATTCTCTCGGCCCGCCGCAGATCAACCACGAACCACTGATCGTGCACCCTTCATATCACAGGATGGCTATGGTTGGAGAGGGAGCGGGTGCGCATGACAGTTCCGAGATAAAAGGACGGAATCCGCTACACGAGCAGTGTCGAATACCACCATCAAACACCGGGCCGACGTCATCGACTCTTGCAAGAAAAAAAAAACCGCAACCCTTCAGTCATGAGCACGTCTCCGAATCTCCAGAGCGAGGCTAACAAATGAAGCGTTACACCCTCGGCTCGTGGTCTTGTGGAAACGTGGCACCTCAGCTGTGCTGCCGCGATGGTTTGTCAAGAGACGTCGACGCTCAGTGAGACGTGGTCCCTGCTTATCAGTAATGATGACGGAGACGGTGGTGGCAGCAAAGGAACCAGCCAATCTCAGCAAACCCTCTTGTCCGGACGCAGATATGCATTTGAAAAATACATACAGATGGCAGATTCGATTATCTGGGTTTCGGGAGGTCCAGTTCTTTATCACCCCTGCATGCGGGGCGCCAGGCGGGTCGGCCCGACATGGTCATTCAAAAGCCGGTCGCCGTCGGCGTCTACCCCGCCTCCAATCCAATTCAAAAATCCTTGGCCAACATGTCTAGCTTCACTGTCCATCACCAGAGCTTCAATCCAATTCTGGGCCCCAGCCCCAAACTTGAGCTTCTCCTCGAGGACAACAACTACCCATTTGCCCACGAAGCCGGCGTCTTCGTTCCATCAAAGAACGAGCTGTTCATAACAAGCAATAGGTTTGAAGGTACTGATGGCCAGCCGCGCGTAGAGGTCTCGAAAATCACCATCAACCATGGCTCGCCAAAAGTAGAGCGCGAAGAGATCGATCATGGCCAGATCGTCATGGCCAACGGCGGTGTCAACTATAAAGATGGCATCCTATTCTGCAGTCAAGGCTCGCCCACCCAACCATCTGGTCTATTCTACATGTCTGCATCTCCGCCATACACCTCTGCTCTGGTGCTGGATAACTTCCACGGACGCCACTTCAATTCCGTCAATGACGTGATCGTCCACAGCGATGGCAGCATCTGGTTCACCGATCCAATCTACGGCTTCGAGCAAGGCTACCGTCCCCGGCCTCAGCTCCCAAACCAGGTCTATAGATACGATCCCGACACCAAGAGCATTCGCGCCGTAGCCGACGGATTCGGCCGCCCAAATGGCATCTGCTTCTCTCCGGACGAGAAGATTGTGTACATCACCGACACGGACTGGATTCATGGAGACGGTACAACCGATGATACAAGACCTTCATCAATGTGAGCCATTTTGCCCGTGACTCCTACATAAATTCGCTAACAGGAGGCAGCTACGCCTTTGACGTGACGTACTACTCGGGCCAGCCTTTCCTGACCAACCGCCGGCTTTTCGCCTTTGCCGACTCTGGAATCCCGGACGGTATCAAGGTCGACATGGATGGCAACGTCTACAGCGGCTGCGGCGATGGCCTAAATGTCTGGTCGCCTGGCGGTCTTCTTCTCGGCAAGATCTTGGTCGAGGGCGGCGTGGCCAACTTCTGCTTCGGTCGCCCCGGTGAAGTCTTTCTGTTGAACGAGCATAGGCTATGGAGAGCCCAGTTGGCACAAACAGTAAGAGGCGCGCTTTTGAAGCTCTGAAATCCATGCCAAGTATCCCATAGACTCTGAGCCAGAACTATCCATCTCGTGACGCCCTGCAAATGCACCCCCACCTCCACTTCGAAGATACAAGATTAAACATTAAAATTAAAGCTATTACAATTAGGAGCGATAGTACTAGGCTTTCTTCAATTCCACCCTTTCATACGCCCGAATCACCTTGCTCAACTGAGTAGGACGCCACATACGAATCCCAAGCATTGCAATTACTCTCCAGCGTTTCATAATCGATCAATGGGACAATCTCATCCCAGCGCTCCAAAATCTGAATGGCGAAGCCCTCGGACGTGTGCCAGCCGATATGGCAATGCATCAGCCACGCGCCAGGGTTATCCGTCTCGAAGGCGATAACGAGGTAGCCGGCCGCAGGCAAGAGTGCGACATCCCGCCGCGGCGGGTTGTCCAGGTTCAGCGCCACCGAAGAGTCGTACGTCCCGGTTCCTTGGGCGAGAATATTGAACTGTGTCGAAGAGAAAATCACAGTCAGCGAAGAAGGTTCAGAAACTGTCCCTTGGGGCGGGCCAGATAAGAATTTCCCGGGCTGATTGTCTTTTTGGAAGACAATACTAGCTGATTGGCTCCGTCTCTTGGAAGGGATGGGGAACTCACGTCATGTCCATGGAGGTGGATGGGATGGGGAACCGGCATGGTAGTGTCGATTACGAAAACGGCCCACTCATTAGCCGTATCCAGCCGCACAACGCCGCTGGTGTCGGTAAACTCGGTATCGTTGTCGTACACCTGCAGCAGAGACGGATTGTTCCACTCAACAACCATTGATGTGCTGTTCATGTACCAGCGATTGTAGTTGTCCGAGTTGCGGCCCAGTGTCACCACTTCACGCAGGGATGTCCCGGACTTGGCGTTCTTGGACACCCACGGCACCAGATCGTCCATATCCTCGTCGACGCACTCGTTAGAGTAGTCGTACCCAGTGGTTTGCGGGTCCTCGGAAGAAGTGCTGGTCGAATAACGAACAATTCCCTTAATATTATCAGGATTTTCGTTGTTAGAGCAGGCTGTCTGCGGGATAGCCCGCATCCAGAAATCAGTTCCGACAGACTCTTGATCAGCCGTGATAACTACGTCGTAACGCTGACCTGCAACTCCATGTCAGCGATGTAGGCTTTGCATCATCCCTTTCTCAGAATACCTTACCCATTCCAATATTCAGAACGGTGGTGTTGTAAGGGACAATAGGTACCAGGTCATTCGCAATGACCGTCATCGTATGGTTGTCGACGGAGAATTTGAAATGTGTATCAATCGCGCCATTAACCAGCCTCAGCCGATGAGATTTCCCAGTTTCCCATGTTGTTTCAAATCGAGAACCGGTGACGATCCCGGATTTGTTGTACACATTGGTTCCATTTATCAATGCATTCTCCAAAGTTGGCGGACCATGGGTTTCTGATACAATCTCGAGAGAGCTTGATGTCTCATGGCTCCAGTCATTCAAGAAAATGTGACCCAGGTCGAGATCGTAGTTTGTAGTCGCTGGGCCGTTGATCTTGATGCCTACAACATTGTCTCAGAGATTTATATGGAGAGAAACAGTGAATAGAGACAAACTCACCGCCAAATACGCCCTCCCACGCTTGAAGCGCGAAATGGGAGTGATACCTGACCGCCTTTAGTATTATTACAACATCAAGCATTTTAAGAAGCTTACCAAGTTGTTCCGTATTGCGTTGCTCTCCAGGTATATGTATAGTTCTCGCCAGGTGCTGTCGGGCACTGCGTTATACTGACCACACCATCTTGCTGATTGGTGTAGTTCTGGCGGATTCCGTGAAAATGAATGCTGGTGCCGTTGAGGCTCGATACGAAGTTATTAGCGACATGCACAACAACAGTATCGCCCCAGTCAGCCTCGATTGTGGGTCCGGGAATCGTTCCATTGACGGTCAGAGCAATCCTCTCTATACCGTCGGGTGCGACCGTAACTTCTTGGAGATCGAACCAGTACTCTCGTGTGACACCTGTATCAGGGACGACTGTGTAATAATCATCGTCGACGGTGTAGTCACACCATGCAGTTCTCAAATTTGCGGTGTTCCCTGAACAAGGTGTGCCAGTGGAGGTTGACGCAGTCGATGATGAAGAACGAGTGGATGTTGAGCGAGCGGAGGATGTCAAACTTGACGTAGCCAAAGTGGACACGGTTGAGCTTGAAGAGGCATGGCTGGACTGGGTTGCTGTGCTGGCCAACGTCCTACTGGAAGAGAGTGAGGAAGCAGTGCGCAAGCCTGTGGATACACTGGCGGAGATGCCCGTTGAAGAGGATGAAAAGGTCGTCTGGAGGCTCGAACTAGGGCCAGATGCCCTAGCACTTGAGATAATTCTTGCATGGGTAGCCAAGGTGGTGCTTGAAAATGTTGCATGAGTGACTGTAGAAAGTGTGGAAGATGCCTTAACGGTTGCTAAAGTACGCGTGGAGCTCGATTCGCTTGTTTTCGATTGTTGAACCGTTTGTGTTGTAGCTGGATAGCCGCCAGACTTTATTACCAGGTAGGTTGTCGAGGCATGAGGTCCTGTCAGCAGACTGTATGTCGTCCCTGCAACAGTGATGGCAGGACCATCTGGAGAGAGGGTCCTGTGATTGAATACATAGATTCCGTGGGAAGCTGTAAGGACATTACCAGCAACAGTGATAGAAGGAGGTGGAGTGACCGCCGCGTCGTGCTGTAAATTTCCTGCCTGACCACTGTTCCCTTGTTGTGCAGCTCCAGAGAATTGAAGCGCATACAGTAAGTTTGTAAGCCAAAGCATTGCGATAGACGAAGTTCGAAATTAGGAAACGATGAAAATTACAATTAAAGAGTGGCTCGGGACAAAGTCCCTTGAACGAGTGACTGAATACGATACCTGGATGGATCTCAAACTTGTTCGACCGACTGATAGCATTTTAAACCCTCTCTGATTTTGGCCCAGAACGCCAGGGGACTGTCAGCCCTGTGGCTGACTTACTTAGTCCAAAGACAGGCGTCACCAGCGTCGCCATGGTTCGAGCCACACTTGGGAAAATGATGAAAGATTCACCACTGGCACACACAACATAACTCAAATCATGGTGATGAAGAAGGCTACCGAGGGACACGGTCTCGGATGATTCCGTCAATTCAACCTTGCAGTGCACTTACCAGGCGCGGTAATTGTTCCCTTCGTCTACGCCATGGAAAAGACCGGGATGAGACGCGCGGCTTGTCTTCGTGGGGAAAAGCCGTGCTCACAGGAAACTCCTGGGCTTAGTGCAGGCGAGAGGCTGCAACAATCCTGAGTGGTGAATCCATGATTTGCTAAGATCTTACCATGTAAGATCTTTCCAGATGTCCAGATACACAAGGTCGATAGATCTTCTGTTTCAAGCCGGGGATCGAATGTACATGATAGATAAATGAACAAGGCTGTAACACGTCTCGTCTTGTCTGTGGGGTTCGGGAAGAGCTTGGTCTTTGCGTTTCATGAGCTGTTCGACCGTATTCTTGGTAATGGCCGCGTCAGTAGTGCTCGGTTGGCTTTTTTGCTAGGCTCTTTGAACGAATATGGGGTTTGCGAGGCGTCTGTACAGAGGCGTATTGCGGCTGAAGGCTAGCGCGCGAAGGATATCAAGGCCTTGAGACAGGGGTAACAACGGCCTCCTCAGAATACATAAATTTTCACAACATTTACGAGAAATTATTCGACTTATATGGGCAGTTGAAGCGATCGTCCGGACGTGAGTGTATAATTGTTAATTCGACATTTGCGTCCGGATGATAGCTTCAACTGCCCATGGCATGACCGAAAATCAGACTGCGCTAGCCTTCGGCTGTGGTACCCTTCTGTAGTTCGGTGCCAGGACCGCACTAGGCAAATTAGCTCCCATTTTTAGATTCATGGCCACGCAATGTGGAGGATCCTCGGATCTCCGATAAGCGATGCCGGTATATTCCTTACCACTTTGCACTCTTTTTATATCTGGAGGTGTGAAGTGCCGCTCAATGGCGGTCCCATACAATCACTTCAATCTTCTCGATCAATTGTTCCACCGCCATGAAGTCCAATATCATCCACAGCTTTTTTCTGTCGCTTGCATCAGCATCTGTCCATGTCTCGCCAGCCAACAGCGAGTACACCAAACTGTATGGGTACGGTGTAAACATTGGGGGCCTTCCGCTCGTTTATGCCGATGGTTCGTTTTTCCCTTTATTCAAGTTGGATTGTGAATTAATATAAAGCTGCAGGTCTTGGGTATCTCGGCAGTGCTCCAGCAAATGCGTCTGTTGCTACCAATGTCACCGGTCAGTATCTCATGAGAGAGAGGGAGATTGCAGATGACTAAACTGATCCTTAGTTGCAATCAACTCCGGCGTCGTACTCGTGGCGCCCACGGAGACAACATGGGCTGACAGCAAAAGCTTGTACATCGACACTAAGTCTGAAGCCTACGCTGCGGTGAAGATAGTGTCATCGGCCAGCGGATACATCAACAGCGGCTTTATGTTCTACGGCAGAACTTTGTTCCAAAGTGGGACCAGTGGCATGGAAGCCTTGTTCTACGCCACCCCACTGGATAATAAGAATACGAGTTATCTTTTGAGATGGAATTCGGAAAGCATCGACGACGGCGTCAGCACTCCTGTTGCATTGAGGACCCTGGCATCTTTGTAAGCTCAATCTCGGCGTGCAGTTACTACGCCAACCCCAATGATTAGTGCACGTGTAGAAGCCAGGGTTTCCATCCCCAGATGTACGCGAGTATGTCGCCGCGATCCTTGGCAAGTGGGTCCCACAGAGCGGTGGGGGTTGAGGGAGGCAAGGACAGCGTGATGTTGCACCACCTAGTTATTTCGGAAAAATGGCGTACTACCGTTGCTATGGTAGGACGCATTTGAGCATGCAGACGTAGATGATACGGAAGTGGGGTGCTATTTTCTTTGTTGGTCACCTGCTGTGATCGGAGAAGAGTTTCATCGCGATTGACGTGCTGCTTTTGGTTAGGGCAGCATTGACACTCGAATTATGCGCTTTAGGTATTGTAGCGTGTATGGTCCCACGTTGTTGTGGGTAATGCATGATTTGTGATACCCACCTTAGTGGCTGTTTTCCCACAACAGGACACGAATGGGGAAACTCGATCGTCGCGGCCCACAATGAAAAGAGACAAACGGTTTCCTCAGCAAGCCTGTCGGACGGTAACCCGGGGTTAGTCATCAAGTGGTGGCGATACTTTACTCTTGGTGAACTGGTGAAGGCGGCTCGTCAGCCTCACGGCTCCGCAGGCTTGGCGAGCGGCAGTCGCCAGCCAGTAGGAGGGCGCCGAGGCTCCGAAACCAGGCGGGATGCATATGTCGACGACGCTCTGGTGGATCTCAATATACACCAACTCACACCGCACCAGGATTCCGCCGGGCGCCAAGGGCATGGTGAGGTGAAAGTCAAGGCAGACAGACGGGTGACGTTGGGTCAGCAGACGAGGATCGTTCATATCGGGGCGATCAGCGAGAGAGCCAGGAGGCGGTCTGCGTGCGATGGGCGACGACAAGGCCAGGGGGTGCGCCGCGCGGGCAAGGCTTATCTGTGGGCCGACAAATCGCGCGACGACTGCCTTCTGCGCGTAGTCAGATACGGCATTGCCTCGTTCACGCGCGCACCAGGGTCTGCGATCTGCTGGGGCGGTGTGGCGGCGGCGGCGGCGCGTGCGGCTGTCGCGATTGAAACATGAGCCTACCAGCCCGCGCAGACCCTTGCGATGACGCTGCAGCGCAGTCGGCAGAACACGATGGGCAAGCCGTCAGGCGCGGCGGGAGCCGACTGGCTGATGAAGCGCGTCAGGCGCAGGCAGAAAAGAAGCAGGGCGGGAAGCCGTGGTGTTGTGAGGTCGGCGCGCGAGGCCAGCTCCCCACCGGCGCGACCCCGGTGGGCCGGCGCCATCAACGGTCCATCTCTGCATCCTTCGACGTCACTTTGTCTCGAGCCCTTCTCCACGACCAAACCCGGGGAAGACAGGGGTGTGCCTGACGCCGCGCGACAATCACCGCCCGACACCTCGTACAAGAAGCCCGCATGGCCGCCTCGTGCAATGCCCGCGCCCGACCTCGAGAAGCAGCTGGCCAGAGAGAGAGGGCTCTTTGCTGAGCTATCTGGTCCCTGCGTCGCGCCCCACAACACCCTCATATACCAACGCGTCAGCCCAACCACCAACCCTCCTCGCCGTCGCCATGGTCCGCTGGCTCCCGGCCCGCAAGGAGCCTCAGCCTCCCTCCGCCCACGCCTCCTCCTCCGAAGACTACGGAGACGAGAAGCAGAGGCCGGCGAAATGGAGCTTGGGCATCCTGAATGACAAGGAAACAGACGAAGTCCCAGGTCAGTCCCCCATGCCATCCGTCCTCGATCTTCGCGCTGACCTGCTTCTCTAGGCTCTGTTCTCCTCCTCTCCAAAGTCAACCAGCGCAACGAACCGCTGGGTCTCCGAAACGCCCCAGCCAGGACCTCGTCCTCCTCTCTGCCTTCGCCCTACCCGCCTTCCATTCGGAGCGCCGCCTCGGTGCGCACCGAGAAAAAACGCACCCCGGATGGCGCCATCATCCTCGATCCCCAGCCCGACGAGTCGCACAATGATCCTCTCAACTGGCGCCCCATACGCCGCGACGCTGCCTTGCTGTCTCTGGGCTTCTTCTGCATGCTGGGCGGCGGCATGACTCCCATCTTGGCTGCTGGCTTCAACAACGTTGCCGCCACCTACGACGTTTCGACCGCCAGTGTCGCCCTCACAACCGGTCTCTACATGTTGGGCATGGGCCTCGGCAGCGTCTTCGCCTCTCCAACCGCCATTCTATTTGGAAAACGCCCTGTCTACCTCGTCGGCGTCATTTTGTTCATTCTTAGCGCAGTCTGGTGTGCTTTGTCGCCCAACTATGTCTCGCTCTTGATAGCTCGCATCGTCCAGGGCTTTGCCGTCTCCCCGGTCGAGTGTCTCCCGTCGGCGACGATCGCTGAGATCTTTTTCCTGCACGAGCGCGCCTACCGTTTGGGTGTCTACACCCTCCTTCTTTTGAGCGGAAAGAACTTGGTGCCCCTTGTCAGCGCCGCCATCATCCAATCGCTTGGTTGGAGATGGGTTTTTTGGTAATACCCAAACCCGCACTTCTCGAAAATCTTGACTAACTCGACTTCAGGATCGTCGCCATCATTGTTGCCTTCAGTGGTATTCTGTTGTTCCTCTTCGTGCCCGAGACCTTTTGGGATAGAACCCCTCGCCCCCGCCGCAAGTCACGCAGGTCTCGAGCTACATCGCCGGCTGGTCGCGCTTCCAAGTTCTTTCACCACGCGAAGTCTCCGAGGCCATCACACCCAGATTTGCGGGGTGTTAATGAGAAGCTCGCCCATGTTGAGAATACCAATCATACCGTCCCGGAAACCCCTGGCTCCATGGGCCCCAAAAAGCGACACAATCCTAATGTTCATGTCGGATTCGCCGACAGCACCCCCGAGCATCACGACGCTGAACAAGGCGCTCCCGAGATCCAGATAATTCCCGCGCCTCCCACGGAAGCTCAGGAGGAGCCCGAAAAGAAGGCCGAAGGCCATGACGACGATTACTTCGGTCCACATGCTGCGCATCCCCTTCGTTCTGCCCTGAAGTCTCCTCAACATTCCGCTCCGCACAGCCCCCATATGTCGCCACCTATTTCACCCATGTCCGAGAGACCTTCGATTGGCCATTTGGGTGCTGATCTCGAAGCCGCATCTGGAACATCGACACCAATGCCGCCCGTCTGCCACTACACCGACCGGTACCGTGAGGCTCCAAAGAAGACGTACCTCCAGACTCTTGCTCCTTATTCGGGCCGTCTGTCCCGCGACAACTGGTTCCGCGTCATGTGCCGTCCCTTTATCCTCTTCGCATACCCAGCCGTGCTCTGGAGCACTGTCGTCTATTCCCTGTCCATCGGCTGGCTGATCGTTTTGTCTGAATCCGTCTCGCACATCTACCGGAACAGCGAATCGTATAACTTCACCGCTTTGCAGTGCGGTCTGGTCTACATCAGCCCATTTGTCGGTGGTGTGCTGGGTACAGCCGTCGCTGGCAAGGTCAGCGATGTCATTGTGCGATGGATGTCAAGGCGCAATGATGGCGTCTACGAACCAGAGTTCCGCCTTGTCATGGCACTTCCGATTACAATCTGCACAGTCATTGGTCTGATGGGTTTCGGATGGAGTGCTGAGGAAAAGGATGCTTGGATTGGTAAGTTACTTTCGTACAATTTGGCGTCCAAACCTCGCTTACACCGTAACAGTGCCGACGGTCTTTTTCGGTATCATCAGTTTCGGTTGCTCGCTCGGAAGCACAACGTCCATCACCTTCTGCGTCGACTCGTATCGCCAGTACGCAGGTGAAGCCTTGGTTACGCTCAATTTCTCGAAAAGTAAGTTTCTCACCAAAACTCCAAGCGTTGACTTATGACTTACCATGTTATCCAGATGTTTTCCACGGCTTCGTATTCTCTCTATTCTTCACCCATTGGCTTGAATCCGACGGCGGCAAAAAGGTTTTCCTCGTCGTTGGCGGCATTCAGCTCGCCTGCCTCCTTTCCACGATTCCCATGTACATCTACGGAAAGAGAGCTCGTATGTGGACGGTTCGGAAAAACATGATGGAGAAGTTCTGATTTATGGGACTTGGATTTTTTGTTACGATCATACGGTCATCCAGGCCGTAAGCGCGCGAGTGGATCTTTGTTGCGCATTAGATTTGCATGATTTCACGAGGCATAATGCGGCGTTTTGCTTTAGATTCTCCTTTGGGGTGGTATCTATCCATTGCATCGAATGGCGTCCTATTCTTACCCGTTGACCGATAACCATCTTCGGCGCTTTCCCCATTAATTGATAGCTTTCGCTTAGTTTTCGACATATTCACCCAATGGTCTGCATGTTGGAAAACGATCACATTTTCTTCGTACATGCTCATTCGTATCACAATGTTGTCGTATTGACCCCCACGTTCGACCGAGATGTTGGTCTCCTGCAAGGCCATATTCCCCTGTTCCGTTCCAGCTCTCCTCAAATGACCAACTATATAAAGCCGAAGGCGGCTACCGAACACACGGCTTTATCCCCGGTTCCCCCGCCCATATCCACCAAACGGATTGGCTTGGCAGACCCGAACCAAGACATTGCCGCATACTCTGGGACCGGGTGTGCCTGGCGCCAAGCAAGCCAGCAGAGCACAAAGACGCCGCGCCCAACGGTTTGATGACACTCGAAACCGAGACGTTCCGGTCCCAAACCTCGCAGCACGGTACTCTATTCCTCTTTCTCTCATTCTTCCCGCATTCCGCAGGTTTCATGCGTTTTTCTTCCGGTCATGGGTTCTGCTGCCCACCTACCAGGCGATCCGCTCACGGACCGGACCTGCGTTTGATGCTTTCTTTTCTCTCGGTTTCCTGCTTGGTTCTCCCTCGCAGGGTTTGCGCTCCCAACTTCAGACGTAGCAAGCTGCCGTCCGGTACGCCTCGGGCCGGACTGCAGGCGCAGTGACACCATGCTGGCATCGGCGGGGCCTTCGATCGTGAGGCGGTCTCTCTTTTGCCGTCCAACCTCGGACGTCGCATCCGAAAGTCTGGGAAATTGCCCTGACGCTCGGGTCAATGGAACTTACACCACCTACTGCTTGCCTTAACGCTTGGGATGGTTGACGGACAGAGTGCGCGAATAGGGGGCGTACACAAAAGGGTTCTCTGCTTCTGCTGCAGCAGTGTATAGGGCGGAATGCCACGGTGTCAATTGGAAGTTCTTCTTGTGCTTAGGACAGCTTTAGAGCAACGGTATCAGTGTTTCGAAGTTGCGTTGGATGGACTGGAAAGTGAGATAGGAGCTCTTCAATCATTACAAATTATCTACATGAGACATCCGACTCTCTTTTCCCATTACTCACACTCTTCCCGGAGCAGGAAATGACCGGAACAACTCCCCAGTTCGAGACTAACACGATGAGCCAAGTCAAACAAGTCAATGTAAGTATAGCAATGAAGCAAGCAGTAGACTTGATGAGGAAGACGGTATTATGGAGAAGTGGTAGCTCTGATGTCGAAGCTTCCATCAGTACACCGTTGTAGACATTTATAACTGTACCGAAATCGCATTGTGTTGTAGCAATACTTCATACGAAGCAATTTGACAACATTACTGATAATGAATCCGAAGAAAGTAATGGGCGGAAGGACGAGTAATAAATCGAAGGGTGAAGCTGGCAGGTCCAATTATAGGGCAAATCACGCTTTGCTGGAACCCACACTTTTGATCGTCTTCTCCTTGTCGAGGCAGAACATTTTACGGAAAACGCACGAGTTGAAAAGTTGACCATCCATTAACCATTTACCGTCTTCCAAACCCACCTTTCTGTCCATGTGCATTCCATCCATCCAATCATCTCCAGAGTAATGAAGCAGATGCCGAGCGCATGAGGATAAAGAAAGTGCTAAGAAATAAAGGGCAAAATCCTCAACATGCAATACATATGCATCGGAGGACGGGGGGATCGGGGAATATGCTACAATGCCACCACATGCATAACCAAAAAGAGACATGCAAAACACAAAAGGTGAATCAACGAAACCATAACCCTTACGTAACCAAAGAGAAAATGGAAGGACAACGAATCCCTCTCAATGCTTACTGATGCCTATTACGAACTCGGAAGAAAAACGGTCGGCTTTAGCCTTAGGGAGTCCGAGGGTATCAAGCAACAACAACAAACACCGAATCGAAGCATAAGAGAGAAAGAGAACTGATTACACAGACTTAAGAGGTATAGAGCCTGAGAAAGAAAAGAAAAACTGGAAACCCCAAAAAAAAACACTGAATGGAAATTTTTTTCTTGACGCGCCGAACATGTATCCGCAGAAGTTTACCGTTTGGGCTTGCTGGTCCGAATCGCCGGCTGATACTCATCCTCTGTTCATACCTTGCATATACTTGTTTCCTTAATTTAGTACATGCCCCTGCTGGCTTGGCTTGCACGACTAGGGCTCGTCCGGCTCCGTTCGTCCTCTTCCAGAACATCGCTCAATCGCGTAGGGTGGTGATGGCGCATGCCAGCCCATTCACCATAACCGGCACCACTGTAGTCGGGAAGGCTCACACTCGGGCCATAACTCGGGTCGTTGGGCCCGGCAGTGCTGGTTCCACCGGGACGAGCCATCGAAGAGGAAGGAATACCGTAACGCTGTGCCAGCTCCTGTTCACGTGCAATGTCCGAACCGACATCATAATCATCTTCACTGCCTTCGCCACTCTGCTGAGAATGCGAGCGGGCGTGACCAAACGAGGCACCTGCATCACGGTACCTCGTGGGAATGCGCCGGCCCTGGCTGTCGTGGATGTAGTTACCGTCTTGGTCGACAAGCCAATCATCTTCGCCTCCGATAGAGCTCGTATCTCCAACCGAGGAAGGTACGTACGACCTTTCACCGCCTGAAGGGCTCATCACACCGCTGGTTGGCGTACGTCCACCGGGAAGGAAGCTTCCATCATGTTGGTAAAACTGGTCTTCAGGTGCTGTGGTTGGTGAGGGCAGGCCAGCCGCGGTGCTACCAGGAGTGTACGTGTGCGGCTGGAGCGGCGCCGGCGATATGGACGGCATTGTAGCCCTCGCGGCCGTGCTACCGGGGGCCTGCGAAGCGTTGGGATGCGCTGGTTGGTATGTACCCTGAGCCAGTGATGGTACGTCAGGTTCGTGGTGCAGCCGAGATGGCTCAGTAAATGGGTCGGTGTCTGTAGGAGACTGCGGGTCTTCGTAGCTATAACCACCTTCTATGTTGGTCGGCTGCTGATGGCCGTGGACACCGCCCGGGGCCACATGCTGAGAAACGCTTCCGTGCCTGCTCATTCCCGGGACCATGGGTACGACCTGAACGCCGCCGACAAGGGTCGGCTGGCCCTCGCGCAGGGACACCACACGTTCACGTTCCTCCTGCTCACGACGGCCCAACTCTTCCCATGCCCTTCTAGCTTCGTCTTTAGAGATGCTCAGCTCGCGCTGCATTTCCTGAACCATCTTGTTGGCCTTGGCGCTCTTTTGCTTTTCGGTACGCAATTGCTCAAGCGCCTCCTCACGAGCAGCGCGCTCAACCTCAATAGCCTTCCGTAGTTCACCAAGTCCCTCCTGCTGGCGCTCCTGCTCACTCCTAGTTTCATAAAACCAACGCTGGAATTTACGCTCGGACGAAGCACGCAGGCGCTGCAACTCGACAACGGCGTGGAAAAGGTTAGCGCCCGCCGCAGAAAGATCAGTGATCTGGCGGGACATCTGCTGCGTGAGCGATTGGCCGGCAAGCTCCTCCTGATTTTGTTCGAGACGGCGAATCCAATAAGACGTGAGGCCTTCCCAGTGAGAAGACAACTGCTCCCAGCGCTCGAACGCATGTGGAAACGTCGAGACGGTCGGATCACGTGCCTGACCATCTCCGGCTACTCGCGCTTGAGTGCTGGACGGGCCAGCAGATGCGCCAGGGCGGGCCTGCGAGGCAGAGCCGGATGTCTGTCTCGCGTGTGCCGATGACGACTGTCCGGGACGAGCGGATGTCGAAGCCGGTGCGGATTGCTGAGGAGCGGCGCGTGGCTGTCCTTGCGACAGGGACGGACCTCGAGAGCGTGCAGCCGCTGCAGGGTCTTGCGGCTGTCCACGTCCTGGCGACATGACTGGACCTCCGGTACTAGCCTGAGGGCGTTGAGGGCCAGCGGTGGTATAGTTAGGGAACGCAGCCTCGGCAGAAGTCCTGCCAAGTGCCGGCTCGGTTCTTCCATAATCCTGGGTCTGGCCAGCAACGCCAGCAGCGGCAGCCCTCCTCTCGGCGTTTTTCCTACGCTGTTCCTCTTGCTGCGCCCGTTGTAACTGTTCCTCGCGTTCTTTCGCTGCCTCAGCCTCAGCCTGCTTGCGTGCTGTCTCGCGTTCCTGGCGCGCCCTCATGATCTGCTGTGGGGTGCGCATAGGCGCCGGCGCTTGCTGGACCGGCACGGGGCCGGCGGCAGAGCGCGCGCCGCCGTTGGCTGCGCGACCATTGCCGCCGAGAAGGTCAGACATCTGGGCGTTTTCTTCGGCAAGGTCGGGGGTGAATGGGTTGGGACCGCGGAGGGCTTCCTCAAGAGCGTACAGGATGGCGGCTTGGGTGCGCCGCGAGATGCGGAGCGCAGGGTGAGGAGCGCCGGGGTCGTCTTCGGTGGCAGAGTTCCGGCGTGAGTTGGCAGCCTCGCGGGCGGACTCCCAGTGCTCCTGGGCGGTGTCTCTGGGCGACGAGGCGGAAACCTGGCGATTGAGGTCCTGTAGCTCCGGGGTGCGACGGAGGGTGTGGGGGATGCTTCCGGACGAGCTCGACGGGCGCGAGAGGGGCTCGTGCTGGCGATAGTAGTGGTGGGCCTGCTGCTGGCGTTGCTGGAGGGAGGTCGTGTAGGGTTCGTAACGGTCGTGGGTCTCGTGAGCTTGCGGCGGCGGATCTGCGGCCGACACGCTGGTCGACAGCTGCGCGCTGCGAGCTGGAGACGTCAATTCGACTGAGGGCGAGCGGGCCCGAAGAATGGTCGGTCGCAGGGCCCGGCTGATGGCTTGTCAGACGCAGGGCGTTAGGGCAGCTGCGGATAGATGTCGGGTTGCAGGCGAGCTTGTCCGGGAAAGAAGCACAAGGAACGCTGGAGCTCCTGGCAGCAGATTAGTACGGTTCGGCGCGCCAGAGCAGGCAGTCGCGCGCAATGGCAGAGGCTGGTGGTGGTGGTGAAAATGGGGAGGTCGGGCCAATCCGAGGGCTGGCGGCCGGCCTGGGGTGCACGGTGAAGCGAGGACGCGAAAGTCCAGCAGCGGCGTCATCGCTCTCCAACAACTTACCGCAGCCAGCGGGATCTGGAACGTCGAGGCGCCGGAGGTGGGAGGCGCGCGCATGCCGCCGCACGCTCGCTCTGGGCAGGCCGGGGCGCTTGCGGTCGGGACGCGGGAGGGTCGGAGACGGCGGTGGTGATGGTGGTGTTGGCGGCGGGAGCTGGAGTAGTCGTGGAGCTGGGCCGTCACCGCAACGTCTTGGGCGCAAGCACTTTTCAACGGACTGGTGGTGGCAAGGTGCAGGAGGACAAGGAGCTGGACAATTGGCGCATGCTATCGTCGCGCAGTGCGTTTGCGCGCACCGGTCAGCCTGTACCTCCTCGCCGCGATCCCTGGCCTCTCTCGTCGTGGTCAGGTCGGCAGCCAGTGCACGGCGACTGCTCCGGGCCTGGAGACGGCGGTCCTAGCGGGGCGTGCGGTCCGGGCATTCAGCAGCATACAGCCAGAGGATTGGGGGCATGTGCGTACAAATTGGTGGGTGCCAACGCATCGCGCCGGAGCGCTCCCTGTCGTCATCTCAAGCCGTGCAGCCCTCCCGCCGCCGCGGGCCTGTGGCTGGTGCAGACGGCCTGCTCTCGCGAGCCCCTCCAGCGCTGGCAGGCTCGCGAGAGCAGGCGGGCCAGCGTCTTTAAACACCAGCCAGCCAGCCCGCAGCCGCTTGCGTCCACCAGGTCCAGCCTGCGGGAGGCGTGCCGGCGAGCGCGTCCGGGAGCCTATCAGGACGCGCCGCAGCCCTTGCGTGCCTGAGCGACAACCTCACGCGCCCCAGCACTTCACCACCCACCCACGAGCGCGCTGCGCCCAGGGGCAATCGCCCCTCTCTGTGCCTCCGTTCATCTGCCGCACCACGCGGGACACCCATCGCGTCCGGCTATTTGCCTGGCGTTGCCCGCCCGTCTTCCAGAAGCCGGCCACCAGCCGACGCGTGCCCACAAAAACACCACCGCCGTGGTTGCCGGAGCTATCACGGCTCAATTGCTGCCTTGCCCCGCCGCCGTTGCGAGTCAATCTCTTCGAGAACACCCCGCACGTCCGCTTTCTGGTGCGCGCAGCTTCCTAAACACGTCATGCCCGGAGCCCAGTGCAGGTACGTCGCTTGGCAGGGGTGGAGCCCATGGTCTGCTAGGTACGTCGGCGGTGTGTACACACGACTCGTGCGGGTATAGTTCGATTGATAGCTCAGCCTCCGCCGTGCCAAAGCCAGCGGGCGGCAGGCTGCAAAAACAAGAAACCGGCTGCAGCAACGAGAAAACTAAATCCGTCCAGCCACGCTATAATAAATGTCCCTTTTGTAATCCAAACGCAGCAAAAGCCTGCGTGCCCCAGCGCAGTCGATCGTCAGAGAAAGCCTTTCAGAAAAAGTGGAAAAGAGGAACTACACCACCGCAGAGTGGAGAAGCCCGCACGGTGGAAACTACCGCTTCCTCTTCCTTCCGCCCCTATCGTCATCCGAATCATTACCAGCATCCCGATCCTTCTTCTTAGCCTTTTTCTCCAGCTCGTCCCAATCTTCGCCCTCGCTAATATCGCTGGGTGCTTCGCTCTCCTCGTCCGACGCGTACTCGTCGAAATCGCTCTCTTCCTCTGATTCCGACTCGCTCTCGGCGAGCTCCGAGTCGCTGATCTCGAAGTTGCTCTCTGCCTCTTCGCTCTCGCCCTCGCCGTCTTCTTCGTCAGAGTCAGCTGCGATGAACGACCAGCCGCCATCCACGAAGAACTGGTGCGGGTCCGCCTGCACAGTCTTCATGATGGTCGCCCAGTTGAGGTTGACCGGTCCCTCGGAGAAGGGAATCTCAACGCTGTCCAGCCAGTCCTTGACCGCATCTAGAGATTCCACTGGAATCGTGTTGACGTGAGCCGGCGGCCGTGTGAAGTCCTTGAAAACAACAACCATGTCGAAGTTCTTCAGTCCGAACTGGACACGTTCAAGATGAACCACCTCGATCTCGTTGAGGGTAAGGACGAGGAATGGGGGCTCGGTTAGCTGCACTAGGCAGTCCGTCGTCGGCTGAATCCACACGCTAGACCGCGATGGAACACCGTTGAAGCCCAGCTCGCGGAACGGGATGTCGACACCAACATTCTCGTTGCGCCCAGCATCAGCGATCTTCTCAGCGAATACCTTGAACTCCTTGTCGAGCTGAGCACGCCGCCTGCGTTCCTCCTGCTCAGCTTCAAATTCTTCCTCATCGCCGTAGCGGTGCTTGCGCTTCCGGTTGCCTGTCTCATCGAATTGCATCTCCGTAGCCTCTCTGTAGAACTGCACATCCTTGGCTTTCTTCTTGCCAATCATGATCGGATTCTTGAGGTGCACGTGAATGATGACGATAAGCTCATGCTGACAGGGCTGGAAGAACAAATGCTTGATGTTGCTGAACAGAACATCAATGTGCTGACCATTGCCGTGATTGTAGCGAAGACCGTTCTGGTGGATCTCCACCGCGCCGGGGACTCTCTTGCCGTCCAGTGCTGGGCGGACGAAAATCATGTCGATCACAGCAGGCTTGCGGTCTGGTCAAGGTTAGATTACGTAGAAGACGCATAAGGGAGGTGATCTTACTCTTAACAGTAATGAGCTTGTCCTGTTCCACAACGTCCTCCATCTGCTTCTTCTCCTGTTCACGGCGTACCGACTCCTTCTTGAGCTCCGTGATTTGCTTGGCGATCTGCTCCATTCGATCAATATCTCTCGAACGGAAAGTCAAGCTTCGGACGAAGTGAGCAGTCGGATCCTCGAAAGGCTGGTCGTCTTTCCTGCCTACACCTTGACCTGGAGATAGAAAGTTGATACGAAGTGATGTAAAATCACCTTCTGGGCTGTTGCTGGCGTTCTTGATGGTATTGATGTGAAATGGGACCGGACGTCCCATGATAGGCAGAACGACGGTAAGATTCTTATCGTCAACCAGCACGATCAGATCCTTGACCTTCGGGGGGAATTGGTTGTCGCGCTTGTATGACTCGAACCGCTTGAACTTCTTCTCTGCCGTTCCGTTGATGGTCCCAGCTCCAGCGCCGTACGTGTCAAGACCCTCACGCTGCTTCCTGGCATGAAGCTCCTTTTGATGCTCACGCCGTGCCTCTTCCTTTTCGGCATTCTGGTTAGTCTGGCGCTCGTGACGCAAGCGAGTCTTAGTAATGTTAGAGGATGCCACGGCACCAACGCGCGGGTCCTTCTTCGCCTTGGGCTTAGAAGCCTTCTCTTCCTCCTCGTCCTTGAAGAAGAAAGAGCAGGACTCCAGATCCGAAGACGAATCTTTAGTAAAAACGACGACATCGCTGGCAGTTACGCGAACGGTGTCGGTGATGATCAGAGAATACTTCTTACTCTTGCTGTCCTGAGGCTCCGAGTTGACCAAGTCGCTGAAACTAGTGGAGATCTGCAGAGTCATGCCATCTTTCAGGGTACGAGTATTCTTGGCGTTGAGCAGTAGCGTGGGATCCTTGATCTCGATGCCGATGCCACCGCCAACATTTTTCGGGAAGTGCTTCTCCAGATCCGGCTTCTTGGATTTCACCAGACCTATGGCCTTGCTGTAGACCTCTTTCGCCTGGACGCCATCCTTGATGTTGCTCAGCACGGTCTGGTGAACCTGAGAGAGGAGCTTGTAGTTTGACTCTTGTGACTTGTTGGGATCGACCATGTACGTTCGCGCAATCATGGAAGAGTAGCTTTGGTAGCGAAGTCCCAAGGCAGCCACGATAACGCCCGCGTGCAGGTTGTTCTTGTCCGAATCCGCCGAAAACTTGAGATCGTAGTTGCCACCGCTCTGCACAACGGGCTGGAAACTCCAGTCCAGATTCATTGGATCGAAATTATTCGAGACCTTCAATTTCTGGAAGAACTTGGAGTCGTCAAGCTTGCCGGAAACGCGGTCAGCCAACGCTTGGTGTGTAATTTTCTTCTCGGCGTCGAGGATCTCGGACATTTCATCGACGAAATAGTTGGCAATACCGCTCGACGCTTTCGACGCGTCACGGATAGCCCTCTGCCCTAGGTTAGCGGCGCATTAAGTTTAGCAAGATAGCAGGGCCTACCAGCTCCTTCTCGTCCTTGACAGACAACGCAGCGCTAGAAAGAGCGAGCGCGCAATCAACCTCCTCAACATCCTTGAAGATGTCGCCGTAGGCCTTCTTCCACTCCTCAACGAACGGACCATTTGATTGATCTTTGGTCAGCACACCAACTTTCTTGCCGGCAGCCTTCATGACATCCAGACACTGCTGGAATTGCTTGGCATTCTCCTCAGCATCCTTGCCACGGATGTGAAGCTCGACCGGGACTTTGCCACCCTTGAGAGGCTCTAGATAGGCAGCTACGGCGAAGTCAGCCTTTTCGTAGCTTGCCACGACATGTTCCGGCGCTTACCCTTCTTCTTCGTGGTGACTATGTGGATAGCGTCCTGGGTGATGACGAAGAGCGTAGTAGGGAATTCGTAGCCTAGCAGCCAAAGCTGTAAATTGGAGGTGGTCAGCACGGATCGCAGAAAGAGGGTGGGCAGACACGGAGGACGAAGCTCACCTGGAAGGCAACATTTTTGGGGTAGGCTTGGGCATCATTTGCCTTGCCGACCATGATGACAATGGAGCTAGCACCGTTGAAGACGGCATCGCCGGAGCGCTTGTCGGCTTTCCATTGCGAGATGAAGGACGACAGGCGGTCGTGGAAGACGTTCTTGTCGATGGAAATTTCCTCGGCCATGGTGACGGCAGGCGCACGAGACGCCTTCGCAAGCGGATTGCGAGAGGAGGGGCGGCGGGAAGAGTGGAGGGAGGAGGGTGGAGAGGCGCGGTGCTGGGACGAGGATGTCGAGACAGCAGGCGAACGCGCTTCACGAAAGCTCTTGGCGCGACGGGCGGGCGCAAACGCCGGGGGTCGCGGCTGTCGGCGAAACCCAGGCCCGAGTGAATGACGTTGCCGGATGCAGACGCGTGCATTTTGGTTCCGCGTGCGCGCGCTTGATGCCTTTGCCCGAGTGACCGCCGCACCTGCTCCTCGCTGCGAACCGTCCCGTCTTCATCTGCGCCGCCCTCATGCCTCTGTCTTCTCCAGCACTCCGTCGCATCTCCGGACGATGACCGCCGTCGCTGATGGCCCGTTCCCGGACTCCGACCTCCAGGACCCTGCCGACCGCCGCCAGAAGAGACATCCCAAGAACAATGCGACCACAGGCGCCTCCGCTGCGGGCATCCGCGCCCTTTCGGTGCAGTTCATGACCTTCTACTTTCGTGCCCCTATCAAAGCTTTCTTCCGCTCGCGCATAGAGTATGTCCGTTGTCGCCCGCCCGTTCGCTCGCGCTGACACTTCACAGTTACATGGTAGTACTCCCTGGCCGCGCCCCGTGAAATGCCGATGCTTATACCCTGCCCCCAGGCCTACGCGAGAGCAATCAATCCGCTCGTTCAGGCAAACCTACCGTGGTCATGGCGGATGACAGCCCCTGCAATCCTCGCCCATGCCGTCCGGAGCCATGGATGGAGCTTCATTCCGAATCAGGTTCTGCCGCCCATGCTGGCAAACGTTACGTATGCGACGATCTCGCTGTTTGCATGGAACATCTGCTGAGTGCTTTCAGGGTTGGGGCCGTCCTTTACACTGGCTACCTGCAGTGTCTCGGAGCCCTTCACGAACCGTCCTCCCACTCCGCGAAGAGAGTCTACCCACCTGCGCCCCCGCAGTGCACTTTTACTGCCGGATTCGCAGCTGGAACCATACAATCTGTCATTGCTGCTCCTCTCGATGCCCTTCAGGTCCGCTTCCAAACCAGCGACATGCTTGAAGGACGCTACAAATCCATGTGGCAGTACGGAGCACATAAGCTCCATGAAATCGGTCTTCGTGGTGTCTTTGCTGGGTGGTCTTTATCTGTTCTGAAGGATTCCTTCGGCGCAGGCGTCTTCTTTGCCACTTTCGAGTATATCAAGTCGCAGATGTACTACAACTTTGTGACTGAGTACTACGGGAAGCACACTCCTGTGTTCGAATGGCACCCCTGGAGGTCAACCATCCAATACATCGAAGGCGAGCGCCCTACAATCAAACCTCACTTCATGATGGAGCCGACCTTCCTTTTGATTGCAGGCATCGCCGCATCCGTAGCCCAGCAAGCGGTTGCGCATCCCCTGACGGAAATTCAGAACGTGCATTACAGCCGTCTCGAATCCATGGATTTTGCTGCCCAGCAAGAGAAGAGCAAGCGTTCCGCGTTTCGTATGTACTATCATGCCTACGAAAAGACGTTTGAGCAGTGCCGCATTCAAGCTCGGCGCATCGGAGGCTGGAGGAAGTGGCTTTACAAAGACTTTTTCATGAGCACCATTCGTCAAGTCCCAAGTACCAGCGCCGGTCTGATCGTTTTCGAAATTGTTCGGAGAAAGTATGGACTCGCTACAAACCCTGCTAGAATAGAGAAAGATGGCTACGATATTCTATTGGACTAGAAATACGGGGCAAGGGTCTTCCAGAGATAGAAGGCTTATTAGAGCGCATTGGGCGGCGTTTCATGGAAACTCGGCTTTCGATTGTGTATACTAGAAATCACTGCTCGTAGCATATGTAGTAGAACACAACTCGTCGCTCATTTCAAAACTGAGATCAAGGAGAAGAAGGGCAGCAGGGACTAAAGTCATGAAGTTCAGTATATCATTTTTGTGGTGACTATGGTCCACTCATCTATGTACTTGAAGATGTAGGGGCATCAACTCAGTTAGTCCGCATCCTTGGGAGCAGTTCCCGTTGCAGCTTGTCCAAGCCCAATTGTTCTCAAAGAGTATTGCAAGGGAGGGGGAAGTTTGCCAATTTGGTAAATGCATAAAATCGAGATTTTGAGGGAGATGCCGATCATGCATGTGTGGGGAACCTGAACGTCAATGTCCATAGAATCACGCAGGTATTCCTCGATTGTGATTTGATCTTTGGTTGAGCGGATCCGCCACCGGATCATGGGCAGGTGCTGTCGATACACTTAGTGCGCCCACCAAACGGTAAAAAGCGCTACAGCAAGCAAAAGCAGAACCGACTGGGTCTTGTCTGCAGTTGCGCCGTTCTTCGGCGGCGGAGGATCGAACGGGTCTCCGTAAGGTTGGTAGCCACCTCTCTTCGGTGGTGGGGGATCAAAAGGGTCTCCGTAAGGTTGGTAGCCATCTCTCTTCGTGATCTTGTCCGCGGTTCTACCATTCGTCGGCGGCGGGGGATCGAATGGATCTCCGTAAGGTTGATAGCCGGCCGTCTCTGTGATTTCGCTTGTGGGTGCGTCTCTCTTTGGAGGAGGTGGGTCGAAAGGATCTCCGTAGGGTTGGTAGCCACTTCTCTCTGTGATCTTGTCTGCAGTGGCATCCTTTTTTGGTGGAGGCGGATCGAAAGGATCACCATAAGGTTGATAGCCGGCTTTTTCCGTGGTGTCGTCTGCGGCTGCATGACCTGGAGGAGGCGGATCGAAAGGATCTCCGTAAGGCTGATATCCTGCGTTGTTCCTTGTATCCAGAACAGCAGAAGCGTAAGTTGTTGCCGAAGCCGGAGCGGCGTCGTTGACGGCAGATGTTGCCCTTCTCCAAAGGTCGCGCAACACGTGCACCCCAGGCACGCTGAGGCCCCTTTCTGCATGGCTGCTTTGAGGATCGTTTGTCATGTCACCTCCACTGGCATGTGCCGTTGCGCTTCCAAGGTTTGCGGGTGAGGCCTGGGTGTACCAAGTCCTGGTCGCTGAGGCTTCTGTAGATGCTGAGGTAGAGATAATACTCACGGAAGTGGCAATAGATGCTCTGGTAGGCTCAGAACCTGACATGATGACTGGGTGCACAGAGGAAAGGTCGTTGAAGTTGGTGACCTGAGGGCCTCGAGTGACAGTGAGAACGCCATTGTGTTCGCTGGATGATGTAGCAGTGAAGGTGTCGAATGGCATGGAACTACTGACTTCGCCCTGCAGTAGGACAGCGAGTATGAGTGAGAGGAATATGAGAGCCTTCATGTTGGGCAATTGGCTGCTGAGGACGCTCGGATCGGTTACGGAAAGAAGATGAAGAGAAGAGAAGTAAGATCGTAGTGGAGGGTTTTTATATTGAAGAAGTACTCGCATTCAGAAAGACCCACGTGCTATCGTGGTCCTGAAAGGAAGGAACAGCTTCAGGGTGGACAGTAGCACGTGGCCCAACAAACACAAATTGGCAGGTGCCCATTACGACTTCACATGTGAAGAGGCAGGAAAGGGTCCTCTGATCCAGCCAACAAACTGGTAGAGGGATTGCAATACTTTTAAGATATGCTTCGGGCTGTGTGAGCACTCACTCTACCCGACAAAAAAAAGACTAAAGAAGTGACATGAACCTGTTCAAATGAGCGTAGGTGAGCGTTTCGCCGTTGGAATATGCTTTCAAAAAGATTCATTCATGTTTTAAACTATCGTCGTCCTGGCCTACAAAGATATCAGTATCTTTCTGTCGGGCTCTAAGGAAATCTAGGCACTCACATTGTTGTGTTGAGCCACTTGATCGAAACCGGGGATGGCGTGGCTGTTGTCGCCGACGGCACCCCTTGCAAAATGGTCGAGAGAGGCTGTGTAGCTGATGGCTGGATCTTTTCGAAGAGTGCTGCTGAGGATTGCTGGAAGTACAGCGGACTGGGAACTAGTATAAGACTCGTTGGGGCGCTTGCACTCTGTGTAACGGGGGCAAATTCAGGAATCCACTGCGAAGACAAACTTGGTTCGGCGATCGATGATTGGAACCATGCTACAGGAGATTGGGTGAACTCTCCGACGGAAGCCTCTACGGATGTAGACAGGATTCCTGGCATCAAAAGGGGGCTGAAGTTATCCAGAATGGTTGTTGTCGTCGTAGTCAGTCCATCGAAGAGGAGATTGGATGGTGCAGCAACTGGCGTCGCTGAAGTCTCCAAACTCACAAAAACTGCTAGGGTTGACTCTTGAGTACTTGACGTTAGGCTCTCTGCAAATAACATAACAGCAGTTGGTAATTTAGTAAAGAGGAGGTCATCGTCCACGTATACAGTAGATGTGCCGATGTAGACAGTTTCTGTCGAGAAATCCGTGCGGATGGTTGGTTCCCTGGGCTAACCGTCAGTATGCTACAAGTTGGTATTGGTGTTTCCCTGGAGTTAAAGTACTCACGTTTCCCCAATGGCACTTGAAGAGGCCAGCTGCACCGTTCTTGTCCTTGTAGTGGTGCTTTTTAGATGTATTGTTGGCAGCGGCGTCGTGTTACTCGAGGTTGCAGTGGCTAAAGCTAGAGCGTTGCTTGGTGTGCCGGACGATGAAGCATCGGTTGCGAAGGGATCGATCCTGGGTCCTCGACTAATAGTTTCGGCTTCATAGGCGTAGTTCATGACCATCTCGGTTGAGAGGCTTACGATTGTCTTGTTGCCTACAAATTGGCCGTGTACAGTACCAACAACATATTCACCAGGGCCTTCTGTCAAGGTGGCAAGTAGATCGACGAAGCTGGTGTAGGTGGAGGTCAATGTGACGGGAAGGACGGCCCAGGACTCCTCGGCACGTATGCAGTCCTCAATGGTGTCGTTGCCGGGGCGCGGATGGCAGACCTTGACATCAACATCGGCAGGCAGCACGCCAACGTTCGCTGTCAGGGATTGCCAGGGAGCCATGTAGTAAGTAGTGCGTAATTGGATGGATGGGGCGTTTGTGATGGTCGAGAGATGGCCATCGCTCGCAGTCACGGTGGAGCGCGGCGTCACAATGGTGGTGGCAAAGTCGCTGGAGAAGGTCACATCCTGGGTGCACTCAGAAATGGTGATTCTGCTGGCGATGCCGGGGAGGGTTGTGGCGCAGATTGTAGTGGTTTCAGTGTAGTAAAGAGTGTCGCAGGTAATAGGGCCTTGGCCGTAGATGGTGGAAGTGTAGTTGTGGAAAGGCAAGGTGGTCTGCTGCAGGATCTCGAAGGCGACAGGAGGACCCTTGCAAGTGGTGATTCTGGGAATGTAGGTGGTCTCGACCTGGCTCTGCTGGGTGATTGGTGTTGGAAGAGCAGAGGGCGAGGGATAGTAGTATGAATACACGGTGGAACTGGACGTGGCAGTAGAGCTGGGGGTCTGGACAGCCAGAGTCACGATTGAGGGGATGGAGGGAGGGACGAGCTGACGCTTGTCGAGCCCTTGCTCCAGCTGCTGTAGCCCATGCCTGAAGCGAGCGGCGGCGTGAACGCACGGGGTAAGGAGCGTAAGGGCGCAGAGCGCAGAGAAAGCGAAAAGCATAACGAGAGACTGAAGTCGGGCGCTGCGGTGAGAAGCGAGCGAGTTGCACAGCCAAAAGTGGCTTGCCCGCTGGCGGAGTATTAAGACCAGTAAATGAGGCGAAGTTTCAAGATGGATTTTTCTGTCTGGCCACGCTACGTTCCCGGCGAGAAACATCAACAGTGCAAGGGAGGAATGCGCAGAAGCATCCCTGGGCTTGTCGACAACGCGTGCGACGAAGCGTCTTATAGCTGGTCGGCAAGCGAGCGAGCTGGTGATTGCCAGGGGCCACTGCCGCTCCCAATCAAGCAGCAAAATATCGTTGCTATGCACCGTTCACCAACAACCCTTGGCTGTCGATTTTCAGTGGGCGGCCGAACGGCGATAAGTCAATAGGAGTCAACGAGGCGCAGGGCCGAATAGAGTCGATAGTCAGGGTGGCGCAGCACAGGAGATAGGAGAGCAGAGGGAAGCGAGAGTTGACCAGGCGGGAGGCTTCAAGAAGATTGCAACGGCATGTTTCGACGTCCAGCAAGGCGGGCGGCGGCTGCGTCTCATTCTTGGGGTGGATTCCGGTGATGACTGCTCGCGTCGAGCAAACGCGAGACTAGCGCGGTGTTGTGGAGCTTCGTATCCGTACGTCGAACTACGAGAGAAATTTGCGGGAAGAACACGACGAGTGGGCCACACGAGCGGTAGCCGACTTAGGCAATAGTGGTCAGACGAGAACGGGCGTTCGATGACGATGGGCCGCAAAGCCAAGGCTGATGACAAAAGCGGCTGGCCCGGAGAAGCTGTCATTCCAGAAGCTTTCCGTTACTTCCGACTTCCGGCTCGAACGAAGGCCGACCGGCGCCGGCGCACCGCTACTTGGGCGCGCGTGACGGACTAGCGTGGACGAAGAAGCGCGCGCTCGTCGCGGCCGGCAGTCGTCGCAGGTTTGCAGCTGGGCGCGTCGCTGCCGCTCAAGGCTATTGTTGTGTGTTGGATGCTGGGTAAGGCACCAAAAATAAAGAAGCGCTGGAGGCGGGGGCCTTCTTTTGGCCTCGGCTGCAGGCGCGAATCTGTCAGGCACCAGCCAGCAGTCTCAGGGACCTCTAGTCACCAAAAGCTCGGCGCGTGCCATCCTCCGGCCACCGTGCGCGCCCGCCCGCGCGAGCCCGTGCCTAAGTAGCGCCCGAGGAACCATCATGCGTCCATCAGTTGTTGGCCCTCATAAAGGCTGACCACTGCCCAAGCAAAACCCTATCAGAACTTCACGCAGACTTTTCTTCTGGAATTTCCCGGTGGAGCCCGACGACTGCGTTGGCCGCGACCCACTTCCCCAAGCCGCCCTTGCATCGCTCTCATTCGACACCGCCTAGGACACCGGTCAGCCTCGTGCCACAACGCCGTGGCTCCAAACAAAACCGCCCTCACCTCCCGCCTCCAATCCCGCCCTCCATGACTGCGACCATGTTCACAACCCTCCTTCTGCTTTCCTCGCTGGCCGCGGCCGCCCCGCTGCCCGCCCCAGCCTCGTCTCAGCAATGTCGCTGCGCCGTCATGCCCGCCAGCACGCCGTTCTTTCCCTCATTACAGCTCTCGCCCTCGTCCGCTTCCTCGCACCGCCTCGTGACCGACTCGTGTGCCGCTCTTGGCCCCCAGCTGCAGGCCTGGCGCGAAGCTCCTGCCGACCGTGCCGCCGATGAAGCCGTCCGTCTGGAGGAGTGGATCGTGGGCCAGGAAGACAAGGTCGCCAAGGCCGCATCCGACTTGCTCTGGGGCAAGAGGCCCATTCCCACCGCTGCCGCCCTGGTCTCGGCGAGAAAACAACGCTCCGACGACCGGGACGCAAAGCCCAAGGGCCGCATAGTGTGCCGCAGTGTCGAGGTGACGGAAGAGGCTGTCAGCAGCTTCGAGGACGCCCTGTACGCCGACACAACATCGGCCGAGAAAGCAAGGAAATTCGAGGCGCAGGAATCGCCGGATACCAAGCACCAGGACGACTGCGATGAGAAGCCCCAGAAGATGTCTCTGTTCGACGAGATCATGGATGCGTGGAAGAGGCCGGAAAGGCACATGTTCGCCCTGAAGCTCGTTGTGTTCGTGCTCATCATGCTGTGCATGTTCGAGCTGGGCGACGACATCTGTGCTTGGTAAGTTCATCATTCTCCGCGCTGGCCCGACGCCCAAGCTAATCTGCTCTCGTGCAGGATTCGTAGAAGAAATGCCCGCAGGGCCTTCGCCAGGCTTTCCGGCGACGAGAAAGCCTGGTTCAAACCGGGCCTGGCGCCCATTGCCGAAGTAGAAGAGGAGGATGATACCCAACTGCCATGAGTGCAGGCTATCGCTTACATTTGCCTTGTTTTATGCATATTTCCTCTGTTCTTTTTGTATCGTCGTTTTTAGCGATTTGTACTGGTTACGTCGACGAGACGATTTGCATGATTTGGTCATTTTGGGCGCGCTGGATTGGTTTTCTTTGTTGTTTTGGCATTTACACATGATACCACTATCGCTACTGGGGGCATGGATGCTCTGGGTTACAGGAAGACGGGTCCATATATTTGGGGAAAGAGACGGATGTCTACATCAGACATATCTACTTGCTCGGATTGCATAGATCCTGGGAGCAGAAGAGTAAAGGCTACAGTCAATGAACATATTACCTTCAAACTGCACCAGAATGTTCTCGAACCACGACTACACGCCGCGGATCTCCCCGAACTGGTCCACGATTGATGGTACGATCCGCGTCGGACGTGAGGCTAAGGGTACCATCACCGCCAACCAGTTCATCAAGGACGGTCCCCATCTTTGGCTGACCCCGGATGAGGTAGGCGAGTCAGCGACGACAGGGTCTGGAATCCGGCACCGCGCTTGGCCCCACGCCACGTCGAGCCAACTCAGCCACCAACGCCTCGTCGATCACATGTTGATGCAGCCAATTGACCTATCAGATGCGCCCGGTGGAACTTGCCATGATTTAGACGCCTGACTTTCAACCATGAAACAGTCACAAGAATCTCAACCCCCTGCTAGTACCGGCATGAAACTTCCGCCGGGTGGTGTTTGGCGCGCTTGTGGGGCTGCTGGGAATGGTATTGGATTTTCGCCGCCTTTGGATCAGTCGATACCTTGAGCGCGGTACGCTCCTTTCATCTCCTGTGCCGCATGCCCACGACGAACCCACTCCTTTCTTTTTTTATATAGAAAGCCTCGAAGTCTATTGTATAACTGACACACTTCTTTCAGCCTCATGTTCACTTTGGAACGTCGAGAGCCTATCCTCTTACGCGCTCTGCTAGGTTGTTGAAGGCCCACCTGTCGGTGAATTTCGGCATTCCGGGCTTCAAACGGACCTTTAAGCAGCTTTCGAAGGTGATTGGTAGCTTATTATCATCGCAGGACTATAATGCATGAAACCAGAATGCAAGCGCACCTTCTGGCGGCACCTTTGCTCCTATGTTTAAACGAAAGCGCCAAGGTGCCAGTCCAGATCCCACAACTTGCCCGCAGGAAAAAAGAAATGCACCCAAGGAGCGAGTGCCTCGTTTCACAATTGGTATTTTTGGTTATCGGTAGATTCGGTCAGCTTCCGAAAAACGACAGGATGCTACAAAGCGGCATGCTTAAACTTTGAGCATAACCTCAAAACGGCTAAACACCATCGAGAAACCATGATCCCTGATATGACCTATTCTAAATGGACCTCAATGCGCTTGAGATAGGCTTTTTGCTGCAGAAGTAAACCTGGTGTTATAGTCAGCAGACGGCTTACTACGCACTTAGCTGATCCTTCTGGACGTGACCCGCGCGGAGGTAACGTAAGCAACGCGGATTGTGTTCGCTGTCAGTGAGAAGCGCTCACCTCTGCCCAGAGTAAAAAGCCATCCGCAAGGATGAGTGAACAATTGCCGTCGGTAGAGCATATTGCCGAGTCCAACGATGATGACAAAAGCACAAGTCGCACAATGACCAATAGCCACGGCGATTACCATTTCTCTCCGGAGATATGGCACTATGCTCACGTAAGTAGTTAAAGATTACCTCTGGATGTTCTTGTGTGGTCTAAAGACTATTGTTTATGTCCCAATGCCTGCAACAACTGTTCTTGCAGGGAGGGAATTACCAGCTGCCGGACGTAGAAGAGTAAGATCTTCTTTATCTACGATGTAGTCTTCGCTTCCTCTACATTTTATAAAAAACCAACAAGTAAGCACTAATATCTACCTTTGACGGGTATCCAATCTCTGCAAATGTGTTTTAGCGTAGTCACTGCCAACTCCATTTAAAGATCCGCTCTATGGAACGTCATAGCTCCATAGAGATGTAGATGTACCCAGCCACCCTCCCCAATCCCTCCAAGGCTCTGACATCACTGCTGCAGCAGCACGCCTTTGCCCAAAAGAAAAAGTAAAGGGAAAAGAGAAACGCAAAAACATTTACTTTCTCAGCTTGTAATAATTCGAGTCCTTTGGTTCTGGCGTGGTCTTGAAACCCTCGTACTCTTTCCTATATCTCTTACCAGTCTATTCTTTCTATTTTGACTCCTTTGGTAACATCCCATCTCTCTAGCACATGGCTATCTTTTATTTTTATTTTGTTCGTCGCATTAGTTTGGTCTAAATGAGGTAGATATGCAAATGTCGAAATTAGTCGAAGGCTAATAAAAATATATTGATTCCGCATGAGCTTGTGCAGCTGTTGTACAGAAATACCTTGGTAGAGAAGGAAGACGCTTCTGATATAAGAGGTCCGGGCTTTGACAGTCTGACGTCACGATGTGCAGGGATAGTAGCTGTTGTGAACGGCTCCTTCCTGTTTAACTAATACAACAGTGCGGAGTAGCTTCCGTAATATCTTCTGCTACGGGATGTGCTATACGTCGCACATCTAGCAAACTGAGCAGTAAGCACTCCCCTCAGCAGCCGCGTAAGGCCGTTCTGGCTATTGTACACCGAGTAAGTCATTCGTTAGCAAGAGGAAAAAGAAATTGCACCTGGTACAGAGAAGTATTGGACCCGAACGCTTGCGTGATTTATTTTCTGTGTGACCAGCACGAGCTCGTATCGTGGGTAGTTGAAGCTATCGTCCGGACGTGAATGTTTAATTATTAATTTAACAAATACGTTCGGACGATAGCTTCAACTACCCACGTAAGTCGAATTTTGTTCCGCCGGGAAACCAAGCCGAGCACACGCAGGCAAGCTTCCAGAATGTACCAAACAAACAACAGCCATGTCTATAAAAGACTAGTAGATAGCCGAATACAATCACCATACGATCATTTTCAACTTTTCCTCGTAAAGAGAGAATGCATTCTGGTATACACATGCCGCCCACCAATCAAAGTGTAATGAAAATAGGTGAAAGCTCCCGCCAACCAAGTACCAACAACGAAAGGAAAATTTCAAAACGACCGAGTATGCATTCTGTCCGCCACAATGCATCTCATGAACCTGTCCCGTCCAGCTCCCATACCGTCCCTGGTAACATAGCTAAGGGAAATTAAGAGCCGACAGGCGCTTTAGGATATCTCACAACGGTCGAGACCAACCAGATGCAATTCGCAAAAGATGAAAAGAGAAGGCGCCGTCAGGCATGTTAGGTATGGTGGCACGTCTACTCCTCCTGGTAAGACAGCTTACGCATCTCACCGAGGCGGTGCCTAGCTGCTGAGAGAGCGTTCTCGAGCTGCAGAATCTCGACCTACACGATGCTTGTGAGTAAATGCACAAATGGAAAAGGGGGCATCGACGTACCTGTTGTTCCATTTCCCTAACCTTGAACTCGTGGCCCGACAGCTTGCTGTAGTCCACGGCATCATCGCCGTCGCGGTTGCGCTCATTGATGATGTCTTGAACCTGGCGCACAAGTGCACGGCATGCCATGGTGACTGCCTTACTGGCAGCCTCCAAGCGGTCTTGCGTCTTAGACATGAAGCTGGCCTTGACACGGGAGGCTGCGACAAGCTGCGCCGTCGATGCCGCCACATCGTTTGATGCAACAATCAGCTGCTCAGGGCTGTTACGTCCCGAGATGACACCATCGGCCGTCTCAATGAGCAAGTTCGTCGAGTTAGCCACGGCCTTGGCAGCCGAGATGAGACCTTCAGTCCAACGGTTGTTCTTCTTGTAGAACGCCGTCCGGGAAGAAGTACCCTTACCCTCGCGCACAATTTCCTGCTGCGACTCGGTGGCCGCCTTAATGAGACGGGCAATGGCGTTGGTGACTTCGATGGCAGCACCGAGGATCGCGTCGTGGATTCTAAGCTCGTACGTCGAGTACGAGTCGCGCGACCTCTCCTTGAGCTTGCTGAGGCGTTCCGTGGCAGCGAGAATGGCGTTTGCAGCATTGGCCATCTCGCGGTCGACGAGGTCGCCCAAATCGCCTCCGTTGGCAGAGATCTTGGTCTTCGGTGCGAAGGCATCTGCAAGCTTCGAGAGCTTCTGCAGATTCAGCTGGACCTCGCTGTTGCAGTTCAGAACCACATCGGTCTTCTGCAGATCCTCCATACCTTCCAGGCGGAAGGACTGTAGCGAGCGGAAGAAGCTGACCGTCGATTCAGCAGAGTGACGTGCAGCAGCAATGAGCTGGTCGCTCTTCTTCTCGTCCGATGCGAATCTCGTGAGACCCTTGGTGTTGCTCAGCACGTCGGCAATCGAACCGGAGAAAGCGTTGACAGTGCGAATAATCTCGGCGTGTGTGCTGTTCGGACCGTCTGCGATGAAGTTGTTGTAGGCCGTCGAGAACTCCATGGCGCAGGAAGCCGCCTTCTCGATCTGAGACAGGACATAAGCACCAGAAGCGCTCTGGTTACCCGCTTGCATCGAAGAGTCGAGCTCGTACAGAGCATCGTCAACGCGCTGCACTCCGCTCTGGAGGACGGAGTCTATTATTTCGCTAATCTTCCTGAGGTTATCAAGGATAACCGTGTCGAAGACCTCGTCGCTAGCGGTGTTCGACACCTGTTGGTTCATCTTAAGTTCGTTAAGCTCCAGCAGTGTCTGGTCCATTCCTGCCTTGAAGATCTCGAGCTCATCTTCCTTCTCGCGCAGCTGACGCTCAAGCTCAGAGTCTCCCTCGCGGAACCTCAACTGCAGATCTTCAAGCTGGCGGTTCTTGTTGCGGAGTGCCTCCTCGAGATCCGCAATCTCACGGTTGTGCCTCGAGAGCATTGCAGACAGCTCAGAGCCCTTGTTGCGGTCCGACTGGTCGGCTCTATCCAGAGCCAGGCGCAGCTCACGTTGCAGTTTCTCAACCTCATCCTTGTGACCGCCACTCGTCCTATCCTTCTCGTGAAGGGCACGGTCACGCTCGCGAATCATATCAGCCAGCTCGAGGTTCTTGGTCTTCAGCTCGCGCTGGAGCTTCTCGCGCTGATCGATGGCCTCCTGAGCGGAGGCAGCCTTGAGCTGTACCGACTTGAACTTCTGAAGGAGTTCCAAGTGCTCATGACGCAGCTGGGAGTAGAGCTTGGCAAGGGCCTCGTACTTGCTACGCCAAGTGTTGAGCTGCTCTTGCAGAGCGCGGATCTGATCATCCTTGGACTGGGACTGCTGGGCGAAGTTACCTTGGATGGATTGAAGTTCTCCCTCCAAGGCCTTCACGCGGGCGTCGTACTGTTGCAACAGCAGCTGGTCCTGCTGGTACTGGTTGCGAGCAGCAAGGTTCTCCCTCTCCAACTCGGCCATGCGTCCCTGAGTCTGCTGGGCGAACTGATCGCGCGCCAGCTGCTCCTGAGCTAACCTCGCCTGCTCAGCGGCAAGTCTCTGCTGTTCCTCGAACTCCCGTTGAGCACGCATCTGGTCTTCCTGTTGACGGCGCTGAGCCTCTTCCCACTGCTGAGCCAATCTCCTCTGCTCGGCCTCGTATTCCTCCTGCTGTCGCTTCTGCTCGTTCTTCCAGAATTCATTGATGGGCTCGGGGTCCACGGAGGCAGCGCGCTTGGGAGTGTCGTCGTTCTTAGGTCTGGCGGGCAGGGCGGGGCGATCCTCATCTTCCGACAAAAGATTGGGCGGATCCTGAGGAAGCTTGGGTACTGTGATCAAGCTAGTGAGGTATCTGAGATTGGAGCATTCATAGTAAAATTTGACGAGACGGTAGTGCTGAGCGTCATAGCGGCCACGCAGGGGAGCTAGCGCCTCGTCGTCGCCAAGAGTGGTGTGCATTGCGCGGAGCATGCTGGTGATAAACTTGTAGATACCGTAGCTCTCCTGCACAAGCGGCACCAGAGCAGAGATGCGGCACTCGTTGTTCGAGCCGCTACGGAAGTGAGAGAAGATGAGCTTCTGGAAGGAGTCGATCTGGTCCTGCAGGGTCATTAAATCGGAGATGGTCTCGTAGCCCTCGTTAGGGTCGTTGATGGACTTCAAGCTAATGTACTCCTCGTACTCGAAGGTGCCGTTGAACTCAGGGTGCTGTCTGTGAAAGGCCAGCTTGGCCATGAGGTAGTAGACGTACTCCGAAATCAGCGGGGCGTATCCTGCAGGACGGAGGGAGTCAGTAACAGGGGGTCACCGGGCGGGGCGGGGCAGGTACCTCTGATGCCCTCGCCGCCGGAGACACCGCGCTGAAGGCTCTCGAGGAAGCCAATGTGTGCCTGCGCCTGCTTGAGAACTACGGGGTGGCCCTCCTGGAGCACCTTGTGTATGGTAATGAGGGCCTTGAAGGTCTGGACTTCATCGGCCAGTATAGGTTGCCTATGATTCACGTCAAGCCCGCCTTTGCTGCGGAGCTCACTGGGGATGACGCACACTTTCATGCCTGCCCAGAACGAGTCGGAGTTCTTGTGGTCCCATGTGTAGACAATGGCAGCACGGACGTGCTTCCCTGGCGGGGTGTGAGCGAAGGGCCAGGCGGCAGGAAGGGCTTAGGGTGCTTACGCTTCGGAGCGGTCTCATCTGCGAGCGTCGACGGTCAGCACGGAGGCGGCGGGGAGGATTGGGGCAGCAGCGGGAGCGACGTACCTATACTGGTAGCTTTGCGGATGTTGATGGCAAGCTCCGACTCCTATCCGGCAGTCAGTGGAATGCGCAGGCGGGATGGCTGGCGGGAGGGCCGGGAGGAGAGATCGCATGGGCGCATCACGCACCTGCTTGCCCATATCGACATTGCGTGAGCCGTACATGGCGACGGCGGGTGCCTGGCGGTTCCGGGCTCAGGCGCAGTTGGGAGATGGGAGGTGGGCTGTTCGCGGTTGCGGGGCGGCGCGTGGCAGCGGGGGACGATGCGCGCTGGGACGGATCGCTCGAGCTTCGCGGGAGTAAGATGGGGCAGTTTTCGGGGGTTGGGGGGTTGGTGGGAGAAGTAGCGAGAGTAATTGCGATTGCCAGGCTGGCGCTGCAGCACGGTGAAGCTCCGTTGTCAGTGGGAGAGGAGGCAGCCGGCGATCGCGCCAAGGCTCCGCCACGGACTGTGCGTCAGCGCCTTTTCCGCCCGCCAGCTGCCCAATCCTCAAGCCAACCCAACCTTCCCTGCGTGCTTTCGTGGACGGTGACGTCGCCCGTGCTGCTGATGCAGGGCACTCGCGCGCCCGCTTGATTCTTATTCGCCTTCTGCCTGCCCACCCTTTGCTGGCACCTTTCGCTGCCGCTTCGCTGTCAACTTTCACGAAGTTTCCTTACATGAACAACACCCCACAGACGTCACTCGCCGAACGCCAGCCTCCCTTTCGTTGCGCAATGCCTTGATGTGCGTCCCGCCCGCGCGGTTTGGCGCTTCCGCGTTAATGCGGGCGTTCTTCTAGGCCACATCACAATTCAGCCTCTCCAAGTCTTGCATGCACAAAATTTTCATTTACAAAAATTTCATTTATCAAAGCTATATACAAGAAGCGTCACATCACCATGTATTCATCTCTCATCGTTCGTTCAAACAGTGAGCGTGAAGTTGACCGCATTGCCAGGCACACGCGGGTAGAACTCGAGCGTGAAAGTAGTCGACTTGGCCGCACTCACAACGGCCTTGACCGCGCTGCTGGTGAGGATGACGTTCGAGGCGTCCCAGTTCCACTGGTTGCTGTACGTCGCGCGCGCCTGCTCAAGCGGACCGAGGTACTGCGTCCAGTCGTCCACCAGGTAAGTGCCGTCGACCGTCAGAGCCTTGACCGTCGCCGGCTTGCTCAGACCCTTCCAAGTGATGGGAATCAAGAAGTCAGATCCCGTGTCCGCCGCCGCCGCCGTGGAGCTGTCGCTGCCGAGGGTGGGCACGTCCCACTGCACGATCTGGACCTCAATATCTGCTCCGGCAGAGAAGGACAGTGTCAAGTTGGCCTTGACGCCGGCCGCCGCATCCTCGGACACGTGCTGCGAAAGGAAAGACTGGGTGAAGCTGATGCTGGTTCCATTGACCGAGTAGTCGGTTCCTTCGGCGAGCGGGTTACCGCCAACGCTGACGCTGGAAAGAGTGTTGCCGTTGAAGAGGAAGGGCAGGCTCTGCGCCGTCACAGGCGTGCCCACCTGGTGCCAGATGTACGCCGATGTGAACTGGCTTGTCGCCTGGCCGTCCTCAGTGCTGTCGGGCAGCGAGTTGGACACGCCCTTGACTGCATTCAGGTAGATGTCAATGGCGCTCTGGTCGCGCCAGGAGTGAGTGTTGCGATCGAGGAAGTCGTTGCCGTTGTCCCAGAGGATGGTGGACGTGTTGTACTTGTTGGCCATCTGGATGATGAAGTCGAAGTACTTCCAGCGTGCCGCAGACTCGGTCGCAACGGGAGAGGCCGCCCACTCGCCGATAACGAGCGGGATGTCGGTGAAGTTGTTGCGGATGTTAGCGATGTCGGCCTCGAGCGTGGCCTTGTCGTCGTCCGAGCCCCACCTGGTCTTACCCCAGGCGCTGAAGATGAAGTCGTAGGGAGAGTAGTAGTGGTACTGGATCGCCCACGGGTTGCTGAAGTTCGCGCTCGGCGGCTCGAACCACGTGCTGGTCTTGACGCTGTCCTCACCAAGACCCGGCAGGGTAACGACACGCTGAGGGTTGAAACCGCCAGCGTCGTTGATGGCCTGGAGCATGATGTTGTTGAGCTTGTTCAGCTCCGCGCCGTGCTCGGCCGTGGTACCCGGCGGCTCGTTGATGGGCTCAAAACCGACCAGCTCCGACTTGCAGGCCAGCTTGGTTCCGATCTGGTACCAGAGCCTGTAGAACTTCTCCTCGATGAGCGTGTAGTTGGCTCCGCTGGCAGACACGTCGGCCCAGACCCAGCTGTCGTGGTGCACATTGACGATGGTGGAGAAACCACGGGCGGTGATCATGTCAACCACATCTTCAACACGCTGCAGCCACTCGGGATCGACAGTCCAGTCGGGCGACTCGGAAGTGAAGTGGTAAGCCCAGGTGACTGAAAATTGGTTAGTTATGCAGTCGGTACGTCGGATGGCTTCCAATGCTTACCTGGAAGGCGGATGCCCTTGAATCCAGCAGCCTTGACATCGTCAAACGTATCCTCGGTGACGGGCGCGTTGTTCCAGTCGCCCTCGTCCTCGACGGCATCAAGCGTGTTGCCCAGGTTCCAGCCCGGGTTCAAAGCATCAACAAACTGCTGCGCAGTAATGGCGTTGAAAGTGCCGTTGCACGTGGCAGCAGACACCGACGCCTGCGCCGCAAGGGGCAGAGCAGCCGCCGAGCGCGCCAGCTGCGAGAGACCAGCAGCGTAAAGGAACGACTTCATCATGTAGATGTTAGTCAAAGAACGAATGAACAGGCGCCTCAGGAACCAGATGCTGAAGGCGGGAAATGTAGGCCGTGAAGTCAAGAAGAGTGCGGCCGCACGCCAGGTTATATCCACGCCCTACGGCGGTAGAGCAGCTCCGCCTACCGTGGATGCCGCCGGGCCGCACATCCCAGGAAAGAGACGATTAGGGAGGCAAGCGAAGTAGCGGGGTCTTGTCGAGCGAAAGTGCCCCTCCTGATCGCCCCCTTCAATCTGACTGCTGCCGGGAATGGCGGTGATGTGCCAGGGTTGGTTAAGCATAACGGTTTAGTGGGCTGGATTAGATGGATTGTGCAATACCGCCGCCCTCCATATACGACCTTTTGGCGAAGCGAAGGGCCCGTGTCCAGTTGAAACGCCCCGCTTGAAACATTGTCCAGGTCATGCAACGGCTCGCCTCCGTGCTAGTCTACAACACGAGGCGGGATCACGTTGTTCGTCGAATGATGAGCAGTTGGGTTTGCGTGCAGCAGAACCCCGCAGTGCCGAAGAAATGACAAGCAGCCAGCCTGTCGGATTCGCCCGGTAGAGTCTTCGTGCTAGTTTTCGGGAGTATTGATCGAGAACCGCTCTATAAATGAAGTGGGCGCGGCAAGTCAGCACGCAGGAACCGGCGGCCCGCTGTCCGCATTAGCGAGCTTGCCTTGCTTACCGCTTCTATCCTCTCCTTTCACGTCTTCCACCAACGCACGTTACCTCTACCGTGTGTAGGCGCTGGCTCCGGTTCCGAGCTACCTTCAACGATGCGGAGATGTTCGTGCGACAAAGCACGGTCGGTTGTTATGGGTGTGCGACACATCCTAAGTTCTTCCGCCAATTGCCCGTTGTTGCTGATCGTCCGCAGCCATTGTCACAGCCAAGCAATCTCCTGAAACAATAGGCAACCCAGCAGCGCGGTAAATTCCTCGGAGACGTCAGAGCCCCAGAGACGCTGAAAGGCACGCAATGTCACTGCCTGCAATAGTGCCACAGCTTGCTTGCTCCAGTTTCTACTGTACTCTTCCGCATACCTTCTTAAGGCTAGTGACCAGAAAAATGTCCCCAGACTTCACTAGAAATATACCATGCTTGCGTGGGTAGTTGGATCCAATGTCCGGACGTATTGTACAATTTTGAAACTCACATTCATATCCAGATATTAGCTTCTGCCCACGTTTGAAAGTTTAAACCTACTTAGCCGGGGCATTGAGGGTTAGAACCATCTGAAATCCACGTAAGCAGCCATCAATACTCCGTCATCTAGGTCATCCAGCAACAAGATTGGGACAATGCACCGCGGTAAAAAGAACCAGAAAACAAGGAAAAATTGCAATAGATCCCCCGCAATACTCCAAACATCACCAGCGCTTTTAAACATTGCGCAACACTGAAGATCAAGAAGCTCGTTTTGCATTCGCCAGTACCAACCCCACCGTGCCGTTAGGAAATCCCCCAAACCAGGAAATGTTTTTACCAATGCCCGATTAAATTAGCTTACAGAGCCTGCACAGGCAAGACCAGATGGCGAGGAAAAAAGAAAGGAAAAGAGAGAAACAGAGTGAGAGATGGAAAAAAGAGAAAGAGAGATAGAGAGGCAACACGAGAAGCAGGCAACAGTTGAAAAAGAGATTCGCTGTCCTACCCGGCCTAATCACATACTGTTTTCCCCCAACCCCAAACGCCGTTTTATCGGAATTTTGCTTAGCCTGTATGAGGCACTTGGAGTGGAACCCCAGACGATTCCAACCCGCCAAGCACGCTCTTTTGTCAGGTGGACATCAATAAAAAGCCGAAGGGAAACCTCTGAGAACATGCGCAGGATGTCGCCGTAATTACCTGCGCGCCTTTCACTCGGGACGCGGTCGCTTCGCACCGTGAGGATTCCAGTTGCCGTCGCCGCCACCGCCGCCGCCGCCACTCTGTTGGTTTCCGAAAAAGGCCGGGTTGAAATGCGGTTGTGCGCCGCCGCCGCCGAAGCCGCCTGCGAGAACGACGGATTTGTTAACAATACTGTAGTCTGCCACGGAGCTTGTTCCGGAGACAAAACCGAACCAAGACAGCCAGTGGGATGATGGCTTTCGTGCTTGAAGAAGGGAATGGAAGTTGGGAAATGGGTGTGATGGAGAATGTTGCCGAGGTTTTGCTGGCGCCCACATGCCGCCATTTCTTTCTCGGCGGACTTCAAGGCCCCTTGCCTCGCTGACGATTGTGATGATGGGTGTTGTGATTGAGTTGGTGTTGGCGAGTTCTGTGTTGGCTGCCGTCTTGGCTGAAGGTATACTCACCTTGCATGCCGCCCATGCCCATGTTCATGTTTCCTCCCATGCCGCCCATCATACCTGGATTCATCCCCATGCCCGCCATACCCCCCATGGGCCCCATGCCACCCATCATGTTCGCGTTCATGCCACCGTTCATGCCACCTCTGCCGCGATTCGCCATACCACCGCGCATCCCGCCCATCATTCCTCCACGGCCAAAGTTGTTAAAGCCCATGTTGTTCATACCTCCCATCGGGCCACCACCGAATCCACCCATAGGACCGCCACCGAATCCACCACTAGGACCCATGTTACCGCCGCCCATTGGGCCATTGAAGCCGCCACGGTTATTGTATCCCATGTTGTTCATACCACCACGGTTGTTGAAACCGCCGCGACCGCCTCGGAATCCACCTGAATTATTGAAGCTGGTGTTCATGCCAGACCCGCCACCAAAACTTCCGGAAGAAGAGCGGTTGTCGTTTCGGTTTCCGTCCTTGCGGTTGGGGACATCCTTGGGCAGAGTTCGGTAAGGATTGACATGGGGGGCATGGTAAGAGGCCGAGTGTTTCTTTGCATATTGCTGGCCCTGGCCGAAGGACTCTATTGTATGTTTAAGCGCAGTTGCGGCCTGTGGCGACGCCATTTCAACAAAGCATTGGCTGCGCTACAAGTTAGCGAATTCGAGGCGCGCGCTTGTTCAGCGCCATTGTCGCTGAGCGACCTACCCTTTGCTCTTGCCATTGACCTTGTGCTCGTTGAAAGTCACGTCGACTAGTTCGTCTTCGCATCCGCTCTGGTTGGCCCAGCCTCGGATATCGTCTTCGTTAGTCCACCAATGGAGGTCGCTGATGAGCAGGGCAGTGGTCGCATTCACGTCGACGACCCGATCATCGGCGCCTTCTTTCCGCTTGACGCCTTGTTGAACGGGAGCTTGCTTCGGGGGCTGCAATTGGTTGTGAGAAGAGCCACCGGTGCTCGAAATTTGTTGGCGCTCATCAGCATTGGCACTACTAGGGTCTTCCTGCTTGACAGAGTTATCGCGGCTCTCTTGCTTCATTGCGCCATTGGGGTGGGCATTGTCGGCTTGTTGAGAGGCGTCAGGTAGGGACTCCTCGTGGGCCTCTGCTTTGACTTCACTGTTATTGTTGAAGGAGTCCTGAGGAGCGTCGTCGCCGTAGATGTCGATGTCGAAGTTATCGTCGTCAGCCATGATGAAATTAGAGAGATCTTGTAGATATTATTCTGCCTCGAACGGAAGAGAGTCTGCAACGGTTGGGGATTGATCAGCAGGGTAAGATACAAAGGCGTCAACACGAGCCCCGCCGATAGCTGCCAAGTAAGGAAAGACATGAAGCAAAGCAATGCGCAGACAGGAGAGGTTGTGATACATGCAGAGTGAAGTCGGCGGTCATACGTACACTTCCCTCAGGCTCAGCAGAAACAGATCGAAAATGGCGCTCTCAAAGGTGTGTATGTGTGTGTGAGACAGTTCTTGAGCGTCCTTTCGCCTCAGGAGAAGGCGCAGGCGCAAAACAGGAGGTGTGTGAAGTGCAGAGACAGGCGTGGAGCGTCACTTGGACCGGTACAGGATGAGAGAGCCCCTAGAATCCCCGGAAAGACAGAACCACGATATCCTCTTCCTCTCAACGACGACCACAGGACGACCGCGCGTATCGCAGCCAGTAGAAGCCCTCCTCCAACTGCTTCCCTCTCGCCGGGCGGTCGCGAGTCGTGGAGCAAAGACGGGCGCGGGCGCAGGTGCGTAGACTGATGGCTGCGGGAGCTGCAGGAGCTGGACGCGATGCTGCTGCACAGGACGTCAGCTGTGGCCGCGCAACAGGGTGAATGGGTGGATGCGTACCTGGGCGTGCGGGAGGTGATGGAGAAGGAGTGAGGAAGCACGGGCGCGGGATCTGAGGTCGAGGTGAGTGAGGCTCCTGCTCTCGGGGCGGAGGTCGCGGCTTGGCACGCCAATCACTGGCCGACAGACCAGGGTGCGAGCGACAATCTGGCCTCCCGCTGCAGCCCCAGAAAGACACGTCCCAGCTCGCCCGTCCTCTCAAACCCGCCTCTCCCACTCTCTTCGCCTTCGACATCCGTCTTCTCTATCGCCGCCATGTCTGACCAGATCAAGGAACTCGCCGACGTCCCTAAGGACTTCATCAAGGACGGCACCCAGTTCATCAACAGGTGAGCTCCCCGTTGCCGCTGCTACCCCAGCTGCTCAATCAATATGCACATCCATGCTAACAGCGCGCAATGCAGATGCACCAAGCGTAGGTCTCCTCTTCCCTCCAGCCACCGTCCGTAGCGCAAGCCGGCTGCTGCGTATAGAGGCCCACTCGCCACCTGTCCGTCCAAAGTGGAAACTTCGCGTACATTCTAACATTGCCACAGCCGACAAGCGCGAGTTTATCAAGATTTCCCAGGCCGTCGGTGTCGGCTTCGTCGTTATGGGCGCCATTGGCTACATTGTCAAGCTAGGTATGTTCCGCACCACCTCGAGCCTGCCCAACGTGCGCCAACGCCGCCATAGTACACATCCCCGTCAACAACATTCTGGTCGGCGGCTCGTAATCGCAATGAGCGCTGCGGGGGTTCGCACGCCGGTCAGATAGCGACTGGGAAACCGCGGAAGAGGCGCGCCACCAGGAAGGGAGAACGTGATACCAAATCGCCGAGCGGAAGAGCGATTTCTGTACAAATTTAATGCGCCAAGGGTGGCACGAAACACGGAGTTCGGATACCATCAAAATCGAATCTTTTCCAGGCTTCATTTCTAGCCTCTCGAAACGAATGAATCCTACCTTCGCCACCCAAAAAATTGCCTTGATATATGCAAACGCCGCTCATGACCGGTTTCCCCCCCGATAAATCCAAGCCCTCTCTAATATGTACAACAAAATTTCAGCAATCACATGGCATCATTTCGGCCACATATGCTGAGCACGTCAATCATCGTCGATCCTCCTACTCCTCATTCTCCTTGAGAAAATGCTCGTTCCTCTCCTGCCGCCCTCAGGGCTTCCGTACAGCTCAGGATCATGCTCCAATTGCGCGTTGACGCGTTGGCCCATGGCTGGGTCGCCTTCGTCCTCTTCCATGCCGTCATTCCAAGTGTGCACTGTGCACGTGCCGAGGGATGTTCCCCAACCATTCCAGGATGTTGCTGAGGTACAGTATTAGCTATGAAGAATGAAGCCAGGGCCGAGCACTTACCAGCAATGACCGGGGCGTTAGGATGCCAGCTTGCATCACGCACACATGTCTGCCATGTCCCACCGTTGCGGCCGATGAAGTCATACGTCTCAGCCAGAAGATCAGCGTCGCGAGGGCGCGAGTTCCGAGTCGCCTTAAGCACATCGACCTTTCCGGCAAGCGTTGCGTCCAGGTTCCAAACGTACACAGATCCGTCGTAGCTTCCGGAGTAAACATATCTCGAGTCTGTGCTGCCGGGCGGGGAAAAATGGCAACGGATGAGCGTCTTCAGGACCGAGTGGCCACGGAATGTGACTAGTGATCGGTCGTGTGGATGGGGGCGGTAATCGCTCTCGTCATACGAATTAGTCCGATACTCGAAGCCGGTTGTGTACTGGTTGATGTCGATTTTGTCGGCCTCTCGAGCACTCATCATGTTGCGCAGGTCCCACAGCTTGGCGGTCTGGTCCTTGCCGTTGCTGAGCACGTAGCGCCCATCGCCCTTGCTGTCAACATACGTCAAGCCCTCGGTGTGGCCGAGGAACACCCCTGCCTCACGGCCGTCACCCATGCTGCGACGATCCCAAACCTTCAGCGTGGTGTCGTCGGAGCCCGAGTACAAAATGTGCGGCGAGTTTGGATCACCATAGCATACGGCATTCACGTCGTCATCATGGCCAGGAATACGCAGGATTGACTGTCCGCGCTCGATGTCATAGACGTATACCGAGCGATCGCCGGTTCCTGCCACTATTTCGCGTCCGTCACCGGAGAAGCGGAGAGACCAGATCTGCAGGATGCTCAGCAACCGACACAGCATTCACACGAGGGGCAGAAACATACACCAAAGTAAGGGTACGCATGGAAGCCTCTCCTTCCCCGCGTCCCGGTATTCGAGAAGTCCAGAAGGTGCGGCTCTGAATTGTCACCGGGATCCGTGGGGGCCAAGCAGACGATACTCCGAATAGAACTGTAGGCAAGGAATTTGTTGTCCGGGCTCAAAGAGGCATCGGTAATGGTCCATTGGCCGTAGGGATACTCGACAGTCTTGTAATACTTCCATTTATATGGATTAGACGTGTCGTACATGCGCACCTTGAAGTCCTGGGCACACGAAAAGAAGAAATTACCGTCATTGGAAAACTGGCCGGAGTAACATCGCGCGTCGTAGTGGATTATAGTGTCAGCTTTCGATGATGGAATGAGACTCTTGTGGACGTCAGCAAATGGACGGCTGGGGGGTGACTAAGAGAGCGGACCTGAGAGATAAGATTGCTGCTTAGCTTTTGCCTGCCAACACACCCCAGTCCCAGCTCCCTCCGCATCAAGCGGTAAGCCAACTTTTTCCTGCGTAGATACGGATCCTCCGGGCGATCATTCGCCCCAAAGGTGCCCGAAGCCATAAGCTTTCGGCCGGCATCGCTAGGCACTTTCTCAAAGGCCTTGCGACCTCTGCCCCGCCGACGCCGAGCGCCAACGCCGCCATAGCCCGTGTTGTCGGTCTCGCTGTCGTCATCGTCGTCCAGGGCGGCACGCCGACCGGAAGCATGGTCGGCGAATATGCGACGGAGGCCAGCATGGCCCAGCAGCTGCATTATCTGTTCGCGAGTAACTACGAATATCAGCAACGACGGCGGAAGACGGTGCGTGGGGCTCCAGTACTGTAGATGGAACGGCCGTTGGGTCCGACGACGTCGTCATCGTCTTCGTTTTCGTCGTCATCTTCAGCGTCGTCATCGTCGTCAGGCGCAGCGATGGTGGTGAACTCGAGCGAAACGTTACTCAGGCTCTCCTCCGCGTCTGCAGTGCTCAGTGGTCAGCCACTCGGCAAGCATGGGCGGGCGGCGACAGGGTGCGTACCGTGGAAGTCGCCATCGTCGAGCTCGTCCATCAGAGACTCGGCCTCCTCGCCCGACTCTGCAGGCACGTAGTCCATGTCATCGTCGTCATCGTCCAGCAGTAATCGGTCGCGGGGGCGGTCGACGGGGCTTGGGCTGGCGCTGCTGCGGCCGTGGGGAGCGCGTGGGGTGTCGCTCATTGTCGGGGGTGGACGCAGAAGGACAGACTACCTACAGCGACAGCGAAGGGCCGGGAGCAGTCAAGCCATGGGGGTCGCGGCAACAGAGGCGTGGATTTCAAGGTAGCGGATGAGTGATGATGGCAATGCATCGCGCCAATCGGCCGGCGATAGCTTCCTTAATCCCGGGCCGCAACTGTATCCCACCCGCATCGCTGCCAGCCTGCCGTCCGGTCGCAAGACGCACCATTACTGCGCCGAATTGCCGAAGCGAAAGCCCGGGGCGGAGTTCACGCTTCCAAGTCCCAGCTATCACCAGTCCTGCATCCACCCCACCAATCAAATGTTCGCCAATTTCCCTACACTCCCGCGCCAAGGCGTCGAGCTCCAACGCGGAGTTACCGTGTCCACAGTGTCCGCTTGTCTAGCTCCGGAGACAGCCCGCGGGGGAGCCGCCGCCGCAACCTTAGCTGAAGCGTGGTTAGAAATCAAAGCCATCGTCGTGGACCTTCTCCTGCGCCACTCTATGGAACGACAGCTGGCAATGCTGACATGCTAATCGTTGTCCCTTCGCGCTACCTATCTCCTTCTTCGGGAAGAATCGTAGCGGAAAGCTGAAGGATTCTGAGTAATCTTAGCACTCATCTGAACCTTCATCGACCACAGAAATAGACCATCATGTCGCATCAGGATGACTCCGCACATGGAGGCCATCGCCATGTCTTTTAGATTACTTTATTGTATTGTGTTTATAGCTTTTTCCATGGTGCACAAAAGGCCAACCCTTCTACATCCCACTATGCAAGCTCGGATCATTTACGTAATGGCATTGTAACCATCAGCACGCATGCAGAAAACTAATCTAAGCAAGTATAGCCTTCTTTCGTGAGTAATTGAAGCAAGAGTGCGTGACGAACATGTGAGCTCTAGGTTTATAAAAAATGTATCCAGACCTGAGATCCAACTGTCCGCATAAGCGATGTGCTGGGTTTGTTGAGAACGTGCTGGGAAAGTCAATTCTTGTCACTTGTTGTTCTTATACCAATCGATGACGCTTCATATCACCACTTCAAATCAAAAAGATGCGGACAACAGGTTGCCTATTCTACAAACATCTCTACTAGCCCATGAAAACTTCCAAACCTAGCTCTGCAAAGAACAAACAAGAAGTGAAAGGTGGCTGACCACCGGAAATGGTGTACAAGAAAAGATAAGACTCCGGATACCGTTTTGTGAATACCCTCTATCCGTATCTATGCCCATTTGGTATTGGTCTAAGCAGTGGAGAAGGTGGAGCCAATGTCACCGTAGCGAATGTTGGAGTAGACAACGGTCGCGTCGGGGGACTCCGACTCGACATCATCCGGAGCACCCGTGTCAGTTCCGCAAGGGCCACGCTTGATACCAGGCTTGGTCGCGTCAGCGTCGACGGGGTAGCTCGAGTCGAGCCAGAGAGCGTTGGCCGCGTGGTCATCCCAGATGCTCATGACGAGGACCATGCCGCGCGCGAAGGACTCGCCCATGCGAGCGACACCACCCTTGGCCTTGAAGTCGTTCTCGTCACCGAAGAGAGTCTTCTGAGCATCACAGAAGTCGTCCGAGATGGAGTTGAACTTGGCGAGGGTGTCGAAATCGGCGTATGAGTTCTCGAAGAGCTGTCCATCCTGGACGTACTTGCGGCGGATCTCAACGAGGTCACCATCGGTGGTGTTGTCAGAGGTGACTAGATAGTGAATTAGCAAAGCCTTGGACTAGGCGGAGAAAACGCTGATCTCCAGAAGTTCATCTGTCTCAGGGGGGGTGTATCTGGATGTCGGTGAATTGTGTCAAGGGAAACTCACTGAACTGAGTGATGACGGTCATCTTCTTCGTGGTGTCGATAACAGATCCGTTCGAGCCATAGAAAGTCTCGTTGCCCATGCGGTAACTGATATCGTACGTTAGAGGCCTGAACATTGAACACAGTCAGGGGTCAATCTTACGGGTTGAAGTCACAGCCATCCTTGTCGCAAACGCCGCCATAGCGGTTGTCACCGTCACCGCACTCCGTTCCATTGCAGCGGACCTGGCCGACAATCTGGTGACGAAATCAGTAATGTAACCTCCCAGACAGGTTCAAATCAACTTACATCCGCAGCACAGACGTGAGGAGTAAGCGCAGTGGCTTGGGAATTGGCTTCCCACGTATCGAATTCGTTACCAGGGGGTCGTCAGCATGCGAAATATACATATATATGTGTTGGGGGTGGTTGGGGAGTGGTGGTGAAGGTTTGGGATAGGGGTTGGAAAAGTGGTTGCCGGTCCTTTGCGCACCACCACAACAGCAAATGGCGGCTGGATTTCTCCGAAAAGAGACCATAGCTTTTCCAAGTACTAATGCTTGGAATTTTTGTAATAAAAATTCACCAGGAAGTAGGATGGGTGTAGTTGATGGAGCGAAAAGGGGGATGCTTACCAGCAGGAGCCATATTGACCAGAACCGGCGTTGACGTCGGTCTCAGACTTGGTCCAGTTGAGGATGTTGGCCTCTCCGTTGATGAACTTAATGTCGTGGGGGCACTGGGTGTCGCAGTATCCAGTGCCGTACTTGGCGCCGGCCTTGTTGTTCTCATACTTGGACATGCCACCGTCGGAGTCCATCTAGATTCATAAGTTAACGCATGTATCTCAAATGTCCTGAAATGTTGAAAATACCTCGGAGAAGTACAGCGCACCGTTCAGGCCGCACGGAAGTGCGGAGACGTCAACGTCGAAAGTGAACTCCTGGTTCTTCAACTTGAAGAGCTCGTACGTATCCTCCGAGTCGGGAGCAAGCAGGTAGACACGACCACCAACGTTCTTCTGCGAGCCCTGCGTGACGAACTTCATGGTGAGAGCGTTTCCTTCGGTCGTGATACCGTAGGTTCCCTCGTAGTCGGCACCGTCGAGGGCGCAGCCCTTAGCGCAAGCCTCCGGGTCGGAGCAAATGGAGGTGTCCCATTCCTGGCCGGTGTAGCAGTTGGTGTAGCCCTCGGTGGTGTGAAGCCAGCGCCAGTTGGCGTCGAGGACGATATGGGTGGCCTGGTCGGTGCAGCCACCGTCAGTGGTGCACTTCTGCGTCGTAAGGCTCGGGTGCGTCTCGGCCTTCTGCGTGCCGACCTGCTGCGCACTGGAGGCGGCGAGAAGCAAAGAGAGCGAAGAAAGAACGGAAGTTTGATACATGATGGGCTAGTGAACGAGTGTTGTCCGGCAACTGGTGAGCAGAGATCTAGAGAGGCGTCTCGTGCCCTCTTATACCTTCTCGAGGGCAGACTTCAGGGCGCCTATTTCCATTTCTGTCGACATTAGATTGAAGCTGAATAGTTTCCGAGAACCCACTCAGCACTTCATGCATGCACGACATGTCAGCTTGACCGATGTTTCTTCCTAGCTTCCCCAAGCCCATCGCGGTATTCAATCTGTAGATCTCGCACGGGTGCCGCAAGCAACGAATGAGAGGCGGCTGTCGGGGTTGCGGTCCGGAGTAATAGATCCAGTCCTGTGATTTCCGGGTCGGGGTCCCTGAGGCTCATGTCAGGCACAATTCTTGCGCTCGACTGACGTAGACCGATACAGGGCTGTGAGTGGCCCAACGGCACCTGACCTTAGGACTATATTAGGACTAGTTTGTTTAGCTGTCCGGATCCGGGGCCGTTGTTCCAGCGGTATCCGTTTCATGAGCCAAGCGAGGTGGAGAATCTGGGGAACACGCCACTACACCGTGCGCACCAACACGGATACCAACAGGCAGATGGAACTGCGGCGGTAAGCCACGGATCGTCCGCTTGGCATGAGGGCGTTTCTGGGCGATCTATCGAATCAGCCATAAGGAAAATGCGGGCGTCAGTTGAGACAATCTATCTGAGATCTACAAGGTCGGCCCCGACACTAGCGCTGTAATGCATGCAGGACAAGTAGCTACAGACACACAGTTGACTCGCTCCGTGCCGTATATGGAAAGAGAAATCTTGACAACTGCATGCCACACGTGCCAACCGCGCGGTTGACGATGCGACTGACTGCGGAAGCGCGGCTGGGCTATGCAGGTACGCGCTTCTTGCATTGCTGCACTCTCCCCATCTCTTTTCCCGCACGTCATCAAGGAAGAAACCTGAGACCTTCAGTGTGCGGTGCAGATTCACGGCGGACCATTTTGCCGTCATGGAGATTGAAGGGACACGGCGCAGAACGGCGTTTGATTCAGGGCTGAACAATTAGCGGTGTCGGAAACATGCGCCCTATTGTATTTGTCCGTAAGGGGCGGTCCGCGCTCTACGAAACAGGGAGGCTGAACGGTGTAGAGGGAGCTGAAGTTGTCGGTTGGATGCGGCTAGTCCGGTTAAGCTCGAGTCATCAAACAGCCGGCCTCGGCGGCAACGCTTCACAAAGCTTGCTGAAGCCCCTTCATCATCCCCGGGACTCCGGATCGTACCAACATCACCTGGGCTCTTGTGGCCCCGGCTGAACCCCTTAGAAAAAGCCTTGCCCCCACACAACACAAAAAAAAGTGCTCTACGACGTACGTGGCGCAGACACCGACCAAGATTTTGTTGGCCTGAGTGTCTGAGCGCTCATACATACCCCTCTGTGTATGGGAGCCAATTACTAGCAGGTGAGGGACTAGCCCAAAATGGTGAAATTTAGTACATTTGCGTATCTGTCTGTATGTACATGCAAAGGTAGAACCGACCCAATGCGATTGGGGATTCTGAAGCAAAGGAAGAATCCATGTTGAATTGTTTTCTGTTTTTTTTTTTTCAAAATAAAATAGAATGATGTCTCAAATTGGCCGACCACTGACTGATTAATGTACACATACATACAAATGGACGTACGTCCGCAAGCAACAACACACAAAAGTCCCTGTTAACCGGTGCCGGGCCGGGGCCGAAATGTTACGTGCAAACCTGTGATGTCTTCAGCTGAATAAATAAGCTTCATCCACCTGACACATCATACCACACACACTCTGCACTCGTACGTATCCAGACAAAAATAGAAGGAGCCTCCTGCAATCCAAGAAACTTCCTTCCTCGCTTCCCCGCAATTGGGGCACCGCCGATGCAAAGACATGGATGGTTCTCGAAAGTCCATTGGGAGTAAAAAGGATGTCGGCCGACCTACTGGCAGCCTCCAAACGCGCAAAAAGATGATGTTGACGAGGGTGGGACTCGAACCCACGAGGATTGCTCCACTAGTAAATCCTTTTCTGGTATCTTCAGAGGAAGAATACCTGAAACTAGCGCCATAACCACTCGGCCACCTCGCCAGATGAGCGCTTGTTGACTCGTTGTTGACTAATCCGCAGATCAATATGTATATATCCTCTTTCAAATTGGTGGAAAAGCAAATGGAAAAGGTGGGTGTTGCAACAGTCACCAGCGAAATGTCACAGACCTCAGAAACCATCTTTGGGATCGCCAGCTTGACACCGATTTACAACAGCATAACACCATCGCTGCGGCTCCTCCGTACCTTGTACAATCCCTTATTTAGTATCCATAACAGTTTCTGCAATCGCTTAGTATCCTCTGGGAAATCATGCATCTGATTTTGAATACACATTTCATCGTTGCACACGACAACTATGATAGATATTTTTAAGAAACGCGAAAAGATGTCTATTAGTAAATGCGGCGAGTAGTGGTGATATACTATCGCCGGTTGAGCTATGCTGAACTTGATCTGGAAGAAACACTGTGTCAGAGTTCCTTGGTGGGTGCCTCAGGCACCAACGCCAAGACCCAGGTGGTGAAGAGGCTCGATCTCTCGAGCCTCTTCACCCTCCTCGTAGCACCTTCTTTCATAGTCCCAAATTGAGATCGCTCAGTTCACCTTGCTGGCTCTCTGACACACTGGCTTTGGAGCAATACACAAGCAAACCAAGCGAACAAAGTAAGCAACTAGCAAGCCATTAGCCTTATGTCAAAGTATACCCGGTGGGCTGCTTGTTTTTTTTATTTTCCTCTTTTTTAATAGCTAGAGACTTATCTAATATCGCGATTAGTATTATGCTTTTCTTTGTAAGCTCTTTCGTGGAATAGGTTCGTATAATTTTAATCCCGGAGCATTTACAATATTTTATCAGAATATGAAATAAATTTGAATTTGTAGCTTGGGGCTGCTGTAACAAATGCCTTTGGCATTCGATTTAATAACTAATCAGAGGGTTTGAGACCTAGCTGATTCTTGTAGCCTAGGTGAACAAATTAGATTGGATTGATTGCGCCAATAAATCGTGGCGTAGTAACCTCCGCCTGTGCTATCCTCCATATCAAGCTCATCAGCGACTAGAGCATAAGGCTGCAGCAGTCAAGGAACCGCAAGCGAGCGCCAAGGCATTATTTGAACAGGCATTCACGACAAGATCTAGACAAGGCGACGCAAGATTTTTCTTCCGCTCCTTCCTCATCTGCAGTGTCGAGAGGGTGAGCGCTTGCTGAAAGTGGCTGAGAGAAGGATGACGTAGCTCGCTTCTCAACGTCACTTCAAAAACAGCGGTAGGTGCTGCTCGCCCCGTCTGCAGCATCACCCAAAAGAACCCAGACCATCCCGAAGTACTAGCGACTGCTCAACCAAGAATGTCGGCCAAGGTCAAGAAGGTCGCCAGAGAAGAGGCCGAGCGAGTGCGGTCGCTGGCTTCCCAAGCCGTAAGCTCGGGCACCTATGTCTACCCTCTCAAAGGCTTCCTCTACTTCCTCTCCCACCGCAGCCTCTGGAAGCCCATGAAATCAAAGCTCGCTCCAGTCATCTCCACCGGCATCGGCGTCACCACCTTCATGTTCGTCTTTACCTACCTGCCGCAGGCCGCCATCCTTGCTATATTCAACGGCCCGCTGGCTGCCTTGACGACCATCCTGCTCGTGCTCAGCGAGAGCTCGACCATATCGAATCTGCTTAGCCGTACCTTCTTCATCGATGACGCCCTTATCGACACCTTTGATGGCGTAAGCTGCACTTTCTTGTTGTCCTCACGCTGCGCTAACGACTACAGACTCTGGTATCACGAGGAATGACGTCCCTTGTCTCCGAAGGGCGTCAAATCAGGCCCGGCTCTGACCCCATTGGCAAGCTAGGCAAGCTCTTGAAGAAGCCATTTGCGCGGTTCTCTCCGGATGCCATCATCCGTTACCTCATTTATCTTCCCCTCAATTTCATTCCCGTCGTCGGAACAGTCATGTTCATCATTCTCCAAGGTCGCAAGGCTGGCCCAGCTGCACATGCTCGGTATTTCCAACTCAAAGGAATGAAATCTCGTCAGAAGGAGGACTTCATCGAGCAGAGGAAAGCTGCCTATACAAGGTATGATCAAACCACCAAATTTTGCTGCTCCTCTAACGTGACACGTAGCTTCGGAGTTCCTGTTGTTCTACTAGAGTTGATCCCTGTTGCTGGGCTGTTTTTCTCTTTCACCAATGCCGTCGGCGCCGCTCTTTGGGCTGCTGATATGGAGCAAAGCAACACCACGGCTCCAAACCTCAGAGATCAAGCGGCCAAGGCGGAGTGAAAATGCAGCAAACCCCTTACGCCTGCATAGAACTTCAATACATGAAAAAGGCTTGCATGATACCCAATGGACAGCTCGTCTTGCCGTTTGCGAGGGGAATGTGTACTACTGATTGGAAGGACTGCGCTACCAAGACCGATAGGCAACAAGGCACTCAAAAAACTTTTACAAATGGATTTAGTCTTATCAGAGTTTGATCTTCTCGCTAATTCTGTAGCGAAGTGCTTGCCGAACGCTTTTGATGTGCTCATTCATGGACGAGTTAACAAATGCTTCAACATTAGGCACATACGTACTAGCTACAGCTGTAGCATGGCGCAAGTGAACTCGGTTGACCTGGAATTCAGCACCTGGACCAATCCAAGTGAGTTTATATAATGCATGTCGCTTACAGAGCCTGAACAAATCCAATTGACTCCATGGGCGAACAAAATCCGGACTAGATTGTTTGCTACAGATTCAGTAATGATGGGAAGTGCCAGCGTTGGGCAAGCTCTTCGATTCAGTCATGTCAGAGTGGCCGACAAACGTCATAGCACTATGGTGCGCACTCGTGGGATCAAGTTTCCCATGGACGCAGGCGCGGGTATAGAGAAAGGGCAAGAGTATATACATACAGCAACGCCGTGTCCCGAAGTAGTGTACAATCTGCCCCATAAAATGCGCCTTGGAGATGTGCTCGTGTCATGCAAAATGAGAGCTCAAGCCTTTCGGTCGATGATCTCCTGCTGGACACGGGTGTATCGCGGCAAGATGATGGGCTGTCTGTGGGCACGGGCAAAGGCCTCGGTGGCCTGGCGTTCGCTGTCGGTGCGGATGGTGGTTCCGATGGACATGAAGAAGCTTGGGCGGGTCAGCAGTGAAGAAGCCAGGATTGGCTTGGAACGTACCCAAAGGTTGCCGCAGAGCCCAGCATATACTGGCCGAGGGTCCTCATCATGCCATTGGGGCCCGGGCCGAATCTGATGATGTTGGTTGCTCCTGCACTCGGTCAGACGAAGCGACTAGAAGTATCTTTGCGCAAAAGCAGCGGCGCACCGAAGATGAAGCCAATGATGAGGCCGACGGCTGAGACAGTGTGAGTGATCGCCCGCTGTGCGGAGAGGGAGATGCGCGCTACGTACAGCCACCCATCATGGCGCCCATCTTGACTGCGAAGCGTCAGTAGAGAGCTTTGCATGCTGGAGAACTTGCGACGCACGCTTGTCAATGGTCGAAGGACCGGACATGCCGCCGCCCACGGGAACAGGCATGGTGGTGGTGTTGAGACGGTAGTGGCAAAGACAGTCGAGGATGCGCAAGCAGTCTTCAGAGCTCGGCGGATGGTGGAGGAATGAGCTCACGCCGCGCGCTCGGCTGTTGCCCAGTGCCCGGCACAAAGCACACCCTGCACCAACAGCAGTGAGGCGCCCGCGCGATTCAGGCGACGCGTCACGTGACCGACCGGCGTGGGTTGCGACCCGTCCTCGCGGCGCGAGGAATGCAGCGCAGCGCGAAGCATGCCGTGTGCGGGCGCGGGATGTCCACGTAGCAGCGGGCGGGCGCTGGCACGCAGGGCTGGCTGTGTTTGGGCTCACGCGCAGGCGTGCCACTTGGTGCGAATCTATGATCAGCGGCGCTGTCGCAGCGCTCTGCTTAGCGAGCGCCTCCGCCGGCCGACCTGACACTCGCGCAGACAAGGAGCCGACTTCACTGCCTCTCTTGACAACCTCTCGCCCTGAGCCCTATCACCATCACCCTCTGCGCGAGCCTCCCGCTTCAAGCCTCCCGCCTGCGCCCCGATCCCTACTGTCTGCCGTCCAGCGCCCCGTCGCCACAGCAGCCCTCGAGAGCGACGCAGCCCTGAATCCGCCCGGGGTCGCACGTTGCCTGCACACGGGCCAGCACACGACAGACCTCACTTTGCGACTCGACCCCAAGCGTCGACGACCTGCCTCCCCAAGCCCGGCCGGTTCATGACTGCGCCCGTCGCTCGAGCCGTCGCACGCCTGCCCCAGCTGCCCTGAGGCTCTCGCCCACAGCCCTGGACGCGCCCGACCGCCAATTGCCTGCGCGCCCCGTAGCGAAAGACAAGCGCTGGAAGGTGACCCTCTTTGAGCACGCTCCATATCCTCCCTGCTAGTCGGACCCATGACGGCTGTCGCTCCTCCCTTGAATTTCCAGCCGAACGCCAGAACGGGATGGAGCGCTCCTAATGCCGCCAACGCCGGCCTGAACTCCATGAGCGCCGACGACGTCTCCAGAATGTTTATGCCCCAGCGCAAGAGCGCCCAGCGATCAAACTCCTCGTCCTCCATATCCTCCACCTCGTCCACCTCGACCATTGCGTCGTCGCCCTCCCAAACCAACGGCATTCCGCAGCCCCAGCCCCAGGACCCGAACGCCTGGGGCTCGCGCAAAAAGCCTGCCCGGGGGCTATGGCCCTCGTCCAAAGCTGAGCCCATCGCTGGTATCTCGACCGCACGACCGCAATCCGTCGCTTCCACATCGTCTGGCCCCTCAGCTGCCTCTGCCATCTCTGCCCTCCACACGCCCTCCTCCATGCTGCCGTCTCAGCACAGCCAAGCCGCACAGGCACAGCAGAACGGCACCGCCCGCGCACAGGGTCAAAACGAGCCGCCTGCGATCCTTCATCTCGTCCCGCTCAACGGCACTTTTGAGCGCAAAACCATCACCGTACCTTACTTCCCCGAGGTCCTGCGCATTGGCCGTCAGACAAACAACAAGACAATTCCCACGCCGCTCAATGGCTACTTCGACTCCAAGGTGCTCTCGAGGCAACATGCCGAGATATGGGCTGATCGCTCTGGCAAGATATGGATCCGTGACGTCAAGTCGTCCAACGGCACTTTTGTCAACGGCACCCGTCTCTCTCCGGAAAATCGCGACTCGGAAGCGCACGAACTGCGTGAGCAAGACATGCTTGAGCTTGGAATTGATATTGTCAGCGAAGACCAGAAAACGATCGTCCATCACAAGGTTGCTGCCAAGGTCGAGCACGCAGGTATCTATCCGAACAACAATGTTCTGGACCTCAACTTTGGAGACCTCGATCCATCGGTCAACGGGAATCTGCTGGCCTCCCCGCTCGGCCAAGGTGTCGGGCAGGGCAGGGGCCGTACCGGTAGCCAAGGGTCCATTGCGAGTAACGGACGCCTGGGGTCGATGCCTCAAAGCGTGGCTGGTAATAACATGGCCGGGATGGCACAGCAACGTCATACCAATTTCTGGCTGCAACCCGTTACCATGGAACAGATTGTTAAGAAGCTGAACGTAAGTTGATTCGAAATAGCACATGCTGGCTTTGCTGACGCGGGCGTAGTCTGAAATGAAGCAAGCTCGCCAACAATCTCAAGAGCTTCAACGGACCGGGCAGTATATTGAATCTCTCTTAGCGAGCGATCCGAAAAAAGAGCCGAGCAAGACGTCATCTCCCATGACGAAACATTCACCGCTGAAAGGCGACATCAAGGCACGCTTCTCAGACCCTCCCGCCCCGCCGCCATCGCAACCTCTTCCTGAGAAGCCGGATGCAGCCCAGCCATCCCTGCGTCGCTCGGAGACCGAGAAGCCGAAACTGCCTGCGAATCTCAGCGCACCCAAGGGTGATTCTCTCCAAATCAACGCTTTGCTCGAGGCTTTGAACAATGCCAAGAAGGACTTCGAGATGCAGAGTTCAAGGTTAAAGGAAGTGGAAGACCTGCTGGTTCAGGAACGCCTTGCTCGAGAAAGCGCCGAGGAGCGCGCTCAGCGATTAGAGCTGGAAAGAAAGAAAGATGTGGCTGGCGACATTGTCGAGACGTACACCAATGGAATTAGTGACGTCGCAGCAGAAGAAGCGTCTGCTACCGCAGACGATCACGTCAACGAAAACCCGATGGCCATGGACCCGCCGCAAACGTCGGAAACAGACGCCTCCACTGCCCAGCTCCAGCAACACATTGAATCCATGGTTGCAGAAATGGATCGGATGCGGCAAGAGATGGAGACATACAAACAACGCGCTGAGAAGGCAGAGTTGGAGAGTGCCAAGGATCGCTCAACGCTGGCGGAAATGATTGAAAGTATTCGCAAACAAGAGAGTGAGCGCGCGGCGAAGATTTCTCAAGAAAACAAGACCGAGAGCAACCACGGCATAGACACACCACTCCACATTGATGGAGCGCAGGACCAAAAACCTCAAGATGAGGAGATCCGAGACTCTTCGCCCAGGTCTACCTCGGCCGCACGAGAGACCGGCATTCCAAACGGTCGGCCGCTGCAAAGCGAGCAGGGTGCAGTATCCAAAGAGAAAGGGCAACATGCTCTCGTCACTAAGTCGCCAGGAGGCGAACAGCTTGCGCATGTCGGCCCGTATGCATCGATGGTGGGTGTTGTGGTCCTCGGTCTGAGCATCATGGCGTACATCAATGGATGGCAGAAGCCGCTGGAGAGGTGAAAGTCACAGAATGGCTCACCAGCCTCGGGCTGCATATAATCGTGCCAGCGCAAACGGCTGTGACACGTCCGGTGGCGAAAGCACCGTGATGTGCGTGCGAACACGCTGCTCAGCGCATTGGATAGTCCCGGGCTGAAAGATTGCCCCCGCCCACCGTACAAATGCCGGGCGTACTCAGATTTCGGCTTGCCTCGATCGAAGCGTGGTCTGACATCGATCTGGCAGGCGTTCTACGACACATTATGGGTTGGAGTATAGAGGAAAAGCACAGCATAACGACATTGCTACGACCGACCACAAGGCAACAAAGACTACTGCCGTAACCTCTAGTAACTATATACCATTCACTCCTTTTCTGTTTGATTCCCCAATTTCGCTTTATCATCCACTCACTGTGCGCCTACTCTCCTATGTTTATTCCAGCCTCCATACTTCCTTCTCTTGCATCGGGCCTCATGGGGCAGGGCTCATGGAGCATGGGAACATTAAAGTGGAGTGGGCGTCGGCGTCGAGAAATGAGCGGTGCTTTATTACCATGTTGAGCTTCTGGGATTATTTCTTCTGGTTCGGGATTTAGTTGATTGCCTTCGACGTTTCTTTCTTGGGTTAGTATTGCAGTTGGCTTCAGGCGCACCGACAGCTTCGTCCGTAGCCGTGGTTCCGTGTATCGGTAAATCGTCTCTGTTGCTCCTGCGTTTCAGGCTTAGGCGGAAGTCCTTCCGTCTCCTTCTAATGATACATATTTGACAAGGTCATCTGCTGGAATAGCAGTATTGCGCATACTGTGACTGGGATAATGGATGTGTGGTTCAAGCCTGTCCCGTAGAAGAGTCGACACGCAAGTTCACGCTTTCGATGTCTCGTTCCGCTTTCTTGGGTGCTGCACGCTGCTCCTCTTCTTCCAGCACTTCCTCGACAGTGAGTTCAGGCCACTGTTCTTTAAGCATCTCAGCCAGGTACCTGACGCCCCAGTCTTCGCAAGGACGGTGCCCCACACATATAGCCGGCATGCCAGCCATTGCTGCAGCTTTTAGGCCATAGTCCCGCGCGGCACCCGTCAGATAGAGCACATTCGAAGCATCCTCGTGGTCGCCAATCCATTTTGCCTCTCTAGCAGCACAGATCACGCGATCAATCTCCTCTGGGTGGAAGGCATTCATGATGGCGACGGCTGTAACTCGAGAGCCAGGGCCAAGCGATGCTCCAGCAGGAAGATGCAGGTCGCCCGCACCGGCAAACTCGCGCTTCACGGTGTCGGTGAGGCTGGCCAGGGAAGGATCGACGCCCGGACGAACCCTTGCGACGAGGCCGATTTTGCGCCGGGGGTCTCCTTTGTACCCTTGGATGCACAGGGCGCTCTCGGTCTGGAGGCCGAGGCGGCCTGCCAGGGTGAGGTTCCATCCGACAGTCAGGTGCATGTCGAGAGAGGTGTGGCTGGCAATGACGAGCGAGCCCCTGGGGACGGCGCGCCTGTTGAGTTGCCATGGCCGGTGGAGGAAGCAGAGAGGCGGGCTGGCGGGTTCCGGAGAGTTGAGAGCGGCGTACACGCCCGGCGTAGGTGCCACGCTCAGGACGACGTGGGAGGCGATTGCGCGAGATGGATTATAGGCAGGGTGACGAGGGGTGTGATAAAGAAAGTTGACGTCGTTTGTGCATGGCGGGAGGAGAGTCGACAGGAAATGAGTGATGCTAGCGTGCGTAGGCGGGCCGCAATGCGGGAGCAGTACACTGAAGGTTTCTTGCTTCATGGTTTGGTACGGGGCGTCGCAGGTGCGGGATCTGGCGGTGCTTTTTGTGGTGATCCCCAGAAGATCTCCGCAAAGACGTCATCAACGCTGGGTCATGGCAATGATCGATTGAGACTATCATTTGTGACGTGGCATGGAGTCTTGCAAAGCCATTCCAAACTGGCGGTATCGAGAGCTCCTCTACTACCGTCTGCAGTAAATTTGACGATTCTGTTGCGGGAAGATGAAGCAAGATGCGGAACGGCACAAGGACAGGGGAGCGGTGGCGATCGCCCAAATCCCTGTGGCCGATCGTGGCTGCACAGTACAACAGCGACCCCCACGCCTGAACCATCCCATCGCTGCTCGTAATAATCACGAAAGAGAAATTGTCTCCCGAATCCGAAGGTAGCGATTTAGCGATGATGATCACGATGATGCAATGCCTGCCTGCTCAGACACTAGGGCGCGACCGCCTTTCAAGACCAAGCGGGTCTTAAGCGACAGTCGATCAAAAGCGGAGTCAAGCGCAGTAACTGTGGGTAAGCCGAAAGATCTGAGCTTGTTACGTAGGCAGCCGGACGTAGATATGCTTTTAGTAATTCTACATTTACGTCCAGTTGGTAGCTTCAGCGACCTACGTAAGTCGGGTGCCCTTGTCCGAAAAGGCAATTGCGGAGGATCATTTATTTTGGCACCTACTGAGGTGAGATGATCTGCAGATGCTGCCTGGATGGCGATAGGAAGTGGCAGATCCAGCACCGCGCTGAATGGCTTGTTGCCTGGCTTCGCACGTGACAGCGTGCCATTCCAGGCGCCAGCCGCGTTCTAACAGACGCGTTCAACCCTAGCGCTGACCTACTTAAAAGCCACTGCCCATCTGCTTCGATGCCCCTCATTGCATCCTTTTCCTGCGCCGCTACTTCTCGGGCATCTTGTATGCTGTCAATTCGTCTCCTGTCCGCGCCTTTGTGCTTCTCTTCTTTTCCCAAAACTCACTCCTTCGTTTCAATCGTCTTCCTCGCCGCACACAATGGCTGCAGCAGGTCCGACATCGCCCTCGACCCTGCCCGAGGTGCCTGTGAAGCACAATGACTTCCTCTCTCACGTCGCCGCCAACCCCAACTCTCCCATGAGAGAGCTCATTGAGCCGTACAAACGATTCGACTCCAAAATCCGCGAAGTCTTTGCTCAAGAGCCAGACCACCCCGCACTCACTGACCCGTTCTTGAACATTACCCCAGTCTTCACTGGTCAGGAATCCAATGCCAGAATTCGTGCACGCGACCTCGCCACTGAGTCGGATGCCGAGAAAGAAAAGTACATCATGCCTCTTGACGCTGAGCAGCGGAAGCCCAATGGCAGCCCGGCAGTTGTCCAGTCTTTGAAGGAATTCCAGACGAACTTCAATATCTTCTCTGAATCCTCTCTTGTCGACCTGGACTGGAGCAATGTCGTAGCAGTGAGTACAGTAGCTTGAAAACTTGTCGAGCTTTCGCTGACGGAGCCAGGCCGGGAGTTCAGTCGTCACGCCACTTTTGCCCATCCCGAAGGAGTACTCGGACTCGAAGCGAGCGCTTCGTCAGTATTACCATGATGTCGTCGCCCCCGCCTCCGATGTCGACCTCTTCCTCTATGGCCTGAGCGAAGAGGATGCTTTGGAGAAGATCAAGCAGATTGAAAGAAAGGTCAAGGATTCCATCCTCGCAGAGACGACAACAATCCGCACCAAGCACGCCATCACCATTGCCAGCCAGTACCCGACACGCCATGTGCAGATCGTTCTCCGCATCTACAAGTCCGTCGCTGAAATTCTCACCGGCTTCGATGTTGACTGTTCCTGCGCTGCTTATGATGGTAATCAAGTGTATGCTTCCCCTCGTGCGCTGGCCGCATTCATGACGCAAGTCAATACCATCGATCTCACCCGCCGTTCTCCCTCGTATGAGAACCGGCTGTCCAAGTACTCCCACAGGGGCTTTGAGGTGTACTGGCCCAATCTCGATCGATCCAGGATCGATCCCACCATCTTCGAGCGCAACTTTGCCCGAACCGTTGGGCTTGCTCGCCTCCTCGTTTTGGAAAGGCTTCCCAATTCCTCCGATCGTGATGATTACATGGATCAGCGCCGAAGAGAGAGAGGAAGGCCTGAAATCAATCGTTATGCTCGAGCACGTCACGGCTTGAGGGGAAACATCAAAGAAAAGTACGAGGACGAAGTTGCCGAATGGGTCGAGGAGGATGAGGTGGCCGACTACCATACCTTCACGATTCCTTACGGCGAGAAATTTCATGCTCGGAAAATCGAGAAGCTACTCTACACCAAGGACCTACTTCTCAATGCAGAGTGGAACAAGCCCAAGGAGCGCGAAGTGAACCTGCATCGTCATCCAGCTTTCTTCGGTCACGCCGAAGACGTCTTCTTTGACTGCTGCGGCTATTGTCCGAAGCCGGATACGCCTGAAGAAGAAGAGGTCGCTGAGGAAGAAAGCAAGACCTTTGTATCTGGGAAGATTTCATTCATCAAAGATGACCCAGGCCGCCAGACCATCGGCAGCTTCAACCCCCTGACTGACAACGACTGGACGGAGATGGCATACGTCGGCAACACTGCTCGTCTATGCCAAGCAATTGTCGACGGCGATTTGGAGCACGTCGAAGATTGGCTTTCACAGGAAGGAGCCGACCCCAACACTCGCGATTACACTGGGCGGACTCCATTGCACCTTGCTTGCCACTCATCTTCTCCCGAGATAGTGCAGCGCCTTGTGGATGCAGGTGCTCGCATGGTTGCTCGTTTGGCCGATGGCCGTACTGCGCTTCATCTCGCCGCTGCCCGAGGAAATGTGGAGATTGTGAGGATATTGATGAGGAGAAGTGAAGCGAACGAAGAGGGAGAGGCCAACAAAGCCGATTTTCGTCGGAAATCAAGGCTTGCAGCCAAGGAAGCCGCAAGTTCTGCTGCCCCCAAGAGTCCTTCTGACACTCAGATGGCCTCTGACGAGGAAGACGCCGAGATGATTGATAACGATGAGGACGATGATGACGTGGAAATGAAGTCAACTACCACTGGGTCTTACGTAAATGTCAAAAAGTCCGAAGATCCTGATGAAAACGACAACCTGCCCGAGGATAACGAGGAAGAGCCGGATGTTTACGATGTCAACGTTTTGGCTTGGGACACCCCCAGTTCTCCTTTGCATCTAGCCATCTTCAACGGTCATTGCGAGGTTGTCAAGGAGCTCGTTCAGAACTTCGGTGCTGATGTTCTGCTGCCAGTCAAGCTTCTCAACGGTTACAACAGAAAGCCGTCGGCAGCAATCCTAACTCTTTGTCTCGCAACGCACCTGCCTCTCGATAGGGCTAAGGAGATGATACAAACACTTCTGGAGGTCGGTGCGTCTTCTGCGCAAGCAGATCTTCATGGCACCACTGCCTTCCACCGTTTCACCGCGCAGCAGACAGAACTGATACAAGCATTGCTTGATCATGACCTTTCCGGGGCGAAGAGAGCACTGAACCACCTCGTCTGCGGAGGCTTAAACTACCGCCCGTTTCCCATCAGCCCTCTTTCAACGGCAATCGACTCCCAGAACACCTCCTTAGCGCTCAAGCTCCTGGAAACTGGGGCTCAACCAGAAATAGGATTCCAAGAATTCGTGGACGCTTGGGCCTCGATGCGCGGTTCTTATTACGACAAGGAAAACACGGAAAGGAACATGGAAACCTACCGAGAAAACACTCGTCAACCGGTTATCGTAGCCGCCCAAAACGAACTTCCCGATGTTGTTCTACAGCTACTGAAGCATGGCGCCAATCCAAGCACCCTTACTTCCGGAGCCTGGCGAGTCGTTCAAGAAGACCGCGCGTATGACAGCAACGACGCGCAGACCCTGCTTGACGTCGTACGCAAGAAGTTAAAAGAACTTCGAGGATACGATGACAAGATCGACATCGAGCTTCCAAAACCAGCCTTTCAAGGTTCTGGTCAGGAGTACATTGATGTTCACGGTGACGGCAGCTATCAGCAGTGGATTGCCGTTCGGGCTGTTCAACGAGAGCTTCGCGATCATGAATCTTCCATGAAGAATTACAAGAAAGCTCTCGAAGAGGCCGAAAACAGAAAGGGTCTTATGGAGAAAAGAGAGGCTGTAGAAAAGCTATGCCGTCAGTTCGAAAGCGTCGAGACAGAACTCCTGGCGAAGGGAGCGAAGTCATTCTTAGAGCTGTATCCAGATTTTGCCCCGAAGAAGCGTGACCATAGTAGCCCTGACGAGCCGAGGGAGAAAGAGGAGCCATGGAAAGTGGATTTCAGCTTCAGAATCCCGGATCTTACCGAAAAGAAGAGGGAAGGTTACATCGAGCTGTAAGTGCAATTGGTCGCCTCCTTGTACCCATTCATGGTTCTTCGAAAACGAAGATAGTTGCTAACACGGTGCTTGCTTTTAGCTTCGACGCCGCATGGAAGGGAGATTTGCTTGCTATCAAGAGACTAACTCTGACCCTTTGGGGCGAACTGCGCGACCAATTGCCGCTTAAGATTGCTGTTACCGACTCGGAGGGACTTTCTCCTCTCCAAATTGCTGTCCTTCGTGGTCACATTGACTGCGCTGAAGGAATCTTGGAGATTGCGAAGGCCCAGTACAAGCCAAAGGAGAAGAACCAGGAAAGATACAGTATGGAGGGAGACGAAGACTCGGACTACGAGTCAAGCCAGGCCAGTGAAGCAAGTGAGGATGAGGACAAGATCACGGTTTTCCGGGAAATCGTCGACGATCAGTTTACCATCGAAAACATCGGCGAAGTTGCTACCCAAGTCCGAAGCAGTGTGTCTCCGTTGACTTTCCTGGATTGGGGTTGCACAATTCCACGCGTGGAGATGGCGAAGAAGGAATCCTCGGTGATTGGTCTTGCTTCACATCCTCTTACTGGAGAATGGCAAAGCGCCCAATCCGATGATCTCGTACAGTATGCCATTGAAAAGGACGACCTGAGCCTGCTCAAGACCTTACTTCAGTGGGGCGCACAATACACTGCGCAGTACAGCAAGCCGGACGGCGAAGAGACGACCGTTCCATTCTACACGAGGAACGAAGACGATCTTATTTTCGCGATGCGTCTAGGTCGCATCAGTTGCCTTACTGAACTCATCAAGCGGACAGGTGTCGGCCTCCCATTGGATAAGCTCATCAAGAGGAGTGGCGTTGAGATCATTGAAAAGCCCAGGTACTACCAGGGCTTATCCATTCATGGAAAGAAGAGAGCGGACTGGGCAGCCGCCGGAAGAGGGGTCACCCCCCAGAGAGCGAGCGATGAGCACCCTCCGCTCCTTCAAGCTGCAAAAACAGGAAACCTTGAAGCAATCGAATGGTTCCTGAGCGACGCCCCGACCAGATGCTACGCGGAATTCGCCGAGGAGAATAAGGGGGACAAGAGGCTGCAGCACCTAGCGAAAGCTAACGGCGGCATTCAGCGGGCGATTTCCGACTGGCTAGATCTAAGGCGTAAGTTTCTTGGTTTTCGACGTAGTATTCAGTATGCTAAAGGCTTCTACAGAAAAGCTCGTTCTCCATTGCGCCGTTATGGCTCCCTGGAGGTCTGGTGAAACGTCAAAGGTCCTAGACTATCTTGTGCGCGCCATTCCCAAGACGCTAGAGACCAAGGCGAACAGCACCGGCCAGACGCCCCTCCATCTTGCCTTCTCGCTCGGCCGCTATGTCACAGCGAAGAGGCTCATTGCAGCTGGTGCGGACCAGACCTGCCGCGACAGCAGTTGGAACAACATCATCCACACTCTGCTCTCCTCTTGGAGCTACAAAGACATCGAGTTAATCAAAATGCTGGAATTGGTTGATCAGCGTCTCCTGGAATCTCTGTTTACGGAACGAAATGCCGATGCTGCGACCCCGTTGGCGCTTTGGCTTCGGGTCTACGCCAACGAGTCCTCCGGCAAGATTCTGGAGCATCTCCTGTCTTTGTCTCCCACATTGGCTGAGCTTGACATGGTTGATGGTGTAGGCGACACGCCGCTGCACATTGTCACCAAGAGGGAACTGACTCCACTGATGCGCATCATTATCGACCGGCGCCCTGAGCTGCTGTATCGGGAGAACGCGACCGGCCGCACTCCCGCAGAAATGGCAGGAGACTCGTGGACGTCGAAGTGTTTTGAGAACCCACCCAAAATCCCCCGAGATCCAGCCGACCAACGCTGGTACTGGTTTGACGAGGGCACTTCTGACCCGATCCTCGCTCGCGATTCGGAGAAATTCTTGCCTAAGGATGAAGGTCATGAAGATGAGCAGAGCACTCCGTGGGAATTGTGTCGTGAGCGCTGGGAAAGTGACGGCAAGGCGGAGCGTGTTAAGAGGAAGCTCGTGTCACTGAACGAGGCCAACGAAGTTGCGCGTCGTCTGGGAAAGAGGCAGAAGCACGCACGCAGAGGTCGTAAGACCCGAGATGACGATGGTGAAAGCCGGAGCGAAGAAGACACACCTAAAGACGAGGTCGCTTCATGGTTTGGCCCCAGTTGGTGCGAGTTTGAGTATGACGAGGATGGTAAGCTCTTGGAGACGGAGCAGACAGCTCAGTGACGGAAACGTGGGAGGGAAATGGAAAAGTGAAAGCGTGAGATTGATATTTTTCTATGGGAATGTTGTTTTAAGCGTGGACAGTATGGTCGTTACCACGGATACCTTTTATTTGCAATGAGAATAGGGCGTTTTTGAGAGAAAAATTCTGGACATCATTGTGAACCTGGGATATCTCAAGTGCTCCTTTGCAGCCACACAGCCGATGAAATAAACATTCGAGTCTGAGCTCCAACAGCGCAAAACTGCTGCTGGGACAGCGGCCTCACCACGGCTCTATCGTCCACTGGACTGGATAAGCCTCGAACCCGTCTTCTACCTCCGCATCATGGCCAAGCGCGCAGGATGGATACCACCATTATCAGCGGAGTTAGCGTCATCACCAGCACCATCATACTGTGGCGGGCCTCTTTCTGCCACCGGCTGAGCATTGGCACCCTTTCCTGGCCCATTTTTAGCCTTCTTGTTACCCTTAGGCGCATATTTGGCCTTCTTGCGGGCGCGCGCCTCCTCCTTAGTCTCTTGTTCGTTGCGTCGCTTGCGCTGCTCGTTGAGCTTCTCGTTTTTGTACTTCAATTTCTCTTTGCGGGCTTCTGATTTTGAACCGCCGCCGCCGGCACTATGCAAGAGATGGGTCAATAGGCGCTCTCACAAAGTCGGCTGCAGCGTATTACTACTCACGTCAACTCGACATTAATCTTCCTGGCGGGGCTCTTGCCATCGTCGAAGCTGGAATGGTGGTACAGCTTCAGGCACGACTTCATGTAGTCGTAGCGGTCGAATTCGATGAAAGCGAAGCCTTTGCTCTTCTTGTTGTCCTTGGTCATGGGAGCGCGGATGGAAGCAGGTGGCACCTTGGCAAAGTGGCTCGCGATGGACTCCTTGGTAGCGGTGTAGGGAAGATTGCCAATGAATGCGATGAAGCGGGTTGCGGACTTGTCATTGCCTTCAGGCGCCGGGTGGGAGTCGGAGTCGGAGGGTGCGCTGGCGGCCTTCGCGTTCTTCTCCTCGGACGGCCCTTCCTCATATTCTTGCTCTTCGGCAAGCTCATCGGATGTCTCCTCGAGCTTTCTCTTCTTCGACTTGGGCTCCTCGGCGGGTTCGCTTGCCTCAGGCGCACTTGCAGGCACATCGTCGGAGGACTGATCTTCGCTCTTGGCCTTCTTCTTCTTGTCCTTCTTTTCCTTCTTCTCCTTCTTGTCCTTCTTGTCTTTCTTGTCCTTCTTCTCCTTCTTTTCCTTCTTGTCCTTCTTGCTTTTCTTCGCGCCGTCGTCGACCACGTCCGCGACCGTATCTGCCGGCGCGGCGACAACCTCCTCGGGCTTCTCCTTCTTGGACTTCTTGCTGACCTTCTCGGATTTCGACATTGTTGCGACTGGTGGAATTTGGAGGTTTGGGGAGAGGATTGCGACGGACGGGCGCATAATGGATGGGAAATTTCCAGGGCGGTGACGGATTTGGGCCGGCAGAATGCTTCTCCCCTCACCGCTCTCGGCCGAGCCGTCTCCGCAAACTTGATCATCCAGAGCGTCATCACGCCTCTGCTGCTTCCTCACGCCATTGAACGTCTTCCTGCAACAATGCAGGCCTCCCGCCTCGCACTCCACAGAATACCTCAGCTCCGCCGCCCCTTGCGCCCCCCCAGCATTTCTCCGCGATCGCCGACCCCGCGCCCCTTCACACACAACGCTCAACTCCTCATCCTCGCGCGCTCGGTGGGGCCGCGCCCGCAGCTGCCATTCTTACACCCTTCGTCTGCCGCCAATGCATCGCTGCGCCGCCGCCAGCCTGTCGGCCAATGGCAGATTGCGCGCCTCTTGACGACCGAAAGCAAACAGTACATCAAGGAACAGGTGTGGCTGGCGGGGAAATGGACCATCTTTTTGTGGACGTCCGTCGGCCTTCTTTTCGTCGCCGCGTTTGGTGTGCAGAATGAAATCTTCGAGCGCCGGACACCGAGCCCGCCCGAATGGAGTGTCATCAGCCGGATGAACTACCGGAGCGCGCGCGCCCAGGAGGACCCGGAATTTTGGCCCTCGAACATGACGGATTGGGCGAGTGCTGGGAGCATGTACAAGGGCGTGCTGGAGCGCCTGGAGGACCCTAATATTGACGGACAGGACATCAAGGAGCAGGAAGAGGGTGGACTTCTGGTCCCAGGCGTAGGGAAGGCGGGCCTGGATGTCTCTGCCAAAAGCGAAGCGTGGCGCCGCGGCTATCACGAGGTTTTGATGGGCTGCGCGAAGGCCGCCGAGCATCTGGAAGGCTGGGTCAAGGATACCACGCGCCGCATTTGCTTCCCACCGGACGTGGTCATTGGGCCTTCTAATCCGAACCCCCGGCCCTGCCCGCCGTATGCGCACGAAGCTCCCTTGGAGCAGAACTGCGTGACTGCTTTCGAGCCACCGGAAACGTTCTATATGAAGATCATAACCACCAAGGGGTTCTCGACGTCTCAGAGACTTGACGCTGCCCTTGCATATGCCGACTGGCTTGACTTGCACAACTTGCCTTCAAGTGCTGCCGAGATGTACAGCTGGGCATTTGATATTGCCACCGCCGCCACCCCGGACGTTTCGGACGTGATTGATACTACTACCGGCATCATCCGCGACGGTCCCGGCGCCGCTCGCGTCTCCCCAAACATCACCCGCGCCGCTACGGCCCTCGCTACGCACTATGCCCGCCAACAAGAGGTCAACAAAGCCCTCCCAATATTTCTCTCTGTCTTGCGTGCCCGCCACAACGCACCTTTGTCCCCTTCTACCGCTTCATCTTCCAGCCAGGCCGACTCGGGAGTACTCGGCACCATACGTTCCATCATCAGGCCGCCGTCCTACCCTCCACCACTCCCCACCGGCGACGAACCTCTTACGCGTACGCCCGGAACCCTCTGCGATGACGCCGCGCTGAAAACGTACATTGGTGAAATTCTCTTCGCGACCAGTCCATCTTCGCGCGACAAGGGTCTTTCCTGGACGCGGGACGCAATTGCTGACGCAGAGTCTGGAATTTCTCTGAACAGTAAGCTTGACGCGGCGGACAAAGAGAGGTGTGCACAATGCTTGGAGGTGGCATTGGGGAATCTGGGGAAGATGGCTGGTGTTCTCGCCCGTGAAGAGAAGGAGAAGAGAGAGACGAAGAGTTCAGGGTGGTCCTTGTGGGGTGGTGGTAAAAAGGACACGAACGGCCAAGGGGAGTGGGAAATCGAACATAACAACTTGCAAGAGAGGCTCCGGAAACTGAGGATGGAGGGGTTGAGGGAGAAGTTTGCGAAGGCTGGCAAGGTTGCGGGAGGCACGTGGTTAGGATAATTTGTATGGGAAAACTTAGTTAACACGCATCTCTGGTCTGGAAAATTCTGAATCTTGGGAGGGGCGTAAATGGGCGATTTCGGTGTTGGTCTTATCAAGCGGGACTCATCCTCACTACTGCTCGATACCTGCGGTATCCCAAATACACATTTACTTCGCTCAATAGAGGTCTCGTTAGCTTTGTGACCTTATCGGTCTGCTCTCTTCAGCCGAGGAACAGAGACAAGGGACCTCAAGGGCTATACTGGACACAACACCAAGCAAATCTCCAACCCAGACTGATGGATACGATTTATTACTAACTAATTTGGCCAAAAAAAATGTTGTCTGACGTATGTCCGAGATGGCAATTTCAGCAACAAAGACGAGTGCCGAGAGAAGTAACAAGCATATTATTTTTTTTTCTTTTCTCTTTTCTCCTTGTGTCCAAGAAAGCATCAAATGACATGGTGGCCGTAAGGTTCTCTCGTCATATCGTGGCTCAAGAAAAGAAAAAGGGGGAATAAAGGAATGTTTTTTCTGCTTCATGGAACCGACATCATGGAGCTTGTTTCGTAGCCATGGTGTTCGCCGTCATCCTCGCTCGTCTCCCCCTCGTCCTCATCGTCTGATTCCTCCCGTTGCTGGCTCCTGGCCACCTGGGTAGCCAACATCACCAAGGCCTTGCACTGATCACATCGCCTCCAGCCCCTCCCGGCCAGGTGGGCTGACATGCGCGCACACGTTGCGCCGCCGTGGTCGTCGCCTCCTGCGTCACTGGTCATCTCGCTCGATGCGATAGTGGAGGGAGGGTTGGGCGGTGAGACTGGCGGTGGTGGCACGTCCATGCCGGCCCAAGAGACATCGATTATAGGAGGCGGCGGCGGCGGTGGTGGCGGCGGTCCTGTTGGAGGCATGGGCGGCAGCAACATTGTTTTGTAGGGATTGGGAGACAGTTTCGGGATTGGCATGTTGTCAGGTTGGGGATCAGGCGGTGGTGGTGGCGGCATGTGAGAGTCCGATGGATACGAGAAGTATGCTACGGGTGGGGGTACCGGGGCTGGCGGAGGAGGCGGGGGTGCTGGCGAAGATGTGGTGGTCATCGGCTGAGGAGGAGAAGGAGGAAGAGGAGGTGGTGGTGGTGGTAATATTTCAACCATGGCTTGTGGAGGAGGAGGGGGAGGGGGAGGAGAATTCTTGATTGGGAAATTCCGCCTCATAGTTGGGAACGGGCCGAGAGGCGGCATGGGATGAGAAAGGTGTGGGCCTGGCGGAGCGGGAAACCAGCAATCGGTAGGTGGTATGCTGCTTTTCGGACGCTTGGTTGATTTCTTCTTCCTATACTTCCTCTTCTCGAGCGCAGACCCTTCGATGCCGGGCTTGTCGTCTTTTGAAAGAGACTCTGTCAATTCTGGATGAGTCCATCTGATGAATCCCGGGTTTCTGTCCTGGGGAAAGGGACTATGAGGCGGCATTGGTAGCATCGGTGGCTGCTCAACTTGCTTGTGAGGAGCTTTGTTGGCTTGGGTGTTCCTTGCTGTCCCCTCATAAGTCATGATTGGCTCTGCGGAGTCTCCAATCTTCCTATTATCTTCCATTGCGACAATTTGTACTCCGGGAATTTCCGGTGGAGGGGGTGGTGGAAGTGGCGGAGAAGCAGGCGAGGGACGGTAGGGGATCTCAATGATGTGTGGCGGCAGAGCACCGGTTTTAGTACGCTCTGGATCTACCATACGAGGCTCCCGACTGGGGCGGTGCCGTGTCTTGGGAAAGACAGAGGGCGAGATGTTCGTGGTAGACCCAGGGGCTCGAGGGCTGGCGGAGGGACTCGGTCGTTCCAGCATGGTCATCTGGTCCGATTCAGGGATTGATGCAGTCACCGCATCCGGGGACTGGGGGCCATGCCCACTGTAGGGCGCAGGCTCTCCCGGCTCATCTTCAACGAGCCAGTGCGTCTTCTCACTCCCAGAGTTCAAGGAGGGGTCCAACTCAATGACCTCGGCATCAGAGCTCAACTCTGAACAGTACGCCTCGCTTTCATCTTCCACATTCACACTCTCCGGCGCCATTGGCATCTCCAGAGAATCGTTTCCGCCTTGTCCCATACCATGGGAAAACACTTCGCCAACAGCATCGAGAATTGCACAAGCAAAGATGCTCTTCAATCCTTTGTCCAACTGTTGGTCTCTGTCGAGATTTCCGCCGTTCACGTATTTACGAATGGCGTCAGTCATGTGGCCATCCATCCAGTCGTCTCGCTCTCTCAAACCTTCATACGCAGACTCCACGTCGTGTAGCACGACCCACGGCGGTAGCATCTGCCCCATTGCCTGCGCTTTCTCACGTGCAAGCCTACGCAGGCCGTCCAACTGGTGGACTGTTGCAGCAACATAGGCAAGTAGAGCACGACGGTGCTCTCGGCTCTTCTCCTCGTTGGATCCACCAGGATGGTCGCGAGGGCTCGACGAGTTCAGGGTCTGGTATTCTCCTGTGTGGAGGTAATGCACGAAAGTATGAGCGACGTCAGCGTCGACGTCGTGGACGCAAACGAAAGGAGTCGTGGACTGCCCGTGAAGCTCTGATGCCGCGCGGTTACCCAAATGGCGCGAATTGCAGAGAATTGACGGCGGTATCAGAGCTTGTGGGATGAGGTAGGGAGGCGCCGCAGGACCGAATGACAGCCATACTGGCCCACTGGCATATGGCCTTTGCGCTTGAATGTTAGTGACTTCGCTACGGTTATTTACTGATCAGATAGGTACGTACGACAATCGGGGCTGGCCTTTAGGGAAAGTGGAGAGATCAAATGGGAAAGACGTTGTCTCTGCCATCTTGTCCTTTGGCTCGTCTGCACTCCCAGGATGGAAGGCCTGACGTACTGTCGCGGGAAGGTTGATAGCAAGAGCACTGGTGGGTGAATGGGAGACAAATACGCGATGAGGGGAAGTTTATGTTCTTGATGACCACAGAGCAGCCTTTCAGTCAATAAGTATGCCCCTCGTCGCCCGCGGCTGCCGCCGTTTCCCCGCTTCTTACGCGCCTTGTGCACTCTTGGTGCTCATTAGTGCCACGATGGGAGCCTGCTGTCGGCCGGTGCAGCCTGGTCAACAGCCACTTGAACGTGCATCCAGCTGAGGAAGCACAGGGTACTTCTTTAGGATTGGACGCAGTACCGACGCTTACGGCTGCTTGCATGGCTTCTGCCTGGTTCTCTTGGCGACAGCCTTGCTCATGAATTATTTTCTCCGGGAAAGAATAACTGTGACGAGACCTTTGTGGAACGATGGCGTAGTGCGGGGAACTCGTTCGTGTGCGCAGTCCGGACAAGGTGTGGAGACCCTCACTACCGTAAGATCGGTGCTTCGCCCAGGCTACGTCCGTGGGATACTATGGCAATTCACCTCATCCTGGGGAAAGTTGAAGTTTAGTGGGGGTAGAAAAATTCTTGTAGATCATGTACTTGGTCTTTACTACTTACGAAAGATCGTGGGAGAGGTAAAATCGCCGGTCGTATCCTTAATCCTTCGTTGTGAGGAAACCAGCCATGACGGGATAATAATCGTCAACCAAAATCGGACGATAATTGGCATTTCGAGATGCTTTTGTTCTTGCCTCGTCCGCCGAGTACCTTTGGGGGCTGGTGAGGGTGTTGCTCGCGTCATATTGGAGCAGCAGAGAGCCAGTGCTAAAATCGGTGATTTTATCTCATTAGACTCAAAGGTGATAAACTTACTGCATCCCCCTAATATGAGCTAAGCCTACAGCTTATTTTCAATGGCCGAAGTAATATGATGTCTGATAGTGAGGAGGGCGGATCGTTGGGCTTCTATTGCTGTGCCACGTGGGAGATAAAAGGCGGAAAGACGATTCTGAAGGCAGTAGCGCGAACGCAGGGTGCCTTACCTTGTGTTTCAGTAGCACTGAAGTCCTCATTGTCTGAGGTGTAATGCGTCTTTCTGCGTCTGGAAATGTCTCGTACCTGCTTCTGAAACATCATGTACATCATTCCTGCAGCAAGACATTAAGCAAATGCGGCCGTCAGCACCGAACGAATGCGGCCGACCGAACCATTCCAAAAGTGGCGTCCCTGCTCGACTTTCGCTTCATCTGGTAAAATCCCAGATCCTTGCTGGCATGCGTAATGTGGGAAGTAGATTCGGCTACAGGGGAGAATGTTGCACAGAATGGAGTCAATACAAGAGCGATATCTCTGGGTCATACCTGCTCTATTGTGTTTACGCAACGGTCTCTCTTGTCCTCTGAAGCGGATAGCATTCTTCCCATTACCATTAATCTATCAGTGCCGGTTCCAAGACAGACTCACGCCAGATACATGCTGCATTAGTGCGATGGCAGTGTGGTACATCAGCAACACCGTCAAGTATCTCCACTGGGCCAATTCAACCGAAAACAAAACGAGGGGCAAGACCTGTCTTTACCCGCCTTTGCACAACCCTTGCTGCAACCTTCTGGAAGCTTGATTAGCGTGGTAGACCCAGATTCCCCTCTTCCGCACCTGGGGCTTTGTTATAAGTATCCTCACCCAAGGAGTGATGAGAACGGTGGTCGGGGCTAGTGGAATATTCAGAAGCCGTCTGTCCTGCGATTGACTGAAGACGAGAGCGGTTCAGGTGGCCACCTGTAGAGGATGGCGTTGGAAGTGCAATTGTTGGGGCATGTGGGGTAACGTAAGCCTCGGTGGTTCCGTCGTAGCCGGAGGAATGATGGCCTCGGCGTCCGGCACCAGGGTCCTCGTCCGGGTAGAAAACTTCGGCATCTGGCTTGTTAAAGTCGGCTCCTGGATTGGCCGTCTCGTACTCGAGTGCCTTGATCAGACGGTAAAGTGCGACAGCCAGGAGCGCGCCCAACGCCGGGCCGACCCAGTATATCCAGTGGTAGCCATTGAAAGTGTGCAGAATGACATCCGGGCCGAAGGACCGGGCGGGATTGAGGCTTCCGCCAGTAAAGTAGACGCCTGAAGCAATTAGCACTCACTCAATACGTAGGCATGGCGTGAGGCACATACCTGCGAGTTCTGCGATGAAAAGGCACAGGCCAATGCCGACCGGGGCGAGGAAGGTGCCCTTGTGCTTCTCGGCAGCCAGCATGAAGATGGTGAAAATGAGCTGGGCAGTGAGAAACATCTCAATGAACAGGCCGCGGACGATTGACGTATCAGGGCCAAGAGTGGTGCGGACGTTGAGAGGCCCTGGGAAGAGACACGAGACGATGCCAGCAGCAGCAATGGCGCCAACCATCTGTGTGAGAATGATCAAGAAGCCCCTGATCCACCCAACGGCTCCGATCAGGCAGAGTCCGAGGGTGACCTTGAGGAGGGATCAGCAGCATACGGCGAAGTGGGGGAGAGCACTCACTGCAGGATTGAAGACCCCTCCCGAAATACGGAAGAAAACCCAGACGTTGACGGCAAGAGAAAAGCCAAAGGCCAGGCTGATGTAAAGGAGGACAGCCACATTCGGCTTCTGGCTGCTAGGAGGAGCAGTGTTGGCGACCTGAGTTGCAGCGAAGGCGAAAAACAGGAAGAGAAAGGTGCCAGTGAACTCGCCCAGCATGGCAATGATGTGGTTGCGCATGGCGGGCGGCAGCCAGCTGAGGCCGTGCACGCGGCGCGGCGGAGGGCGTTCGCTGGTCTTGACCCTCATGCCGGGCAATACGATAGGGTTGTCGGCAGGCCTGTTGATATTCATGGCGGCTGAGGTTCTGCGCAAGCAGAGGCCGGAGAGCTAGATAAAAGGCGTTGGATCCCACGAGAGACGCGTCCGTATTCCCAGACGGCAGACGCGAGCAGCGGTCGACTCAGGCGATAGGATGCACAGGGCTGAAAGAAAAATCGTAAAGGGAGGCGTAGGTGATTCACAGGTAGCAATGGCACAAGGAGCGTGGAGGGCAGAGCAGGGAGAGAGAGCGGCGTGGTGGATTAGCTATGTCTACGTGTCGACGCTGCGAGGCAGGTGCCATTGCGCAGGCGGGCAGGCAGGCGCGCGACGAGGAGTCGCTGCCGCGGGGAGTCGCGGTGGTGATAGTGTTCGGTGGTTGGGGGAGGGGCGCCGGAGCCAGGGCGGGGGCGGTCGAGCCCCCCGAAGGCTTGGCCCGACGTTCACGGGCGGGCGGGCGATCAGCTTCAGGCGCTCTGTGCCCCCGGCTCCCGGCTGCAAGCATGTGCGCGATGATGACATGGGAATGCGCAACGAGCGGCATTTTAGCTGTGGCGCGGCGCTTATTCGTGCAGTCATGTGCTGCTCTGTGTCGCATGCAGCGGCGGCGTGGGCTCAGCTGCGGCGGTGCGCGCTGCCCGACGCCCGCCTGCATCTGCTCTGCATCACCGCGACGCCAGACGCCAGCCTGCGAACCCCTGCCTTGTCTCGTCTCGTCGCGCCCTCGTCGCCTGCTGCTCAGTACCTCCCGCTCGGTGCTTCTCGTCACTGACCCACGTCGCCTACCGCGACGCCCCGCTCGGCCCTGCCCCGATTGACGAGCCGTTCGGCCCTTTCTCCGCTCCATAACACCTGAGATTCCCCAGATGCTCACCCGACACTAAGCTCCAGCTTCCACCCAGCGGTCCTGTATATCGCTGCGGCGGGCTAACGCCTGTCGCCACAACCACCCGCCCCCAATGCGCCCGCTCCGCCTGCTGCTGTCGCTGTCCTCGTGCGTCCTCGCCGTTACCCTCATCCTCTACATCGCCATACCCGCCCGCGACGCCCATGTTTCCTCGAGCCCGCCCAAGAAGAGCAAGCTGAGCGCTCTCTTCTCCCTCTCCGCCCCCGCTCTGTTCCCGCCTTCGGCCATCATCAGCTTGACCGACGACAACTCCACCTTCTTCCTCGCCAGACCTGCTGCGTTTGGCCCTCCGCTGCCGTCCAAGGGCCTCAGCGGTCAACTCTGGACCGGCAGCGGCTTTGGTGGTGACACCCTGACCCATGGTGGTCTCGCTGCAGGCGTCGACGGCGAGCTTGGCTGCAGTGACGTGCCAGGCTGGGACGAGAGGCGAGGCAGGCTAGCCTCCGTTTCGCACTTCGACAAGGCTTCGCGAACTGCCAAAGACGCAGACGGCTCCAGGCAGGATCGCCCCCGACGCGGCCTCTTTGGTGGGAAATCACGCTCCCAACCCGTCCCTAAGCTTGGAGCGAAGCCGCTCGACGATGACGGCACTGACGACCATTTCCACCGTGTTCTGACCCACAAATCCAACGCCCCGTCATCGGGCAAGGCTGTCTCCGAAACCAGCGACCACGCAGATATCCAGTCACTGCAAGAGAGCGCTGAGATCGCCGGCAAAGTTGTTTTGCTTCGCCGCGGCGGCTGCGGTTTCCTGGAGAAGGTCAAGTGGGCTCAGCGGAGAGGTGGGGTTGCCGTCATTGTGGGCGACGATATCCGTGGTGGCCCTCTGGTCACAATGTACGCGCGAGGCGACACTTCCAACATTACGATACCCGCTTTGTTCACTTCCCACACTACCGCTCATCTGCTATCTTCGCTCGTGCCCTCGGGAGGCCTTATTGAGAACTTACCTGCCGAGGATTCACTGAAGCTTGGTCTCGGGAAGGCAAGCAAGCCTTCAAAGAGTCCAGCCAGCGGCCCAACATTTACTTCCACTTCACCGGCTTTTCAGAAGACGGCAGGACGAATTGCATCCAAGAATCTCGCCAAAGACGCGCAATCCCCCAATGGAAAAGTTCGGAGTGGTGTGACCACGCGAGAGAAGCACGGCTGGATCCGCTCGCTTCTTGCCATCTTTGGCACTGGCTCACGGAAAGAGTCGACTGTGGAAGAAAGTAGAAGACCTCCTAGTAGTGGGAACATTGATTGGATCCTTGTGGAAGATTGGGAAGACGAAGCGCCGACAAAAGCGAAAACTGCAACTTCTGCCGTGCAGAAGACTGGCTCGACGTCCTTAGCCACACCTGCGGAGTCTGCTGACGATTTTGTCATTGGAGTGCAAGACTGGAGGGATCCCGACTTGCTCCCCCCAAAGACCGAGCTTTTGGCGAACGAGAATCCAAGTACGCAATCGACCGCAAAGCAGTCTTCTGGTGCCACATCCTTAGCTGGTGGCAATGTGCTTCCCGGAAGCGGAGAGTATGCCGAGCTTAGCTCTGCCAACGCAAAGTCTAAAGCTGCTTCTTCGGACAGGAATTCGGCGGCAAAGGAAAGGGAGCAGGACAAGCACGCCGGATGGTTTAGCAACATGCCATGGAATAAGCAGTCGGACGCAAAAGCAAAGGCTTCCATACAAGCATCTCCCGCATCGTCTGTCAAACCAAAAGTCAGCTTGAAGAGCACTCCAACATCCACAGAAATTGCCGCTCAGAGCAATCTCCCTGGCGCTCAACCTGGTTCTGACAGACATGAAGGTCTTTGGGTGACTCTGACGCCTACAAGCATGTCAAACAGTCCCTTTTTTGACACTTTGCTTGTGCTTGTTGTCAGCCCCTTGGTCACTCTGACAGTGGTGTATGCTCTCCTCCTCCTGAGGTCTCGGATCCGGCGGCGTCGCTGGCGGGCTCCGAAGTCCGTTGTTGAGAGACTACCAGTCCGCACATATCAGACGCTAAGTTCTGGCGATAGCTCGTCATCAACTAGCCCCATTGCTACACCCGCGGCAGGGAGCCCGCGGACACCACTGCTGCAATCATCGAGTTCGTCTCACGCCAATACTTCGCGAAGTCGGCCAAGGAGTAGAACGGCTGGTGACGCTACTTCGCACAGCGTCGGCCGCTCGGCCAGCCCTAAAGAAAAGGCTGAGACAGGTCTCGCAGCATGGCGCCGCAAGTATGGAGGTCGTCAAAAGGAGTGTGTCGTCTGCCTCGAAGAATATGTGGATGGTGTGAGCAGAGTAATGAGCCTTCCTTGTGGCCACGAGTTTCACGCAGAGTGCATGTGGGTTCTCAGGTCTCCTAATTCATCATCCAGATCAACACTGACATTAATAGAACTCCTTGGCTGACGACGCGGCGACGCACGTGCCCAATATGCAAGGGTGACGTCGTCCGCAACCTTGCATCCTCATCTCAACCTCATGCATCGAGTTCGTATTCTTCCCCAAGCTCACGCTCTCCCCCTCCCTTCCACGGCTCAGCACGTCCTACATTTGGCACGCGCCAACTATCCGATGACGAAGGAGACGACTTCCAAGACGAGACTGCGCAGACACGGAATGACTCCCCTTCCGCTGCACGCCCGATCAGCATTTCCAGCATGGAAAGCATTGGAGAACATGACCTTGAGGGCGGAGATCGTGATGCTCAAGACAGCGGCGTGATGTCATGGGCTCGGGATGGATTGCATGAGCTGCAGTCATGGGCCGGCAGTTTCTGGGGTAATCGCAACGGACGAGGAACAAGTGCGGAAAGATTTGGCGACGAAGAATTCGACCGGAGCCGATAAGTGTATGTCACGATTGCAGTATCTCTTGTTGCTCAAGACCAGGTACAGTCACGAAAGAGGAAGACGGCACAGGCGAAGTCATGATGGAACAGGGCAAAATGTAACAGTCCTGGCGGCTCTCTGCTCATATTTTTTTGGACATTTGTTTTGGCGTCCCATGTCTACATCGGAACGCATATCTACTGCCCCGCTTTCGTGCTCGAGCTGCAGCTTGAGAATTGGACGGGTTCGATGGCGGGATGCTTGGGTCTTCTTTCAGAGGCATCCCCTTTTTCGAGCTTTCCTTACCTTTGACGTTTTCTTGTTGAGTGCCTGCGTTGGATTTGTTTAGCATGGCGGCGGCTGGGAAATCTTATAGGCACTGAAACAGTGCGTTGTTCAAGAGTCTTATCCTATTCCCAGGGTCAGTTCGCCAAGTATCGCAATGCAACGGAGCGAGCCGAAGCTCTAGTTTAGAGGCATGTACCGAAGTCCCTGACAGGCGTTTCATATCTATATCTGCAATGCCCCTTTGTTACATTATTCCACGAGCAACCCTGCGAGTTCTTGGGGAAATCAGTGCGGCACTAGTTGAACCTATCACAGATCCATTGTCGGGCGGCTCGCTTGGTGAACGTCCGCAGCATGGTGACGGTCTAATGCAGCTGGCCAAACTCCAATCATCTACTGCCATGCTATCTAACGTGCAAAGCTGTACACTGAGACATACAGGTGAAAGTGTTATCGGCGTAGTTCCGGCTGCAGGGTCCTCGCTACCGGCACTCATTCACGAACCCTTTGCGGGTACAACTACCCTCTTCTGAGACCATCCAGCGCAAACTTCGACATCCACTGAAACACAGCTGTCCTACCTCGGCCGTAACAAAGCAACCTCAACTTCAACCTCACCCTCGCACATAGCCTCAGACAAGATGAACGGCTTTATCCCTCTCACGATGAGCCCCAGCGACAGTGCCACGGCCAAACTCTCCGGCACCTGTGGCTGCACTGCCGCCAGCGACATCCGAAGCAACAGTTACAACGGCAGCTCCGTCCAGAACAGCCACAGAGCTACCCAGACCATCAGCAATGGCACCAGCAACCACAGCGCCACGCAGACCAACGGCCACATCTCGGACATGGTGTCCCGCTTCCACTCAAGCGCCCTGGCCGCCACCGAGCCCATCGCGGACAACAGCCACGTCAGTTCCGGGGGCATGCGTGGTCTCTGGACCAAGCCGATCACGGTCGAGAGCCTGACCGCCGAGCTCGAAGAGGAGAGGCGCAAGCACCGTGAGGCAGAGCAGACGGTCCGAGGACTTTGGGAGGAGCTCATCGAGAGCAAGGTGGAGGCCAGCCAAGCGAAGAAGGAGCTGTTCAAGGCGCAGATGGCCCTGTCAGACTACGAGAAGAAGGACTCGGCGAGTCAAGAGGATGCTTGATGGGCTAGGTGCCTGCGCTCTCGCGGGATGGTGGGAGCTGGGCGTATACTATGAAGGATGGTTTCGGTATTAAATGATGAGGGATATGACTTCTTTACGGCATTTGGGCGTCAAGGGCTGGACGGCATGATACCACGATAGATTGCTACTGCAGTTTCCACCCCTGGAGATGCGATCAAGTTTTCTCGGGACTAGCGTGTATTGTTTTTCGCCCATGTTATGGGTATTTTAAATCATCGTCTGGACGTGAATGTAAATTGACAATTCCACACCTACATCCGCATAGCCGCCTACAAACGTGTTCATATCGCGGTGTGAAGCAAGCATTGCCTCAGACTCTGCAGCCACCCATCCACCGTTTGCTTCCCATCAGAAGTGCTGCAATCGATGGGGAAGGCGCACGGGGAGAAGTGACTGCCTTTCTGGGCCGCCACACTTGCACCTGTCTTGGCGGCAACTCCTCGCACCGTTCATATACCCAACCTTATCAACTAATTTGGCCCTTCTACGATCCTGCATCACCCTCGCAATGACTCGCAGTGACGCAGGAAGCGCACATCGCAGGCAGCGTGCGACACCGTTGCAGCGTCATCAGCAGCACGACCGCCGCCAGCGCACCTCTCTATCATCTGCCCTACCTTACAGGCCCGCTCCACGTGTTGCCGACACGATGCGTCCGTCTTCCGCTCTCGCCCGCCGCTCACCCGAGCGCAATGTCTCCTCTGAGCGGCGCCGCGACGACGGTCGAATCCAAGAGCACGGAGGCCGTCGCGAGCTTTTCGATGACCGCGGCCAACGCCTCTACAAGCAAGAGCCCGGTGAGCAAGATCTGCCGCGCAGCAGCTTCCTTCAGCAGCAGCAGCAGCAGTCGCAGCAGAACCCGCAGGCCCGCGCTCACCAGCTGGCGGGCTATGAGCGGGAGCGGCGCCGTGAAGACGAGCGGCGCCTCTCTACCGGTCCTCGCGAGCTCATCTCCACGCGCAAGAATATCCCGATGCAACTCGCTGGATCGACTGAGCAACTGACGCGCGCATTCATCCACGAGGAGAATCGTGCTGTTGAGTTGACTCGCCTCAACGCCGTCGTCGTGCAGCGTAACAACACCATTGCTGAGGCTAACCGCCAGATCGAGCGTCAGGAGGAGGAGATAGCCCGTCTCAAGTCGACTATCGCTGGCCGCCTCGATAGGCCCATCTCATTTGAGCGCCGGAACGCGTTGGCGCAGAAGAACGAGGAGCTGGAGAAGATGCATCAGGCATTGGGAAGTAGGACTGAAATGGCGGTTGCACTGCACGACATCTGCAGCCGCCAGCAGGAATTCCTCCGCTCAATCGGCGGTGGTATCTACGCCGCCGATGATGGACGGAGGATGCAGTTCAATGCGTGGATCAATGGCAGCGAGCTCTACTTGGCCCACGTGAAGAGTCAAGTTGCCTTCGAGACGAACTGGGAGGATACGCTACGGAGGGCCAATGCAGTAGCTATCAAAGAGATCGAAAAGGCTGCCAAAATTATTGCTCAGCAAGCTCTTCAGCACGTAGCTCAGCCGAGTGGCCTCCAGGCTGTCCATCAGTCCGGCACCCAGCATACGCAGCATGAAGTCCAGCAGGCAGTCGAGCAGCTTATCCAGGAGACTACCGAGGATATTGACAGAAAGTCAAAGGGCTCGGGTTCTCTTGGATGAAGGCGCTCATGAATTTGCACAAGCAGTGCACCTCCGCAGTGCCATGACTAGAGGTCTGCGAGCCTGGATTTGGATCGAGAACCATTCGAAAAGATCACAATGGAGGTAAGCACTCATTGAAGATAACTTTTTTGCTCATACTAATTCGGCATATAGTGTCACTGCAAGAAGGTTATTAGCAAGGAAGAAAAGCCTCCGGAGGTTGTGAGTCTCTTTTATGAGTAGCTAAGAGATAAAGATGATAATGCAACAACTTCCTACTCATCCATTCTGCGATGATTTCAGAATAGTGCCTGCCAATATCTCCCACGACGTGAATCTACGAAGACTGTGTGATGAAAGCTCTATTCCCCGAAGAGTTAGTTTCTGGCATGGGTTGAAACAGTCTTGTTTCACTTCTGAGCATTTTCAGAACCCGAACAGGCAGGGACCGTCCTTTCCTTTCACAATGTCTTAATCGCATTCAGGGTTTTCAACTGCGCATAAACAAAAGACTCAAACATCTGCTGTTCCTACAAATCTGCCTCTCACTCTACATCACAACCAAGGTAGGAGGCACAATACCACAACGGCCGACTGCTCCTTCATTCTTTCCTGGCTTCAGGAAGATGGATTCTGTACCTCTAGCGACCGTTGCCAGTGTGAAACAAGGTGAGCCTACAGCCATGAATCTTCTTTCCATCAGCTAAGCCTCTGACAGTATTCTTTCCAGATATCACTGGCGAGAAGAACCTCACAGACAAACCGATCAAACGCAGTCTGGACTTTGGCACCGCTAAAAAGCGAAAGGTATGCCGACTTCTTTGGGTTCGCGTAGACAGTGATGCTCACTTCTATCCAGGCTTCTGTTGACAGTGAGGGTCTCCTCGCATACATTCGACAGAACGAGAAGAAGTGCGTAGAATCCGAAAAGCGAATCAACAAGGAACGCATAGAGAATTGGAAGCAGAAGGCAGTTGCGAGCTTCCAGGAGAATGTGCAGCTGAGCCTTGAGATTGCCCACCTACGCAGCAAGAACAAAGATCTGGAGACGAGCAACAACGAACTGAAGAACAATACTGGTGCGGACGATGTACTGAAGAGGGAGATGCAAACCGACCTGTTTGTGCTCCACAAAGTCTCTTCTGAGCTTATGGAGCTCTCAGCCATATCTCCTCCCACGTGCTTGAAAGACAATGGGAGGGCTGAGCAGTGGAAGGAACTTATGGGAAGGAACGAGGCAATTCTGCTGCGAATCAAGGACAAGCTCTCGCCAAACTTGCCCAAGGGGCTGTCCTGGGAGAATGTGGTCGCGTATGTTATGGAATCTCATATAAAAGACTCAGAGGAGGAGTCCACAGGTTCGGAATGAGGGAAAGCTGAAGCTTCAGGCAGTGCGAGAGTGACTGCGTTTCTGGGTATTGTTGGATTCACACGACCCTGCACAAAATTTACAGAATCAGGCGTTGGAAAAGAGCTCACCTTTCAAGCTCTTTCTTGCTACCCGCCATCACCACTGCCAGGGTCAGCTACAAAATGAGCTTTACGGTCTACTCATGGTTCAAATTAAGTGAGCAGCTAAACATGAGCAGCTGAAGGCACTGCTCCATGCCTAAGTAGACTTAAAAAAAGATTCTTGAGTTTGCATGTGACTAATATTTTTCTTTCTGGTGCCATGGGCAAGGTTACTGTTTGAATCATGACGGCGTCGTTCAATCGGGTCTCAATTTCGCAGCCGAAGGCATGAGTTGCGGAAAGGACCTCGGTGATTATGGATTGAACCCTAGAAGATACAAGGGGCCAGCGTTGCTGAAAGGACTTGGTTGTCCAGTTTGAAGTTCGTTGCGCCGGGGAAGGGATGCTGTACCATGGTATGAGAGTCTCTACTAGTCATACCGGGCCAACCGTCGTTAGGCAGGTATTGACCATTTGACTGCACACATCTGACTGCACTGCATAGTATCAAGCCTATAAGATAAGCGATTCAGCCCCGTTTTTTCTTGTTTCCAGTACCAAACCCAGCTCGATTTTGAATCTCGCAGATGAGCAGCCCCTCTTTAGCAATGTCTCACGAAATGGAACACATCACTCTCGAAAACCTTGTCCGCCAGGCAGTGAGTTCCGAACTCGCACGCCTCAAGTTCGAGGCCACACCAGTTGCGACGAAATTGAACAAAAGCTGTCCCCAATGTGGCAGTGGCCTGGGTGGCCAGTCGGAATCCTCTACAAACGACCTTATGGCCGATATGCGGCGCGACATCAAGTTCATCTCGGAACGACTTTCAGCCATCATGACGAAGGAAACAGCCGGAGCCGATCGAATTACGACATCTAATGAGGATAAGCCCATGGTCGCCACTTCCGAACCTCTGCGTCGCGTTCCCACTAGTTGTTCGTCAGCAGGGTCGTCAGGAAGTGGTCATGAACTTGGTGGAGCCGGACAGTACCAAGCCAACCAGCTTAATGCTTCCGATGGTGTCGAGGAATCGCCTCATTTTGATGAGTACGACCAATCTTGGTAGATGGGCGGAGAGCAACCTGGTACTTGAAACAGTTGAGCACGTGTGTGTTATAGGATTTCTCAAGCGGGCAGTCACTTATTCCTATTTGTTCATATCGCCGTGTTCAAATGAAAATTGATTGAGACTCCTGAAAACCCCCTCATGAAGGGTTGGTATGCCGAGACTTTTCCCAGTTCCCACAACGCCGACGCGCCAAAGCCATGCAGAAAACAAGGTGATCTCCTGACGCGTTTACGCCTTTGACTTCCTCTTACCCTTTGCCTTCTTCTTTGGTGCCTGTGTTTCCTCCCTTTTTGGGATGGGCCCCTTCAGTAGCGCCTCGAATGCACCCTTGTGGCCGAGTGGAACGTGGCTGGACTTCTGTCTCCGTGTGCTACGGGTCTCGTTGACTTCCCCATCCTCCCCGCTCACATTCTCTTCTTGTTCCGCAGCTTGTTCCTCGGTCTTCTTTTGCTTGCCATGCTTCTTTCCTTTCGGCTTCTTATCCTCAGCTTCCCACAATTCGGCAGCCTTGGCGCGCTTGCTCTTCCGCGGCGGCTGCTGCTCTGGCTCCTGTTCTTCCTCCGACTCGGAACTCGAGGATTCGGACGATTCCTTGCTCTCTTCAGCCTTACGTTTCTTGGACAGCTGCTCGAACTTGAGCTGAGCAATGGCTCGCTCCTTGGCCTGGCGCAGGGCGCGCTCCTTGTCGTACTGGTCGTTGCCGGCGAGGCCGGCTTTGATAAATCTGTTGGCAGCAGCCTTGTCGAGAGACTGGTTGGGCTTGACGGGCGCCTCCTCGACCTGCTTGATCTTCTGGAAGTATTGGCGCACACGGGTGAGCTCGGTGAAGACGGCGTGTTCCTTGGCCTTGACGCCATTCAGGTTCAAGTACGCTACAATGCGCCATTAGCGAAGGGAGGGCGGACGGAATGCAAGCACAACATACAGAAGAGTATGGACTCTATGGCATAGGTGACAAGGGTGTACAGCTTTGCTTTGTCGAGCAGCGGCAGTTTGCTAGCGTGGCTTGAAAGGGCGCTCTGGAGCAGCGGGCCCAGAGAATCCTCCAGATCATCGATGTTGTCGGCCAAAGCCTCGACTTGCGGCAGTAAGCTGGGAGTATCCATGGTGGGAGGTGCTGGTGTAGAATGTTGAAGTCGCGCGTTTAACTTTCGAGATGGAATGCGCCGGGGCCGGGAAAAGCTGCAGCCGGCCAAGGCGGTGAGAAAGGCGGCCGCCACTTTTCCTTGACCTCGACGGAGTTAAGCTTGACGACATCACGCATTTGCTCCTCTGTTGATGCTTTCCCGTTGACCATCACCGCCTTCAACCTGTCTCACTTCGCTCGCACACATCCGCTCCCGCGGCTGCGGCCAAGAATACCATGCCGCGCTACAGCATGCCCCGCAGGTAGCAGAGCTGCCGGCCGGGTGGCCCTCCTCTCCCCTTCGACCCTTCTCCGGAAAATCAGGCTCGCTCCCCGATGTGTTGCTATGGACCCGCATGCTCGACATTTCAGCCAAACTTCCCAGCTGGAGTCCGAAGCCCACGCTGCGCCGCGTACTCCACGTCGTATCTATATCCTCGGCACCGGCAGCATCGGCAAGCTAATCGCCCACTCACTCAGCTCCCTGCCGGACCCTCCTCCTATTACACTTCTGTTGCATAAGCCCTCGCTCATGCAAGAGTGGCGCGCTGCCGGCCAATGCATCCAGCTCACGACTGACGGCGTACCCGACACAGTGGGAGGCTTTGACGTTGAGCTTGCCATGCCAAACCGTCGTGAGCACGGCAAGGAGATCGAGTTCGAAGATGATCCTAAGCGCACATTCATCCCAAAATTGGAGTCCTCGCCCAGAGTCACTCCTGATGGAACCACTGCTTCCCGCGGTGTCGGGGCCGACTCGACAGACCCCATCACTAATTTGATCGTCACCACCAAGGCCCCCTCAACTGTTTCCGCCATCTCAGCTGTCAAGCATCGCCTGTCATCCTCGTCGACCATCTGCTTCTTGCAAAACGGCATGGGTGTCATTGATGAGGTCAACAGAGACCTGTTTCCCGACGAATCCACTCGCCCCAACTACATGCAAGGTATCATCAGCCACGGTGTGCATTCATCTTCTCCTTTCTCTGCTACCCACGCTGGTATGGGCACAATACAAGTGGGCATACTGCCAAGAGGCCCTCTTGGCCCTCCTCGTGACGACCCCAACAATGAGCAGGAGCGCAGTGTATGGGCATCGTCCTCGCGTTACCTGCTCCGCACGCTTATCCGCAGTCCTGCCCTCTGCGCCGTTGGTCTGGCTCCCGCCGATTTGCTCTCCGCACAGCTGGAGAAGCTGGCCGTCAACTGCTTGGTCAATCCCATGACGGCGCTACTGGATGTCCGCAACGGGGTGCTACTCTACAATTTCCACTTCACCCGCGTCATGCGCCTCCTGCTCTCCGAGATCAGCCTGGTCATCCGTTCTCTGCCAGAGCTTCAGGGTATGCCCAACTTGGACACCCGTTTTGCACCATCGCGCTTGGAGACCCTGGCCGTGTCTGTCGCTAATACTACCGCTGAGAACATAAGCAGCATGCTGGCCGATACCCGCCGCGGATTGCAGACCGAGGTCGACTACATCAACGGGTACATCGTCAGGCGAGGTGAAGAAGTGGGCGTTCGCTGCGTCATGAACTATATGCTTGCGTGCCTGGTAAATGGCAAGCAGAATGTTGTGCATCGGGAGATCGACGAGGACATCACCATCCTTGGCAAGGATGATCCCATCGGCTTTTCGATTGGCGAAGGCAGCGGGAAGAGAAAGTAGGTGGCACGCGAAGGGACATGTTTGTCTTTGTTTATGCCCAAATTTTGGATCAGATAGTCGTGAAAGTAAGTTTTGTTGCTGTGCAATTGCTCGTCAGTGAAGACAAGTGAACATGCGCGCCAAGAATCCCAAAGTATACCTCAATAGCCAACGCCACATCCTCACCGGACAAACAACCTGGGCCAGACTGTCTATTGAAAGTCCAACCATGATTATTCGCTGAAAGCCTCCTTGTCCACCACTACGTGGAGTCATTACCAGATCCATGCATCAATAGGCACAGCGCTCCCGGCTATATAACGATAGAGGTGCCGCCATCCTCAGTCCTCTTTCTCACCACCAAAACAATCTTTGAGTTCACTCGCAACTTATCCACACTCATTCTTTAACCAACCATCCAAAACTTTCACAATGGGCACTATCGTTCCAGGAAGAAATGGCTCCCCCCTGAATGTGCCTTGGCCCGCTTTCAGGTCCTGCGTCGTCATGTAAATCCCCGAACCGGGTACGCATCGATCCAGCCTTCAACGCCATTCCACTCTACGACAGGCAACAATATGTTAGAGGGGTCCAGATGGAATATAGAAGCCAGGAGAGGAAGGCGGAGGTAAAAGGACAAAAGAAACGCCCCTCGAGCTCGGGTGACCTCCGCTTTACTGTACTATAGGTTGCGTTTTGTTTCTTCTATCTTCGCAGGCAACATAGCGGTTTTTACTTTTGAATATCGCTAGCGTCTGAAGAAGCCTACTTTTACATAAAAAAAAAGGTCACCACCCAAGATCCGTCATGCTTTTCATCTCGAAAAAGTGAATCAGGTCAAAATTAATAACATAACAGAAGACGATAGGCTGATTTGAGTGCACCACCAGGTTCGGCAACTTGCACCGTGCTCGAGATTCTTATAATTCATGCAGTGAGGTCTGACATATTAAAACTCTAAGCAGCCCAAGGAGCCGACCGGCCCGCCTTTTGCAGACGCTGCTTTTCCTTCAACCCGAGCATCACTTAAACAACAGAAAAAGAAAATAAAAGCCCAAAACCAAGCCATTAATTTCGACAGGACCCGGTCCCTTTCCTACTAGATATTCGTTATCGTACAAGTGTGCGTTACGCAAAACAAAGACATCCTCTTTACCCGCTTGACTTTTCTCAACCCTCTTTTGGACAGCAAACGTGCATCCAAAGCAGTCGAGTCTATACAAAAAAAAGCCAGATAAAGCCGCTGAAACCAACACGAGTCCAAGCCCAAGGCCCCGAGACCCCAGACCCAATCCAACAATGAGGAATTCCATACCACGTCTTCGAAACCACCGTCTATCCGCAGGCGCTGTCCCTGAACCTGATTATCCCTTCTTCCCTCCCATTCCTTCAATGCATCAAGGCGTGAAAAACAAAAAAAAAAAACATCCGTCCTGCTTCACTTTCCGCAAGGACTTCCCGTTCCCTTCCTGACCATGACATGTGTGACGTCTGCGATATCCTTCCTTCCGTGATAAAGAATTCTCCACGAGCAATGCGGGTGCGTCTCGATGACAGACAAAAAAAAAAGAAAAAGAGACGTTTGCCCGCATTACTCGCATGCATTAAAATTGCCTACTCGTGATGAAACTGTTTGCGCGAAGAGAAAAAGATGAAGTAACTGTCTCCAGGGAGCTCCTGCAGAGCAGCTTGTAGGTTCCATTGCGCGAATGAAGGTTCAAAGCCCGGTCCGAATTGAAGATGCAAGTATGTATCGTATGCGCGCATTACAAGGTCCGTATGGTGGATACTGATGGCCAAAGAAGTAAAAGATATCCTGTGCAGAAGAGACCGGGCATGCAGGAGTAAAAAGACAATGTGCGTTCGTAAAGACTTTTGGTCTATTCGTCGGTTCGTGTTGCGTTTGGGTATGACGAATCGAGAGTGCGAGTGCACTGAGGAGCAAATGCAGCACAAGCAGGACGCGCGACGAAGGCAACGACATACGACGGAACGCGCAGGAATCGTCAAAAACGCACTAAAACATGCCCATGGCAAGGAAAGCTGCCGAGCGTGCCATGAGACTAATGTTCGTGGGAAGTTGCTGTCAGCCAAGATGGTGGATCGCGTGCGGACAAAAGAAGAAATTTCTTCTCTCACTCAAAGCTGCCTGGCATCAGCGAAGCCCGATTATCGGATTCCTGGGTGGCAACCGATTTCTTCTCGTCGTCGTCGTCGGCCTTAGCTTCTGGTCTTGCCGTTTTCTCCGACTCGATCTCCGGCGTCTCGGCCGGCTGCGTCTCGGGTTCCGCTCGCTTGTCATCAGCGTCCTTGTCAGCTTCGGTCTCGCCCTCGTGCGCCTCGAGTGACTTCCGCATTCCGCTTTGTAATTGCTTCGCAGCTTCCTTCTCAATCCTTCGCTCATCATCCGAATCGAGGGCAACAGCAGAATCTTGCTTCTGCTCCAGATGAGCATCGCTGTCTGTAGTCGTTACGATCGGCCTCCCAGTGTCGATGCTGCTCTCCTGCTCCGAGGAATCCAGAGGCTCTTGCGCTTCACCCTGTAATTCCTGAGTCGTATTGTTCTCCGTGTCCGGGAGCTGATCGGCCGCGCCCTTGTCGTCGTGATTGAGTTTTAACTCGCTTTCAACACTTTTCCTCGGGTCGGCTGCCCCACTACGTCGTTTCTCCGCCATGGCACCTCTGGGGCTATGATTCAGATGGATGTAAGCGGGGACAACTCCGCCGCCAACACGAGCCCAGAACATGCGCTCGCGAAGCCGGACACTTTCTTCCCACGCGCTTTTCTCCTCATCTCCGTTCTCGGCGCGCCAATGTCCGTCCCGACACAGACGCAAGAAACTGATATAGTCGCAGCAGCTCCGAACTCGACCGAGGCAGAAGTCGCACAGCGGGTACCGTTGTGCGTCCTTTTCGTCAGAGGTTCTAAACCGGTGCTTTCGCGCATAGGGGTCGGTTCCATCCTTGTTCATGACTTTTGACACTCGGTTTTCGCCGCAAAGGCTGCAAGCAAAAACAGGCCCGCGGTATCTGGCGTATGGAGGCTGTGGTTCAATGGTCAACGATCCAGCGGTCATGCTGTTGAGAACAGTTCGGCGGGCCAGCCAAGAAAGACCAGGGGCGTTGTCCAAGCGAAGAGTGGGTTCAATGTCCTCCGTTAGGGCTCGCTTGTAGAATTTGATCTCCTTCAGGGCAGGGAGGACGGCACCAGTTTCCTTGTTCACAGAATTGACCGATTTCGGCAGAGAGGTTTCAGAGCTGTTCGTGGGCTGCAGGCTAAGACTGGCAGTCGAAATGTTGGCGATCGATCCGAGACCCATGACGTTCAAGCCTCCGTAGTTTCCGCTCGTGGTGCGAGAAGTCGGCAGAGAAGTGTGTGTTTTGGCAGTCCTTAACAGCTCCTGGAATTCGCTGTATGCTTCCACGTCGGTGCGCAAAACCGGGCTAATCAAGTGAGTGAAGTGCAATGGGTGAGCAGGCTCAACATCTTCATCATGTGGCGTATTCGGAGTAAGGCTTGCTCTATCGGAGGCACGGCTTGATCGGTCTGCAGGAACGGCAGCTGGCGTTGACGGCGCCGTCGAGTTGTGCGTATTCGTCGTGGCGGTCGTCTCTTTGTCGTCATTCTCAGCGGTCATGGCCGCCATGACTTCTTTAAGGTCCCGAAGCTGTTCCTGATGTGAGGCAAGTAGAAGCTCGGCGTCTTTTAGCTGAGTTTTATACTGCTCGACTCTTCGCTCGGACGCTTCCGTTTCTTTCCTTGCTGCAGCAACCATCTGTAGGGTGTCAGTGCATTCGAACATGTGCCAGGTTGGTCGCTGCACAACATACCGTGTTGGCCTCTTGGAAGAGAGCAGTAGTGAGGGCCTCGAGTTCGTTCTCAATCCTCTTCTTTTCTTGATCAGCGGCAAACCGAGCCTTCTTCTCTTCCAATAGCTGCTTCCGCAAAGTCATCTCTAGGTTGTCGTAGTCCTCCTTCTTCACCATACGCTGCATGACGCGCGCGTGTTCTTGTGCATCGGTTTCCAATTGCCCAATCCGCCGGCGTGCCATGTCCAGTTCGGCGCGAGCCTGTTGCAAGTTGTCGTCCAGGTTCGTTTGGTGGTTGATGGCGTTAATCAGCTTCGTGCTGAGCGTGGCAACCTCGTCGTTGAGATCCGGGTGGCGCGGCGTCTCCGGGCGTTCTGCACTCGAGCCTGGTCTGTTGTTCGGACTGGGCGTGCGTGGGTCGGGAATCGTGTTGAGCACGCCGGACTCGGGGCGGCCCAGCATGGAACGCACAGGTCCGGGAGAGACATTGCGCGGCAGGGCAGAGGTCGAGGTGGACTTGGTGAGGGCCTTCATGGTGGACGTCGTCTTGTTGGTCGGCGTGACAGGGCGGCGCTGCGACGACAGTCGGGAAGACGGTGTTAGGCCGCCACCGCCATGGCCCCAGCCCCCGACCGTAAAGAAAAATGAACTGTGTCTCGTACGGTCAGTAGTGCAATGGCGGTCCCATGGCTGCATGCTTCCGGGACGGGACGCTGCAGGGCGAGGCTGAACTTACTCAGCCAGCTTGAACGACGGGTGATCGGCTCAGGAACAAGGAAAGCGCGAGGCCCGTGGGCAAAGGAGTGACAGAGAGCGGAGATAGGAGCGTCGGCGGTCGGGTGCAGCCGGTCTACTCGGGCATGGGCATCGCGCAGGCGGGTGGGTGTCTAGGGTGAGGAGAGCGGCAGGCAGAGCGCGTGGAGGGAGGAGAGCGGGAGGCGGGAGGGCGAGCAGACGGGGAGGCGTGAGATGAGCGATGATGTATCCCGGCGTGCGAGCAGCTTGGTTGCGGCGGCTCCTTGGGCCGCCTAGAGTCAAAGCGCCGCTGGGAGGCCTCGCCCTCGCCAATCGTATTCGACAAGCGCCGCCCAACAGCGCTGCGCCTTGCACCGCGGGGCCCGCTATTTTGCCTGCATAGCATGCCCACGCGTGGAGACGGAATGCACCTGCGTCCGCAGAGCTCAGCTCCGGCCGCCCATCTATCTGCTCTCTTATTTTTGGCGTGCCTCGGCGCCCGCCCCCTCACGCTCGCAGGCGGGGGATGACCAGCCATCTGCACGCGGAATGCCGCAGCCGGCGCTTCCCGTGGTCAGCGGCAGCCAAGCGCACTGCTCGTGACTCTACCTTTTTGCGCATGCCTATACGGGCAGGAGACGCCCTGCACGCCTCGCAACGATTGGCATATCGCGTGCGCGCTGAGGCGGGTACCCACCGCACCCTAGGCCGTCGCTGCTGCCGGAGTTCCCGTGGCGTGTTGCGACGCAGCGCAATTGAGCCAGCCAGCCAGCCAGCGCGCGACGCGCAGCCAGGGCACGCGCGGTTGTGCGATTTTGCTCGCGTGGCCCGCCGTAGGAGCACCTAGCGCTGGCCCCCGCCGCGCACCCTCGCCAGTCCTGCCGTTGTGTGCACCATAACGCAACCTCGCGCCCCGCCAACACCATCCGCACCGCCCGCAGATTGCAATGTCTGACGCAGATCTCGAAGAGGTGCCGCCCCGGCCCACGGCGCGCCCGCCTGAAACCGCGCGCTGACCGCCCGCAGATTCGCAAGGCCCGTCTGGCCCAGCTCCGCCAGCAGAGCGCCGGCGCCCAAGCCGGCAGTGGCGGAGAGGGCTCGCAGGAAGACTCGCAACGGTACGCTCCGCCGCCGCCCCCTGGCCCCGCCGCGACCCCAAGACGCGTCGAGGCCCCGTCCTAACCACCACCCCAGTGTTCGCGAAGCCGAGGCCCGCCAGGCCATTCTCTCCCAGATCCTCCTCCCCGAGGCCGCCGACCGTCTGGGCCGTATCCGCATGGTCAAGGAATCGCGCGCCACCGACATCGAGAACCGCCTCATCATGCTGGCCCGGTCTGGCCAGCTGCGCCAGAAGGTCACCGAGGACCAGCTGAAGGACATCCTGGGCGCCGTATCCGAGCAGGAGGAAAAGCAGCAGGAGAAAATCGTCGTGCAGAGACGCGGTGGGTGGGATGACGACGACGACGACCTGCTTGATTTGTAAGGCATCTACACGCGGACAAAATTTGAGGAATACCCTCTGTTGCATTGGGACGGCGTTGGGGTCACACTCAAGCTGTGGCTGTGGGGTAATTATGCCGGTGGTTCGTGGTCAACACTGTTCTTCCGAAACGTCCGGAATGAAAAGCGGTGCATCTTTGCTTGACATCACAGCGGATGAGCGACGCGTAGCAGGAAGCGAGATTGATCTTCATCTTCACGATTGATTGACATACGTATGTTCTCTGAGGAATGTTTTAGGCAACAGCAACACCCACCTCCGTGTTTATCACAGGGGTTGGTCGTGCGCTGTTGCGTGTCTTTTTCAGACAAACAGCTTTGAGTGCAGCCCCACGGGATGGTCTCGCGCCCTTATTGCCCAATGCCAGGATATGATCTACAATTCGCTCAGGGACGTTGCTGAAAATCAATCTCAAACAACGGCCTGACGAGCTGCCTCCCTAGCAGCCTTCTCCGCCTTTCTCCTTGCCTTCTCCTGCTGTCTGATATCCCTCAAATCCGGCGGCTTTTCAATGCCCAATTCTGTCCTCAGCTCATCCACGTCTTTCTCAAGACACTCCTCCCAGTAGACATTGATAACCTCTTTGGCCTTCAACCCGTTTTCAACCGCCCATGGCCCGTAGATGCTCCAAAACCTCTCCCTCTCCTTCTTCTTTAGAGTGAGAGCTGCCGTAATGCTCAGGCCAGTCATTGGCAAAAGCGTGTTCGCAAACTCAAAAGCTTTGAGCGCTACCTCGCCCTCCCTGAACACAGGGAGGCCGCAGAGAGCGTGGTAAAAATCGTGGCATTCGCGGTAGCGCTGCATGACGTACGCGCACTCCTCGTCGTCAATGTAGCGCACATGAGCGCGGGTGTCGGGGCTGACGCCCTCGCGGTCAAGCCAGCCGACATAGGTGCGACCGACAGAATTCTCAGGCAGCGTACGGAGCCATTCGACATTCAGAGACTTGGAGGTGATGCGCGGACGGTCCCGTAGGATGCGACGGCCCGTCGGATCGCGCAGCATGGCGTCGCGTAGGCGGTAGATGAAGTAGGGCTGGGCAGTAGCTTCGCCCAGGGCAGCAATGAGGTCGCCACGACGAGGATCGATGAGTGACCATACGGCGGAGCCGACGGCCAGGGCGCCGCGCTCGATCGTCGTCAGTGGCACATGGCCGGGGTAGTTCGGGGGAGGGCGGTTGAGCACGGAGAAACTGGCATGAGCGCAAAGCGGCAGTGCGCGCGGAAGCTGGGCGCAGGGAGAGGCTCGGAGTGCCCCGGAGAGCGGACGCTTCAATGTTGCTGCCATTGTCGCATTGTCGGGAGTTGGGAGAGAAAGCTCAGGTGGACAGAGCAGGGTGCAGCGTGAGACGTCTGATGATGGTGGCTCGATTTGGCGCGAGCTTTATCGATAGGTACGGAGCGTCCGAAGAAAAAAAAAGTGGCCGTCTCTGACCCGGGACGCTACCGGCAGCTGCCGCAGCGAGCGCCGGCAGTTTTGGCATTCCTTGGCTTTTCCATTGTCCCGAATCCTCTGCATTCTTCACTTTCGTGGTTCGGCAGCGGAAATGGATCAGCGGAAGTCCCCGTTGACTCAATAGCACCGCCGTCCTCAACACCATTCACTCGCCAACACCCTACTTACACAATGGCAGTAATCCCGTCGCCCGAGGCGGAACACGAGCGCTTCATCTCGTGGGCAAAAGATCAGCTTGGTGTCACTATCGACGGTGTCACGCCCGCCCGCCTGCCCGGAAGAGGTCTGGGCGTCCTCGCGACCAAGCCACTGAAACAGGGGGACCTGCTGGTCTCCGTCCCGGCCAAAGCGCTGTTGACGACCGAGACGAAGCACGTCAAAGATGTTGAGGTGCCAAAGGAAGCCACCGTCCATGCCCGCCTAGCCGCTTACCTGACCCTGATGGACGGGAGGGACGATGCGCCGCATCGGATCTGGCAGCCGGTGTGGCCGAAGAAGGAAGAATTCGAGTCAATCATGCCGATGAACTGGGAGGAACGTGAAAAGGAGCTACTCCCGGCCCATGCGAAGAGTAGGTCTATGCCTCTGTATTGGTTTTTCATGAGCTGTGTGACCCTTGCTGCTGCTGGCATTCCTCGGCTGTCGTGTTGATGCTCACCTTGACCAGGTCTCTTGGAGAAGCAGCAGGAGAAGTTCGAGAAAGATTGGCGGTCCCTCAAGGCGCACCTTCCGAGCAAGGACCTGTTCACCTACTATTGGCTGATTGTAAATACGAGAACCTTCTACTGGGACTATCCGACAACTACTCGCACGGGCAAGCAGCAGGTCAAAAGGCGCAAGCTCGCCCCCGACGATTGCATGGCGCTGTGCCCGTTCATGGAATACTTCAACCATGCCGACGAAGGAGTGAGTGAAAGCTTGCTCCGTGACCCCTTTATGGCGGCGTTGCTAAGGAATTCGAGTGCACGGTGGACCATGATATGAAAGGGTTCACCATTACCTGCAATCGCGAATATAGTGAGCATATTTACCGCTTCTACCCTCGTTCCGAAACGAGATGAACTAATTTCTGGGCAAGATCCCGGCGAGGAGGTCTTTCTCTCGTACGGTCCACATAGTAACGACTTTCTTCTCATTGAGTGTAAGCGCACCCGAGTCTCGTATTTGGTTGAAGCGATCGGTTCGCTGATAGACTCCAGACGGCTTCATTCTCGAATCCAATAAATGGGATGAGACCAAGCTTGATGATGTTATCCTTTCCAAGCTTTATCAGGACAAGAAAGATGCACTGGATGAATGTGGTTTCTTAGGGTAAGCCCTCAGTCCCTCAATAGGATTCCCAAAATTCGTTGTTGAGAAGCTTCAGGAACTACACCATTGATTCGTCCCAAATCTGCCATCGCACGCAAGTTGCGTTGCGGGCGCTGGTCCTTCCTGGAAAGACATGGCGCCGCTTCGCAGATGGCTTTGACGACGGTGAGCGTGAACGGGAGAGCGTTGATGAGCGTCTTATCCAGATCTTGAAGCAATACGAGCGCGAAATTGACACGGTGGATGATGATATTCAAAAGCTTCCCGCCTCCGACAGAAGGAATACTCTGGAAAAGCGCTGGGATCAGATACGTGACATTGTAGAGGGGCAGCTGAAGCGTTGATACGGAGGTGCAGGTTGAACTATACATAGGGATCCAAAGATTAACATGAATTTGCTTTTCGCTCACGCCACGGGTGATTGAAGCGGTCTTCCGGCCGTGAATGTATAATTGTTAATTCAACATTTACGTCCGGAGGATAGCTTCAACTACCCCCGCAAGTCGAATACCCGCCTTCGGGTAAACATACCGGTTCCCGGTCCGCATCCGCGGATGTGGGCGTGCCTGCCTCATCCAGCAGGACCGGATCCAGATCGGGATCTCGATCGGGGCCTGAGCCGACATCCGACTACAGCCGATATTGGCGATGCGCCGCCCGTGACTGAAGATGCTATAGAAGACTGCATATAATGCTGGGCTCGTTGGTAATTGTGCCAGCGAGTGTGTGAGGATTGCATTTGATGTTTTGCTCGAAAAGCATTAAGATGTCAACCGCTTAATGCTCCGACATTGTCGAGAGTCGAGGCTCTTAATTACAATCATGTACAGTAGCAAACATATCTTCATATGGCTCCTCGGCATTCTTTGACGGCATTATGAGGTGATTGAAAGTGCCCAAAGGCGAAAATCGTCGTGGTTGTGGTTAGAAAAACGAGTGCAGCTAGTGGTTCCATGTAGACCACCTCGGCATGTATCACTCATTATAAGGGTAAATTCACATGGTGATAAGTGGTAGCTATGGTTTTCGCGGCTTCCGCTTTCATTTCTGTGTAAATTTGGTGTGGTTTGCGTGGTAGATCGCCCAAAAAAGTCAAGTTCATATTTTAGCAACGCCACCCCCAAAATCATCAAATTAGCCACTCCAGATACAATTCTGGACTCCGCTTTCAACGGCTCAGTGGTCTAGTGGTATGATTCGCGCTTCGGGCTTGTATCCCACGCCTCTAAGAGGTGTCTGAGCTGCAATATGCTGATATGTGCGAGGTCCCGGGTTCGGTAAGCTCCCAAGTTCGATTCTTGCAGAATCATCAGTCCACTAACAGTCGAAATAGATCCCCGGCTGAGCCCCAATAACCCTTATCTTTTTGCTTTTTGTCTCGGCTTTCTGAGCTTACTATGTGTTGGGAAGTGACGAAGCGCAAACCCCTTTTTTTGCAAACCAGCCGTACGATTGTGCGTCGGCCGTTTCTCGGAACAGGGAACCGCGGAACGGGTAAGAAACGCAAAGAGTATTTACTAGGTTTTCGTAATCGTAAACATAATTTAAGAGCTTTTGCAAAAGTTTGACTTGAAGACCGAAGCGTTACTACCGCTCGGGCGCAGTAACGAAGAGTGATTGGGAGTAATATGGTTAGTATTATAATGAAATGCTTGCTGAGTATGCGCAAGTGTGACCAAGCTATCAGAAGCTTTATTATACCACCTTCTCAGGAGGTGTGAGGGACGTCGCTGTTGGTAAAGCAGGAGGACAGGTCGCCGTCACCTTTCATTAATACTAAAATAGAAACAACTAATCGGCATGTAGGCGCAATGATAGTACGACCTCCACAGTCATGCATCGGGTGTGCATGCAATGAGCGATGGGGCATTAGGACAGCTAGGAATGGCACTGCACAACGACACATCGAAGAGATTTACATTCCTTTTCACCCACTTTTGTAAGCGGTGCTCTCGTGTATGCGCATTCATATCTGTACACTGCTCTGTGTAATAAGTCGATTCTCTTATATTGCAACATTGACGGGTAGTTGAATTATCCATCTAGACATAGATGCACGACGTATATATAAACAAATGCATCTGGACAAGAGCTTCAACTACCCCGACTTTGTCGCAATACCAAATAAACCGGCCTAAGTGCCAACGTTCGGGACATGCGACAGTCTGGCTTCGCAGCCTCCGATGTGGAGCAGGAAGCCTCGGAATAATAAAGATGCTAGCAACTTCGAACGTGGTAAGTAAAATGAAGGCCTGGGGACGTTTTCTGATCGAATTGATTTATATTGTTATGATGTCATTGGGCGGGTGCGGTGAGTAAACTTCGGCGGTTGGCAGAAATTTGGACTTTCAAAACTTTTAGCGACAGCCACCAGCCAACTCCCCCATGTCTGAGGCTGCTCATCAGTGGGTTCCTCGTCGTCATCCCGAGTGCTCTAGACTTTTACCAGGTCGCATTATCCTGCTTCGTTATCTGTTGGTGAGCTGATTCAGTGCTGCACCGGCTTGATGGCCCAGCTCTTAATTAAAGAACAATTCGAGCACAAGAAGCTGTGCTATTTTCGCAGCTTCATACAGACACAGCAAAACCTCCGGGCAGCCTTGCAGTTTTCAACACCAAGGCAAACTCTCCCTCACCAAAAAGGGGAACGCGAAAGGCACAGACTGCGACTTGCCGATATTGTAAGCTTATAAAAGAAAGCATTGAAGAGAGAGAGAAAGAGCAAAAAAAAAAAAGAATTCATCAGGGTCTTGCCGCGGATCTGAGGAGCTGTTAGTCATTGATACTGGAATTTGGATTCGAACAGATGAACTTACCGAACGCGGGGCCTCTCGCAAGCTACTCAGGGTTCGCCCTAAGCGAGAATCATACCACTAGACCACAAGACCTGGTGCTATTCGTTGAACAGAGGGTGGCAAAATACCTATATGATGTGTGGGCAATGGAGGGCCGAGAAGGGCCGGCTTCGGCCTTCGATGAGGCCCGTGCGTGAGTTCTACGTAGGATAACCTTACTGGTATGTACTTTAGCGGAAATGGTGCTGGCGTAAAGTAATTGTTTGTGTATGTCAGGAAGAGCTGGAGGCTAGGTCAAGTCTATGCCCACGGTTCCAACACAAATTTCTCCCCACCTCCCACCGGACTACGTTGACAGCAGTGAACTAGTACAATGATTTGAGGACTCGTCAAGTTATCACTCGATGTCTTCCCATGATGATGAATATAGCTTTTCGAGTGTAATGTTGAAAGTAAAATTGCCTCTCCGTAAATTGAGGCCAAGTAGTTTCTACCATCATGGCTCGCGATTCGAGACAATATAGACAAATCGACTTGCTACTACAACAAGCTCCCCATAAGATTGTAAAAAAAAAAATTACAGACGAAGCAATATTCCGCTCTGAATTAAAATTTGGAACCGTAGTCTATGTTTTCTGGGCCGGATATGATTCCCACTTCTACATGTGTACTTAGAGCAGATATCTGGGCGTAGATGTTGAATTGAAAATGATAAAATACACTTGACACGTAAGTGCAATTTATTTTGCGAACTATTGTTGAGAATTCTATATCATTTTGTCAGGCTGTGTGTTGGCAAGAAGCGTTGTGGAACATATACGTACAATTCATGTCATAATACAAGTAAAGGGTAATAGAACCTGAATGTGCTAAATGCCACAAGACGTCGTGTATGTAAAAAAACATTTTCAAGTCATATATTACATCTACCCACCTAGACAATGATGGCAGTTCATTCACAAAGGTGCGTGAATGACGTGCTCGTCCACGCGTTCCCAGGAACACCACCGTCTGCCCTCTTCTTTTCACATTGCGGGACCGAGTGACAAGTGATGTTGCTGTGACGAGTCAACTGCGCTACACAAGGAACTACCATTATAAAAGTTGACCGAATGTTCTATTCCTCGACACAACTACATAAATACGGCTTCCTCCAGTCATACCCATTACTTCAATATCATGTCGAGTCCTGGCAACCAGCGGGCCGGAGACGCTACTCGCGACACCACTCTGCTTCCCAGTATCACCATCAACAGCTCAGAGAACGCTACTCCTCTCACTAACGGCACAACATTAAATTCGCCTGACGGCTCTGCTTTCACCACTACCGACAACTTCGATATTGTGGAAGAAGCCAGAAAATTTCTACGTGTCTGCTCAGACAACGAAGTCAACCAGGCACTGACCTACGAACAATGTAAAGCTGTATTCGACAATAACAGGGGGTTTGTTGAGGTCTGCTGTGCTTTTCATAAAATGGGCGTTGATTTCCCAACCAAGAAATTCGGTCATGGTACTTTTTGTAAACTCGCTCTCGCAGATCCGAAAGACAGACTACAGCAGTATCAAGATTATGATTGAGTTGAGTACTGAAAGTAGTTGAAGCGAATAGCCGGACGTAGAATGTAGATTTCTGAGTGTACATATACATCCAGACTGGGGATTCAGCTACCCCATGCAAAAGTAGACTTCAAATTCCTTAGTGAGACGGGTATAAGAAGTTCACATTCTTGTGAGAGGATGCAATGCTATTGATACTTCTATCCAAATCACTACAAAGATAGAACTATCACTCAATAAGCCCAGCTTTCAACCAACACGGAGCTATCAATCAGTAAGGGCGCAACCGACCACATCAAGAGATTTCCTCAACTGCCATGTCCGCATCGTAATAACTCGCGCACCTGTTTCTTACCACCTCCCTGTACTGTGACCTCCTCTCGCTGTCGCCTCGCCAGAGATACACATCCGGGCTCAACATCATGGACCCCGCTTGTCCGTCCTCATTACCGCCGCCGAACCTGCTTTTCCTGGCGGCGCTCTTGGGGGTGACGGGCGCTTGCCCCGCGTCTCCTATCATCTTGCTGACCTCTGGTCCAGGGGCCGGGGCAGGGCCCCGCTGCCTTGGCCTGCGGCGTCTGTGGGTCAGTGGACTGGCGGCAAAGTGTTGCTGGTCTGGCGGCTGCGACGGTGGTGACAGCATGATGCGAGGCTGTGGTGAAACCTGGGGACACGATGGTGATGGCAGCGCAAGTTTTGACGTGGACGGTTGGGGTGTGTCATCTCCACATGACGATGGAGATGACGAGCGCGGAGGCAGCAGAGGTGTGGTCGCGGGTGCGTGCTCAACGGCGCTGTCTCTCCGTTTTGGGCTTAGATGGAAGTCGCCGAGAGAAGCTGAAACGTCGCAATGGGTCGGTCGAACGTTCTCTAGCCATTCTTCTATGCGAGAGTCGGGTTCTATAGGAGAAGGTGGCGTCTTGAAAGTAGGCGCAAGGTCGGACTTGGTTGGTGGATAATGTTGGCGCGCGCGAAACAATGGAGACCACGTTGTAGGTGAAACACGGGGCCGGGATGAAATGGGTGAGGGAGAGCGATCCTCGCTCAGATATTGGCCAGGCCTCAAAGCGTCCCGGGGAACGAGCAAACGAGGGGGAGGCAGGGGAGTAAAGGTGGGTACATCGTGATCGCCTTCGTCATCCCAATCTTTGGCACGGAGAGGCAGGCGGCCTCTCGCAGGGCTGAAGAGCTTGGGGCTGTGGCCATGGCGAGCGGGACTGTTGCGGAACGTGTTTCGAAGCCGAGTTTGTGAGAAGTTGGGAGTGGAGGCTGCAAGGTTCGAAGCCGACGGTGACGTGTCGCGGCGTTCCTCCGGGCCGTTGGCGAGATAATTGTTGAACCGTCGGGAGTCGACGCCGGTGGATGACACCTCAAACTTCTCTGTTCGCCATCAGCAATCTGGTACGTGACCAGGGAGCGTAGGGCAGACCGAAAGTGTGGGCAGCCATTGCGTGTCAGTGGTTGATGTGAAAGTGAGGTTGCAATCAATGGGCGGAAGGTGGTGCATGCCATGGTGTCGAGGCAGAATGCACTTGGCAAATCCGGATAGCCAGGCCCGAACTACGTGGAAGGCACATGGCAGAATCAAGGTGGGTAGTTGAGGCCAACGTCCGGGCGTGTTTGTTCCATTTTGGCACTCACATTTACGTCCGGACGTTGGCTTCACCTCCCCACGTAGTGTCAAATATCTCAGGAGCGTGCATTGCATGCCATGCTACGCGTGAAACGAGGTGGTGAACCCCAAGGACTCGGCGGTGAGGCAGATGCAGACGCAGGCGTCAGGAACAGGAAGCAGAATCGGAGGCGATGTGCACAGGGGAGTACTGTGCTACGCGTACAGCAGCACACCCCTGCGGCGCCGAGGCAGACAGCGTGGAAGTCGTCGGGCAACATGGCCTGAAACAAGGTTCAGGCTGCACAAGAGCAGTGGTGACATAAAAGTAAGATACAGTAGCTGGTTGGGAGATTTGAGATTCGCGATGGCCGTGGACGGGTTGTCCTTGCTCGGGTTGAGGCTGCCAGTGCTCAGGCGAGAGTGAGGTGCTGCGGCCGGCGCAGCGGGCGTCTGCTGGCCGAGGCTGCAGCTTCCGCGAGCCGGAGGAAGATCTGTGGACCAGGGTCTGGCATTTGCCGTCATGCAGAAGGCTCGCTGGGAGCTTGTCCGGAGCGACCAGGCCCTTTAATGTCAGCCGTAAATAGATGGAGTCGTCAAATTGGCGAGGCCGTGCCTGGCGCCCCCCAGGCCACCCCTCAGCCTGCGCCGCGGATCGTGTTCGCGCGCCCACGGCTCCAACGGCCAACGCGCGCGACGGCAGTTGCTGCAGTGCGACTCGGGCGGTGCGTGGTGACACAACACGCTGCGGCGGCGGCGGTCGGCTCTGGCGGGGCACGGCTGGCGGGCGCGCTGCGACTGTGATCAATCTCAGACGCGGGCCAGGGGCGGCCGCGATTGGCCAGGCGGGCCGGCGCACGCGGGCACCTCTCGTGGGCTGCTCCGGGCATGGCTCTGTTTGTGGCCGTCGCACCATCCGCCCTCAGGCCAATCTCTTCACCAGCCCTCGCTTCTGCTCCAGCTTTCCTCGCCGCCTCGCCCGCGGCATGCCCAGCCCCATGTCCGCCAAAATCACGCCCTCCGCCCTGCTTCCGCGCTGACTCTACTCCTCTCCCCTCCGCCCTCAACCCGCGCCCGAACCGCCCGGGCCTGAGCTTGACGCTCGCCTTCTCTTCTTCTTCTTCAGTCTGTCGTTCACTTCTCTTTAGCCCTTAATTCCGCGAGCCGGATCCCCTTGGCCTCCTCCGCCGCCGCCGTCTTCACGCATGCCCGACTCTCCGACGCACGCCGTTTGATTCGCGACTGAGGAATTGACTGCGTGCTCCCGGCCCTGCGTACGTCCGTCTGCCTCTCCTCCTGGAACGCAATTTGTTGCATGCCCATCCCCAACCTACTGCGCCCGAGTGCCTGCGATCTTCCATTTACAATGTCACTGCGTCCGTATCTCTGACCACCACTCTCCGCCAGGGCTCTCATCTTACCGCCAATCCTCCCGGCAACTTCCTCGCCAATTGCGACGCCGCTCCGCATGCAATAATCTGACAAGCAGCCCTCGCCAATGAGCTACCCTCAGGCTCCCGGAGCCACCTATGATGGGTCCAGCGAAGGCCTCCACCGGAAGGGCTCCGTGAAAGCTGCAAGGGAACGTGCCCAGGCCGAGCAGGAGCACTACCTCCGTTCCGACTACTACGGCCAACCATCGCGCCCGCCGCTGCCAACGTCGCAGTACAATGTCCGTCCACCCACGCGCCCCCAGGCCAATCCTACCCCACCCTCAAGCTCCGGCCGGGAAATGTCGCCCTCTCCCGGCCCCAACTGGCCTCTGGCTGACGACAGCCACCCCGTCCAGGACAGCCCGTCGCGTCAAAAAGGCCCGCCGCCCCAGCGCCCCCCGCGCCCCTCTTACGTTCCCTCCATTCTAGATCCCACCAGGCCGGACCCTACTCTCCTCGCTCCACCAGCCCCGAAAACACCCAGGCGCAGGGAGCCTGAACCCGAACCACTCTCGCCCTCCGATTACGATGACCAGCTGCTCTCGCCCACCTCCTACTACCCCTCGCCCCGAGAGCATCGCCCGGTAACCACCTCTTCCATGGCCTCGGTCTCGTCGCTCGGCTCCATTCCCGACTTCCCTGTCCCGGTGCCAAACATGCCTCAATCACGGAAAAGCCCGAACCTTGGTCCCCCGCCCTCGGCCAGGAGAGGCCCTTCGTCCTACTACTCGCAGATGTCGTACGTTTCGCCCATTGTCGAGGAGGCCGAGTCCAACAGATCGCACAACTCTTTCGCTTCGAGCAACGTCATTCCCAACGCCGACGGCTTCTATTTCGACGAGGACGCAACTCCCTCCGAGGAGGACCTGCCCATGGCCAGTCCCTCAACCATCACTGGGAGCGATCGATCTTCACGGGTAACGGACGACGGGGATCAGGCTGGCCTTGTTAGACATGCCAGCCTTGGCAAGCGGGGGAAGCCGTCGTTGACGACAATTAAGAGCGTGGACAGCTTTGACAGGATAATAAGGAACAATGAAAAACAAAAGAAAAGCGCCGTGGGACAGGGCATCATGGCAGCTGGCGCTGCTGGTGGTGCATTTGCTGCTGGATACGGCAATTCCCGCGATCCCGGCCAACGGTCGTCTTCGAGGCCTGACAGCGAGGCCCTGAGTAGCGGTACCGGTCTTTTCCCGCCATCGGCATCAGGATCCTCGGAATCGGTGAATTCGGTTGGCTTGAAGAGGCCAATGAAGTCATCTCCTCTGGCCCGCTCCGAGGACAATAGCCCCGATTCTCCTGTTGACCCGAGGGTGGATCAGATTCTGGGTGGGCTGGAAAAAGGCGGTGCGCTTGGAGCAGGATATAGCAACCCGAAGAGGGGGATGTCGCTAGCCGACCGTGTCGGCACTCGGCGCCCGCCCCGTTTGAACGTCGATGCTGTTCGGGATGCCGAAGCTCGTGGAAGTCTCACCAGCCTGCCTGATCTGATCAGACGCGCTACTCGCCTCGCTTCGAATCTCGACCGCGGCAAGACCGCAAGTCGAATGGACATGGAAATGTGGGAGAAGGGCGGAAATGACAAAGCTTGGGAGGCTGGGCAGCGCCGAGCGTCCTCACTCTCCGACATTCTCACATCATTTCCTCATCCAGGCATCGGCACACCAACTGGCGAGAGGAATGGATCACGGCCCGTTTCCCGCTGGCCGTCTGGCCTTGGTCAGTACGAACAGCATCATGATCCGGACGCTGATCCCCAGGAGAAGAAGAAGCAAGGCAGACGATGCTGCGGCATGCCGCTCTGGTGCTTCATCATCCTCATGCTCATTCTTGTCCTGCTTATCGCCGCCGCCATTGTCGTCCCCGTTGTCTTGATTGTCCTCCCGAAGCAAAACAGTAGCGACGCCAGTTCGAGCGCCGATTCAGCTCTTGCTCAGTGCCAGCAAAACTACGCGTGCGAGAACGGAGGTAGCAGCGTCGTCAATCCGAGTGGCCACTGCAGCTGCATGTGTGTCAACGGTTTCACCGGCGATCGTTGCACTACGGAATCCGAGGAGGGCTGCACGACCACTACTATCGGAGGACGGAACGCCACGATTGGCTCTGCCATGCCGTCGCTCATCTCGACCGCCTCCGATTCCTTCCAGATCCCGCTCAGCGGAACCGAGCTTCTCTCCCTGTTTTCGTCCTCAAACCTTAGCTGCACAGCTGAAAACGCGCTTGTGACCTTCAACGGCGTTTCCACGAATAAGCGCTCCATCGATCTGCCTCCTCCCGCCCCCATGCCAGTGGTTGAGGTTGCATTGGAGAACAATGCCAAGCCTGCCAATGACGCGCCTTCAACTGCGTGTACCTCGTCCGTCCCGATTGTCACTCCTGCCCCTGAGCTGAAGTTCCTGGCCGCTCGCGATGAGTCTTCGTCTGGCACCGACGATGCCGCCACCAGATATGGCATCGTTTACGACTCTTCTCCGGCAAGCTCCAATGTGTACTACAGCTCATATTCCTCCACTGCCACTGGCTCCGCCGCTGCCTCGGCCACGTCATCAGCCCTTTCCGTCAGCAAAAAGCGACTGCAGTTCGCACGTATCGGGGTCCTTTTCGTATTCCAGGAAAGCAATGATTTGTCGAAAGCTGTCACGGCGCAGGAAAACCTCCAGACCTATTTCGAAGAATATGAAGAGGGTGACAAGGATGCAACGGCAGCCACTGCAGTCAGCTTGGGCAACGACTTTGCAATCGATCTCAGCCAGTGGCATATCACACTACCAAATGGTACGCATGTGGGGCATCTCGTTGAGTGAAAGCTGGTTTGAGATAGCTGTGACGATCTCAGATTTCATCTATTTCCTATGCAGCAAATCAGATATCAACTTCAACCATTGCACATCATCTATCAATCACCGACCTCCACAAAACCCACTCATCTCTATACCCGAAACTCTCATCTATCACTCACGCCTTATACCGCCAGCCCCGACCTCTTTTTATTTCTTTTAGTACTGTTAATTTGCCGCTTTCTCGCTGTTCACTAGAGCATTGGTCCCGGCGTCCACGATTCCGACACATCATAGCCCTCTGCTTTTGTACGTTTTTTTTTTCCTTACCTCTCCGCTTTGCTGCTGTGTGATAACGGCCAAGAAACGGCACACCACGAAAGTAATAGCTGGCATTTAATTGGCTACTGCAGCAGCCTTTTTCTCTTTTTTTCTTATTCGATTCTTTGTGGATTAGTGGGACACGGAAGAACTATACCCTTCTCTCATATCTCACTAGAGATATTACACTCTACTTACATGGGCAGTTGAAGCTAATGTCCGGATGCTTTTGTATAAATTTGAAACCTACATTTCCATCCGGGTATCTATGCTTCACCTGCCCATGCAAAAAGTGTTCTGTCTTTTGTAAGATATGAAAGGGCAAAGTATTTGCAATCCGTTGGAGGAAATCGGTTTGTGTGTGTGGGGTTGGGATTTGTTGTGATACCTCTCTGCGCTTTTTCTTTTTGGTCTTGATGATTGGTGGTCTTTTGTCTTTTAAATCGAAATGTCTCAACGACATTGCATGCGTTGTAGTCCACTGCCAGGCCTGTTGACTGGGCGTGGAGCAGTGGGAAACAAGTAGCTGGATCGGCATTAGCTTAGACATCATTGCTATCACAAGCTTTCTTTTCCCATGTTTGAAATCACGTTGTTTGGTGACGACCGTGAAGGACAGAGCCCTGGAACATCTTTTCTTTACGAGAGACCGAAACATACGTGGGCAGTTGAAGCTATCGTCCGGACGAGAATGGGCAATTATTGATTCCACATTTACATCCGGATGATAGCTCCACTTACCCATCTATGACAAGAGTAAAAAAAAAAAACCGTTGAACAATGCAAATGAATTGAATTGAACACTGCTGATTCTCATAATACAGTAGTAAAACTACCTGTTCATATACACCAATTTCTTGGAAATAAAATATAATAATGAATGAGTGACGACGTTGTGGTGAGATAAACAAGACATAATCCTTGGTGTTGAGAAAAAAACACAAAACACGGCAAATACAAACGGCAGTGAACATGAGTAATGATGAGGTCTGACCAAAAAAAAAAAAGCAAATCCACACCAGCCTTCGGCTGCGATGCCACCACTCTCCAGGGAAGGAAGCAATAAATGCTGCGCAGAACGTACCTGTACAACCCTATGCAGCACAGCCCTCTAATCTCGTCAAACCGCCACTTTGACGTAACTTAGCAGATACATGTGTAAGCAATCGGAACTTGAAGCTGAAGGCACTTGAGTCTTTTAGGCGAACTGTGTGGTTGCTTCTCGATACCATTGAATTGTCACGACGGTGTTTGGGGGTGAGGAGGGGATTAGTGCGTTGATTGAGTTTGTGCTGCTTCCGCTTAGGCTCGCATTCTGTTGAGCCCGGAGAATCTACCTCGTCTCATTTCGAAAGATGGAGCACTCTTGCTGTGAGTAGTAGAAGCAGTTTTACGGATGTAGATGTAAATTTCAAACTAATCTCTACCCTGCACTTCCACCTTACCACTCCACCTTCAGCTTGAATGCTCCCCCAAGATCGGTCCGGACAAAGGACAGCGTTGATTCTCATAGCGTTGACTTTTATGGCCCTTTTACTTTCTTTTTTATCGTTGTTTTCGGAGCTCGGAATGCAAGGCGAGACCTTGCTTTAAAGCTACAGTGAAGCACAGATTTTCTTTCTACTACCACTTCATATAAAAGTATCTAGCTTCTGCAGTTAGATGGCCTTCTCCTTCGCCCTGGCCGGGGGATCCTGTCACGGTGCCTGCCCAGAGCGATCTGGGAAGGCACCCCGACACCATTGAGATAGCGCCAGTGGCGGGGGAGGCGCTCGACCGTCCTTGGAAGGCGCTGGCGCTGGGGTATCATCCGCCGGTGTCTGGGCAGCAGCGTTCTGCGTCATGTTGGCGTGGTCTGGGACGCTCGGAGGAGAGAGTCCCGAAGCTTGGTCTTGTGCGCCGGTGACGTTGGGCTCGTCAGCGGCGTTGTTGCGGGGTGGGCTTTGGCCTTAGCGTTTTTGATCCCATTGAGATAATTCTTCTCTTCTTCTCCCAGTTTCATTGGATGGGTGGGAGAGTACTTGCTCCAGCCGTGGTGGTTGAGACTGTTGGAAAGATAGTCGCTGATAAGCTTTTGGTTCCTGGGCGAGATGGCTGGGTTCTTGTTCAAGGTCTTGACGGGCATGCTATCAGGGTCAACATTCTTAGTTGGTATTCAACTAACCATGTAAGTAGAGTGCGGAAGGTTATGTATTGGGGATATTTCGCTTCGAATGCATAAACATACCTACATGTTGGAATTGGGCAAGGGGAAGACGGAAAGTTAAGAATGAAGGCACTCGAACGCATTGGATAACACTAGTGTAAGGAAATATATGTATAGATTTGAATTGGAATTACTCACGTACAACAATCTAAGGTTTGTGGAAATGCATGTGTAGGAGAGAGGGGAAAAAAACTCTAAAGTGTTGAAGAAACGGGTGAAACTGTAAATTGTATACGATTCTAAACTGAAATTTCGTCCACTTAGCACTCCGTTACTAAAAGTATGCGCTTTAACATGATGCAATCGTTGGGACAGAGCTGCTCTGCATTTACAGAGCAGTTTTGTGCCCAGGTAGTGCCCATGATAGCCCGGGTTCACTTCAGACCAAAAAAGGAACCGTTCAAGTTTTGCTTAATTCCTCTGGTAGAACAAAAGAACAGCAAAAAAAAGAATGTTATGGGGCTCAGCCGGGGATCTAATTACTGTTAGTTGTTGCTTGTATGAGGATCGAACTTGGGATGCTTACCGAACCCGGGACCTCGCACATATCAGCATATTGCAGCTCAGACACCTCTTAGAGGCGTGGGATACAAGCCCGAAGCGCGAATCATACCACTAGACCACTGAGCCGTTGAAAGCGGAGTCCAGAATTGTATCTGGAGTGTCTAATTTGCTGGCGTTGAGATTTTCGTTGAAGTTTTGGCATTACATGGCTCAGGCCACGTGTGCGCGGGAACGCCCGCTTAAGCGAGATCCGTACCACTCGAACCGAGATCTGTGCGAAGAGCCAATCATAATAACGGCATATTTCGACCATATTGACGAATGTTGTCATGGTGCTATATAACCCCCCTTTTCACCATATTCTGGATATGCTACGTCACGGCACGCTTACGTGTCGACAGCGATAAGCAACGCGTACAAGTGATGAACACTTGATGAAATATAGTTATTTCCGAGAAGTAAATGTCAAGAGTGACCTACACAATTCAGATCCGGACAAGTTTTCCCAAGACACCATGCTGCTGTGTGCCATGCAGTTCTCAACAATATCTACTCCTGAACTTGGAGCGGAGGTGATTACATTAGGTTTATTTCAATTCGCTAACGAACGAGTTATGAGAATCAGAGTAATGGCGAAACAAGAGTGCTTGATATGCGAGAGCACATACAGCTTGAACTGGTTCATCGCCGACAACAGTCGTTGTTGAACCCGCGAGCGTACTTACCCAGAGTCGAGTGGCAAGGGAGGTGAACAGAGAGCGAATACATAATAAATATATGTCACGCTTGTCGGCAGATTTCAAACTGCTGTGACCTTCGGACTCGCCCAACCAACGCTATTTCCAAACATTGCACCTGTTTCAATGAGGGGTTGAAGTTCACTTGCGATTGATACTGTTTAATGCTAACCTTGTCTTTATATTCGGATGAACTCTCCAACTTCCCCCACAGAACCTGTTACAATGTTATGGCGATGATGCTCACCAAATAAAGATATCCTCAAACATCGAATCACCACCTCCCTGATGCTGCTGACTTAAGAGGTATAGTACCTTAATGTTGTGTTGTAGAGGACTTGAGAATCTCACACCTCGCTAAAGCTACAAAATGCATTTGGATATTGGATTTGATTCCTCATCGCCATCACAGTCCGGCTGGATAGCTCGTCGTTTATCTCACTGGATCCCCCACATATTCATGTCTAGGAAACAGGCACGTAGGGGCCAAAAGAAAGTATTCCCCGCAACTATCTTTGCAGGTAGGAAGGGCATCTAACTTGCGTAGGTACCTTCATCTACCCACGTAGCGAGCTCAGGAGCTGGTAGAAATTAGTCACTGATGTTGAACGTGCACATCCACAATGCGGAGTTGGTCTAGTAATCAAAAGCTTCTAAAATTTTATCCTTGACAAAGCCTGCTACATCCGATCTACCGGATCAAAATGGCAGTCAGTTGACTGCTTGTCTCTTCTATGATATCTCATGGTTTCAAACATGCCCAGTTACCGATTGATCCTTTTCGTTTCACGCCAAAAGAAGACAGAACATCCCATCATACCGAACTCGCTTCTTCCGAACGATCTTACAACTGGTCCAGAAGACCCTCAGCCTCAAGCAGAAGGATGATCTGGTGGACGATGGTCCTGACGTTGGACTTGGAGAGGTCGACGACCAGGTCAGCCTTGGCAGGAGCCTCGTACGGGTCATCGACACCGGTGAAGCCCTTGATCTCGCCACGGCGAGCCTTGGCGTAGACGCCCCTCTTGTCGGTGGCCTCGCAGTACTCGAGCGGGGTAGCGACGTGGACGAGGAAGAAGGAGCCGTACTTCTCGACGATCTCACGAGCAGCCTGGCGGCTGTCCTCGAAGGGAGCGATGGGGGCGGCGATGACGGCGGCACCAGCGCGAGTCAGCTCGGATGCGACGAAGCCGATGCGGTGGATGTTGAGGTTGCGGTCGGCCTTGGTGAAGCCGAGCTCGGACGACAGCTCGTGGCGGACGGTCTCACCGAGCAGCAGCGAGACGCTACGGCCACCCTGCTGGTTGAGGGTGACGTTCAGGGCACGCGCAATGGCGTCCTTGCCAGAGTTCTGGTATCCGGTAAGGAAGATGGTGAAACCCTGCTTGTTGCGGGGAGGGTGCGACTCGCGGAGGACCCTGACGACCTCGGGGTACGAGAACCACTCGGGGATGTGTGCGCCGGTGCGGAGACGCTTGCGGAGTTCTGATCTGATTAGCAAGTGCATTCACGTGAACATCGAATCCTGACTTACCAGTGCCGGAAATGTCAAGAGTCTTGACGCCAGGATCAACCTCGTCCTTGGGCTTGTACTCGTCGGCGTCGGGAAGGTAGGTCATCATCTGGAAGGGAACCATCTCAATGCCGAGCTCGTCCTTGTACTTGGAGACAGCCTCCTGGGCATCGTACGGGCCGTAGAAGTCAACGCCCTTGGAGTTCTTGCCGGGACCAGCGTGGTCACGGCCGACGATGAAGTGGGTAGCACCGTGGTTCTTGCGGATAATGGCGTGCCAGACGGCCTCACGGGGACCGGCCATACGCATGGCAAGGGGCAGAAGACCCAGGACAGCCATTCCGTTGGGGTAACGGGGCAGGAGAGCCTGGTAGACACGGACACGGGTGAAGTGGTCGATGTCACCGGGCTTGGTTAGACCAACGACAGGGTGGATCAGGACGTTGGCCTGGCGCTGGCGGGCAGCGCGGACCGTCAGCTCACGGTGAGCGCGGTGCATGGGGTTGCGGGTCTGGAAAGCGACGACCTTGGACCAGCCAAGCTTGTCGAAGTGGAGGCGGATCTCAGCGGGGGAGTCTGCGACAGGTTAGCAACCGGGCCCGGATAAGCGCTGGGAGCAACGTACAGCGCAGAGCAACGAAGTCGTAGTGCATCAGGCGGTCAATGGCCTCGAGCTTGCCGCCAACGTAGAAGTCCTGAGCAGTGTTGTACAGGTACTTGATGGCCGGGTGAGCAATGTCACCGTCCTTGTCGAAGACAAGGCGGGCCTCCTTCTCCCTGCAAGATATCAGCGCACATTTTCGTGTGCGCGGGGGTGTAGGGGCTCACTTGTCGGGCTTGTAGACATCCTCGACGGTCAGGATGGCGAGGTTGCGGTCGTCACGGAGGTCGCGGAGGACAATGCGAGCGCCGGGCTTCACACCGACCTCGTCAATGGTCTGCTGAGAGACATCGAGGGTGATGGGCATGGAGAAGACATTGCCGTCGGCAAGACGCTCAGTTTCAACGACGCTGCGCGGACGGGTCAGCGCGGGCAGCAGGGTTCAGCGGCGGGGCAAACTCACCCATTGTAGTCCTTCTCGTTCATGAAGCCTGCGCATGGGCGTGAGCACTCGGGTTGGCGGCGATATCGGCGAAGGTGCCGCGGAGACGCAAAAAGTTTGGGCGGGGCAGAACTGACCCTCCAGCGGCGAGAAACCACCGTTCAGGATGAGCTCGAGATCGCACAGCTGCCTCTCGCTGAGGACGATGGCGGGGAGCCTGTCGGCCTCCTCAGAGAGCTCCTTGCGGCGAGGAGCATCGCGGGCAATCAGGTCCTTGAGGACACCACCTTGGCGACAAAGTCAGCGGGGCTATCGATAAGGCGCGCGGGCGGCTCACCGTGGGGAGGGTTGGCCATGTTTCGCGAGAGGGAAGAATCAGAAAGTGAGGGAGCGAGGGGAGTCTGAGCAGCAGCAGCGGCGAGAGAAGACATGCTGGCGGCGGGCACTCGGCGGATATATATGGGGCGTTGGATGGAGTGGTGGCCGTTTCGGGCGAGGGCTTGGCTGGCGGGCAGGGATGCCGAAATTCAGCATGCGCGTAGTACGTAGAGCTAATGACAATCACACCCGGTCTGCCGCGTCAACAGCGTTGGTCGATGCGCTCCGCGGGAAGTTGGCGTTGCGACTGGAATAGATTGGGGCCAGCCGGGCGTCTCAGCCTCCACACTCGGCGATTACGTCGCCGCCGCGATTCCTCCTTGTCCGTCCGCGCATGTTGCTGTCGCACGCCCGTGGCTTTCTGTCGCGACCTGCCGCGCCATTGAAAAGAGTTCCAAGGCCCTTGGCCCCGGTCACGTCATGACCAAGCAGCGCCATCTGCCTTTTTTTTTTTTTTTACTCCGGCCACCTGGCGCCCGCTCCTCTGCTAGGTGGCCCCCCTCCGCCGGCTGACGGCTGCTCCACGCAACCACCGGGGCGTGCGCGATTTGCAGCGGAGAGGGGGCCGTGGCCCGTAGCGGAAGGCGAACTGGAATTAAAGGTTACTTGTTTCTCCAAAATGCCAAGCACCAGCGCTGATCAAGTCCATGCGAAACGCGGCCGTTGGCCGCCTCAATTGTCTACCTGCGAACGGCAGGTGTCTATCTGTCCCCTTTTATATTCAATCTGTCCATTTTCCCATGAACCCTGTTGATATATCCGCGCCCTGCAAATCAAAACGCCGTCCCGTAGCTGGGGCATCATGCTCATCCGAATGCTAACCAACGCCGATGCTAATATGCTGCAAAAAGAAATAGAAAGGCGATCGCCGCGGGCGCATCATGCCGCCCCGACGTGCGCCGACTCGAGCGCCTTACTTAGCGCCTCCTCCTGCCTCTTCCTCTCCTGCTCGGCCAGGAACTGGGCGTAGCGCGACTTCTTGTTGTGAATGCCGCACTCGGACTTCTCGCGGCCCTTCCACCGGCCCGCACGCTCGTCCTCGCCCTGGGCCACGGGCTGCGTCGAGTGCCAGTCGCCCACGCTCTTGTAGCCGCGGTCGAGCAGCTCGTTGTACGGCACCTGGTACTTTTCAACGTAGCTCTTGACGTCGCTGAAGCTCCAGTTGGCGAGCGGGTTGATTTTGATCAGTCCGTCGTCGGCAATCTCGACGATGTCCAGGTCGCCACGCTTGCCGCCCTGGCTCCGGCGGCGGCCCGTCAGCACCGCCTTGACCTGGAGCTCGGCGTAGGCGCGCTGGGCAGGCTCGACCTTGGCGACGAAATCGTAGAGCTCCTCGTTGGTCTCCCACAGGCGGGCGCCGTGCTTGGCGGCGAAGTCATCGGCCGTCTCGCAGCCGGCAGGCTTGTAGACGTGCAGGTTGAAGTGGCTGTACCGCTTCTTGACGCGGTCAACGAGATCGTGCGTCTCCTGGAAGTGGTGCAGCGTGTCGAGGAAGATGAGGTCGACGTTGGTCTTGGTGGGGTTGGGCAGGCGCGACAGCATGTCAAGGGTCACGAGACCGGTCAGGCCAAAGGCCGTGGTCTGGTAGAGCGACGGCAGCGTGATCAAGCACCATCTCAGGATTTCTGCATCCCCTTGTTAGCGAGGCTCGCGGTGAGGCGCGGCAGCAGTGAAACGCACCCTCAGGCTCAAGCTTGGCTAATTGCTGGTTGATGAACTTGAGGTGCTGCTTGCTGAAGAAGATGTCGGGCAGCGCAGCCTCGCTGGAGCAGCCGCTCGCATAGCCCGACTCAACCTCCCTGGGGGATTGGCAGTCGAAGTTGGACTCGGACATGGTGGGGTCTCGCGTAGTGGGCGCAGGGGCTCTGTAGTGGCTGGAGTAGGCTTGTGGCGCGCTCGCTGGCAATTCCACCGGATCAGTTCGAGTTGAAGAGATGTTGGTGAAGAGAAGAGCGAAAGCGGAGGGAAGACGAGTTAACTGGAGCCTCGCATCGGGCATATAACGCCGGCAAGCGCCAACGGCTCCATCTTTGAAATCACAGACCTGAAGGCATCATAAGTTTTCTTGATCACGCAATTTTAGCGTGCCGAAAGTAGATGCCGTACGCGCCCTGCAGCCAATCGCCGTGCGCCGTTACAGCCGCGCCGCGCTGACTCATTGCAACATGCTGAGCAATCGAGGCGGCTGCTCCGACGCGCGACGTGCCTGGCGATGATGCAGCAGCAATTCCGCCGCCGTCGTCCGGCCTGCCTCAGCACCTGCTGGCGATCGCGACGGCCTCGCAGTGCGGCTGATGGCTACATGTTGTCATCCCACGTGCAGCGACGCCTTTTCTTCAGCCCTACGCCGGCTGCGTCTGGAGGTCGGGCGGGCCCGGAGCGGGAGGGCGGCCGAGCTTCTTGCGTGCTTGTTTGTCAGAATCGCGCGGATGGCGCTGCCCGACGGCGGAAGTGGGGGCTTTTGCCATCCGATGTGGTTGCAGAGTCGGGTGAAGGGCCTGCGAGCCGCTGACAGCCTGTCCGCTTTGACCCTTGCTCTTTGTGCGGCGCTCGCCCTGCTTAGAAATTGCGCTGACCGGTTCTTTGTGTGAGGGTCGAAGCTGCGGAGCCATGGATCTCCGCCCCTACGGCGGACCGAGCCGGCCAATGATGTAACATTGCCCTTTTCGTCGCTCCGCCATGGCATCATCACACATCCTTCTGTCGCGACCACCTCCAACCTAAATTCAACCTCGCCGCTCCATCTGGGGTTGACGCATCTGCTCCAGCCCTCCGCATTTCCCCAGAGTCGGAGGCGGGTCCTTCTCAACCTGGATACCGAAGCGAAAGCAATGGCCAGTGCAGTTTTTCGTGTAGTCGGACATAGCGCGGATTTAGCACGAGCACGGCATCCCCATCTGCACTAGCTCTGCTACCTCGAGATCCATAGGGCGAGAAAAATCTCTCCGTACCCCACGGCGCTACTGTGCCCAGCCGATATCCAGCAGACCGACAATTCCCTCGCCTTGGATTCGCCAAGCCCCGAACATCGGCAGCGCTGAAGTGCCGATATTGCCGGCCGATGCTATCTGAAGAAACACAGCTGATGGCTACCGTGGATTTCTTTTTTTTTTTTGCTCATATCATGGGTAGTTGAAGCCATCGTCCGGACGTATATGTACAATTTTTAATTCCACATTCTCGTCCGGATGATAGCTTCAACTACCCACATATGTGTTATATTCCAAGAAAGAACTGAGGCATAATTATTCTTCACGCTAGTATAATATCTTACTTATAGGGGTAGCTGAAGCTAACGTCCGGATGCATTTGTGTACTTTTTAAATCAACATCTACGTCCGGACGTTAGCTTCAACTACCCCCGTAAGTATATTTTCAAGAAGCTTCTGAAATCTCAAATTTGTCTGATATCAAGCCTGTAGCTTGCTTGTATATGCTATCTACTCCTTGTCCTCTTCCGTGGCGTCAAAGACCTGCACGCCCTCAGGAACTTCAGGAACCCGGAACTCCGGGTTACGGTAGTTCGCAGCAGCCGCAACAGCGTCGAACCAGGCAAGAACTGCGCGACAAGCAATGGGCAGGATGATCTCGCCAAAGACTCGCTCGCCAGAAGACAAGATAGGATAGTAGTGGAAGCCCCAGTCGGAGCTGTGGGCAGGAAGAGGACTGGAAGTCGTCGAAGGGACAGCAAGTGGCGTGCTGAACGGCTCCGAGGATGGGACCAATGCACGAGCACGGTCACGTAGGAAGTTGACGAACTTCTGGTTGGTGAAGACCTCCTGGATTGGCGTCGGGTCTGTCAAGGCAATGGCCGCAACACGGTGCTCATACTTGGGCCCTATTACTTGTTAATGGCTGGCATATATACGTGAAGAAAGTTTGAAGCACTTACACTCTTCGTTGAGGACTTGTAGCAGAGCATTGCCGCCATTACCAATGCCAATCATGTCGAACTTGGCATCAGGTGCTACCCAGTTCGGGTTGTTGAGGATCGTTTCAAAGGTCGACTTGATGTGCTCGGCAACGGTGCTATGACCATTGATCCTATTGTGAACAGGGTGAATCTTGGGGACCGGGTGCACAGCTGACTTCCGTGGCTGCGAATCCCAAGACTGGTTGCTGACGGCCTTGTCGAGATGGTATGAGTAGACAAGCTGTCCTGGGTTGAGCACGACCAAACCCGGGGCCTGCCAGTTCTCCGAAACCTTGAAAGGGACGCTCTCAGTGCTTGTGACAGGCGTTTTGCTTGCTATGGGCAACTCCGGGCCGTTCTGTGCGCCGGGCTTAGAGATGAGGCTCTCCTTTAGATCATGCTTTTCGTTCTCAGCAGAACCTTGGGTAGGGAGCGCAGGGACTTCAGTAGGCTCGCAGCTGACCAGGGCCTTGGCAAGTGAAACCACCGAACCTGCCTCTAGGCCAAGTTCCTTGCTGGCGATACGGTACGCCAGGAGGCCAAGATCCTGGCAATCCTCGTTGATCACCACCGTGATCCTCTTCTGCTTGCTCATATCTTCCTTTTTGGTGACGAAGATAGGGACATTGGGTTCGCCATGCGGCTTCTCGCTCGTCTGCTGAGGCAAATACAACGGCGGCATGCCTAAAGCTGTCATGCGGCGTGCGACTTCGTCGTTGATGCAGGCATGCATGGACTCGCGGAAAGCCTCGTTGACTCGATCATTGTTGGAAAGCCAGAAGTTGTAGTAGTAGTGAGGCGGCTTGATAGTTCTGATCTCGGATCGTTCGTCGATGAAGTATCTGCGAACTGTTAGAGACAGCCTCACTTAGGTTCAGTGCGCTCGTACCCAAGCTGCGAGAGGTCTCGCGGATAGGATGGATCCTCGGGCATGCCCGCCTCACTGAGCTTGAACATGGTGTAGAGTACCGGGACGGTCGAGCAAGCTGGTGTTGAGGTTGGAGTGGGGGTTAGAGGACGAGGAGCGGGTGCGAAGAGTCGGTATTTTATAGGCGTGTCGGCACCTAACGAGGTATAGAAGGAAGGCGCGACCTATTCAGCACGTGTTCTTGCCCAATATGTCAAGCACGTTCGAATCCAAATCTACCTACGCGTCCGAATGAGAAATCCCTCTTACGTGGGCAGCTGAAGCTAACGTCCGGATGCATTTGTGTATTTTAAAATCTCACATTTGTGTCCGGACGTTAGCTTCAGCTCCCCATTTAAGTACAATATCCTGAGATAGGTTGGAAATTCGGCCTGTTTGGCTATTCCCGGCGAGAAAGTCAAATTCTTGAGCATTGCAGTCTCGGAGTACCTCACAGTGTCAGTGCGGGCCAGCAGGTTGGAGTGAAGCATCTGATTTGAGGATCTGCAGCGGCGATGTGCTAGCGAACCTGAGCAGGAGCCCCGACAGTCTCTTGTGGACGTTGAGCCCGCGCATCCGAAAAATCATCCTCCCAAACGCCATCCAATGCCCTGTAAATGTTGTACAACCACGCTACGCTCGTCACCCATCGTCTACCAGCTGGCCTTCTTGACACCGGGGATATTTCCAGCCAGAGCGTTTATACGGAATTGGTACTGCGGCGTGTCAATGTTAGTAAAATGTCGCTTTCGAAGTAGAAAAGCTGCGCCGCATCCAATCGCGCGCAAGCGGTATCTGGGGCAGAGCGGAGTGCTTCAATGGCCTCGTGGAGACTTACTCTACCCATCCTGAAGTCGCTCATGATACCTCTTCCCTTGCCTCCCATTATACACCTGTTCTTGAACTGGGTGGAGCGGGTGTAGGCGTGCATCTGCGAAAGCTCGAGCTGGGCCTGGGCGCGGACGCGCTGGGGAAGGAGGGTGTTGCGGATCATGTAGCGCAGCGCTTGCCTGCTGTACCGTTAGCATTGTGCTGAGTTGGATCTCGAGGCGCGCAGGCGGTCATACCTCTCGGGCTCAAACTGGGCGAAGACCTTGCGCTTGGTGTGGTCGCGAATGTTGCGGCCATTGATAAAGGAGCCCAGATCGAGGCGGGCGGCTCTGAACTGCGACATGGTGGACGGCGGGCGATGGTAGCGGGTTGCGGATGGCGTTGGTGGTGTTGAAGATTGGCGGCGGGCGGGAAAGTTGGTGATTGGCGCGTGCGACACCGGAGATGATCCGCGACTTGAACTCTGCCGCGAACCTTCGCTGCAATCAACGCGACCTTGTTCTTCGTGAGTCATCCTGCTGGCTACGGCTCCGTAAAACAAACGCGCTCATGGCCTCCTCAGTCACATCCCGCCGCCTGCTGCTTTGTGCAATACCGAAAAGGCCGCCTGCGCGCGCGCGACGAGCACCCTTGCTGGTATATCGTTGCCGCTGGACGCCTCTGTCCTAATTTCGAGCACTGCCTGATCGTTGCAGCTGATCGCCGTCCGTGCCAGCATCTTATTGCTCCAGCTTCGTCTTTGGCCCTTTGCTTGCCAGGGCCCCTTCACCTCCCCCTTTCGGCCATAACCGAGAAATAACCCCGACTAATTAACACATCTCCATGCCCTTTGCAAGAATTCCTTGAGGTTCCGCCCACTCGCCACCATGCCGCAGATGTTCTCGTTAGACGAAATGCGCGAGCTTGCGCTCGCCTTCCCGGACGCTAGTAGCCGTGCGTTTCCCGAGAGCGATCAGGAGGTCCGCCTCGTCCCTAGCCTTTCTGGAGACGGCTTCATTAGGTCAGATGTCCTTTTACAGAAACTGAACGAGCACATCGAGTCCGGTACGCTTAATCATCTTACTCGCTTACCTGCAGAGCTAATGTGCACCCAGACGGCCATGGACGCCTTCCCTTGTCTGAGCTTGCCACTGCCTTCGACATCTCCAAAGAGGAGCTCTCTGCCCTGGTGAGAGAACCCCAAGCAGAACTGCTTCTGAGCACGGACGGGCAGAATGTCATCTCCAAGTATGTTTAGACGTCCTGCATGCATTGCCCATGCTGATTCCCCAGGCCCGAGGCAGAGCGTCTGCAGAATGACCTCAAGGAGCTGGTTCAGGGACGCGTGGTATATGCTGCCGGAGTTGCCATAGCGAATAATCTCGCGCTTGAGAGCATCCATAAGCTTATTGCCATGAACCGATACGGTGCAAAGGGGGAGGATGAAGACGGACCCCGACTTGCTCTATATCCTCAGACCAGCGACCCTAGAGAGGTCCGCAAGTCCATCATCTTCTCGCCCCCCTTTCTCGATGGACTTGTTGCAGATGCACAAGCGGCCGCCGAAGCTGCTCAGCAGTCAGGAGTGTAAGTTGCAGCTTCCTCCGCAGCAGAACGAGAAATTGACATTATGCAGCCCTGAGAGCATTCCGCCAGACGGCGTCTTGCCAACGGCCTTCCTTCAGCTCATCGTTGACAGGCTTGGGTCTGATTTCCGTGGGCGGGTGGCCGCCACCGAAGGCACCGTCGAATTTATACCAATAAGCTACCTCGAACGCCTACGAGACGACAAGCTCGACGAACTGGTCAACGGCACAACGCCTTTCTGTAGCCTCCAATGGTTTGTTGACCTCATGCCGGAGCAGTACCCGGATATTAGCTCCGCGGAGAGATATGTAAATTCGCAACATCCACGAAGAATTTTCATCTTCTTTGACACGGCCGTCTCCAAAAAATGGCATGACAAAGCTATCGGTGACCTCTTGCACACACTGGCGGACAAGTCCATCATCAACATTAGCGTATGGACGCACCCTATTCAACTCACGCCACGATACTAACACCATCTCCGCCAGGATCCCTTCCAAGACCTCTCCCCCGACGCAGCCCGCTCAGCCGCTGCCAAAGCCCACGCCGAAATCATCGCCATCGTCCGGACTGACAACGAATGCACCGTCGTCTCCGAAGGCCTCTTCCCTTACCTCATCGGCATGGACCTCTTCCTCGCCATTCAAGACGCCTTCAACGCACGCGTGCGCGCCCACGCCGAGCACCTCTGGTCCAACTCGCACCAGCTGCCAGAGGCAGAGCTAACGGGGGGGCTGGGCGACCTAAACACGGTCCTCGCGCCGGCAGCACAGGAGCTGCAACTGCCGCCGCCGCTGCTCCCCATCCTGGTGCGCTGCGGGTGCGACGGCGGCGCCAAGGCGGCCTTCAACGAGACGCTGACGCAGCTCGAGGCCGAGGCGGACGCCGCGCTCGCCGCCTTCTGGGCCGACCGCGTGGCCGCGCGCTTCGAGCTGCACGCCGTCGCCACGACCGAGACGGCCATCGCGGACGCGAAGGTGCGCGCCCAGCTGCTCGACCTGCTGCGCGACTACGCCGCCAAAGAGCTCGTCCCGGACGCCGTGGCCCGCGCCGAGGCGAAGGGCCTCGTCCGCAGCGCGCGTGCCAGGCGCAACGTCAAGAAGCTGCTGGCCGTGCTCAAGGAGCCGTCGTCGTCGGCGCAGATCGGTGAGCAAGGGTTGGCCGCCGTGCAGGCGTCGCTGCAAAAGTTTGCTGCGAAGATGGACGTGCCGCCCGTGGCGGACGTGCAAGCGCGGAAGGAGGCGTACGTGCGGGACATGGTGCGCGATATGCAGAAGGACGCTGATGCGCCGCGGTTGTTCCTGAAGTTGATGGTGGCGCTGTGGGCGAAGCGCGCGGACGGCGTCGTCTATGCGACGGGCAAGTTCGCACCAAAGCTGTTGAAGTTGCTGTCCAAGGGCGCTGGCGATGGTGGGCTGGGCGAGGAGCAGGTGGCAAGGCTAGAGGCTCTAAAGGACGCTGTGAAGGAGGGTAGCGCAGGCGATGCGGAGAAAGCAGAGATGAGGAAGATGGCTATGGAGGCGTGGGAGGTGTGACACATCGAGCATATGCTGGGAAGGTTCAAGGGTCTGTGTGGGTTGGGAGGATCTTTGTTTTCAATTCGAGCTTGTTATTTTGCACACGTTCAGGTTTCAGTTGCGTACAGTCCCCTCTTGCAGCCGATGGCTAGTATGGATTTGCTTTTTGCTCATGTCATGGGTAGTTGAAGCTATCATCCGGCCGAGAATGTAGATTTAAAAATTCTACATACACGTCCGGATGGTAGCTTCATCTGCCCACGTAAGTCAAGTATTGTTTCTCGTGAATATGATAACGAAGTGTCATTTCTTTCAGAACTATAGTATAGGCAACGAATTCAATTATTCACGGAGACAGGGCGTTCCCCATTCAAAGTCGACTCAAACAACCATGAGAATATGGGTAACGATGTAGCATTCATGCATGGTTCGGGAGTTCGTCCTCGAAATCCCGTTAACAGTTCCCTCTGGAAGTAACAATCGTGATAGTCGGGGATGCTTGTACTTCAGAATTCCTCGGAAGGCATTCGAATTTTTACATCGTGTTGTAATCAATCAAGCTTACATTCAATCAATGAATTAGCAGAAATACCAGTCTACAGGCCCCTCTCGCAGCCGATGGCTAGCGCGAAGAATAGCAGGGCTTTATAACATAGCGTAACTATGTCCCAGCTCTGCCTTAGAAAAATAACATGTGGGTAGTTGAAGCTATCGTCCGGACGTACATGTAGATCAAAGAGCTCTACATACACGTCCGGACGATAGCTTCAACTACCAATACAATGAGTTTAGATGCTTGTGTAAATGAATTACGATGGGCAAGATGGTTTCGCGCCCACTGTGACCTAAGTACTTTTGTGCACTTTGTAGGCTGACATTCGCACCTGGGTGTTTCGCTTCAGCTGTCCATGCAGAAAAGGTATTATCATCCATTAAATATGGAAGCAATAAATGCCTTGCGCTTTATTGTCTGGTGCCTTTGGATATGCTAAGAAGTAGCTGTGAATGCTAAATTCCGCGTGCAGGCACTCGGGCAAGAAGACAGATTACCCCGTGGCTGGGACCCCCCCAGCGTTGTGCAAGGCTTTTCTTTTGCAATCTGTCTTCTTGTTTTTCTTATTTTGTGTAAAATACTCAAGTGTGGAGCTGTCATATCTTTCCAAGGGTCCAAAAAGACTGGCGATGGTGGCTGAGCGCTGCTGGTGACCGGCCCCTTGCTTCAACATCCACCCATCCACGAAATAGCCTTGCCGTGGCTCAAAACAAAGCAGAATGCAAGTAGAACTTCTAGCAAGAAGCCCAGGGGACTCTAGAAGGGTTCTGGCCTCTTTGCAGGGCCAAAAAAAGATGGAAACACCAGGAGACTGGACTCCTGGGAGCTTTTGGGGCCCAACCGCGATTCGAACGCGGGACCTCTCGCATTCTAGGCTTGCTTGAAGCGTCCCAAAGCGAGAATCATACCACTAGACCATTAGGCCGACGATTTGGAGGTCGTTGTTGAGGTCTGGGATGGGGAAAAGTGGTTATGTGGAAAGGGGGGCGATGGGGAACTGCAAACGTCGATGAGGCTTGGCAGAACAACAAAGGATCGTCAGAAGTTGCCGAGGCAGCTTTCTTTAGGCTTGGGGCGCACTGGAATATGCTATGTGTCACAGGGCGAGTGGAGGCCGAGGGGTCGCCGAGGGTGGGGAATCTGGGCGAGACTAAGCGACTGACAGGCACAACAGGGTTCGCGGAGGGATTTTCTTTGCGAGCGAGAGTCGGAACATCAAGCGTGAACGAGAGAAGGAAAAAGTTGATGATTAGTTGGCTGGCCGAGGTGAAATTTGCATGGTGGTCAGCGGTGGCAAGGCCGAGTCTACGCTTGATTGGTGCGAACCGCCGGAACGAATCGCGCACGTCACCATCAGAAGGACGGTGTGACAGAGAGGCTCTCTAAAAAAAGAAGTTAGCAGCATGGATCGAAAACGAAAGCAACTTCCAATATACTGAAGGCCGAAGACGGTATGCTTCCTGAAGGATTTGTACCTGTGCGGCGATAATTTTACTTTGCTTTTCGCAGGTGCATGTGACATTAGGCGCTCATTGACCGTTGGTGAAGTCTTCATGGTTGGGTGGACTATGGGAGAAGTGATGTCGCTCTTGTGACTGGTTGGAATGGATATAGATTATACTTTTCACCGGTCTGTGAATGGGCCTCCATGAGAACAGCTTTCGTCTGAGCGCCGAGATGAAATGAGTTGGCAAGGTCTCCTAGCAGAAACATCCGGTGCGCAGCCTTGTGAAGCACTAAAGACATGAAGTGGTTGACGTCCAGGGGAAATCGTCCTAAGGCAAACAATTTATTGCCTTAGGCGTATGGCTACTATTGCCTTAGGCGTACGGTTGCCGCCTTAGCGCGTGCGCCCTCTTTTCCTCTAGTTTAGTTCAGAGACCGAACAACTTCTCGAAGACAGTGATCCCATTCCGTTCTTTCACTTTCAAGATCAACATCTGAGAGCTGAAGCGTTAAACTTAGGTTTGTTTCATCTCATAGTAGGTCACAACTTCTAAACGAGAACTTTCGACTCCTTTAAATACTTGAAACAACTGTATTCCAGTGAACCCGACCTTACTGTTTCTTTTCTATTCGTAGCAGGTCTTCCGTAGTCATGCAGTACAAATGAGAAGAGGTCTAATGACAAATGAGCTCCGGCACAATGCCTCGGAGCAACCAGGGTCGCCCCCCCATAAAAAAGAAAACTCTAGTGGTATCTACAACTTTGATGCACAAAACAAGGATATCTAATAGAACGCCACCCAATGACGACATATAAACAACACCCACCGTCGATAGCACGAGAATCAAGGAAAGTCGTCATGCATCGGGATTCCGTTGCTCTTGGAGCTAGAACTCAGACTGTCCTTCTCGACCGCATTGTCGTGCATGCGGCTCTTCGCATAGCTTATGCCAGCGATGTCATCAAGCTCCATGGGATCGCTGCGCACGATGACGGTCGTCTCCGTCTTGACGGCGAGAGCCGCAGGTTGGGGAGGGGTGAGCAGCTCAGTGCTATCCTGCCTCACCAACCAGCGGCGGTTATTGTGGTTCTTGGCGGCATTGCTTGCAATGATGAGCGAGTGACGGAAGCCGGCGCCAGCGCCGGCTTCAATGGTAGTGGTGGTGCCGAAGAGCTGACGATTCGTCCAGAAGGGGAAAGACGACTGGAAGGTGTCGATGAGCTCGTCCTCGGCCTGTACACTATGCTCCTCATCGTCGCCACCAGTGGCGTCAGGTGTGGGGACGAAGACTTCACGGGTGGCACAGTAGACCAGGACGTCCAGCCAGCCGGTGCAAGAGATCATAGCGCCGGCAAGACACAGATGGTCGATACTGGTGTCGATACCCATGACGCTCTGGAGACGGGCGGAGGCGAGAGGCAGGGTGCATACGACGTAAATGAGCGGGTAGACGACCATCATGTAGGCAGCTCGCTGGGCCTTGGCCGTCTTCACCGGGCAGCGAAAGTGGTTGTTCTTGATGCGGCAGTGGATGATCCAGAATAGTGTGCCGTAGAGGAAGACGGTGCCGAACTCGGCGACGAAAATCCAGAAGTAGTGTCCCCATATACGCAGGCCGGGGTATTTGGCGTTGACCCAGCACTGTCACATGATGTGAGCTCGAGTGAGGATAAAACAAGGGACAAGAACTTACCCAAGCTCCGGCGCGAACGTAAAGATCGTCGCCATAGGTGACAGCACCAATGATGGCGGCCAGGAAGACGAATGCCCAGATCGAAGCACAGACGGTGTAGAAGGTGTAGGAGTCAATCTTGTGGGATAGGGCGATACAAGCGAAAGTGTGGAGGCCGATGGCAACGGCCCACCAGCCGCTTGCGAGATCGCCTACGGAAACGAACCAGCCTTGGGCGTAGCAAGAGGGTGATTGGACGTCGATTGCATCGCGCACAAGCCACTCGATGTTGATGAAGAAAGCGACGGCTTGTTGGAGATCGGCAAGGAGAAGGTTGAAGATAAGGAAGATGAACTGGTTCTGGACGCCATGGGCCTTTCTCCGCCACCTGGACAAGAGAGTTCGGGCAAGAACAGTAAGAAGCGCGGCGGTGGAAACAAGAGATAGGAGACTGAAGACGACTACTGCGGTGAGGCCTCTGGTCATAACCGGAGGCAAAGGAGAGAGAGAGGCAGAGTCTGGAGCCAGGTTGGCTACATTTTGGCCCATTGTGGCGTTGGTGGTGGAAAACAAAAAGGCAATAAGGTTGGTATGTACACGGGAGGATAAAAGCATGATGGACGGAAGAGGCGGGCTGGGCATATGTAGCACTGGTCGGAGGCGGCGGAGGGCGAATTTGCAAGGATGGATAGTGGGCGAGTCGTGGCGCGGTTAGGGTGTTTTGATGCTTAATTCTAGCCATAGCCTGATGCACAGACTGAAAGAGGCTTCATCTGCGCTTAAACGTGCAGCTGTGAGTTCGTTAGCCCTGCAAGAGACACGCAGAACCAGACTGGCGGGAGGCATGTGGGCTGATCTCTGGCAGCATTGGACGGTCTTCGCACCGTATCCCAAATTCGCAGGTCTGAGGTACACGACGACAGCGCCAAGGCACGGGGTCCGCGGGTGCGAGCGTTGGGCGACGAGCTCATGATTTCAAACGGCCATAGGCGGGCGTCTACAGACTGGCGCTGGCGGGTGGCAGCGGCGGGCGTGCATGGAATGAGGCTAGTGAGGGTTCTCGAATCATGAAGCCAAGGAGCGAGGCCGGATGCAGGTTGGGCTGGTGATGGCTTGGGGCTGGTGTTGACGACTTCCTGACTCGCCCCGCTCTCCGCCGAATCCTCCCGTCCGCCGCCCTCCGCCCTCTTGCTTTCCCGCCTCGCCCCCAACCCTCAACCCGCTCACCCCACCACCACGCGCTATTCTGCGCTCACATGCGTCCCTCCACTCCGCGTTCGGCGCTGTTGTTGACTCCGCCGTTCTGCAGCGCGTCGCAGCCTGCTGTTTCACCTCCAGAGTCTATCCCAACGCTCAGGCCCGTCGATCGCCCTCCGCTCTAGCTGCTCCACCTGCTCAATAGGGCTATCATGCTGGCCTTCGCGGAGTCATGCTCCACCTCTCCTTGACCTTCGTCACGATCCACCGGCTGCCACCCAACATACAGCTTGATCAGCCCGGACTCCCTTCAACGTTGGCCGCTGCAGTCCCTACCGTCCGCGCGGCCCGGCACGAAACCGTCGCCAACTGGCCTTGTCGCTGCCCAAATTCTGAACCATCTTGGTTGATGCTTGGCTGAACCCAACTACCGGACGGCACATCTGACTTAATTTATCTGAAGATCTGAGACACGAGTGGGCACACATCTCATCGTCCTACTTACCTCGGCTGCTTTTCGCTGCGAGATCGCTCAAGCAAACTCTACCACTGAACCGTATCTGGCCTCAGCTACACCCTGACTCTGCAGCTCGTGCTCCAGAACCTGCCGCCTGTGTCATGCCACAGCACACCTTGCCGCCCTCTTCCCATTCGACGTCGAGATCACGTTTTGTCGAGCTGGGCGGTCGTCATCTAATGCTGACATGACGGCCCACCCTCACAGCCGCAACCGCGAGGGCTCCTTACAAATTCTCCGATCGCTGACTCGCGCGAGAAGCCGTTGCCGAGATGATGGGCACGCACCTCTGATCAGGGTCCCTCCGTCTTGTTGATGCCCAGCCCTCCGCACTCCTTTCCCAAAAGACGCTCAGGGTCCGTCGGCACTCGAGTCAGCAGGGGGCTTGGCACAATTGCCCCGCAACAAACTGTTGACTCTCTAGCCTGGAACATTTACGGCGGAGGCTGGAGACCAAGAGCTTAAGCGAACTTCATCGTACGACTCGATCTAGATGTGTTCGGCCTGCGGCAGGATTTGTAAAAACAGACGAAGCTTAAACGGAGTCAACTCCGCGATCCTTCGATCGAGATGGGCACGATACTTTCTAGGTTCAAGGTAAGCCACGATGCTTGAATCCTGTAATCCCGATTACCTTTGCTCTTCATTTTACATGCTCTGAACTCCCAATCATAAACATCGCTCTTTTCTCCGTGGCCGAATGGCACCACTGATGTCCTTTTTTATTACTCCGCTGTTTTTTCCTCCACCAATGGCTTTATCATTCCCGCGTGTTCCTCGCCATCCCAAAGACGTGCACCCAGATTCACAAGACCTAGAATATCCAGCGATCCTCGTGTGAAGTTGAGACAATCGGCCAGGCATTGCTCGGAAAACATCAGTCAGCTATACGATGATCTGAAACTCGACACATTTATCCAGCGAGCCGAGGCCAGCCTCACACTTCCAAGGAAAAAGGTGGAATTAATTTATTTATGAAGCGAAAATGTCATCCCATTCCGAGTGCTCGTAAGCAAGGCACTACGTTGAGTATGAGCTCATCCGCTGCCATGCTAGCGTATTCTCCCTCAGACATCTCATTCGAAGATGAGGTGATCGCCCCACATCCCGATCTCTAGATCTGAGAGAACTGAGGGAAGACGAAGGTCTGGAAGAAAGAGAGAGAGGAAAGAAAATAAGAGTATGGCCTTCCTAAGTCATGAACACCTTTCCCATGTATCAATCCCCTTCTCTGTCCATACACATATACTGAAAAAGAACAAGGGAAAGAACAAGAGTTGACGAATAGGCCGTACCCAGTCCCGGTATCCAGGGTATCTCAGACGAAAGAAAAAAAGAAAGATGAGAAAAAAAAAGAGAGGTAGAAAGAAAAGTCATCCCGGTCCAGCGTACATGCGCATCATCAATGGTTAAAAGGAAGAAAAACGAAAGCGGCTGGGAATTTTGGGATATGGCCGACTCGACTCCAGATATTAATTTTGGTTTGTTTGTGATCTCGTTGGTTTATTCCTTTCAATACGGACTACCCGACCTCGGCCTCGCAGCGTTCGAGTTGCCCACCACCTCGACAGTTCTGCCACTGGGCGTCGACACGCCGCTACCATCGCCGCCACGGCCGCTCCCTTCGCCAGACAGCATGTAGCCCTCGGCGGGCTCGACCCTGATCTCGACCTTGGTTTCAGCGCGGACGCCGCCAAGGCCGGCGAGGATGGAGTCTGTGCTGCCGCGGGGTGTGGAATCGCGGGCGGAGGTGCTACTACTGCGGGCGCGCGTCAGGCCTTGGGTGGAGGGGGTGTTGCTGTTCTTGTGCTTGGGGCGGCCGATGCGCTCGATGGCGGAGTGGTGGACGGTGCCGCCCTTGGACAGCTCGTCCATGTCGATGAAGCTGGAGCCGCGGGCGTCGCGGCCGCCGGTGATGGTGACGGTGTGGTCGACGGTCAGGCCGCCCTTGCGGTCGCTGAATGACGCCATGTCCCAGCCGGTGCCCGTGGTGCTTCCGTGGGCGCCGTAGCCGGTGCGCCCGCCCGACGACGACGCCGCGCCCGCCGCGCCCTTGTTCTGGCCGATCTCGTTGGATACGAGCACACGGCGAGTCAGCGCGTACAAGGCCGCGTCGACCCAGCCGCACGACGTCATCATCGAGCCCGCGGCGCAGTAGTATGCGATGGGCAGAGTCTGGCCCGTCATGGTGGCCATGCGGCCGGCAGCCAGCGGCAGCGTCAACAGCACATAGGTGAGCGGGTACAGGACCATGTAGCGCGCTGCCTGCGAGACCTTGTGCTGCGTGCCGCGCTGTTGTGCCGAGGAGATGTGGGCCAGCTGCTTGCGCAGGTAGATGAAGATGAGGGCGTAGACGATGACGGTGCCGAACTCGATGACGAAAATCCACAGGTAGTGCAGCCAGAGGCGCTCCGTCTCGTACTTGTCCGACGCCCAGCACTGAAAGGGGGTAAGTTAGTTTTCCATTCTCGTATTTTACTTGCAATGCCGGCTGTAATGGAAGAAGAGAGTTGAAGTGTTTCCTCGGCCGAGGATGCGTATCACAGCGCCGACTACCGCCATACTCATGACGAATCTGGTAACTTTTCCCACTTCTACTTTCCATCTCATTCACGTGTCATGATCACCGGCTAAACGAAAGAGAAGATGAACTTACCCAAGCACCAGCGGCGGTAAAGTACTTGTTTCCATGCAGCGCCGGTCCAAGCACCGTCAGCAACAATGCGATGGCCCAGATGATGATGGTTCCAGTCAAGAAGACCCTGAAAGGCAGCTGTCGGCCCTTGACGACGCTAAAGAAAGTATGCAGGGCGATGGCGAGGACGAACATGCCGGAGGAGATGTCGCCGATCTGGACGAGCCATGCCTGGCCGAAGCAAGCGGGGCTGGGGGCCAGCATGCTATCGGTGTGGATCCAGTGGAAGCTAATGAGGAAGGAGAGTGACTGCTGCAGGTCGGCCAGCAGCAGGTTGTAGATGAGCAGCACGTACTGGTTGTAACCGACGTAACTGCGGTAGTGCTTGCGCCACGATACTAGACGGTACGTGATCCACGACAACAGTCCCACCGTCGCGACCGTCGACATCAGGGCGAAGATGCCCACCGGCCACAACCCCTTCCGCAGGTCATCCGGTAGCGGGTCAACACTGTACGGCCAGGGGAAATGCTGGGAGTCTGCCCGGGGGAGAAGTTTGGCCGCCATGGTTTCGGTAACTTTGTTGCCTCGGTGCTTGGTTCCTGTCCCACGGGTTCTTCGTCGTCCGGGTATTTTGGGGGTTAAATTAAGAGGTGGTCTAGAACGGATCGATGACGGGCTGGGTGGGAAAAGTCGTCTCTACTTGGATGTTGATATGCGTAAGAGCATGTCGGTAATCCTTCGCTTCTTGGGTGGAAGGGATATCCCTCAGCGGCGGGAATGTGTCGAGCGGGGCAAAACGAAAGAAGGAGTGAGAGAGTGTGAGGGGGGAACGGATAATATTCGAACGAACGAGGGTCAGCGGGGCTGAGCAGGGAGTGGTATGTGAGGCACAAGACGAGTCAAGGCCAGGGACGAAAGGATGATGGGAGATCCGCCCTTTGGCGAGGGTAGGCGGCAGTCTTTTCAGTGGACCAGGGTCCTCTTCGTGGGCGTGGGGCAGTACTAGCTACATCTGTGCGGCTGGGGGTGGGATGAGGCGAGAGGGTGACATGAACTATGGCAGATCAAACGGGAGCACAAGACGCGGATGCGGCTGCTAGACGGACCCGGGCCCGGTAAATCTGACCCTCGTCACTTGCCGCAAACAGTGCGCGCATGGGCTGGGCCTATCATTTGTCGTCTCCACTACCAAGCTGAGGAATTGGAGCCGGGGGATGCTGGCACGATCAGCTTTTCCGGCGGGCTTGATGCCCGCTTGGCCGGTTCAGCCCAGGATTCGGACCGCCGCTATTGGATTATCTTTTGTGGACTGGGCCGTGGTGTCCTGGTGACAGGGTGTTGGAGAGTTCGGTGCAGCTCCGGGACGCGTGCTGACTGCTGCGGAAGGATTGCAGGCGCGACCGCAGAAGCACCGTCTTCTGATGATTCGCATCTTTCTCGATTGCCCATTGCATCGGAAGGCTCCGCAAGTGGTGTAACCTCTGGCGGACAGGGGCGGCTCACACGTGGAGGCGACTACGTAAACAGCAGCGCGGGTTGAGTCTTCGTGTTGGGGTTGGTCAGGTACCTTGCACGATCCGCGCCGCAAAGGACATGGGGTATCGGCGGGCACCCGTTATGGGACGCAGCGCCGGGGATCAGCCAGGGGCACGTCTTCGTCCTGTTCATTCATTCACAGTCCGCTGCGCAGACGGCGTGTGAACGAGGCCAACGGCGCGCTGCACTACCAAGGCAACAGTTCTTGTTTCACACGCGGCGCCGAACCTAGGGCGGGTCGGGAGTGTGCTTCCGCAGTGGGGACAAGAGACAAGAGACACCAAGAGAAATGCTTCGCCCGTCTGTGCTGGGTGGCGGTTGACTCGGAGGCCTAGCGATTGACAAAACGGCGGCGACTCGCGTGCTCGCGAGGGACAGCTGTTCACCTACGCCCAGCAGAGCGTTTCGCTAGTGGGCGCTACGTTCGACAGTTGATTAGCGGCGCGCATCTTCATCCTCTCCCGCCCCCCAAAGTCTTTGCCGCTGCTCCTTGCCGTCATAGTATTTGCGCTTGGGCTAAGAAAATCGCCGAATGGTCGTCATGCGAGCTGGCACCCGTCTCACTTTATCTGCCCTCAAGTCTGTCCGTTTCAGGTGCTCGGTCAAGTGGCGCTATCGAGAAAGAGAGGGCCGCTGGTGTTGGGATCCAGAGTGGCTGCGGGGTACTGGCGTGCGGAAATAGTGCGACCTGTGCCTGTTCAGCCAAGCTTTCCGGGGCAAGGCTAGGCTGGGCTGGGCTGAGCTGAAGAAGGGCACAGCAGATCTCGATGGCTGACCGGAGCTGCCGACACCTGCAATCCCCGACCCTGCATCAAATTTACTGCGCGGCACAGCAACCATCGCCTCGGCTCCACTGTTGTCTCGCGGATCCCCACTCACCACTCGCAAATCCTCGGCTTCTGATTCCTTTTGTCTCCAACCAACGCCCCACTTCGGCTTCCACTCGACTCTTTCCACCCGTCCCACGGCCCCCCGTGCGCCTGTCGCTGCGCTGTAAAAAGGGATCCACCGCCCGTGCCACCTTCGCCTTAAGCGACAAACGGAAGCATTCCCGCTTGCCCTGTCACTCAGTACGCGTCGCTCCCGCCCGCCCGGCGGAGCCAGTGGGGTTGTCGAGAAGATCTCTATAGGGGAAGCTTATTGCAACAAGCCTTTTCTCCTGCAACAACCTGATGAGGTTGACTTGCTGCCGAAACGAAAAAGCACCTGTGAATCCTGCAGGAAGCCATGGCACACGTCACCTCTAACGGCGCAGTACGTACCTGCGTTCTGGAATAATAATTACAGTCAACCGCGCCGCCGGCCCACCGGCTGCTCCACCTTTTGCAATCAACGCCGCCCCCTCGCTTTCGCAACCTCTTGATGAAATCCCTCCCGGTGGGTCTGCGCCGCAACCTCTTCAGCCTGTGACCTGAGGCTGTGCGCCATATCACACCTCCTTTTCCTCATTCTCATTAAGTGTCGGTCCTTTCCAGCAAGGTTGCCTAACGGGGAGCCGGCACACCTGGTACAGCCGCACGCCAGTGAGCGGGAAAGCCGCCGCGCCGCAAAATCCGCCGACTCCAACAACCTCCCACTGCCTTCAATTATTCCCGAGCGCCTATAGGGTACCCGCTCTGCTCATCCCCAGCGCTGTCCAGACGGGCACTATCGATACATACAGAGGGGTGCTGCAGCCGATGGCTAGCGCGAAGAATAGCAGGGCTCCAGAACATAGCGTAACTATGCCCCCAGCTTTGCTTCAGAAAAATAACATATGTGGGCAGTTGAAGCTATCGTCCGGATGTGTATGTAGAATTTTTAATTCGACATTCTCGTCCGGACGATAGCTTCAACTACCCATGACATGACCAAAAAACAAATCCACGCTAGCCATCGGCTGCGAGAGGGGACTGTAGCTAGAACTAAATCCTGCCGCGGCTCGGAAACTGCACCTTCAGATCATCATGCACCCAGCCGACCTTTCCGGTCGATCTCCCCGCACACGCAGTCTCCAGCATTTGAACCTTGGATTCGCCACTGCCCACTGCTGCCTTTCTGAGCATGCCCGTCCTCATCCGTCCATCACACCACCGCGCTATGATTTGCCATCTTTGCAGCATCGATCAACCTACAACCGCTCATGTCTCCTCACGCGCAGCCTCCATCGTATCCAGTTGCTCTCCGGCGCTATAACTTCGGTGCTCCCACGGGGAGTATGGAAGATCCCATGACGAAGGAGCCAACTCATCATTTGTACTATCGACCGTTCAGCCGGTAGGACCGAGACCTTGCCCCACAATTGACTATCCTCCCGCCCTACCATTTGGCCCTGAAGATTCGTTACCCTCTTATCTCCGCTTTTGCACTTACCTCCTTTTCGGGCCTGGAATGGTCTACTACGCTCTGATTCGCGAATGCCCTCGTTAGGATTCACTTCCCTGCTAGCATGGCCTTTCCGCTGTCTGAAAAGAGTCACTGGCGTGTTTGAGCATAGCCAAGGTTCATCTCATGCCGACGCCACTTTTATCATATTCTTCCGCACGTGGTGGTTGAGATGACGCAGGTTTCCAGAACGAAAAAGAAATGAGCAGCGTCTGTCCAAAGCCCATTCTGCATCTTTACCGTCCATGGCTGCCGGCTGGACTTGTCCAAAATTGCTTAAATTACGACCTACCTGTCGAATATTGTGGATTGCTTTTCTTTTTCTGGTTCGAAGAGCAGAGGATCAAGAAACATCTATGAGATCTGCACATACCAATGCTCATTCGTTGCGTCAAGAGCACAACTACAGCTGTCGTATTTCGAATCCTCCCATTCCGTTCCTCCCAACGTAAACGCACATTATATCCGATCTCCTTGGCTACTTTGTTGTTCAAATGCGAGATCATTCTTCGCACTTGGAACAATGAGGCCTTCGACGGTTTCCGATATGTCCATGCAATCTTACCGTCCTTTTTCTTTTTTCTTCTCTAATACTTCTACGACAGAAGTCAAGTCAACCCCCCACCCCCAAAGAATTTCATACATGTCGTCAGCACTAAGCTTTTGGTACGTACCCACACCAGATCCAGCCCACGCGTCGATCCTCCGCAAAGAAGACCCGCAGCCGTGGTGGCGAGAGATCGAACGTGGGCTCGAGCACCCTCCCCTGGCGCACTCTCTCTCCCACTCCACAAACGCCCGGTGCTTTGGACGGATCGAAAACGATCCTCGGAGTAGTGCGAGCAAAGAGGGAATGGTCGCCCATCTCAAAAAGAAGATCATGGCTACCATTGGACGGGGGAAGTGACGGGTTATGGGGCCACAGCCTTCTCTCGGGGATGGCTCGGAGGCCCGCCATGCACCATGCCTTGGCCTCGGAGCACTTGTCCTGGATGGGTAGGAATGTGCGCGCGCACGGTATTTGAGGGTTGTGTGACTGGGGGTTTGGATGAGGAGTGGGGATCGGATCCCCCAGTCTTTCGGCTTGCGAACATGTGTCTCGTGCTCGTGATTGGGTCCGTGGTGGATGTGGAGGAAGAAGGTGTTATTGCAGACACGAGAGGATCGGCCGCGAATCTTCTTGGCCGATGCCGATGCGATACCGGAGAATTTCCTTCGAAGGCCATTCCCCTTAGTAATTGTTCGATCATATCATGAAAAGAGAAGGTAAGCATGGGAACTGTGGAGTCAGGGTCCTCAAAGCTAAATCTGAGTTCGAGGATCTGCCACCCCCAAGGCAAACTAAATCATCAACCGACAATAAGAAATGTTCTGACTAAAAAGGTCCCCTTTATTCTGTCCCTTTCTTCTCTACAGCTAATATGCTTTTCTTTCCCAGTAATTCGTCTTTCATAGGTAAAGGAGCATTTAGCTAGAAATTTGTATGTGCTCTGTATCATAAACTTACGGCACTGCTATAGGTTTTGCGTAAAGAAAATACAAGACTAATGGCGGGCGCGAAGTCATTGTTTATGCTTGTTGGCTTGCCAAACGATCTCTTCGATCCTCACAAGAAACAGATTCAGCCCGAGGTTTCGACAGCCAGCACTGGCAGGTGTTGAATTCATAGGACTACAGCCCCATACAGCCCGGGTATTGGATACCGCACTCTAGATTCAGTGGTTACGTGTTGCAGTACCGCCACCATTCACGCTTGGGAAATGCTGACGTGCTCCCAAACATCAAGAACAGCTTTGAAAATATCAAAAATTTAGGTGGCATTTTCGAGAAAAAGTAATAGAAGCTTGAAATAAGCTCGTCTCGTGAAGAAAAGTCCGCCCTCTTCCAAGAGGCGTCGTTGTCATTGAGCCACCCTATTCATCTAAAGGCCCCCGTTAACAAACGCTCGACGCTTGTCAACCTAACGAGAAGCTTCACGAGTTGGGAACTGCATGGACAGCAGTTTGTCAAACTGCGTAAAAGACCTGGAGAGTGCTGTGGATCGCTTTTTGGAACTTGTATATACCTCGTTTTATGCAGATACATCTCAAGCAGATGACTCTATGCAAGCAGTATGTCAGATATTAAACATAATACAAGCAATTAAAACTGGCTGGAATTGTGTAGATGGCATTCCTTTGTTCACGCGCATACAAAGCATCACAATATTGCAGAACATACAGTCTGACGGTCCAACCGTTATTCACCACACTACGATGCCACTTAGGCCCTCTCAAGGGCAAAAGGGTGTACTGGAGCAAACCAAATCGAGGGTCCATTCTGGCGTGGTCAGCCAACGTACCATGTTTGCGATATCCCACGTCTCTTGTCTATTTCCGAAAATGACCGGAACTGCCGATAGCTGCGTGCCCTGGTTTTATAGACTTCTAGGGTTTGATAAAACTACGCTGCGTGTATACGTAACGATCTCATTGAGCAAGGCTTCTTTCATAGTTTACGAGTTTGTTCTCTACTTGTATGTACAAACAAGAGCAAAGCCGGATATTGTCCTACAAATCTGGCTCCCGAATTTGACACACCGCAATGTGGTTGCCATGAGATAGCTTGACAGCCACGGAAGCTGCAAGAGTGACCTCTCAAGCGGATTTCCGGAGACAACTCGAGACAGTTCTTGTCGAAATACCCGGCTTATCCCTCGTAGTCTACAAGTCTGATGAGCTTGACAGTGGCAAATATTGCCGTAAGGATATCCTTCAAAGACTGAAGACATCCATCATTCGTTCCGACTCCTGTGTGATGATTATCAGTTGGGAAGCCACATCCCCTGGGATTCCATTGACATCCAAAGAAGTGTCAAATCCGGTGTTCTTTCACGCCGCTTCATCCAAGAAAGACGTGAGAGAAGATGACAATAAGTTTTCTGATCATATAGAGAAAAAAAAACCATTGTCTCATTAAGAATAGCCGAAGCATCAAAATTTAGAGTAGATGGATGACAAAGCCTGTTGCATGTTCTTGCGGATTGGAATGCAAGGAATTCAGCTGGAAGATTTCATAGGCAGAGGTGTCCTCGAGAAGGTTGTAAACAAAATGCTGATGGGCCTTCCTCGCGTCTATAAACACCTGGATGAATGTCTGATACCTCAAAGAGGATGAAAAATAAAGGGCCATTCCAATTCTCCAGTGGGAGATGTTCGCACTCAAGCCACTTGCTTATCTTAGAGTTAACAGAAGCTCTGTTGATTGATCCAGAAGCTCTTCCCGATCACGTCTGCGCGGATGATATTCTTTAAATCACAGAGAGCAAGATCGATAGCGGAGGTTAGACTCCTATGTGGATCATCTCTGGAGATTCAAGTTGGATTTGCACCTGGATCCCATAATATTATGCTGGAACGCAGGACGTTACGGTGAAATTCCTCGCTCCGCCGGGTTCTTTGCCTGCATGATGCATTGCTCAAACCCACCAGAACAAGCAATTATCAGACAAAGAACAGGAGTTCCCGCTCCACCCAGAGCAAAGACAGTTGATTCAAGAGTTTAGTAAAAGTGGCGCGCAAGATGTATACTGTAATACATGCAACCCGGTATGTCTGTTTTCTCCAAAGTGTTGTTCTTTCACCAATGAAGTAGCACATCGATGGCCTAAGGTTTCCATGCCTAAGTGCATCAATTTCGACTACTACTCTATGTGCATGTTATACTTTGAACATTCGCATCCTGGACGTGGCTGGAAATGTAACGTATGAGAACGAATTGTTGAACTGATTTTTCCGAGCCCCATGCTGTATTTACATGCATCTCCTGGACTGTGAAATGCGGCCTGAATCCCTCTCGCAAATCCCATATACTTGGATCTTTGAGACCCCGAAGTTCCCGTCAAGCATCGCTAAGTATTGGTGAGTGGTTATCGGTTGGTCCGGTTGGTCCGTTACAGGAAAAGGCGTGGTATTTTGCCATTTGACCGTGATCTTCTTCGACTGGCACGAGAACATGGGAGGAGCTGTATTATGATCATTTCTGCGTAGCATGATCTTTTTATACGTGAAAACATAGGGACCATTCCTTCGTGAGACCTGAAGATTCTTCAACGGTTGTACATCTTACAGACTATTCGAGATCAATTTACTTAGTATTGTAATCAAGCCGAGTGATTGAAGCTCTCATACAGATATGTTTACTCCCAAATACGTCCTGATGAACGACCCAGCCACTCCTAGTCAGTGTTGCAATACTCAACGAACCAACGGAGTAAAGCTTGCAGTGTCTTCTCACTAGCCGGATACAGTAACGATTAAAGCCAAAGGATCATTGTGTCGGTGCTCATGAAGAAAACATTGCCTAAGCAAAACTGTGTCCAAGTCTCAAGGCTTAACAGCTAAGGGTCCAAGTCAGCCTCGCAAAAGCAAGCGGTGAGAATGGGATGGGAAACTAGCCACTCACGGATGAGTCAACCAGGCAACAGTGGACACGAGCCACAACAAGGCTGACACAGCCTCGTTCCTCCACAGACCATCACAAACATTTAAGAGTAGCTTCAAAGCCATCAATCCATCGCCTTATGTACCTTCACAAGCCACGATACCTTTTCAGACTTTCTATTCCCATCCGCTGCCCACACCATCGCAAATCGTGGACGACCAGCGCCACCTCCGCAAAATCAAAGCCACTCACCGAGGCTGAACACATAACCCCACACGAAAAACTCTGCACCATCGAAAGAAAGAAAAGAAGGATTCAAATAACTGGAATATTCAAAACCATGGCGTCCCCACCGACCACCAACACCCCCGCCATCCCATCCTCCTTCCTCCGCGGCCCTGGCCCCCGCACTCTCTCCACCACCCGCATCAACTTCACCACGACCCCTCTGCCGCAGTACGGAAACTGCTACGCGACCATCATCGACGACGCCCTCACGCCATCCGAATGTGCCACCATGCTCCGGCTGGCCGCCGCCAGCAGCACCACCAGCGCCTCTTCTGATGAGCAGCAGCCTTCCTCCGCCGAAGGCGGCATCTGGGAGCGCGCCATGATCAACATGGGCGGCGGCCGCCAAGCGCTGGCCGTCGAGACGCGCAACTGCGGCCGCATCATCTTCGACAGCGACGAGATCGCGGCGCGGCTGTGGGCGCGCGTGGCGCCCCACGTGCCCGAGCTGGCCGTGCTCGAGGGCGAACGGTGGTGCATGCCGCCGGCCAAGCAGTGGACGACGGGCCGCGAGTGGGACGAGGGCTGGGGCAGCGTGCTGCACCCGCGGCAGGTGCAGCGGCGCGAGCGGTGGCGGTGCGCCGGCCTGAACGAGCGGCTGCGCTTCCTGAGGTACGAGGGCGGCGAGTACTTCAAGCCGCACTGCGACGGCGTGTACGAGCGCGAGAGGAAGGAGGGCCCCGACGGCAAGATGGCGCCCGTAGAGCGCTCATTCTTCACCCTTCACCTGTATCTTAATGACGGCGAGGAGGTTAGAGGCGACGAGGATAGGGAGAGGAGGAGCCCGTTCATCGGCCGCGTCGAGGGCGAGCCGGAGGAGCCGCTGATGGGCGGCGCTACCACTTTCCACGGCCCGGACGACTTTTTCACCTTGTCTTTTGGTGACCCTGACTCTGAAATGAGGAAGAGAAAGGTGGATGTTGTGCCGAAGGTTGGGAGAATCCTGCTGTTCCAGCACCGGAACATAGTGCATTCGGGAGATGACGTAGTGGGAGGCGTAAAGTACACGATGAGGACAGATGTGATGTTTACTAAAGAGGAAAATCAGGAATAGGAGGGATGAGTGCACTTCCAAATAGTTGGATTATTGCAGATGCAGACCGGAAAATGTCCTCAGTATTTCCTGTTCACAAAGCGCTTGGGTGTCCTGTCAGTTGGACACAAGTTGAAAGTATCAGTCATAAACTCGTAAGCATTCCGAAAGTCTTACCATACTTTATCGTAACAAATGTGTAATTGTCGAGGGTGATTAAAGCCTTCATCTTGACGATATGGTGAGCAAGAGCAACACCAGAACCATCAACTAAGGCTTCAACTGTCCATCTTGGTCACACTTCATCCAGCAACCACTACCTGTGACTGGACCCTCCACATCAGTGCCAGAAATCCCACCCTTCATCCTCACTTGTCCTTCTCATCCTCCTTGTTCTCCTTCTTCGGCTCGAAGTCCAAGCTATTTCCGTTGTAGTACTCATTTCCCCTTTCACCCTGATCCCTCAATGTCCTGATCCTAATTCCACTTCCGCTTCCACTTCCACTTCCATTGGCCCCTGTACTCCCTCCTACTCTGCCTGAGCTCTTCCCCTGCCCCTGTCCGTCTTGTGCCCCACCGACTGTAGCCCCACCATCGCCGCTGCCGCCTTCCTGACCGCCTCTGCCCCTCGCAAAAGGCGCAAAGAACGTTGCCAGAAGCGCCGCAAACATGTTGTATAGCTGGACCATTGCAACGTAGATACTGCCTACGTACCCGCCACCAAGGCCCGAGTAAGCACCAACGGCATTCTTGACAGGAACCAGGACAAGGGTCGCGCTTGGCATGATATCCGGAAGTTCGTTAAGTGGTTTCGTTTCGTCTGAAGGGCTCAGGGTTCGGTTAGGGAGCGGTGCAAGGATATGTTTGAATGAGTAAGGCGGAGCCGAGGGGGCTTTGCTCGAGGACGAGGAAGGTCCTGGGCCGCTGCTGAGCGCCCAGTCAACGCGCGGGCGTACATCCGCTTGTAGCGTGGCCGTGGGCGAGAAGTACTCGCGAACTTGGCTGCCGTCGAGCAGGCGAATGCGAAGGCAGACGTCGCCCGATTTTGCGGTTGGGCCCCGGCTTGCTCCAGATATCGAGGCCCTCTTTGCAGTCTCTGATACTGGAGACATGGGAACCGCGAATTCCGCCCCTGCGAACTCGTGAAGCTCCGCTTCACGTTGCCGCTTGCGCAGCTCTTCCCGCTCCTTGCGTTCTCGCTTGTCAGCCTCCACGCGCTGAAGAATGCGGTTGAGCTCGTCCTGCTGAGCCTGTTTGCGTATCTTTTCCTGTGCTGCGTAACTAAGCTGTTTAGAGTCTTTCGACCCCGCAGAAGCTACTTCCTCGTCAACAGCCTTTCGCTTTCCAGCAGCCTTAGCAGCGCGTGCGGCAGCCTCCGCTTCCTGTCTTACTTGATGGTCGGCCTCGAGGCGAGCCGCACGGTCGGGGAAGAGTGAATTGAGGTCGGCACTGGATCTGGGTTCGGAGGTGGCAGCGTTTTGAGTCGAGTCTGCTGGGTTCGATGTAGAAGGAGAAGTCTCAGTCGGGGAGATTGCGGGTGGGGTGGTCGCTTGCGCAGCCGGTGGTTCGTTCGTTATTGAGTCGGACTCAGGTTGTACTGGCGTAACATCGTCCGGTGTATTGTCCATCGTAGCTTCCGTTGCAGTCATGTTTGAGCTCGGCTCTACGACGTCTGGGTCCAATACGGCTCTCAATCTGCTGGTGAAGTCATCGCGGCTGACTTCTCCCAGTAAGCACAGCTTCAATTGTCCGTTACTGAACAGCTCACAGATTAGCGAATTCCTCAAATCTTGAGCATTCAGCTCTTCTCCCCACGCAGAAAGTTAAGACACATACTGTATGACGACGAGCGCAGGCGTCTTCGGAATTGGACAGAATGCGGACAAGAACCCGGCTTCCTGGCTCCCGGCTTCAAGGCGCAAGGCAACCGTCTTCTGGGCCAGGAGCGTGGCAAGCTATGAGGGAAAACGCGTTAGTGATCTGGCTTCTAGAGCCCCCAACCGGGTTGCTCTTTAGTGAAACTCACTGGTTCACTGCTTAACCACTCGTCCTCCCATGTCCCACTCTCTTCACTCGCGTCTACCTTCGCAGGTCCTGTCAGAGACGCCCAGAAATATATCTTCGAGGCCTTGAACTGGGAGAGATGGTCCACCCTTGGGGGGCAGTCGGGATGTGGGGCACAGCAAATGTCGAGAAGCTACGCACCTCGCACAAAGCAAACGACCGACTTGGCCTGCTGGAGAGCGAGCGAGATGCCGCTCTGCAAGTCGCCCTGGTGAAACATTTTCTTTTTCCGGGCGGTTGGACGTTTCTGGAGAGAGGAACCGGAAGACGCGCGAGGGAGGCAGAGTAGGCACCAGTCAGTAGTGCGGCGCGGTCAAGGTTGCGAAGACACGGTAGCTTGCGGAGCTTGGGAGCTCGGCTAGGCTAGGCTAGGCTTCGCTGCTGCCGCCGAGACAGAGGGTGGCCGAAGCACCTCGGGAACACCGTGACGGAACAAGGTCAAGCTTGGGATTGCGTGTGGCGCCGAATGCGGGTCCGGGAGGCCACGCGAGCTGCAAGCCGGGGCAGGATTGTACGAGATCTCTTACTTCGCTTGTCGGCTGCAAGCGAAGATGTCGTGGCCATCTGCATCCGAGCCCTCTCACACCCACGTTTCACCCTTGGTCACCTTCTTGTGCCCCGTACCAGCGGAAGTGGAAAGGCTTTCGTCAAAATCCACGTCGATAAAAATATCATCTCGTGCACATCTGAATCGCACGGGTATATCTCAGCCGTTGCGGATGACGGTAAACATACAACTTTTGTAAACCTTGGTGGCGACCAACCAGAGTGCACTTGAGTTTCGTTATAGCTTGATGAGCTTCAACATGAGCACTAAGGATCACGCTTTGCCGAACCAGAGCCAGCATGCGTGGCAAGGAACGGATCGCCCACTAAGGAAACGAGACAAGATCGGTCCCGCATAACAACTTCATCACGCGTATTGGCAATCGAACTGGCGATCTTCGTGAGAATGATTGCTCAGCTGTTCATGGTGCCAGTGCTGCTATTCAACAAACTCGTACCCCTGCCATGTCTCAAGGCGTGCGATCCGCGTGCTCTCCCAAATCCTGCTTCATCCATCGCGGCCCGCACTTTTGCTCTTTGCCCGCAAAAAAACATGGAACGACTTCTGCTCATCATCATCATAGCCACACGCACACGAGTCATACACATCTGCCAGCTCTTGCGTATCAAAACAAGAAAACAGACTGAGCATGGAGAGAAACGGAGAGAGTAGAAAAGCTATACAATTACCGGCGCGTACTTTGAAGGCACCCCATGATTATGAAAGCGAAATTTCTCCACTACTGTGCTTTGAATCCAGCATGATGCCTTGCTTTGCCCGTTGCTCCACGCACTATCTACAAGTGAACTAAAGAGGGGAATCCCTCCTCCAAACCCAGATCGACACCTGTTTGCTACCGCCCACTGCTTACCCGAGGAAGAAAGAAACTGAAACCAGCGATGAGAGTACTGTAAGGGAAAAGAGAAGTGTCCCGCCGTCGCGGCTGCGCGCTTGTGGCCGACCTCGAGCAGCACCGGACCCACTGTCCCAGACTGCAAAACTGCCTTCAGATATCGCGAGGTGAACAGGCTTTCTCTAGAGATTTCATTGTCATGCTCCGCCGCAAGTCATGCCACTCGTCAAGGTGCACCGGTCTATATCATTAGGGTGTGATGCGCGTTTGACGTTTCTCCGTAGCTCCTTCATAGGACGACACACTTGCTCTTCTTCGGCTTGGCGGCGGGCCTCGGGCTCAGAACGGCGCTGTTCAAAGTCTATTAGTATTCAACCGTTCCTTCCAACGCCTCGCATTGTTATGGGGACTTCTCACCGGATAGCCTCGTCGAACACGCTCTTCAAGTTACGCTGCGTAAGGGCGGAGCACTCCAAGTACTTGTGGGCCTTGATCTCCTTTGCGACCTGAACAGCCTGCTCATACTGAATGGGTGCCATCTTCTTCTGCCTAAGGCTCTCCCTGGTAGCCTCGTCATCTCTGAGATCGAGCTTCGTGCCGACGAGAATGATCGGGACACCAGGAGCGTGGTGCTCAATTTCGGGATACCACTACAAAAGAAGCGTGAGTGAACCGTGCGTCCAGCAGGGATGGAAGGGCGCGCACCTTGGCCTTGACGTTGTCGAACGAGGGCGGGCTGACAATAGAGAAGCAGATGAGGAACACGTCGGTTTGCGGGTACGAGAGCGGGCGAAGACGATCGTAATCCTCCTGACCAGCAGTATCCCAGAGACCCAAGCTGATGGGCTTGCCATCAACCATGACATTGGCCGAATAGTTATCGAAGCTGCCAAGCTACATCAGCTCCGTTTGTCACAATAAAAAGGCAGGAGGGGCCCGTACACTGTCGGAATGTACTCGCCCGGGAAGGCGTTGGTCGTGTACGAGATCAGAAGGCATGTCTGGACCGACGTCAATGGTTGCGCGCATGGGAGCAGGGCGGGAGAGGCATACCTTGCCGACGGCACCGTCACCGGTGACGACGCACTGCAGAAGCGGTCAGCGAGCGTCTCTTTGCATCTTGAGCGGACGGAAGCGTACCTTCAGGGACTGCGTCGCAGGTGCAGCAGCCATTGCGGAGGTGTTGGGGTGCGGGTATCAGACGGGGACGAAGGCTGTTCGCGTTGGGAAGACGCGGAGGTAGCTGCAGAGGAACGGAAGCTTGACGGATGCACCGAGGGACTTCGGCCAAGCTGCGGACGGCGGGCCGTGGCGGTCAGCGACAGGAGTCTAATCGGAGCGGGCTGGTGACGGTGGTCCGGCGGAACTCACCACGAGTTGCCGTCGAGGTTGCAGATGCGCTAGCCGCGATCGATTCGGGGGGGTTGGGTGCAGAAGATCCAGCAGTGTGGACGCGACGGGAGCGCTGGGGATGTGTCGCGGCGACGCTGGGAGCTTGCAGCAGGGTATCCGGTGGTCTGACGAAGCGCGGGAGCGTGGAGCTCTTGGGCGGTCGGTGAGGACGGACGGTTGGCCTTCGCGATGGCGGCGACGGTGAGAGGTGGTTGGTGTTGCAGACGCGACCTGGGCGTGGCGAGCTCAAGAGCCTTTCGAACGGACTCGCGGGCTTCACGGTGGCGGCGAGAGCGGAGTCGGTCAAGTGTTCCAGCGATGAAGCAGGTTGTCAGAGGGGTTGCAATGTGCCGGTGCAAGTTACGGGGGTTCGTTCGGCTCTAGCTTGCACGGATTGGCGCCGCCAAATCAGAATACCTATCACTCCTGTGCTCCCATCGCCGACGCGCCCAAAGACGCGCCGCAGCCCCAGGCCGGCCCTGCTGCCTGCGACAGGTGGCTAAGACGGCCCCGCTGCCAGCCAGCTCCCAGCAAGCCACGCCGCCGTCCGTCCCACCGCGCGCCTGCTACTCGGCAGTGCTGCATCAGTGCGCATCTTCAAAACCCTTGCAACGTCGCGCGAGGCAAGGCCGGGGCCACGCTCTGTTTCGACCTCCATTGCGGCCGCTGCCCACACCGCACCTGCGCCCAGCCACCTGAATCTTGTGGCAATGATTGACTTGCCGCGATTCAGGCCAAGCCGCCCGCGTCTGCGGCGTCTTCACCTCTCGGCCGCTCGCTGCTCTTAGGTTCTCAACCTACCCGAGATGAGCACACGCGCGTCGGCAAGGACGGCCAATGGGTTTCAGCGCCTGCTATAGCAGGGCTAAGTATTGTATACGCCACCGAGCTTTGCGGGCATCGGACACGCCAAACGCACACTTTTATTTTGGCCGCCTAACTCATAGATGCCGCGTCGCTGGCCACTGATGATCGCCGGCATGACCTTGCAACGCCGCCACCAACAGTCCCTGCTCTACATGTATCCATCACTCGCGGGCCGTGCCGGAGTTGCCATCTATCTATACCACTGGAGCTGCGTCATGAAGCCATCATAGTCCCACCATTTCCCTGCGGCGTCTTGAGCTTCGGGCAGCCCTGATTCTCAAACCCTTCATCTTTTATCGCTTGATTGTCTTACGAGAACCCGTAGCCGTCTGAAACTCTTCGCAAACTATCGGCTCGGACCCATACCTCCGTAATTCCAGATCCGCAGCGTGACGGTACTAGAGTCTTTGTATGCAGATTTGATATACGGACTGGTCTCGCCCGTTGTGCAGTCTATGTTCTCGTCGAGACACTGCGAAGCGAGTGTCCTCTCAATAGAAGATCACCTCAATTTTCTTCTCCGGCTGACCATACCGACTCTTGAATTCTGAGCGAGCCAGAAGTTGGGCGAGTTCTTTCTGGACTTCTTGATTTTCCATAATTCCGCGTTTTTTCACGTCGATGTGCGACGCATCCACGACAATTCTCTCGAGACTCTCGCACGATAACGCACCTGTTGAGGATTAGTATCTATTTCTGGACGTCTCTGTGGCTGCACAGGATTTTTTTTTTTAAACACCAGCAAAGTCAATGAGCAACCAATACTTTTGCCCGTCTGTGTAGGATGAATGTTTCTGCTTCTTCCAGGAGCTTGTTGCGATGAAAAAGGACTTTGTGAATTTGATCCCAACTTACCGTTGTCAAGCAGGTCAATGATTCTCTTCGGGGTGCCTACGCCTATGTTCATCTTGAATTTCTTGCAGTTCTCAATCGCCTCTTGCAGCTTGATGTGCTTGGCGAAGAGCTTTGTGACTTTGACACCCTTGTCTTCGAACTTCCTCAGAGCCCTGGATTTAATCAGATCTCTGACATTCTTTTCTTTCCTCATTTTTTTGCAGCAAGAAAAACATACCTGACCATATCTGCCGCTCTCAAACCGGCCATGGCAACAACAAGCGTATGCGGCCTGCCCTTCTCTTTTGAAGTTTTCTTCAGGTTGCGCTTAGCGTAATTTTCCAGGAAGGCAGGAAGATGTTCTAGATCTCTCTGCTGCTCCCAGTTGCTAGTGTCGAGAATCGCCTTCTCTGAGATGTTGTTAGCGGGACTTTCTAGCACCGTACAACTCAGGAAATTAAGCATGAGACAGCGCACAAAGAAAAGCGCCTGGTTGGCCGAAAAATGGTGGGTAGCACCAACGTAAAGCATACCTGGAACGTAGCGGTCCTCCAACTCCACCATGCTGAGGTCAGGCTCAAACCGCTTGGTCCTTTGCGCCATGTAATCAGCCAGCAACTGGCTGTCCATACGTCCGATGGCCAAATTCAAACCAAGCTCTTCGTTCAAGTCCTCATTGTCGGCGTTCTTCGGCTTTTTATTCTTTCTCTTCTCTGCCCGCTTGCTCTGCTTCGGTTCGACGTCATCTTCCCTCTTCCTTTTTCCACCCTTCGCAGGTGACGGTGACCGCAAGAATCCAGGTTCGATGAGCGGCACACCAGCTCCATCCTCTGAGTCCGACATGGTGTGATCCCGATTTTCACGAGGTGGGTGAAGTTTTTGAAGCGTAGTTCTGGTAGGCGCAAGAGAAAAAAAGTGCCAGCCATTTAACTATCGGGGCGATAAGGCCCTAGCGCCAGGTAACGACGCGTCTCCCAGCCGCCGACGCGACACTCTACTCGCCTGCTTCTGCGACCGCAACCACACCCTCAATTGCCGTAAACGCCACGGCTATCGACTGGCCACCATGGCCGAACCTCCGTCTAAGCGTGCACGTACTACACCTTCTAAGTCTAGCAGCAACGAAGCTGCAGCGAACAACGAGGCCGCATCAACCAACGCAACGCCCCGCGAAGACGTAAGCAGCGCCCTCCTTCATCTCACAATGCGCCTCACTAACAGATGCCATTCCCGCAGCTACGCGCGCTCGCAAATGTTCTCAACCAACAACAAACCCGCACGCCTCTCCGTGCCGCCAGCGCCGGTCCGAGCCACACTCCCAGCACCGCCGCACCACAGCCAGCCCGCACGCCTCGAGCCATCAACGCCCGCCAATTCCCTGTCGCACGACGAGTAGGCGCCCCGACGACACCGCATGCAATCCGGGCGCTCCAGGCGCGCCGCGACGCCGCGCTGGCCGCGTCCGGCGGACGGAAAAACAGGCGGCGCAGTATTGTGCAACAGCAGGAGACGCCGCGAGACATCCTGCGAGCCTTGAGTCGGCGTGAGTGGCCTTTGAGTATGAGTGCTGGGAACTAGCTGCATGCTGAAACTATGAGTAGGCCTGGCGCCCATATCACAGCGGATCATACCCTCGCCCGATTACCAGCAGATGACCACAAGACGTAGGCCGGAAGGCGATGACTTAGATGAAGGACCAGATCTGCCCCGCCCACGCCTCTCAATGCCCATTAACGAGGATGAGGATGATAGCTTTCATGAAGCACCACCACGACTGTCGCTGGCACTCGAAGACATGGATACTACGGCTCATTCATTGGAGGGCGGAAGGCGTGCTGTGAGCGAGGATCCGCGGCCACGGCTATCCATGGCGCGTCTGAGGCTGAGCGAAAGGTTTGGTGACGATATGGACGTACTGAGCGAGGAGGGCGGAGCCGAAATGTATGACGGAACGATTGGGCCGTTGGTATTTGATGGCGAGCCCGACGATGTTTTGGGTGAAGAGATCACGACCAGATTTGAAGAGTATGGTCTCCCATTGCTGAATATCCTTGGTAAAGACGGAAGTTGACTTTGAGCGGCAGTGATACAACACAGGAGCTCCGCGCAATGCTCGCATCACGGCGCCGCTCCCGTGTTAGCGACATTGACCAGCCAGCAGGTGCTGATCTGGACGATGAACCGACATTCCGTTTCAAAATGCCTGGTTCCCGTGATCCATCTCTGTTGTTTCCGCAGCAAGAAGAGGAAGAGGATGAGCAGGAGGCCGCAGACGATGAAGGTGTCGCAGAGGATGAAGATGCGGTGGATGAGGAGGATGCCGAAGATGCTGTGGAGGGGGCGGCCGATGCACTACCGGCCGCCGGTGAGGAAGACGAAGAGGATTACGAGACCGAACCGGACGCCGATCAAGATGTGGAAATCGAAGAGGACGAGCAAGCTTTAGAATCACAACTCCGCCAAGGCTCTATCCCCCGCTCCGCATCACCCTCTTCAAGGCCGAAGAAGCAAACGACAGCTCGGCGTAAGTCGTTGAAGGTATCCCGTTACGGCACGCCGTACCCATCTCTCCCGTCGAGCGTCACCAAGCGGCTGGCAACCAGTTTTGCCCGGCTTCATAGTGGACCCACGACGAAGCTGAGCAAGGACACGCTCGATGCTATTTCACAGGCCTCGGACTGGTTCTTCGAGCAAATTGGTGAAGATCTCGCTAGCTACGCGGAGCATGCTGGACGTAAAACAATTGAGGAGGCGGATGTGTTGACTCTGATGAACAGGTATGTGGTCGTCTCGTTATATTTCTCTTGTGTTCAGTTGTATCAATGGGGTTCTATGTTACAATATGACTACAAAATTTGGATTGCACGGCATGGAAGCTCTCCCGCCACTATGCGCATCCAAACACCCTATTGCACATGATCTAGGAGCTGACGCGGCTTACCATACGCAGACAGCGCCAAGTTAATGCATCGACAACGCCCTTCTCTCTCGCGCAGAAATACCTGCCACGCGAACTACTCCAGGAAATCCGCATGCCGCAGGCGACGCTGAAGTCAAAGCGCTCTACTGCTCGGAAGAGAAATAGAATGGAGATGGAGACGATCGATGAGGAGGCGGAGGAGTGAATGGGGCTGAAAGGTCCATAGGACTACTGAACTGGAGCATAGAAACCCTGGTATCATGGCTTATGTTGCGTCTAATGCATGCTGCCAAAGAGTCTACCATTCTCTACTCTGGCGAACACGGCGCGCAACGCCACCAGCGGGCTTCTTGATGACCATCCAGAGCATGATAGATGTTGCGGCGGAAAGGGCGTACCTGGGCGGCGTTAATTAGTTTGCTGGTCCTGCTTTTTATTTGCGCATGATACCCGTGGAAAGGTACAAGGTAATGAGTTATGAAGGTCAATTGAGGTCTGATACGTACCAGGTGAAAATGTACTGCGTGTGGTTGTTGCGAAGATTGACTTCCGGTGCCCGACCTTGGGGAATGCCCTTGGCTGCGCGGTCCATAGACTCGATAAGGTCCGGCTCTGTTTAGGTAATTCAGGTCAGCCTTCAGTCTCGGGCATTGCCAGTTTCTACAAGAACGAGAGGGTTGGACATACTCATCGTCTCCTCAATCCACACAGGCTGCGTGCCCGCCCATTCCGCCATCTCGGAGACGTCCGGAAAATACCATACGCCCTGTGCGGGCTTGTTGTCTGGAGTGAAGCTGTTCTTCTTCCACGGCTGCCGCAGCAAGCCCTGCACCGTGATCTCACCACGCGGCAGCGCCGCGGGATCTCTGTCCCTATGCATCTTCTTGTCCTTGGGGATCCAGCCCCTGTTGACCAGTATCGACGCCGTCTGCTGCTGTCCATCCTCACCGGCGCGCTCCAACGGTGTCACGACCAAGAATCCGTCCTCGCCATCGTTCAGGCGTGGGCCGACCAGCATCTCCTTGCGGTGGTTCAGCACACCCGTCGCGTAGACACGGCGGTAGTCGAAGTCGGAGACGGCGTCCGGGTCGATGCGAGGCGGCAGCGGCAGCGGAGGCTGAATCAGCCGGTCTTCCAGGCGTGCGATCAGGTCCGTCTTCCAGCCCAGCCGTTGCACCTGCCAGGTTCCGAGCGCGAAGGCAGTGATGGGGATGAGCGCTAAGAGTAACATCCAATTGTCAGCATTGAGGCGTCTCCAGTATTATATAACATGGGGAAATGTAAAATAAGCTTTGTATAAAGTACTGCGGGTTGGTGTGGAAGGGAATGCACCAAGTCGTACCTAGGATGATCAGGCCGGGGCCATGCCTCCGTCCTGTCTTGACCAGCTGTGCCGGCTGGTCGACGATGGAGGTGAAGGAGGGGTCGTCTCCGGGCTGTGGGCCAGGCTGCGAGCTCTGGAAGCGGCGCTGCTGCAACTGCTGCGGCCTCCTCCGCGCCGCGCATTGTGGGCACCGCCATTGTGGGCGCCGCAACGTCGATTCGGAAAGATTACGCAGGCCGGAGCCTGCGGGCCGCAGGAATTGGCGCACCAGCGACGGTGCGTTCATAGCGGGCGGGCTGGTGGGGTTGTGGGTTGTGGCGGAGAAGGTCGGAAGAGCAGCTGCTTGGTGTTTCCCGAGTCGTGATCTTCACGGCGTAGGGCTGAATGTTTTAGCGTAGAAACGTCATGGGTCTGGTCCCTGCTCTGCTCCTCCATCAACAACAACTCGGCGGAGCTTCATCGAACTTCCTAAAAGATGGCCGAGACACTGCCAACTCCAAGGGCAACGCCGGAGGTGGAAGAAAAGATGCCCATCGACATTGCTGGGAACCATCTGGAAGCCGCGCTCGATGAGCTGCTGAAACGCTACCTTCTGCTCCTCGACCAATACACCCAGGCTCGCCAGCAGCTCTCATCTGACCTCTCCTCCGTATGTTTTCTGAGCAGCATCAGAAGAGATAATGGAATAATTGCTCATTGAAAGCTCCTAGGGCTATATCTCTCTCGCACAAGCAAACTTCAACCCTTCGAGCCGCGTCCGCTATGGTCAGGACTTCTACGATGAGCGTATGCAGGCTCTGCGGCGGGTGTAAGTAGTCATTTCAATCATCCAAAAGTTCCCATATGCTAATAGAAGAGCACTAGAACCATAGGAGAGACAGAGTCGAAACTACATAGATCCATCCGCCTGCTCGAGCCTCCCGAAGAACCCACCAGCGATGAGACAAAAACGAAGACTGCTGATGCTACGGACAACAAAAAAGAGGGCACGGATAAGAATTCCACGGAAGAAGCTCCCGTCTCAGTTGCCGAGCTTAGCCTTGATCCCGATGCGAAAAATACAGCCGAATCCCCGGAAGCACAACCTGGAGAAGCCAGGGAACCGCCCGGTAGCAATGTGGATGGCAACGGGAACAAGAGAGACGATTCTGATAAAATAAAAGAGAAGGAAAAGGCCAGCAAGAAACCTCGGACAGACGATCCAATCCGCTGGTTCGGCATCTTCGTGCCACCTGCTTTACGCAGCGCCCAGGGTAGTTTCATACGTGCGGTGGAGGGCCCGGTGCCGAGGCTTTTGGACCTAGCAGCGGAGATGAGGGAGCTAGAGATCGAGATCGGGCGGGCGAGGAAGGCAATTAGGAAGAGCGCGAATTAAGTGAAAGGAGCAATTTGGGAACACTACTTCAACTTGGGAGGTCGGGGTCCACAGGTCCCATATGTGTGGCCCAGAGTGCCGGAACATCATTCATGTTGAATGTAAGAAAAGGTGTAATACTACAGCGCTATTACACATGGGATTATGGTAATTGTGGAATACATCTCTGGAAGCAGGTATTTTGACTCCTTCAACAATTTATGCTGAGACCGTTGACCAAGCCCAGCTCCATACCACTGCCTATGCCCGTTTCAAATTATTCCCCTTGGAAAGTTTTGCCCCCTGATGTTCTAGTAGCCAGCTCCGCTTTCCGCCCCCTTGTTGCCCTCCCCGACAATACCGTCCGCACCGACAGCCTCCCTCGCCTCCTTCATGATAGTCACACCAGAGCTTGCTCCGATTCTCTCCGCGCCCGCCAGCAGCATCTCCCTGGCGCTCGCGAGACCCCTGACGCCGCCGCTCGCCTTGACCCACATCCTATCCTTGCCCTCTCCTCTGCCAACCGCCTTGATCGTCGCCACCATCGTCCGCACGTCCTCAACGCTCGCGCCGCGGCCGTTGAAGCCGGTCGACGTCTTGACGCAGTCGATTCCAGCGAAAGCGGCGAGCGTAGTCGCCGCCACGATGTCGAAAGGCTGGAGCTGCGAGGTCTCAAGGATGAGCTTGATGGGGGTGTTGGGCGTGGCGCCGCGGAGGGTGGCGAGCTCAGTGAAGATGTTGTTGTACTCGTGAGCGAGGAGCTGCGGGTAGTTGATGACAACGTCGAGCTCGGTGGCGCCGGCGGAGACAGCGGCGGTGGCCTCCCTGCGATGGCGTTAGTTTATCCCTATTTGGATTCTAGACGCCGATGTAGTTTATGGGCTGCAGGTGAAGCTAAAGACGAGAGCTTACTTTACTTTCTCCTCTGTAGTGTAGGTGCCTTCGTGGAAGCCAACGACACAAGCCACGCCAACGCCGCTGCCTTGGAGGTTGGAGATGGTACGGGGAACCCAGTTGAGGCGGACGCAGACAGTCTGAGAGATATATTCTTTAGTAACCATGCCAAACCAAATCCAAGATTACAGCTAGTTTAGGTCAGGGGTATATCGATGCATGGTAAAGATTGTCGGTTGTCTTCAAAACGGCTTGGTTTTGAGCAGCTCTTCATCTACAGGTATGCAATCTAAGAATTCAGAGGGTCAAGAGCTGAATAAAACGAAGAGACTTTCAAAGCTCCTTGTAATGCAACAAATACAGCAAAAGAGACCGCAAAATGTAGCCATTAAACAGCAACAGAAGAGCCAGCCCACCTCTTTCTTGACGACAACACGAAAGATAAAACGTATAAAAAAAATAAAGGAATGACTGTTTTTGAACATACCGCGAACTTGTCCTTCTTCGCTTCCTCGCATACTGCATCAATCTGCGCTTCTGTGGCGTCAAGCTTAAGCAGTGTGTGGTCGACAGTCTTAGCCAAGCTCTCCAGCGTAAGTTTCGATACAACGTCCTTGCCACTAGACTGTTCGATTGCCAGCTTGTTCTGAGTTTCCTCCGCAAGCTTTTGCCAGTCGGCATCAGTGGAGGGGGCGGTCGAGAAGAGAGGCATTTTGCTGATGTTTGTCTTGCTATAGGCGGCAGGGTTGGTTGGGGATTGCGTGTGTGCAAATGTTTGCAAAACTATGTGGCTATTCGCCCAGGAGCGGTGCAGCTAGCTTCAAAGGTGGGAGGCGTACGAAGAAAAAGTGGCTTGCGTGCGGGGAAACGTGCCTCTTTAAAACGCCCAGACGAGGGCGTTGATACGGCATTGGGGCGAGAAAAAAAAAAAGCTGAGGACACGGAAAATGAGAAACACGGGCGCCGCAAAATACTCAAATGAGCAGGTGGGACCTAGGCGCGTGTGGTATTTCGCTGCAATCAGTTTAGCTGTGGGGTTGTCAAAGCGGAGATAGACTGGAGAGAGCCGGGCGTCGGTGGCCGCCGGTGGCCGCCGGCGGAATCTGCACGTTTCATTCGCTAGAGCTTCACAGTTCGTTGTACGAAAGCGTCATGGGCGGATACAATCGCGCATCATTTGGTTGAGAAATTGTGTTACAAGAAAGACCGCGAGAGCATGTTGTAGGTATCCTCGATGCTACAAACGGGTCCTCGCCTCCAGGCAGTGGAGGCTCATGCGAATGTCATCATCTCCCCTCCCAGCATGCGTTATACACAAAAGCAGAGAGGAAAAGAAAAGGGAAGGAGAGAGCTTTGACGCGCCAGAACCAGCAGCACACGCGGAGAAAGAAGCGTAATCATGTCGCCAAGATATCCGGAACTCCTGATTTTGTTCGATTCAGCCGCCGCCTTGCAGCGGTGCTGGATTGCTTCGCATTCGGTAACCAGGATGGATCCCTCTTCTATCCTGCAAGGTGATTCCGTGTGGTCTCTAACACGCCATTTTTTGAAAGTCCATGAATTTCGTGTCCCTTGGAGAAGCAACCGCCACCACCGTAAATTTTTCACAACACGCCCTGCACTGCCACTAGCTCATCGCGGCGAGTGATTTACTTCCTCCTGAAAGAGCAGCCCTCAGTAAGACGGGCCTTGCCACCGGTGGGCTGGCACAGGACCTGCGAGCAGCCCTGGCAAACGACAACGGTCTGGGCGTGCGAGAAGACGGTGGTGATGGTGAAGCAGCCGGGGCACTTGACGTCCATGAAGAAGGAGCGGGGGCCCGGAACAAGGGTCTTGGGAGCAGGTCAGCCAGCGTTCAGCGTGCAGCGGGCTGCAGGATGCCAACCTTGAGCTTGTGCTTGCGGGCCTCGGCCGCGGGAGTGGGGTTGAGGAGGTCAACGGCGAGAACCTGCACGCGAAAAAATGTCAGCACCGGGCTCCAGTCATGTCCATGTCGCATGGCCGCAAGTGGCCTCAATGGACTCAGGCTGGCCGAGTATCGTCCCCATTGCAGAAGCAAACGCGTGTGTCGTCGAGGTCGGTCGCGGGTCGTGTCCATGTCGTGTGCTTCGTGCAGCGGGTCGATTCGCCACCTTCTCCTCCTCTGACGGGCGCGGGTGGAGGGTCAGGCTCACCATCTTGACTGTTGTCGAGGATCACTGGGTTGCTGTTCCTTTGGCTGGTCGGCTCGGAGGCTTTTGGAAGTGGAAGCAGCGGGTGCAGGTGATTGTCGTCGATGGGAGTCCGAAGAGAATGAACTCAGGCAAGCGCGGCCGGTGGTTTCTTCCTGTGCGGAAGTCGGTTCGCTTACGATTGGGTACCTAAACCGCTTTAGGCCACTGACGCCAAGAATGTGCTCCCTCGCGCCTTCCACCTGCTTGCACAACCACGCCACACGAGCAGTTACAAGGCAAATCCTTCATTCACCTTCTCGCTGATGCGACATGCTTCTTTGAGAACGCTGGCCGATGAATCGCCTCCAAGGGCGCAGATTCGCTCCCGTGACTGGCAACGCTCGGATTCTGCTCTCCATCATCTTCAACATTAGTGCATTTGCCTCCAGACATTCAATGAAGCTACAAAATTTTATTTCTATAAATTTTGTTGGAAACTAAGTTAATTCAGTGCTCCACATGCACTTTCAGCGCCGGAAACGGTCGAGGATCCGCCGCTGATTTCAGGGCAACTCTTGGCCGTACCTTGATGGACTTCATGATTGATCACCAGCAGAACTCTACTGGAGCGTCCGACAGAAAAATATAGGGGGGTCTCGCAGCCGAAGGCTAGCGTGAAGAATAGTAAAGCCCCAGGCACAACTATGCCCCGGCTCTTTTCTTAGAAAAATGACGTTTGTGGGTAGGTGAAGCTATCGTCCGGACGTGTATGTAGAATTTTAAATTCGACATTCTCATCCGGACGATAGCTTCAACTACCCACGACGTGAGCAAAAATCCACGCTAGCCATCGGCTGCACGAGGGGACTGTATATTCAATTTTGCCCCAGGGTCCGTTTCTTCGGCCAGGCTGCATGCTGGAAGTGGGAGGGCCACCGCCTGAACCGGCCGGGGAATTCACCGCCTTTGCGCCCCAGAATGATGCGGGAATGGAACTCAAAGCACCTTCGTCCACTCAGTGCACTGGAGGATCCAAGACAGTTCTGGCTATTGTCTTAATTGCATACTAGACTTCATAAATAACCTAAACTGGACATGCAGCCTTTCGATATCGTGAAGATGCGCAGCGGCCTGGATCCTTAGCCGACCCCGCAGATGATTCATGAAGTCATTCCCAGGAGTTGCGGCAGTGTCCGCCTAGCGCGTACCCGACAGTGTCCCCAATCAGCAGCTGAAGTCCGACGAGCCGAAAGATCTGACCAAGAGGCCATCAGTCCTGGGTGTTACTGCTGTCCTGGAGTTCTCGCCGTTACTTTGATCTTTTGCCGCCAATGTGCCGGAGGCCAGTAGATGGATATCCAAGGTCGAGAAGCACAGTATGCGTTGGAGGACGCTGGGTGCTGCTATTATTTTCTTGGAACATGTGATATCCTCTTGTCATCAGCTTGAACACGAATCCTCATTGATACAGTCCTCTCTTGCAGCCGATGTTTTTTGCTCATGTCATGGGTAGTTGAAGCTATCGTCCGGACGAGAATGTCGAATTTTTAATTCTACATACACGTCCGGACGATGGCTTCAGCTACCCACGTATGTTATTTTTCTAAGGAAGAGCTGGGGAGCCCTGCTATTCTTCGCGCTAGCCATCGGCTGCGAGAGGGGGCTGTAGCTCAGCCCTGTGCATGATTCCCGCCTCCTCAACAGCGTGCAAATCCGTGGGTTTTGATTCGACATCGCGCACTTCCCTGTACGGATCCTGAGCAGCGGCGGCAAACATCCGTGCGTCGCGCATCTCGGCCTCCGGAACTTCTCCAATATTTTGCCAACGGCCTGCACTCAAACCTCGGCCATTCGCTCTTCCACGACCATCCTTACCCTTCCACCCGCCAAACTTGTCTTTCTCCAATCCATCGCAACAAAACAACACCACAATCATCAACCATGCCTCGCCAGTCCCGTGGTTCTGCTCCTGCCCGTCGCTCTGCGCCCGCTCCGGCGCCCGCCAGGCCCGCCGTTGCGCCTCCGCAGCCGCCGCACCAGCAGGCTCGCCCTGCTTCGACCGCCGCCCACCCTCCGGCACCCCAGCAGGCCCAGCCTCCGATGCAGGCTCCTCAGTCGCAGGGCCCCGGTCTTTTCGGCCAGATGGCCAGCACTGCTGCGTGAGTAGTCCCAAAGTTCCCGAAGGAGGAGTTTGCGAAAAGAGCAAGTCAACGGGGGAAATGCGCGATGGAGTTGGTGCCATCACCGTCGCCGCTGCGCCGCGAAGCCAGAATGCCTTCGTAAAGCCGTGCGCTCGGCCGAAATATAGGATGGAATGGTGGTGGCACCGACGACGCTGCCTCCCAACGACGGAAACCGGGTGGCGCGAAAGCATGTGTCCGATCAGAAGAGGCTAACCAACTCATCTACAGCGGCGTCGCCGTCGGTTCTTCCATCGGCCATGCCATCGGTGGTCTCTTCAGTGGCGGCTCCTCCGCTCCCGCCGAAGCTCCCCAGCAGCAGACTGCCGTCGCCGACAGTTACAGCCAGCAGCAGAACCAGAGCTCTGGTGTGTGCGCCCAGGACATCAACAACTTCAGGAAGTGCATGGACGAGAACCAGGGTTCTCTGACCATCTGCGGCTGGTACCTTGACCAGCTGAAGGCCTGCCAGCAGGCCGCCAGCCAGTACTAAGCAAATGTGGTTGCGCTTGGAGAGAAGGAGAGGACATGGGGTTAGAAAGTCTTGAAAGCACTTAGCCGGAGGTCATTGTATTATCCTAAAAATCAGCCATCGAAAAGGCAAAACATCCCACTCTACAGCTAATACCATTATCCATCTCATTTCCTTGTCACTTAGAGGTGTCTCTGAAGGATATGGGATTTCCGGCTCAGCACGATTTTACTCCTAAGATGCTCTCCTATTTGCTAGTCGGCTTAGAGGTACTTGTTGGAAGTGCATGAGTTTGGTGTATGGTCGGTATAAGTTCTTCTCTAATCAGCCGTGGAATACTACTTCGGGCACCGTGCTCTATTGGATTTACGAGTTGGTGAACTTTTATTTCATCTAACTCACGGGGTCTAGTGTTATCATATGTGTCTTTGAGTCAAGCTGATTGGCGGAAAAGAAGGGAATGAAAGCAGGTTCAAGGTCTCATCTTGAACCGTCGCCAATATGTTGTCCTTTTGTACTCATCGCCGAAGCCCCACTTTTCGTCGCTCATATGCACGCCCGGGCTGGACCATATACCAAATAGGAAAAGAAAGTGGTTTTGCAAGCGCGCACGCGCTTGTACGTACGCGCTCGTACATCATGGAGAAGTTTCTAAAGAATTGGCTCATAGTTAGGCTGCCACCCCCTCGGATGGTCGACTCACGGCGACGTATGCCTTTTTTATTTTTCTTAAGGCGGAACAGCATGTGGGTAGTTGAAGCTATCGTCCGGACGCATATGTCGAATTAAAAATTCTACATATGCGTCCGGACGATAGCTTCAACTGCTCATGACAGGGGCGAAAAACAAATTAACGCCAGCCTTCCGAATGCAATGCCCCTCTGCACTTAGTAAAAGTTTTTGGAATAGTTCTCGGCACATCTCAAAATATCAATGAGTTTGGGAAGTTTCAATTCAGTTGGATATCAAGCAAATAGAGAATTTTATTCCACGTTACGGGACCACGCTCCACTGTGGAAGAGCCAGCCATCCAGAAGGGTCGTAACGGAACCGGGGCACCTTTTTTGATTTGCATATCTAATTTTCCCAGATATGCCTCAAGCCGGACACCATGCTGAGGTAGAATCCCATGCCCCAAATTCAGAAACCGAACCCGTTCGACCGACCTGCCGTCATGATTTTCGAGTAATCTACTCCTCATCCTCCTCCTCGCCGGCGTCGTCGCCCTTGGAAGCGGCGGCGGCCTTCTTTCTCCTGACACGGCCGGGGCGGCCACCACCGAAGGGCGAGGTGAGAGCGAAGTCAATGTGCTTCTGGGAGTCGAGACGGACAACGAAGGAAGGAACGTTGACGATCTGCTTGCCGACGCTGTAATAAGATGTTAGAATGGATGTGACCAGTTGCGGTGCTGACAATTTGCCCAAGGCTTACCGGATGTGGCGCTGCTTGATCAGGACACGGGCGTGGTGGATAGACTTGGCGAGACCGAGCTTGTAGACGCAGGTCTGGAGACGGCGCTCCAAGAAGTCCTCGACCTTGAGGGCCAGGACGTAATCGAGCTTCATGCGGGACTCGTCGAGGACACCGACACGGACGAGACGGCGAATCAGGGCGTTACCCTCGAAAAGACGCTTGGGGTCCTTCTCGTCGAGCGTGAGCAGCTGACTGCGCAATTGTCAGCCAAAAGATGTTCAATCTTGATGTTGCATAAATTCTTTTGCGGCGCACGTACCGGGCAGCACGACGGATCTTGGAGAGGGTGAGCATGACGCGCCAGACCTCACGCTTGTTGCGCAGGCCATACTCGCCGACAGTCTTCAGTTCGGCATCCCTACCCAGCAGCCAATTAATCAACCATTCTCAACGACTTAAGCGGAGGAACAAGCCTCGCTCAGTGGCCGTGAGGAGCAACGTACAGACGCGCGGACTCGAACGGGCGACGGGGGACCTTGTAGGTCTTGGAGTAACTCCTGGGGGCCATGGTTGCGTCTCGGAGTCGGAGGGAGAGAGGCGGTGGTCGTCGTTGTCGTCGTGAGGCGCAGAAGACGGTCGCGATGTTTTTCGCGGGTGTGGCCACGCCCGTTCGCTTATGGGGCGGGGAAATGATTCGCCGACCACACCCAGCTGAGATTTTGCAACTCCGCGCTTGCTACGAGACGACGGCGACGCCAGCAACAACGACCTCCCGACTTCCCTCCGTACGTGCGCCCTCGACCTGCACTCCTTCGCTCCGCCGCAACTGACCGAACCGCCAGCCACAACTCCTTCACAATGGGTCACTCCGCAGGTCTCCGCGCTGGCACCAGATATGCCTTCAGCCGCGGCTTCAAGAACCACGGCGCGATTAAGCTGTCCACCTACCTGAAGACCTACAAGTGAGCTGCGCTGCTTGTCCACCATGCATGCGCCGCGTTGCTGATGTCATTTTGTAGGGTCGGTGACATCGTCGATGTCGTCGCCAACGGCGCCGTCCAGAAGGGGTCAGTCCCAGCCGCGGAAGATTGAATGAAGCAAGAGATTGGAAATCTGACTGGTGCGCAGTATGCCCTACAAGGTCTACCACGGCAAGACCGGCGTCGTCTACAACGTCACCAAGTCCGCGGTCGGTGTCATCCTCTACAAGCAGGTCGGCAACCGCTACATCGAGAAGCGCATCAACGTCCGCATCGAGCACGTCCGCCACTCCCGCTCCCGCGAGGAGTTCATCAACCGCGTGAAGGAGAACGCCGCCAGGAGGAAGGCCGCCAAGGCCGAGGGCCAGAGCGTCCAGCTCAAGAGGCAGCCTGCCCTTCCCAGGGAGGCCAGGACCGTCAGCACCAAGGACAACCGTCCCGAGACCGTCACTCCCATCCCGTACGAGACCACGATCTAAGGAGATGCAAGGGTTGAGGGGCGTGGTTGAAGTTGGGTCGGATACAGTATGGGCATGGCTCTGGCGCTGTTTATTTAGGGACATCATGCTTCGTTCCTGAAAAAAAATTCAATATTCTGGATTCCCGAGGCACTTGGACGGAGATGAAAAAAAGAGCCGCAGTATTTCCATGCTATGACGCTGCACAATCACTGCGCCGATCTTCGTTTTGGCCACGATCAATTCGACCCAGATGTCCCAGTCATGCCCTCGCCTTGTGTTGTCAAAATTCTCTATGCAGCAAGCTACTTGAAATGATATCCGCCTCGAAACTACCTCTTATGACGTTTGTAGGCAACGTGAAACCTTGACTCGCGCCTGTATTTGAGCCTTTGCTACACATGGACTAGCTTACAGTATTTAGACCACGAAATCACAAGGCGCAACGGAGGTACCTACTCGGCGTACTTGAAACAGACGATAAATGAACAGACAATGCCGCAAACAAGCGGAAAGGAAAGAATATCAAGTCGAAAATGCACGTTGGCTTTTGCCGGTCTACGCAGGAAGAAAGGCACGAAGAGATGAAACAACAAAGCCTCCACCCAAACCCCATATCAATAATTGTGACGCAGATGTGGTGATCAGCGCCATGAAGTAGCCGAGTACGCCTCCAACTCCGATGGCCGACGCTTGAAGGTATCTGCCGGTGAAGAAAATCAGAAGGAAATAGGTGGGACGCCCGATGCGCCCCGTCGGTCCTCACTCCTTACATAACGACACACTTCGCGTCGTTGTCCTTTGCGTTCTTGACAGAGAGCGCTACTCTTGCGGCCTCCGTGAAAGCCTCGTTGACACCTCTGTTCTTCATTGCAGAGCATTCTGTGCAGTCGTCAGCAATCTCACGTGTTGTGTTGCCAACAAGGGTGACAGCAAAAATCAGGCCATAATTATCGGGCCCAATCTACGCGTGCGGTGCGCATTGCTTACCGAGGTATCTCAAAGCGCGAATCTTTTCTGCGACCTTGAGACCTTGATCGTAATTGATGAGCGCCGGCTTCTCGCCTTGCTGTCCGTCCTCATCGTCGCCGTCGGTCTGTTCTCGGAGGTCGCACTTGAGTGCCACGAGCACGAGCTTCACGCCGGGGCAATTCTCCGCAATTTCGCCAACCCATTTGGTCTCGACGTTTTCCAGGGAGTCGGGCGAGTCGACCTGTCGCATTGAGGCATTAGTCGAAATGTGATAGATTGTCTGGCGCGTTGGCGTGTCCGTACGCTGAAGCAGAGCATTATAGCATGGGTGTCGTCATAGGATAGCGAGCGCAGCCGGTCGAATTCCTCCTGGCCAGCCGTATCCCAGAGGCTCAACTCGACATGGACATTGTCGATGAAGATGTCTAGTTGCACCCTGTTAGAACGACGTCATCGTGCGGCCAACAAGGGTTGGCAATTTTTACCGTGCACGTAGTTCTCTGGATCTCGAAGTTAGCCGCTGCGCAAGTTTGCCGCGAGGACTTGGTAAGCTTACCAAAAACAGTCGGTTCGCTTTGCGAAAAGACTAGTTGTCAGCTCGGTGTCCGGTTGAGGACAGTGGCGGCAGCTGAGACTCACTATACCGTAGGGAAGTATCTGTGTGAGTTGAGACCGATTAGCTATCCGCACCGAGACCGGCAAGACAATTGACGAGGCGGCTTCGAGAACAGCGACCTCACCCTCTTGTAAAGACGTTTAACAGCGATGTCTTTCCACATGCACCGTCGCCTCTGTTTTCTCCGGCGTTAGCACACTCGCCCTCGCGTTGTTCCCACTTGCACGCGCCCTCAGCGGGCCCGATCCCGTCTTGGTCTGGTCATACGTACAGAAGCACGAGCTTCCGCTGAACAGTCTTGGTGCCGCCGCAGAGAGGCATGGTCAGGAGCGTGGAGAGGAGAGCCGGAAATGAAGGAGAGACGGGGACGGAGTCGGAGCGTGACGTCGGCACTAGGGTATGCGATGCGCGCGCAAGCTGGGGCGGGGAGGCGAGGCGGCTGTTGAGTCGGGAGTCGGGTCGATGCGAAGCGGCAGGCGTTGTGGGCGAGGGCAACGTTATACGCAGTCAGGCTTCATAACCGGTCGAGCAGAGCGTGAGAAGTGCGACGGCCACAACAGTCAAGATTTGGGGGGTCGGCGGGAGGGTGCGCGGTGCAGCTGGAGGTAGGTGTATGATGGAGATCGATTAGAGATTCGCCCGAACGCCTAATTTAGCGCTCCGGCGAGATGGGGCTACCGTACCAGCGCAGCCGAAGACGGCTCTCCGTGCAAAGCGCCTGCACTGCCAGGATCCATCACCAATAGAATACAAGGCGAGCCGCCTCGCGCACGGCTAGATTTGCGCCGAATATGCCAAGTGGCCATCAGCTGAGCTCATTCGCATCCTTTTCCTCGGGCCGTTGGTGTGGAATACGTCTATTACGTGTGCTGAGCGCTGACCTGTGTCGTGGCGCTCATGATGTCGTGCCTCGCTAAGAAAAACCCCGAACTACTGTTTCTTAGGCCTGTTGAATACAAGGGCCATGCCTAATTTGGCATTCTTCAAGGCTGAGTACCCTAATGGGCCAGACGCCCTGACCAAAACCATACCCAAACGCCGCCGCCGCCGCCGCCCCAGCTCTTCCTTAGAAAAATAACATACGTGGGTAGTTGAAGCCATCGTCCGGACGTGGATGTAGAATTAAAAATTCGACATTCTCGTCCGGACGATAGCTTCAACTACCCATGACATGAGCAAAAAACAAGGACTGTAAGGATCCTTATGCATCAACAAAAAACAAAAAAAGCCCCTCTCGTAGCCACCGCGAGATGCGCGCTCAGTAAGCCTCAAGTTTTTCAAGGCCGCCTCTGGACCTCTTGAGGCGCTCACCCAGGTCAATATTGTCCTGCGCTTGACGATGCAGACCAGACACAAACCGACCCTTTTCGGACCGCTTCTTGTCGTCCGCCAGGCGTTCCTCTTCCTCCCTAGCCTCAATGGCTGCAAGCCTCTTCTTGCGGTCCTCCTCCAGGGTTGACGCACTCGATTGCATAGCTGCAAGCTTCCTAGCACGTTCCTCGGCATCGTCCTTGGCTGGCCTCGGTGGGTTGGACCGTTGCTGGGTCCTCGGAGACGGTGCTCTGCGACGATCGGGAGAAGGCGAACGAGACGAAGGTGCCCTGGCACGATGGTTGTCTTTTCTGGCATATTCGCGATCCCGACGCTCGTCACGCCTGCGGGGCTCGTAGGGAGAGCGAGACCGCGAACGCGGGGAGGCATGCTGCCTGTAAGACTCCCGCTTACGATCTTGCTCCTCGTCGCGTCGACGCTCACGTCCCTCGTCGCGACGGCTCCGCCTGTGAGGGGATCGCGATCGTGACTGCGAACGAGAATCGCGATGATGGCGTGAGCGGTGGCTGTGCCGTCTCTCGTCATCGTCATCTCTCCTATGGCGCCTGCTGCGATGCCTGCTCTCCTCGTCCCTATGGCGATGTTTCCGGTGCTTGCGATCTCCCTCTGATGATCCCCCTGCCTCCTTAAGAAGAGCGCGACGACGCACGGGGTCGTTCATCATCGCCTCCAATGCAGCCTGCTCTTGTTGCCTGACCGCCGCCATTGGATCCATCGACGCCTTGGCAATACTGTCGCGGGGATTGTTTGCGCTCGGTTGGGTGATCATAAAGGACTCCTGGCTAGCGTTCTTCTCCAACTTCTTGTTCTCGTCGTTCTTGATCAGGTTGTCGACCCGACGCTGCGACTTGGTTAGCAGTTGGAAAGCATGTCTGCAACATGTAAAACGTACCTTGCCAAGCAGATAACCCTCCATCTCTTCTGTGGTGCCTGTCTGGCCGCTGGAGGGCCCAGAATACATCCAGTCCACACGGTTCAATCTCTTCTTGCCTCCTGCTGCCTCTTGCATTTCCTGCAATTCCTGGATCGCCCGTTCTTCCGCACGTTCCTTCATCATCTGGTCGATACGCTTGCGCTCTTCCAGCGCCTTCTGTTCTTCCTCTACAAGAAGTTAGCATTTTGCGCCCAACGTTTGGTGTGATTTACTTACCCCATACTCGCCGCTGGTTGCTCATTAAGAGCGGATGCCAGCTCTTCTTCAAGTTGAGATCTCCTCCCATGTTGGCGGTGTGATGGAGCGAATATGTCGCAAATCGACCCTGAGAAAAGCTGCCTGGGGGGAAACGTTGTCGAGTGGCAAGGCTGCGAAATGACCAGCGCTAGAGGTAGCGGTTCCGGGGAGACTTTGTCGCAAATGTCCTCAAAGGAATATGTACGCCCACAGCCGAGTTGGGAGAGCGAGTGTGTCGTGACCGTTGCGCGAGAGATGGTGTTTCTGCGCGGCGGAGCGGCGGCGGTCGTCGGGCAAGAGCCCAAAGAATCGCCGCAAGTGGCGGGGCGCGTCCGTGCGCACCTAGCTCCCCGGACCTACAGCACGACTGCAAGGCAACACCACAGCTTCCCAACTACTGCGTAAACTTTCTTTTGCTCCACTCCACGCGCCCAAGCCGCGTCGCCTCTCACGCCGCAAGCGCTTGGACTTAGCGCAGCTCCAGCTACTCGCGCGAATTCGCCCGGCCAGCCGCCATGTCTTCCGACGATGATTTCATGCAAGAGTCGGACCAGGAGGAGTGAGCTTGCGGCACTGCCCACCTATTAGATCTGGATCTCGCTGACCACCCGTCAGCTACGACTTCGAATATGAAGATGACGACGACGAGCAGACCGGCGATGTCGACATTGAAAACAAGTACTACGGAGCGAAGCAGATGAAGGCCGACAACCCGGAGGATGCCATAGAGGAATTTTTGGGTGTTCCTGCCTTGGAGGAGGAGAAGGGCGATTGGTAGGCTTCCGCCGCAAACTCCACCTACACAGAGCTCGGGCTGACAGCATGAAGGGGCTTCAAGGGTCTCAAGCAAGCCATCAAGCTCGAGTTCAAGCTCGGCAAGTACACCGATGTCAGTACCTACGCTTTAGCAGCAACCATCCCCCGCGGAAATTATGGGCTGTATATTGACGCTGGAAACTACAGGCCGTCGAGCATTACAAGGAGCTGCTCACCTACGTCAAGTCGGCTGTCACGCGGAACTACTCGGAGAAGTCAATCAATAACATGCTGGATTTCATTGAGAAGGCCGCAGAGGATGACGAGGCATACCGCTGCATGGAGAAGTTCTACGCACTCACGCTCGAATCGTTCCAGAGCACCAACAACGAACGACTGTGGCTCAAGACGAACATCAAACTGGCCAAGCTCTGGCTGGAGCGCAAGGACTACCGTCAGCTGACCGAGAAGCTACGAGAGCTTCACAAGGCGTGTCAGATGGCGGACGGCTCGGACGACCCGAGCAAGGGAACGTATTCATTGGAAGTCTACTCGCTGGAGATTCTGATGTACGCTGAGACGAGGAACAACAAGCGGCTCAAGGTCAGTTTGATTTCATGCGGGGCGAGACAGGTTTCTGACGCGCGTGTGCAGGCACTGTACCAGCGTGCGTTGAAGGTGCGCTCAGCGGTCCCTCACCCGAAGATCATGGGAATCATCCGTGAATGCGGTGGCAAGATGCACATGAGCGAAGGTACGACCTCACGTAAGCGGCCTCATCTCGACTGCAGCTGATCTTGAGACAGAGAACTGGAAGGAAGCGCAGAGCGACTTCTTCGAGAGCTTCCGCAACTACGACGAGGCAGGATCACTGCAGCGGATCCAGGTTCTTAAGTACCTCGTGCTCACGACAATGCTCATGGGATCGGACATCAACCCGTTCGACTCGCAGGAGACGAAGCCGTACAAGAACGACCCGCGCATTGCAGCAATGACAGACCTGGTAGATGCGTACCAGAGGGACGACATTCACGGCTACGAGAAGATCCTGCAGAACAACAAGGACCTCCTTGCTGACCCGTTCATTGCCGAAAACATCGATGAAGTGACGCGTAACATGCGTACCAAGGCAGTCCTCAAGCTCGTAGCGCCGTACACGCGGTTCACGCTTGGTTTCATCTCGAAGCAGCTCAAGATCTCGCTACCAGAAGTGCAAGACATAGTGGGCTTCCTTATCGTGGATAAGAAGCTACGCGGGAAGATCAACCAACAGAACGGGACGGTGGAGATCGAGAGTAGCACGGACAGGGATCGGGTGCATGCGATGCAGGAGTGGACGGCAGCGATAGGGTCGCTCTGGGCGACGGTGCTGAACGAGGGCGAGGGCTTCCGGTCGGAAGAAGCTTCGCAGTTCCAGGCGAGCACGGGAGCACAGGGCCTATCGGATCTTGGAGGACGCCATGGACCCAGCGCGAAGCTCGGCCGCGGGACGAAGGGCAAGGGTTTCTCGGGAAGACTGCCGGGAGCTGGGTTGAGGTAATGACTTGCAGCGGTGGCCTGCAAGCCCTTGTGCGAGGGGGGGAGGCCAGTGGACGGGACCTGGCTGGCGCGTGAAACGTCTGCTCTCTACGATGCGGTCATGGAAGTTGCTTCTACTCTAAAGGCTGAAACCTGCGGTAGAGCGCGGGCATTCCTTTTTCCTCGGGCGCGTAGCGAGCGCTTTCCTTTTGGCTGGGCCATCCGTGTGAGGCGGCATGCGATCGGGCGGGCAGCTCGCGGGCGCAGGCGCGTAGGTGCAGGCTGAGTGTTGCAAGGGTTCCGACGGTGCGGAAGGCTGGACGCCACGGTGGAGCTCGCGATGACCTGGAACCAGGCTCGCCGGCCGTGTCTCGCGCGCGCTGTGTTGCTTGGGGGCGGCGTGCGGGCGACAGATCGCCTCGGGGCGTCCGCTGGCGCTGTGCGAGCTGGTTATAATGCTGCAGCCGTGTGCAGCTGCGCAGGCGGCCACCGAGCCTTGGCTGCCCGCTCCACCGGCCGCGGCGAATCAGACGGGCTCCCGCCCAGGACGTGCGCCGCGGCGTGACGGCAGCGACAGTATGTAACCTATCTCATTTTGCTGGCCGGCCCCATCTTCACCCCGTTAGCCCGCATTCGCACGCAGCCGGGCGGCCTTGGAGCCAGCAATGCAGGGCGGCCGGCCGGCGGTGATGCGTTGTGCGTGATGGAAGCGGGCGGCGGTGATGGGCGCGTCGCCGGCATGGCGTGGGGCGGGAATGGCCTCCGCCTGCCTGAGCGCACACATTTCCTGTGCGCCGTCGCTAGGCCTCTCACAGCCTGTCTCACATCGCTGCCGCATTGCTCGACGCGCAGGCGGCGGCGCCGCGTCGATGAGCTTCTTCAATCCTGGGCCGGCCATCGAGTGCGACGGCGGCCCTCGCCGTTTCATCGCCGTGTGCGTGAGGGAGCTGCGCTGCGGTCTGGGACGGTACCTGGCAGCATAGTCGAGAGACTCGCAAGCCCCATCCCCACAGCTCAGCGTTGCCTCCATATATTGGCATCCTCCTGCTGCCCCTGGCAAAAGCTCGCGGTGTCACAGGAGAGTCGCTGCTGCAACCACGGGCGCGGGTCTCTGCGCATACTAAAACCGACTCCGCTGCCATTCCTCCATGGCCGCTCGTGGGTGACCTGCAATCCCGCGCCGCCGCCGTGCAATCTCCTGTCCTGCCTCTGCCCTCAGCAGACGCGCAGCAGTCAACACCATCGTGACGCGTGCCTGATCGCCGCTGCCCCAGCCCGCTTTCCAGAGCATCCGCAAGAGCCCCAGCGCCCCAGCGCCCCAAGCGGCCATGAATCGCCAACCCGTCATCTCGCCCAACTTCCACCACTACCCTGCGCAGCACTTCCATGACCCGGCCCTTGCGTCGGTGTCGGCGCTGTCGTACAGGTCCTTCCAGCTCCCCCATCGGACCGCGGAGCTTCCCGCCGGCTACAACCCAACACCACTGCCTCCGCGCCCGCCAGCCGCCAGGATGAGCTACCAGCAGATGGCCGCCGACGACGAGCTCGCCCAGCTGCAGAAGCTCTCCAACGAGTACCAGCCCGAGGCCACCGTGAGTCCCCGCGCCCGCCCGCCCGCGCCCGAGAGAGCTGTTGCTGACTCCCCGCAGGGCCCGCTCGTCGGGCCAAGACAATCCACGGCCGCCATCACGACCGAGTACGCAAACGGCGACCCCGTCTATCGTGCGAAGACCCAGGTTCGTGTGCCCGCCCTACCCGCCCGCCTGCTCGCCGCTGAACTCGTGCCAGAACCTTCCCTACAAGTATTCCCACTACCGAACGTGTCGCGGCGATGGACACTGCGGGTGGAGAGGTATGCACCGCCGCCCCGACCAAGAGACGCCCACGCTGACATGACATGATGCAGCCGTGGCCTTTGGCTACTTCGAGGCCCTCCAGCGCGCTGGCGACCGCCACAAGTTCCTCGAGGAGCAGAGCCGCCTGCGGTCGCTCGCCAACCTGCTCAACCAAATCGGCCTGCAGGCCGACGTCTATGAAGACTTCGCCGATGAGACTCTGGGTCTCCTTCGCAAATTGGCCAACACTTCCGCCAGCGACGATGCCCCGCTGCTCGACGCGTTCAATGACATGATGGCGTCGATGGGCATCATCACCCACCTCAAGGCAAGTGTTCACATGATGGCCGTGTGCGACGCGTACTAACATTAGCCTTCGCAGCTGTTGACCAGTGCTTGGATCCAAACCCATCCGCAGGACTTTGAGCCATTCCTCTTGGGTCAGGACTTGCAGCAGTACTGCCGGTCTCATGTCGAGGCTGGAAACTGCGAGATAGAGCACGTTACATTGACCGCTCTTTTCCAGGTCTTGCTCAAGCCTGCTGGATTTGCGCTCGAAATCTTGTATCTGGACCGCAGCGCAGGAGAAGAAGGCGATATGTACCACTTCGAGGCGACGACCCACGATGGCGTCCCAATCATGGATCCTCCGACCGTGAGATTGCTTTATCGGCCGTACGTGCCCGTTCTCTTCCGTGGTGCTACGCATGATCTGACCGAATTGCAGGGGCCACTACGATATCCTCTACAAGGCCGAGGAAATCCAGCGCACTATGGCACCTCAGATGCCTACTCAGGTCGCTGTCAACCTTGCGCCCCACTTCAATGAGGATTACGTGCATATGAACAGGGAGTTCTCGGACGTACTAGCTTACATTCCTGGCATGGGGCCCCAGAGCTTCGCGCCTAGCTTAGGACAACCGTCGTACATGTCTGATCCATTTGCAAGCTACGCGCCTACTCCAACCCAACCTCCACCACAGCCTACACCCCAATTGTACTCGCCGCTACCAGTCCCTCACAGTCAGGAATATGTAGCCCCCAACGTAGCCCTCGAAACTGCTCCTCCCGTTGGCTTGGCAATGCCCGGGACTGGCAAGGTCGATCGTGGTTCCTTGTTCAGGCCATCGGCATATGAGTTGAAACCGGACTTCAATTCTGGCCCTACTCATTCACCAACCTTTCAGACATCTATCTTCAAGAAGTAGGGTCTTCGTTTCTCGTGCCCCGAACACTTTGACTAACTGGATTTAGCTCCCACTACAACACCGCACACTTCTTGAATCCAGATTTTCAACCAGAGGAATGGTCGCCAGATACCGAGTACTCTTCCAATAGTCGAGGACGCCACAAGTCTACATCCCAGTAGTCTGCGCCACCGCTCGCACAACGTCCTCGGTCGACGCCGTAGCCTCAAGCCTGGTTCGATCGAAGATGGCATCGCCGCTGCGCTTGCCCAGCTTTTCGATTTGTCGTTGCATAACATCATTAACGAAGTTGAGCGGATGTCGTCTTGCTTTGCCAGCCATCCTTGAAAGCATCAGCTTGCTTACTTCGACACGTTTATCATATCCACTCCTGGTTGTTTTTGGCGCAACTGAAACAGGTTTCAGCAACTCCTCGTTTTCAATGTTCGCATTATATCTTTAGGAAACGCCGTCACGACCTCAATAAGACCATCAGCCTCAGGGTGCCCTTAGCTTTGGAATTTCTAGGCATTGCCCTATATTTTAGTCTCCAGAGTTTGTTTTTTTCCTTTCCGTCACTGCGTCAGCTTCACAGCCGCTGATAGCCCTTCCTCTCCCTTTCTCGGATTCTATCATTTCAGGTAGCACTCAAATAATCTGGTCATTCAAAATCGTTTTGCGTTTAACTGTTTCTCTTTTTCCCTTTTGTCTCCTAAGTTTGTTATTTGTCAACAATCAGCGCTGCTCCGGTTGGCATTCGAACGGAAAATGGTGTTTTATGTCAGATGCTCTCGGATATGGAAATGGAACTCAGACGAGCGTATTGATGAAGGAGTCGCCGGAGTCAGGCATTTATATACAACAAATTGTTCCCTGTAATGGAAAGCATAATACTAACAAATTATAAAAAACACTCGACAAACATAATAAAGCAGTCCAGTTCGAGGTCACACAGGAGACATGCCCTACCATAAAGAGTGACGTCGATCCTTGCTAAAAAAAAAAAAAAACTAAATTAGGAACTTTGACGTACAGAGCGCAGGAAACGTCTGGGAGAAATGCTCGTAGGTACCTGAAGCTACCGTCCGGACGACAATGTGGAATTAAAAATTCTACGTACACGTCCGGACGATAGCTTCAACTACCCATGATATGAACAAAAAAAAAACGCTCCCAAAGGTGTTGAAAATCAAGCCGCGGATAAGCAGGCAAATAATTTCCCTGCAGCTTCCAAGCAAACACCAGCCAATTCTCCCAAAAGCGCTAGATAGCCTGAACAAAATCACCATGGCGACCATTTCAACAAAAGGTAGATTGACAGCAGCAAAAGGGTATCTATATCAAGCTTCTGTAGGGGCATTGATGCAAGCTCGCTTTCTTTTCCTCTCCTCGCCTTCCATCGCTCCAAAAAAGTAGATTGCACAAACAAGCAAACAAACCAAAAGGAAAAGAACTTAATATCAAGTGCTGACGCGTCAGGACCAACCGAGGGCTTAGTGTCCGGCATTTTGCGGTCGTACTTCCACCTTGATCCGGTATACAGGGGGTTTGTTGTTTACACAATCTCATTTGATCATCTTGCAATTGTTTTCTTCTTTTCCTGTTTCCTCACCACTGGTTGCGGTCCCAGTTTGGATCTGTAAGATTCAAGTCAGCACCGCATTTACTTTCCATGCACATGTATGCATCCGCACGTCCCCAAATCCCCTGTTCCCCCGCGACAGCGAGTTATTCTCCGGCCCTTCCGAGTGCCTCTTCGCTGACAAAATACTCCGGCACCTATCCTCCTATTCCAAGCGCAAAGGGGGGGTTTTTGGTTTTTGTAGACAGAGCAAAACTCACCTTGGACAAACGCGGCCAGGACCTTGCTCCCCGTCTGCAAGAGCGGGTGGCCGACGACAATCTGCAGGAAGCGCTGCAGGCCTTCGCGACGGTGCTCGATGACGTCGTCGGAGAAGCGGTTGGTGAAGACCTTGCCGGGGAGCGGGGGGATGGTGACACGGGCAGACTCGCGTTCGAGGATGTCGCGGAAGGCCTCAAAGTCCGAATAGCGCCGCCGCACCGAGGACTGCTTGAGCTTGAAGGCCGGGATGTTGGTCTTCATGCTGATCTCGTACGTCGTGTACATGCCCCGCCCGGTGCCGTGGGTTTGCGGGTTGCGAACCTAGAGGTTGGGGCGTCAGTGGGGAAGTGCTTGGGGAATGGATTTGCAGTCGGGGGGTATGGGGAATGTTTCCGGGTATGGGCAAAGGTGCTGCGCGGTACGGCAAGGGATTTCGGAGGATTCTGGAAAAGTGGCGGTGGGGGGCTGGTGTTTTCTTCTGGGAACGCACCTCGATCTCGAGGAAGTTCTCCGGAGGGCCGTAGAGCTCCTCGTAGGTTTGGGCACGAGAGTCGGGGAGCGACTGCATTGCGCTGGGAAACCTGCTTGCGCCGGTGGTAGCCAGTTTGGCGGTAGGGACGAGGCTGGGTATGTTATTGCGTTTCGCGCGGGTGCCGGGCGTGTATGCACGCGTCGAGGAGGACCTTCACGTATGCTCGAGCTTCGCGCACGTTGCGGGTATGCAGGCGGTTGGTGTTGCAGCTGCGGGCGAGCGCGAGGCAGGTGGCTCGGGAGATGTCGCCGAGGTGCGTTGGATGTCAGAGCTCTCGTGTGATGCCTGGGATCGGCGGTCGAGCGTCGTAGTGGGTGGGTCGGGTAGGAGAGCTCGTGTGCGTGCGCGTGCAGCTGCGGCGGGCGAGGATCGTGCGTATGCGTGCGGGCGCGAGTCTTGCGGCGGTGGGAAGCAGGAGAATTGAGGAGAAGCAGGTAAGCGACGAGAGAGCAGAGGTGGTGGTCCTCGCCGTCAGGCAGAGAATGAGGGGCACGATAGGCGATCCATCCCGGCAAGAACGCCAGCCAGAGCCCCCGCCGCCGCCGCCGAATCCGCAGCGGCGCGGGATCCCCTACGAGTAGGCGTGCCAGCTGTTGGTCTTTGTGCGATTCTCCCAGCTTCCACGCGTCACGTCGACTGGGTTGCTGAGTGTTCACATGCCCACGGGCTTGCTGCAGGCCCTGCCACGCCGCTTCCCCTCCCGTGTCGCTGACGCACGCGAAGAGTTGCAGGTTGAGTGCCTGCTGTGCAGCCCTTCGTCTTGGCTTGCTGCTGTCGTCTTTGCCAGGCGCCCCGCCTCCGTACGACTCCAACGTACTGCCCGGACGTACGAGAACCACACCCTTAACATAAAACGCTCTACCGGCTTCGCTGCAGACAGTCTCCGGTACACCGTAAGTTGAGCTTGCTTGTCTCTTTTCCGCTTCCGGCATGTACCATATTTCTGGTGAAGGCGCGAAGGATGATGGCGATCTGACAGGCGCGGATCTTCCGGAGCCATGGCATGATGTGAGCCCGGCGGTGTGCCGAGCAAGCGCGCCCACAACACTAGCATCTTTTTTTGGTGTCTTCTGTAAATGTCATCTTGGACAAGGGTTTCCCGTCTTCTTGTGCAATCCGTGTACTTCCCGTAAACGTGCACATCCCGGTCTCTCGGAGTTGAGTGCGGTTTCTTCCCTTCCCAAGACTCTCCTTCCCAAAGCAGAAAAGTAAGAAAGAAGAGTGATGGCTCAGCGGAGAAGCATGGCGGACACTTGGTACCACGGACTTGCTGACACGCCGCACCTAGCCAGCCTTGCTATAACTTATCTGCGAACTGGTAAGCAGCACGGCGAGCTCGTGCAACCCTTTAGAGCCACTTTCGGAAAAGGCACTGATTCTTTGGGGCTCTAACTCAGTTGATACCTCGCTCCATCCGAATTGGGCAAGTCCAAGACAAGTATCAAAATGGCCTCTTCTCTGCCTACTCTACCCCGCATAGTGTTCACGATCATCGAGCCGATTTCCCTGTGCGTTACGCCCCGTTTGGCTTGTTTCGGTCTTGCTGACGATTGTCTAGGGTCGCTGGATTTTTGGGTCCTCTTGTCTCGCCGCAGTTCTTTGCAGCTTCGCAGCTGGCCACCACCAAAGCTGCTGCTGAAGCTCATGAGTTGACCGCGACCGAGCACATCCTGGCCCTTCAGCTTGGAAACGCTTACCTCTTGCTTGGATTCCTAGGCGTGTTCATACTCAACACGACACTGGACCTTCCTACTGTGAGAGCGTACCTGGCTGCGCTGTGGCTGGGAGACATCGGCCACGTGCTCATCACCGCCTGGGGACTGGGACTCAAGGGGACGTTCAACATTTTTGGTTGGAACGCTGTGACCTGGGGAAACATTGGTTTCACCGTGATGCTTTTCGCACTGAGGAGCCTGTACTTCCTTGGAGTTTTCGACAAGAATGGGGCAAAGAAAGGCAGCAAGAGCAAACAGACGTAGCTCAAGGCACGTGGTTGGGAGGTTACGAATGATGGCATTCCTTCAGTGGCACAGGAAAGGGTAAGAGCAACAGTTGAAGCCGTTTTCTTCCCACAAAAACAATCGCTGACATTGTGCACGCAGATAGCAGGCCCAAGGCATCAGATATATTCAGAGTAGCTCCATGCGCCAGCGCCGCTGCAATTGATATTAAAGCTTCGATGACCATGACCTCCGCAATGACGATAGAACCTCCCTTTGTCATGCGTGATGTTTGCTTGGGGACAGACTGTTCAGATGCCCACCGTCGTCAAGCAAAGGAGTGCGATTGCCTGGCAGCCTTATTCGACGCGTTGTCGCACCAGGGTCTGCAAAAACAAGATGGGAAGTCGCGCCTTCTCCAGCGAGACGGGCCATCATGGTGATTCCCCACACACGGCCCGGAATCTGCGTGTGTACACGTGAGAGACGATCCTGATTCGGACTATGAGGGTTGTCCGGGCGAGCATGTCGAGGTGAGGTCGCCTTCGACTGACGCGCCGGCTATATAAGCGCATAAACCTCTTCCACCATCCAACACCCAACCTCTCCCTCTACACTCCACTTTTCGTCGTGACCGGACGCCACGCCCCTCTTGCTCCTGTCGCGACTCAATCAATCCGCTTCTCAAGCTCTCGTCGCGCTGCTAGCAACCGTCGCAACAAGCAATTGCGCATTGCACCGCGCCGCCGCTCGCAACATCAGCTCTTGGTAAGCTCTGTCTTGCGCATGAAGCATCGGGTGCCGCCTGACGCAACTGACATCCTATTGCACTTGTATAGCCTCAGCTGACAGCTCAACCGTACAGACTTCAGGCCGTCTTGGAGTAGCTCGCGTCCAGCCATGGATCAGGTCACTCCGCCCTCATCTTCTCACGGCAAGCACCGCCGTACACGCTCGACCCCAGATCGCATGTCTGGTGGCAGTTCTGATGCCGAGACTGCCTTGAACTCCCCCATCGCGCCCTCCACGCCCTTCAGCCCGCTCGAGCAACGCGCAGGCGTCAATGTCCCGGACACGCCTCTCTCACCGCTGTTCGATGGTAAGTGCCTTGCCTACTTCATTTGGTTCACCTGCACAGCAAACAACGGGCGCTTCAGTCCTTTGTTATTCCTGCACTCTCACCTTCTCTCACTTGCGAGCCCCATCTTTCTCAATCCTCACACTGACTTAGCACTCTACCTCACCTCACTTGAAGTTCTTGCTAACCCTGGCTGAATTCGTAGATATTGCTGATCATGATGAGCACTGCCGTGTTGGCAGCAGCGAGGAGATCAAGGGCTCGCCCAAGCCTGCCCCTGCGACTGGGGTCTACGAATACCAAATCTTCCTGACAAATCCCGACGAGGAGTCGACCCCGATGGTGGTCAAGCAAGATGGAAAGACGCCCTTCGAGAAGAAAGATTTCGTTCCGATCACCAATCACCGCCGCGTGGACCGCCGCAGACTGAACCCTCAGCGCCCTCACTTGGTGCCAAGCCGCTCTGACCCAGCCGGTGTCCATGCGATGTCCGGCAGTCACCCTCCGCAGTTCTCCGATAGTAAGCTCTCAATCTATCCAACCTCATCTCAGCCTAACTTCAAATAGACCCTTTCATGCAGAGTTACCCTGATCCCGCTGTCTCCAGCGAATCATCTCATCCAGAGCTCTCTACCGACTCTGAGGACTTCGTCCCTGGCCCTTTGCTCTCAAAGATTGATGCTAGGAATGCCCAAGCGAAGCTGTCTCCGGAAGCGTGCCTCTTCGTAGCAAGGTTAGTGCTCTCTTCTTCAACAACATGGCTTGATGATCTAACCATTTCATTCCGCAGTCTCCGGAAGGACAAATCAGACCAGGAAATCTACGCTGCGTTGGTCAAGGAATTCAGCAAGCATGGCACTTGCTACATCAAGGTGAAGCGGAACAGAGAGCTGCCAATTGCCTTTATTCAATACCACGAGAAGGACAAGGCCGACATGGCCATGGAGCGTGCTAGTGGGGCCTTGATCCTTGAGCGCCCGTGCCGGATCGAGAAGGCCAGGGCTCCTCGTAAGTCACTGATACGTTCTCCGCGAAACGAACGAAACCTTAACCTGATGTGTGTACAGGCTCTGTTTTCGTCTCCCGCCGCGATGGCAAGACTCCCTCCCGGGCCGAAGTCGTGCAACTTCTCCAGATGGTCGGCCAGGTTGACAAGATGTGGGCACTCTCGGAGATTGATATGGAGAGATTTGCACTGGCTCCCGGCTTCTGCTGCCGCTTCGCCTTCTACCAGGACTCTGTAGACGCGATCACGGTCAGTCCACCTTGTCGGGGTCTTTCATGGCTTGTCGTTGCTGACTACTTGCAGCGCTATCGCGATCACATTGTCTACGACGTGGAGTCGTTCCTGGCGCCGGAAAAGAGCCATCAACCCACCTTCGACTGGGGTAGTGCGCTTTCGGAGCCGAACCGTTCGTCAACTACCCCCAACTTCGATTTCAACATCCACATGCGGAATGCTCTGTGGGTTGGAGGGCTCCCGCCGAGTGTCACCAAGTCCGAGCTGATGCGGGTCTTCTTCAACCAACGCCGGGTTGTTTCCAATGTTGACATCAGGATCCGTACCGCTGCTCCGAGCACCAGTATGTCGTCTTGTTTCATGTTGTATCTCTAAGTGACCAGCCTAACCGCACTACAGATGAGGCTAGCTATGCGGTCATCTACTTCGCTGATGACCAGAGTGCCCTTGACGCGGCTTTGTGCACGCACCGCAAGCTGCGCCTCCACACTGGTGAGCGTGTTCGCATTCAGTGGGCATTCAAGAACTTCCTCCGTAACTTCGGACGTGGCCACACTTCTGGACCCAAGAACTATCACGACTGTGCTGCTGGTACGCACTTCGGCAACCACGGCAGCTTCTTCCTTGGAGACGCCAACTTTGGGCGTGGTCCTCAAGCTTTCCCGCTTCCCACCCGTGCCGTCAGCGGCTACCCTCGTCCGGCTGGTGAGATGTCATCTCCTAACGGTGCCTTTGTTAATGGTGCCGGCCATTTCCATATGGCAAATGTTATGGGCCAGCATGCGGCTCAGCAGGCTTTTGTCAATGGCCAGGTTTATGGAGTGTACCCCGGCCCCATGGCTGAATCTCAGGCCAACAATGGACATGTCGCTAACCGCGCAACCCCTTCGACGGCCTTTGCGGGCTACCCGGTTGTCAACGGCACCTACCATGTGTGCTCACGCTTCCCTTCGAGGTTGTAAAGTCCAGTTGTACACTTTGTCGGCTATGACTTGACCAGATGCTCTTTCGATTGTCGACCATCACTGCATTCAAAGCCCTGAGGTGGCAACGAATAATCCTGCGACTGGACCAATGTTCCAGTGTTTGCTTTCACACTTGCTGATATCCAAAGCGTTTATGAGGTACGGAGAAAAACGGTCGGGAGATACCCTTGGTCGGCTCAGGCGAACGGCGATGAGGGCGGAAGTATTTGCTTTATTCCTTGCTGATGACCTTTGTTCTTGATTTTCGGGAGATACCCAAAAAGTACCAACGGTGGATGGCAGGACAGACTGTATAAAGAAGTATATAAAATACAAAAAAAAAACTTGAAAGAAACTGTTCCTTCTGTCTTCCAGTTGTTCAATTTGTGGAAGCAGCAACTAAACTACGGGTAGTTGAAACTGTCGTGCCACATTACTGCAACGCAACTGATTCTTGTGTGCGTGTGTAGTCACAGGTCGATTTCAGTCTGATGTAATAGAACAGATAACGCATTTCATAGGACGTCTAAGTATGTGTAAACGCTGCTGCTCTAATAACCCATCTATCGCCCCGCCTCTCATCCATGTCTCCTGATTCCTCTATATGAAAGTATTCTTTCATCGTCTGCTCATAATACTCTTCTCTCCCTCCAGCTCAATATCCCCCACAGCGTCCTTCTCCTTCACTCAACCTTCTCTCCTGCTCATTCTCCCGATATTCCCGCCAACAACCTCTTTACTCCCTTCCCACCGTCGAAAAAGAGAGGACAACTGGGTAGGAAGCCCCTTAAACGAACTTCCCATCCTTCCCAGGCTCCTCAACAACACGGCTCACGCTGCCATATCCTTGCGTATTACCGGCAGCAGCAACGCCCAGGCTCCTAGCATCATCGCCAGCATTCTCCGGAGCAGGCAGGGGCCGGTCCAGGGCGGTGAACCTCTCTCCCTTGACCCTGGCGAGAATCCACAGGGCGCCCATCCTCACGCACCAGCAAGCGGCAGCCCACAGCAGGCCGCCAAAGGGCGCGGCGACGAAGGCGCCAAAGGCGCTCCAGTCGTCGCCGTAGAGGCCGTTCTCGAGCAGGATGAGGTTGGCGGCCTGGCGGGCGTCGCCGTGGTAGTAGACGCAGCCGAACAGGAAGACGGAGAAGATGCCGCCGAGGCCGCCGACGACGACCTCGGCGCCGGACCACCACCAGCAGCGCTCGCTGAGCCCGATGACGAGGACGGGCACGAGCGAGGCCGAGACGAGGTCCGAGATGAGGTAGACTTGGAGGACTGAGGGCGAGCGCAGCGCGACGACGATGACCGGGATGATGGCCAGCACGACGAGCACGCGGATCCACCACAGCGGCAGCCGGTTGCGGAACAGGTCGTTGGAGCCCGTGGACACCATGGCGGATTGGAACGAGTCGAAGGCGGCTGTGGACAGGGCCACGACCATGACCAGGATGATGCCGACTACCCATGCTGGCAGCAGCGAGAGGAGGCTGAAGAAGGCGACGGAGCCCTCCTGCGGTGGGTCGCCGGGCCACGCGCCTGACCATGTTGCCAGCAGACCGCTGCAGCCGACGAGAGTGAGGATGATGGTAACAGTGACGGCCGCTATGGTCACGGCAATGCGCAGGTCCCGGTCGCTGCGCGAGGCGAAGGTGCGAAGCCAAAAGCCGCTCAAAAATAGGTCGTTGGTCAAAATTGCAACCGGAAGGATGTAGATAAGCTGCCAGCCCAACAGGTTGGCGTTGAGGTAGCCAGACGAGTCAATCAGCGAGCGGTCAACGTTTGTCTCAACGCCTACGGTAATGACGCCGATTATGATCAATCCAAGCACCATGACGCCTTGGATATTATCCGTTACGAACGACACTTTGAATCCGCCGAGGGCTGTTAGGTGATGGTTAGTCTTTTTCTTAAGCCCTGCAGAAAAAAAAAAGACCACTTACAGGTGTAGATCGTAGTGACCACGCACTGGACGATCGTGGCAGGGAGACCATCAAGACCAGTCAGAAGAGTGATGATTTGTTGGAGCGCAGATAGCTCTGCAACCATGTACAGGAAAAGCGTAATGAGCCTGAGCAGCCTTGTCAGTTTTTGGCTGCAGCAGGAAACCCATCCAGCGAAGACGAGTATCGCAAGCAAGACTCACGTCATCAAGCTGAGGAACAGAGCTGCTACTATGCCATAGCGCTGCCTCGTCCACTCGGTCAGCACGAAGCCTTCCGGGCACTTGCGCCTGATGATGGGACCCAGGTAGCCGAATATCAGGAGCGGCAGGCCCGAAGACAGCGCGTACACGACGAGACCGTGCACGCCGGCAATGGTAGCGATCTCAGGATACGTGAACAAGATTCCAGAACCGAGAGCTGTTCAGTCGAAACAAAATTGCCTAGGTCAGCTGGATGAACGGCAGAAAAAGGGGGGAGCTTGGGGTGGAGGGGGTTAATCAGCGGCAGCACATTCCTCACGCAAGTATTATCTTGATCGAGTTTAAACGGTACTTCTCAGCTTCGTCGTTGCAGAAACCCACGACATCTCCTCTGGCTTCTCTTAACAAGCTAGCTCAGAAAACACAAAGGGTGGATGTTGCAGAGTTCCTGCTCGACTAAGCGCCCGTAGTGAAGCCGCACAGGGGATGATCCAGCTGGGTCTTCTCCACATCATCGCTGTCTTACCACAGATGCAGACATTGCATGCACTCTCTCAATCACAAGAGGACCTGTTTCCTGCGGACCGGCATTCTCTTGCCGAGAGTGACTCGTATCGGCGGGAGAGAGATCCCGTAAGCCCGCAAAACAAGCCCAGGGATCGAGTGATTCATCAATCATAGACATCATGTCATCCAGTGAGGATGTGGGAAAACTCCAGCGGACATGACCACTGCGAAGAATCGATCTGTAATACGAACCTGGCCAGAACCTGTCCTTGTTGGACAATCCGAAGAATACCTTGCACGTTTTCAGTCCTCACCGGGGGGCTCTCGCCTCCTGCCGGTGAGGTGCTTTGCCTGAGGGATGATCCGTGTCGATCATTGCTGGAGGAGCGTTGCTGCCGCTAACCGGGATGGATGCTGGAGAATCGGACTGCAGAAATACATCTGCCTGCCGTCGGTGCATCACTCACCCGAAGCTATGAAGTTCAGGGCGAGTGGTATCGCTGCGCATCGGAAAAGTCAGTAAAATCACAACTAACGCGGCAGACCCTCAAGAAATATGCAGGGTTTCGCCGCTTTGGCCATCATAGTGGCCAAAATAAAGGAAAGCATTGCGTCTGTTATTCTGACCCTTCTGAGTCCTGTTACTGGACAGATAGTCCGATTTGGACTGGTGGCGGAGCTTCCATGCCACAAAGACACCGCAGATTCTGCGAAAGTACCATTAGTCGGCTCGAACCGCGTTGCAAGGCAAGCACGACAAAAAGAGCTTACAGGAAGGCGCCGTAGGTAAGATAGATAATGGCGTTGGACGCCTGGAACGACGGGACACCCATGTTGGCAGAACGCTGGGTATTTGTCGAGCCGAAGAGGTAGTAGCACGCTTTATGACTGGGGCGCGCAGTGGAGAGTAAGCGGACGAGGATAAGAGGTGGTTGAGAGAGAGGAGCTCTCTTGAAGATCCTCGCGGTGAGATTTTATTTGACCGGTCGTGCAAAGCGAGCCCACCCGATCTCGCGCCACCCGAGCGCCGTACCTAACCCGATTACGGCAGGTAACCCGACCACGGATGGTCTCACGCGTCATGCGCGTGATCTGGTGTCTGGGATGCTCCTGCACTACTTCAGCACCCTTTCCATGCTAATCTTTAGATTCGATGGTGACCGTGACGATATGACACCGTAGAAGCCGTGGCGAACGCATTTGTGGGTAGTTGAAGCTGATATCCGTCTGCAAATGTAAGCTCTCAGGCTATACAATACGTCCGAACAATGTATTTGACTGCCCAAGTTAGTAAATTGAATAAGTCTCTGTTTTTTTTTTTCGGTTTTGCGATGATCATTTTGAGCGAAGGCTTGTAACTCAAAGGGGGATAAGAAACAGCAAGGGAGAGAGGCGGCAAAAGAGTAAGGGCACAGAGTAAGGAAATCTGAGTTCATTTTGCATTTCTGTCCATTTTTTTCACAGCTTGGGGTCAGCTGGTAAGCGTATCTATGAATACGCCAAACTCCACACTTTTTTTTTTTTCTCTCTTTATAGTTTTCAAGACACCACAAGAAGCCCACCTTCTCCATCAGGAAGGGCTACTTCAAGCAGAAGATGCACTCCTCCACTTCTCCCCCGTCAGCCTCTCATACGCCTCGACGTACTTCTCGCGCGTACCGCGCACCACTTCGTCGGGCATATCGACATCGTCCTTGCCCTTCAAGCCATTCTTCGTCAGCCAGTCCCGCAGGAACTGCTTGTCGAAGCTGTCCTGGCCCTTGCCGACGGCGTAGGCGTCAGCGGGCCAGAAGCGGCTGCTGTCGGGCGTCAGCACCTCGTCGACGAGGATGACGTCGCGGTTGGGGTCGGCCGGGTCGAAGCCGAACTCAAACTTTGTGTCGGCGATGATGATGCCGCGCTCGCGGGCGTAGGCGGCGGCGGCCTTGTAGAGGGCCAGGGCGAGCTCTTCGATGCGGGCGGCGGCCTTGTCGCCGACGATGGCGGCCGCGCGCACGCGGCTGATGTTCTCGTCCTTGCCGCCCACCTCGGCCTTGGTCGACGGCGTGTAGATGGGCTCGGGCAGCTGCTGCGACTCCTGCAGCCCCGCCGGCGCCGGCTCGCCGTGGATCGTGCCGCTGCGCTTGTACTCGTACCACGCGCTGCCCGTGATGTAGCCGCGCACGATGGCCTCGATGGGGAAGATAGAAAGGCGCTGCACTTGCATCGAGCGGCCCGTCAGCGTCGACAGTTGCGCTGGCGAGAGAGTAGGGCTCGCTGCGGTGATGGCTGGGGGGAGATCCGAGGAGATGAAGTGCGTGCGCAGCGAGGGGATCTGCGCCCGCAGGTAGCGGAACCAAAAGGTAGAGAGGTTGGTGAGGAGAGCGCCTTTCTCGGGGACACCCTGGTGAGACATTAGCTGTGATCACAGGAAAGATGGGATCGATGACCTGATATAAGGGCTAAGGCAGAGTGCTATACATTGACCATAGCTTTATTGCAGGCAAGGAAAGAAGGCTTGCCAACGGACTGGTGATGGGGACCAAGCAATGATGAACGGCTATGTGATGGGGATAGGCAGGAAGCAAAAGTGAAGACATGGGAGTATGGACTGTATACATGAAGATAGAGTTGAGACGGAATTTGTGGAGTTCCCCACAGCATAAAGGCGGGGAAGCAGAGCAGAAGACATTTGAGGAAGTTGTTTAATAGAAAGAAAAACGTGATGAGAGGAAAGGCCTGATATGAGAAAGAAGATTGGGAAATGACTGCGCTTACATTCTTCATAATCACGTCGTAGGCGCTGATGCGGTCCGTTGCCACGAACAGCAGCGTCTTGCTGTCGATTTCGTAGACATCGCGCACCTTGCCGCGCGCCAACAGCTTGAAGCCATGGTCCTCTAGATTAGTGGACACAATGGAAGTGGTAGCCGGGTTGATGGTCGACATTTTTCACCGTGCAAAGTAAGAAAAAGACGTTGTTCTGGTTGTTGAGTCAAAGGAGCAGAGGTTGACGATGCCCGGAGAAAATCTTCGGCTATATGGCGGCCACCTTTTTCGTCGCCGTTTGGCCGTGCTGAGAGGCAAACATATGGACTTGAAGTTGATCGCGCGAAATGACGACGATGACCTGATTTACGAGCGAGACTTCGGCTATCGGCACCTAGTTCGCGCCTTCTTTGCAGCGAATGATGTGGCTGTCGGATGAGGCAGAGTTTGGTATGCTAGCCAGCAGTAGCGGCCAAACGCGGCATGCCGATCACACCGACGCTTCGCAACGAGTACGTCGTGATGACCTTGCAAGCCGCAGCATCGAGTCGAGCCCTGAGAGACCTCTTTGTCCAGCCTCTTTTCATGGAAAGACCTGCACTCCGTGAATGGCGCCAGGCAATGACATCTCGTGACGATGCAAGGCCTGAGGTATCGACATTGAAGATCTTTGCTTTCCTGTTTGCATTGATCTTGCAACCACGCCGACGCCTTCTCAGATCAGAGAGTATCTTTGGCAAAGTACATACAGTACAACGCCGTGTGTAATTTATCGTACAAGAGCGTAGCCAACCAGATCTGTACATCTTCCGCGAACTTCATACAACCCGCACAACCTATCAACACGTGAAAGAGCCATGACCACATCTTCCTCATACTACAGAGCGGAGCGAAACCCTGGACATACCCTGTGCAACGCCGTCCAATGTACACTTCTCCAGAATGCGCCGATTAGAAACCCCACAAAAAAAATAACGCCTTTACTTTTTTGTCCGCACCAGGCAGAAGCTAATGCTTATACGTGGGAAGTGGCGCCCATGAGCTTGAGAGCGCTCTCGTATGTTCCGAACATGATGGCTGCGCTGGGAACCACACGCAGAAGATGGGGAGTCAATCCACCATACAGGCCCAGCAGGCCCTCTTCCTTGGCGACAAGCTTGAAGCATTGGACGAGGCCGGTGTATTTCTGGAGGCCATTCTCCATCGGCGCCAACCGCAGACGCGTCCGCACAACCTGGTTACTCCGTCAGCTACTTGCCTTCGCAAATGTATCCAGGCACATCGCCTACCTCGTGAGGATACGTCAGAATCGTCGCGATAAACTTCGCGAATCCGGCTGCACCAACGCCTCCCGTCCATTGAACCGTCTTATCCCAAGCGTTAGGCTCGCGACCGGATGCCTCCAGCTTCTTCTGCCTGTTGGCAAGACCCAGCTTCATCTGCTCGTACAGGACCCACTGCATGGTGCTTTCCGACACGCCCAAGTAGCTCGCCGTGAGACCCTTGTACAGTCCGCGAATTCCCTCTTGCCGAATCGTCTGCATGGTGCAATCCAGCGCGTTCTTGTACTGCCTGCCGCCCTGGGACTTCGCGTGCGACTTGTCGAGCTGCAGCCTCGTCTTGACCAGCCAGATGGGGTTCGTCGCGGTACCCGTCACGACGCCGGCGGTTGCTGCGGCGCAAAGGTGCACCCAGGCCGATTCCTTTCCGTCGTTGAGATATGTGCTAAGCACGCGCTTGCCGTTGCCGTACGTGTAGAAGTTGATTGCGCGTGCGGGAACTACGCCGATCAAGTTCGGGCCCAGTCCTTTGAACAGCGCTCGCCAGCCTTCTGTGCGAGGGATGGCGAAGAGAATTTGGAACGTTTCACGGAAGTGGAGGAGTGCGCTGCGCGTGAACGACATGGTCGACGGAGGAGGGACGCCGCGGGCAGCCCGGGAGGCGAGCAATTGCTGGTGGTAGTAGTCAGACTGTAACCGGGTCTTCAACACGTCGAATGGCGCTGTCAAGGTCGCGGCGGCTGTACCGCCCATGCTAGTGAAAGATTCCTGTCAGCACAGGCTCGAAGGAAACTGCTAAGGTTCACGTACGCGCCAGCGACGAAGTGCGCCCATGATTTCGCAAAGGGCGACGATTTTGCAGCCACCCGAGGGTGATTGGAATCTTTTGAGAGCAAAGCATCCCCGCTCTCTCGCGGCTGGGGCAGGGGACTCTGCTCAATCGCAGACCGCGCCACCCCCAGCGGGCGGTTGTCCTGGGCGGATTCGAGGGTCATATACGATGCGGCCTGAGTTGTCGCGGAATTTTTGGCGTGAGGTTTGGACGGGCACGGGTGCCGAGTCTGTTGGAGAGGCTCGCTGCGGAAGTTCCTGGACTAGCTCGGGGGATGGAGAAGGCTGTACGTGTAGGGTTGCGGGAGAGACAGCAGAAAAATTGGAGAAGGGTGGATGTGGCGCGACAAGATAGCTCTGCTGCGGAGGGCGCGGTCGAGAAATTCCTTCGGGCGAGGCGTACCCCGGTCGAGCCGGCGTCATTCATCGCGCTTGAGCTCCGATCTACGAGAGCTCCGTTGCCGGCCTACCGCTCCACCAAAACCACCTATCCTCTCGCATTCAGAAATCAAAGCCATGCGGTCTACAGCGGTGCTCGGCGCTCCAGGCTTCTGGAAGCGTAGCGTCGACGAGCTGCGCCGTCGCTCCAACACAGGCATGCCCGATACCTTGCCGCCGCCACACGCTCCAGCCTGCTAATCTGCGGCCATGCAGTCTTCCAGCTCGAAGCCATGAAAGGCGCCGCGCCGTTGCCCCTCGTCAACTTCTCCGATCCTTCGTCCATTGGCCTCTGCAAGCGCATGTCCGACGCCGACATTGGCGGCTATTCTGAGATCCACCTCGACTTCGTTCCTCAATCGCCGCCGCATGCCCGCTTCCATGGGAACATCTCCATCCAGCTCCCCCAGGACAATCCCAATGTTACCCGCACCGGCTTCGCTGGTTGGCGGACGCATGACCGCCCGCCCACCATCTTCGGCAAGTCGCTGTTCGACTTGGATCCGTACAAGTACCTGGCGCTGCGCGTGAAGTCGGACGGTCGCAAATACTTTGTAAACGTACAGACAGAGTCGGTCGTGCCGACGGACTTGCACCAACATCGCCTATTTGCGCGCAAGCCTGGAGAGTGGGAGACGGTGCTGATTAAGCTGAGCGAGTTCGTGCGGACCAATCACGGCATTCCAGTGGAGCCGCAGAAGGAGATGATGAGGCAGAGGGTGCGCTCAGTGGGCATTAGCTTGACCGACAGAGTGCCTGGGCCGTATGAGCTCTGCATTGGCAAGATATGGGCCACCAATGAGCTCAGTGAGAGCGAGAGTGAAGAAGATGCTCGGCTAGACGAGATCACTAAGGCTCCCTCGGAGGAGCCTACAGAGGCCGAGAAGCCGAGGACTCTATGAACGGTGAGATCAAGCTTCATCTGTGATACGGCGTTTGGCGCATAGTGTACAACAACCAACGTTGGACTAGTTGTGGAGGGGCAGTTGAGCGTGTTATAGGGAATTGCAGAGCTAGCGAGGTTAGTTGCAATGCTCACGGAAGCAAGTCCGTTTTGGAGACTTAAAAAATATCTCCAGACCGACTTCTTTAACAGAATGTAGATAGTTGCGCAGCCAATGCATTTTTTCTGTGTCACAGCTGTAGAAATGCTGGGCCGGATAGCTTAGGTCCAAGCTTCCGCCGTGTGCGCGCCTTCCCGTCGCGAACAAAACAACGTGCCTGGCCGCCCCACCATCGCACCTCCCACATCTACAGGCAGCCCGGGCCATTAACCCCTCATGGGAAAATGCAGATCATGTGGGAACAGTCTGGAACAATAAACTAAAAACTGCCCAACTACTGTTGAAAAAAAGGAAGAGAAAAACAAAGGCAATCCCACCTCCACCGCACATCGCATCTGACCGTCCTCCTATCGCGACCATGGCGCGGTATCTAAATCCTCAGAAGATCAGCCTGTTGGTTCTCGCAAAACTGTACTGCGAGGCCTCAGCCCCATCTCCGGCCACCATCCCCATCCTCACCTTCCTCACCTCCCAGCTCATCTCGGACAATGCCGCTCCCGGCGGAGGACCCAAGTCCGCCGACGACTGCATCCTTACCCTGAAACACTTTGAAAAAGTCCTGGCCGCCCATGCATACCTGGCCGGCGATCCGCACTCGGAAAACAGGGGCGAGACGCTGTACGACGCGTTCCTGGACCGACTGTGGTGCATCGACACCCTGGACGCCCTGCACAGCTTCTTCGACGGGCTGTCGGAGCTGTTAGGCAAGCCGCCGCGCAACTTCATCTCCTCCACGGAGCGGAAACATCCTCCGCCGCGGATTTTCCTCTCGCGCACCTCGCCGCTCGGAATATTCGTGCGCCGTGCCCAGCTCGAGTTCGCTCGCCTACAGTTCCATGATGCGAGCAAGCTGTGGCTCGCCCTCGTCAACTACAAGCTGCCAACGGCTGATTGGTGGCGGGAGCGGAGGCGCGCGCTGGATGGCCCATCGCAGTCGGGGAAGCCGTGCTTTGATGAGAATCTGGTTGGGTTGGGATTGGAAAAGGGAGACGGGCTGTTTAGAGTGGCATATGGGCAGTTGGATGAGATGAGTGAGGAGGAAGGGCTGGCAAGTGTGGACGAGATTGAGAAACTCTTGGCATTCCAAATCGATCGACTGCAGAGTAAGAGAAAAATGTTCAGGTTTGGAGCCGTCAGCTGCTGACTTCCATGCAGAGTACGGCAACCGTGTGCCGGATGATATGAGAGATCGCTTGCGAAATATGCTGGGCCCGACGGCTGCGGTGCCCAGCCTTGCGCATTTCGTCAAGTAAGAACTCATATGTGCCCAGTTATGGAAGTATGTGGAGAATCGCTGACCGGTTGCAGGTTCTTTGATGCATGGAGAGCAGGCGATTACACGTCCTCTTTCGACAACCTGCATCGTTACTTCGACTACACCATGCAAACGAGAGACAAGACTTACTACCAGTATGCTCTCCTCCACATGGCTATCCTTCAAGCGGACTTCGGCTGCTTCAGCGAAGCCATTGCTACCATGAACGAGACCATTGCCACCGCTCGTGAGAACCAGGACATGAGCTGCCTCAACTTCAGCTTGAGCTGGCTGAACCATCTTGCCAAGGCTTATCCAAAGCAGATCAGAGCATCTGGCTATGGCGGCATGCTGGGCTCTGAACGCGACGGTTTAGCATTCTTGAAGTCGAAGGCAAGGGAGACGAAAATGTGGAGCTTACTGAGCTCGACTCTCCTGAGTGAATCCAAGATGCTTCTCTCCAATGTATGTCAAACCTCATCCACATGGTCAACAAGCTGTCTGATTCGAAAGTAGGGCTCGAGCGTACCTCGTGCCTTCGAGCACATTTATCAAAGTGCGCATCTTAACGTGGTGCATAACATCAGAAGTAATATCGGTTCCCAGATGTTGATGCAGGCCTCACTATACGGCAGGCTAGGTTGGATACCAGCACTTTCTCCACCTTCTCTTTGATACTGATTGGAGTTTTAGGCGCCACGGACCTCTCCGACGCTGTCTGCGACATACTCCGTATCTGCTACGGTAACGTATGCCCCGTAGAAGACATTCTCCGTTCCACTTGCCACAGCGCATACATTGTAAGGCTTGCAGACCATACTGAGACTGTGGGGCTCGCTGACACTTGAATAAGAGATCACAAGCGGGAGACTATGCAGGAGCATTTGAGATTCTTGATTCCATCAACCAAACAGACCACCGCACCCTCAAATTCCATCAGTACATAAGCAATTACGCGGCCCTACTAAAGACGAAGCAAGCTTTGAGAAGGTAAACACCCCAAAAAGGATACCAATACCACAAGCACGTCCGCATTTTGGGTAAATCGCACGACACTAGGACTAGACTTGGCAGTTATACCTCAAGCTTCCCTCTAACTTTAAATCCGATGAGACCACCCACATTATCAACTCAGCACCATGACTAACACCTTATTTCATCCTGTAGATCTGATTTTACCGCCGCGACACATTTTCTCGATGCCCTACGCGCCTTCCGCCCCACAGACCCGGAAGTTTTATACCAACTCTCCATTCTCGAGGTGGATGCGCTTACACGCCGCGGCGACTTCGCCGCCGCATTCGTGCGTGTTGACGAGCTGGCTGCTGACCTGAAGGCCGAGGATGCGGATGTCTACCAGCGTGTGTACTTACTAACGCTCAAGGCCGCGCTATTCGCCAAAGCCGGCGTGCCCGAGAAGGGCTTCAGCGTGGCAATGCGAGCGGCGAGCGCGGCGCACCGCGCGAGATTGTGGCCGGCGCTGTGGGAGGCACTGGCGGCGGTCCAGGCAATTCTGGTGGAGTTGGGCGAGTTCCGCGCTGCAAGGCGACTGGGTGATGCCATTGCGCCGCTGGCGCTTGAGGCGGGCGATGAGGCGTTGTGCGCGAAGCTTTACCTTGCACTGGCGGACTCGTGCGTCGGCATCGCGGGCGAGGAGCAGCAGCAGCAGCTACAACACCATCACCAACAGCAACAACAGCAGCAGCGCGATGTGGCTACTTCTTCCTCCAACGCCCTCAGTACTGCCGCATCTGCCGCCGCAGCGGACGGGAACAGCCCCACTGCTTCATCTTCTGCCAGGAACGAGGGCGGCGGGGCGACACACCAAAAGACGCTCGCCGAAGCGATGCTGTTCCTTGAGAAAGCTCGTGATTGCTTCCGCGCTATTGAGGACGTGCGTGGAGAGTGCGAGACTCTGGCTAAGCGTGCGCTACTGGAGAAGCTTCGCCCGGCCATGGCTGCGGACGACGGAGGTGGACTCATTCCCGGCGGTGGTGCGTTGGGACACGGGCAAAAGGACGATGCGGCAGCCGTGGAGGAGGCGGTGGCGTATATCGGCCGGTACAAGGCCGTCATGGAAGGGGACGGGGCGGCTGCTGCAGAGACCGTGGGGTAGTACTGCAGGTAATAGAAAGGATCAAAGAAGCTTTTCTTCCGGGAGGACGCGAGAGGACGTGGTGCAGGATGATCAATAGAATACCCCGAGGCTGCGTGGAGTACATACGCGGACTAAGATTCTGGAACAGGCGAAGGGTAGTCTTCGAAGTGGATATTTGGAGGGAGAGTACAAAAAGTAGAAGCCTCATCTAACACTGTACCCGCCAGGTCCACCCCACGTGAATGAACTCTCCTCCACTAAACCTGTCCACTCAACCATTCCAATCGCTCGCCCAGATGAACGTCCGACATCTCCACTGCGTATTCCTCTCCTTCACACCAGATGGTCCGATCGGCCGTGGGCACATCCAAAAAGCGCGCCCGCAGTTTGCGCCCGGCTTTTTCGTCGTAAACGAGATACACGGCTCATCATGGTCCTCGCACCGCGGCGGGTTTGGCTTAGTGAAGAGCTTCTCCCACGATTCTTTAGATACGATAGGGTCGATGAAGGGTGGAGATGGCGGCGGAGCCAAGGTTGACGATCCTTGCTCGGCGACTCCTCCATCCAGATCGGCAGGAGTGAGGGAGGAGATATCTCCGCCAGCGGACAGTTCTGCGGGATCACCAACAGGCGCATTATTGGAGCCGGAATCAGGGAATGGCGGTGCAACTGATGCGGATGAAATCTCGACCGTCTTCGACGAGACATTGCTGTCGTTGCGGGGCAGCGATGGCGCTGGTTTGAAGAAGCCTCTCAAGGATTTTTGACCTTTGGCTGAGCTGCTTTGCGCCGCTGCGGAGGCAACCGGTTTCTTCCTCTTGTTTGATTTCGCAGAAGGCGCTGGGGCAGAGCGCTTCTTCCCCGGACTGGCAGTAGAGCCGCCCTGACCATTCCCATTGGATTGTGATACCGTTGATGCTTGGCTATTCTGCTGTGTCTCTTGCTCGGATTGGCCACCATCTGCTGCTTTCCCCTGAGGCATCGGTTTCAACGACGAGTTGCTACCGAGGGCGGTGGAGCTCTCCGCACCGGCGCTACCATTAGTCGATGATTTGCTGACCACTGGCTTACGAGAAAACATGTCTTTAATGCTTCTCCTCCTGTCAAACTCTGGAAGGAGCCTTCCGGAGAAAGCTGGGGAGTCTTTCAGTGTCCAATCACGCAGCCGTTTGCCGTCTTTAAAGATCCCAGATGGATTCATGAGATCGCTCAAGGCGACTTCTTCGCCTCCCAGAACAACGGTTTCCTTGAGAATGGCGTATACAGGACAGTGATCTGAACCCTGTGCTATTGATCAGACACGGTGTATCTCCCGGACGGCGCAACACTTACCATCAATCCTTCTTGGATATCTGCGCTCTGCACCCACTCTTTCATTGCAATGCTGCAAAGAACGAAGTCAATCCTTGACCCGAAGTTCCCTGGCCTAGCATTGATCTTCTGCTCCCAATGAGTATACATGCCTTTCCTCGTCGGATGGAACTCGCGGCACGTATCCCAAAGCACTGGCGCCTCCCTTCCCTCATCCCGCGGCGGAATTACATCCCCATTCTCCAACATCTGGTTGAAGATGCGTCGGTTGCCCGTGGACACGTACTCCTCGTGCGAGATGCCCTCCTTGCGCATGCTCTCCTCTGCGTTCGCGGTGTCGATCTCCGCACGCGACACATTCAGGTCACCGCACAGAACGACACGCTTCCCCTGGCGCGTGAGATTCCGTATACGAGCGTCCAGGGCGCTGAAAAATGCGTACCGAAAGTCGTCGCGGAGACCGTTGCTGTTCGCTGGGCTGTACACCCCCAGTAGAACGAAGGCCGGGAACTCAAGGACCACACAGCGGCCCTCAGCATCCAGTGCGGCAGGGTCGACACCACCGGCCATGTCTATCTGCTCTTCTGTAGGGTACCCGCCGATGTGTTGGTCCGGGGGAAGGTCGCGGTATGTGGTCGAGGACCCTGGCGGGCACAGGACGCCGAGGACACCCTCTTCAGCGCGGATGGGAGCGCAGCGGGAAGTGCGAGTGTAGATTGCGACACCAGAATAGCCTGTATCTCATTCAGCATCCAGCACTGCATGCAAATTTGCGCACAACAAGCAATTCTATCCCGTCTGACCCGGTGTGTTACCCACCTTTTTTATGCTTCGGCAGACTAAAGAAGCAATCCCATCCAGGCACCAGCACCATATCGTCGCGCAAGTCCTTCCGCTGGATTTTCAGTTCCTGCATAATGACGATATCTGCCTCAAGCAGGTCGAACATAGCGTCGAAGGTGCGCTTGTCGCGCCATGGCTGGTAGCCGAAAGGATTGCGGATGCCATTGACGTTCCAGGTCGTGATTCGGAGCGGCGGCATTTGTGCAAATCAGTTGTTGATGCAACTTTGGGTTGCGGAGAACGTGGCGTTTCACGGGTATATGCGGGAAGCTGGGAGGGGCAAACGCGGTAATCTGGTGGTCGTGGCTAGCTAGCCGGACGGTGGGTGATTGTGCGCTGCGCGGCGGAGAGTATGGTGACGCGAGGGCATGACCAGAGCGAGCGGCGATTGCACTGCTGCCGTCTGTGAGTGTGCGCTGCCTGCGAAGTTTAGAGTCGAACGCGGTAGACGCGTCGTCCAGATAGCAGCCCGCGGGAACCAGGGTACAGCTCTGACCAGTCGCATTGCGCGGAAAGCGATGTCGTCAGAGGCGGGAGGCGAGCGAGCGGAGAGAGGGGGCGGAAAGGGCCGGGCGCGCCAAGGCAGGAATGTTCGGGGCGAACGGGGAAAGTGGTGTGACGGAGCGCCGAGAGAAGCCGCACATAGTGTGCCTGCAGCTTTGTGACCGCAACCACCACCATCCAACCCCACGTAACTGCAACCCACCCATCTCCACTCCAACCGTCGCCGATCGAAACCGCGACAATGCTGTACCGCGCTGCCCTCCGCCGTTCCACCCAGGCCCTCCGCACCCCGGTCGTCCGCCGCACCTACTCCTCTGCCCAGGGCGGCTTCGAGGGTGCTGCTGACAACGCCTTCAACCGCGAGCGCGCTGCCGTCAAGCAGCACGCCGCCGAGACCAGCGGTGCGTAATAGTTTTGCTTTGGTGATGGTTGGCGCTGTCCATAGGGAGCTGGGGAAGGAGAGGGGGATGGAGATGCAGGACGTGCTTTTGACAATGGGAGGAGGGATTGCTATGCCGTACGCGCGATTGGAAGTGTCATGATGCTAATTTTCTGTGATATACAGACCTCTGGCGCAAGCTGTCCATCTAGTGAGTGCCATTGCCGTCGTCTTGCCCTTTGAGTACACCGAGGCAGCGTTCCATTGGACCGAGCTGCTTGCACCAAGGTTCTAGTGCTGCGACTGCTGCCGGAGGTCCTGACTCACATTTTGCTCACTCACCTGTTTCATGCATGATTGAAGTGACGGGAGGAGAGAGTAAAGAAGAGAGGACTCTAGCGCAGTTGCAAGACTGACCTTGAAAGAAAACACCCAAAACAAAATAGCTTACCACTAACCCTTACCTTTTTTCAGCGTCGTCATTCCCGCTCTCGCCATCTCTGGCGCCAACGCCTACAGGCTGTGGAGCGAGCACTGGGAGCACGAGGCCCACGCGCCCCCGCTTGAGGAGCGCACCGAGTACCCCTACCAGAACCTCCGCACCAAGAACTTCTTCTGGGGTGACGGTGACAAGGTGAGCGAGCTTTCCTTCCTTTTCATTTACCTGCGGGTGTCGTTGTCTTGAGAATGGTGGGGCGAGGAAGAGAAGAAGAAGCACTGGTCGAAGCACGTTTGAGGCGTGAGCACGCATATCAGGGTCCAGCGCATGATTAAGCAGCGACACCAGAGACGGGTTGGGAAAGAGCGCAACGGCAACCATCTTCTTTTATCAAAGGGACAGCATGAAAAACTGACAATATGTCTTTCAACAGACCCTCTTCTGGAACGACAAGGTCAACTACCACAAGAAGGACGAGTAAATATCCTCTCATCCAGGATGTTTAAGACCGCCGCCGTCTACTCTCCTTTGGCGTAATCGGGAAGGAGCACACCCTGCAGCCTTTTTGTACATAGAAGCCAAACGAGAGAAAAACTCAAAGTGGGCCCTAAACTTGTGTTTCCAGTCACCGATCTAAGAAGGAGAGTGGGGAAAATACTGCGAGCAGGATCCTCTCCTCCTACCGATCTCCTAGTGCGCGAAAACACATACACCAGACAGAACTGTACACCAATGCCAAACCATTCCCTTTGTCTACTATAATTGATGAGCAGTCTGGGAGGCACGCTTTGCCCAAGACTTAGTTGAAGGGCTTTCTTTGTTTGGGAGATGGGGCTTTGACTCTTTGTTCATCAGGTCAGGATGACCGCTTCGAGGCTCTGTGGAAACAGAAACAATGCTTTTCCTCTTTGCTTATCCCGGAGGGACGCCTGCTTTGACCCCGCATGGTGGAGGCATTCATCCAGCGTGCGTCCAAGCTACACGACCTCGCTTGGGGGAAGGCAAGAGCGATCGCCCACCATCCCACGGTGCGCGGAACTACTTTGTCGTGTTGGCGCTGGGAACGAAATCGCTTGGTGACTACCGCGGGCCTGTGGTGGTGATGGAAAGGGCGGCGGGCCTTAGTAAGCAAGTCGCGCTGCCGCTGCGTCGCGCTTCGCGGTCGCCGACCGCCGCTTCGCACCGTTGCCCAGCGGCAGGCTGTCGCCGGGGAGGCGAGGTGCTCCGTGCACGCGCCTTCCCTATGTGCTTGTTCGGCAATGCTTGGCATGGTGTTCGAAGGGCACGGCAAAACGCCAAACCTTCCTGCCCATCACCCACCACCAGAAACGGCAGCCACTCACTTTACCGTGCCCGTCACCAGGCTGCTGCCTAGCCAGCCCAGCCACCGGCTTTTCTGCCTACCAGAAAGTGTTAAGGAAAAGTCGGCGCTGCGGTGGGCGACCACGGACTTGATATAAGGAAGAAGGCAAAGAGAGCCGGCACCGCCGCGCGTTTCACCCTCCGACCGCCTTATTGCGACCGGGGAATTTTTATCTATTATTTTTTCAAAGAAACACTCACCCAGTACTAGACAGTGGCAATTTAGCTTTCCTAACCATCCCCCGCGCCGTCAACTGCGAAGTGTTTGACGCTGCTGCTCCTTCGCCTCCACTATCAAAACAGATTCCGAATATCTGGGCCACCACGGCCAGTATTCAGAAGCAAACAAGACCATTTTCTGAGCATCTGGAGCAAGTCTCCAGAAATAGACGTAGGGCTGGGCGCCTACTTTTCTGCCCCCCCCCCCCCCCCCCTCCTGTTATTATATTGACCACTCATGAAAAATTAGCTTGTATTCATCGCTAATAACTATTCATACTACCCGTTCCTCGCGCTGGTAATTTCTGAAGTCGATAGAGACTGCTGGAGCTGGTGATAATTGCTCCCACTGGTGGTTACTCGCGCTGGTTAGTCGTGGTGATTACTTCTGGTGGTTACTCGCGGTGATTGAACGGTTTAACACGGCTGTCCAGTCAGTAATACGACGCGCGGTAAGGCTATTAAGTACTTCTAGAGTCTTAATAATTTGGGTGTCAAAGACGAATCAAAGTTGATATTTCGTAGGGGGGTCAGGATAACAGGAGAGGGGGTCAGAAAATTCGGCGCCTAAAGTCGAGTTGTACAAGACTATCCTGACTATGACTTCCACCATCCGCCTAAGTCGAGGGCAATTTCTCGCGCAAGGCAGTTGCAAACGCCTAGTTGTTTCATATACTTTAGACACGCAGCTCAGAATTTGTGCAACAGGTATTGGAGTATGGTTTTCGATTCTTTATATGAAGGTCGCTCCTGTGGTGCTCAATCCGCATCACTTGGGGGCAATTTTATCTCGCTAGCCTAGGGGTGGGTTCTTTTTTTTTTTTCTTTTTTGTGATTTCGCCCGAAGAAATCATCCGCCTTTGATGTCTTCTCTTTTTCATACTCCCATAATGCCCCAATCAAAGTCCTCCAATAATTTTTGTCACTGGTGAAATGAAAGTATGTAAGGAGGCCAGACCAGGAAACAAGGAAAGAAACTTGCTCCATCACTTCCTTCGTGATGAAGCTGTGTATGGAGAGGATGTGTGGATCTGGATTCGCCCCTCATTACCTAGACCAGGAAGTGAGGAAATTTGAACATCCGGATGATTTTCTGCTGAAAAGAAGACACGCTGAGCCCGCATGGAGATGAAGCACATTGAGATCGAACTTTTCGCCACCAGCGAAAGTCATCTGAGCTGGAACCTGCAAAGCCTGTGAGCAAGCTCATGCCTGCAACGTCGGAGGGCTTGGCGGCAATGGGGTGCGTTGAATGCAGGAACGCTCTCTGCGTGAAGAATCAAGGCTGAGAAGGTGGACCGGCCGCGATAGTGGAGCTTGAGTTGAAAACAAGACCGGGCTGAGCAGAAGGGCCAGCCTGAGAAGAGGAAGCGACCTGAGGACCAGCAGCAGTAGGTGGGCCTGCAAGAGCAGACGAAGATGCTTGAGCAGTAGAGCTAGCCAACGCCTGTCCGGTGTGGTTTTGCTGTTGTGGCGCTGAATTTCCATGCTGCGGAAGAGAAAGGGCTTGCATTTCTCGGAGGCGCTCCAGCTCTTGGTCTCGGATGAAGCGCTGAATCACGACAAAGCCAAACGCTTCCTCGTTTCTCTTTTCATCTTGCCTCTCTTTCATGTCTTCATAGGTCCATATGTTGTTGAACAGGGTGTCGCCGAAGTGGAGGTCTTTACCTTGGAGGACTTGGGGCGGGGCGCTGACCAAACCCCACATAGGATCACGGATACGCCTGTCATTGGCTATAATTTGACCTAATGCGGATAAATGTTAACATTCCTGGGTAGCTGAAACGAACGTGGGACGTAGTTGTTCGAATTGTGGTAAACATTTAATGGGTAGTTGAAATGGACGTGGGGACGTGATTGTTCAAATTGTAGTAAGCATTTCATGGGTAGTTAAAACGAATGTGGGGACTTGATTGTTAGAATTGTGGTAACCATTTTATGGGTAGTTAAAACGAACGTAGGGACGTGATTGTTCGAATTGTGGTAACCATTTTATGGGTAGTTGAAGCTAACACGTGGGACGTAATTGTTCGAATTTCTTACCTAGCCATCGGTCAAGAGCTTCGACTTCCATGCGAGTACTACGTTCGGTATCGATGAATCGTGGCTCCTTAGCCCATGGAGATGGCCGAACAATCAGAGGGTCGAACCTACGAATGCCAAGAGCGAGGCGGTGTTGACCAAGGGAGCCCCACTCGAATCGAGCACCCCACATGCCGAACTGGTTGTGCTCGTCAACATTGCAGATGAATCTGTACAACTCAGTGTCCTAGTGGCGGAGTATTTCGATTCCTCTTCATGGATAGACTGGATTGGAGACCTGCATTGATTCACTATATACCGTGTTGGAATGCTAGCCATCCTAGTGATCGCTCTCATCATGCTATCTGTAACCTTTACTCAATCGTGAAACCCGAGCCCATCAAGCCTATAGAAATTCCCCGAAACAAGAAATGAATGTTGTACCCGCCGCTGATCATGAACACACGCTGAAGTGACTGATGTTTCAATCACGAATGATCTGATATTGCCCAAAAAGCGCGCTTGCTGCGCGGAGTAGGATGCCAATCGTTGGCTGAGCAAGTGAAAAGTGAGACAGCAAAGTGAGGCGCCCATTGGAAAGTAGAAGGGGCGCTTTGGCAAATACCTGCCTGAAATTTAATTTCAAGCAGGCCAAATTGGCCGAGGAAGTCGCTGGAAAGGATTCTTCAAGGCCGCGACGGTATAGTATGAGCCGTTGACCATGCAATCCCAAGCCATCTTGCGGTCAGACTTCATCAAGTTGAAGTCAAAATTGCTCAAGCCTCACGCTCAGGAAAGTTGAAGCCGTTGTTGAAGGACTGCAGCATGCCTTCCGCGACAAGATCCGAGTTGCGCTGGGAAGCAGCGGCGAAGGGATCGAAGTCATCCTGAACAGTGGTGGCACTGAGCTCGAAAGCTCCATTGAATAGGTGAGAGCTGTTGAAGAGCGCAGACTGGCCAGTGGCGATCTCCTCCGCAAGAGAAGCGGTGGCAGCAGCGTTAGCTTCAGCCTGCGGGAGGAGTTCATTGTTGTCAAGAACCGCAGCGTAAGCCTCCTGGTCGACACGACTGGCCATACCCATGTCGATCCAGCCAAGGTTGGGCGGGGACGTGTTCATACTCAACAAGGCGTCATGGGCATTCATGCCGACGGAAGTGGGGCGATCCGATCCACCAGCAAGAGAGTCGACAATGCGGGCCTTCTGCTCAAGGACGCTCGGCTCAACAAAGTTCAGCGGAGCATCAGACACCTTGAATTCCCCGGAGACATTTCCTTTGGCCTTGGCCTTAGTCTTGCGCCTCTTAATGTCAGTTGCCCTGCGAGGAGCATAGCGGTAGTCCGGAAAGGCCTGGCGATGGTGGGCAGCATGAGCAGCAGCCATATCTCTGTACTGCTGCTTGACTTGAAGAGTCTCGTTCCTCCACATCGCGCCAATGATCTGAGCTAGACAGCTTGTCAGTAAGGGACAGACGATATTAGCGCAGAAACAACTTACAGATACGATTGTTGTGAGCACCTGGATTGTTTGCCACGACGAAAGGGTGGTTGTCCCTGCGGTAGAGCATGAAAGCATTCATAGGACGAGGGGGCCGGCTGCGACGGTTGGGCTCGCGCGCAATCTGCACCAGATCCAGGCGCGGCATGGCGACGGCAGAGTGGATGACTTGAGGAGGCTGAGCCATAGTAGACTGAGCAGACTGAACCATAGTAGGCTGAGCAGACTGAGAGAAGCTGTCAGGATGTCCATCGGAGTGAGCGGGCTGAGCCATGGCAGACTGGGCAGACTGGGAAAAGTTGTCGGAATGTCCATCAGAGTGAGGAGGCTGAGTCACAGTAGACTGGGCAGACTGAGCTGAGCTGGCGGTGTCTCCACTGAAGTGAGGAGGAGGGAGAAAGCGCCAGACATTGTTGTCAGGATCCCAGAACATCGTGCCGCGGGCATTGATGAAAGAGCTAGAGGAATCAGTGACATGCTCAGCAATTCTTGTCGAGAGAGCCTACCTATAGCGGCAGCGGATCTCATGGAGACCTTGTTCGCCAATGAGGGAGGTGAGTTGCTTAGGCAAGTCAACAGTAGACTTCCCGGTGTGCAGCTGCGCAAGTGCAGCAGACCAAGCCATTTCAATCTGGCCCTGCTGAATCGACACAGCTAAGTGAGCAGGCTGCGCGGTGGTTGGATGCGTGGTCGTAGCCATTTTTGCTAGTATCGCGGCGAGGGGAAAAGAACTGAGAGGAGGTTAGGCGGGCCGATTCCTTGACGATGACGGCCAGCCTAGGTTGAGGAGTGGAGTGGAGTTGCGAAGGTTTGGTTCTTCGACTTCGAGCGATGGGTTTTGTGTCCAGGCTTGGGCACGGGAAATCTAAGGCAGTAACACGTGAAGGGCAGCGCACTGCAATGCCCTTCACACTGCCCGCGCCTGCTGCCCGGCCAACCCCGGGCCACTGCCTACTTATTGCCGTCGGACAGACTTGAACTTCTTGTCTTCTTCTTCTCCTTCTTCTTCTTCTTCTTCTTCTGCTTCTTTTGTTCCAAGCACGCAGCTCAATCCACCTCAGCTTTCTCGATACTGCTATGGCTACGAAGCCTTGAACTGATCCCAGTGAAGATGGCGCCGGCTAAAGCTTTTACGCTGAGCGGCCTGCAGCAGAAAATCGCCTATGGCGAGCACAGCGAGCCTACTGAGCAGGCTCTCCTTGATGTCCTCAGAAATGCCGTTGCCACGCTTGACGATTCGGGTGTCTTGGGCAAGAATGACATGGCCAGCACCAATGCAACTGAGACACCAGAGCACTTTCCAATGGGACGCTCCCTCACCTACGCCCTGCCTAGATCTGGTAATTTTGCGACCAACGAGGAAAAGATCAGGCGCATCCTAGAAGCGGAACAAGATCTAGCAAACCACGCGTTAGCGATGATCACCAACGACAACATAGAGGCTTTCAAGAAGGCGATCGGCATCCCTAGCAACGACACTGCCGAGCAGAAGTTCCGCAAGCAAGCACTCAAGCGTGTGGCCTTCCGACAACTACTTACAGAGTATGCAATCTATATTTTTTGTTCTTGGCGCTCTGCTAATAGGTTTCAGGTCAACCGACGCGAAGATTCGCGGAGAAGGTCTCGTGCAGATCGCCGAGCACCACAGGAAGCAGCTATCGACCAAGAAGTTGGACAGGATCTGGATGCTGCTCTACACTCTCAGAATGCTCCACGAGCACACGTTCAACCCTCAGAGGCGCAAGATGAACAACAACCTTCTGCTTGAAGAGCTTTTCGAGGTCAGCACAGCTCTGAATGAAGTAGAATTCGAGGTGATCAAGGACTTTACGATGTATCCTGTGGACGGACTGAAGGAGTGGTGTAAGTATGCCCTTGTCGGAAAGAATGGAACGCGGGCTCGTGCTGACGATGATTTAAATGCTTCCAGTCAAATCGAGGGCACAAAGGCTTGCGATTGCCTTTATGTGCGAAGATCTTCAGACGCCGAGCCACGTGGGAGAGCAACTTAGGCTTCTTCAGGCGTTGAAGAAGCTGACGCGTGCCAAGCACCCGCAGCCGGACTGGTGGCCGTTGCCGCTCAAGGAGGTCGCGCAGAACATCTGGGGCACCAGCATTATGTAGGCGGTGGACAACGGGACCACGGCACAGGATGACGCCCTGTTTCGGGAGGGGTGTCTGGGACAAAGGGCAAAGGGCAGATTTCAAGGCGCCAAAGAAAGAAAAAAAGAAAAAAAACTCGATGGCAAATGGACAAAGGCACGGCATTAAGTAGTGGGCAGCTGATCCTGATCACTGAAGTCATGCTGAAATCTTGCTCCTCAAGCAGGATCTTGGCTTAAAATACCACAGGGCACAAAATTGAAGCTTAGTCCTGCAGACAGTTGGATATTGTGTTGTGCATGTGTTTTTGGGGTGATGGGAAGTCTGGCGGCGGAAAAGGAACGGGCCGGTGCAGACGGGGATCCCCTTCTGCGCGATCCAGGATCGCCCAGCTCCACCCGCGCTTGTCGGCACATCGCGTTGAACCATGCTTTGGCAAGCTACACGCCCTCCCGACGGCAGTGTTGGAGGCGGGCAGGTCTGGCGGACAGCGGGCGGGGCAGCTCGGCGGCAGCTCGTGCGGCGGTGGAGATTCGGGCGGGTGATGGGCGGCGCAGTGGCGCCATGGGAAAAACAAGGCTGGGCGGCTAGCGGGCTGGTGGGCGGAGGTCATCCGCGGGCGGCGCGACTAGAAGCATAGACACGTCCTCCGCACTCGCCCAGCTACCCGCGCTGCGTGTCCCCAATGGCCGCCGCTGATCCATCCGCTCCTCCACCGCGACCATGGCCACCTTCGCCGCCTTCCTGCTGGTCTACGTGATCGGCGGCCTGACCTTCGTGCCCTTGTGCGTCGCCGCCGCCGTCTACCTCGCGCTGCTCGCCTGCCCGCGCCACGATGCCCACAGCTCCGACGAGCTCGACGACGCCGCCCCCGCGAACCTCCCTCCCGAGCTCAACGCGCGCAAGACCGAGCCCGACGTGGCCGCCGGCTACTTTGCCGTCTGCCGCGAGTATGTGCCCGGCGGCGTCAACGGCAAGCCGCCCGAGCGCACCACGCCCGCCGGCGCCGTCGTGGGCGTCGAGAGCCCCAGCGTCTACCAGAGCATGTACCGCACCATCTTCGAGCGCAACCGCGCCCAGAGCCCCAGCATGGAGGCCGCCAAGCAGAAGAAGGCCCGCAACGTCTTCTTCGTCGTGCTCAGGTTGGTCCGCTCCCCGCCCCGCCCACGCAGCCTGCTCACCCACAAAGGCACGGTCATCTGATCCTCTTCGACGACGCCGAGCAGGTCGAGGTGCGCTACGTCATCTCCCTGGCCCACCGCATCGTCGACGTCTACGCCGGCGGCGAGGCCATTCCCGAGGGCGAGCTGTGGATCAAGCGCAACTGCATCCGCCTGCGCCGCGCCCCCGACCAGGCCGATTCCGAGGCCGAGGCCCGCCCCTTCTACCTGTTCTCCGACAACAGCTCCGAGAAGGAGGACTTCTACTTTGCCCTGCTGCGCAACCAGGAGCGCCAGACGGGCATGCCCATTTCCCCGCCGCTCCAGTTCGAACAGCCACACGTCGTGAAGCTAGTGCAGCAGCTGCATGCCTCGGAGGAGACACTGCAGACGCGGTGGATCAACGCCCTGGCCGGCAGGCTGTTTCTTGCCTTGTACAAAACGCCCAATGTTGAAGATTTCATCCGCACCAAGATCACCAAGAAGATATCGCGTGTGGCCAAGCCCGCCTTCCTCCAGAGTATCACAATCCAGCGCATCGTGATGGGCGACAGTGCTCCCATGGTTACGAACCCCAAGCTGCGCGAACTGACTCTTGACGGAGACCTGACTGCAGAGGCTGACGTCAGGTACAATGGCAATTTCCGCCTCGAGATAGCCGCCGTCGCCCGCATTGATCTTGGCTCGCGCTTCAAGGCGCGCTACGTCAACATGGTGCTCGCCGGCATTCTGAAGAAGCTGGAGGGCCACGTCTTAGTCCGCGTGAAGCCTCCGCCCAGCAATCGTCTCTGGATCACCTTCGAGCACCCTCCCAAGATGGAAATGGCCATCGAGCCCATCGTGAGCTCGCGCCAGATCACCTATGGTATGATTTTGAGAGCTATTGAGAATCGGATCCGCGAAGTCGTGACCGAAACCCTTGTGCTGCCCAATTGGGATGATATGCCGTTCTTCGACACCATCGCCCAGCCTTTGAGAGGTGGTATATGGGAAGATGCATCCAAAGCTCCCGTCTCCCCTGATGCTGCGCATGAGCCTCCCGTGGACGACACCTCGATGGACGATGTGCATGAAGAGCCCACCGTTTCGCATTTCGTGCGCAAGGACGAGAAGACAATGAGCATGCCCAACTTGGGAGAGTCGGACGTCTCGAGCCTCAAGTCTCGGAAAACTGCAAAATCAGTGATGTTAGCCGGCGACAGCGCCTCTGCAAGTGGTGTTGAAGTCCGCTCCTCGGCCAGCATGCCCAGGTCGATGCGCTCAGGCTCGTTCGCCAGCATCGCCCGGCCCATCGTCGCCCAAGACACGGCCGTCGTGGAAGCTCAAAAGAGCCCGCAAAAGCACCAACATGATGCCATTACAGCAATCAAGGACATTTCGTCGCGCTCAATACCGACCTCACCCGTCGAATCTCCCGTCGGTTCCCCGGCAATGCCTGCTGGCCCCCTGGCTGAAGCGTCAGCCCACGGAGGATTGAAGCATGTCTCCGGACAGAAGGCGTCTGACAATGGAGGGGACGCGAAACGAGCACCCGCACCAAAGACTGCTTGTGATGATGGCGACGCCAAGCCACCCACAGCTCCGAAGGATGCAGGGAAGGTCGAAGGGTCGCGGGAACGGGGCCCGTCATTTGGCAAAGCCGAAGAGGATGTTGCTAGTTTTACTGATCTTTTCGGGGAATTTGTCCATTCGCAACCGGAGCCCATACCCCGTCCCGAGCCTGCCGCCTTCTCTGTCAATTCAGAACAGAGCTCTCTATACTCGCAAGCGACAGATTCTACAGCGCATTCCGACCTGAGCGCTAAAAGCTCTCTCTCGTCGCGCAAGACCTCGCTGTCCGAAAAACGTCAAATGCTTAACATGTCACTCAACTCGGCCACAACCGCAGCCAAGAAATGGTTCGCCTCGCGCCAGCAGTCGAACACACCCCACTCGTCATCCACCCCTTCCCACCCATCGCCCTCCTTCCCCTCGTCATCTTCTCCCGCCTCCACTACAGGTACACCGGCACGGTCTTCCAGCCCTACTCGTGATCAATCGCAGCAGCCGCCATCATTATGGAGTCAAAGTACGCACTCGGACACAAAGTCGCACCAGGCGCAGGAGCACCCCAACCATGACCGCGTTCCGAGCACTCCTCATTCGTCCATCTCTTCCGCTAAGGCCACAACACCGTCTTCGGTGTCGCCGCCGAAGAATTCACGCCCGGACAACAAACCATCGAGAAGCAGTTCCATTAGCGTCCCCATGGGCCGTGGTCAGCCGCTTCCGCCTCCCGGAGTTCCGCTACCTCCGCCCGCGAAGCCGGAAAACAAGTGGGTGCAAGGCAGCGCGCAGCTGCTGGGACTAGCCAAGAGGAAACCTGTGCCTTCTGCTTCGCCTGGGGCGGCGGCATCGTCATCGTCAGCCTCCGTCATGGCGCCTCATGGTGCCGGTAATATGAACGGGAATGGAGGCGTAAACAATGGTCATGGATTCGGGCCTGCCCACATTAGTGGTCAGCATCAGGATGTTGGCGGGCATACGGACTTTGTTGGAGCAGATATTCAGATCCCAGCCGCAACGGCAGCGCCTGTAGGCATGCATTTAGGCAAAGAAGTTGGCGGGAATGGCGCAGGAGACTCTTCGCACGTGCCGCTGCCGCTCGGTCACAACAGAACCACGTCATCTTCGTCTTCGTTATTCAGCGGCAGCAATGACACGCCAACGCCAACAGCCACCACACCTGCTGCTGTCAACAGATCGACGGAGAAAGCGAACGAAGCGGGCAGTGATGATGTGTCGACAGCGGCTCAACACAAGCCCTCCTCACCGCAGCAGCAACGGAAGCAGTCCAACTCTTCTGCAACTTCACACCACTCCGTCTCCGCCGCATCCGAACCGTCGTCCCCGCCTCCGCCGCCCCTGCCGCCGAGGAGAAAGACTTTGGCGGTATCACCTCGTCCCGGCGGTGATGATAAGAACAGGAATGGGAGGCCGAATAATAATGTCAATAGAAGGACGAGGAGCCACCGTCTTCATCGGCACGACGACGTGGGCGAAGAGCAACCGCAGCTCCTGGTCGTCGCCGCGCCGTTGGCGGAGAGCGATGCGTCGTCGGCGCCGGTGACGCCGGAGGCGACGAAACATGAGTTCGGAGGCGAGCTGGCGAAGAGGGGCGTGCGTGATGACAAGAGGAAGGGCAATGATGATGATAACGATGATGACGAGGACGAAGACGATGATGATGACGATAGCGGTGAAAGGGGCCGGGATGACGAAGAAGATGAAGGGGAGAATGGGTTGGAAGGATCGGTATTCGATTTGGAGTTGGACGAGGGGGGTGACGACATGCCTCCTACCTCTTCATCTTCATCGTCCGCCTTACCTTTCGTGTCCTCGGAGTCTGCGGGTGCGACGGTTGCTGCAAGGGTTACTCCACCTCACGTCCGCGATGACGGGAATGGCAATGGCGCCGTGGCGATGGGTGCACCGGCGGTCGGGGCTGCGTCTCTTTCTTCCCCGCCGGACTTACTGACTCATCCACCTTCTCCTCCAGAGGCAGCGCTGGCGTCGAAGGACACCTTGTCGTCGCCGGGAATGGTAAATGCAAAAGGCGAGGCGGTGGCGAAGGAAATGGACCAGGGTGGCAAGGGGAAGTCGAAGGGGAAGGGATGGTTCACGTCGCCGAGCGCGTCGAGGATTGATGATTTGCCACCGCATAGGCGATGAGGAGAGGAGGAGCGGGATGGAGTCTTAATACCCAACTTTGGCTTCTTTTTCCCTTACCGTTTCGTCCTCTGGATGGATAAGTGGACAAGGAGGGGGAAGGGGATGGCTTGTCTCATGTGGGTGTAGTAGGAAGATTGACACTTGTTTTCTTTTTCTCGTGCTTGATCGGGAAGAATAGTGGTGGAGGGGGGAGGAGGGGGATGTGAGAGAGAAGAACAAGGCATGGAGTACGGGGCATACCGTTGTCTCTTTTTTTTTTTTGTTACCTTTTGTTTTCCTGTACAGCAGCATGTTCTCATGAGTAGGTACGGCGTTTCAAAGCATACATTGGCGGGGGCGCTTTTTTGGTTTTCCCTCCTCTTTGGGCGAAGCGGTCCGGGGGGTGTGGAGTTTGGATCATTGAACTGGGTATACTCTGGAGTTTGAGGACCCGAGGTTGATGGGAATAGGAAGGGAGAATGCCAGCAAGCGACGTGTATTTTTACTTACCATAGAGCGGCAGTGGCAATGAAGACGCAGCTTTCTGAATGGCTTGACAGATGAATGACCGGTTGATGGGCTTGAAATGAGATGGAGTGATGTATGGTGTTATTGCTTGGCTCTCGTGGTCTTACCTGATTAGGTGATGCGAGGAGAAGAGGGCAGGACGTAGGGGAGGAAAATCAGGGAAGAGTGAGAAAGAGCAATGGGGGCTTGGGTAAGAGCGGAGCAAGAGCGGAAAGAGCCCTCAGGTGTGCAGTTCAGGTAAAGACATGGATATGAGAAGCATGAGCAGCGTGCAATCAGGACAAAATGTAAAAGGTTATACAAGCGCATCTACTTCCCTAAGGATATTGTTGTTTAGTTGTTTCTCCTTCATCATCTGTGCCTTCCACAAGTATCGTTTAAGCGCTTAGCTTGCTCTGGATGAACTCAGCCGCCTCACCGGTGCTCGCAGTTGCGTATGATAGGTGAGCGGGCGTGATGATGAACTGGTTGGTGCAGACGAGATCGCCGGTCGCGCAGAATATCTTGGTCTTGCTGGAGTCGATGTTCTTGAATGCTTGGGCCTGGAGGGGGTCACCGAAGGTAACGGCAGCCTGTGAAACAAAGCTTGGTGTCAGTCTTGCATGTGATTCGCTTATAGTGAGGTCCGCTGAGGATTGATGGGATGGATGGCGTTGAGACAATGAAGTGCAAAAAAAAGAGGCAATCTTACCGCAACCTTGCTAGCCGAGCTGCTGTCCAGATCGATAAGGCAGCCATGCACTTGCTGTGCGCCTTGTGAGTAGCCCGCCAGCACGATCTGGGTATCTGGGCAGTTTGACAGAGCCTGCTTGACCAGCTTCGCGCAATTCTGGCTGCCCTCAGCCTGGCCGGGTGAGACGCTTCCGATGAAGGTGCCAGCGACATCAGCCGGGTAGTTTACGCCCTGGGTTGCAAGCTTGTCGGCCCCGAGCGCAGACTCGAGCTTCTGCTGCAGCGCCGGGCCAACAGTTGTGCCCATATTGCCGGTTTCGGTGGTGCCGCGGGCGAAGATGTAGGTGACGGGCTTGCAGACGCCATCGGTGACATCGTTGGAGGTGGAACTCCCGCCAAAACTGCCGGTAGGAATGGAGAACTGCGGGGCGCGGGCCTCGACGCGGGTAGGGTTGCTGGCGGGCAAGGCCACAGCAGTGGCGGCCAGCGCCAAGAGGACGTGAGGAGTGACAGCAACCATTGTGGTGGCGGAGTAGGATGCAGACGAGATTGAGTGGAAGGAGGGCAGCTGAGAAGTGAAGGATGCAGATACTGAGGCTTCCGGTGCTCAATGTAGATGGAAGAACGAGAGAGGCGAGTGTGAAGCAGCGAGGTGTTGTTGAATAGACAAAAGAAGGCTGGCAGCAGCTTTAATACCTTTTCTTGCCACAACGGCAGTCACGATCTTACCTGGATTGGAAAGAGCCGCGGTAGTTTTCTTGAGTTCCAGGAACTGTTAGGTCAAGCAGCTGTGACAATACGAAGTAAGGCCGAGAATCTATCATGGTGGTCATGCAGAAGGATATTGTAGCCGAAGGCTAGCGTGAATTTGTTTTTTGTGTATCAGACGCGTGCACAACCCTGTGATACGGGTAGTTGAAGCAAGTGTGCAGATATGCATGTAGAATCGATGGTGATAGCATCCTCTACCTACATAAGTCGAGTATCGTTCTTGGTGAAGAGTATCATAAAGAGCTATTTCTTCTGGACCATCATGGTACGGGGACATAGGCACCCCCTGTTCTGGGGCGTTGCCATTCTTTGCGCTAACTCTCGGCTCTAGTACCTACCGTCGCCGCGGCGAAGCAGCGTTTCCCGTTGAGTGTTATCCGAGGTACCCGTGTTTCCTCTCGCCCCACTCTCCGCCACTATTATGGCTTCTGCAGATCAGATCATCACAGGGGGATGTGGATCCAGCTATGTCTGAGACCTGCTGACCACATTCAATTATTGTAACGCCTCAGTGTTTGAGGCTAATAGCTTGAGCCTGTGGCTTACTGAGGAGAGTGGCTGGACTCTTCGATCATAGGCGCCAGTGGAGGCAGTTGGGAAGTACGCTCATTTCTTCAGTGGCCGATCAAAGCTATTTCAAATCTCAGCGGTAAAAGATGCTTGAGGTGTTTCCAGGCACGGACGGCGACTCGCTTGGGCTAGCGCCTTGCAAAGAGCGTTGCTGCTTGAGGCAGAAAAAGGACCGTTTGCGACACAGAACGTGAGGTGATCTTCCGCGGTCTGAGGAATGTGGCCACCACATAGAGCGGCGGAATGGGAAGCCGGGGTCACTCTCAAGTGCATGCGAAGCGGGTTGATCTGCAGCGAAACCAGGATTGGTATCGAGGGCCGTTAGTATCATAGCACGAATGGACCGAGGTCCGGGCTAGACTGGAGAGAGGCTGCTTGAGGTGAGCGAGGCGTCAAGAGGCGAGTCGACGGGTGTATCAGAGTTGGTGAAGTATTGGAGCTAAACCGGCAACAGATGCCTAGCGTCCTGGTAGCGGCGAGGCTAACGGCCTCTCTCCACCGCGATCGACGTCCCCTGGCAAGACCTACAAAGAATTCAAGCTCCGCCAACATGTCCTACAAAAGATCGCATCTCATATACGGGCGTAATGTGATCCTATGTCTGAGTGCAGCGCGGCCGGCTATGTGTTTCCCTTATCTCCGAAGGCAGAAAGCACTTTGTCCTGCAGAACCAACAGGGGCATGATCGCTGTGCCGAGGTTGCTGTTGTTTGGTCCAGCGAAGTGACGACAAGCATCACAATTAACCGGGGAGATGCCTCCCGTTTGGAAGGCTGATGACGGCGTTTCCTCCAGAAACCCGGCTCCTGGAACAGATCTCTCGCGTTTTGCATATGTCTATCTCTAACAAGAGGCGCTCTATGGTGGTGGCCAAGCTTTTCCAACCCCTGCCAGCCTTGGAAAACGGGTGGCTTTTGCCGAAGGCATCAGCCGTAGCTGCAGTTGTAATCCCGGCCTAATTTACTCGGTAGCATTCCCAGAGCAATGAGGGGTATCTCCACCCCAAATAGTAAGAGACATGCGTACCCCGGCGCCAATTTCATAATGCTCGCTCCACTTTTTGCGATCCTCTCACGAAGAGCATGGGCGCAGAAGGAGAAAGTTATCCGTGGCCATTGATTGATCGGAGTCGCTAAATTATGCTGCTCTTGGGGAGCCATATGACCGTAAAAACCAATCCACGCTAAATGTTAGCGGCAGGAGAGTGCTGCACCCAGCATATCTCACAATAAAAAAAACAAAGTGAATGAAAGCCCAAACTCATTAAATTATGAGATCACCGATGCTCGTTCTCCGGCGCCATCTCGAGCATTGAACTTCGCTTTTGCAGGCTGAGGTAGAGTACAAAGACACAATCAAATGATCAGCCATCTTTATTCCTTTTGAATTCCAGAATCCTCAAGCGGTATATCCCCATGCACATTGTCAGTTGACAAGTTCTCGTGCTTTTGTGGCGTCAACAGAATGCAGGCGGATGACCTTCTCCTTCTGCTACTAAATACCCATTCATGTTTCAAAGCTGAATCTAGGGCACGATCTCGCTTGATCTTATCGCTTCTCGTCCACTAGTTTCACTACTGGGAATGCAGTAAACTGTCCGTAGGGAAGTCAGCGGAAGGCATACTAAGCCCCTTGGAATATCGGAGCGAGTTGCAGGATATCCTAAACTTCAGGTTACGTGAGTTACATGCTTTCTTCAGCCGGCCCATCTTCCGCATCCACTCTCTTCTCTGCCTCGGTGCTGAGTCTGTCCGATTGGCGCAACGGAGCGGCTGGGTCTGGAAGATAACCGAAATAGCAGTCTGAAGAAGGAGCAGAGGCAGGAGCAGTGCCAGTCATGCGGCCATGCTCGGCAAGCCCCGTGGCATGTGTAACGGGGGCTGATACATCAGACTTTTGTGGTAGAGCTCGTCTGCGACTGCTTATGAAACAAGCTTGCAAGCAGTGCATTTCTAAAGAAACATCTGCCTACTGTTCGAACGCGTGGATCGTGGAACTGGAATCATCTGGTCTATCCAAGGATAGAGGAACGTTATGACATAATGGTGCTGGAGGTCTGGGCGAAGGTAGGAATCTCCCCGTTGAACGGATGTGAGAAAAGCAGCGAATTCAAGTGAGGAAGCGGCGTGAAAGGATCATTCTGGATTATAGCAGTGTCTTGTACAGTCTGTTTTGATAAACGGCGGCGATAATCCCGCATCAAACATGTTAGGATGTATCTGTGGTACTGCGGGCTCCGCACTGGGAATTTGGGCGGTCGGTGGCGTTGTTATCGCTGAGCGATCATGAAATTGCAGGGTGTTTCTTGTGTTTATCTTATCTCTTTTTCTTTTCCCCGGATTTCGAGCTGAAAAAGTATTTGAGGGCTGCTCGGTCCAGTATCTTTCCTCGTTTGAGAATGGCATTATTCCACGACAGAACTAAAGTTCGAGGGAGTTTGCTGGAACGCGCTAGTGTACCAATCAACAGTAAACCGTTTTGTGCGACCAAGGGACTCTCGCGCTTTGATTGTATGTGCATACATTTGAAGAGACGAGCTCTTCTCAGCTAGCGGGAGGCCTGCAGCGATCGACGGTGTTCGGAAGACTGATTGGGCTCGGCTAAAATCATGGAAAGCGCCGGCGCGGCTGGTGTGGCAGATCGCCGGCGGGCCGAGCGGCGCCACAGGCTGCAGTGTTCCGAATTGGGCTTGGGAAGAATGCGGGGAAGCGCGTAGCGTGGTGAGAGGTTAGAAGGCTCAATTCTATGGTTCGGCCGTCGCTGGGAGTCTCGGGATGCTTGGCGGAGATGGCCTGATGCAGCAATTGCATCGCGATCGCGATTGCTTTCAAAGCATCCGCTTTTCCTGGCGGCGACGTCATTTGTGGGCCTGAGGCTGATCGATGCGAGCTCGCTGGCAATGAGAGGCTTCCTGAGAACTCCTCACGGCAAGCGACAGGTAGCCACACACGCAAACAATGGCTCCCCATCTGCAGTCCAAGGTCAGTCGTCCCGTGTTGCCATTCCAAATTCGTCCAGACCACTGATCGTTGCCCAGAAGCGCAAACGCCCAAACACTCTCTTAGACCTGGCCGATCGGCAGGCCAATGCCAGCAGCAATGGCTCCGACACGAGCAAGCCGACCGCCGTTTACACCCCAACCAAGGGGCGCTCCCACACGCTTAGTATCGCGCTTCCGGGAAGCATAATTGCGAAGTATGGCTTCTCAGATGGCCCATCAAAGCCCGCTTGGTTAGCTTACCAGACTGTGCCGCAGTGCTCAATCGCACGACCTCAAGACGTCCATGGCCGGCGCCATCGCGCGCGCTGCCGCCGTTTTCTGCGTTGACGAAATCGTCGTCTTCGATGACAAGCAGAGCCAGGTGCTCAACAAAGGAAGGGGGAGCCCGGTGGATGGGAGCAGTGGCTTTGGTGACGACTGTAGCAAAGGCTTCGGGAAGGGTGGATACGGAACCATGCGAGGTGCAGCCTATACCGGCTACTCGGACCCTGACTACTTCTTGTACCACCTGCTCTCCTACCTTGAAACGCCGCCAAATCTGCGCAAGGCCCTCTTCCCCTTGCACCCGAACCTACGCACGGCGGGTACATTACCAAGCCTAGACATGCCGCACCATCTGCGTGCCGACGAATGGTGCCAATACCGCGAGGGTGTCGTGGTGGATCCGAACGCGTCCGACGATGGCAGCAGCTGGACCGGAAGCTCGTACTCTGGCTCTCCGCCGGCTCCTAGCAAACCGAGTCAAATCATCTCGCTGAAAAAGCAGAAGAAGTTCAAGAAGGGAAGCCCGCCTTTGGCAGACTTCAGGCACAGTAATAGTCCGCCGGTGACGCTGGACCTCAGCGTCGGCGCCAGAAATGGGGCTGCCCCGTACACGGTTGTGGACGCCGGTCTTCCCCAGCCCATCCAGCTTGATCTGGAGGAGCCCATCCCTCCGCACACGCGCGTTACGCTCAAGCTGGCTTCGGCGGAGAACCCGGGCTACTACTACGGCCTGGATGCGCAGCCCGTCGATCCCGCGCAGCCACGCGAAGAGGCCGGATACTACTGGGGCTACCAGACGCGCCAGGCCGGCAGTCTGTCGGCGGTATTCACCGAGTGCCCCTTCGACGGCGGCTACGACGTGTCGGTCGGGACAAGCGAGCGCGGCATGCCCGTGTCGCAGATACTGGCTCGCGGTGGTGTGCCCAAGGAAGACGACGGCGGCGGCGGCGGCGGCGGGACTCTGCCGGACGAGTTCAAGCACTTGATTCTCGTGTTCGGCGGTGTTTCTGGACTGGAGGTGGCGGCCATGGCTGACGAAGACCTCGTGGCCAAGGGCGTTACGGGGAAGAATGTCGGCAGCATCTTCGACGCGTGGGTGAACCTAGTGCCGAACCAGGGTAGCCGCACGATCCGCTGCGAAGAGGCCGTTTGGCTAGGCCTGATGAGCTTTAGCGAGTACGTCAGGCGCAATGGCGAAAGGTAAGTCGAGCCAGCAACTGATTCTTTCTGGCTCTAAAAAAGCATCTAGCAGCATTTCCTGGAGAATCTGGGCGTGGGAACTTACTTGCTTGGGAAACTTGGACATCTGGCCGGCGTCATTGCTGGATATACCACTTAGTGCTCACCAGGAGTTCATAGCGCGCATTTTAAATGCGAATTTCGACAAAGACTGCTGAGGACGTGAAGCCGTGGTTCGCAGAAGACGGCAGTGTTGATGACGGGTGTGCACGTGATCGCGTTCCAGCGGGAGAGCTCTCCAACTTTTTCGGCGAGCGCCTGCCATCCGAGCATCCTCGGCGCGAATCGAGAGATCAACGCACACCCAAACGACCTTGTCGCCCGCGCCCGCGCGCCCCTCCCAATCGCAATGGCTTCCTCGCTGGCCATTCGGCGCGCCCCGCGTCTCGCCCTGCCCACCCGCCCCGCCCACGTCACTGGCTACCGTTGTCTTTCCTCCGCATCTTCGACCTCGCCACGGATACAACAATCGCGGATACTGCAACAATGTGCGGTGGGGGACAGGAAATTCAGTACTGTCGGCTCCAGGCAGGCCGAGATGTCGGCCGGCATGAAGCGCATGGTTCAGGACATGCAGAAGCGCAGGGCGATGCCGAGCGTGACGACCATACAGATGCAGAACATGGACGAGGTGCCAACTGACATGGGGTTCATGCCTGGTATGCGCCTCTTCCCTTAGGGATGTAAAGAGTTGAGGGCTAAGCTGTGATAGATACTTTCATTAGACCGACGGGTGCGAATGTGCCTTCTCTGATCAGGGAGCCGAAGATTAGGTTGAAGATGGAGTATCATTGGGTGAAGACTAGGGTCTATGATATTGTCAGGTAGGTCAGTTCGGCGAATGCGGTCTTCTGGATTGCGCTAACTATATTTCAGCCGGCTGGTGTACAAGTTCACGACGGTGAAGCCGCGTCCTGCCATCGGCAGACGCGGCATTCGCCAGCTTGCGCTTCGGCTGCATAAAGACATGTACACGGCATTTGCCTTGTAAGAGCACAGCACAGCCCAGCTTCGACGCCAAATACTGACTTCTCTCAAGTGGCGACGTCCAGCACCTATCCACCATCTGCACCGACGGCATATTCAACACCTTCCGTGCGCGCATCAACGCACGCAAGCCCAACGAACGCCTGTACTGGGCACGGCTATCGCAGCCGTGGCCACGCATCGTGTCCGACCGTGTCACCAGAATCCCCGTTCCAGGCGTTGATTCAAAAACTAGCCCATGCTGCATCCGCCAGATCGTCTTCCGCATAAAGTCGAAGCAGTCGCTGATCAGAGGCTGGGTGCACAAGGAAAGAGGCGGGAAGCAGAGACTGTTGGATTCGCACGGCCAGGAATTGCCCGTGGATCAGGATGGAGAGGTTACCATAGATCGCATGCGGCAGGACGTGAGGACGGTCGACGAGTACTTCGTGCTTCAGAAGAGAATGTGGATGGGCAAGGAGGAGAGCTGGAGCGTGTGGGGATTGGTGGACGAGTCCAACCTAGATAATCTTGAGTAATGTTGATTAGCTGTACATTGTAAAAAAATACGAAATAGAGCACAGGGCAGATATGACGGAGGGCGGTCCGGGATCGGGTGTTTTCCGTCTGTTCCTTGCTTTTCTGGCCACAGTTCCTGGACCCTGGCGCTAAGCCCTAAGAAAAAATCCGGGGAAGAAGGAACGGCTCCAGGCGCAGACGTGATCCGACCACACCTCCCCCCAACCCATCTGGCCTCTTCCCGCTCGATCCCCTCCAGTCTGGACCTCCTCAGCTGTCGCACCACCACCAGCGGGACCTACGCCGCGCTCCACTCGTGCCCGGATCAAGCGGTCCCATCGCCGCATCCGCCCTCCCTTTTTTTCTCTTTCCACCCCACCTTCCTTGCTCGCGGCAGTCGGCGCCCTGTCGTCATGCCTTGAACGCGTGCGCGCTGCGAAAAAACAGGGTCCAACCGCCCAATCTCTTCTCGTTTCTGACGTTCCACCACCTCTCCTCTTTTCACCCGCCCTCCTTTCTCTTGCGCGGGTTTCAGTCTCTCTTCCCCGTTCGCTATCCCCTCGCCCACATCCTGCCTTTCAATGCCGTGTGGAGAGCTTTCCGGTCCAAACCAGCGTGTACACCCAGCCGTCCGTTAGCCGCTTGCATTCTCTCTTCTTTGTCGTAATTCCACGTCAGCAGCAGAGGCCCTCTATCCACCACTACTTTGCACCATCAGCAGTCGGCCGCGCCGGATCTACGTCAGCGCACGCCTTTGGCAGCAGCGGCATAGCGTCCTGCGGATATTGCGCAAATGTCGTCGCAGCCGCCGCATCAACGTGCGCGTCCCGGAGCCCGCCATCCTTTCGCAGCCTCGGCGCCCTCCGCTCCGCTTGCTCAGCCTCAACCCGTGCCATCGACACCCCCGCCATCCTACACGCCCAAGGATCCTTTCGCACCAGATGACCGTGTATCATCGCAGTACCAGACGCAAGGAATCCCTCAGCCGCTAACTGCCGTACCTACCTCTTCCCGGCCGCCATCCCGCCGCTGTTCAAATCCAGCGAACGCTGCCGTTCCCGCATTTTCCACCCCGGAATCCCACCAGCAGCAAGCAACGGCCCAAGTACATGCCCGCCGTCGCTCCAGTGCCGCTGCCCGTGTCGCCGCTGCCTCCGCGCCTGACCTCAGCCGAACCTTATCTCGCGAGGATCCTAGCCTTGACATGAACGGCATCCCGCAATCTAACAGCATCGAGCAGCTGGACTCTCCAAACGCCGAACCACCGTCCTCTGCTCTCCACCCTCGCATTGCCGTCGTGCTCGGAATCAACGAGTCCTTCCACGTGCCGCTGCTGTTGTGTCGTGCCTTGGCGACGGCCCCGCCCATTTGGTGGTTTGTGAGGTGTGTCGTGCTAGTTTGGCGGCTGGCAATTAGCGCGTTGAGAGGAGGGTTGCACAAAGACGTTGAGTGGGGGGTTGCGGGATGGAGGGGTGGGGGTGTAGGTGGGGGAGCAGGGTTTGACAATGCTGCAACAGGGCCTGAATGTGGGAGCGAGGTGGCAAGTTTGGTCATTACGGAAGTTGGATTGGCGGCGTTGTGGGTAAGTTTGTCTTGCGTTTCCCTGGTTATTTGGTCCTCCGCGTTCTTGAAGCATATGTGGGAAAGAAAAGATGTTGGGAGAGTCGAAGGGCTTAGGCTCTTGGTGTCAGGAATAGAGATTGGTTGGCTAATTTCCGGTCCCACATGCAGTGCACAGCATCAGGATATCTTTCTTTCTACTTCGCGGATTGTCTCATGTCCCGATGGTAAGCATTTTCTCAGCCTATTTTTTTCCGCGCTTCGTCTTTTCCCCTTTTGGAAAAAAAAAGAAAGGAGAGAGACAGGCTGTACCAGGAACCTGGAGAGAAACTTCTTGCAAAGGGCAAGACAAGCGTTATTGGGGTTGAAGATAGATTGAAGAGCTAGGAAGAAGGGATAGACGAGAAAGCGAATGGGGCACAACGAAGTATCAAACTGGAACTCTACGGCTTACGATACATCCTTGCACTACAGGCTGCTCAACTACACACCCGCCGCGACCCTCGTTCGGCTCTTTACCATTTCAGCCATCAACGTCTACACAACCTCCTGGTGGCTTCATCTTTCCGGCGCTAGTTCTGATCCCCGTCTCCTCCTCCCTGCTTGGATATGTATCGCTAGCGTAAGTCCTTTTTTTACACCGCCCAACATCGCCACGGCCTCTATCCCCCCATTTCATTGCATCACTGACGAAATTGGTTCTAGATGCTAACAATCCTATACCATCTCGCTCACCGCCACGTCAACATTCGCCGCGAGACCCGTGCCGCCGTCCGTGCCTTCTACGTTTCAAGCAGCGTAAGCTTGTTTCTCCTACTACTACAGAGCCACCTTGAGAGGGGCACATGGAGGGTTGCACCGCTAGTAGGCATCGTGGAAAGAGTCGCCCGTGCTTGGAGCGATGCGAGAGTTCCGACGGCTGGTGGTGGCGGTGAGCTGTGATGACTTGGAGCCCGGGTTGATATTTCTCTCCCATTCTGTTTGCCATGCTTATTTGCTATTGGTCGATTCCCTTCTTCGAATCATAGCCTTGGGGTCTCTCTTGATGGTTATAATGGGGAGCGGTCTTCTTCCTGGTATTCACATGATATGGGTTTCATTACATTTTTCTTCAGCCACTTTTGGCAGTCGATTGATGAGCAAGGAGCTTGGTCATGGCGGCGTGGCGCTGTTTTGGGGGGTTTTACTGTCAATTTTTGGGAGATTCCTACTCGAGAAACATTTCCTCATGCACCTGGAACTCTTGAGCTTGCTCGGTGCGACGTTACTGAGTGAATGAATGATGTGCGCGCCATTGATACTTGCGGGATTGTCATGGCCGAATTTCATTCCAAATGATGCGGCGATGAGAAAGGCGGTAAGAACAAGCGGCCTGGGGTAGCGTGCGGTCGTTGGTGTTGGCGCGAGTTCCTTATGCAAGTAGGCACGCAGATGCATGGTTCATGCGCTGCGGTCAGCTGAAGGGCAGAACAACGCGAAATTCCGGAGGAGGGAGCGGGCCCGGGGGTATAAATACTTTCCCTTGCTTCCGTTTCTTTGTCGAACGAAGACTGTTGGTCTGCTATAAGCAGATACAACGTACACGGCTACAACACAGTCTGTGCTTGTGTTGTGCTTTTCGGATTTGAGACTTCTTTTCTCTGCTGTTGTGGTAGCATGGTATTTGGAGGAAGGATGTATGGAGATATGTTTCGAGTCCGGGTTGAATTTCAGCAGGATGATACGTTGGTGAGGTTTGGTGACGTATTCTTTGAGAATGCAGCAGTTGACGGTAGAGGGCTAGAGTAACAATCAGGTGGCCAAGAAGACTTGGGGATCTCAAAAACCAGGCTGGTTTAAATACGAGGGGTGATATACAATATAGAGAGAAAAAAAAAGGAGAGCCGTTGTAGATGACTCGGTCCAAAAGATGACGTACATACAAGCTTAGCTATTGCAAAAGCGGGCTAGTGATGCGCTATATCAGCAAATTTCCCTGCTAGCTGACAGAGCCAGCAGAGCTGGCGATGCAGAAGCAAGGGTGATTTACAGGAACGCACCCCTAGCAGCTCCAGTAATTCGATTTGCTGCCAGGGCTGAAGGGGCTGGAGGAGCTGGAAGCAAGTCGAGTTGCTGTTAACCGTATGTGGCTTGGTCCAGCTGCTTCCAGATAAACCTGAATTTTATACAGTCCCCTCTCACAGCCGATAGCTAGCGTGGATTTGTTATTTTGCTCATGTCATGGGTAAAATTCGACATTCTCGTCCGGACAATAGCCTCAACTACCCACATATGTTAATTTTTTTTTAAAAAAAAAGCGGAGCTGGGGCATAGTTACACTATGTTCTAAAGCCCTGCTATTCTTCGCGCTAGCATCGGCTGCAGCATCCCTCTGTACGTGGGTAATTCTGCTGATGCATTTACGCTTTTGCCAAATGTGGTCAGAGGGCTAAGTTTTCAACTTTAGCATTTCGAGACAATCTTGAAGCCTTAGACGCCGGAAATCTTTTCCCATGTCCATTCCAGACCAAGGTTTGGCCATGGAACTCCCTTGCGCTTCTAAGACCAGCCAGTGGACCGGGCGCATCGCCTGAGATAAAATGCCCAGCCCATCGCCAGTACATAAAGCCGGCTGTAATCGCCATCATCTGAGAGATGCTCTTATCTTCAACGGTCAGAAACGGTCCCCCTTGAAATCGGCACAAAATCCCAGGCTCTCGCACAAGACCAACGGTAATCCACGAAGCAACGGTTTGGAACTCCACATGCGGACAGCAAGCAAAAAGTCCGGGTCAGGCTACGCATTGCCTTTTTGCGCTCGCACAAATCGCCATGGAGCACGGATCCGGGGCCATGGTCGTTCAGTCCGGAAGTCCTCTTAAGCTAAAGCACTCAGACTTCATCCCGCTCCTCTGGCACGAGGCCCCTGCTCACCTACGTCATTCGCGACCAACGCGAACGCGTGAGCGGGTCTCGCTTTCAAACCACTGAGACCGAGGAAACGAGATGCGGGTCAACCTTCCCCGCACCAAACCCGCATTACCTTCCCCACATCGCACGGGGGAAACCTTCCCCGCAGAGCACCAATAAATCAATCGCCGCTTGGGGTAGTTCGCTCTACTGCAGACAGATTAGGAAGGTAGGCACTTTCCGGCTTGGAAACGCAGGGCTTAGCCGCAGCCGCTTCCGTCGTTCGCCGTCGCCGTCCCTAGCGCGCCAAATAATGCGCATCCAGGATGCCGGGTACCGGAGATGGCGTTTTCTGATTTTCTCGGTTGCGGCTTTCTTCTTCCGTGGAGCTTATCTGTCGGCTTTCGAGACTTAGCCTATTGTTCACTATGTGGATCTGCGCCGGTTGCTGCGGCACGAGCGGCAGCGGGAGCTAACATCTTCAAGTTGTACTTCATTTCTGGCAATACCATCGACTATCTTATTAAATATTTGGAATACTTCTTGCGTACGACGGTCAACCGTGTGGGAGCTGTGGGACGTTCTCGTGTTCAGTATCGAGCTTTGGCACGGGGAGATTATGCCATTACTCAATCTACATTCTTCCACATCACATCTGTGCAATCCTCATGGATCGTGTAGGTAAATGAATTGAAGTAATCGGCGTAAAAATGGCGCAAGCGCAAGATTTTCCAAAGTGAGGTCGAAGTAATGGAGTACACGACAAACCTTCGTTGATCCAGATGCACCGCCAAGGTTGCAGACACCACTCACATGCGCAGATAATTGCATCACAAGTGCGAAGCCAAGCAATGTACTCACATGCAGCCGTTGCTATGGCCATGCGTTCGTAAGCCTGAAAAAGTATTTCTCATGTGTATATATTGAGTCTGAAAGCTCCAATCTGCACCCAGCGCAACAGAAAGTTTGGCGACGACTTCTAATTTAGCACCGGACTTGTTTGGGCCACTTGTTTTGCGGTCTAGAAGAAAATCCGGCTCAGATTGGACAAGAAAAGCTCAGCATAATGTCTGAAAGATTATTATTCGATAATGCGCAGACACAGCATCATACTAGGATGTTGTGTATGAGCATTGAAGGACCTGCGCTACTGTTTTCATGATCTGAATTGAGGTAGCATGGCAAGGACTATCAGACTCCATTGCAGGGAAATCGAGGCACAGATTTCAATCCCACCCGTTGGAATCCTAGAACGAAATCACAAAAGACAGCGGGCCGCGGAGATTGAGACATGAGGGACTTCCAGACGTTTTACTGAATCCAAGTATGAGTGGGCGGTTGCGGGGATGGCGTGCGTTACTTTAATCCCAGCAAGATAACTGCGCAACCCAATAATAACTTCCTATACAAATGCGAGCAACAATCAACACCAGCGGTATCTATGATTAATTTAAGGAGGTGGGTGGTCGGCATCATTATCAAGCAGCGATGAGTTCCAACTCTAAAGAGTTTGATTTCTTTCCACCGTAGTGCGTATTGTTACGAGCCAGGCACTTTCATGAGTCGAGGAAAAGCTGTTCAACAGCGCATGTGTGCGACGATCCACTGCTAGAACCATTATTATTGTATCTAACTATAGGCAGACATCTTAATAACCCCGCGAACTTCTCTCCTCGCATCACCTCACTCCACAGCTCCACTTCAAGATCTGCAACCGCAGCATGGTGAACCCGTCTCAGACTCATCTCTCACTAGCCGAAGCGAATTCTCCGCCGAAATCATCGAGCGAACTGTTGGCGTTTCGGTATGGTATTGTACGTGGCCGCAAGCTCGCCCCTCGCTGTCGTCCGTGGAGCGTCGGCAATGCATGTGTATCTTGGATTGTGGCCTAGCCGGAAGACTCGGACGAGTGTCGATCCACAAGTATGGGAAGTGACTGTCGCCGGCGACGGAGGTGGTAGTGCGGAGGATTCGTATTTAATGCGGACTGGATGTACCTAGAACGAGATCAAGCATTTGTGAAATGCTCAGCACGTCAACTATGACTTGGAGAACAACTTGCAAAAAATGAAAGTTTCCGTATCTGTCGCGCTCTATTTCAGGTGTCGACGACATCCGCATGGTCTTATGAGAAGTTGGAGAGGGAAGTGTTTCCTCGACAGAGTTCGGCCTTTTCGAACATCGTATAACGGGGACCGATTCTCGATTCTGGAAGTGTGGTCGGAGTACGGAAAGCGGACACACCCTACCACCGTCAACTCAAGTGTAATTGGAGATCTTGAAGGTGTTGCAGTTCCGAGACAAAAGGCTCAACTGCATTCCCATACTGCTGCTGCGTATTTAGTTTAGTGTCACGGAACGCTTTATCCAGAGTACAATCACTACTCATACGGATATTCAGGACATAGCAAAGGAGACACGGTTTGTAGAGACCACCTCTTCCCCTATCTCACCAAAGACCGTACAGTCAAGCACAGGCCAGTTCGAACCGGGGCTCTAGACGGAAGAGATCAAGACGCTGAATCTCAACAAGTCCGGTGGACCAAACAACCCAGCACGAGGGGCTATTGCAGAGTCGATTTCCGCTTCGGGCCTTATCGATCCAGACTCCGGGTGGCAAGAAAGCCGAGAGATAAACGCAGTGATGTCCGTCCGGTGAGCGTGCCTCGGCGGAACTTGGCTGTTGGCCCCTGCCCTTTGGGCTATTCGAAGACTGGGTTCCTTCAAAAAGAAGTGGGTTTGCCGTCGTGTTTCGGCCTTTGACGATGCATGTGAACACTGCTACGGACGCGCGGCATTTTCTCGTCGAGGGAAGTGGCGTTCTGGACCCTAGGATTTGGGCCTCTCAATGCAACATTCTTAATGCGTTGTTTTTTTTTCTTCGGGTGACGAAAGCCACAAGCCATGGGAAAACAGCCCCATTGTGGCGAATAGGTCGGGCTGCGTTTGTTGGGACTTGCCCGTGTCAAGGACTAAAAGGGGCCCCCGAGTGTAAATGACCGATTGGGACGGCATTGCGGGTCGAAGCGGGAAGTCGGCGGCTACGGGCAGTGATTGATTGGACTAAAACACACGGAATAGCCCTTCAGAGGCGGAGATGCGGCTTTCTTGGGATGAGATGATTGACGACGGGTCGAACTAAGATAAAGAATCGGAGCAATTCTGGAGCGCGAGATGCTAGGCACAACATCGGACAGGCTCTGATTCGCCATAGGGACAGGCGTAAAGAGCGGTACGTACTGTAGATGATATGAAATGGGTCGGGTTGGTATGGCCGGAAAAGGGGTTCCCGTATGATTTCATGGCGGAGATGGCGGAGCATTCTGATACACCAGCGTGAAGATTTTCTTCCACCCATTAGAGGAGTGCGCGTTCCCGCGAGATTTGCGTGAAGACGGACGCATGGAGTAACAAGTCCAAAGGAGTGGCACATTAACTGGAGCACTCAAGGGGAGGGCGAGGTTGATAATGGGAAGTACAGATACAGGGATGCAAGCCACCAAGACGATCACGTCTAGCCTTGGCTCCGCGTAAGACCGGAAGCAGTTCCTTCCTTGTCAAAGACCGACGCTGACAAGCATGCAGTTGCCGACACGCATCGCTTGGCAGGTCCTGTGTTGAAACCTGAACAGCGGACAAAAGTGGAGTGACTGGTGGTGTTGAGAGCTGGCTGGCAGGCGGAAAGTGACGCAGCGGATCACGAGCCAATGGCCAGTATCAGGGAAGCTCGCGGTGGAGGCGGCTCTGTTGGGCAGCCAGGAACCGGGACGAGAATGCGGCGGAAGCGCAGGCGTATGATGGGCGGTGGCAGATGACCTGTGGCGGGACGCAACCGTGCAGAGGAAGGGTCGCGACGTAGCATGCCTTGGCGCTAAACGGATGCGGTAGTCGGGCGCCTTGGAGGGCTCCTCTCTCGGCAACCGTGCGGCTGAAAAAGCGAGGCTTGCTGCCCAGGCCTTGACGACGCGTCGTGCCGCCAACACAACACCAGCCCGCTGGCATGGTGATGGATGGCTCTTCGTCATGCGGACAGGCCAATGGGGCCGGCTGCATTGCCAGGGAAGGCAGTGGAAGTGGACCAGCGCGACCCGATCCGCACGATAGCCGGTACTTCTCCATGGGGAGCAACGAGAGATGACGTCGAGTCGGCCGTTTGAGGAAGCGGCCGATTGGCTGGGGCGGTTGATGCGCCGGCAGTGGCTACCGGGTGGCCCGCGCTTTAGGCGGCCAAACTGCTCGGCCACTGCGCCGCCATTGACGTCGGCTTTTGGTCGCCACCACCGCCTGCCGCTCTGGTCCTCCGTTACTCTGCCCTCTTCGTAAACAAGAAATCTGCCGCCTCTGATTCGCCTGCCTGCCTGCTGACTCGGCCTGTCCCACAATTCCGCCGTGCGCGCATTCCGCTTGGGATCCTTGGGGCAGTTTCTCCCCCAGCTGCACTCTAACGGGAATGGACTTCCGACCAGGACAAGCTCACCTCCCCCAGCTGTCTCCACAGATGCCAACCCCAGATCACGGACTAAGACCTAGTCTGGAGCCCCGGACGGCTGTGCGCCCTGCAGGCGGTCATGGACATACGCCATCCCGTCCCATGCCGCCGTTGCGCCAGATGGAACCTGCCCGAACTATAAAATGTTCCCAGAATCCTCCAGCCTCTGTTGCTCTTCACTTGGCAGCTCGACAGAAGCCAGAGCACTTGTTTGATCTTTCAATCAGTCCTTCCGCCCCAATCTGCCCATCATGGATGCCTCCGACAAGGACAGCGCGAAGCTCTCCAAGGGCAGCGCCGAGTACCACGAGGATGTCAACGCCATGAAGACCATACCGACCGCCGACCTCCCCGACCTGATGGCTGAGGAGGTTTCCTATGGTCGGAGCGGTCTTCGTGGTCTCATCGATTCGCCTTTCGTCTTCGGTGCTGCATTCCTGGCCTCCCTCGGCGGCTTCTCTTTCGGATACGACCAGGGCGTCATCTCCATTATCAACGTTATGCCCCAGTTCCTGAACACATACCCCATCCTGAACGAGGGGGGCTTCTACACCGGTCTTATGACCGCCATGTTGGAGCTCGGTGCCTTTCTGGGGTGTTTCTTCATGCCCTGGCTCGCCGATAAGATCAGCCGCAAATGGGCTCTGAGCGTCGTCGTCTGCATCTTCTGCATTGGCGCCATCATCCAGACCTCCGCGCCCAACTATGGTGCTCTGGTCTTTGGCCGCTTCTTCGGAGGTATTGGTGTCGGAACCCTGGCACTGGTAAGCTCACCATTTTCAACCTCATTGTGGCACGACACTTACACTGCAACAGGGTGCACCCCTCTACATCTCGGAGATCGCACCTCCCAACCTCCGCGGCGCTCTTCTTGTGCTCGAGTCAGTTTCCATCGTCCTGGGAGTCGTCGTCTCGTACTGGATCAGCTACGGCACAAAGTGAGTCGAAACCTTGGCCTTGGAAGCCCGCCACAGTCTAACAGTGTTTTCAGAGAGCTCGAAGGCGAGATCGCATTCCGCCTTCCTTTCGGCCTTCAAATGGTTTGCGCTGTCCTCCTCGGCATCGGAATCCACTTCTTCCCTTACAGCCCTCGTTGGCTTGGCTTGAAGGGCCGCGAGGCAGATTGCTTGCAGAGCTTGTCTCAGCTTCGCCGCTTGCCTCCGACCGACAACCGTGTCCAGGCCGAGTTCCAGGCCATCATGACCGAAGTCGAGTTCCAGAAGAAGCTCACAGAACTCCATCACCCCGGCCTCTCTGGCTTCAAGCTTGAGATCGCCAGCTGGTTTGACCTCTTCAAGAAGAAGAGCTGGAGGCGTACGGCTGTCGGCACTGGTGTCGCCTTCTTCCAGCAATTTTCCGGTATGGTGTATCTTCATCTGGGAAGAATTCGGACAAAGCTAACATTGCGGTAATTCAGGCATCAACGGCTTCATCTACTACGCTCCTATCCTTTTCCGCTCTCTGGGTCAGACCGACGAAATGTCTCTTATTCTCTCGGGCACGCTCAACATCAGCCAGCTGGTCGCTGTCGTAGTCTGCTTCTTCATTATCGATCGCATCGGTAGGCGCCCGCTCGCCATCTGGGGCGCGGTCGGCATGGCGATGCCGTACATTGTCATGAGTGTTCTGGTTGGGCTGTACTCGTCCAACTGGGCGGGTCACCAGGCGGCGGGCTGGGTGACGACGGCCATGGCTTACGTCTACACCTTCTTCTACGGCGTCTCGTACTCGCCTTTGACTTGGGTATGTTCTTTGCGAGTCCCTACTTGGTGTTCAGAAATACTAACAACCTTGAAGGCTTTGCCCAGCGAGGTCTTCCCCAACGGTACCCGTGCCAAGGGCGTGGCTCTGTCGACGTCGGTCGTCTGGCTGGCCAACTTCATCATCGGCGTCATCGTGCCCACCATGATCGAGAAGGCCGGCTTTGGTACCTACGTGTTCTTCGCCGGGTGGTGTATTCTCGCTGTCGTTTGGGCTTACTACCTTGTTCCCGAGACCAAGGGCCGCACCCTCGAGCAGATGGACGAGGTCTTCGGCGACAACTCGGCCCAGGAGGAGCGTGAGATCATGGCCGAAGTGGTCCGCAACGGCGGCGCGAGGAGAGCGGATGAGCTGGTGCAGGATGTGAAGGTGTGAGTGCGCAGTCAGTGGTTTTGACATGTTATATACCCCTCTGTTTTCCTGCATGAGATGGCGTTATGATCATGATAGCGATTGAAATTGACCTTTGAAAGAAAAGAAGACTTTCCTGGTGATGTTGTGAATGCGATTGTAAGCTTTCTTAGGACAAATTCGATTTCAGCAACAGCCTTCAGGGCTCTCGCGGCCCCAACTGCTCAACTGACGAACGCTAGAGTGCCGTTAGAGCGCCGCGAGGCCGCCAGAGGATGTGCCATGTGAAGAAGCGGCTCCGTGATCCATGCAGGACCGGTGAAAAGCGAAGCCAGAGTTTCGTACCGTTCAGCGACGAAGCTGCGAATCGCGTTGACTTCCCAAAAGGTAAGAGCAAAGGATCGTGGACCATGCTGAGCGCTCGTTAATGACTCGCACAGAATGCTGGGGAAGAGACTGGTGTCTCGGCACGACCAGCAACTGCTGTTCGGCAAACCTGCTCTCGCAATTCAGCCTTACCCTCTCCCGCTAACAAAGCGGCGTCAGGCCTGACCCTGACGATTGCCCGAAAGAGCGATATGGCGATTGGCAGAGGCTGTTCTGCGGACGTTACTCCGCTAGTCCAGTCAAATAGCGAGTTAGCTACCCCGCCATGAGAGGCCCCCCTCAGCCCCACCACGCGCGGTCCGACCACACACATCTTCGTTTTTCTTTTCCCGACCTCCCACATGCCCGCGAAGCTCCGGACTGACGTACGCACAGCCCGTCTCAACCACCATAGCGATCGCCGCAATACCCCACCCGCGCAATTGAACCCGCTCCGCACCTCTCCGCACCCCGCGCCCTCCGCCCCGCCCCCCGCCAAACAACTCACACCACACACAAGTCGCAACCACCAACCGTCAACCAGTCGTCACTAATTCTCCCTCACTCATACGCTCAATTACCATGCCGTCAACCCTCTCCCCCACCACACCCCTCATCCTGGACGGCGCCCTGGCGACCGAGCTCGAAGCACGCGGCTTGTCGCTGACAACGCGCCTCTGGTCCGCCGCCGCCCTCGCCTCGCCAGACTCGGCCGCCGCCATCCGCGCCGTGCACGCATCCTACTACGCCGCCGGCTCGACGGTAGCGACGACGGCCTCGTACCAAGCCTCGCTGCCCGGTCTGCGCGCCGCCGGCTACGGCGACGCAGAAGCGAGGGCGCTGGTCAAGAAGAGCGTGGACGTGGCGAAGGAGGCTCGGGACGGAGAGAAGAAGAGCAGTGGATCGCTGCTGGTCGCTGGGAGCGTCGGGCCTTACGGCGCTTTCCTGGCCGATGGCTCAGAGTACACGGGCCGCTACGCGCTGAGCGTGACCGCGTTCAAGGATTTCCACCGCGAGCGCATCGCCGTGCTGCTCGAGGGCGGCGTCGATCTGTTGGCGCTGGAGACGATGCCGAATCGCGTCGAAATCGAGGCGCTCGTCGAGTTGTTGAGAGAGGAGTTTCCGGACGCGAGGGCGTGGCTGGGCGTGACCGTTCGCCGGAGGAGGGAGGCGCTTAAGGGTGGGGCAGTTGCTGCCGTGGAAGAAGCGGTTGTGGAATTGACGAGGGTGGAAACGGGTGGCAGTTTGGCTAAGGACGAGGGGTCATTGGAGGGGGAGCAGTTGGTGCTGAGTGATGGAAGCGGGCTGAAGGGTGTAGGTGAATTAGTGAGGCACAGCGAGCAGATTGTCGCCGTGGGTGTGAACTGCGTTCCGCAGGATTCGGTTGTGGAGGCTTTGACGGGCTTAAGGGAGGGCGCAGGCGAAAAGGCGTGTGTCGTTTATCCGAACAGCGGTGAGGTGTGGGACGCTGTGGAAAAGGTATGGAGAGAGGGAGATAAGTTGGAGGGCAAGGCGTTGGAGGATAGGGTGAAGGATTGGTGGAAGGATGGTGCAAGGTGGATTGGTGGGTGTTGCCGAATGGGGCCGAAGGACATCAAGGTGATCAAGGAGGTTGTAGAGAAGCTGCAAAAGGGAGGCTAAACGGGCTCCATTATTTCCTTGCTGAACATAGAGCATCGACGCTTCACTGCTTCAGGGAAAGATGGAGTTTTCAATCATCGAGAGTACACCTCTTCTGAATTACCCTTTCTGACGCACCAGGCTCTGGGATCACACCATTTGCCGCCGCACCCCCGACCTTGACATGAAGGAGCTCAAGTACTTCGATAAACTCGCCGGCTGTGCTGTCTCTACCTTCTTCTATGCAGCTGTGCGACGACATTTGAGGCGGTGCCGTCGCTGAACCCCGTTTCTGGCTGACAGCTGACGTACCAAGCAGCCCACACTGAACCATCCATCAAGAAGCGACAATGACATCGAGCATACAGAGGGGTACTGCAGCCGATGGCTAGCGCGAAGAATAGCAGGGCCCTAAAACATAGCGTAAGCCAGTTCTTTTTCTGTTAACAAAAAAGAGCGTTTATGGGATTAATTCCACATTCACATCCAGATGATAACTTCAAGTACCCATGGTATGAGCGAAAAATAAATTTACGCCAGCCGTCGGCTGGAACCAAGGCCTGTCGTGTTCCGACGCAACCTCGGCATACTTGAAGTCTACCATTTGTAGTATCGAGATCGCTGCTATTGTTTGCGATAAACTTTGGCTCTGATACCTTGCTGTACATCATAAGGCTCATTCTGACATACCCTGCTCTACAGAATTCGTCGTCGAAATCTCTCAGGAGATCCAACTTTGTGCAAATGTGCCAGACTGTCTGCCTCGCATATTGCACTGATTAGCAAAGCGAGAAATGTGGTCTGGTGCACTCTGATCTTGCGGGCTCTTTCACATGTACAAAACTGGCACTGATCAGCCGGCTCTGCTTCTTCCGTCCCGCTTCAGACAAAACGTCACACATAGCAAGCACCCTGGCGAATGACCCTGTTGTAGACAATTGGTTTCTTCGGTAGAAATCTGAGTGGCGAGCTAGTCAATAAAGCAAATATATCAACACATTTGAAGAATGCATAGAATGATCCATAAGCTATCTGTAGGGCAGCGTGGAATATATACGCGCCAGTAGCAAACAAACAGCAAACAACAAACGAAGAGAGGCGAATGTCATGGAATCCCCCAGATACTCTGTCACTATCAAAGAATGGTGGACCGACCCCAGAATCAATTTCACAAACAAACTGCCAGACAGCTGGTCTAATTAGTCCCGAAATCTTCCAAGGTTTGTTCCAGCGGTATCAACCGCAACATCATCGAGTTTATCGAGCAGGCCTACAGGCATCAGGGCTTCCTTTGGTCTGGATTATTCGCTAGTCGATCTCCATAGAAGAGCGGGAGGTTGACTTGGCTTGGCTGACCTTGCAATGTGAAAAGTAGGAAAAAGCGAGGGGAGTGGTAGAAGAGGAGGGAAGCGCGGGAGCAGCAGTGTTTGCACCACAGCCTTACGGCGATTGTAAAGTGAGCTATGCTCGGAGCTCTTTGTACCGCCGGCTGTTCTACCCCGCTCATTTTATTATAAGAGGCGGCTTTAGGAAGCGGTTTTACTTGATATCGGCCGTGTGCGCCGACGGACCTCACCAAGTAAGTTCCGCCAGAAGCACGTGGCCTGCTTTTCGAGTGATTAAACCCAGTATTTGTTATGCTTTTGATGGCGTTTGACTTTTTAGCGACTTGTGACTTGATCAGAAGTGGCTAGTACAAGGTGATTGAATATGTTCTTGTATGTATCCGCCAATTCGAGATGCTTTCATCTGGCTACGTCAGCGCGGCATCACAACATTTCAAAAAAGCTTTCGCTTACCTAAATACTTGACTACGTTCGTTTTTTCGGTTCGCTTTGTCCCCTGGCTTAGAAGAGTCTCGCTAATATCTTTGCACGGACTCCAATGCAGTGGAGGAGCTCAGGGTAGCTGACATGAAGTCGCTAATACATGGTCTTTCATCTTGGCCTGCAGCTGGTCTCCAGCTTGGATGGCAATCCCATGGGGAAAGGAGAACCATCCAGGCTCTCCGGCCGTGATCACGAGGAGTTTCTGAGGAGCGACAAATGCAGCGTATAATCCACCAGCCTTTAGAGCATGTAATGTATCCTACGAAGAGCACGTTAGCGAACATTCGAAAAAGAAAGAGAGGTATGGGCATGTCCCGCGTGCGCTTTGCTACCACAGGTGGAAATACAACTATGGCCGCTACAAGACGCGTGTTTTATCTCGCCGCTCGCATGCAACGGTTTCCTTGCAGATCCCAGGAGCATGGGCGCTAAGCCCACCTTCATCACCTCAGCAGAGCTGGGGTTGGAGTGGCAAGCTCAACGCCTGTGGCTTAGATGGAGTCGTTGTGCAGAGTTTGCCTGGGTGCGATTCTGGGGACAACTCCGAGAATCTAGTGCGACGATGAAAGAAGAAATGGCTGCATAACCGTTAGCAGGGATTCCAATACTCATTTCCGAAAAGGAGATACAAAATTTTATAGGAGATCAGACCGTTAAAAGAAGTCTCATTCGGCTCATGCAAGCCGTCTGATTGGAATGAGTAGGACGTGTCATCATAGAACCAAGGATTCGAATGTCTGAGAAAGAGACTGAAATGAAGGGATACTTTCAAGGTGTCTGGTAGTACTGTGGAGGCCGAGAGTGTTAGAGTTTGATCGATGTGAACCGTAATAATAGTAATGAGTCTGCTGGAAGGTGCTCAGATGTTCTTCAGAGATTCTTTGATGACATCAAATGACTGGGCGGTTTCCTGACTTGCGACGAACGAAATAATGTAGCGAAATCTCGCACCAGCAGAACCATCAGTCGAACCGATTCTAATGGTTGCTAGGAGTAGTGTGAACAAGATGGGGGGTTACTTACTAAGGACCCATGGGCTGGTTCGATAACTCTGATGCTTTGTCGAACTGGCGGCATGAAGAGGCATTTGTAAGTATCAGTTTTCTGTGCCTATTACCTGGCAGCAGCAACTTGCTATTGCTTCGCAGCCGGGTCTCGGTGGGCCGCTATCGAGTCGAGAGGGCTATGTGAGGCTGACTGGACCGACCACCCCACTCAGACAGGATAGAAGGACATGCTATTCACCACCTCTTCAATATGCGGCTGGAGCGTAAGGTACAAGGAATAATCTTGTTCCATGCGGTGCAACCAGCCGGTCACTTTGGGGTAGGGTTTGAGGGACTTGAGGCACAAACCGTGAGGCGCATTTGAGATGACTTTAAGCAGTGAAATTATCGTTGCTTGTGATTAGCTTTTCTTGTTCGCAAAGAAGTGATGGTGTTGGGAAAACCCTTACTTGGAGAGCTTCTTCATCAACATGACGACGTTTGGACAAGAGTCGCATCGCAAAACCAAGCTCAGAGGCGTGGACGGAAGCGACCAGGGAGAGTAGAGCAGACCCAAAGTCGCTAATGCGAATGGGCAAAGTTGCTGTGCGTCTGTGCGCTGTGAGCAATGGATGGATTTAAGGCGCGCAGACAAAGGTTGCTGAAGGCGGTGGTTTGAGGTCGAATGGAACCGATTTTTCGGGAATATCTGAGTAAAATAAAGTCAGTAAAGTGTATTTTACAGTTATGCAAGTTTTATCAAGCTGGTAGAACAGTGTGGAGCGAGGGGATCTCAATGGAAGGTCTGTTGGTCGCAGATATGGGTGCGCGTCACCGGCACCATCTTCAGTGCGCAGTTGTAATCGCGTCCGGACAGCGCGCAACTAGATATTTGTATGAGCTTACCCCAGTGTCTTTGGAATGCTTTGGTGAGGCGGCGAGCTTTTGCGCGAGTGGTGTAGCGGTGAGTACTAGGTGCGCCAGCTGTGGACAGCGGACGAGGGCTCCGCTCATCGACAGCCGCGACCAGCGGGCAAGATCTTTGCGCTACGCGTCCAAAGCTACCTAGAGGTCCAGAAGCGGCTATGGAATCCATGCGACGCGTAGGCGATGATAGTGTCGCGCTGGGGAGGCAGGTGTTGAGCAAGAGGCGTCCTGCAGTGTCGCCGCCTGTCGCGCGCGAATGCAGTGGCAAGAAAGGAAAACCTGAAGTCGCAGGGGACATCGACTGCTTTCCTAGATCAGTGCGGGATTGTGTAGTTGCGCGTCAAGTAAGGGAGAAAGGTGTTGGGGGTAAGGATGATGTGGACGAGGGAGGAAGTAGTTGTCGAAGGACAGGCGGGCGGGCAAGAAAGAAAAGCACCCACCCACTACGCGCGACTTCCCGATTCACTGCTGTAGGTGTCCTCGGCTGCGCTGGCCTTTCCTACAGCCCCAGCATTAGCCGCTTACACCCAGCACACCGCAGCCTCCATCCTGTCTCTTCGAGCTCTGGCTACGCCATCTTGAAAGTCTCTTCTCATCCACAACAACACTTTCACTACGCGACTGCGACGTCTCTACAATGCAGAAGGACGCTCCGGCCCAGGCGGTTCCTAGCCGAAAGAAGAGCGGCAAGGCTATCTCCGCCCTCAAGGTAAGCCCCATCTACTTAGGAAGCAGATAGAACGCCATTGAAAGCACATATAGAAATTGAAGGCAAAGCTCAAGAAGACTTTTGGTCGCCGCCACAGCGACAAAGCTCCCAGCGCACAGTAAGTACATTACGACTCTTTGGAAACATCGCACAACCTAAAAGGCACACAAGCAGCCAGCCCGTTGGCCACCGCCATCCCACCGAAGATGAGAAGCGCAGGCGCTTCAACGAGCGTCGCCAACACCAACTCCACCAGCAGCGCAGCGCTCTTCTGCCCCTCAACAAGTCGCTCGTCGCCCAATCTCCTGCGAGCATCCCGACATACTACAGGGTTCTAGACTGGCTTGAGACGCTCGAGTAGACAGCAAGCACAGTTTATGGTATACCGAATGAAGAAGTGGCCTCTGGCACTGTGCTGGAGCTTTTGTTCACTATTGAAAAGTAGTATCGTCAAGTTCGCCTGTGATTGATGGTCTGCTGACAAGAGCAAATGACCTTTGAAGGTCGCAAACAACATTTGCTTTGGTCAGAACTGCTCTCGAGACATCGGCCTGAGACTTCAAGGTAAGTGAGACATTAGAGGGAGCTAGGATTCAGTGATCTTTAGTCTACAGTGGCAAGCCGGAAGTTCCCTCGCGCTCCATTGCATATCGGCAGCCATAGCTTGCAGCAAACACATACCAGCAGTAAATCGTTGTTATTCAATTGCAGAGTAATATGAAGACAGTCTCATCCATGGACAAGCATGGAAACTGCTGGAGGGTTGGAAACCACAACCTGAGTACAATGGCATATATGGTGCGACAATGCGCCAGACTGGAGAGTGTCTCCGCATTGCTCACTCGTGTACAGTGTGTTGTCGACCTGAGACGATTGAAGCGTTGCCAAACTTGTACAGAGGGATGCTGCAGCTGATGGCTAGCTGAAGCTATCGTTCGGACGAGAATGTCGAATTAACAATTCTACATACACGTCCGGATGATAGCTTTAGCTACCCATGACATGAACAAAAAAAACAAATCCACGCCAGCCATCGGCTGCGAGAGGGCACTGTAGTACCCTACCTGACAGTTATAGGTGACACAACACCAAGCTAAAAATAGCATCACTCAAATGATTATGTGCAGAGCGAAGCACCTCTTCCCCGCTCATCGCCTTGTCGTCCTCTAACGCTGGAAAGAACCAAAGACCCAAATGCTGTCTCTGCCAGCCTGCTCACAACTGTCGAGCGCATGGAGGTCGCTGCGAGCGTCATAGCTGTCATGCAGGTAAGTAACAGTGTCGCGACCCTTTCCTGGCACCATCGCAAGCTAAAATCGGCCCCACAGGATGCTTCCACGATCATCCAACGGCTCAAGAACCTCGACAATGTACTCGAAAGCCTCCTTGAGCTGCTTGAAAGTGGATAGGTGGTAGTCGACCCTTCTTTTGTACCATCGAGCTCCTTCACAAATCAGGGCAGCTGGATGTCTTTCAAGCTTCGCTGAAGGATTCGGAGAAGAAACTGCAGCCTCCGTGAAGGAATTTTGAACTTATTCGGTGCCATCAAACAGATCGTCGCATGGAACGCATTCTGACATAGCTCGCCGCTCCCGACCCTGATACTTACCATCACCAAAAGTGTGGAGAATGCTTCAAAGATACTGGAGCATGGTTCGTGGAGGGAAAGGCTATCGGGAATTAGAAACGAGGCGCTCCACCTTTGTTGTGGCTTCATTGCATTCGTATGTGCGACTGGCGAATGGGTAACTTACGCATTTTCGTCTCCTCTCGATCAAAGAAGCGCTCAGTATTACGGCTAACGCCGTACGACTCGTAATACGCTTACTCGTTTACATCTAGCACGTAAATCCTGTTACTTAAATACTTCTCTCTTTAGAACTCTTTCTTCTTCAGCAGCTTCTTTTCGTATATAGAACCATAGTTGAATTCTTATTCACTACGTTTCCTAACACTCAGCGAGAAGCGCTCTTATGGACTCTCGAATGGATGGCGTTTTCTCCTCAGCCTGTTCTAATGGAGGAATTGTCCGAAACTCTCGCTATCGAGCTGGATGACCAGCGCGGTTACGATCCCGACCTCAAAGTTGTTTGCATACATTGGTCGCCAATCACGAACTCTAGTGTTGTCACGACATCAATGATATGCCTTGGCAATGCTACAAGCATCCCAGGGTATGACGATGCGATATGGGACTCGTTTGATATAGTCGTTACAAAAGTTTGACCCGAACACGAATTAGTCAAAGACTATCTTCTGGACAAGAGGATCAAAGATGGGTGTGCTGCACCATCTGCAGGAGAGTTCATGTCAAGATATGCATAATCACGTGAGAGATATTTCATGCAAGGGATGTTTATGTTCCTTGGCATAGTTGCTATTATTCGCACGGGATGTATTTTCATTTGGACAACTGAGTTGATGATCGCATGTCCTCTTTAACATCCCCAGACTGCATCAGCACTTATAAAGCTCGATTACGTCCTCATCTACCCTACGCCACAGTCAATCAGCCACGCTGAGCTGCAAGTCCTACTAAGTATGAAAGGCATGAATTTGGGGAATGGATGGGTAAAATCTACATATTGTTGCTTCCAAGAGAAAGTCAATGGTGGGGTACCTAATTCAACCGAGGCGTGGTGCGGCAACTACCTACCCGACATCATGGCGCGCCTACAAGACTCATTCCTGATAAAGCACGCTTGCCGTGATCCACTTTCGCTTTCGAAGCGATATGTGACCCTGTACCATGCAATCACCTGCCGAACGCTGACAAGGGTACAGTGCGGCGAAAGCGCGGCACCAATGAGCGGCGCTCCCAGAAGCACGCAGGACCCTTTCAATCCCCGAACCCACCGGCACCCTCGGTACCCGTCACCAGCACCACGAGCCTGTCCAGCATGGATATAAAGGAAGATATAAAGCCCAAAGGTGTCCTAAAGAGGGTCCTTCCCTTAGGTCTACTAGTCGTAGTCCTCGTCGCGCTCCTTTTGAGCACTAGCCTAAGTCGCGACGGCCCCTCGCAAGTGCCCCTATCGAGCCAACATTCAACGTCAAAGCCAAATTCGGATACCAAAGTGGGAGCCATGTCATTGAACAGCTCCGTTTCTGGATGGCATCCCCCCAACTCAACATGGATCACGCACCTAGACGACGTCATCAACGGGACCGGTGTGCACGGCTTTATCTTCAACGGCTCGCAGCTCCCAGACGGTGTGCCGTACGGCACATACAACTGGTGCAACATGCCACACGTCCGGACATCCGAGTATCCCAGGGTTTCGAGTGATGAGTACCAGCTTGAATATGTGGAGGTGGTAAGTGCATACATTATTCTTTAGCAACACTTCGCTACGTTTTGAGCGCGCTCGAATAGATCCTTAGCTGGAGGATATCGATCTTCAGCTATACTCTTCTGCTCATATCAGACAATCATCCCCGGGAAAAAATTTGAATGAAAAGAAAATGCCCTCCAACTAGTATACCTTACCAATGACCTCTACAGATACATCGCCACCACAAACGGACACCCTACGCCTCGAACACTTTCCCCGTCGAATCCTACTCGTGGGACTGCTTCGACTCCGGTCTCTTCTACTCTGGCGCACCACTCAACCCCTCGGGCAACGACTCCGCCCGCACTTACTGGAGTGTCTACACCAGTCCCTCCAATCCCTTTTCCCCCAGTGGCTTCAATGGAACCTGCCAGTTCCCACAGCTCACACGGGGTGGACTAGACGACTCATGGCAGCACGGCCGCGACCTCTGGGGCGTGTATCACGAGTTGCTCGCATTCCTGCCGTCCGACGACCCGCTCTCCGTCATGGAGTTCCGCGTCACGAACAACGTCATTACTTCCCAAGTCGCGTCCATGCTCATCGCCGGCATGCTCTCCCCCTCCTCGTACTCCCCGCAAAACCCCCTATCGGACTCCACCCCCATCCCCCTCAAGATCCAACCCTCCTCAATCGACTCCCTGGAGCCCTCCTACACCTGCCCCGCCGCATCCGCCCTGCTCTCCCTCTACGGCCCGGGCAGCACCGCCTCTTCCTGGCAGCAGCACCTCACCGCTTCCCGCGCGCTCGTCGCCGAGCTGGACGCCATATCCGGCGTCGCGAGCACCGACAAGGGCTGGCACAAATCGTGGGACCACTACTTCGACAACCTCTCCGCGCGGCTCTGCCACGCGAAGCCTCTGCCGTGCAACAGCACGACTGGAGAAGAGAAATGCGTCACTCAAGCCCAAGCCGCCACCGTCTTCCGCCTCGGCCAGTACGAGTACTCGCGTCTCTGGCGCGCGGCGCCCGAATCCCTCGCCGTGGCGACCGCTGGGTACGGCGTCTGGGTTGCGGAGGTGGCCGAGAATATCCGGACTGCCGTTGCTGTTGCTGGCGCTGCTGCTGAAGAAGAAGAAGCTGAAGGGAAGACGAGGGTTAGGTATAGGCACAACGTCGCGCACGATGGGAGCGTGTCGCGGCTGCTGGCGGTGCTGCAGGTCGATGTGATGGTCTGGCCGGGGATGGGGTCGGAGATCGTGTTTGAGGTATACACTAAGAAAAAGGAAGTGGAAGAAAAGAAAGGATACGTCAGGGTGTTGTGGGGCGGCCAGGTGCTACGGAGCTCGCACCCGGACCTGGGCGCGCTGGATATGCTGGATGCGGAGGTGCTGCTGGCGTACCTAGATGGCCTCGTGGGGAAGGGCGCGAGTAAAGTGCCTGGGTTATGCGGGTTGGAGTAAACGGGTGGTATCGTTGGGTTGCAGAAGAATTTACACTAATATTTCGCAATAATATTTCAGGCCGTCGGATTTCGCCTCATTCACACGGAAAAAGGATTCCACTGACTCCAGCGGTCTTCTCGAGGATTAAAGTCTAGTACAATTCATCAGAAATCATCTCCTAGCCAGTTCGGTCATTTGTCACGTGTGAAATATTGGAAAAAGGCGAAAAGGCGCAAAGACGAAGAGATAAGGCGGATAAGGCTGATTCCGGGCGATGGACAAGATTAAAATTGGCAGGGTTTACGATGGCTTCTTGGAAGGGTTCGCCCCTGCATCCCCGATCCTCGACATTTAGGGGCGATCAGTGATCGGCAGCATTTCACCGAGTGCACGACACAAATTGCATGAATCAATCCCATCAACAAGGAACGATAGTTTGTGATAGGAACCGAAAATCTGCATTCATTGTCCTCCATGCGCCGCATGAAACCGAGTTTCATCCCCCGTAGCAGAAGTATTCTAACTACCAAAGGCAGGCAGCGAAAGTTCAGACAGCGCAGATGGCAGACCCTTCTCCAGCAACAATCAAGCAGAGAGAAAAGGAAGGCTCGTTCAGTCATCAGTCCGCAATTTCGAGGATGAAAGAAGAAAGACTGCAGTCGTAGGAAACCGTTCCAGCCATATGGGTATCTCGCCAACGCCCGCCCCGGTGTAACCGCCGTTACAATGCCGGTCATCGCAATGAAGTAGGCACGGTCCATGCGCGAGTGAGGCTTCGCTCGCGTCGTGGTTGTTGCCATATGCCGTGTGGAATAAGCTGTCACCTTCAGTCGCTGCGGCGGGCGGGGCGAACTGGAGGGCGCTTAGAAACCGTGGACCTGCGAGACGTTAGAGTTATGCCCCAACAGCGCAGGGCTTGCACGCGGCGTACCTTGATGGTCTTGGCATCGAGCTCGAGGCCTTCCTTCTTGTCGGTAAGGAACTCCTGGACATCCTTGCGCTGGTCGCCCTGGAGCTGGATCACCTCGCCCATCTCCGAGTCGTTGACGATGGTGCCATTGCAGGCGAACTTCTTCTTGATGACCTTGAGAATCTTCTTCTGGTCGAACTTCTTGGGCAAGCCCTGAACCGTGGTCAAGGTCTTACGGCCATTGCGCTCTGCAAGTCCCAGAGATTAGCCGCCGCGCGTCCAAGGGGCCGCACGCGAGCACCGGCGCCGAGCGTCGGAGACGACGGCGTCAGGCGCGCAGCCGCAGCGAGGGGAGGGCACGTACGTTGGATGCGAATGTGTATGTAATTCTGAGACTGCTTGGTCTCGCCTGTGTCTTCGTCGGCCTCGGCGAAGGGGTCTGCAGGGCAAGGCAGTCAGCAAAAGGTTCAGAGGTCGAGCGGACGACAGCGATCCTGGCGGACACGGTCGCGGCATGCATGCGCCGGGCGAAAGCGTGGGCGCAGCGAGGCGGCGTGCGGGCGGCGTAAGGCTGGCGGAGGGGCAGGGCGGGGCTCACCGAAGGTCTTGAGGTTTTCGATAGTGGACATAAACCTCAGTCTTTCACTACGGTCTTTGCTAAGTGGTGGTAGGAAGGTGTGCGCGGAGTGGGGCGAGAGTCGCGAAGTGTGCGGGCGGTGGTACGTCGAGGGCGGTGGTGTTGTGAGGAGGGCGAAGGAGTTGGGCGCAGCTAAATAACGAGGGGGGCTTGCCGCGGGGGCGGTCAGTCAGAATCGCCACATGCGAACCAGACTGCGTCCGCCTATCACGCCTCCCGGCTGCTTGCACTGCCCGCGTCGCGCAGCCGGAGCTTCGCTTTCAAGCCCGGCCTAGCCCGGCCTTTGACTACACAATTCCTCTCGTTGCACTGTTATCGTCGCCGCTGCGTTCTTGGCTGCCCTGCGCCTGCTCTGCCGGGCCTGTGCGACGGCGCGACGCGCGCTGGGTCACGCACGTCCGCAGCTGACGTATTGTGACGGAGAGAAACTTGCAGACCTCAACTACAACGCCTGTGATTTGCCTGTCCCGTTGGCCAAGAAACACGCATCGCCCTACCGAAGGGCGACGCTGCAGTCTCTGGAATGCGGCCTGCCAGCGCACTTCTGCCCAGCCCGACCGCCGGCAGAGCTTCCCGACATGCTGGCTGTCTCAAAGACACCTGTTCGAAGTCTGCTAGCTTGCAAATAGCCGCTGCCGCCCCGGCCAAGGGCATTTGCCGCGTACCGGAAATCAACGAGCTTAATTAACTCTGCAAACTTCACAAGACTGAATCATGTGTCGAAAAGTGCTTTTGCATTTGGCATTATCGGCGTGCTTCCCCGTCTATCTCTACTGTTACAGTTAAGTGGCATTCTGCCTGCTACGCCGGAGGCACTGCCGCCGGAGCCTCGGTGCCAGAGCCTGCATTGGCCCGGTTCGGGGGAGGGGGGAGGAAGAGGGGCATGTAGGACTGGCAGCTGGGTGTTAGTGTACTCTTAGTGCAGCGGGCCGTGGACGACCTTCTACGTACAACCAGCAGGGACATGACTGTTACGCCAAGGTCAGCAAGAAGCTCGTTGAGCGCAGCGGGGGGTTACACACAGGCCATCAAGACGCTGAAGTAGCCAGGCGTCGACGCCTTCTTCTTCTGTTCCGGCGTCTCCGCCAGCCAGGTCTGGAGGGCGAAGATGACGGCGGTCCTGGGTTGCAAGTCAGCACGCGTCGCTAGAGGCGCGCAAGGGGCGGTCGTGCATACGTACCAGCCGATCATCCTGTTTCACGTCCGCATTGTTAGCATACTTGCGGGCGGGCCCCAGCGACAATGCTTACTTGTTCCTCGTAAATATCTATTGCGCCAAGTCAGCATGGGATCCCACGGAAAGACAATGGGTGCACTCACGGCGGCCATGGGCAGGGTGCTCGCCATGGTGCCTAGCTGGGCGTTAGCAAGCCCATGCCGCAAGCCAGCGGGCGGCGTGCGTACCAGCAAAATCCGGGTCGGAGCTCGCCTTCTCATTCGGGTCGGCGTAGGGGACGACTGCAGGCGGATGGGTCAGCTCGCACGTGCGGACGGGGCGGGGCGGAGCGCACTCAGGTCGTCGCGGCGCATGTCCTTCTTGCTGGCCATGCTGGCGGTGGATATCAGGCGTGCGGTTGGGGCCCCGGATGTTTGGTGTTGGCGTGCGGTGGAGGTTGCGTCGGCTCAGGGCCTGGGCGCGGAAATCTAGCCAGTGCCTTCCGCGGCAGCCACAATAATTCCGTTCGGGTTGCGCAGGGGTCGCCGCGCATGGATCGATGTCCGCTGGCGCTCGGGGCGACGGCGCCAGTAGCGCAACTGGAGTGCGGGTGGGCCGGCGTGCCACGCAAAGCGTCTGTCTGTCAAGTGTCGGCTGCAATCACTCTCGCGACGGAGCGGTCAGGGCTCATGTCGCGCAGCCTGCTGGGCGAGATCTCGCAACAGGCGGCTACAGCCGAAGACGCCCGGCTGCCCGTGCTTTATCTGCCCCCATATCACGCAAGCCAGCGGCGAGCGCGCGACGCTTACGGCCACTAAGCTCCCAAGATTGATCGGCGCATCCTGGCTTGCCCTCCGGCTGCTCTCGCACCGCGCCGCCAGACCTCATCTTCAGCCCACCACCCTCCTCCACACTGAGTCCTGCGCCGGTACCTTCGTCGCCGCCCCCGTCCTCCGCCCTCGCTGACGCCACTAGATGTCCGATCCGCCCTGCTACTCCCTGTCCGCTTCCTCTCCACCGCAGTAAACATGTCTGCCCGCGCATGATCACGCATGGAGCCTCAATGCGATGACTTCTCGTCCTGGCCCGACTGCAGCTCAGCGCACCACCGCTGGAAATCTCCCGCGCCCACCCATCCAAGGCCGCCCCGCCGTGCAGCAGCATGCCTTCCAGGCCAATGCTCGCCCGCCTGCCGATGTCATTGATCTGACCGCCGACGACGGCAAGCAGCCGCCCGCCGACGCGCCGCCCAAGAAGCCAGCCCAGCAGGAAGACCCTCGCTGGGATGCCCAGTTCGCTGCGCAAGACGGCTTCTCGAGACCCCCTCCTCGCGGTCGGCCCCAGATTTCCTTCGAAGATGTCGCCGACGCCGCGGCCTCGGGGTTCGGAAGAGCCGCCTCCGCCGCCCTGCGCTCCACCGCCATCGCGACTTCCGGAAGCCTGCCCTTCCCCCCACGCCCCGGGTTCCGCGTGCACAAGCGACAGTCGCAGGGAGCGAGGCCCGTCGTGGGCGCCGTGAAGAAGGACGTTGCCCAACGCACCGGTGTCGTGGAGCCTCCCCCCGACGCCGTTTGGGTGTCGCGCGGGAAGACGGTGGATTTCTATCCCTGGGCTGGCAATCACCCGGAGGACAATCTGTCGGCGGAAGTCGTGAAAGTTGGCTACTATGACGATCGCAAGGGTCAGGTTGACCTGAATGCGGGGAAATCGTACGTTGGCCCCCAGATCAAGAACAAATCTACTCTGCAGGCTTTATCCTCGCTTTTCGTTCAGGCGCTTGAAAAACGACAAGCATCTGGACGCGTGAGGGAGCCTTCATCTTTCAAACCGCCTCCCAGAATCACAGTCAAAGATACCCAGCGCGAAGAATGGCTCCGAGATCTGGCAAATCCCTCGCTTCCGCCGAAACGCAGGATCCCGCACGGCATTCGGGGGAAGCTTCTACTGGAACAGTGTCTCAGCAAAAACATACCCATCTCTCGCGCCATTTGGCTCGCGAAATGTGTCGGAGCAAACGAAATGCGCGCTTGGATGCGCAAGGGTGCAAGTAGCACGGGTGGCATGGGCGGTGAGCTGAAATGGGTTCGCGAGTGGACCGTCTTCGTGGAACAGTTTGTCGACAGCACCATCAGCACCTGCGGCCAAGAGAGTTGGCGCGATAAGATGGACTACACTATCCGGTTGGCTTCGCAACTGTACACCGAGCGACTCCTGGACCAGGATCATTATCTCGACTGGCTTCTTATGTCTCTGGAATCATCCGAAGTTGAGCGCCTTCCCATCTGGTTTCTCATGATTCAGATCTATTGGCAAGACCTTGTTGCCGTCCGGCGGCGAGGACGACGCCTGGCCGAAGCGTTGCTGTTGCAGCTTGGCAACATGACCAATGGCGACAACTCGGATGCTGATCACCCGCTTGTTCAGCGGTCACGACAGCTGATCACTGCTTTGGTTCTGCGACATCGTAACTGCATGGTTATCCCAAGGACGTGGAATAGGCACAAGCACATCCTGGAGAGTATGCTTACGAGCACCAGTCAGCCTGCGCTCCAAAGCGCTCTGCGTTCTGTCATTAGGAGAAACGAGCGGCTCGGTGGTTGGAACCATAAGCCGACGCAGACCCACCAATCCCCTCAAAAAACCATCCTCTCGGCTCTTGACTCAATAGCCCTGGACTTCGATCTCAACCATTTTGCCACCGGATGCTTGGCAAGCATGCCCGACACCCAAGCCCTCGCCGTCACTGTACTTCAATGGGCATGCTCTCTTTACCGCGAGGGGGAGCACAGGCTATACATTGCAGCGCGCTTGCTTCGAAAATGGAAATCCAGGGGAGCTGATATCGACAGCGCTGTTCTGACCGTCCTCAGCGATGAGCAGAAGCTGAAAGGTATCAAGCATCGGGACTTTTTCAGACTCGTTGCCGAGCTTGTGCGTTCAAAGCATTTCTCCGTCGGCAGGTATCTTCAGTGGCTGATTGCAAGTGGAAGTTTGTCGACCGGCGGAGACATCACCAAAGTAAGTCATTCGCTCGATCCACGCTATTGCGCATCCACGCTGACGTGCATCCAGAGCGAGGCCTGCAACGTGCGTCTCATCGCGGAGATCCCTCTCCAGGGCCTTCCAGAGCACGTGCTCAACCTTCGACAAACACTGCTCCAAACAACCCTCCAGAACGGTGCATACGAAGCTGTGGTACTAATGGACGACCACAGTGCGATAATCAAGCAGCTGTGGTCGATTTTCGCCCCTGACATTGGTGCTGAAATAACATTTGACATCCCTTTCGCCGACTTAAGCACGAGCGTCAGGCTTGAGATCAGCCGGTGGCTGCGCCAAGAGTTACTTGCACGGCTAGAGTAAGTCGTGTCGCCCACTGTGCAACCCTTAATTTACTGACATATGACAGCTCAAGCTCGGATGACGACAGTGATGAGATGCGAGACGACTACACGCTCACTCCGTCCCGCTTCTATGCCATCAGGGACGTCATGGAGCAGCTGGAAGATTTTGCCATCCTCGCTGACATTTTGGCCATTTCCATGGAATCGGGCGATATGATGATTTTCGCAGCCATAGCTGATACTCTCAACCACCATCATCGGACATTTGCAGCTATTGGTGCCCTCCGGCCTCTGTTCAATAATCTCGTTGAGCAATATGGAAAGTTTAGGCTGGAAAAGCCGTTAGAACGCGCTTTTCTTCTCGCGCTCGCCGATCTCTGCTGCAGGCTCCAAGCAGAACCGAATCTTGTCCTTCAACTCACAACCGATATCACCCGATTGGAACAACGATCTGCAGTGGCGGCATGCTCGCCGGCATCCGACAATATGGCTGACTTCCACAGTGGCAAGATGGATTTCGATGAGGAAATTGATCGCATACTTGCTAGCGGTACGACTATGGATGAGAACATGGTTGCACGAGTTTTCGCTAGGGTCGTCTCACGCATCGGAGAGCAAAATGGAAAGGACGATGGTCGGAATAGCAAATATGGGCTGTGGCTTCAGCGCTTGAAGGCCTTTGACGACAAGACATTCGACCGCCACATGTCTGACACCATCTCCAGTCTAATGCTCAGTAATGGGCAGTCGCTGCTTCACATTCTTCCGTGCGCAGTTGGGTCCGGCTCGCTTTCCCTCGAGAATTTTATCTCTTTTTCGGAGACCACGATTGGCATCCTGAAGAGGTCGAACGTCTCGGCTGCAGCCAATGCCTCGTTGCACGTGTTGGACGCCATTCTACCAATGGAGGGCCTCCACGGATTTGGGTTGGTGCAAGAGATTTATCGGTTCCGGATTGAACAAGAAAAGCTTTGTCAAAGTTCACAGGGGACAGCACTTCAGCTTTTACGGCAAACGATTGAGCTTTGCTCAACTTCTAAGGATCCCAATCAGCCCATCCAGCTTGAGGCTTTGCTACGGAATCAGCGCTTACTTAAGGTCCTCCGCTTCCATGCGTCTCGAAACGCGCAAGATTTTTGTGTGGCCATGGGCATCAGTCCTTCATCAGGAAAGGCAAACACTGCAATGTCTTTGGACGAAAAGCGCTCGACGTTGTTCAAGAAAATGTTCGACTCGTTGATGGATCCGAGTAGTAGCTTAGGCCTGTCAAAACTTGACGCTGAAGAGCAGGCGAGCACCCTTGTCAATGCTGCCGATGATCTTTCAGTCCCCTTCTGCCAGCTGGAGCTGCAGCTTCTCTTCAAGATCCAAGTCTTGTCTGACGAAGAAGGCGAGATTGGTGTCGCAGATGCTATCATCCAGGCTGTCAAAGAGGCTGTGGAAGCGGACAAGTCTATCTGGTCGGATCTACTCACTGGACTGGACGCGGAGATGACACGAAAGGTGAGCGGAAGCTTCCTAGAAAAATGTAACGAGAGATATAGCTAACAGCAAACAGATCCGCGAGTATGCCGAAACGCACGTTCTTTCCGCCGTCAGCACCCTCGCTAGGTCACGCTCAGGCGCTGAGGACTCCTCTCTTTCATCTTGCAAGGAAGGCCATGAGAAGATGCTCCAGAGGTATCTTTCCGTGCTCAACCTCACCGCTTGGAGTATAGAGGATAAGACTCAAGGTCCAATCTGCGCTTCCATCCTGGAAAGGTTCCGGACATTACTCGAGCTGCTTTCACAAACGGCTCAAGCAGCTCCAGCTGGCGACCCGAAGGAAGATGCAATGAAGTTGCGGCAGGGCTCTGCTGCAGTTAGCGCTCTTTGTCCTTGGATAAATGCTCTCCTACATCTGATTGTGGTCCACAAGTCAGTCTGCCAACCCGGCAAAGCAAACACTAGCCACCAAGCTAGTCTGCTCTGGACATTACGCGCCTTCCTTCTCCACCCAGAGCTGCAGCCTTACCCCAAGACAACCGAATACATCCTTGACGTCGCGGCTTCTCTCTCTGACGACCTCCCTGAAGAAGCTCGGGCTCAACTGCTCAAGTATGAGTCCGTCAAACCAATCCATGACCCTCGCATACTCTTCCTTCTCGGCTTTCCTTCAACCATGCAAGATTCCTGGCTTGGCCTCATAACACCTACACAATCCCAAGCCTCTGGCTCAACCAATACTCCAAATCCATCGACCGCCAGTAATGCTGCTAATGCCGCGGCTGCAGCCCGCGGCACAGCAGGGCAACATCAACACCAAGGCTTCTGGCAGCCGCAAGTGCAGCGTACTCAAGCGCAACAGCAGCGCCTCGGAGCCGCAGGTGCAAATGCTGCCGCCCTTGCTGGTGGGGTGAGTGGAAATGGCCCAGTTCCACCGATTGAATATGGCAAACCAGTGCCATTCCAGCTTAGACGCTGGGAGATTCTGCCGGACTCGACTAGTGGTTCAGGCCCGAACGATACTGCGCTGAGCCTCACGTTATTTGACGCTAAGAAGGTTTAAGGGGCACTCACCTTCTACGTTCTACAACCAAAACCATCTAGGCGCCCATCTACACCTTGGATTATCATGAAGAAATTTGGCTCAAGTTGTCCCCTTTTCTTGGGGGTTCTATCTGTCTAAGAGCTTGGCCAAATTCCTCAATGCACGCGCATCGTTGGTTAACTTTTCTTGCATCATGACGCATCTTCCGGTACACCGCATGGGCGTTTGTTTCGTTCTATCATCATCTGTTATAGGCGTTCCGGCATCATTTCGTTCTTCTGCTTCTTCTGCAAGGCGTTCTCGTTGTGGGCATTGCCGTTCTACCTTACGGGGTGGATGGGTGTTGATGGGAAGCGATTAGGGTATACCGTGTTCTTTTTCTTGTCTTGTTCTGTTGTTGGTGGTGATGGTGATGTATTTTCTGACTTCTCGGAGAGGACTTTTATATAGTTATCATGATGGATGTGCTTTGGATGCTCGGATGAAAGCATTGACGAAAGCGCAAGAGGAGGATTCTATTGCATAGTGTCTGTCAATTTCTTTAACTCATGTTCATCAAACTTTCTCATTTATTCCCGGCTTCTCTTCTCCTCATCTGTGTTCTCATCTCCTTTCTTTTCCTTTTGTTCTTTTGGACAATCAAAAGAAAAGTAGATACGCAGAAAAAGAGAGGGCTTCATAAGAGTTATGATTTGAAAACTCACACGAGCTGATAGTCATCGTATTGATAATACTGAGGCGAAATACAGCGCATCGGGGTTGTTTATGGAGACTGGTCGTGTGGATGACAGAGGCTGCACAAGTCCTGACAGCAGGACGGCCGCGTTCTTGCGGGAGACACTTGCACGTGTTTTCCCAAGTACACATCTCTACAGCCTGACTTTAGTAAACTACCCCTTAGGAGTATATTAACTATGCTGCATCATTCTATTTTACTGTATATATTGAACTAATCTAAGTTGGAAATACGGTATTGGATTGACCCTATGGTTAGCTGTGAGTTTTCACTTGATCCACGTTGAGTGATATGACTACCGTTTACGGCTTTGTGCACATGATCAGTCTGCAATGGCAACAATAATTAGTACCTAACAGACCCTTATGGGCTATCACCAACCTTCGAGAATGTTAACAGCATCATCTCGTGATGCATCGTAGACGTGGAAACTATAGTGACCTGTTCACTGTGTAACTCTAAGCTCCAACTGCCCGAGGAGGTCACAACTATATCGTAGTATGCTGTAACATTCCCGGATATCACCGGAAGCTATTCCAAATATCTCTGAGAGAAAACTAGCAGTTTTAAAACCGATGCTTGTATAAAAATAACGGTCATTTGAAAGTCCTTGTTTGGGAATTAGAACCTTGTGTATCTAGACAGGGACAACAAGTGACGCCTAAGAATCCCGGAAGAAGCTGCTGCACAATACTAACTCAGTCACATGTCACTATCATTTGAATGCTATGTTTCATGGCGAAGGCGGGGCCGCGCAGAAGAGAAGAGAGAAGAGCCGGAGGAGACGCACCGTGGTCAACTACTTGTGACAGCACATTCTTCTAGGGCTTCATATGGCAAGTCTGATATAAGAAGGATGTGAAGCAATGCTCGGTATTTACGGAAAGGGCAGTATACACGGCATAGAGCGAATTCCTAGCGGCAATAATTCCATATGAGTAAGACAATCGACGTCAACGGCGGCGGTGTTCCGCATCGAGAATTCATACATACCCATAGTCCCCGAAAACAAAAAGGCTGGCTCTAGACCGGTGAAGACGATCGAAAGGGCCTTCATCTTGCTCACCCAGATCTAGTGGGTGGACATCGTCATCCGCGCAGCCAGCCACACGCAAACCATGCCACTACCGCTTTAGTGCCGCATTCGGTACTTACCTCGTTCCAGCGGAACCCAACCACGTTCAGGAGCACATGATGTACATTCCTTCAGCGGCATCCGAACTACGAACCGTCCCGCAGCCCGTGACCGCAATCCCGACGGTAAAGGAAAGCCGCGGTCTCGCCTGGGTCGATCAACTATCGCTGCAATACCGACCGAGCCAATGAGACATGCAGTATGTAGCTGCCGAAGGCAAGTGCTACAGATAGGCTTCGAACGCCTCAAGCCGAGCCGTATAGACCCTAGATGTTGCTTTTGCAGTGTTAGTGCAGAGAGACAAAGAGTAAAGCTCGCTGTGGTCTCTCCCAATATTCTGCAGATCGCCACATGGGCGAAAATGCCGCCGCCTCCCCTACTTTCTCACCTAAAAGCTATTCCATTCCGAGAGCGTAGAATGGTGTGGGTGTAAGTAGGTTTTCGTCGCAGCAGAGGGTCCGTGCTGATCTGCAACGCCTCCTCCCCATCCCCGCTTCCCGGCCGCAGATCTCCTAGTTAGGCAAAGCGCGACATGTTTGGTTTTCGCCAGTCGGCTGGGGAAGGCTCAATTGGCAGCAGGCGCGGCAGATTTTCGAGGCCTCATCGCGGCTCTTGCGAGTTGCAGCTGCTGTGCCTTCGTCGGAGCCACCACCGGGGAGCCGGTACCTGGTGCCGCGGTCCCGGTGTGTTCCCGCGTCGACCTCGAGGTGTGTATTGTATCTCGAGAGCAGACGATCAGCCGGCTGTTGCTATTGGGTCCCTTTAGTAGGTCGAGCGGCAAAATGTGGAGAAAGCGGGGAACTGGCACCCTATAGCTTTCTCGTGACCTGGTGCCTTCCGGGCCTTTGGAATTAATGAAGGATCAGATTCTTTTTGGAATCCGTTGAGGTGTTTCCCGACGAGTTGGTTCAGGTCCGATGTCCGGTTGTTTTGGGCAAGATCTGCGACAGACGGAGGGGAGTTGTAGGGTCTGTGGAATGGCAGTGAGAGCTAAACTAGCGAACGCTATTGGATGCAGTGGCTTCGAGAAAGATAGGCGCAGCAGGTGGCGCGTATGAAGGATCCAAGATGGCTGGAGACGAGGTCGTGTACGTGGCGGCTGAGCATGTACCGGCGACACGGACTGACTCGCAGGTGGACCCTGGAGGAAGGACATCAGATCAGGAGTGGGCGGGTTGAGATTGCGAATATGCAGGGCGCACGGCGAGATGGACGGTTGCGGACTGAGGCCGCGATGACTACACGCTCTTATTTTTGGAGGCCAGGAACGCGAAAATCATCAGGGTGGAAATCCCACCAACCACGCGGGCGGCTGTTCAGCGGCTCTGCAGCGGCTGTCGTGCGGGCCGTTGCACCAAGAAGAGGGCGCGGTCGCGTCGTCGAGTGGAGCACATGCCCAAAGCGGCAGCCGGGATACCAAAGACGGCTATTTTTGGACCCGGCAGCGGGGCGATTGGGCGGGCTTTCGTGTCAGAGCGAGGAGCGGTCTGGTAAGGGCTGAGGCCGAGCAGCGCGCAGAAAGCTTGAGGTGTAGCTTCGACCCGGGGCGGGAGGTGATGAGCTGGGAGCACAGTGCTGACGGGGCGGGCGAGGGTGCCGGGTGCGTGGCCGTTGCGGCGTGGTTGGCGGCCGCTACGGCAGGCTGGCGGGGGCCGCTCAGCGTCGTCGACGCGGCAAGACCTCCTCACTTCTGGGACGCGGGGCCAGCGACCTCTGAGGCCCAGACACTCGTCGCTTCAGCCTTATGCTGCCATTGGTTGCCGATCTTCAGCTCACAACCCCAGACGCTCCACGCACGCGCTCACCTTTGTGCAGCTTACGCCTAGCCATGCCGCGCGGGACCCGGGCCTCGCGCTCCGTCTGTGCGAGTCCAGGTACGTCTTGCTGTGTATCGTGGCGCCTGCCATCCTGGCGCCCCGCGCTCCCTGTTCGCACGTTCGACTGCACTGCAGATAGAGCCCGCTAAAACACGCCCCCCCGCGCCCGCTTGTATCTACACGCCGATCCCGACTGCGCATTGGCCCGACCCAAGGCGAAGTGGGCACTATCGCCCATACATAATCCTTCCGCCTCGTTCCCTCAATCCCGCCCTCTTCGCCAGCCTTTGCTCTCCAGCCCAGCCCAGGAGCCATGGACTACTCCTCCTACTTTTCCGTCCCGCCGCCGCAGCAGTACTACATCGGCCTGCCGCCCACCCCGTCCTACGACAGCTCCAGCGATAAGCTCAACTTGCAGGTAATAAGCTCCCAGCGAGCTCCAGCAGCTCTTCCCAGCCCTTAGCAGTCCTTAGCACCTCCTCCCAGCCCCCCAGCTCAGTCCCAGGACACAGCAACCCCAGAACACGTCGCGGGCCAAACCGCCCCCAAATCGCTCCTGGCTAACGCCATGCACTTCCAGAGCCACCTAGACCCCACCTCATTTCTGCAATACGACGCTTTTTCCTTCCCATCGCTGCCCGCCGGCTCGCCGCCCGCCCACTCGCACTCGTCCGCCGTTGCGCCGCAGCTCCACAGCGTCGGCAGCGTCGACAGCGGCATCCACCTGGATCTCGACGCCGCCAACTCCACTCAGCACATCCAACACACCCAAGCCTCCCCAATCCACGCCACTCTCAGCACAGCCCCCGGCGCTGCTGGCCTCTACAGCTCTTCCACATCTTCCTCCGACGCTCTATCATCAGCACAACAGCAGCAGCAGCAACAACAACAGCAACAACCTCCAATTGGCAGCGTCAGCTCTCCCTCGCACCCTACCTCGCCAACCATCGGCGGCCAGCACACGCGCTCTTCCTCGGAGGAAAAGGAGAACGGCGCCAACTCAAACTCGAACAACGCCAACAACCTAACACCTGCGCAATCGCGACGCAAAGCCCAGAACCGCGCTGCCCAGCGCGCTTTCCGGGAGCGCAAGGAGCGACATGTGCGCGAGCTGGAGGAGAAGCTGCGTGCGCTCGAGTCGTCAACGCACAGCCTGCAGAGCGACAACGAGCGGCTGAAGCTGCTGCTGCAGCGCGCTAAGACGGAGAACGAGATCTTGCGGGCAACGAACCACCACCAGCATAGGAGGGCAGGGTCCACGGGTAGCGGGAGCGGGAGCGGTGGCAGCCGGTCAGCGAGCCCTGGCGACGCGGGCGACGGCGAGATGCAGCTGGATCTGGAGAGGGACCCGTACACGACGGTGCGCGGAGATGGGACAGGGGCAGCCCCCGCAGGCAGCACCGGCGGTGGTCTGGGTGGTTCTGGCCACCATGCGAGGGCGAACGTCGGCAGGTCGACACCGCATCTGCTTGGCGCGAGCCAGACGTGGGACCTGATCCAGTCGCATCCGCTAGTTCGGTCCGGCGCCGTCGACGTGGCCGATGTGTGCGAGCGACTGCGCACCGCCGCTCGTTGCGACGGTCAGGGCCCCGTCTTTGAAGAGGCGGCAATATACCGTGTCATCGAGGAGGAGAGTAGCAGGGGAGGCGGTGATGCGCTGATATGACACGGATGGAAACCAAAAAGAAAGAAAAGAGACAAAAGCCAACCAAAAAAAAGTACATCAACTGGTGAAGGGTACGCTGGCGAGACGAGGAGAGGTATGAAAGAGGAAGAGGGAATCATGCTGGCTAACGCTCGCTTTTTTCCCTCTCCAATCTACGAAGGACCATATATAGTGTCCATGTCTTATGGAAATTGTGTGTATATACCCTCCTTGGAGTTTTTTAGGCTCTGGGAAGCTTATCACTACTGGCCAACTATCTGGCATTTTAACGGGAACCCTCCTCTTAGTAGTGGATTACCTATGATATCCTCAAATCTCTTTCTAATCAAATTTGCATTCTACATCATCACACGAATGGGTGCTGGTGAAGCGCCAAAATTCTGCCTTCTCCCAAAGGTTGGTCCGGCAGATATCACTCCATATTCCGGCCCTATGCTTTACATGCCCACCCTGATACACCTACACACATCTCCAACCTCTTTACACACGTCTTGCCCCGGATCGTACGATCTACTCATAAAATTCAAATATCTTCTTCCGTCGAGCTAAACCCGTGAGTTCCAAATCACCTAGGTCCAGCCACCGTCGTTAGCTCGTAAGGCGTTCACTCTCACACCCATGGTTCCTCACGACAGCGCAAGCCACCTCCGTCACCCACAAAAGAGCCAGCCAGCCAAGCTCCTGGCCATGCACTGCGCCCCCCCTTTTCTGCTCACCCGCTCACCCGCACAGCCTTTGACATACACGTGTGCTGAGACGTCATTCTGTCATGGCTCAGAAAGAGGAGTCTATGGTGAATGGGGGGGTAGATCATGGATCTCGATAAACAGGGCAGGCGACTGAGCCCTGATTTTTTACACCGCCCAACTCCTGTCTTAATAGTATTTGAAAAATTGTCTTGATCAAAAACCAAAATACTAGTGAGAGATAAAAAGGATTGGATGGCAGATCTCTAACCTTTTCCCTTTGCAAAATGGAAAAAGACCCCGACCGGATAGCCAAGTAGAGGCCAGGCGCAGCACTGCAAATCAACACACGAGACAAGACACGCAACGCACCACGCGTCTCCCTGCGGCCAACAAGAACGTTCCAAGCCCCAACTGACATGCTGAAAAGTCAAAAAATAACACGTCGGTGCAGCATCATCATCGTCATCGGCGAACGACGTGTAGTAATGATCCTACTGCTGCTGGTGCTGGCGCCGCTGCTCGAACGGGACTAAACTTCCGCCCGAACTTCGGCACAGCAAAGCCGCAAAAAAAAAAAAAAGGGCTGATGACAGGCGCGAGCGCACGCACACGCGCATATTCCTTATGCATGCACGGTTGTGAGTAATCGGGCGGCCGCGTTCCGAGCGCTGGGCGTGGAGGGCGGGGGGGCAGCGGGTTCGGCGCGTAGTCAGCGGCACTTTCGGCAAAGGCTGACAAGAGACGGGCATCTTGGGGTGTTTGGTTCGGCAGGGGCAGCTGCCATTGGTTGGGACGGCAGGGGAATAGTAGTTGTGAAGACGGGTGGAAGTCAAATTGTGATTTTTTTTCAATTTTTTTTTTTTTACAAAAAAAGGCCCAAGTGTAGCCGAGAAATAGTGTAGCATAACATGCGGATGAGGGGGGGTGGGGGCTGTTTGGACGGAAGGATTGACGCGTGTGCGAAAATGTCTCCGTCGATTGGCGCGCAGATTGGATTCAGTTAGGGAGTTTGTTGGTGTTTTGGAAGAGATGATTGGAGGAGATGGTGCGGAAATTACGGCGGAAAAGCGTACAAGCGGCGCTGGGAATAAGAAGAGGAACCGATAGCGAAACCAGTGTATGAAAAGCCACTATCAGTTGTAGCCGCTGCAGTGCATCAGTGGTTGCAGCGGCGGTGAATGTAGGATTCGAGATAAAGCAAGCACGCCATAGCGGCCTCTCGGTGACAGAAGTAGCATGCAAGGGCTAGGGAGGGTGGGACGGGTAGAGAATTGAGGTAGGATTCGAGTGCAAATGCCGCAGCGAAGAGCTGAAAGCAATTAGGGCGGGCGGATTGTCCGACGAGTCAAGGAATGCTACGGTTCTACCTCCGACACTGGACGAGTAGGCGAGGAGCGGGGTTGCTCTAGAACGTTTAAGCGGTTGGCGACGAAGGAGGAAAAGTCAGCATTTAGATCGGATTGATTAGTTAGGGCGTAGGGCTGAAAAGTGGGCGTGTGGTTATACTGAGCTTGCGCGTTGCTCAATCAGACCGGAGAGGAATTGCTTCGTGGACGGCATTCAGTGGGTGTGCTGCATGATTGGGCCAGGAGGCATATTACCCTGGCAGTTGATAGACGGCCGGTTGGGTGAGAACATCTTCTTGGAGCAGAATAGCACGAAATGGTCTGATGAAGGAAGAGCGCGACGCCACAGCACGGGACATCCCGATTGTAAGCACGCGAAACGAGACGTGGGTGTACGGGTGTCGAAGTGACTGGGCACCAAAGTAGAGCTACATTGTCGCTTGTAGAATTGAGCAACGCCGAGGATTCTCGAAGGATGAGCATGCACAGTACCATGCGGAGCCGCTGGCATGCTTATCCAGCTCTGCTTGCCTCTGGTGTGCCACGCACGTTGAACTGCAGATGCAGGCTGCGTTTCATGATTTTCGCAGGAGATGGGGGGCGAGGTGGGAGGGGTGAGATGCAGGGCTGGATGAACACGATGAGAGAGTTGCACGTGCAGGAAGCATCTAAATGCTGACAGGCCCCAGTCGAAGTACCGACGGCACTGTCCATTTTACCATGGACATGGGTACAATAGCCGGCGGAAACAAGCAGACGAAAAGCGATTATCGGAACGGAAATGAATCAGGGAGCCTCATCCTTCGCCGTGGTTGGGATTGAGGCTGGCACCTTCCGTGCGTGGCGGAATACGAGCAGTCGAAAGTCTCTCTACCACCAACCACTCTCGCAAGCTCAACGCCTTTTCTGAGGACCAATCCCGATAGGCGGAAAAAAGGCGAGAACGGGTCGCAGGAATGCCGTGGGCTCGACACTGTGGAAGTGCTGCGTTACGCGTTCGGTGTGAGGGTCCGGGGACAAGCGAATCAACTTCGACGTGTGCGAGATAGGGTGATGATACTGTGCAAGAGTCTGGCCCGATACCCGCGCCTCCCGTTGTTTCCCGTTCGCTGGGATTGCTTCTCCGGTGAGCAGTAGCATCGGTGCATGCATATTTCCTACGCACCGTGACCGTTTGAGCGAAGCGTGGACGTTGTCAGCACAGCAAAAGTCGCAGTGTGGCGCTGAGGTAATGAGGCCAAGCGAAACTGGGCTGAACGCGGGGCAACATGTCAGCAGAAGAGAGGCCTGCACAGCGGCGGTGGAAGACGCAAGTGAGGGAACATTTGACGAGATGGCGCGCTTCTTTTGTACGACTACGGTTCGCGTTGCATATCCGCGGAGCGAAACGGCGCATCAATCCGCACGTGTCTAATCACAAACTGACAGGCCGCGGTCAGATCTGAATTGGGTAGGCCGTTGCTGCCCGTCTGGCCAGTGTATGCCTGGGGAATCCTGCGCATGCGGACGACTGCCTCGACTGCCTGCAGCGGTTCCGCCCATGAATTGGTGGGTGAGACTCATCAAGCTTTGAGCTGCAGCCTGTCGTCATTTAGTATTCCATCCTTTGCCGTGTGGGACCGATTGTCTAACCTCCGCCTGAACGATTCCTTGAGCGGCTGGACCCGCCCGTTGACTGATTCGGGATTGATGTGGTCGTTCAATCCCAGTCGCTATCCTCGTCATCGTCGACACGAGTCTGACGAATCTTCTTGGAGCTCTCCTCGGCCTCTTCATCCTTGCGCCGAAGCCGGGGGTCACCGTGTTTGAGGGCACCGAGGTCTATCAGCAGCTTTTCGACGTCTGACCAAATCCTGTTAGCAACGAACACGCGCAAAGCTGACCGGGATGCCGATCCCAAGCTTTTCGAGAATATTGGCACAAGGCTTCGCCTTGATTAGTGCCATGGAGTCTTACCTTCCACAGACGTGCGTGGCCCGTTGAGCTCCCTCAGCGTTACGATCTGCCTCTTAATATCTCCATCCTTGTAGATGAGGACGGTGGGAGTGTTCTTGTCCGGGTATCCTTCGATGCACATGTTGCCCCTAATCTGGCAGAACTTGATGTCCCCGAACTTACGGGCCAGCTCACGCCAAAGCTCGACACCCCTCTGGGACTCGGTGTTGGTGCTGGCAGCTGTGAGGAGCACAAGAACCCAGGCCTCTTTGGACGCTTCTGTCACGTCGCGCGAGTAGTCGGGCTTCTGTAAGTGATACACTTGGTTGAACTTCGAGGCGGTCTGGATGGTGGAGAGCTCGGCCATGCGCTTCTTGCTGTCGTGATGTCAGGCAGGAGACGAGAGGCAATGTTGAGACAAACATACCGGTATTGCTCGAGGAAGTCGTCATCCTCCTCGTCTTCCAGCTCGGCAAGTTCGTCCAAGTCCTTGCCCTCAAGGCGGTTCTCATGTGCAAGTCTCCGCGCCTCGACAAGGGCTTCCTCGATCATGGGCGTGGGCGAGGGGGGCTTCTCGGGGATGACGCCATGCTTGCGGAGAATATCGTTCCTGCAGGCAAGAGTGTCAGGGTGTGATTTCATGAGCCAGGGCATGCGCAGTACCATTCAGTGTCGGCGTTAGGGTCGTCCACCGGGACCTGGACGGGCATATCTGGCATTTGATTCATTTTGGGAGCGGTTCAACGGGAGCGATGACGGTGTTGTAGGTGCTCTGGGATGAGGTGCGACCGGCATGCGCTGCAGAGCGGACAGGCAGCAATTGTAAGGAGAGTTGTGGGAGTTCTTGGGGCCTGGCGGAGGGGCGGCGATGACGCTCCGCCGCAGGGCTGGCCACTTTGTCGCGGGAGGCGCCAAGAAAGCCAGGGTCGAGCACAGCGCAACACCAAGGGCGCGCAACCACGGCCGAGCGTATCATTCCCGCACCTCGCACCACCAACGCTGCGACCCGCCATTCGCATGCGACACTTTTCCACGGCGCCCTGAGCTGTGCATAAATCCGACCCGTGTCCTCTCGCCGCCGCCGCATCCCACATCGAGTCGCAGCACCCTGGCCGGCGGACAAGGACACATTTCCCCCATACTCGCAACATCTCCCGCCTAGTCTGCGCTCCCGCCCAGCGCTCCCGCCACCATGAGCTACAACAAGAAAGACGAAGACAGCGAGGGCGCCATTGTCAAGGTCGACCGCACCTCCGTCTTCCAGGAAGGTACGCTGCTCCCCGCCGTGCCCGTGTCCTACAGCTGGAGCTTACGCCCGAGCAGCCCGCGTCTTCAACTCGTCGCCGATCTCGCCGCGCAGGTGCCGCATCCTCCTCACCAAGATTGCCCTGCTTCTCTTTACCGGCGAGAAGTTCCCCACCAATGAGGCTACTTCGCTGTTCTTTGGCATCTCGAAGCTCTTCCAGAACAAGGATGCCAGCCTGCGCCAGATGGTCTACCTTGTCATCAAGGAGCTCGCCAACACCGCCGAGGATGTTATCATGGTCACGAGCAGTATTATGAAGGACACGGCTGTCGGCAGCGATGTTGTGTATCGCGCCAACGCCATAAGAGCTCTCTGCCGTGTTATTGATGTGAGCTGCGAAAGGAGTCTGCTGTGTGCATTGCGCTGACGCCGTACAGTCCTCGACAGTACCAGCCATTGAGCGTCTGATCAAGACCGCCATCGTCGACAAGACCCCCTCCGTCTCGTCCGCCGCTCTCGTTTCCTCTTACCACCTCCTTCCCGTCGCCCGCGACGTCGTTCGGAGATGGCAGTCCGAGACCCAGGAAGCTGCCTCGGCCACCAAGTCCTCTGGCGGCTTCTCCCTGGGCTTTGGCACCTCGCACTCGAACCTTGCCGCCGCAAACACCAACTTTATGACCCAATACCATGCCATTGGCTTGCTCTACCAGATGCGCTCGCACGACCGTATGGCGCTTGTCAAGATGGTGCAGCAGTACAGCGCTGCCGGTGTTGTCAAGAGCCCGGCGGCCACTGTTCTGCTGGTTAGGCTGGCGGCTAAGCTGGCGGAAGAGGACCCCAACCTTCGCAGGCCCATGATGCAGCTTCTCGACGGCTGGTTGCGCCACAAGAGCGAAATGGTCAACTTTGAGGCTGCCAAGGCCATCTGCGACATGAAGGACGTCTCCGACTCTGAGATTGTGCAGGCCGTGCATGTACTCCAGCTCTTCCTGACCTCTCCCCGTGCTGTCACCAAGTTCGCTGCCATTCGCATCCTGCACAACTTTGCTTCCTTCAAGCCCGACGCTGTGCGCCAGTGCAACCCAGACATCGAGGCACTGATCACGAACAGCAACCGCTCCATCGCAACCTTTGCTATCACGACCCTCCTTAAGACCGGCAACGAGTCGAGCGTCGACCGCCTGATGAAGCAGATTTCCGGATTCATGGCTGAGATCACGGACGAGTTCAAGGTCACGATTGTGGAGGCTATTAGGACGCTGTGCTTGAAGTTCCCGTCGAAGCAGGCCGGCATGCTCGCTTTCCTCAGCGGCATTTTGAGGGATGAGGGTGGCTACGAATTCAAGCGTGCCGTTGTCGAATCCATGTTCGATCTCATCAAGTTCGTTCCGGAGAGCAAGGAGGATGCTTTGGCTCATCTGTGCGAGTTCATCGAAGACTGTGAATTCACCAAGCTCTCAGTCCGCATTCTGCACCTTCTCGGCATGGAGGGACCCAAGACGCCTCAGCCCACGAAGTACATCCGCTACATCTACAACCGCGTCGTCCTGGAGAACTCCATAGTCCGCGCTGCTGCTGTCACTGCCCTCGCTAAGTTTGGCGTTGGTCAGAAGGATCCAGAAGTTAAGCGTAGCGTCCGCGTCCTTTTGACCCGCTGCCTCGACGACACGGATGATGAAGTCCGTGACCGTGCCGCTCTAAACATGAGACTCATGGATGATGACGATGAAGATGCCCACAAGTTCATTCGTAATGGTATGCTGGATAGCTTGTCTGTTTGTATAACCCAATTTACTAACGTCTGTGTAGATTCCATGTTCTCCCTTCCCACGCTCGAGCACCAGCTTGTCATGTACGTCACTGCAGATGATAAGGAGACCTTCTCCCAGCCTTTCGACCTTTCCAAGGTCCCCGTTGTCACCCGGGAACAAGCCGATGCCGAGGATCGTACCAAGAAGCTTACCTCCGCAACTCCCACCCTCAAAGCACCTTCCACAGGACCCAAGCCGGCTGCCCGCAGCGGTGCGGACGCTGCTGCATCTGCAACTGCTGCTGCCCAGAAATATGCTGCCCAGCTCCAGGCCATCCCCGAGATTGCTGCATTTGGTGGCGTTCTCAAGTCTTCTCCGATCGTGGAGCTCACCGAGTCCGAGACCGAGTACGTCGTTTCGGCAATCAAGCACATCTTCAAGGAGCACATCGTTCTTCAGTACGATATCAAGAATACACTTCCCGACACCGTTCTCGCCGACGTCACTATGGTTGTCTCTCCGGCCGAGGAAGAGGAGTCTGGCCTTGAGGAGGAGTTCATCATTCCTGCGCCTGCGCTTAAGACTGATGAGCCTGGTACTGTCTACGTCTCGTTCAAGCGCACCGAGGGCGAGGCCACATACGTTGCATCCAGCTTCACGAACATCCTCAAGTTTACTCTCAAGGAAATTGATCCGTCCACAAACGAGCCTGAAGAGGGTGGCTATGAAGACGAGTACCAGGTTGAGGATCTCGACCTCAATGGTGCCGACTATATCGTTCCGGCGTATGCAGGCAGTTTTGACAATGTGTGGGAACAATCGGGTGCCGGCGAGGAAGCAACGGAAACTCTGCAGCTTAGTGCTCTCAAGAGCATACAAGGTTTGTTTCCCCGTAATATCAGACCCTATGCAGTTTTGAAGCTGAGACTAATCCCAACCCAGACGCTGTGGAGCAAATCCCCAAGACTCTCTCCCTGCAACCGCTTGAGGGCACTGACGTCGCCCTCAGCACCTCGACGCACACGCTCAAGCTGTACGGCAAGACCATCACGGGCGGTAAGGTTGCGGCGCAGGTACGCATGGCTTTCGCGTCCAAGACGGGCGTGACCATGAAGATCAATGTCCGGTCGGAAGAGGAAGGTGTGGCAACGTTGGTCATTAATAGCGTGGCATAGACGGTCGTACGCGTAAAATGGATGATATGGGGATGTTAGTCTGTTTTTCTGTTGAAATAAAATAGCCTTTTCACTTTTTTTTCCTCGCATGAAGGATTGGAGAACAAGATGTGTGATTACTAGTAGAGCTATGCCCTGAACGATGGGCAACGACACCATGCACAACATTTAATTCCGGGTTATGTTCTCATAGTCAGAGTTGCTTGTGCCGATAACGTGGCCAGACGGAAGAGGTGAATGCTTCTGTTCAAAGTGGTCTAAGGTTGTGAAGCAGAGATACGTAGTTTATCCTTACCCAGGATAGATCGACAAACAGCACTAAAGAAGCATATGTTTGCCTAGGTGGCCTTAGGGACAGGCTCAGCCTACGTGAGCAGCTGCAATCCTCTTGCTGCCTTCACCTCCCGCTTCTAGAATGGAGGATCATCCATGCCTACCTTTTGGTCTAAGCTCAAAGCTCTACAGATCTCAACCACCAAGAGGCTGGTCAACTCAAGATCATCACCTCTTATCGAGCTCGCAGACGAACCGATTCTCGGCTTTGAGACTAAAGTGTAAGAGCGTTGAGAGCGTCTGTTGAATGACGCCACTGACTTCTGAATTTCCTCTCGGTCTCGTGTGATCCATCTCTATCCAAAATCCTTTCAAAAAAAAATCTCAAGTCGAAGATCTCGCTGACTTGAAGATCGCGCACGTTTGACATAGCCAATGTAAATGTGTGGCCATCCAAAGTTTTTCCAGTGATACGAACGAAAGAAACAAAAAACGCCAAAGAGCTCATGCAGCAAAAAAGAACATTACAAGAATGTTGAAACTCCCGCCCCTCGGTCAGCCAAGCCAGACAGAACAGGGGAAACGATGACTGGAAGGAAAATAATTATTTTTATGCCATCCCCTCCTCTCACGAAGACTGCGCCGCCTTCACGCCCTCTATCGACGTAAGCGGGACGGACGATGCGGCAACGCCCTCACCCGCACGCTCGGCAGCTCTCTTCTTGAGCACGTTCTCAATGAAGGCCTCACCGGCCTTGTACGACGAGCGCACGAGCGGACCAGACGCGCAGTACAGGAAGCCCATGTCGAGGGCGCGTTGACGCCACATCTCGAACTTGGCCGGTGTGACATATTCCTCGACCTTCATGTGGCGCTTTGTGGGGCGCATGTACTGGCCAAAGGTGACGACGTCGACGTCGACTTTTCTAAGTTCTGTTGTCCACCGTCAGTCTCCTTTTCTGCTTGGTTCGTGGGAATGGGGGAAGGAGAATGCTTACCCTTTAGCGCATGCCAAAGCTGCTCCTCCGTCTCGCCCAACCCCAGCATCACGCTGGTCTTGGTGATCAAGCCGGGCTTCGCCTCCTTCGCCGTCTGCAGTACCTTCAAGCTCTGCCTAAACTTAGCCCTGCGGTCGCGGACAAACGGCGTCAGCGCCTCGGTTGTCTCGATGTTGTGCGCGTAGACGTCCAGCCCGCTGCGCGCCACCAGCGCCACCATGTCCAAGTCGCCCGCATAGTCGCCCGTCAGCGCCTCGACCAGCATCGTCGGCGCCTTCTGCTTGATCTTCGAGATGGTCTCGGCGAAGTGCCTGGCGCCACCGTCGGCTAGGTCGTCGCGGTCCACGCTCGTCAGCACCACGTACCCCAGCCCCCAGCGCTTCAGCGCCTCGGCCGTGTTCTCGGGCTCGTGCGGGTCCAGCGGAGGGGGCCGGTTGCTCGTCTTGACGCTGCAGAAGCGGCAGCCGCGCGTGCACGTGTCGCCCATCAGCATGATCGTCGCCGTCGCCGCGCTCTTGTTGCCGCCGCCCCAGCACTCGCCGATGTTCGGGCACCGCGCCTCCTCGCACACCGTGTGCAGGTTCAGCCCCCGCAGGTCGTTCTTGATCTTCTTGTAGTTGTCCGACAGCGGGATCGGCGTCTTCAGCCACGTCGGCAGCCGCGTTATTTGCTTCTTCTTGCCCTCCGGCCCCACCATGGCCGTCCGCAGCTCCAGCATCTCGTCGCCCGTAAGCGGCTCTTCTTTTGGCCCGCCACCGACGAAGTCGCCAAACGACGGGCCCGAGTTCAGGCGGTCGGAGAACTTGGTGCGTGGACGTCCGGACTTGGGGGCTGTAGACGAGGAGGTGGGCGTCGGCGTCGTGGCTGGGTCGCCGACGGTGGTGGCGAGAGTGCGGGCAGCATGCCGGTGAAGCAATTGCTGCGTCGTTCTGAGCGAGGGCTGCGATGTGAGAGACGAGGTGCCTCGCCTGAGATATGCGTATCTGGGGACGTGGGTGGCCATCTTTGCTGCGAGGACGGGTGGGGGGAAGCAATCTGAATTGCGTTGGGAACTGGTGGTTGCGCAATTGAGAAACAATTCGGGACGCTTACGCACGGGCTTGGCGTCTCTAGTAAGAAGCTTATCTTATCGCATCGATCGCCCCGCCGCCATCTCCGATGTCGCCTGCCGCTGGACCCTGTCATGCCAGGTACCCGCTCTTCAGCAGGTTATACTCATGCCAAATAACCTTACTTTGGCCTGTTCATAAGCTCATGACATTCACTTTCCGGTCTGATCCGTTGTAATGAGATCACGTATCATTCCAGTATGCCATGAAGTGGTATGCGTTGCTTCTCAGTCTGCATTTCTAAGGGCCAGATAAACGCAAAGATGAACTGCAGGGTAGAGTGAATTGTAAAATATGGGGCTTCCCTGCTGGCTCCTATGGTACTGGCAAGCTTTAAGGAGAATCTTCCGAATGGAATCACGCGAGTATCGGGAAGGACTGGCCACCAGTCGCACTACATAATCGAAGTGAAATCAAGCTGTATGTTAAACTGTTTACCGATATTCAGATTACGCAATATTCTACGATCCTTTCTCCTTCAAGATCAGCATTCGTTATGACCTTCACCCGCTGGGGTATATCATACGACATCAACTTTGCACCACATCACCGCAGAATCAGCGAGGAAAAGGAGTGTAGAGCGAGCAAGCACTCTTAAAATTTATCCTCCGCGAAGAGAGCAGAAAGATTTAAAAGTTAAAAGTCCACTATCAAAGGAACATTTTAAGAAACTTGAACAGAAGGGAGGTATAAAGCTAAAGTCAAGCCCACCGCTTCCAGTTCTCATCATAAAAAAGGCGTGAAGCTTTAAGAGAAGTGGAAGGGGAGATGGGAAATCAAAGCATAAGCACAGCTTAGCTCAGAAGAAGCGGATGCAATCTGCACCCGCCACGGCCGGACCAAGCAGCGCTACCTGCTTCGTATGCGAGGAAGAAATGAAATGCCATCAGTAAGTGCTGAAAGCACACGCGCACATGACGGGAAGCAGCAGATGTTAGGAAAAAGCACCTTGGAACTGTTGATGATCGAGGTGTTGATGGGGTATTGATTTGCTGCGCACGTTGTGCTGCGGGTATGAAGGGGTATTGCCGTAACAAACTCTTGAGAGAGTAGTCCTGCTGTGGGACGTAAATGGAAAAGGACAGAATTTTTCTGGGATGAGGCACAGACAACAAGGAAACTAGAGCAATCTCGGGCAGAGATCATGCGTGGATATAGCCGACAATCCGGACGTAGTCGAAGGGAGAACGTCGCATCTCGTAATCGCTGAGATCCGGTCGTAAGTCTGTTGCTTAGAATGCCGTCATTGAGTTGTACGAAGATGCCTTGTTGACGGGGCTTCCAACGCCGTTTCCGAACGAGGGGCTGCTGCCGTAGTTGTCCGTCATGCGTCTTGGGGTAGTGGCGCCGCCTGTCCTCTTCTTCAATCTGCTTGTCCTCCAGCCTTCGTACCACCTCTCCCTACTCGCCTCGCGGAGCTCAGCGCGCCATTCGCTGAATACGCTCTCCTTCAGGCGCACGAAGTCGCAGTGCTCAGGGTTCATGGGATCAGCAAACCCCCAGGCGAAGCGGCGGCCGATCACACTAGGTTCGTACATGTCAGGGGAAATGATGCTGAGGGGAAGCAAGGGTTCCTCCTCATCCTCGATTTGGGCAGACATGGTAGAAACCCTGCGAGCGTGCTTCTTGCCGTTCCCTGAAGGAGATTTGGGTGGCGGAGAGGACGCCGAGGTTGAAGACTCGTCGTCGGACGCATTCGAGTCCGACTTGTCCATGTTGTCGCTGACGTCCGCCGGCTTCTCCTCCTTCTCCTCATCGGAGTCCTCAAACTCGTCTTCTTCACGCTCGTCAAACGCCGATTCGTCATCCGAGTCTGAGAAGCTGAGAGCCTCCAGAGGATCAAGCTTCGCTTGCTTCAAGCTGTCCCACACTGACTTCTTGAGATGTGCCATATGAGCAGCAGTGATGGTGTCGGCCTTGCTGATCACGGGAACGACGGCAGTCTTGCCTTGAAGGATCCGCAAGACCTGGAGGTCCAGGTCGTCGTCGAGGCTTCCCACCAAAGTGGGTTTGACAGCAAACTTACCCGGAGTAGTACCACGGCTAGCAGCGCCATTGGCCTCCAAGCGGATAGGGTCCAGCAACAAGAAGACACAGTGGATGTGAGTGTCGCGCACGCCGGCGGAACGGACGACCTTCTGCTCCTCGGAGAAGGTCTCCTCGAACTTGGACTCGATGAACGCGGCCATCTCGCGAAGTTGGAGGTCGACCACATTCTTCTCCAGGCCCTGCGAGTCCCACAGCGTGACACCGATGCGCTCATTCTCAATCTCAGTCTCAAGGTACTGCGAGGTGAAAGGCGAGCTCGGGTCATTCGGGGGCTGCGGTGGCGGGGTCTGCACGCGCTTGTGCTTGGGCATGCTGAGAGAGGTCTGGAGAAAGTTGATGAAGGACGTCTTGCCGGAGTTCTTCGCGCCAATGACGAGAATGCTGCAAGGAGAGAGGTGGGTAAGTGATACAGCGTCGACGCGCGAGGCGGGAGATCGGCAACTTACTTGAACGGCGTGGGGTCTTTCCTCCTGCGCACGCGACGCGGGCTGTTGAGGGTGCTGACGGCGCTGCTCGCGTAGCTGTAGCGGCCGCGGTGGGTCATGCTCTCAGTGCGGGCATAAGGATCGACATATTCGCCGTTGTTGGGTTTCGAAGGACTGCCGGGGATGGAAGCAAAAGGCATGGCAGCCTGCGGCGAGGTGGGCGTCTTGTAATCCATCGAGGGTCTTGTTGTGGGCGGAGGACCTTGGTGGTGGTGGCCGCGAGCAGCGCGTGAGACGAACTGGTAGGAGTCGCGGGCGTTTTCGCCACCGAACGTGTTGATGGTAGGCAGCGGCGGCGGCTGGGGAAGCTGCGGCGGCTGCTTGGGAAGCGCGGCAGCTTCGCGCTGCTGCCGCAGGAGCTCTTCCTGGGCCTGCGCCTTCTGTTTCTTGCTCATCTTGCCACCCGATGCGCTGCGGCCGGCAAGACCGGTGTTGGACTTCTGACGGCGCAGGAAGGAGAAGCTGGTGCGGCGCGGCTCAGCCTGTGAGTCGGCAGGTTTGCCGGAGGACTGTTCGGTGGCGGATGAAGTGGCCATTTTGAACGGAGCTACGAAGCGGTGCGAAGGCGAGTCGCGCCAGGCAGGCTTGTATCAACGGAGACTACGGCTGCTTCACGGACCAGATGTGCTAGCTTGCCAGTCGGCGTTACGCACACTTGAGACACAGGACCAGCCGTGTACAAAACAGGACGTGACCGAAAGGGTTCTGCAACGCGCCGAGGACTGAGGTCAGCACGAGATTGATCAAGAGCGCAGGTCGCGACGCGCAGGCCGGGACGCCCAACGCCGTCTTATGCCCTCCAGGGATCTGTAATGAAAGTACCTGCTAGAGACTTGAGCGGTTCGGGGAAGACCGATGTCGCTCTTTGCGCCAGGCAAGAGCGCGCGGGGAACTGCAGACAGAGGGCCCTGATATGGGGAGCGTGTCGGTCTCGGGAGTTGCGCGCAGGGCTGAGTGCAGCAGGCTGTCGCGGCAGAACAATTGGCGGAGGGGCTCAGCGATCGCAGCAGAGGAGAGCCGGCGAAGAGCTGCCAGACAAGCACACTCGAAGCGCCCCTGAAGCGCGCAACCTGATGGGCATGCTTGAGCAATCATTGCGCAGCCAATCACGGGCGCGGCCGGCACGGGCCTGTCGTCGGGGATTGATGAAACAAGCCACGGCTGCGTATCCTTTCTCGAAACCGGTCGTTGATCGCCGGGCGCTGAAACCTGGCTCGTCGGCTGCGCGAGCCACCACGCGGCAGTGCTGGTTGGGTGCGTCGTCCAATTTGACATGACGAGGAGCGCGGTGGAGCCATTCCCCGCGGCACTATCCTGGACCCTTTGCGCCCGGCCCCCCCAGCCCAAGAGCGGCAGTACCACTGCAACCGTTGGCGCCCGCGCGCTCGTCCCGCTGTGCTTGCAGGGCGGTGAACGGTGCCTCGAGCGATGTGTGGTTCCAGTTGCCCTGGGCCACCATGACGCCGCCAGTCAGCAGGGTCTCGGGCTGCAAAGTTGCAGACAGAGCCACGACAGCCGCCGGGGCGATCGCCCAAAGCAGCGTGTCCAGTGCCGAGGCAGCCATGGCGCTAGGGTCGCTCACACTCGAACCGGCATATTCCTCCGCTCGGCTCCCACCGAACGCGACTCGATGAGGAAGATCACGCTGCAAGCCCATTCCTCATTATTTTTCCGATCGCTCTCGTTTCTTTTACGAGACTCTGGACAGCAACCTTACACGTGCTCGCGCCAGGGTCTACGCCGCCCAGCGATCACTCGCGACCGTGTGGAGTGCTGCGGCTCCCGTTGACCCGACTCGTGGCACGTTGTGAGGCGGGTACGGCGCTGCGATCGTCCGAACGGCCAGACCGTAGGATCCATGGTCAAATTTCCATCCGCGATGGTGAACGCCAGAGCGCACCGGCGCAAGCTCCACCTTTTTGCGAGATTGTGCAACGGTTAGAGAGGGAGGATGGAAAAGAAAGAAGAGGGACTCAAATAGGGATCGCGATCGAGCATCGTTGCCGGATAGGTAGCATTCGCTTCGCCATGTTCTCTTTTCCAAATCTGCGACGGGTATTGCCTCTGCTATTGGAGTCGCCTGACTGCAATTATAGCTCCTCGAGGATTAAGGTTTTTGACAAACTATTGAAACTGCCACAAACGGCCGCGGTCGCGCGCGCGCAACAGTCCCGGCGCGAGGCGAGCGCCTTGATATGAAATTGGCGCCCGCTTTTCCTTTCACCGAGACCGCCGACGCAAGGTCTGCCCCACACCGTGAGACATGGAGAACATCACTGCCAAAAGCCGGCACCCCAAGCTCGCGTTTATTGATTATCGCCGTGCTGGTGCCTATAAATACACTATTCAAGATTGACCCCGGGTCACGTGTGTATCGCGTGTTAGACCCTGTTGTTCTGTAATCCAACACCTTTCCCGCCTTCCAAAATGACCTTGATCTTGCGCCACATCTTGTCGTCGTGACTCTCATCACTTTAGCTGTCGCGCTTCTGCAGCGCCTTGTACCTGTCCCTTGCTGACTCTTGAACGCTTTCCAAGTAGCCTTGTTGTGCTACCGTGTGCGCGTCTCCCAGCTTGCTTCCTTCGGCACCCAAACCAACGCCTTGCCGGTACATCTGGGTCTCAATGGGCGCTGTGATGCCGGTACCAGATGCACCCAGGCCAGCGCCTGCCGTGTAGCCAGCTTTGGCAAGAAGCTTTGCCCCGATACCAGGCTCCGGAGGTGGAGAAGGGGACCGGGCCTTTGCGCGAGAGCCAGAGTCTTTGGACGGGGGTGCGGTGCTACCGTACTGCTTTCGGCGCTCCTTGGCGCGATCCCTGAACTCCTTTGGTGGCGAAGACGGGTCAATGGTGGGTACAACAGTCTCCGGATGTGCTTTCTTGAGCCTCTCCCAGCCGGCCGCGATCTCTTCTTGGTTCGTGAGGTTCTTCTTGTGTAGTTCAGACCTTTCGAGATGGGCCTTTAACGTATCACCCTTGAATACGCGACCGCAAAGGTAGCACTTGCCCTCCTCGACACTCACGAGAGGATCTGTAGGCAGCACCTTCTGGGGTGCCTCACTACCCAGCTCAGCCTGCCTCTGCTTCCATGTGTCGAAAGCTGATATGGTCATGCGACTCTGATGACTGTTACAAGAGGGCTCTTCGACGTAGACCAGTGCATTTCACGTTGCCAACTCACCTTGGTCTTTGGGACCGGAACCTCTTCCGCTTTCCTCTTCTTCGCTTTCTTCTCCCCCTGGTCAGTGCCATTACCATCGCTGGATCCCTTCTGTGAAGGCTGCGGTACTTCAGGCAGTTTTGGGTCCTCAGGCGGGTTCTCTGAAACCATTTCCTCATTGGCGAATAGCTTCGGGATACGGTACTCAAACCGCTGGGTTGTGTCACTGCCAGCCAGGTGAGAATACTCATCAGGTGTGCCGTCCCTTGCGGGCACGAAGACTCCAAGGTGAGCAAAGGTAACAGTCACGTCTTTGGAAGAAATCTTGAGTCCCTTCTCGTGCACGCATTTCTCATACGCTGCTTTCGCTTCCTGCTGCGGGTCAGAATCTGCAGGGCAATGCAAAGCAGACTACTCACCTCCCTGTTGTGGAACTCAGCCAGACCATAGCCGCAGCTAAGACGCGACTTCTTCTCACGGACCAAGAAGACTCGCTTCAGACTGTCCTTCTTCGCACCAGGATTCCTGGGCACCGAGGTAGGCTTGAGCCCCGTCGACTTGAGCCCGGTCCCTACAGTAGGCTGGGGAGGGCCAGCTGGCTGCGCATCTTCATCTGCCTTGTAGAGGCGAAGCAGACCTTCAGCCAGAGCCTTTTCATCGGTTGACACGTCCAGACCAGAAACAAGGAGGAACTGCGTGTGCTGGCCGTCATAGGCCGTGTCGTGCTCAGCATTGCGAGCATGGCGACGGATGACGTTGAGCGGATGGGGTGGATGCGACTCATGGTCAGCAGACTGGTGCGAGCCTCTCCTGTGGAGTCTGTCATCGATCCTGCGGTGGGGCGATTGGCTAGGGTCCGAGCGATGGTAATCTTCAGGAGACAAAAAAGGTCATTAGTTAAGACTGCAATACTCGGGTGTCTTAACTAGTCATCATGATGCTAATGAGGTACCCATATAGTTCTCTTGCGAATCGTAGGAAGCGCCGCGATAGCCGCGCCGCTCGGGCCCATCGCGATGGCTGCGACGGGGCGAGCGGGAGCGCGACGAGCGCGATCCGCGTCGATGGTCATCATAGTGATATTCGCGAGGCCGGTCGCGATCATAGTATGCGTCGTAATCCGGGCTCAATCTGCGCGGAGCACGGTGTTGGTCGTAGTGATAAGCATCATCGGGGCGGTCGTAGTAGGACGAATGGGAGTGCGACGAGGGCGCGCGGCGGTAGCTGTCATAGTCGCTGCTGCGGTCTCTAGCACGGTAGGAGGATGAAGGGCGGGCGTAGTCATCATAGCCTCGGTCGTCGCGACGACCACGCGCATCCGGCGGCGTCATGGCAGACAGCAAGGACTGGCGTCGATCAGGCTGCGGCTCGGTGGGCAGGTTGAGTGGCGTCGGGTGTGCGCATCAAGCGGGCTGCGAAGCGGCACCGAGTACTCGACGGGAGGGGCCACTCAGGAGGGAGCAGGTAAGAAGACAAAGTCGGCTAGACAATGAGAATGGGGGTGTCAGCACGAAAGCGAGGTCAATGGACGGGCGCGGAAGGGCTCAGCTGTGACGTGCGGCACGGCAGGGATAGTTCCCCGCGCCGCGCTTTCGATCGGATCAACCTCACTCCGCCGCACTTGACCAAATATAGCGACGATCAATCGCGCAGGGGCCAGCGTCTTCCAATCAACACCACGCCATTACTCCATTCGCACCAAACTGTATCTCTGTCCTATCGTACACCTGTGCTTCCGAGGATAGCAAGCGCTGCTAACCTGTGTCATTCAATACGTTCCCCCCTACCGGATATTTGTCCGGCACGACACTCACGTAATTTGGTCCATCTGGAGGAGGATCGTCCTGGTGGCCATCGAACACGGCTGCCACATCATTGCATCCCTCCACCACCTCATCCCATAAATCTTCCAGACCGATTCTCTCCAGCGGGCGGAATGCAAGGCACTGATACACCAGCTCCACCAACCTGCCCGAGTACCCAGGCCTCATTGGGACCCCGCTGGGCGTTGCCTTGAGCGGAAAATCGCAACTTCCGGCAGGGTCCGAAAAGTCTACTACAAACTCCCTCCCTCTCATATCAAGGGATCCGTAGGGGCTGTTGGTCATCATGCACCACATCAGCATTCCGATCTCCCAGACCATCGTCCAGGAGTGGGCGCCGCTCTCATCTCCTCCATCGAGTGTTGCGAGCCGATTCAAGATATCTGGAATCCTATGCAACTTAAAGTTCAAACGCCTCATGGTTGCTTCGGTCCGCATCATGTTCTCCTATTTTGGACTACATGTCAGACACCAAACTGGCTCCGAAGGTAGGATTAGGATCATGAAAAGGGGGCCTTACTGGTGGTACGCTTCCTGCCGTTCCGAACCCTCGGAAATCAGGTGGATTTGCGCGTCGCCTGTAATTTGTCGGATGATTGGTATCGTCTAGCCCACTGTGAGTTATGAAGGCCATCCCGAAGTCACCAACTTTGGGCTAGTCAAGTCAGAGGTCGTACTTCGAGCATGAATCATGGCAATCAACATACCTGTGGATATCGTCGTGCCCAGACCATAGGCTCGCTGGGGTTGGGTGCGCCGAGGAATACATTATCAGGCTTGATGTCGCAATTGACGATGTGCTCCCACCATGGATCCGTACCCTTTCCTACATGGCCGTTCCAACATACTAGCACATTTTCGGTCACGGCTCTGAAACAATACCTGCACCAAAAACAGTCAGTCGTCATCATCTGCAAAAGATAGTCGTCCTTACCACACGAACGGTTCCGGAATCAGATGGTTCTTCCCACGGTAATCGTCAATAAGGTCCCCGAGAGTACCGTGCGGCATCCATTCCGTGGCGATAGTCTTGATCAAATCCCCATTATAATCGTCTTGACGGAGCTTATCATGCCTGTACTCGAGTGTACGGTTCCGGCACTGCTGATGTACCAGCGCGTGAACATTACCCTCTTCGGCACTTAGAGGATGATGGCCGGGAAATAAACGGTAATTGTAGGGACGTCGCTCTTTCTTGACCACCATTGTCTGTTCAACTCCTAGTAAGTAAATATTCTTCGGATGAACCTCACGACTAAATTCATACATACATCTGTTGTATTGTTGTTCGCATCTTGCTCTCGGTATAGCAGGACCGAGGTATCCTCTACCCCATACAGAACTTTGTGGCAAGCCCAAGAGCCCAAAAGGAGATCGCGGTCCTCGTCCTGCTCTTCTTCATCCGGCAGTGGTTTTTCGTGGGTTTCATTACCCGGAACAGGAGGAGCAGCAGGAGCAAAAGGTTGTAGCTTGGCACGAGCTCGTAAGATAATGTCTCTCGCCTCGTTAATTGATGCTTTCTGCTCCTCGGTCATGCTATCCAGGTCCAGGCGTTGCTTCTCAACCCACTGATCTGCCTGAGATTAGCCGTAGTGCATTTTGCGAAAGCTTGGGTCTTAGATGTTTTGTCATACCACGCCTCGGATCTCCCTTTTTGTTCTTAGAGAAGTGGTCGAGCTCGAATTCAACGGTCCACTCCGGACCCGGATCAAGGTGCCGGGTCTCTACTTCACCATTGGGGCGCTCAAACCAAAACGGCCACTTCTTCTCGACTTGGTATTGGTACCACCGTTTTCCTTGGGCGGTGAGGGAGGGAAACCTCGCCGAGCAGCATTTGACTATTCGCTCGCGCCTTGTATCCTTCTTTCTCTTTGACCATATGACTTGCGGATTGAGGTTTCTCCGACGAGCCTCATCGGGAAACTGTTCTTCGATGAAGGCATTGCGAGCATTCTGTGTCAGTGTTCGTCCTCGCGTTCGTTTTGTTCGTTTCGGCGGCATATTCGTGGTTGCGCACTCTTTGAGAGATTGGAGAGTTGCTAACTCTGCGAAGATGGAGCGGTCGTAGAATATACCTCTGCAAATTTGAAATGTCTAACAAAGGATTATCAATGAAATACCCATTCATTGTCCTCCTACCGATGCGTTCAGACAAAACCTCACTCCTTAAGCAAGACAAACAAAGGATCCTTCCAGAGTGAGATGGGTCATTCGGGGAGGCGGAAGAAATATCAACAACTGATGAGCTAGAGGGAAATTGCACAAAGAAGAGGAAGGAAAAAGAAGAGATTGAGTGATAATTTTTTGCATATCTGCAAGCCTCACTGGGGAATTCGAGGCTATTCATGATCACGAACCTTGGTTTTCTTAGTCGACTACTTTTGGAAGGGTTCTGTAGTGGTGGTGAGATAACTATGCAGCTCGTGGGTCAATGCTTGTCAAGTAGTGAGCTTTTGGCCCCCAACCACAGATGGTCCGGTGCAAGATGGTGCAAAACAGTCCGCGACTCCACACATAAGTATTCTGACACTCTTGAGCATTAGGAGACACGGGCAGTATCTTGGATTTCCAATATAGATTATCCGCATTTTGACATGGTGCGTATTGCATCTGGCATTAGCGGCCGACCTCCATGTTCTTGGGGTCCTAATCATCCCAAGCCAATCAGCGCCTCTTCCGAGAAATCCAGCAAGGCTCCACATTCGTCATGCAGAGCCACAGCACAGCCTGTTGCAAGGCTGTCGACTGATCCACCAACCGCTATAAGCCTCACCGCCATCTCACAGCAGAACATCCTTATTACATCTATCTTCTTCTCCTCGCCTTTCCATTAACACCACCGCTTCCATCTTGACGGCCCAAAATCAGCATGAATCCACAACCCCCAACCCCACCATCAAACGTCGACATGACGCCACCATCCGGCCCCGCAGCCCTCGGCGATCCTGGCTCCTCCAACACCACCACCACTGCCGCCTCAACCACAATCGCCGCCCCGCCCAAAGAACCATCGCGGACGGACATTGCACTCAGGCCGTTCATGGCCGACCCAGCCAAAGTCGAGGCGCGAAAGTCCTTGGTGGTGCTCGTGGTCGAAGACAACAAGGTGAACCAAAAGCTGGCACGCATACTGCTCTCCAAACTGGGCTATCAGGTGCAGATTGTCGAGCACGGGAAGGCCTGCTTGGATTACCTGGAGAGGACGGCGTTGTGGCGCGGTCCAGCCCCTCAGGCCGCAGAGGGTGGAGGTGCGGTGGTGGGGGCCGGAGGTAGTACGGGAGGGGCGGCGGCGGGCCAGGGAGGAGACGGTGGGGGAAATGACGGAGAAGCGGAGGAGCTGCCGACGCCTGCCGTCATCCTTCTCGACATCTCTATGCCCATCATGGGTGGCTACGAGACAATGGGGAAGATTAAGGAGTGGGAACGTGAGGGTTGGCTGGTGCGACGCCTACCCATTGTGTTGATGGGTGCGGCCATGATCGGCGGCGAGTATTATCTCAAGGAGAAAAAAGAGGCGGACGACTTGATTCGCAAGCCCTTAAGGGCGGTGGAAGTAGCGGAGAAGGTAGATGGATGGGTGGAGAAATTTGGATATGATGGAAGAAATGGAGTAGATGTGGGGGAGTTTACAAGGATGAGGATTGGGGTCAGCTGTGAGTAGGGTGATCAGCATGGCTTTTTTCTTTTGTTATTTCATTTTTTCTCGCCTTCTTTTTTTGGCGGGTGATCATTTTAATTAGGGCTTGGATGTTCGATCTTGTGAGGGTTTCTGCATGATTCTGGAAATATAATGGGGCGGGAGGCCGTGTACGCAGTTCCGTAGGACCGGCAGGAACGACGCAATCAAGTTTAGGGCAGAATCGATAATATTGCTTCGTATCCGACGAGCAGATGGCATGTCTTGCCTACCACGAGCTCATGTCTAGGGGAAAGGAAACAATGGACCATTGAGTCAAAGAGGAATCGATGATCCTGTGCGCTGCATTAGACGCGTGGCAAAGAACCGGCCGGCGTCGCAGAAAACGCAGGCGCAGGAGGCTATAGACGTTTCCGGCCAAGGACTTGGGCTATGACGGATTAAGAGGTAGTAGGGGCTCCAGTTCAAGTGCCGAGTACCGAAGATGGCCGGGTAAAATAGGCTGTTTGAGATGTAAACAAGAAGAGGGAAGCGTGAGACGGGTTGGCGAAACAGGGGCAAAGCTTATTCCACGCAGACCTCAGGGGGACGGGAGAGGGACAAGCAGGCTGCGGGACAGAGCGGGTTCGGCCGAGATGCGCAGGCGATGACTTGCAGAGGATGTTGAAGGTGCGAAGGAAACGGGAAGCTTGAAGGCGGCAGGAAAAGCTTGGTGGCCACTAGCGCTGACGCTTTGTTGATGCTCGTATTGGGTTTTCATTCTCTGGGACGGCGGATCCTGCCGTCTGACATGGCAGCAGCAATGCGAGATGAGATGCAGGTGGTGGCGCGAGATTAATTGCTTTTGTTCTCGAGATGCAGAAGGATGTGTTTTGCTCGTGTTTCCAGCCTCCGTTTCCAGCCCGTCTCCACCGCCCGGCCTCGCTCGCCAGTCCGCATCTGTGCACACATCCGGCATCGAACATGTCTCAAACAAGCGAGAAGAGCTCGTGGCAAAGAAAGAATGCTGGCGGCGGCGGCGGAGCTTGGAGAGTGCTCTGGAGGTGAGAGCTGAAGGCGCGTGTCGGACAACCGTGGCGCGCGTGCCGTGCTGCCGTGCTGCCGCCAGCGCATGCACACAATGCGCTGTTGGCGGGCGGCATTTGGCAGGCGGCCACTAGGCCTGTTCCTGTTGACGCGCGCGAGCCAATGGCGGCGGCTTCCTCAGGCCGCAGCGGGGGCCAGCCACCACACCGGCGCTGCCGTTTCCTGCGCGCCGACTTCCGGCTTGTGCTGCCAGCGCACCCATCATCAGGCGAGCATTTCGAAGGCGAAGCTTTGCCATGACAAACGGCCACCACTGGTGCCGGACAACGCTCGCCGGGTCTTGGCCGGCCAGCAGCCGGGCCTGGGGTGCGCCGGACGATTGGCCAGCGTGAGCGTTTGGAAACGCGCCAAGCTCTGGAGCTGCCTGTCCGGGCTCGCAAAGTCCATATTTAGGCGATCGGCGCATGGAAGCGCCCTGGTCGGCGTCTAACACGGGCTAAGCTTGAAGCGAAGCTTGACTCTCTCTAACCGCCAGTCCCAGTGGCTTGCTCCATGCATATATACCGCACAACCGTGGCTCTCATGCCTGCTGTCAGCTCATCTCCTTCTTGGCCACACCGGTCATCGCTTTCTTTCTTTTTTTCGGCCGCTGCACGTCATTCGCTCTTCGTGCTGCTGCGTAGCTCGTGTCGCTGGGCGCACTCCATACTTTCACTTTGCTTCCATATTTGATCAGCTGTCTTGCCAGTCTCCTCTGAGACAGACTCATCTCCAGCCCTCAGCTTTGCTGCACTCAAGGTACGTTGGCTTGCACAGCTTCTGCCTGTAGCCGCAGATCATTCTTGGCCCTACCAGAAGGCTGCAGCTGCCCCTGCCCTAGCTGCGTCCTGCAGCGGCGAGAACGGCAGCAACACCAGCCTCCTGCCTGTCAGTCGGTGGTTGGACTCACCTTCCCGTCCGCCTACTTAAAACACTCGCCCCCCAGATCACGTCTTTTCCAACCACCATCACCCTCTTTTGCCTCTTCGTTCTACGCTACTCTTTGCTTTTCCCATAACAATCTACCTTCTATGCTCACTTCATCCGTCCTGAATAGGCTTGTCTCTTAACCAATGAAGTCTTTTCTTTCTTTTGGCCTCTTGGCCGCCGGCGCCAACGCCAACATCATCTTCAACTGGGTCCAGCCCACCTGCGACTACAATTCCGACTTCTCCACCTGCTTGCGTGGCCAGCAATGCACCGTAAACAACACGTACGCCCCGCCGCTTTCCTGCATGCTTTCTCCACTGACGCCCGTGCCAGCTGCGAAGCCTACGTGACCAGCGACAGTGACTACACCAGGTCTTTCGTGCGCAGCGTAACTAAGCCCGCTGAGAAGCGTGCTGCAGCTCCTCGCTCTGATGGCCGTTGTGGTAAAGACTTCGACGATGCCACTTGTGATGCCAACGGTGAATACGGCGGTTGCTGCTCTCAGTATGGGTAAGTGACAGACCCCACGTGGCTTACTGTCTCACTCTCTGACCGTTGCACAGCTACTGCGGTAAGACCGACGACCATTGTCTGGCTTCAAATGGTTGCCAGAATGGCTGCAAGGGCGCCTCTTCTACCACTGCTGCCGGTACAAGCCCAGCTGAAACCACAAGCGAGGCTGCACAAACAATTACTACATCGACTCAGGAGCCAGTCCTCGGCTCTCCTACTGCATCGTCCGCTTCAGGCTCTGCCAGTGCTACCGGCGAAGTAACCACGGATGGCTCGTGCGGTGCCAGCAACGGTGGAACCATCTGCGGTGACTGGCCGAAAGGCGGCTGCTGCTCCATGTATGGTTTCTGCGGCAACACCACCTCTCACTGCGGCGAGGGCTGCCAGTCTGGTCCCTGCACCAACGGCGCCTCTGAGCAAGCTCCTGGCGCCAGCCCTGCTCCTGCAGCACCAACCCCTGGTACCTTCCAAGTCGTCGGCGATTCTGGTGTTCCTGTCATGCACGCTGGCCTCCTCCCTAACGGCAAGGTCTGCTTCCTGGACAAGGTCGAGAACTACACTCAGGTCAAGCTCGCCAACGGGCAGTATGCTTACTCCGCAGAATGGGATACGGCCAAGAACAACTACGTCGCGCTCTCTTACAAGACCAATGCTTTCTGCGCTGGTGGTGCATTCCTTGCCGACGGCTCTTTCGTCTCGCTTGGTGGCAACGGTCCTCTCGATTTCATTGATCCTACCGTCACCGACGGCTTCGACGGAATTCGTTACCTCAGGCGGTCCATCTCCGACGCGAGCCTCGATGGCCAGGACTGGGAAGAACCCGGAAACAAACTGGCCAGCAAGCGTTGGTACGCCTCTGCTCAGGTTTTGGGTGATGGATCTGTCTTCGTTGCGTCCGGCAGCCTCAACGGCCTCGACCCTAGCAACCAGACCAACAACAACCCCACTTGGGAGCTGCTTGATGCCAAGGGTGTCTCCGATGGAATCAACCGCCCCATGGAGATCCTGGAGAAGAACCAGCCTTACTACATGTACCCCTTCGTACACCTGCTGCATGACGGCAGCCTCTTCGTTTTCGTGTCCAAGTCGGCCGAGCTCTTCGATGTCGCGAACAACAACACCATCAAGACATACAAGGATCTTCCTGGCGATTACCGCACCTATCCCAACACTGGCGGCTCTGTTATGCTCCCGCTTAGCTCTGCAAACAACTACACCGGTGATATTGTAATCTGCGGCGGCGGCGCCTACCAGGACATCACCTCCCCTACGGACCCCTCTTGCGGCCGTATCAGCCCCCTGTCTGCTGACGCTACCTGGGAGATGGACTCGATGCCCCAGGGTCGCGGCATGGTTGAGGGCACGCTCCTTCCTGATGGCACTGTCATCTGGCTTAATGGTTGCAACCACGGCGCTCAGGGCTTTGGCCTCGGCACGGACCCGACTTTCGACGCACTTCTCTACGACCCCGATGCAGCGTTGGGTCAGCGCTGGAGTACAGCTGGCACGACAGAAATCCCGCGTCTGTACCACTCGGTTGCGTTACTCCTGCTTGATGGCACGCTGATGGTGACTGGCTCGAATCCGGTTGAGCAGCCTGTCATCTCCGCCAACAACAACACGGCTTTCCCGTACGATACCGAGTTCCGCGTGGAGATCTACACGCCGCCGTATCTGCAGGGAGACAACGCCAAGAACAGGCCCTCGGATGTCAAGCTCTCGACCACTGCAGTCAAGGCCGACGGCACCACCACCTTTGATATCAGCTTCACCGCCGCTACCGGAGCGAAGGAGGTCAAGGTTGCCTTGTACCACGGCGGCTTCGTCACCCATTCCGTCCACATGGGCCACCGCATGGTGTTTCTCGACAACGAGGGCTGGACGGCGGGCAGCACCGACCAGAAGCTGACTGTCACGGGTCCCCCAAGCACAAATGTGGCGCCTCCGGGGCCGTACGTCGTCTACGTCGTTGTGGATGGCATTCCAGCCGTGGGACAGACGGTCATGGTTTCTTGATCGTTTTTCTTCTTCTTCAACCCTCTTCTTTTGATTGTAGCATAATTTTTGGGAGGGATTACTTTGGATTAATTAGCTAAAAGCATCGTACGCTAGGATCCAAGCATTGCCGATTATTCACCTGGCCGAGGAGCTAGAGCTGGGTTGCTTGACGAAGAGAAAAGTAATAGTCTGAAGGGACAATTAAATAGCGGTACAGAATAGCTACTAGAAGACAGCAACAACTGAATGATAATGACTCTCCTACTATATTCAGCGTCATACTTGGCACTATCTCGTTAGTGAATGATTCCAACTGCTTTCACTAGTATCGTTGACCAATTATATCTTATCTTGACAAAGTGAGTCGGATCGGAGGTGTTGACGCAGCCAACGAAAAGTGGCCTGACGGAGGACAGACTTTTAACGAAGCCGTTTTTTTTATTTCTCCAACAGTGAGGATAGAGCATCGAAATTTCATCTGGATTCAAATCTACGACACGTCTTTGCAATAACCTTGGCGTTGTTGAAAGTCTTGTCCAGATGTTTTTATTACTGTTAGAGATAGTAAGCGAACTGATCATTTAGCACGCTTCAAAGACACGTGCGTACATACAACTTCCTCTATCAACACTCCTGCTCGCCGTAAATTTTTTTAACGAGAAGGCCGCCTTTTCGGACCATTGTACAATGCAACTACGATCACATAGTGCGTGGTTCACAGCAATTATTAAGATGTCAAGAGGCCAGCGGCCACGACATTAGGCGCACGGATAACCAGCGGCGACTACGATGTCACTGACAGGGAAAATCTCCAACAGGTGAGTGAGCGAGGGCAGAAGAGATATGCGGAGATAGCTCTCATTATGTGCGGACTTGAGCGCCCTATCTCTTCTCTCATGAAGTGCGATTCTGCTTGAAGAGGAGAAATGCGAGGCCGGATGTGGAGTGAGATGTTTAGGGGTGTGGTAGGGGGGAAGAGTTGGAAGATAATTTTCGGAAGGTGGTTGGCAGACGTGGATACCTGCGTCTTTGGGCGGAGTTAGGCGGATTTTCCGACGGAGAAAGCGTTGAGGTAAGGGTTGATGCGTTGGTATTATGTGGGGATGTGGCGAGGAACTCCTTTTTTTTTTCCTTCTACTTTCGAACAACAAGGCTATGTAGGAAAATCACTTTGCTAAAAGACTGAGCACTGCAATTGATGCTACCAATGAAGATTTGGATTGTTTTCCTTGAGATTCGGAGAGGATAGAATAGAAAATCGTCTCTGTAGCTCTCGTGGTTGATCAAATGTGAACAGCTGGGAAAGGGCCAGGTCCTCGTACGATGGTGATGCTAGTGCATCCGGACGAGGATGGCGTGAGAAGAATTCATACCGAATCTTCTCCGCTAGTACCGAATAGGGAGGCTTCTGGAAAGCTTTGTGGTGGCTTGATGAGCCAGGGTGCAAGCCGCATCATGAGCTGCCATATCCTGAGCCCGGCCCTGGAAGAGAACACGCACAGACTGTATTCTCTCAGTGTCAATTATTCTCGTGCAATACACAGCTGATATTCCGTGGGGCATTTGGCAGTTGGAAAGAAGAAAGTAAGTGCTGTAGCAAAGAGACACTTGGCTTCTCCCTTATTTTTTTTTTCTTGGCTCGTCAACGAAGTGGGGACCCACACTTGTCATCAAATACTTTTTGTCATCCTCAAAGCATGAATGCCTAGGGTACCACTAGAAAGAAGAGGCAAGCCTTGTCAGGAAGACGCATCGGCTCTCTCTTTCTGATGCCTGGGTGGTACACGAAGTTGTGCTCGAAGACGCGTGGATAGCAGATCTTGGAAGATAGTTGAGAAAACTGAAGGGACATGAAAGCAAGGCCGGCGGCAAAACGACAATGTCGACCGGCTCTCGTTCCACGCTGGCGGGATAGTAAAGACCGGTTCTTCTGCGGCGCTAGTGTGTGGCTAATTGCTTCGCCTACCTTTTCCAGTATGCAGTAGAAAAAAACTGCATGAGGCGAACAGTAGGACGCGTCTGCAATCATTGGATCGGCACACTATAATGTGCGGCATATTGTTCGGCTTCTATGCGTGCTTGACAAGAAGCAACGTGTTAGCGGTCTGCATTTTTCTCCCTGCTGTTCATCAACCCCGGGACACCATTTTTGTGGGAACGGTGCGGCGCGGCGCGGACCATATGCGCCGACGATGAGAGTTGCAGATGAGAAAGGGGTATGTGTGGTGATAGGACAACACATCGAGAGGGGCCTAGTCAGGGAGCGCCAAGCACGGAGTGGGCCAACGAGATCTTCTCATGAGAGATATCAACCCATCATCATAATGGGTGCCCAACCGGTGTGGGTAGGGTGGATGTGCGCTGAACGAAAAAGCCGCGCGCCCTGCGCTGGTTTCAGCAAATGCCGATGTGTTGCGGATGTGGAGATGTAAAGACAAAGTAGCGGAGAAAAGAAAGCGAGAGAAATGCGATGATCTCGGAGGGGCGTTGTGGTGGGTGGGGGAGAAGAAACGTGTGTGTGGAGGCGCGCAGGAGGAGGCTCCGCTTTGGAGCTGTGGCGGGGCAGTCGGTGATGATGAGACGCGCTCCGACGCTTGGAAAGGACGGCGACGAGAGCGGCGATGATGATGATGGGCTCTCGCTCGCTCACGCGACGCTCGAGCACTGACGTCATCGCTTATGCCATCCAGTTCCTGGCTGAGACATCACGACACTTCCTTATCGGGCAACTCCAGCGGCCAGAACGCCGAACCCCCTTCATTGATGAGGGAAGCTCATTGCGAAGGGGCGCCCGACGAGAGCGAAAGCATCACATAGAGACAGGTGACGCAATGAATTCGTCTAGACTTCGTATGATTCCTCTCGTTATTGATGAGCGGATAATCGCTTCCAAACACTCCGTCGCACCGAGACAGCCCGCTCCCTCGCCATCGTTTGGTTGACATGACGTCTTGCCCCTGAACACATGTCCCAGCGCAGCGCATTCGGAACTTTTTTCTCTTTTTCAGTTTTCACGTCTCCTTGTTTCGCCGAGTCGGTAGCGTAAGGGAAAAAGATACCTCCACCACCAAAGCGCCGAGAAGGTCCTTGCGGAGGCCGTGTAAATCACCGAAAAGGGAGCGAGCGGAGACCAGCGCGCGGGTTTCCCCGTTCTGTGGGAGGATCTGTGTGATAACGAGAATCTCCGCTTGATGTGCCCCGTGCCCCACAAACAAACGCCTACCACACATCTTGTAACGATAGTCCAGAAAATAAGCGACTGCAACTCAATTGCTGATGAGGCATTTCGTCACTGGGGTCCGGTGTCTCGGTAATTGGGACAATCCGCAACACGTCGCTTGGCTGATCGTCCAAATGTTCAGATTTTGCTGGTCTCGGCCGAATTGGGGCGTCGGAGAAATGTTGAACGTGCGCGCACCGTGGAACAGCTGCCCTCCCTTCATCCCTCGCAACATCTCGTCACTGCTCTCCCTTGATCACAGGCAAATAGGCAAATGATGTTGTATGTGTAGCGTCGAAGGACAGTGGGTATTCGCATTAAGACTAAAAATAACTCTCTTCCCCTTCTCCTTGGGTATTCTAGATTGTCTAGACGTATCTTTCAGAGAAAATAAACCGTTTTCCCTCCCTTCACACCCGGATTCACTCTTCCATCCGATTCCAATGTTTGGAACTTTCCTCATCGTTAGAGATAGTGGTAGTAGATATTGTTACAAGCGGAAAAATCATCAACCTCGCACCTATTACACCGCTGCTGTATGCAAGTAAAAAATTTCAATCTCAAGAAAAAACGTCAACTTCATGCCTGAGCCTCACCATTCTCGTGGTGAATGCTCTGGCCACGGACACCGCCGAGACCGGACTCCTGGTCCTTGACGATGGTCCTGCCGCCGGGGCCGAGGTGGAGAGAGTCGGTGTTGGGAGCACCATCGGCGTTGAGGCTGCTGCCGTCCCAGCTGGCCGAAGTGATGGGGTTGACGTGCAGCACGTACATGGTGTCGATCTCCTCGAGCGAGCGGCCCTTGGTCTCGATCATGAAGAAGTAGACGATCCAGAAGAGGGCGAAGCAAGAGCAACCAAAGACGAGACCGTAGAAGTAGTTAATGTCGTTGGTGATGAAGGTCGAGAAGAACGAGATCAGGAAGTTGAACAGCCAGTTGGAGGCGGTAGCAAGGGCGATGGCCGTGGCACGGTAGCGGGCGGGGTACAGCTCACCAACGACGGCCCAGACCAGAGGACCCCAGGTGATGGCGAAGGCGACGATGAACAAGCAGGTGAAGACAATCATGATCTGGCCGGCTTGCGAGTCGTTGGTGCCGTCGGCGTTGGGCAGCATGTAGTGACCAATGAAGGCGTAGATGAAGAGACACATGAACATCCAGGCAGCGCCGACCATCAGACACTTACGGCGACCGCAGTGCTCGACAACCCACAGCGCGATGAAGGTAGCGCCAACGTTGACCGAGCCCAGAATGATCGACGTGACGTAAGAGTTGGACAGACCAGTGGCCTCGAAGATGGTGGTACCGTAGTAGAAGAAGTAGTTGGCGCCCGTGAGTTGCTGGCCAGCCTGGAGGACCATGCCGAGAATGGTGCGGTAGAGCATGCGGGGGCCAGTGAAGACCTCGTACCAGTGGTGGTCGCCGCCAGCCTTCTCAGCCTGCTGCTTCTCCTCGATGTCCTGGATGTCCTTGTTGATCTCATCGTCGTCGGGGGCGCAGTTGTTCAGGCGAGCCATGATGTTGCGGGCCTCATCCACGCGACCCATGCGGTAGAGCCAGCGAGGGGACTCGGGCATGAACAGGATCGAGGAGCCCAGAAGGATGGCCCAGAGGGCGGAGAGACCGTTGGGAATGCGCCATTGAGCACTGTTGCTGTATGCGTCCTCGGTACCGTAGGTAACCTGTTCACAATGGGTTAGCGAATGCGGGAACGGTAAGGCGGAGCGGGCCGGGGCTTACCATGTAGGCGGTCCAGATACCAAGGGTGATGAACAGCTGGTAGGAGGCGACGACGGCAGCACGGATGCTCTTGGGGACGGACTCGGACTGGTACATGGGAACGCAGGTGGAGAGCGAACCAATACCGAGACCGGCGACCAATCTGCCGACGGCGAACTGGGCCCAGACGTCCTTGGAGGTGATTTCGATGATGACACCGACGATGTAGAAGAAAGCCCAGAACGAGATGGAGAACTTGCGGCCCATCTTGTCGGCAAGAGGGGCAGAGCACAGGCAGCCAAGCAGGGTACCAATGCAGAGGAGACCGACAATGGTACCGGAGCGAGCAGGGCTGAACTTTCCGTGGTCGGCGAAGCGGTCCTTGAAATCGGTCATGGCCATGATACCAGAGATTTGACCAGATTCGTAGCCGAACATGAAACCACCCATCGAGGCAATGGCACCCACGATCCAAGCGATGGCAGGGGCCTTTCTTGCGGCGATGGCAGGCCTCGTCTGAAAGTTGCCGGCGGTGGGCAGCTCAGTCTTGGAGCCATTGCGAGGGGAATCGGTGGGAGTGGTCTCGGCAGGCGAGCCCTTCTCGTGGACAGCATCCGCTGCCGGATCTGACTTCTTGTTGAAGAGGCCCATTTTGGGTAGAGGTGGCCCGTGTGTGAGTGTGGTTGGCAGGCACGGGAGTGCAATGTATGTATTGATTGTGTGAAGTGTGTAGAACAAGTGAAGATAAAAGGCAGCTCTACGGTTGGGGTCGAGGATTTATATGCCCGGGGCTGGAGAAAGCCGGGCAGTGGGTTAATCGGGGTTAACCATGGGGCAAAGGGATAGACAGCGGAGGATGATTCCGGCCGGGGCCCACGCCGTCACGGGGCGTGCAGACATCTCCAGATGGGAGGTCGGGTCTGCCTGGTGGGGGATGCTACTCAGTGCGGCCGGGTCGAGGCGCGGAGGTTGTACGGCCTGTCAGTCGCGGGTCTGGCGACAGGGCAGGTCGGTGGTGCGTGAGCCGGCCAAATTGGCACAGGGGCCCCACCCGCTCCCGAGAATCCGCCTGCGCACGCCGAACGTCTGCCCACCTCGCACCCAACACCACCGTGACCGCCCTCACCACTGCCGACCCCGGCTCCGCATCCAGAAAAACCTCCACGGAGCTCGGATGCTGCGCTGCGATGCTGCACGCGCTCGCGACACGCCTGTCCGCGTGCGCCCCCATCGTGAGCACACGCGAGATGGTGTTGCGGCCACGCACGCCCATTGAGCTGCCTCGCTAGTGTCGACGCATGCAGGTCCGCCTTTCCGTGCTGGGACGAAGATGCGGCAGGGAAGAGCGCTCGTCCAAGGTCGATGGTCGCTGGGGCGGCGAGCGTGCGTGGCCAATTGCAACCGGCGCTGGCGCGGAAAAGCGGTATTTCCGTAGGGCTGAGACGGAAGCTACGCAGAGCGATCCACCATCGATCCACTGCTCCCTGGCCGCGCCGCGACTTGTTGGCGCGCCGGCGTCTCTGCTGCTCGCAGAAATTTTTCTCGAAGCCAGATCTGCGCCAGGCAGCCTCGCCATCAGCGTGAAACGGCGAGCCGCGACAGCGAAATTTCGTGTCTGACGTCAACGCGGCCGGCAATAATGAAGAACCTGCGGCTGGCGGACGGCCCGGCAAGCGGCCAGTTAGAGCCGCCCCGAAGATCTACCTCGCACGAGGAGCGACGGTCTGGCGGCTCCGTCGCGAGCGCTCTGCGCACACCGACACGCTGGAGCTAGGCTGCATCGTGGCCATCGCAATCTGCAAGTTGCACTCGCTAGCCGGTCAGTACCAATGCAGCGCCGTGCCTCGCCGCCTTGCCGCATCGACGCCACCGCGGCTGCCGCCAAGTTCGCCAGCGCCAGTCGGTGGTGATCCTCGCGCGGGTGGCTGCTGACGGCTGGGCTTGGCGCGCGCGGTGGCGCCGGTGCCCCCTGACGAAAAAAGTCTTCGGTAGCCTGAATCGCCTGCCGAGCCGCGTCGAACGACATTGCGAAAATAGGAATAGGTGGCTGCCACGAACGATTCCGGAACGTCGAGCGGCAAGGAACACGGCAGCCAACCTTTGCGCCTCTCGTTTGTTAGCCTCGTTTGCGGTTTTGTTGATTGTTGATGTTCGTGGTGCGTGCCTGCGCTCGGCGCCGCTGCCGATGCCCGCTGCCGTTTCTTCGCCGCGCTCGTACGAAACGCCGTGCGGCTCTGCCCGCCTGTCACCAGATCACGGCACCGCAGACCCTGAGAGCGCCAGATTCACGCCACCCGTCGGATTCTTCAGCAGCGCCTGGGCTGCCGTCAGAGGCGTTCGGTCGCTCGAAACGGGCGTTCCGACCGCACCGCCGGCGGGTGCCGAGCCAGACTGCGCTTGCTGCTGATGAAGCCTCCGACCTCACGGTGGTGCGCCTTGCCCAGTTGCAAGGCCCGGAGGAGATTCCCGTTCTAAAGCCGTGCGCATGCATGATGCGAGCCAGGACCATGCATCCGGGCCGAAGTGCTCACGTAAAGGTGGGTTTCGCGACATCAATATGCAACTTCGGAGCTGAAGGACCGCCGACAGCGCCAGTCCGAGTCCACGTTGCGCCTGCTACCGGGTCCACTCCCAACGCTCCTCTTCGGTCAGCTCCACTTGGTGCCCTCCACCACGGAGCCCGATGGTGGGAGAGTGGGCAGATTGCCCCCAGCGGAGAGGAAGAAAGGGGGGGAGATGAGGAGCCTCCGGACGGAGATGCTGCACTCCATGTCTCTCCAGGCTCCCACACTCTCCGCAACGCTTGCTCCAGGTCTCTCCAGCTTCCCCCAGTAGCGTTATCAGCGTGCCCCAGACTCAACCACGAGGTCGGTATCGCGTTGTGACGGTCGCGTGTCCCCGCGTGAGATTCTGTCCCGCCTGTGAAATCGCTGTTCCCGCGCGGTCTGCGCCGCCCAGCCTGTTCCCTCGCTCAATTCGCTCGTCGAAACGCCCGCTCTGCCGTCGCGCCGATGCTCGGACGCAAGTGGTGAGCGCCCGAAGTTGAGGCGTCGGAGATGAAGCGCGATGCGGAGAAGGTCGAGTGCCCGGTGGAATTTGCCATTACGCGCGTGAGCTAGAAAATGAGGCTATGAGTAATGCCGTGCCCATGGGGTGTGCGCTATTTCTCCGTCGCGTGCGAGCTGTGCGGGTGAGGTGAGGCGAGCGAGAGGTGGCCTTCGCGCCAGCATGGAGAGCGTTGATCGCAAACTAGATCGGCTCCAGACTCCACGCCCACGCTGAGGGGCCCCTCGAAAGACAACGCGCTTAGATCTAGATGGATGTCTTGCATTTGGCCTGTGTGCATCTCAGCATCGCAGCGAGCCATCATGGAAGGAGCCAGGCGCCGGAGATTGCGGATATAAGAGACGGAAGGGTGGAGTGAAGGTAGAATCGGCGCGACCGCCAATGCAAAGATACAGCGCGAGTAAACAGAAGGAGCAAGACATGAGCTGGAAGAGAGACATGCAGACTCATAGCGTTGGCGGTGTTGTGCTTATCTTACCGTCGTTGGCGTTGCACGGCGGCCATCCCGATCTGGAGACCACCACATGCGCTGCCGGCCTGGCATTGTTTGCTTGTGCGTATATCATCTCAGCGCAATCGCGTCGAAAAAAGTGGTTGTGTCGGACGACAATAATCGACCGGAGAATCCTCAGCGTGCTCCTTCAGTCGGCGAAAATGGGCATCGGTCCTTCTCGGCATCGTGGCGGGCGGCGGGAGCGAAAGCGTCGCAGCGGCAGACATTACAGGCTGGGGTGCGTCTGCCACTGCGCGCTGTACGAGTGCGGGCACCTGGGACATCGTTTCGAGCGTTGTGCGGAGCACCCCGACTGCTCGCACATGTACGACGATCCATGGCACTTTCCTCCCGCACCGGGGAATTTAACGACCGGGGTGTGCGAAGATTGCCGAGAGCAGGGAAAGCGGTGTGTCGGGCGCGACGTTCGGACATCGACGGCCTGAGGCAGGGAACGGCGGCATGCGGCAGTCTTATGGGCGTGCTGCGGTGAGGAATTGGTGGTGTGACGGGGCGGGCGAAAAATTGGCTGGCATGCGGTGCCCCGTGGAGAGAGGTTAGTTTTGTATGGAGTTCGTGTGGAGAATCGGGGCTGGGGTCTGGGGCGGATCTCCCTTTTAACCCGCTTGGCGACCGAGCCCCTTCGCAACACTCTACACCGATGGCTGACTCGCCCACAAAAAATAAAAGCGCCACACCGGGAATGACTTCAGCCTGAAAAAAGGGTCTCCTGGAGAAAGCCGCGCCCCGGACCCCAGATCCATCCAATCTAGCTACCAATCCAGTTGAACGTCCGTCCGTGTGACCTCCAGCATTCTCCACATCCACCACGGCAACCCGCACGCCGACCGCTCACGGCCTCCCGCGCCCGGTTCCTGCACACCATCCCATCGCTCTCCCAGCCCGATCTGCCCGACGCCAGGACGCTGGCTCGCGCGCGGCTGCTTCCGTCCCAACGGTGCCTGCACAAGTCATTGTCCTCGATCGTGCGCCCATCTCCCGCCCAAACTGTACCCACATGCTGCTTGATCCAACCTCATCGTGGAAAATCGATTCCGCCGAGCTCCACACGCACACCGGCTGCAAAATCCTTCAGTGTTCTCCTCGCTCTCACTTCTCGTCCTGCAGCGCACTTGCACACCCATCGCGACTTGCCGTTCCTCCGTCCGTACTACCTCGGGCCACGCTGCGCCGAAGGCTTTCTCGCCCCCGAGTCTGACTGGGCGCGCCGACGCACACGCGCCCTCGACGCCCCTTTACGGTCAAATGCCCTGACGCCTCCTTCCTCTGCGCCGCATCCTTCCGCGTCTCTGTGAGGAAATACTCCCGTTGTCCCGACTTCTAAGCCCCGAAACTTTGTTTTGACTTCACTCTCTCGCCCCTTTGCAAGCGGTGTGGAGGGGCAAAACCCGGAGATAAAGGAGCCGCGTCGTGTCCGGGGAAGTGCAAACCACCGAGATTCTTCTCTCTAGACATACGCGCGCTCTTCGCTTTGAGAAAACAAGTAGGAATCGTGCATCTGTACATCACATCCCGATAGGAAGCAATGATTCGCCAAATACATTACTGCATCTCTTCCAATCGCTGACCTCCGCCGCCCACAGCCTCGATTTCGTCCAATAACGTCGCAAAACCCCTGCTGTGACTTCCCTTCTCGGCCGCCTGACACCTTTTCGAAGAAGAAAAAGCATGATTGATCAGGCGGACTCCCCATTGCCTTAAGTCAGCCGAGAGGAAGATGAGAGCATCGGCTCCCCATACTTCGTTTCTCCGGCAGAGCACAACGCATCTCCCCGGCGCCACGGATCCAACGGGACCTGCCTTGGTCATGAAATTTCTGCAGAATCTGACCCAACGGGAGAAGCCGCGTAGGAAAAGCTGTCCCACCCACCGTCGTCACCACCAAGGTCGTGCGGATGCGCGGAAACAGACCGGCATAACGTTATCGCTGTTGCCTGCTCCTGTTGGGGTGGACCCGGCATATTTTGCCAAGTGCTGAGGCTCTCGAGGAGATCATCCCACTAGTGCCAGATGAGGGACACGGGTATACGGAAGCTGTGTTCGTAGCGGAGAACCGTTCCAGCCGTGCCTGGGGCTAACGCAATGCTCCAAACCTAATATGCTTGGCTCCTTTCTTTTAACCTCAACTCCTAATTCTTTCGCAATATCCGAGAGCTCACTTCTAGCCATCTCGCATGTAATGAAGCGTTCCAAATAGCTGAACGACTAAGCGATGAACCATAGCCCCATCGACAGCAATGAGCAACAACATCATCCCCTCCCCGCCGTCAGCCACAGCCTCGCAGGCTCATCCCGGCCCCGGACCCGAGTTCTCGCGTATGGCAGCACAGCACAAAGCTGTTGTGTAAGGAGACAAGCAAGAGAGAAAAACGTTGTACCTCATCACCCACAGTACGCGTATGTACATACGTACACTACACGCATGCAACACACGACACGCATAGTGCATGCATGTGCCAAGCTTCCTTCTTACCTTCTTCCCGCTGCCGCCAAGTGCGTAAGCATCTCATGACTCGTAAGTCCCTTCCTTCTTCGTCATGGCTTACCCTGCACGTCACCAGCCCTGTGGCGGCCTGGAGCCGAGCGGCTTGACGGTTGATAGGTTGGTGGAACATGACCCTACGGGCTTCGGCTCCGCGCAGTACGTACATACACATCATGTCCATTGTGCGGCAGGTATAGGAGAATGAGACGAGCATAGTGCCGGCGGGTCGATATTAATTCGATGCGACACGAAGCGATGCAGGAGATCGATCGGATGAGATTATGACGGAAACAAAGTGAGGGAGAGCAAATGTCTGAGATCGGTAGACATTTGATTTTCGCCACACGTTCAAGTTTCTATCGATTCTTTCTCGCCAAGCAATGTTCGGAGGTAGTTGTGTCAATTCTACACGGCACGGCGACTCAAAAAAGAAAATAATGAACGGGTGGCGGCGCCGCCGAGCCACTCCACGCACTTGAAGAAAATGAAGACGGAATAGAAGTGGAAGGAATCGAAGGAGCCGCGCGTAAGCAGCGCCACGCCTACGCTTGTGGGAATACGAGGTCAAGTTTGGTTCGCTTCGTGTGGCTTGAAGGGTAAACGGAGCTCGTGGGGACTTGTCGAAGAAGCGTACATCCCTTGCGCAACTCAAGATGCATGACTTATACTCGTCGTACGAAGAAAAAACAACGAAAATGGCCTTAAACATTTGCCCTACTAGATGCAGTACGGATCAAACCATTTTCGTCATCCTACTTGATGCAAAGAAAATAAAAAAGGAAAAAGAACGATCACGCGATCGAGTGCCTCTCACCACGGTGCGGAAGGAAGCAAGGAAGGATTGAAGGAATGAAGTGCTGTCGTCCACTACGATCAGCGGTGATTTGCGGGAGCTACTGCAGTAAAGTGGTTAGTGGTGTCGATCGAAGGAGAACAGGCGAGAGTGTGGGGTAGCTAGTTGCGAGCTTAACCCACACGACCCCCATTCCTCGTCCCCGCGGATCAACACACGTGGTAGGAAAAAGTTATTTTTAAGCACAACTAACCTCTAGCTCTTCGATCCGCCTGTAGAAGTCTATGTGATATCCCGCTCTCGCGTTTGCGGCACCAAGCGCCTCTTGCACCGCCTTGCTTGGGGAAAGGGGGATTGATCTGCTCGTTGAAGGAGCGAGTCGGATCACGGCCATAGAGGATTCATGAGATGTAGACCTTGCTTCGAGGAAGCAAAGAGCAATTGTATTTTCCAGGCAAACTCGTCAAGCATAGTACCTCGAGAACTGAAACAATCTGTCGACGTCCCCTGATAAATGAGTGTGATGGAAGATGCCAACGCTGAAGAAAGAAAAGGTCGTAGCTGGCCATAAGAATAGTCAAGCTGTGGGGAAAAGAAGAAGAAGACGACTCCAGCGCTGGCCAAGGGAGCGAAGATTTGCACAGTGTTCCCCCTAGCTCGCACAGACTACCCCCATTACCCCGAGCCATCTATGCAACACTCCTGCGATTACCTCCTTGCTGCTTTTGCTTCGCTCATCGCTCCTTCCAGTGGCGGGCTACCGGACTCAGCTGCTGGTAGCGGCCGATTTCACACTGGATGACATCCTTAGTAGCCGCCGTAGCCCTTCGTCTTGGTGTAGCACTCGGACTTGGTGTTGACGGTAGAGGTGGTGAAGGGCTTGTACTCCGTGGTCACGCACACGCTTGCAGAGTACGTGGTGGTCGTGCCGACAACGGGCTGGGTGGTGGGGCAAGGCTTGTTGGAGGTGCCGGTTGCGATGATGGTGCTGGTAAACGGAACAGTCTTAACCTTGTTGGAGGTGTAGACAGTCGTGTAGACCTGTCGAGTTTTCAGGTTAGGGGTGGCCACTCGAAGGGAGACTTTGGAGAAATTTGGGGTTGGCCTACCGAAGTGATGACCGTACTCTTCGTCTCAGTGCAAGGAACGGCCTCGGTGATAGGCTTCTCCCCGACAGACACGGTAGTGTAGGTGTAAGGAACCGGCTTGGTCACAGTGATGACCGTGGAGCCAGTCGTCTGTATTGTTCTTAGTCAATGTCTGGGAGGGATCTGGGCAGCTAATCAAGTATACGTACAGTGATGGGGACAGGAACGTTCTTCGTCGTACTGTGGACGTAGGCAGACGAAGTCGTGATGAAGGCAGTCTCGTACTTGGTGGTGCAGGTGCTCTCCGCCGGAGGAGGAGGATAGTCGGTGTTCTTGCCACCACCGCCGGGCAGAGCAGCGACCATGGTGCTGGCAGGTGGTCAGTGGTAAGCCGTTTTGGATGATAAATGGATGGTCTTACCTGGAGGCGAAGAGAGCAAGGAGAGCGACCTTCATGGTGGAGAACATTGTGAAGTGATGGGAGTGAAGAGCGAAGTGTAGCGATGGCTTAGGGTTGCAATGAGTGCTGTTGAGCGAAGGAGGAGCTTGTTGATGCTGCTGGAGAAGTGCTCTCTACGTGGACAAACGTCTGCTTTATAGACATCACGGACTGATGGCAAACAAGGAATGTCAGTCTAGCTGTGAGCTCCCGTGCCGCAGACGAGACATGGCTTGGCTCGTGGTCATGGTCGTCAGAACTGTAATCGGGTCTCCGCACATTCTCGTGGAGGACGTGGGCGCCGCTCATGCATGCAGCGCAGAAACAGCATGTATTGTCGACAAGGCATAAGGCAGACTCTGAATCCCTGTCCTCCAAGAGTAGGCCCCCGGCAGGAGAAGTTTTCGTAAGAGAAACCGGCCCTGTCAGCTCGAATTACTCAAAAGGGGAGCCAAGAACAGGGAAGCAATAGCACGAAGCTTTCTGGCAAGATTCTCGGAATAGCAGCGCAGTAGGCTGAAAGGGTCGGCACGGGCTGAACATGCACGTCATAGCATCTCGGCTGTTGCTCAAAGTAATAAATCGATGCAGGCAAAACAGGCATGTGTAGAGAAGCAGATGCGGGGCATGCACTGGTGCTGACTTGCCTTCCGCTATGGGCGGAGGATTGGGTGGTTCCATGGTAGTCATGGTAAGGCTGTGGAGGCAGGTGCCCGAGGTGACGGCGACACGGCGTCAGGAACCCGTGCTCGTGGGACAGCAGCCAGCGCGCGGTGGTTCGTCGGGCGCTTTTCTGGCTCGTGTCTGTGACGAATCGGGGCGGGACAATACGACGGGCGGGCCAGTGGGGTCGGGCTGGCGAAGTGTGGCCCCGTGGCCGGAGCCGTTCGTTCGTACCTGCAAGCCGTGATGGAGCGGGTGCGGAGAGAGGCGGGAGTGCAGGGTTCACAGCTCCGCGGGGGCTGCGACGTGATTGGCTGGCGCCGCCTGACTAAGGCGCCTGATCGACGCGGGCAAGCTCTGGCCCTCTGGCAACTTTCTGCGACCGCATCTCTCTTCTCGTCCGATTCTGGCCCCCGCTGACCGCACCCAGCCACTAGTCCGGGGCCTGCTCACTCAATTGCCCTGCTAGAAGCCCTCTTCCCCAGATCGAGCCCGCTTCAGCTCCCGCCAGCTGCAGGCACAGCCCGACCGCCCGCCCGAAGAGGCACCACCAGCACCTCGTCAGCCCCAGCTCCCAGCTCGACGCTGCAGCTCACGCCCGTGCCCGAGCACATTTTCGGCCACGTCGGTCCTGCTGTCACACGCGCTGCCTATTTCCCGACCTCAGGCCATCCCCCTCAGACATGGCCGCTCACGCAGAAGAGCCGCAGCAGCAGCCGCAGCCCCCCGAGTCGTCCCAGTCTGCCTTCCACGACGCCTTTACCACCCGCCGATCACTCCGGCAGCTTGGGCTGTTCGTTGCAGGCGCCACATTCTTCACCGGCGCCCAGCTGCTCACCCGACGCGCTCTCGCCCGCCGCTACAAGCTACCGAAACCCCCGTTCTACCATCCCAGCAACGTCCCTTACCAGACCGGGAGTGGAGCCATGGACGCACTGGAAGCATTCAACCTGGCCACCGTCAATGTTGTTAGCGCAGCCATCATGCTGACCGGGGGCGCCATGTGGGCCACCGACATCAGCACGCTGGAGGACTTGAGAGGCAAGGTCAAGCACAGGGTCGGATCTGGCGATGCCAAGAAGTCGGACGAGGAAATCGAGGAGTGGATTGCTGAGGTGCTAGCCCGCAAAGACATGAAGGAGGCCGTAAAGGCCGCCACCGGCATACAGCTGGAGCAGATCATTGCTGACGCCAAAACAAAAGAGGACGGACGGAGTAGCGAAGGCCCCGCAAGGTAACCGAGCTCTTGTCCAGAGTACATGCTGTGTGGCCCACGAGACCAACGGGAACATGCATCGTTGCTACCTCTGGACCCTGTCTGTCTCAGTGATATCCGATGAGGCTGGCAGGCAGCTGCTCGTGCCGACATCTTCGTTGCACCATCATGACCTCACTCGAGCTTCCACTCAAGAATCGATGTCTGTAATGGGCCGTGGATCAGCGGTGATGATCGTTCTTGATCGATACTTCTCCACTCAATGTAGTATTACCACGAGCGCAGGCGGCGGCCCCGCGGCTGACGCCACGTGAAGCCGTTTCTGAAAATCAACTGGCGGACGCTTGCATAAGTCAAAAAAACCAACATATCCCAGCCTCGCTCAGCTCTCGGGATGCCGGAGTAGTCTCATACTTGATAACCTGCTCAAATGGACGAAACTCGGCCAGACGTAGGTCTTGGGAGAAGAGGCGTCGGATTCGACGGTCGAGGCGTTTCGTTCCACAGCGATGCTGTAGCCTCACTGAAACGGTGCACACAGGGCAAGAATAGAAAACGCACCACCAAAGTTGTGCCGCGTAGAGCAACATGATTTGTGTCTTCCGACGAGCCGCCGCACTAACTAATGTACGGCTCCTTCTTCAACTTCGATGATCCCTGGCCAAGACCGACCTAAAACTTAAGCCAACAACATGCCGTGCCAACGAACTCTGCCGCTAAGCCTGCCTATTTCAGCCTTCTGCGCAGCTATGACTGCGGCATACAGCGGCGGCGCTCTACGAGTCACGCTCTGCATTACCCAACCACGTCACTGTTCTATCATTTTCGGTCCCTCATTCACCTCCGTCGTCCCCTAAAAATACTCATCATTCCCGCCCATAGATCTCCCCACATCTCGCTCCTCTTCTCCACTCTTTCCTAAATCCCGCCCCCACTCGCCCGTCTCCTAAAGCTTCAACAGTCACTACTTTTACTACCTTCCTCCTTGGGAAGCGCTTGCCCCACACTTCCTACCTTGCCGTCCCCATCTCCAGATCCTTCACCCCGGCCACCGGCCTCAACCCTCACCCCACTCTGACCATCCCTGTTGGCCCTCCAGACGGCGCCTTCATCGCCCACGAACTCCTCGAGCTTCCAGATCTCGGCGCGCTCCTTGGTCAGCTCGAGCGCCTCCTCGCCGCCGCGCCAGGCGGCCTGCCGGTGCGGGCTCGACACGGCGATCAGCACGCTCTCCTCGCCGACGGGCACGGGCCCTAGTCGGTGCACGATGGCGATGGCCGTGAGGGCGTGCTTCTGGCGGACGTCGCGGGCGAGCGCGAGGAGCGTGGAGAGGGCGAGGGGTGCGTAGGACTGGTAGGAGAGGCGGGCGACGGGTTTGGAGTCGAAGGTTGAGCGGGTCGTGCCTGTTTTTGATTTTGTCTCCTGTAAGTGATGGTGCGTTGGAGTTGGTGGGTAATTCGATGCTTAGTGTGTGTTTTGGTCTTGTAGCGAGCTATGTCACGGTACTGGGAGTTTGCAGGTCTCAGGGTGGACGAGGGACGGGGAATTAGAAAGCGATGTGGAACTGATTTGGTATGGGATAGAGACAGGAGCGCTGTGAATGCTTGGAGCTGGTATGGGACCGGGAGAAGTGGAGATTGGACTGCGGGCCTGGACAGCCTCCAACATGTGATGAACGCTTGGTGGTTGGCAAGATGCCATACATGCATGCCTCAGCTGTACTATCCTCACGGCGCTGGGCCCGAGTGGGGCGTAGACAGACTATTGCATGGTAAGAGCCATGCGTGCCTTCAGCTGTACTGCCTTTACGCCCAGATTGGTGCTTGCCCCGAGTGTGGTTCCAGGGCTCAAGTTCGGACAGCAGGACGGGACTTGGAGCGTATTGGCTGATAGCGAATGCTGACGTCTTGCTGACACGAAGCTGGACAGCACTGGACAGCATAAACAGCACAGAGTCCAATCCATCCAGCGTTCGAGACAGGAGGACCTCTGTCTGGCGTCGGACCATTGCTCAGAATTGCCTTTTTCGGCCACAGGTCATCCAACGACGGGATGAGCCACGGCCTGTCCCACGGCGGATTCCAAAGTTTGGTTGGCGGACTCGGGAGCGCGCAAAGTATGTGGCCCTCCCTTTTGCAAGTTGTGATAGCATGCCAGCCAACGGACCAATATTACGGGTAGAAAGAGGTATTTGCGCAACGACTGGGATGGCAAGGACCAGGTGAGGTGGTGGAAATTGAAGCATTGAGTGAAAAACGGGAAGCGAGGAATGGGATATTGAGGGTGGGGAAATTTTTCTGGGTGGTGGCAACAGTGGGAATTAACAGCGGCTTACCGGCAAACAGGACGACGGCGCCGGCGTCGGGGCTCTTGACGCGAGCCATGACGGACGAGACATCCAGGTGGTCCTCGGTGAGTTGCACATACACGCCCTCGTCTTGCCGGTGCATTGCGTCGGCGCCCATTTCGGCCATAGTGTTTTGCAGCCTTGCGACCCGGGTCAAAGCGCGACGGGAGGAGGGTTGAGACAGGGACGCGGCGGTGGGAAGGGTCCAAGACAGAGCGACCGATTTGGCGGATGAAGATATGCGATGGTGTTGGAGCAAATGCCGTTCAACTAGGCGGCGGGGATCGAGCTCTAGGCCGCCGGTCGTGGGGCTCGGCCGGCCGCTTGGTCGGCAGGGCCGACGCCTCCGTCAGACGCTCACGCTCGCTCACCACCATCTCAGACACGGCTATCGGCGACTGCATCACGTCGACATGTCGCCGACACGTCGAGAGCCATGGCCTCGGCGGCGCCGCTCGAACATGGCGCCCCCAGGAATGCTCCGCACCGCCCCTCTGCGGCGCCAGTCCAGGGTCCGCGGCGTAGCAGCCCATTCCACCCCCAGGAAATGATTCCGCTCGTCAACCTGCCGCCGCCGACCCGCTCATTTCGCCGTTGTTGACAGCCAACGGCCGGACCCCAGCAGCGGCATCTTCCTTTGCTTTTTCGGCTCCTGGAAAACACCACCCGGCTCTGGTGCCGCGATGCCGACTGCAAAAAGCACGCCCGCCCGATCTCCCCCGAGTTCCAGATGCCATCTCCATCGCGCTGTGGGGCGATACGCGGCTGTGGGCCCCCGCAAATGCGAGGGCAAACACCATCATCACATGGCGGCCAGAATGTGACTGAGATGTGAGAAATCGCATCACCAGCTGAGACCCGGTCGAGTCTCAGACCTATCAGGAAGAATGGGAGAGGCGGCGCGCGCTGCAAGGCGACTGGTCGGCCGCGACGTCACAGTCTTCGACGCTGCTATGCGTTGCTGCTTCATCAGACAAGAGCGAGCGTGTATGACACGTCCGTCGCACATGTGGTCCATTCTCGTCGCCGCGGCCCAGGTCGCTCGTCTTCAGATCCCGCAGCATTGATGCTCGACGGATGACGGACCATCACCCGCATGCTACCCGCCCAGTCCAGATCCCGGCCATCGCCGGCGCTTATGCTGACTGCCGCGCCGCCCGCCTACGCGCCCGTCCGCCGTTGCAAGAAATAAAAAATGGAAAAGAAAAAGAAAGGATTGCAAACGGCGCTCTATTTTTGCTGCTTCCCATTCGCCAGCCCCGGCTCCGCTCCTCCCTCCGCGAGGCCCAGCGTGCGGCCACAGCCGCGGGCCATGATGTCTCGGGCTCGTCTTGTCTCATTCCTCATTGCTGTGCGACCACGTTTTTCTCAATCGCCCGCAAAGCGCAGCTCGCTTCCCCCCATGCGGATCCTTGTGCCCCATCTCATCTGGATCTTACGCTCGCTTGCCGGATGCACCATGCCTGCGTCCGCCCGGCACCACCGTTGACGATCCATTCAAATTTTTGCTTGGAGCTGCACGCAATCTCTGCTTGACCAGATCTCCCGAAAATACCGCTGTGACGCATCACTTCCTGCGCCGCGCTTCTTGCCCACGCAAGGCACGCACCAGCCAATGCCAGTACCCCTTACTTCGATCGCCGCACGCCTCAAAGACAACATTGAGTGCACAGCGTCAGCTTTACGCGCGCCGCCCCATGCCCATTGGCCCCTGCTGACGGCCATGCTGCTGAGCCAAAACAAGGGCCAAACAACGTGTCCAGAATCGCTCACTCGAGTCCGCGCCAGAATCCAGGGCGGAGGGTCACGTAACGCCGGACTATGCCCCCGGTCATCGAGCCACAAGCCCAAGCGAACCCTTGGGTAAACAGAGTGCCGCTGCTTTTTTTTCTCGGCCCCCTTGAATCCGGAGAATGGGGCTTTGCTCTCGCAGCCCATATATGATCCAGTAGCTCCTTATCTGGAAACAGTCTCTGCATCCATACTGCTCCTCGGCCACCTTCCCACCTGCACCGCACGGTCTCAGCCCTAGCATCCCTCAGACATGGCCGACACCGACCTGTTCCTACAGCCCTCCCCACGCAAGAGGTCGTCGCAGAGCGGAACCCGCTCCCATCCCGACTCGGTCATTTCGGCACATTCGACGCCTCCAGGATCTCCCGAAAGCACCGCTGAATATTGGGACCGCTGTGTTGAGAAGATGGAGGAGAATCTCGAAAAGCGCCGCATGCGCCGCGCTGCCGCCATGAACTCACCAGACGCAAAACCTCTCTCCCGGCGCCAGACCAGAAGGATGGTCCTCGACATTATTTCGAGCTACAGCGACGACTCAACACAACTGACCCCGACCGCATCGCCCCGGGCTCCCCCTTTTGATTTTGGTTTCCCCCATGAGCGAGAAAGAGCCGATTCCGCACATGATATCGAGTCTATTGCGGAGGCCCTCGAGCTTTTCCCCAAACCCCTGGCGAGTGCGAAGAGCAGATATCATGCAAACTCCCGCTCCAGTTCATCCATCAAGGTCCAAGGGCTTCGCAAAGAAGGCCAGACGTTAGCATCACCCGTTCCGGCCAACCCCCCAACGCCACCCGCCACCGAGAAGAAGCAGCGCAAGTGCCCTCCCCGGCCACCGCGCCCCGATGAGCCATTCATCGGTCTTCCAATCACCCCCTCTCCGCATCCCAACCGCGTCGTGCGCAAGCCTATCGCGCCACACGAGCGCCGATCAGCTGCTCCTCCCAACATCAGGATAACCCCATTGGACCACACCTCACCAAGCAAGTCTACCTCGACTCTTCCCAATCTGGAACCCCAGCCCCCAGTCCAGTGTCTGGAGCTCACACCACCCACCACCCCCGTGCGGAATTCGTCACTTGCCCTGCAACAGCAGTTGATCTCTGTTTGGGAGGACGATGATGATGACGATGAGGATAAGACAGGTCTCATGGAGTATGTGCGCCGCACCTTGCAAGCCAGCAAGACTTCTTTCTCGGGGGAGCGCGATAGGGAATCAAGAGAAAGGGAGCGTGAAAGAGAGAAGGGGAGGAGGAAAGAGAGCATGGACAGCGCTCACAGCGCTGAGAAGCGCCTCGTCGTTGGACGTAGGAGGAGGAGTACTGTCCGTCAAGCAGTGATTCGCGTTTTCCGCTGTGGCGACAGCAAAGAGGAGCACCCATGATACCCACCCCTAAGACTCAATCACTTTGCCCAAAGCCTAATCCTTGTACAGCACTGTCTTCGCAGATGGTCTAATGGCACCCCCCGCCCGCAACTTCCTCATTCTTTCTTTCTTGGGAGGATAATTACTTTGGACTTCGTTGCACGCACTTTCCTCTTGGGCTCATGACATACATTCCCTACATTGGAGGACATTCCGGTACATGCTCGAGGAGAACTCGCGTCTCCGATTTATTGTCACTGGCTGGCACCTTGATTCTGTTTGGCGGCAAAAAGGGTCTTCTCACGAACATCACGGCCTTGCATTGGGAACGACATGGCGTTGTTGGTTGTCTGAATTCTGTATTGTCAGGCGGCAAGTTTTTGCGGATCGGATTCAGGCATGCACTGGACGAGGGTCCCCAAAAGTATTCTTTACGGCACGATAGACGCGACTGTACAGGTTTTCGGGCTTGCTTTTTTCTTGTTTCCCATCTCGGTGTAGAATCATTACGAAAGCCATGAATTAACTGAATGAACGCCATTCCCGTCGTCACCAATCCTACTCGCAACGCGTGATTGAGTACGTACCCCGCTCTCCCCCCTTAAACGCCAGTGCTGTTCCTTGCTGTCAAGTACAGAGGGGTGTCGCAGCCGACAACTGATCTCAATTTGTCTTGGGTAGTTGAAGCTATCATCTGGATGTAAATGTGGCATTAACAATCTCATCTGGGACGATAGCTTCCACAGCCCACAGACATTGTTCCTCGTAAAGAAAATCACTGAGGCATGATTACTCCATGCTGCGCTAGCCTTCGGCCGCAATGCCCCTCTGTACACGCAACCCCTCCTCCCTCCTCGCCTTCTATAGAAGCACATATCCCCTTCGTCATTCACTGCGCTACTACGTACCCCTCCTTTCCGCGTTCCTTTTTCTACCCCTCTCCTCTCCTGACCCTCGTTCCTTTTCCCACCCTCCCTCACTCCACACCTTGCCTGCCCCGCCCGCCCAGACTTCTTAGGCGGGCCGTCCCGCATCCAATGCTGTCTTTTTCGCCCTTACTTCCGCTCAGGCGAACGTTGCACATCACAAAGCATACGCAAGCAACACCACGTTACCCTGTCAGCAAGCAAGTGGGATTGGGCTGACCTGCTTCCCTCCTTACCTTTGGCTTGGCCGTAGCTTGGTAGGGATGCAGATGGCCTAGGCAATAATTTTTCCCGTCCCGGTTTCGAGGTGTCGGACCCTTGTTTTCTTTTCTCGAGCAAGGATTCTATTTCTGGTCCGCGGCAAGGCGGATCATCAGGTGAGTTGGACTGGGGTGACGGAACACTGCCGCGGCTACGCTAGAACATACGCCCCCCGCTTTTCCTTTTCGAACCGTGGGAAAGTGAAGGTAGGGGAGGATGCGCTAACACTGACAATTAACGGCTGTCAGGGCCAGGCAGTCCGCACGGGAGCCCTGAGACCAAGGAGCTGAAGGGGCAAAAGTGGTACGCAAGTGTTGGGGGGAACATGCATGATGGAGCGGAGGAGAGAAAAGGCCGATAACGCACCAGCTGGGCGGGCATGTTTCAGAAACGACACCGTGCAGCTGGACACGCACGCGCCGCTCGGGAGAGAAAATGGGAACTCGGAAGGAGCAGTCAATGCCTTAAAATCCGGGCGATTCGCCAACCCCATAGTTTCACTGAACGTTCAACGCCCACCTGAGCTGAGACAATCAGACTGACCGCCAGCGTAGATGATTAGGCGCCCAGCAATGTATGCTTGCAAGATGTCTGGTTTGGCGCGCGCGCGCATGGGTGTTTGATGACCTGCTTTGGACCCGCTTCCTTCACCCAGGGACCTGGTTTGTCCTGTAGCGCCTGCCGTATGTATGTATCGGATGATATGCGATGGCTTGACCGCTGCCGTCACCGCTTTAACTAGGGTGATGCTGGTTGGCTCTTACTGTTGGCCCCCTCTCATTACCCCCTTTCTCTCTGTAGAGTATTGCTCCCGAGAACACTTATCGTGGACGAGTCTGGACTGTCTATATGGGAGAAATTACTACGTCATTTCCCTGGCTGCAACCAGGTTCTCGAATGGGCGCATTCTTTTTTCGACCTGTTTGTTTGTTTATCCTTTCTTTTTCTCGGCTTTTGGGGGTTGCCGAGTCGTCGGGCTGAGTGGTGGGCTGATGGCTGGGCGCGCCACCGACGCTGCACAAAATACAAAATAACCGCGCGCGCCCCACGGGCAGAGTGTATACAAGGCTACGTGCATGCAGTTTGCGCCACGCCAATGCACAAACGCATGCATGAATGCACGCATCCTGATGCTTACCCGCCCCCCAACCATCCAGCCGCACAAAGATTTCGAATATTCTCGTCTCCTCCTTTGGGATAAGTAGGAAAATACTACGCGCCAATACTACCCCAGAGCGCTTTTCTCCTCGCTTTTTCCACCCTTTCCGACCAATCATGCCCCCATGTTCGCACCACCCAGAAACGGATGGCTTGCCTCGGCCGTCCCTCCCGAGTCCCGCTCCCGCTCCCGCTGCCGCCACTTTTTCCTAGCCACAGCTGCGCATTAAACGCTCGTTTTGATGCTACCTACTTTGACCGCAACTTCCAGCCCACCAGAGCCGACTCGCTGCCTTCTTTTCCAAGAACAGGCCGCCGTTACACTGATTCGATGAGCCTATCCAGCCGTCCAGATCAAGTTGGGAAGGAAATTGAAGCTGCGCGCCACGATGCTATTCTGGCTTTCCCCACAGCTGGACCTCGAGCCTCAGCTGAGAGAGCCCAGCCATCACCTCAATATTCCCGGGGGGCGTAGTCATTTGAGTAATTCTTTTTTGTTTCCTTCTCTTCCGGCTCTTAATTTCCCGAGACGAGGCTGGTACAGGTGGAGCAAAGGTAACGACGAACCACTCTCACGCCCTGTTCCTCGCTCTCGCCATGTGACCTTTCGTCGTGTTTTGGCTCGAACCACCATCATCCCGTCGATAACTGGTTGATACCGTGACATGTTGAGGTTGAGCTTTCCACTCCTCTGTGAGATAGCAACCAGGCAGAGCAGCACATGACCGCTGGCGCTCCCGTTCGTAGGGCAACAGTAGTACTCTGTACGACGACCGGGAAACGGGGGGGTATTGGCCTGGCGAGCCGGCCTTGCGCGCGAAAAGGCTGTGTGGGAGCCAGACGTCGCACAATGGCGTTTTTTGTGTGGCAAGTACTGGGCCGGGGTTGGACTGTGCACAGCCGCCTGGAAAGGCGTGAGGCGGAAAGGGAAATTAGTGGCGGGAGTTGTGGGGGCCGTGTGGGCGGTGAGAAAGCGGCAAACGGGATCGGGCGGGAGGCGGGCGGGGGGTGGATTGGGGGAAACCGGGGACGGGCGGATGTGCGATGAGGTGGGTGGATGATCTGAGCTGGGGGGGATCGTTCGAGCCCGGGGATTTGCAGCTGGGGCGGCGACTTCTTGGTGTTGAGGATTACTCTTTGAAATGCATGAGTCTGGACTCTGGAGTTATGCATTATCTATCCTATTGAGGATAGAGGTCGCTGCTGATGCAGTGCTTCAGCTGGGATATGCTGGAATACGCTGGAGAGGATTCGGTATTGTAAGCGTCGATCTCGCCAAAACCGGCACGACTTTATCGCGCGTGTTCTTTCGGGGATGCAGAGTGGGTGTTGGTACGACAGAGCGGAGCGGAACCCGACGCGAGAAGGTAGCAGCGGTAGGAGAGGACCTGGGAGGCAAGGGGAACGTGCTAGGGAATAATCTGCCGGGATCTAAGTCGCGGAGCGGAAGTGAGGGCAAGGCGTACGCTGTGATTGGTAGCGGAAAGAAAAAATTTTCCCGCATTCTGTGCGCACGGAAGTTGGTGATGCTCTCGAGGGATCTATTCTCCTGTTCTCTCTTTTGGTATGCCATCTCGTCATTTTCATTAAGAGAACTGTGAACACGTTCCAGCTCCCCTTAAGCCATGAGATATGCAAAAGAAATTGTTCCTACTGCATCGCAAGATCTGTCTGAGCACTCCTATTTCCTGTCATAGAGTTCTTCCCACTGCATGTACCTTTTGCCTTCTTCACCCCTCACATCCCCAATGCACGTCCCCGACCATCTTTGTCTCCCACAAACACGCGTCGACCACGCGCTATCGAACGTGTTCTTCATACCTTTTCACTTGCACGCAAAGACCTCATGGCGCACCTATGCAGGTCTCACGGCTCTCCAGACGCTGCGGGGAAACCGTTGGAGCTGCCGTGCTCTTCTGCGAGGCTCTGGAAGCACGGCAGTGCGCGGACAGCATAAGAAAAAGACGCCGAGCATGCGTTCTGCAGGAACAGAGAGCACAGCGGCGAGGTGAGGAGAGAGCGCGGCATGGCGTAGCGTGGAGGGGAATCAGTTGCACTTGAGCACAACATGGGAAAGGTATTGCATGCTGTTCGGGCGTTCCTGCATTTCCATGCTTTTTGTACCTTCTTTCAGTCAGAGATCTCTTAGGATACATGCTACGGATCTGTGGCCAATTCTTGCCAGTCTTCCCTGAGCGGCACGATGACCTCGCTCTGCAAGCTGGAAGCGGTGCCCCCGGGAGTGGACTATTTGCACTTTCCGACGACGTTGGCAAACCTTGGTAGCTCATCGTCTTGGACTTGTTTGGTGAGCCTCTCTGCAATGAGATATGGAGTGTAGGCATCATTTAAGTTGGTGGGTGTTTTGTGGGCTGACAACGGTGTTCTGTAGGTTGGTTCGAGAAGCGCGATTGTGAGGAAGAAGAGGGCGGGGGTTTCAACACAGATGCTGGAAGTTTGGCGTGTAAAATCTTTGATGACGTAGAGGGTATAGCTTTGCGGATCAACATGAACAGCGGGACTGCTCAATCCGGCTTCAAGCCAGGCTGTGTCGTAGACTTGGGGCACCCCAGCTGCAAGTGCAAATGCAAGGGTTCGTCTGTACAAACTTAGATGCAGAACATCCTTGTAGATAATCGTACTTGCTTTTGGCGTGTGGTAAAATGTGTTGTTTCTTGGGGTCAAGGATGTCGTGCAACGGGATAAGGTTCCAAACCTCAGACGGCAAAGTAGTACTATAGAAGTAGTAGTGCCAACTTCCGTCGGGAATGAAGCCCAAACAATATTTTTAGGCATTGCGGTGACTTCTGAGCATTGAGCAATGGCAGGAAATTCTGACCAATGAATGACATTGCTCGCTGTTGTCAACCGGCGGTTCAAACTTTAGAGTCTGGACGATGAGGCTGGGTATCTCATTGTCTACCCTTGGAGGCGAAGAAGCCGATGGCTGTCACACGTCCCAGGAAGATTATCAAAGACTCCCGAGTGAGTGAAAAGTCTCATAAAGATGCTACGATTCAAGAACTGGATCAGATCTTAGAGTCCATCAGGGTGACGGTTGCCTGCCATGCCTGTACAAACTTCTTTTCCGGAGACCCGCTTCAATTGACCGCCTTGGAAATCAAACCGCTGAAGATGACTCATGCTCTCAACATTTCGATACTCTTAATGTCCGAGATAGATTTCCTCATATCCATCTATAGGCGGCCACTCGATTGGCAAAGATGATCACACGGTGGAGACAGCTGTTGTTGTACAGAAGGACACCGAGACAAGATGCGCACAGACGCTGTTGCACCCAAAAGCTACTCAGAACGGACAATCATTAAACGTGGCGATCAAGCAAAGGGATTCATGAAACATAGGCCGCCTGAAGTTTCCGATGGTTCCAGTCACCGAGAAAGCAACCACACTACAATTAAGTCAATAGCCACAACAATGAGACGCCACAATATGCCACAGGTCGGGGCACATACTTTACTAGCACCATCTGTGACAGAGTTGTACTAGAAAACATTCGTTGGTCCTGGTAAAGTCACCAGCAACATCTACATTGAAATGCCGCCTTGACCGAAAAATCAGGGTGGCTGCGACAGTACTTGCTTTTAATGCAATTATCATTGTCTCATAGCGTATGTCAGGTCTTAAAAAGAATGGAAGTAAGATTTGCGTTCGATTCTCATACCTTTGAAGCGGAGACTCATTGTACAGTTAGGAAACATGTACTCAACGATCTTCAACCCTACGTCTGCACCTTGCGGAATTGCAACCACAGTTATCATTGGTTTAAGCAATAAGCTTGGTATCTCCATGAAGCCCAGCCCCACAGATTTGAATACCTTTGTTACAACACTTGTGGACAGTCGTCATTTTCACAATCAGTAGACTTCGGGTGTCACATGAAAAAAGAAAAGTACCAGGGATGTTTGAACCAGTTCATATACCCCTGAGCATATTTCAACGTCCCAATCTCTCAAAAGGCACACGTAACCTTGGCTTCCGGCAAACCGATATCTTGAAGTGGCATGTACCTCGACATCTCTCGCAGGTTTCACTCTTTGCTTTGGCAAGAGCGGACTTTGCTCCTGACCATGACATTTTACAAGGGAACGACTCAGACGCTGCACAACATTCCATGGAATTCTGATCGTTGGATATCGAAAAATCAGAATTATCTGCTTCGAACAGAGCATATTTTGTCACACCCTGAGAAGATGGTTGTGCAGGATATCCTTCTCAACCAGTCGGACACGCGAGACATTGGACAGATCCCCGGGAACATCCAACCACCCGAAAGAGATGAGATAGGCTGGGAGTCTTTTATCGGAAAACTCTCCCCAGATTGAAGTGGAGATAATGATATTGCTCCAATATTTTTACGGCGCAGCCGCAAGCTCAGGTACGGTCTTCTCACCATCAGGGTGTAGGTTCGCCATCGAGACTGGAAGAGGGAGAAACCCGACATTGATATTTCTAAAAGTAGAGTGTATATAGTGGTTGAAAAAAAACTTAGTGTAAAGGGTGAGCTCAAGAGCGGATGAAGTCAAACTCTGCTTACCCTCATGCTGGTCTACCTCGTACGGTTCTGACAAGGGAGGAAACAAGAGGCGAATCCAATTCTCACCGGAGACGCACGGACAATGAGCTGATTTGGATGGAGACTTGTAGTAGCCGATCAGTGGAATATGGCATTGGATTCGGTGAATCGGATACCCATGGCACCGGTGGTATGGATTTGCATGTGAGAGCTCACCCAACGGAAACATGAAGAAGTATTGGGGTAGTGTTCAACATGAAGCAGAGAGAAGCTATCGTTGCTGGAGAAATAGAAAAATGGAGAGAAGGAGACGCGTCAGCAAAAGCAATAGGAGATCATGAATCCTTCAGCCCCTCAGTGTAGTTGTGATGGTGCCACACTGCTGGCAATATTTCGGTTGTATCTGCAGGTACATAGCGAGGAAGAAGAAGTTCGGTACCGGGAAGCTGAGCAGTTCCATTGTCTGAATCACCGCGCGCGTCCTCCCATCTATTTGAAATGGCACACAACAACTGGAATGAGCGTAAGTAAAGCATAAAAGAGGCGTCCGGCAAGACGGGCTTGGCCAGAAAATTGCCGACTGGTGAAACTGCAGTCAGCCGGCGTAGGAGCCGACAACGGCGGCGCCACCATCGAGTTGTCATGGATCGGAGGATTCATCTCGCGTAGGCGACTGGTGATAGCGTCGCTGCGCCGCAGGGGCGAAGTAGCAGTGGGGAGAGAGCAGGACGCTGTGCCGCTTCGGGAGCGGCGAGCCGCGCGCCCCGACGCCAGCCGAGCCCAAACAGTCAAGTGCGATCGGCAACGGCATCACCTAACCTCTCGAGACTCTGCGCCGCCAGCACGCGATCCCTCTCTCATCACCCAGTCTGCCGGTTAGCCCAGGGACCTGCATCTGCCGAGCACGCACAGCAACTAAACCGAGTCATGAAACATCACCACCCTCACTGCCGACCATGAGCCGCTGTTGCAAGTCCACGCCGTTGTCGCGCACACTGGAACCGTTCGTTTCAACGGACACCAGGGAGCGGGTCTCTCCCGCCGCTTAGCCTGCGCCCTTGCGCAATTGCGGATGATTTGCTGGGCGTCGCCGCCTGGCCCCCATCCACCGATGCGCCATTTCCACTTTGGGCCAATGTCCTGCTTCATCACGAGCTCGAGCCCCGTCTGGCGCCGGCTACTAGAACGCTTTCCTGGGGGATGCGCCGTCACACTCTGCCGTTCTGTGGAGCTCCCGTCTCCATCCGCGCCACGCCTGGCTCTGTCTGTCCACTGGCCCGTCCCAGTGCTTCCTTCAGCATCCCCTTTGGTGCCAAGAGTCTGGTAGAGAATTTCTCTTGCGTAAATCCTGCCCACATGCAGCACAAGACCGCGCTGGAGCCTGCCATCCGTCAGCATGGTACCGGGTAAAGGCCTGGCCCAGACTAATGCACGTCGTCTTACCAGTCTGGCTGATCTGCCACAAATATACCCGGCTGTCTATCACTATGCCTTCCTGCTATTCCTGGCCCCAACGGCCGCCCCTACGCCATTTTCTTCCCTGCCTCTTACATACGCCCGTATCTGCTCTTCCCACGCCCGATGCGCGACCACGGCATGGATCTTCACTTTCTGGATAACATCTTGATCTGCTCTCCCACCTGACCTTCCTCCTTGCTCTCCTACTGGCTCAGTACTGTCTCTCGGGATCCCGCTACTCTTACCTTCCGCACAGCCATGCGGTTATTCTGGCTGCTGGTGCTCATCCTGAGCCCACTGCTCGCCCTGGCACAATCCAACCCTCTGGCGTCAGTCCTGGAAGCACTGCCAGCGTGCGGGGTATGTACAATAGTCACTACTTACTATACACTCTCCCATGGAAAAGCACGGCTGACCGTGGTGTTCAGAGAACATGCCTTATGTACGGCGTTCAGCAGTCGGAATGTTCCCCAACCAACGTCACATGCATCTGCACCGACGTAGCGCTGAAGAAATATGTTGAGGGTTGCGCTATGGCCGAGTGCACCATCAAGCAGGCGCTGTTCACCAAGAACGTCACTCTATCTTCCTGTGGAGCAGAGCATCGGGATAGGACGAAGCATGTCTCTTACATCGGCGTTGGTGGAGCTATTATTGCCTTGATCGCCATTGTCATGCGGCTGCTGGCACGCCTGCCTGCCTTGGGTGGAGATTTTGGGTGGGATGACGCGGTGATGCTCTTGACACTGGTGGGTTCTTTATTGTTGGTCGTGAGTGTGGTGTGGTTGCGCTAACTCTGGTCAAACCAGCCCGTCATGATACCACTTTCATCCCTTTCAGTTGTCCGTAAGTCATCCCCCGATCCATTTGCACGCTCAACAGCCGCTGACAGCTATGGGCCAGTCGCCGACTCAGGACTAGGCAAAGACATGTGGACTGTCACACCAAAAGACATCACCCACATCCTCTACGTTCGTTACCCTAAAACCCTATCTTGCCTTTCTACGGTCTTCTAACAACGCAATCCTGTAGATCTATTACTTCGACGAATCTCTCTATATTACATGCCTATCCCTCGTTAAGACCAGCATCTGCTGCTTCTATTTGCGCATCTTTCCGGACCGACGCTTCCGCATCTACGTCTACATCGTCATTTTCTTCTGCGCTTCATATGCCATCACCTTCGTCACGGCTGTCTCGCTCCAATGCAAACCCATCAACCTCGCCTGGAAGCACTGGGACGGTGAACACCACGGCTCCTGCATCAGCATGAACGCTTTAGGATGGTCTTCTGCAGCCGCCAACATCGCGCTCGACATCGTCGTCATCACATTACCCCTACCGCAAGTCCTAAAACTCGTGCTCAGCGCCCGGAAGAAGTTCCACGTCATGTGCATGTTCTCCGTCGGATTGTTCGTCACCGTGGTGTCGATGTTGCGTCTCAAGTGGATGATCCAGTTCGCCAACAGTCAGAACGTAACGTGGGACTATGTTCCCATTGGCTATTGGTCTACCATCGAGGTCCATGCAGGCATTTTGTGCGCCTGTCTGCCCGCCGTGCGCGCACTGGTGTACAAGTGCTTCCCACGCTTGCGCGAGCGCGGTTCCTCTCGTAGCGGGAAGTATGGGGGCGGGAACAGTTACTTTGGGAACGGGATGAGCGGCAGTAGAGGCGGTGCGATCGATACAAGCACGAGTATTGTGCAGAGGGTGAGCAAGGCAGGAGAGGAGTGGGTTAAGTTGGATGAGGTGGAGAGCTCGGAGAGAGGATATAGCACCGGGGGCAAAATGGGGAGCGTGAGTACGATAGGGGAAGATGGGGGCTATTACGGTGGGAAAGGTGGAGGCGGAGTAGCGGATGTTGGAAAACCCCCAGGCGTTATGGTGAGTGCGAGATGTTACCATGCTATTTGAAAGCATATAATAGTTACAGGGCGGCTTTTTTTCTTTTGTGGAGTTGTTACGAAAAAAAAATCTAATGAAGGCGTGGTGTTCCAACGGGCGGCTCCATCTTTGCTTTAAGATTCGGGAAGGAAAAGAGTATCTTGGATAGCATCTACATAGAGCTGTAACATAAGCCAGCAAGTATGATGTCTACGATTGACGTTGTCAGGAAGCATTCATTCACACAATTGTGGAGTGACTCAACCCACACCATCTGCGGCTTTCACATGCCAGCAGTAGAGATGACTGGGAACTAGACCTTTTGCCCTTTCAGGGAACATTGGGGCGGGCGATTTGGGGCCCACATTTAGTAGGGCTTACGCGTTGTGTTCCTTTTTCTCAGGTGTCCTGGATACCGAACCCCTTTCGGAGGGATGGACCGGGAAATTCGGATTTTTGTGGGTGGCTGGCTGATTGATGGAAAGTTCGGAAGGACGAGACGGGGGCGCGGACCTTCCTATTCGGGTTACAACGCCGGTAGATTTCGAAGCTTGACGTTTGGGAGAAAATGCAACGTTTCACCCTGTAGGAACGCGTCGATCGCCTTTTTTCTTGCGTGGGCGAGAGGGGTCGATGGCACCGTCGTCGGAGAGATCCGACGAGCAGGGGCGGCTGACTGCGGCGGGCTCCATGGTGGGTTTGCGTGCTTAGGAACAAGGTTTCGATCGATGGATGCATTGGAATCTGCCGTGATTGATAGAGGATGGTATTGCATAATGCAGGAGCTATTTTCCCTTGAGGCAGCTGGTGTGAAGCAGCTCATGTATAAAGTGGAGCAAAGGGTTCGCGGGTGATGTTGCCTGCGTAGACATGATGCTAATTAGGTCGGTTTGATTGGCTGGACGTCGGACCCTAAACCCAGCTGCAGAACTGTGCCGCAAAATGCTAGTGTAAAGTTTCCCTTTTCATAAAAAGCCTCGATTCTGACCTATAATACCACGAGAATGAGCATGGCCCCTTTATTCTGACCTATAGTATCACCAGAGTAAGCCCAAGCAGCTTTCCCATTGGTCCCTATTATCTTCGCGCCAGCATCCCGTCGAAGAGGGGACTGGAAGATGCCGTGTGGCTATTTGTAGCCGTGGATGGGAAGTACGGTTCGTGCCCTAATAAATACATGGATATGATGAGCAGGTCATGAGGCGCGTTTTGGCTACCGAAGCGCGACTCAAGAGACGTAGACATAGCATTAGGATAAAACCTGGAAATGCGCTTGGTCTTGTGACCCTAAAATATGCTACAGGAGTCCTCGTGTTGTGGCATAGCCCGTGCTTTTCGGTGGGTTTTGCGGGTTCTGTTGCTTAAATTCGAGCAGCTGGGCAGTCTACCAACTTCGACACTTTATTCGCACTAGAATTTCAGTCATGCTTATTTATTAGCACAAGATTCTGGAACAATCTTCATTCACTTATTTCAATGCTCAAAGTAGTTCAACTACACCTTAACAAAGAAGTAGAAGGCATTGATAGGCAGCCAACCGGCGCGAATATGGGTGCTGCCAAGTCACCCAGGTCAATTCTGGTGGTATCAGTATATATCATCCAGTTAGCTTTACTTAATATAACTAGTAGCCGCTGCGGAGTTACTTAGCACAGGTGATCTGTAGGTGGGTGCGGCACACTCGAGGTCATGCCTGGTTGTTCTTTGTTGCAGGTCCTCGGATTCAATCCAAGCACATCAAAAACAACAGTACTATAAGCAAAGGCTTTTAGTATGCCATTGAGGACGATAGCGCTGTTCTTGATATTTGGACGGATTTTCCTGGCGGGGGGTCTAGATCGCTAGAAGAATAGCGCGCGGCGTTCGTTCGAGACCACGCCAGGGCGACGCTTGACGTCATCATCTCCTTCCAAAACTTTCATCCCAAGCAACACAAACATTTCCAACTTGCTCATGGAGTAGACCACGTATCAATGCCCCTTGTACGCGAGTCTTTAGATCCTTCCCTGCTTGTGATGCAAGCTCCGGGACTAAGCGGTTGGCATTCTTTCAAATCTGGCATTGTTGCTTGGAGATCGATCCCCAAGATCGGCGCCTTACCTGTTGCAGCCGTTCTTGACTACTATTGTCCTCAGCTCCCATTCCTCCCGGCGCTCGAGAAGGTCAGTCATGACGCAAAGGAAAGGAACTGGAAGGCCTGTCGCGGCGCGCATCACGCGCTCTCGACAGCGAGACAAAACTGGCGGCAAGTTCGCTTCCATCTCCGCATACCTACATCCCTTGATTTTTCTGTACCTTGTTGCACGAGAACGACGTCTTCCGCAGGCTGTGAGGTCTACGGAGCGGATTTCCGTCAACCACGAGGAACGCTCTTGTTTCATCGATGCCTGCTTCTGGGGCGTCACCACCGCTGCTGCCAACCACGAACATGGCGAATAAGGAGGGCAAGAAAAAAGTGCTGGTGGTTGGAGCCGGAGCAGCTGGTACGCGCAGTCACAATTGCACATTTAGCTTCCCTCAATTGCAATCACATCTCTTGCAGGGCATTGGCTAGCATGACACTGACACACTGCCCTAGGAATGTCCTGCGCCTATCACCTCTCACAACACCCGGACAAATTCGACGTCACCCTCATCGACAGCGTGTCATACTGCGGCGGGCAAGCCTTCTCGATCCCCATCGACGCGCAAAAGCACGGCGCGTCATGGCTGAACCAGGGCGTGCAGGGCGGGTCGTACATCTTCCACCACACGCTCACCATGTTCGCGCGGCAGGGCCACGCCGCGAACCCGGTGAACCTGCACGTCTCGTTCGGCAAGGGCGACACCTTCTGGACGAACGTGTACCCGACCAAGCTGCTGAAGCGGCACCAGAAGGAGGTCAAGCGCTTCGCGCGTATGCTGGGCATCGTGCGCGCGCTCGAGCTCGTCTTCGCCCTGCTGCCCATCAAGATCCTCATGAAGCTGTTTCGCTTCTCGTACGAGTTCGCCAATGCCGTCGCACTGCCCATGGTTGCCCTGTTCCTCGGAACTGGTAACTATACGCCTGACGTGCCTAGTATAATCCTCGAGCGCCTTTGCACTAGTCCCACGTACGGCATGTGGTTCCCGCCCGACGATAAGAGCATTGCGAGTAACGAGCCGCCCATGGTCGTGTTCCCGAACTTTGGTGTCTTCTACGAGGACTGGCGGAAGGACCTGGTGAAGCGTGGCGTTGAGGTGAGATTGGCGACGGAGCTGACGCAGGTCGTGCGCCGCGACAAAAAGGGCGTCGTGGTGAAGACCATCAAGCGCACACCCGCGCCGGATGGTCATAATCCGGCGAGCGCATGGGCGCCGGAAGATCCGACGAGCAACGCGGATGCCGGTGCCGAGGAGACGGAGGAACGGTACGATGAGTTGGTGCTGTGCTGCCTGTACGTCATGTCGCGAGCCTCACTTTTGATTGAGATTTCCCCGTTGGGGAGAAAGGGTCTTGAGAAGAACTGTGCACACGCTAACTGTTAGTCTTTCATCAGAGCCGATACGGCCAAACGCCTGCTCGGCAAGACGGCATCGTGGCGCGAACGGCGCGTGCTCGGCGCGGCAAAGTTCTCCGACGACATCACCATTACGCACTCCGATGCCGACTACATGCGCCGCCACTACGAGAACGGGTTCAACCCGGAGCAGGCCGTGTCGAGCCTGAGCGGTGTCGACATGACGGAGAGGTGCGAGCATGCGAAGAAGAGCTTCAAGCCCATGTACTACATCAAGCCCTACGAGCAGGACATGACCAAGCTCGAGATGTGCTTCGACTGCACCAACTATCAGGCCCAGTTTCCGCCCGATGTTGACTTTGACGACCACGTCTTTCAGACCATCTTCCTGAACAAAAAGCGGGACGGCCACCTTTGGACGGACGGTGAAATTGATGAGTCGAAGATCATTAGGAAGGACTGGTGGCATCAGCTTTGCCACTCGTGGACCCACTACGCCTTCGTCGTGCCGTGGATGTGGTTGCTGCAGGGCCGTCGCCGCACCCGCTTCGCCTCGTCCTGGACCATGATTAACGCCCACGAGGTCGCCATCATGAGCGGTATCGCCGCCGCGGTTGACCTGGGCGCGAAGTATCCCGAGGATCTAGAAAGAGACAAATTCGCGCTGTTGTGCTTTAGGCTGTACTATCTGCTCGTGTACGGCAGGTGGTATAGTAGGAAAGCGGTGAAAAAGGGCGAGGGCCAGGATTGGGCGTCGGGGCTCTATGGCAGTGTGTACAAGGGACCGGGTGTTGTTGAGGAGGAAAGGTTGATGTGGAAAGAGGAGGTAAAGAGGGGAAATTCGCTGGAAGCGAAACGCAATCGAGAGTAACAACGCATGGAAAGCGAGAAGATGACAGTAAATGAAATAAGCAGTGATACCTGTGGGTCTAGCCTTATGCAAATTCTGTATAGATGTGTGAGCCGGCAACGTTACCTTGCGAGCCTGAATGAAAAGCGGTGAACACTACAAGTAGTGATCCTTGGGCTGGTTATGTCATTTTCAGGAGGATAGTATGCGATTTACTGGACACGCACGCATCTCTGGCCGGGGAGGCGAGGCGTATGACGTGCATCGCAATCTCGCCAGATCGAGCTCGGCCCGGGTGAGCCGAGAAAGCACGATGGAAAAGGGGTGATGGCAGGCGAGGAAACATCCCATGCGACCCCCGCAGTACTGGGGATGTTTTGCGTTGATGATGACGGAAGAAAGGGGTGCCGACAGCGGCATGAAAGGGTTGTTGATGGAACGCTAAGGTAGGGCCCGAACCGCGATCCAGGGCCAACGGGCGAGACGGCAAGTGAGTCAGGTTAATGTTCTTGCAAGGGCAAACGGCTCTCTTCTTGTTGTGATTGCTTTGTTGCGACGACGCCTGGGCCTGTGAGAACGGTGAGGGGCCAGTTGTGGCGCTGCTGACTGTGGAGGTGGCGCAGTTTCTTGAGCAAACCTGCTTCAACCATCGCCTGTCAGCAGGGATTGGCGTTCCGGCGGGTCGCAGGATGCAGATTTGCGAGGGGCTGCGAGATCTGTCACGATCTCTCTCGTATCTTCTCCCCAGCTTCGGCGGTGACAACGGCGGCTGGCAAGCGATTCAGCCGTCGGGCCAGTACAGTAGCAAATGCGTATTCGTTTGCGTGGTGCCGAAGGATGTTGTGGTGGCGCAGGTTGGACTTAGCCGGATGTGGATCGGCACGACAAATGGAGATATCGCGTGGGCTTGCACGACGTAAGGAGAGGGGATGCGCTGGCTGGTTGCCGTTGTACCGACGTCGATGATGACAGCAAGGTGTGTTCAGCGCAATGGATCAGCACCCGGTGGCGGAGCAGCGGTCATTAGAGTTGGTGTTCCCCCCCATGCGGCGATCACGCAGCGCTGGCAGTGTTTCGGGAAGGGCCTGTCGCAAGGAGCCACTGGCTCAGAGCCGCCCTCGCGCGGCCCTGGGCGCCTGTTGTCGCAGCGCGCGCGCAACCGTGTTCTGCTGGAGATCTGGCGGCGAAGCGCTGAGTTGGCGCCGAGCGCGCAAGCGGGCTTGTCGTTCAGCTCATTGGTGACGTCGAAGGCTCAAGCCGGCCAAGGGTCCACTCTTGTTTGGCCTTGCGCACGGCTCTGCACCGGCCGCAGTCGCCGCCCACTAAACCCGCCCTCCGCTGCACAACTGCTCATCCCGCGGACTGGGCACACCGCGCCACTCCCTTCACCACTCTACCCTTCCACTGCTGCCCTCGCTCCTCCGCTCCACCACTTTCTCGACCCGCTTCCTACCACCTACCACCTATGCATCTCACGAGCGCATAGCAGCGCCCGCAGCCATGTCTTTATTCTCCAATCTCACCGGCGACCCAAATGCCGGTAAGGCCACCAGCAGTGAGGGCATGTCCTTCAACCAGCTGATGGCCTCGCTGGCCACCGGCATGGCCTTCTTCGGCGCCTTCTTCTGGACCTTCTACCTAATGCGCCAAAAATACCGTCGCATCTAGTGCGTCTCCTATTCCCCACTACTGATGCCCACTCTAACGTCTTCGAAGCGCTCCCACCACCTACCTCGTGCCCGAACGCCAGCGCTTCGACCCTCCGCCCCACGGCTGGTTTACCTGGATCAAGCCCGTCTTTGAAACCAAGCGCAAGCCTTTTGTCGAAAAATGCGGTCTCGATGCCTACTGCTTCGTGCGCCTCCTCTTCATGGAGATCAAGATATTCTTGCCGCTCATGGTCGTCGTCCTGCCCGTTATCATTCCGCTCAATATTGCTGGCGTCGACAACCCGGAGAATAGCGGCCTCGACGAGTATGGCTGGGGAAATCTTGGCCAGACGCACACCAACCGCTACACGGGACATCTTGTTATGGCTGTCGTTGTCTTGATCTGGGTCTGCTACGTCTTCTACACCGAGTTGCTCAACTACATCCAGGAACGTCAGCGCTGGATGACCTCGCCTTCTCACCGCATTCGCGCATCGGCCACTACCGTGCTCGTCAGCAACATCCCTGACAAGTGGTGCAATGTCGACGCCCTTGATGCCCTGTTTGACGCCTTTCCCGGTGGCATCCGCAATATTTGGATTAACCGTGACTATGGAGATCTCCTGGACAAGAAGAACAAACAGTTGGAAATTGCCAGGATTCTGGAATCGGCTGAGACGGCCTTGATCCGTAACTGCAAACGCAAAGCCCTGCAGATGCGCAAGAGGGAAGAGAAGATGAAAGGCAGAAAGAAAACACAGGCAGAGAGAGATGCTGATGACGCCCACGACCAACAAACCGCCGAGGCCATGGCAAACGATGCTGGTCTTACCGTCAACAGCCCCAACATTCCTCATGATATCGACGAGGAGCTTGACCAGGCCATGGAGACTCAGGAAGACGCCAAATCCACGAAGTCTGAAAAACGGGGCAGATTGCCAATCCCCTTTGGTCAAGGTTTGCAGGCTGTTGGCCGTGGGTTCGGCGCTGTTGGACATGGAATCGGCCGCGGATTCAACGCTGTTGGTCATGGAATGGAGAAATTCGGCCAGGAAACTACCGACGGTGTTGTGAAGGGCTTTGGAAGGGCTAAATATGGTCTTGACAAGAGCTTCAGCGCCGCAAACCCGGTTGGATACGTTCCAGACTTGGATGGCGAAGATGAAGGATCATCAGACTACCCCACTGGTGCTGGACACCTTGGTCCCTTCAGAGACCACCTCAAGCGTGTCGGAACGGCGCCCGAGAAGAGCAGCGCAGCCAGAAGTCCTCGCCCCAACCGTGACTATCTCCACAGAGGCTCCGATGGAAAGCGTGTTTCGGCGAATGGTTCTCCTTACATACAAGCGGGCATGCACTCTTCTCCAGACGTCTCTCGGTCTCGTGTGCGTACTACCAAGACGGAACCGACGATTCGGGAAGACAAGGAGAAGGAGAAGGATGATAGCGAGCTTCACCACATGAACCCCCTGCGCCTGTTCCGGAGAAATAGCGCTTTCCCCAGCCCAGAACCTTTCCAGCGCGAATCTGACGAATACCCACTGAATCAGTCTATCCCTCAACTGGACTCAACCGAAGAGGAACGCCCTACACCTACCGAGGATGCCAAAGGCGTGGTAACAGAGGAAGAGAAGGAGAAACGACACAGGGACAAATACGCGAAGAAGCCCCCGATCATTGACTGGGAAAAATACAGAACCGAGCTTGAACGGGAGAAGGCAGAAGGCGAGTGGACCAAGTACCTGAAGCCGAACCAACGTGAGACGATGAGACTATCTCTCTTCCCTCGCTGCAACTGGTGGTGGAAAATCTGGCCAACGTGGTGGTTCTCTCTCGGTGCTAAGGTTGATGTTATTGTCTACTGCCGGCTGCAACTGATCGAGCTGAACAAGGAAATCGAGGAAGATGAGAAAAACCTGGAGAAGTTTCCTCTCATGAACTCGGCCTTCATTCAGTTCAACCATCAGGTGGCAGCTCACATGGCTTGCCAGTCCATCACGCATCACAGGCCGAAGAACATGGGACCTCGCATCCTCGAAATCGACCCGAAGGATGTCATCTGGGATAATCTCTCAACACCCTGGTGGACTGCATACCTGAAGACGACGCTTGTCATCGCTATCGTCATTGGAATCGTAATCCTTTGGGCTTTCCCCATGGCCTTCGTCGGTTTGTTGTCTCAGCTCGACAGTATCGCAACTACCGTGAAATGGCTCCACTGGGTGGCCGATCTGCCAAAGTGGGTGAAGTCTCTCGCTCAGGGTGCCCTGCCTCCAGCTCTTCAGGCAGTTCTTCTGCTCATCCTTCCTATGATTATTCGCCTTCTTGTGAATTTCTCGGGCGTTTTCACAGGCGTCGAATCCGAGCTGGAGACCCAAGGCTACTGGTTCATCTTCCTATTCGTACAAGTCTTCCTTGTCGTTACCCTCAGTTCCGGTATCACGACCACGATCGATCAAATTCTGAACTCGCCATTGGATGTTCCGCAGATTCTGGCCGAGAACCTACCCAAAGGTGCCAACTACTTCTTCTCGTACCTCTTGCTGCAAGCTCTCTACGGTTCTGCACAACAGCTGGTTCAACTGCCTCAGCTATTCATGTGGTTCGTCATGGGCAAGATTCTTGATGACACGGCTCGAGCGAAGTTCAACAGGCAGAAGACACTCCCCAACACCATGTGGGGTACTCTCTTCCCTGTGCACACGAACTTCTGTTGCATTGGTAAGCTTAAGCCTCCAGCTTTTATATGATCTGAATCGCTAATACATGAGCAGTCATCATCTACTCTATCATCACCCCGTTCATGCTTATCTTCGGAACGTTTGTCGCCGCTCTGTTCTGGGTTGTCTATCGCTACAACTCGTTCTACGTGCTCCGCTGGAACATCGACAGCGGCGGCCTTTACTTTCCCCGTGCTGTGAACCAGATGTTCACGGGCTTGTATGTCATGCAACTGTGTCACATCGGCTTGTTCTTCCTGGTCCGTGACCAGAAGAACAGAGTGGTTTGTGCTCCGCATGCGATTGTCATGATCGTGACTTTGATTTTGACGGTCATCTACCAATACATGCTGAACAAGTCATTGGGGCCGCTTTTCAAGTTCGTCCCCATTACTATGGAGGACGAAGCACAGGAACGCCAGGAAGCGTTCGAGGCTGCGTTGGCCAGGAAGTGGGAGGAACTCGAGGCGGAGGAAAACGGCACACACGCAGAGTCCAGCACCACCTCATTGGGCGGCGAGAAGAACAGCGCCATCGAACTCCAGGACATGGAAAAGCAGAGGCCTCCGCCGTCGCGCCGCATGACCGGCCTGACTGGTATCACCAAAGCCTCGACCACGACATCCGCCGACAGCCGTCCCAAGCGCATGAGCAGGCACCACCACCGCAACACGTTGCACGAGCAACAGAAGCCGGCCGACCCGGAAATCGCCAAGACGCCGCAGACATCGGGATACCTGTTCGAGGGGTACCACGACGAATTGGAGGACCTGACGCCGGACGAGCGTGACGTACTGGTGCGCAAGGCGTTCGAGCACGAGGCGCTGCGTATGACGAAGCCCTGCATCTGGATCCCGCGTGACGAGTTCGGCGTGTCGGACGACGAGATTCGGCACACGGCCGCGCTCAGTGACACGCTGCCCGACGAGGACTGGGGTATCTGGATCACCAACCAGTACACGGCTCTGGATGCGAAGTCGAGGGTTATCTTCAGGAGGCCGCCGCCTGACTTCAACTCGGCCGAGGAGTTCATGCAGTTGTAGTTTTATTGGAATGTAAGAGTAGACTTAGGAGAGGGGGTTGGCTTCATTGCTTTTGGGAGGGTTTGACTGCTTTTATCATTCTTTGCTATATGGGTTTTTTCAATTCGGCATTAGCGAGGCGTTTGTTTAAGGAAACATGGGAAGGGCGGGAGTCTTGAGTTTCTTCACTTTTTTTTTCATTTTCACTTGTCATCACGGCAAAAAAGACTCGTCTTGCTATCATCGATGAGCTGGAGCAAGACCAAAATGACCACGAAGGGGCGCTGGGCGTCATGTCAAACTCGGCGGGCAAATAGAAAAAAGGACAGCGGGTGGTGCTGGTGCCATGCGAACGAGTCTTATGAACCTAGATTTCCTCAATCTCAGTCCTTGTCTATTGCCATTGCTCGAGTTTTCTTTCCTTTTTATTTCCTATATCTTGGGGGGTTTGAAACATTGTTCTTTGTAATACATAGCGGGAGTACGTCTTGTAAGATAGACATTCTTGGAGTCTGGGTAAAGAGAGGGTTGGTTGGAGTTTCGAGAGGAGAGAAATTGCCAGCGTGGATGGGAGGGAGGTAGTGTGCTTGGAAACAAGAAATATCCGAGAATGTATTGGATTGCTGTTCAACGTTGCGATGTTTATGAGTGTTCTGATTGTGCGAATGAGCTCGGAGTAAAGTGCTCGGGGTACCTAGGGAAAGTCGGATGTCCGAGGGGAGGAGCGCAGTCGCTCTAAAGAAAGCGTGGCTGAGCATCAAGTGTGCAGGGACTACAATCCTTTAGTGAGTCACTGGGGACTGTGCTCCCCCCCAACAGCCACTTCATAAGCATGTAATGCGCAGCTTTTCTCTACTCAAAGTATCCCTACCACAGCCTTAAGCTTCACTGCTTTTTGCGAAACATCCGCACCATGACTTGTCGACGGTACGTCTAATTCTTTAATCTAGCCACTTCTCCCTTCTATCAATTTTCTTATCACTGACTCCGTGTTCGACAGATCCACTAGAGCGAATTTTATGAGCTGCCGGGCTAAAGGCCCTTCTCTCACGGGTTGCTGCGATTGGTATGCCGTCCACTGCAGCTGGTGCCATCCAAAGGTATACCATCTTCCCTTCACCTGCAAAACACATAGAGCTCCATTAGAAGCAGCAAATAGCGTGTGCCATTTCTTTTGTTCTCAAATCCATATAGAAAAAACTTCTATAAATGCTCTAGAGTTCGACAAGATACATAACTAATCTCATCCACCCAACAGCGCATCGACCAACCCTTCGAAGACCATCTCCGCACCATCAACAACAACCCCGACGAACCCTCCAGCGGCCGAACCGGTCTGCACTACAGCCGCTGCCAGAATCACCACCGGCCCAAGTTCATCTGCCCGCGGCCCACGTGCCGGCGCTCGGTCAAGCCCTTCTACGACCCGGACCGCTTCCGCTACCGGCTCGACGAGTACGGCCTGTGGGAAGCGGAGCCGCGGCCCGAAGCCAACCCGCTCTACGCGCAGAGCGTGCGCAACGCGCGCTTGATCGACAGGTGCAAGAAGAAGGGAGAGACGTTGCGCCGCCGTCGAGAGGAGCTGGAGAAGAGGATGGATCGCGTTGTTCCTGGTGGGCATGTAGCCGTCGTGCCGCACTTACCGCTGAGGAATGATGAGGGGTGGGGCGATTTGAGCGTGGAGGAGAGGGAGGAGTTTGCGTTGTTGGAGCCCGAGGTGTGGCGGGTCAGGGTGGTGGGGACGCAGAATGGAGAGCATTTGAAGCGCTGTCCGTCGTGTGCGGGGGAGGTGCTGAGGGTGGGATCGACGTTTAGGATTCCGGGGAAGCGGGATGAGAAGGGGTGGAAGGAGGTGGAGAGGATGATCGGGGAGGGCGTGGATATGGTGGCGAGGTTTTCGTATTGCTGGACGCAAGAGGCGTATGCGAAGGCGCTGGAGGAATTGAAGGAGGTGGAAGCGGAGAGGCATATGGAGAGGATTGACGAATGAGCGGGTTGCGGGAGCGATTTCTTGCATGCACCGTGCAAATCCGTCTCCGGAAGACCCGTCGAGACCCCCGAATCGAGATAGCGCCACAGCGGGAAGCTGCAGTCCATTTTTGGAAACACCTCTTCTGTCGACGGGGACATTGCTAGACTATGTTTGCCGAACATGGGGTGCGCTAGAGCAAGCGCTTACACTTCGGTCGACGTGCGGCCTTTTTCGGATGCAGTTTGCCGTGTTCACTACTGAGGGTTGGCCAGCACCATTGCTCTATCCCAACTCTTTAATAACCAGGGCAAATTATACCACGAGGAAACAATGCCGCATATGGGGTATACACAGGATGATTGAGCGGGAAGAAGGCAGCGCTGTGACAGTGCGTCGGGTGTTCTGTCTTCAGCCTGTGTATCGGCATCATCGGACGAGGGTTTGGTGAATAACAAGGAAGCTTTCTTTCCGGAGCGGAGAAAGCTTATTTGTGCCACTTATGCACAACTATCCTACTTTTTGTGTTGATGACCGGCATTTTAAGATCCGGGGAGTGGTTTGTGGCGCTAAAGGCTGCACAGGTGCGGCTGTGCTGACACGGCCATCACCACTGCACTAAAATCTCAGTGAGACTCGCAGAAACACCGCATTGCGGTCACTGCAATAGCTGAGATTTGGAATGTAGTCTCCACTTGGTGTAGTGCGGGAATATAGATGGAGCGCAAGGTTACGCGTACATTGTTGTCGCGGCCTGGAGAAGGAGCTGGTCCAAAGGTATAAGAAGGGTGAGGTTCATCGCTCCAAATCACCAATCCACAACCAGCATCTCCTTAAATCTTTTCAACAGTCGTTATTCGCCAACATGAGGCTCACAGCGGTAACCGCATGTACTCTCGCTGCACTCCTGAACACGGTGCATGCCGCACCCACGCGCCCAGACTCGCATGAGCTCCTTGTCGAAACGTCATCCGGAAAGATCAACGGCTTCACTGATCCATCTTTCCCCGATGTTCGCCAATTTCTGGGCATCCCTTTCGCCAAACCAGCAACCAAAGAGCTCCGTTTCGCGCCGCCGCAGCGTTTTATGAGCCATGACATGTTCAATGCGTCCAAGACTCCACATGCCTGTCCACAGTTCCAGACTACCGCGCCAACCATCTGGTCTGTCTCAACGCCACAGTTTCTAAACTCTGCTCCTTGGAGCGAGGACTGCCTTTCACTGTCCGTCTGGGCCCCCAAAATGAACTCGACCCAAGAAAAACTACCAGTGTTCATCTGGATCCACGGCGGCGGCCTCCAGAGCGGCTCCTCCTCCGTCCCATACCAGCAGCCTCCGCCATGGATCCAGCGCTCGAAGAGCCACATCGTCGTAGCGCTGCAATACCGGCTGAACATCTTCGGCTTCCCCAACGCGGCGGGCCTGAACCAGACCAACCTCGGCCTGATGGACCAGCGCATGGGTATCGAATGGGTGCGCGACAACATCGCGTCCTTCGGCGGCGACCGCGACAACATGATCCTGTGGGGCCAATCCTCAGGCGCGGCCTCAACCGACGCGCAGAACTTCGCCTTCCCGCAGGACCCCATCGTCAAGGGCTTCATCCAGGACAGCGGCAGCGCGCTGATCCCCGTCGGCCAGGCGCTGGTGACTGAGGACCCGACCCACTCCAACTTCACCTTCGTCGCCGAGCACGTCGGCTGCAAGTCTTCTTCTCCTTCTGATCAGCTCTCCTGCATGCGCGCCCTCCCCGCCCAGACCATCGTCGACTTCATGGCCAACTACACCAACGCTGGAACGGCGCCCCCGCTCAACTTCATCGGCACACCCGACGACCGTTGGGTCTTCGCCGACTACGCGGCGCGCTACGCCCGCGGCCAGCTGTCGCGCGCGCCCGCCGTCTACGGCTCCAACGCCGCCGAGGGCAACCTCGCCGCTCCTTTCCCTCGCGATCCACAGCATGAAGGACCAGACGCGGCCGTCGCGCTCGCCGCGACCCTGAGCGGCTTCCAGTGCCCGGACGCGCACTCGGCCGGAAACCGCACTGCGGCAAGGAATGCGGACTTGAAGACGTACCGGTACCTCTACGCCGGCAACTTCAGCGACGTCAGCCCGCTGTTTTGGGAGGGCGCGTACCACGCGGCGGAGCTGCCGCAGGTCTTCGGGACGAGGGGTATGTTCGGTAGAGGTGAGGCGAGCGAGTACGAGGTTAAGACGAGCGAGGCGATGCAGGATTTGTGGTTGGGGTTTGCGCGGAACGTCGCGAGGCCCGAGGCGGCGGGGTGGGTGGAGGCGAGGACGGGGGGCATGCTGATGTTGGGTGCGTCGGGCGGCGGGCCGGCGGTGAAGGTGGTTAATCAGACGGTTGTTGATGAGCCGTGTAAGCAGCATGGGTTGTGATGGTGAGGGTGATTTGATGGGATGTAATGAAGTGAGGTTGGCGGTGGGGCTGAGCACGTGGTTGGGTAAGGATGGGGTTCTTTCCTTTGTCTTTGCATGTAAGCATCGCATTGCCCTCTGGCGCAAAATGGAATTTGATGTCAATCTTCTTTACAACTATTTAATTGGAATCATGGAGCTCTTGATAGAACGGGCGGGAAGAAAAAAGAATGACCGTCGACGAAAATGGCAAAACTGAACCCCGCTACATGCGGGTTAAGCCCAGAAAGACTCTTTGGGACCGTCTTTTTTGTCTTCCCTAGCCCATATTCGAACCTTCGACCTCTTTATTACCCACAGAGGACGGGTGGAAACTTGGACTGCCCTACATAAACCTTCAGGCTCTCATTTAACCAAGCACCACCTCATTCGAGCGGAACTAGCATACCGGGATGGCTAACTTACTGGTTTATATAGAGTACCTAACAGTCTGTCCAGCACTCCGCGGCAACTTTGCCTTCGAGAACAAAATTGTTTCACTACCGCAAAGCTCGCCAGCAACTACGCCGACTTGGCCAGATTCTGAATCTCCCTCCCATTTAGCTCCGCCACTGCCAACTTTTCAGCTCTCCGTCGCCGATCTCGCTCCCCTCGTCCGTCACGGCCACCATGCGCTCCTAGATCTTCTTGCGCGCCGCGATATCGCCGTCCGGGTAGCGGATCTTCAGATAGATGCGCGACTCGAAGGCCGGATCGATGGCGCGCACGTGGTCGGTCGGCCGTCATGAACAGCACGCTGCGGAAGTACTCGAGTAGGCTCAGGAAGATAGCGACGACGCCATTGTGCTCGAGGTTGCCCCAGTCATGTCGAAACTTGCCACTGTCCACCGTCGCGGCACCGTGTTCATAATCATGAAGTGGGCTGAGTGTGTTCAGAGGGTCTCGAAGCTGAAGCGCGGGTATCCATTATGTAGAGAACACTATATTCGATTCGGCTTTTCTTATGTATAAAAAACCTGTCGGCTGTCAGGAATAGCAGAGTCAAATAGGCGCAACGAAGTACACACTACACGAATGAGGCTAGCAATCATGATTATCTCACTGATGTTGTTTAGTCAAGCTTTCTTGATGATTCATTGAGGTATGAGCGCTGTCAAGGCCTGTGGCCCGAAGCAAATTGATCAAAGAAAAACAATATACGATATGCCATGTCCGCTTATACCAGTATCCCCAATGCTGTTCATAACTCCCGCATCTACGCAATCATGCAATCTCTTCATCTACACACCATCACCGAACTCGTAGTGGTTTGTCCATCTCTTGTCGTACTCGCCCGATGCATCCACAAATCGCAGATCAGTGCCGAGCCTGATCCTATTGTGCGGGTCGTGGTTGATGGTCGAGGCGTGGATCATGTGGGGCTTGTGCAGGACCACATCACCCGCCTCGTACTCGGTCAGGAGCCATCTTCTCTTGTAGTCCCGACCAAACTGTGCGGGGCCGTCTGCGAGCAGGCCGGTGCTCATCATGTTCTGGTTGAAGGCATTCCTGGTCTCCTCGTCGTTGAAGCCCGCCGCCTTTGCTTTCTCGGTGAAGTCCTTCTCGATCTCCTGGCCCAAGTTGTCGCCTGTGTCTGATTAGCGGCAGCTCAGAATTGATTGAGCGGATGAAAATCTTACTGTTCTCGAGGTAGATGAGACCGCCGCCCTGGATGTCGACATCACCGATGGGGACCCAAGCGGTGAACGAGTTGGGCTGGCCGTAGCGGAGGAAAATTTGATCGTAGTGAACGCCGATGGCGTGGTTGCCCGGGGTGTTGTTTCTGAGCAGCGTCCGGCGCAAGCCCAGAGTGTTGTCGTCCCAACCGCTCATCTTTTTGACAAAATCCCTCAAAACTGGGTGCTTCACGAAATCCTCGCAGTCTGCATCAAAACAAGTCAGCTGCATGTTCCTACACAGCGAAGCTTGGAGTTACTTACACCAGTCCTCGTAGTGGGCTTTCAAGGCCAGGTCTACGAAGGTCGCGGCAGTGTCTTCTCCAGGGCGCCCGTTGCCGCCGACGGCACCAGCGCCAATGCCAGGGTAGTTGGCCTTGTCTTTGGTATCGTCAAAGATGCCCTCGACGGGCTTGGTTCCGGGCTTCAAGACGCCGCTGGGAGCCATCATAGCAAAGTACTTCTCGCGGCACTTGAGGACGTCCTCCCGGGGAAGCAGCCCCTTGAGGAAAACATAGCCGTTCTCCTCGTACTTCTTGCGCAGGTCTTCGATAGGCTCGTCTGGAGACGAAGGAATCAGGGGTGCAATCTGGTCAGGGTCCAGTTGGCCGTCGTTGACATAGAGCTTGCAGCCAGGCCAGTTGGCGTCGCGCTCCGGGGATGCTGCGTGAGGCATTGTGCAGGAATGCGGGGTATAGATGCGGGAAAAGGACAAGAAGATTCAGAGGCAAGTAAGCGTGGGAGATGTATCCCCGTCTGACGGTACGAGGGCTGCATTTATATACTGCCTCACCAACTGGGTACGGTAGCTGCTCCTGGGCAGCCAGACGTGGCGGACAGCTAGCAGGAGGTCGGGGCGTTTGACCCCGTCCAGACCGTTATCGTCCAATGGCGGCGGCCTTGAACCCAATCAGAGGCGCGGGAAACGGGGCGACACCACACCCCAGGCGGCTCGTGCTTCTGGGCGCCCCGCAAAAGGTTCCCCGCATTTCGGTCCACTTGGGGCGGCCCACAGACGTCAAGCTGCGGGCGCGGGTGCCGAAAACAGGATGAAAGCAGCAAGTAGCCCCTGCACCAGCCAAACCGCAGCGCAATCTTCAAACTCCCACCCTTCTCGACTCCCGTCTCAGGCGATTATGTCGTGGTGAGTGCCGGCCCTCCCTCCCGCCGCTGTGGAGCTGATCGACGAATGACGGGGTAGCACATACTGCCGTGCTCGACATTACAAGTGTCTGGAGAAGCCCTGTCCCCCCCGCGCCTAGTCGCGCGCAGCTGACGACATTCGGCAGGCGACGAGAACCTACCAAAATGCAAGAAGTGCGAGCGCGCAGGCCGCCGCTGCGTCCGGGAGCCCCCTCGCAGGTTTCGGCACTTTAATGCTCCGAGGCAGCCCGGCCAGAAGCAGATATGGCTTCCCATTCCACCAAAAGGTCTCACCGTCGTCCCGCATGCGCCGCGTGCCTGGTCTGACCTGTGGCAGTTGACTTCGTGGACGAGACGGGCGATGTGATCGACGGCGCCGCAGATGGGGACAGCAGCCAAGAGGATCCGGAAGGGAGTGCTCCGCCGCTGCCACGACAGCAGTCAGTCCCTGAAGACATAATACCGGACGCTAGTCTCCTGGATGTCGGGCCCAGCCCTGCAGCCACTAGCGGCCCGCATGTGTTTGAGCAAAATTATCCCTCTCCTTCAGTCGCGTCTCCTTTCAGCAACCACCGCGTATCGTCCTTCGCTTCTTCTCCAACATACGCCGCATTACGAGAGCTGAGCCGCTCGCACCACCATGCAATACCCGAACCCTCCGTCTCAATAGCACCGTCGACCCCGAGCCAGTCGCGGGCCATCAACCAATGGCCGCTCCAGTCCGAGGAGGAGGCCATGCTCCTCCGCTTCTTCCTCGAGCACATCTCCACCTTCGTACGTAGACTCTTTCTCAGTTCCCCATCTCCAGCTAACCAGTCCCAATCCAAGTTCGACCTCTGCGACCCGTACCGCTACTTCCGCTACGAAGTGCCGCAGCGCGCGCGCACCAACAAGACGCTCGCCAACGCCATCCTAGCCATCTCGGCGCGCATGCTGCACTGGAAGACGGGCGGCGCCGCCGTCGACGCGTACGTGGCGGACCGCTACTACCAGCTGTGCCTGTCGACGCTGATCCCGTCGCTGTCGGACGTCGAGGCCGTCTGCATGGACGAGACGCTGCTGGCCGCCACCGTCGTGCTGCGCATGCTCGAGGAGATGGACGTCCACATCTCCGGCGCCGACACCCGCGGCCACCTCACCGGCAGCCAGGCCATCATCAGCGTCGCGACGGCGAACCTCCGGCAGCAGGCGCCGACGGGGTTGAGGAGAGCTGCGTATTGGTCCGCGTTTAGGCAGGAGGTGTGGATCGCGCCGCAGACGCAGCAGCCCATCACGATGAGTCCGGCTGTGTGCGGGTATGAGATTGAGCATGGCTTTGGGCCCGCGCCCGACTGGGTGTGGTGCGAGAGGGCGATTGCGCATTGCGGCGCCGCGATGAATGTGACGCTGGGGTCGGCGACGGGGATGGGGCGGGAGGAGCAGGTCAGGAGGTGGAAGGCGTTGATGGAGGATAATGACCGCTGGTGGCAGAGCGTGCCCGGTGGCTACGAGCCGTTCTTCGGTGGGTGGGAGTGTTGCAGTGGCCGTGCCGAGGAGGGCGAGGGCGGCCAGATGTTTCCCGATGTGAGGTTCCAGGCCGACTGGCATGTCATGGGCTATTCGTATACCATCGAGGCCCATCTGCTGCTCGTCGTCCATGATCCGACTATCCCAAAGCTCGGCCCGCTGCGGAAGCGCGCGGTTGCGGAGATGGATGTGAGTTATTCCTTCTCTTTGACCTTTCAAGGCTGTTTATCTGACCTGCATTGTGCAACAGGAGAGAGCAAAAGAAGACGTCCGCAAGCTCTGTGGCCTCGCGCAATCGAACGAGTTCGCCCCGGCGGCAAGTCTCATCGCATGTATGGCAATAGCCCTGTGTAAGCATCCCCCCGGAATCATCCCTGCGATTTATACGAATTCGATTACTGATCCAACCTCCTCGGCAGGCGGCGACCGCTTCGTCCATCTGGCCGAGCAGAAAATACTTCACAACTTCCTCAACCAGACGGAGAGAAAGCACGGCTGGCCGACGGCGAAGGCACGATCACAGCTAGTAGAGGCATGGGGCTGGCAGCACCCTCACGAGCAAGGGGAAAGCCACCACAGCGGATCGCCAGCCGAACTGCATCCGATGAGCATCGCCGCTGCCATGACGCCGCCGCCCTGAGAACGCACGATCGACGACGAAAAAAGCATCAACCACATTTATCTTCACTGTGTCTATTCTGGATTCGTCATCATCCTTGTTAGAAGGGATGGGATATAAAACTCCGAGCGCAAGCTTACTTTCACTCACAACCAATCATATTCAATTCCGCCCTGCGACTACGTTCGAAGTTGGAGTTGGCCATCACAATAGCCAACGGAGGGTTTGTGTGCATGGTGGGGCTCGTGCAAGGGGCAAACCATACGCAAGGCCCGAGTGCGGGATTGCCTGTATATAGGAACTTGGCATTAAAGGTCATCCCAGAGACTGTTCATGCTGGGATTTTTGCCGCAGGCAGACCCTTGCCTGTCACCATCAACGAGTATATCAATTCAAAGCCTGAAGGGCTTTGTACTGTATCTCCCACGCAAAAGGTAGCTGTTATAGTTACGGGGAATATACGTGGGGCTTACGCGTCCTTTTCGTGTCTCGTATCGAGTGACGAGAACTTCGGTTTCCATTTGCTCCTGGTGTCTGCAATTCATCTGCAACTCATTCTGAACACAACGCCTGCTTGAGGGCCATTTCTGGTGGCTGTGTCCACGGAAGTTGGTGGTGCTTATCTTAACGCGGGGATCATGACAGTGGACGGCTATATGGCTCGAAAAAAGCAACAGACTGACGAATAGAAGACGATTTATGTTAATGAAGTTTTCCTCGACGTCTCTGATACTAATTTGGCGCTCGGTATTGGTCATTGGCTGTCCACACGGTTCCGCTCAAGCGACTACCAAATTGACGCTTACGGTTAGTGAGGCTAGAGCCCCCTGTCAGGTGGGGGAATGCAAGTGATCGAGCAATGCGCTAAGATGGCGTGCACGGGTCAAGAGCGGCGCTCCAACTGTGGGTGTGCTCTGAGAGGAAATTTCTCCCGCCTGTCCGGATATTTAACATATGCCAATGGTCCGCGGTTCTGCGTGCGTGAAGCAACCACTCATTGCTTCTCGCCCTCCCCCATCTCTTTGTTTTACCTCTTACCATGCTTTATCCCCAAAAATATGCGGACCTTCTACATCTCATGGGCAGTTTCCAAGAGCATGGCCTTAGCCCGACCTCATGACTGATTTCCCACGTCAACATCTTATGACAGCTTTTGTAAGCGCATGGTGATGCTCGATCGGCTATTCTAAGAGGAATGTCCGGAAGCAGAACTCTGTTGCATATCCGCAGAGCTTACCACTTGATGATGTTCTCAACCAGTAGCAGTTACACAACATACCCGGCGATAGGTCGGACATGGCTTTTGCGGGGAAACCTTCCCCGTACGGCAAGGTGATCCAAGCCTCAGCCGAGGCAAATCCGTCCGCCGTTGACGCTGGATGGCTGGACCTACCTTTTAAGGAAAAAACCATGCAACTTATCCGCGGCGTAAGCTCTATGACACTAGATGTGAGATCTCGGCTCATCCAAAGGAATTGATACCCGTCAACGCGTCAGAATTTCCTATAGGAGTCATCGTGGTGACTTTCGAGAGCATTTAAAAGAGCCAGGAAATGGTCTACTCATATTCCATCTTCCAAGCACAGCAAGGAGACTGGGACAGGAAGGAAAAGAAACATCAGTCTCACATTTATTCAATCATTTTCTGCAACCCGAGAAATATTCCCACCAGCAGTCTGATCACCACGCAAGAGAGCCATTGAACAGGAAAGGAACGGAACAGAAGCACTTACCACTCCCAACACCTCCTAAACCGCATCTCAAACCTGGATGTCATGTACCTCCGCAACATCTACGCCGAGTACCACCTCCCCACACTACGGGCCCTCATCCACACCAATCCATTGGGCGGTCGAACGGTCGAACGCGCAATCCAAAGCCATGATCGAACTCTCATCCCCATCCGATAACGGCAACAACAGCACAGGCCCAAAAAGCTCAGGGTGTGCCAAGCCTATATTCAACGCGCCAGCGCAGCACTCCATCACGCCGCAGTTCTACCGCGACACCAAGCCGGCGACGGGGGCAAGGTGGTGCCGATATGGGACTACGGCCGGGCCAAGCTGTACTTTTTGACGCCAAGGACGCCGCCACCGACGCGTTCCTGACCAGGCAGATCGTCGACCTGACGCGCATAGGCGAGAAAGATAGGGAGGGCATGGTGAAGGGGTTCGAAGGGCTGGGGAGTAATGTGGGGAGCGAGATGGCGAAGGCGGTGAAGGAGAGACAGTGAGGAGGTGATGGTGAGGAGGAAGGCGGAGGCGAAGAAGTGGTGGTAGGCTGAACGGTGAGTGGTTGTTTTAGGTCCGGGGAAGGTTGGAAATGGGTGTGTTCTGCGATGCTTCTAGCGCATCTGGATCTGATCTCGGCGAGCAGTTTCTGGTCGGCGGACCGACGTTGGACCAGCCAGGTTTGGAGTTACGCGGATATCACTTGCTCAATCGTCTATAGTGAGCGCTAATGGGAGACGATCTCATGAATCATGGCGTGGTTGGACGCGTCTACCGGGATGCCTAAGAGACGGCTCGGACAATAGCCGACAGGCGCGCCATTTTTTCGTTCAATTGCCGAACCACTCTTCGACCAGACGGACGGGATTCTTGGCTTTGTGGGCGGGCGGATGTGGCAGCTGCTAGTGAGGTGGTATACACAGGTGGCATGCATACGGCATCAGACTTCCGAGACGCAGTGGCGAGAGATGGCACGGCAGGAGGTGAGGATGCAGGTTCCGGAGACGGTCAACACCGGCGAAATCATGGCGGGGCGTCCGGTCGAGTTTCGCCGGGGTGCGGGATGGCTCGGCTTGGCGTAGCCTCCGTGGGCTTAGCTGCGGAAGGCGTTGGGGTTTGTGGGGCGATTGTGGTGTTGAAGTCCCCATATTCGGGCGGCGGAGGGCGATGCGAAAGCGGCGGCGGAGAGGGGCGGTGGTGTGGAGGATGTGCGAGAGCGGAGAGCCCGGAGGCGGGGAACACGCCACAAACCCAACGATGCAGAAGCTGCCAGAAGAGTTGCAGGCTTGGATAGCTTGGTATACAGCTTGAGTCAAGCGGCAGCGTCAGGCGAGCTCTTCTCCGGGCCCAGGTTGGCAGGAACGCCTAAGTGGTTGCCGGCCGGGTCAGCCTCAGCAGCTGCACCCCGCACTCGCGACGTCATTTGCAAACACCGCACCTGCAGCCAAGAAGTCCAATATCCGCCCCTTCTACACCGCCTAAGCCCGCCACGGCTAGCTTCAGGCATCCTCCACCTGCTCCGCGCCCTCAATGGCATGCGGCTCGTGGGAAATTCCCCAGAACCAGGAACACGGCCGCTCAACTACACGCTGAGGCCTGATCCCCGCCCAAGCTTACCCTTGATTACCATGGCCTTGATTATCCCGCACCCGACCCCATATAAACCCTCCGCCGCTCTCCGGCCCCTGGAAGTCCACGCCTGAGCGACACCTCTCCCCTCCTTCATTTCTATAGCCCGTCAAGATGGCTTCCTCCTCGCTCTCCGCGGCCTTCGCGGCCTTGCTCGTGGCCGCCAATGCTCAGGATGTGGTAATCCCTGGCTCAACCTCATACAACGGCCTGAACCTCGTCCCCCAGATGGGCTGGAACAATTGGAACGCATTCCACTGCGACGTTTCCGAGGAGCTCTTGCTGGACACGGCACAGTCCATGGTCGACTTCGGCCTGCGTGACCTGGGCTACAAGTACGTCGTTCTCGACGATTGCTGGTCCGCTGGTCGCAACGACTCTGGATATCTCGTCCACAACTCGAAGAAATTCCCCAATGGCATGAAATATGTTGCCGACAAGATCCACGACCTCGGAATGCTGTACGGCATGTATAGCTCCGCTGGTGTCTTCACCTGCGGCCGCTACCCGGGCAGCCTGGGCTATGAGGAGAAGGACGCCGACCTGTTTGCATCCTGGGGAGTCGACTACCTTAAGTATGACAACTGCTACAACCAGGGCCAGTCAGGTACCCCAAAACTCAGTTTCGACCGCTACAACGTCATGAGCAAGGCTCTGAATGCCACCGGTCGCCCCATGGTCTACGCCATGTGCAACTGGGGCAATGATGACCCCTATGACTGGGCCTACACCATTGCCAACAGCTACCGCATGAGCGGTGACATCTACGACAGTTTCCAGCGTCCTGACGACCGCTGCCCCTGTACCGAGACTCCCTGCAATTGGCCCGGTTACCATTGCTCCGTCATGAACATCCTGAACAAGATGGCCCCCATCGTGTCTCGCTCGCAGCCCGGAGCATTCAACGACATGGACATGCTTGAGATCGGAAACGGCGGCCAGTCCGGTAAGCTCTATTTGCATCCCACTGCCACGAACGAAATCACTAACGCCCCACAGACTCGGAATACGTCCTCCACTTCTCCATGTGGGCGCTGATGTCGTCGCCCCTGCTCATGGGCACCAACATCCCGACCCTGTCGCCGGCCAACCTGGCCATCTACTCCAACCCGGCCGTCATCGCCCTCAACCAGGACCCGTCGGCCGGCGCGGCCAACCGCGTGTGGCGCCACTATGTCGACGACGTCGATGAGGACGGCATGGGCGAGATCCAGCTGTGGGTGCGCGGCCTCAACAACGGCGACAAGGTCGTCGCCCTGCTCAACACGGGCAACAGCTCCCGCACCATGAACGCCACCATGCGCGACATCTTCCTCGACGAGGCTACCGCCGGCGCCTACCTGCCGCCCGCGGAGCTTAGCACCACCTGGGACATCTACGACCTCTGGGCTAACCGCATGTCTGAGGACGAGGCTGCGACCATCTTGGCGGGCAATGCTACGGAGATTGCGGAGGATAGTGTTACCAGGTATAACTCGACGAAGCTGAGCTATGCGGATGGCTTGAAGGCGAACCATACCGCCCTGTTTGGAAAGAAGATCGGCCAGCTGCTGCCTGGTGGGACTTTGGAGGCTGAGGTGGATAGGCATAGCTTGGGCCTGTTTAGGCTGAGGCCTGTGGGTGGGAATCTGAAGAAGAGGGATGAGTTGTGAATTGGCAGCGGGCCGTGACTAATGCATCAATAGCTCTAATGTGATGAATGATAATTACGTACAAGGATTCAATTTCAAAGGGGTGGTGATGTAAATAATGTGAGGATGTGACAAGAACTTGCTGTGGTATTCTGGTTGAAAAAAAGTGTACATACATGGAATAAAACATGCTTGATGGATATTGGAATACTACAGCGTGGATGATGGAAAGAAAATTCGGTGAGCGAGGAACGAGCAAAGATAAACAGCAGAAGTAGCTCATGTCAGCGTGAACATCTCCTCCTCTAGCTCACCCCGTTCCCACATCTCAATGGCTTCTCCATCCATTAAGCCGTGAACATAACACTCACCGCACAACCTGTATGTACCATCCTTCTGGGGCCAAAGAATGAAAGGGGTTTCTCCGCCAAAGAATACACATATCTTGTCCCCTGGCAGACTGACCTCAGGGCCCAGCCCGAAATAGCCTTTGGCCGTTATGAAAAAGCGTCTCTCGCAGCAGGGCTGTACTGTTTCACAGAAGCGCCAAGCATATCCAAGGCCATACTTTTCTTCTAGTTCTGAAGCTGACTCCAGATTGATACCAGTTTTTTTCAGGTATGCGAGGCAGTCCGCAACTCGATCGTCTGGGGACAGTTGGGGTCTAAAGCCTCGTCCACTGCGAATTCTATTTTGCCCGTTTAGAACCAAACAAAAATCTCTGAAAACTTCTTCGAAACTCCGTGTCTCTCTTTCTGATTCGGTCATCTTTCTCAGAATAGCTGTTAGATCGTAATACTCTTTTCCCTCTGCTTCTGCGTCGTCAAATCCGTCAGTAGTCAAAACTTCGGATTGCCAATCAATGTGATCGATGGATAAACCCCCAACATCTAGAGAATGGCCACGTTGTGACAGCTGTGCCGTAGTGTGCTTCCCGGCTCCAGATTTTCCCGGTCCATACGACTTCAAGTAGGAAATATAATAGACGTTCCATTGCGGGACCCATGAGATGGATTTGTTTTCCCCTTGTATAGTTTCGCTCGTGTGGATTACATGACTCAGTAAATCGATTGGAGAATCAGACTGGAGTAATAACCGAGCAATCGCTAGATAGACTTCCGAATACGGCAGCCCATAGTCGATAGGGATAGGTTCTGCAAAAGCGGCTTGTTGAGCTCTTTGAAATGATTTGTGTGCCAGCATTGCATATATTCTATCTCGGGGATCGGATGTTTTGAAGCGTCGCACCGAGTTCAATAAATGTCCCAAAGAATGACCACTCTTCTGAAAGCCCATATCAGCGCACTTCATCAGACGTTCGGGTCTCAACCCGTAGAGGGACGTGAGCCTCGTGCAGCACCATTGAACAAAATCAGTAGTATGCACGAGGTCCTGCCAAGAGATCTCGTGCACCCCGCAAACAACCAATCCTTCGCGGGCCAGGCCGATCTCTTGGAGCACCCATCCACGCGTTGTCCATGGGTTTCCCAGAAGTGAAGCGAAAGCCTTCCAATTCGATGACGGAAATCCCTCAGCATATGACTGGAACTCTGTCTCCTCTTCCAGTGTGAGTAGCGGGCCTTCGAGAAGATTTCGGCACCTCGGGGCAAGGCTATGGACAAGATCAAACGCGGCCTTTGCGTCGAAGTTCGATCCGCGACCGAACCAAACAATCACACGTTCCGCTTGTTCGAAGACGGAACCCATGATGCGGACCTGTTGGGAGCGTTCTTCGCGATCTTTTTGGTTGATGCATATCGAGTCAGCCCAAAGGATGCGCGGCTCTTTCTCATGTCGCAGCCTCTGGAGACAGTGGAGGAGGTTTGTCGGAATTTTGATAAGCTTTCCATGGCAAAAGATGTGGGTTCGTTCTTTCCGCGGGCCCCAGACATAGGAGATGGCCTCGTATTCAGGGCAGGTCTGCTGGGTACTAACAGTCTGAAGGCGGCACTGAACCTTCTGGTGTTCCTTGCCTGGCAAAAGCTGAAGGAGTCTGATACTTTGATCTTGTGGAAGTGGTTGGTAGTGGTAGGGTTTTCGTGTGCGTCCTTTGGTCATGGCTGCATTGCTCGGATATTCGTCTTATATGGAATGCAGCGCATAAGTTGATCAGCTGGCAATTTTTGCAGAAAAATGTTCGATTTTGGCTGCCGAAGGTTGTTTCGAATGAACAGGATATTTGCAAATTTCTTCCGTCACAGCGGGGATGGAAGAATGATAACAAAGACAGTTGCCTGGGAGGCGAAGGTCCGAGCCACGTTGGGTGACGAAAGGTGTTGAAGACAAGGCTGTAGTTTCTGGGGGTTGGAACACATAAATAAGCCAGACAATGCCCCTCCTCCACAGGCCATTTCGGCTATATCGAACGATGATTCGACGCCCCAAGCTGACACGTAGGATTCTGATCATAAGACCAGGGAGAATATCGGGCGCTAAGGTTTGCAAGGCAGAAACGAGAAGGAGACGAGTTTTACATGATAGAAGTTTTGAGCAAGTGCCGGAAGGCCGCTAACCTACTCGCTCAGTTGCACATTACAATCATACACACCCGCAAATCAGCATAATCAGTCGCAAGTCAACGGTCGGACCGGGTAGCTTTTGATCCTTGTAAGAGCCGTCGTCTCTGTTTCTACTCTTACACAAGTTAAGAGACTTTTCAGATAAATGGAGAGGAAATGTATGTCTTGCAAAGCTTTGCACAGGCCCCGGACAGAGGATCGAATTTCCCGCCCCCACAAGAATGTGCGCCCCCACAGACCCGTCGTCCAGAACCCGATTAGCTCGCATGAGTTGCAAGGGATGCTGCAGCCTTTTTTGTCTCATATAAACTTTTGTTGGTGGCGTGAAAGGCTACCAATACCTGTACTGGTAAGTAGTCTAATCTGATACTCGCCACCAACAAGTGCTGCGACACACTGCAGGCCAACGATCGCGCTCGAAGTGCATGCGGACCCCAAAACCCTAGACATGATAAGAAAAAGAAAAGACAAGTCTCCGCAGCCTCCGACGTAATGCGTCGCGAAGATCTGGGCGCTCCATATATGTCCACGGCGGCCCACAGATAACTGTTTTCCTCCTGCATCACGCCGGATTCAAAGAATTTAGTCCATGGATCACCTCCCTACCTTCACGCTCGCAACCGGGCCGTATCCGACGGTACCGTATCTGCCCAACGATGATGATGTGTACGATGGCGACACGTTCGAGGGCTACCCGGAGCGACAGGGGTGGTCGAGCAGCCTGCTCTTCGCCGGCGACTTCCGCCAAGGGCGCGGTCTCGACGAGACGGCGGCTTTCCTGCAGAAGTGGCTATATTTTGGCCTGCTGAATGAACTGTCGCTCGTCGGGTCCATCTTTGGACGCAAAATCTTTCGCAACGAGAAGTTTGTGCAGGAGAAGGAGGAGAAGAAGAAGGAGGGTGAGGGAGAGAAAGATGTGGATGGGGAAGGCCGCAGCGGCGGTGGCAAGGTCGTGTCAACGAAGAAATTGGAAAAGCTGCTCAAGAAGCGCGTTGATGATTTGAAGCTCGTGATGGATAACCAGCGCGAAAAGCACCTGCAAAGACTAGACAAAGCTCTGGCTACCGGATGCGCGTTATCCGAGGCGCTCGCGGCGCTGCGTCAAGTCAGACCCGAGGAGTGTCCTCTACCCTTCGAAGTCATCCTTTCGATCAAGGTACTCGGCCGCGCCGTTGACGACGCACTCAGGGATGAGGGGCTGGCTGAAGGGACGCGCGATTGGGGCCTCCGTCCTATCGCGGTGGGGCGCATGCGCGATGCCGGATGGTGTCCGCGAGAGATATCTTTGGTTAACACGTTTCTTTCCGAGGCGTCGATGTTTTGCGCTTCATACATGAAGCGTGGTGAGGAGGCAGTAGACCATTCTCGATGCAACGATTTCGAATGCCAGGCAAACCAGATAGACAGCAACAACTACGAGACTCGACATCGTACCGAGGACTGCAACTGCGAATTTTATCATGTTGACGAGGGGAAGCTGCAGCAGGTTATCAGGGATGAGCGCATCCCTTATATTGAGATGAAGCCGGTCAAGCTGGAAGACGAGACGAAGACGCTTCAGGTTGAGCTACAGAGCCACAAGGACTCGATCATCGAATACTCGAGGAGCATTGTCATCTTCTCACATGTTTGGTCTGATGGTAAGCCGAACTGTAGGAAACACCTCCGAGTTCCGAAATAACGAAGCGCAGGTCTTGGAAACCCGGAAAACAACGCACTCCCCATGTGCCAGTTACAACACTTCTACAATATCCTACGAGACGCGCCGTGGTGGGACGTAAAAGCTAAAGAGAGGCAGGACAAAGCAAACCATGACCGGTACAAGGAACGGCAAATCAAGAATACGTGGACCTTCCCACCCAAGAGCATCCGGGCACCCATCCGCGAGTTCCTGGGCCGGCCCGTCCGCATCTGGCTGGACACGCTATGCGTGCCGGTCAAGGGCGAGACCAAGACGATGGCCATCACGAAGCTGAAACGCTACTACGCCAACGCCGACATAACCGTGGTGCTGGACGCGGAGCTACTACGGGTGGAGCACGAGAAGTGCTCCGAGGGCGAAATACTGCTCCGCATCGCGCTGTCCGGGTGGATGCGCCGCTGCTGGACGTACCAGGAAGCAATCATCGCGTCCGGGCGGCTGCGCGTCCTCTTCGCCGACGGCTACTATGACCTCCCGGACGTCGTCGGCTTCATGCGGCAGCTGAACAGCATCGCGCCGTATCTGATGTCGCAGAAGCAGCAGCAGCGCTCGCAGGATGTCACCGAGGCCATGACCTACTCCGCCACCGCCATCGGCACCGCGTTCGACATCTACCGGAAAAGCCTGTGGATCATCGACCCGGGCAAGGCCCTTAACAACGCCCTCAACGGCGGCTCCAGCACCACCATCAACCTGGGGCCCTACATCAACAAGGCAAAGGGCATCTTCAACCCCAAAGACCCGTTCAAGTTCCTCTCCGCCCCAGAGCGCCTCGCCGCCGACACAAAGTCCTTCTTCGCCGGCATCACCGCCATGTGGGCCGAGCAGCCGGCGGCGGCGGTGGAAGAAGAGCATGAGCGCCTGCAGAACCGCGTCCACCGCATGGTCGCGGCGTGGGAGAGCCTGCGCTACCGCACGACCAGCCACGCCCGCGACCGCCTCGTCAACTTCATCTTCGCCTGCGCCAAGGAACAACGGGACTTCGTCGCCCTCCAAAAGGTCCTCGACGAACCGGCCGACCGCCGCTTCAGGACGTGGCTGCTCGACCAGCCCGCGCTGCCCGCCGGCTTGCTGTTCGTTCAGGGGCGCAAGATGGAAGAGCACGGGTTCCGCTGGGCGCCGGCGGACGTGCACGTCGCGAGCGTCGAGGACGATGCGCCGGCCCGCTGCTGCGTGGGCAGGAGTGCGGAGGAGAAGCGGAGCGACGTCGTCAAACAGGCGCGGTTCCAGACGCCGGGGCTGCTTCCCGTGGCGAAGGACCTGTTTTCGTTGGCGAAGGAGGGCATCGCGGAGTACATGAAAGAGGGTGAAGGGGGTGCGAGCGGCGGCCCGCGGACGCCGGCGCTGAGCATGACGGCGGAGGGCTCGTTCAAGTTGCAGAAGCCCGGGTTCTTGGTCAGGGAGAGGCTGAGGCCGGCGGATAAGGAGTTCTACGTGCGTGATGCGCCGGCGGAGAAGAGCTATCGCGTCGTGCTGGACTGGAGTTCTGTGCCGCCGGGTGTGACGGCTGAGTGCTTGGCGGATGTTGGTCCGTCGTTGGCGTTGGTGTTGCGTCGTGAGCCGGAAAACGGGTCGATCGAGACTGCTGCGCTGCTCAAGGATGTGGCGGGCGCTGAGACGGTCTGTACGGGATCTTTCGTTTGCAGGGCTTTGGTGAAAAGGGGGAAACGGCCAAGCTCTGATGCAGTGACGGCAGAAGTGACGGGCCTCCGGGCGCCGGATGACCAGAACTGGATAGTCTCATAGCGGGAATAGGACTTCTTTTCGCCATTTTATCTAAAATCTGTATTCACTCTCCTGGACTTTCGTCCCCGGACACTGCAGCTTTCTGGCCGCAAAGTTGGTCCGGCATCACCGATGCCAGGATTGATGTGGAAGTTTGTCGGAGCGGTCGACACCTTGCGGCTAACAAAATTACATGTACCGAAGATTGGCGTGGTTAGCACGTTACTTGGATAATTTCCAGGGGCTTCGGGTAGCGTGTGCCTCACACAAAATATGCTCGTAGCATAAGCACAAACAGAGCAAACATACACGGGATGGGAGGGCAGTTGTGGTTGACAAGATATTTCTCTCAAATAACAGTGATTGATCATAGTTTGTTGGCACGTTTCTCCACCTTCTCCTTCTCCTTCAAGCGCTTTGCCACGGCTCTTCGGGGACTGACTCCATCCACATAGCCAATGAAAGGCGCTCCAACCTTGTACCCAAGCATATCCACCAGACGCGGCGGAATCTGATCCAACTTCTCCCAATCCACAGCGAGGATTTGGTTCTCGAGCGGCCGCACCCACGGCTGGCAGTATTGCACTGTCAGGGCGCGGCGCTCAGCAGATGACTTGTTCTGACCGCCACCGTGCCACAGCGTTCCAAGGAAGTAGACTAGACTTCCTTTGGGCATGATGACGGGAACGGCTTCAGAACGGTCGGGCATCCGATCCGCCCATTTGTGGGAGTCTGGCACGACCACAGTGGCGCCATTGGTTGAAGTGTAGGCGTCGAGTGCCACCATAATTGCCTGATCACAGTTATTAAGAGAAACAGAGGAAGGAAGCCAATAGACTATAAGGGTTAACTTTACCGTTCCAAAGGGTTTATGGGGTCGTGGCAGGGTAAGAAAGCCGTCATCATGGTGCAGCGTCTGTGGATTCTCTCCCGGCTGAATGCAAACGCTGTGGTAGGCATTGAGAAGATATCCTGGGTCGAGAAAGTAGTCGTTCAGCGCAAGTACAGCTGGGTGCATAGCGAACTTATCAAAGACTCGTGACTTGTTGATCAATGCGTAGATTCGCGATGTCTTCAACCCCTCGAATGTGTTCCGGCCCCCGGCACCGGCGGGTCCGGCTTCCGGGGTGCTGGAAAGACGCTGCAATTCGGCAATTGCTTCGTCCGCCTCAGCGTTGGTGAAGGCGTTCTCGACTACCACGTAGCCGTGTTCGATGGTGTGGTCAATCAATCTCTGGAATTCGGGACTGGGCGGTGAAGAGCTTCGAGAGAGCCTTTTTTCAACCCCGACTTCCCGATTGACGATGAGATTGTTCTTCGACTGCGTTGATAGAGAATCCATGTTGAAGCAGAATATGGAGATCAAAGATCAATGGACCTGTTAGTCTGCTGGATTCTCAAGATAATTTGGTTGTTCACAGTGGAAGATGGCGAGTAAATAGTGTCTGAAGTTCAGAGATGCGGGGATGATTTAACTCAGCCGAGGCACTATCCGATGCGTTTAGTCAACTACAGTCCGGCTTCTACGCGTTAAATGATTGCAAAACAGCAAGCTCTGCGCCAGATGAAGCACTGACGAGGTGGCAAAAAAGCCAATTCTAGAAATTCTACGTCCGCAATATCCGATGTGTTCCGACACGCTCGATTACTTCCTTTTCGGGAACCAACACACACGTACTGGACGTTGGATAACTCTGCCTTCCCCGCTCCAACGTCCCGCATAACACCAAATAATCACTGAAATTCTAAGGTCAGATAATAAAAGTAAGGAAAATCGCGGAAAGTCGAGTTCCTCGGTCTTGAGCCGGAGTCGAGTTTCTTGCATGCTAGGTTTCTTGGTTCAAAGTAAATCTCCCATCGACAGTCCCAACTCTCGAGCAACATCCTCCAAACTTTTCATCTGAGCCTGCCTATACCATTCGTCCACGCCCAGAAGAGTTGCCTGCATTGCTTCCTCGAATCCCTCCAAATCTGCTGAAGACCGATTCATGTCCGCTACTATGGCAAGGCCCTTGGCCTGTGGCTGTAGATTTGACCGAAAAATACCCGCAGCAGAGAAAGGCAGGAAATCCTCATACGTGATGGGCGACGGCTCTATAATATTTCCTGCGATCAGTTGCTCGAGCAACGACTCGGTGCCGTTTCGTTTCGTAGGTTTTAGTACTGCCTTCTTCGTGCACCGAAAATGGCAATATATGAGCCCTTGCTTTCTCAACTCGGTCCAGTCATCAGGATACTGCTTGAAGGTCTCTTCCATGGTTACGTCCACATTCTTGGGGTCTGCACCAATCGTCTTCATCATGCCTTCACTCAAAAGCTTGTCATATAGTTGCCGGCCCTTCACCGTAACCGCCGCACCTCGCTCCTCGATCTCACCAAAATGCGCCTTGTGACTTGCCTTGACCAGGTCGCTCTGCGGTGATAGCTCATTTTTAGCGGCTTGGGTATCCTCGTATGTCATGAAATTGACCGTCTCTTCGAGTGCGAGGAAGCTCGTCTGCCGCAGGAGAATGGGGCACTTGCGCCGCGGCGGGCCCTCGATACGCGATTTGACCGCCATGCCAGCCTCCCGCATGACCACATGGGCAGCAGAAATGTCCAAGTTGCGAGGCGTGAGATGGTTGATATGTGCGCTCTGGAACCAGGCGATGTCGGCCAGGATCGGATGCTCTGCCTTGAGCGCATTGTATTGGTCAATGGTAGCCGCAGCGACAGAGCGCCAGCTGAAGGTTAGAAGGGCCTGGTCGATGAAGGCATCTGCCTGTTCAGCACTGAGCTTGCCGCCCTGATCCTCTGCCGTGTCGAGTAATTCGAACAGCAAGTCGGTGAATATCTTCCGCTTCTCCAAAAGGGATAATGCCAACTCTCGCGCCTTCTCTGATTCTAGCAGCTCTGGTCGGAGTAGGGTCGTGAATACGCGGAAAGGATTGCGGTCGAGGCTGGACATATCCTTGGGGCGGAATCAGCGTACTGTGTCAAGATTACTTGGCTAAGCTGATATGAGTTGAATGTTGCCTCCGATCTCGTCGGCGAAGCCGTGCTTTTTCACCGAGGCTGATGACGCCACAATCTTGCTGCTTTATGCCGACTTCAACCTAAATATTTGGTTTTCGGTGTCCTGTCTAAATTCGCTGATGGGTTATAAGAAGTTTCACCGAAGCTTCTGTGCAATTTTGGTGCAAAGAGTGATTGATATCTTGGCAACTGTCTATGTCCACGAAGTTTGCAATCAGACTTTCTTTCCCGCCTTCTCCTCTTCCTGTTTCTCTTCTCCTACCTCTGCCATCTCCGACTTGAGGATTTTGATTTGATTCTCCAGCACTTCAGGCAACTTGCCGGACACCTCCTTCGTGCCCACTGAAGACGTTGAGTAGACCAACGATAAGAGAGAAGCAACCCAAGTCTCTTTCAGATAGGCAAAGCTGAAACCATCACTTAGCTCCGCAATACGCTTTGAGACGTCCGCATCCATGGCAAGGTCTGGATTGTCGGCAAATTTCGCTCTCCACCAGTCACAGTAACGGATGCGGTCTTCCAAAGAGGGGAGTTTGAAACGGTACTTCCGGTCGAAGCGAGAGGGCCGCTTTGAAAGGCCTGGATCGAGCTTGTCCACTGGAAATCTGTTAGCCGCTGTCTGTAGTGCTTTGAAAAGTGTTCAACTTACAGTTGTTGGTTGAGCCAATCATCAGAATTCCATCGTTGTTCTCGAGCCCATCGATCTGGTTGAGGAAGTACGATCTCACATCATCCTTGACCAAAGAGTCCACATCCTCAAACAACAGCAGGCATGGCGCCATCCGCCTCGCCTTTTCGAAGATCTGGCGCACCGACTGCTGAGGGCCGTGACACTGCTGCTCAAAAGTCTTGACGTATAGAGTCGGAACAGGGTCCGGCATCATCAAAAGAGTCTTGATGATGGCCTTGACCGTCATCGTCTTCCCATTCCCAGGGGTTCCGTGAAAGATGAGGCCGCGCTTCCAGGGCGTGCCGAAGCGAGCGTACTGTTCGCGGGCACCGAAGAAGCCGACGACGTCGCGCATGATGGCCTCCTTCGTCGCCGGCTCCAGGATGATGTCGTCCAGGTCGATGTCGCGCACCGCGTCCGCCGACAGCTCGCTGTCCGGGCGCCAGAACCCCTGGTCGAACACCCACACCTCGTTGTTGCTCTGCTCTGCCCACTTATTCGCTGCGAGCAGCAGTGCGTCGGTCGTTGGGGAATTGCCTGTCCGCACGTCTCGATCCTCTTCCTCCTCTTGTTCTGTTTCTTCGGCAGGGGACGCATCAGTGGCTTCCTTGAGTACGTAAAACAACGTCGCCGGGTCGTCTATGGCCCCGTTCTGCCCCTCCGCCACGTACATCACGAAATGCTCCTCCTGCCACACATAATCATACACGCCGAAGCTCACCGCGTCGCGCAGCTTGCCCCTCTCCTCCTCCATCTTCTCGCCCTTTCCAAGGTTAGACGTCTTCTTGAGCCTTCGGGTTGGCGGAATGTACGCCCTCTTGCGCAGCAGCGGCGGGCCATCGGCGCGGGGCGTCGCCGTCGCGTGCCCTGCTTTGGCGTATTTGAGCAAGGGGGATGTGGTGACGGCGAGGTGGTGCGAGGGGTAGGTGGCGCGCAGGGCGGACTGCAAGATGGTGTCGGTGGAGAGGCGGGTGGAGGTGGTGTGCGACTGGTAAGTGGCCCAGATGGAGGCGTCTGGGCTGCTGGCACCTCCTTCTCCGGTGCTGGCGGTGGGGGGAACGCTGGGGGTGGTGTAGGTGTGGTCGCCCATGGTGAATCAGAATTGGAGAATAGTGGCTTGTGGGTACTGTATTTCTGAGGAGATGGGGGCCATTTTATAGTAGATTGTATGTTTATGCCCCTCAGACAAGGCTGAAATTTGAGACTGAAGAGCGGGGTTGTTGCCTGGCATATGCTCGACGCGTTGGCTTGTTGACTGAACTAGCGGGGAATATCAGGCAGCGGCTTATGGCTTGGTCAATCATATGCAGGGGCTGTGTTGAAGATCTTTCAAGTATTTTATTGGGCTATTGCGCCACGTCTGCTAGATGATGTCGGGAAGCGATCGGCATGGTAGGGTAAAGGAAAAAAAAAGACCATCGACGCAAATGGCAAAACTGGAAGCGGTGGGATCGAATGGGGAGTGCCCCCTTCCCGTGCGTCGACAGAAAGACTCTTTTGGAACCGTCTTTTTTGCCTTCCCCTCATCCGCCGTGTCCTTCGGGTTATTGCGCCCGGGCTCAGTTTGATACGTATGATTCGCGACGGCTCTCCGATGAGACACTGTTGCCTATATCACTTTAGATAACATTCTCTCTGAGACTAGTGATCTTGCCACACACAATGCAAAGAGACTTTACTCTAGTAAAATAAGCACAGTTCAGAATAATTCAAGAAAAGCGTCGATTTGATTGCGTGATGAACGAGTAGCCTCAATTTGAGAGACTCTATGGATTTACAGGAATGATGCATCTCCAAAGTCGGTAAAAGCTCAGGCAATGACAGGCAGGATAAGATGACTGTCGTACTTGCCGCCAGTGTACACGACATGCCGACCGACGTTCTTATCATTGGGTTCCTTCAACCTAAAGAACTCGATTTCCGGCAGCCTCAAGTCATGGCCTGCAACCCTTAGCATGATGCCTTCGCCCTCTTCAAACACCATGCCGATTGGCCACACGGGAATCTCGAGAGGTACGATGGTGCCTGGGGGCACGGGCTCGCTCCTGGTGGACGTGTAGAAGGGCCGGCCATCACGGTACTCCTTTGTGCAGGCGTGGCTGGCGCGCAGCATGCCATCTGGACCGAGGAACTTGGCGACGTTGGTGTCTGGCACTTCGGACTCGGGAACCGGGCACGGGTAGTTGAGGTACTCAAGCAGGCGCCCATCTCGGCCAATCTTGCGGATCTGCACGTTCACATCCATGTCGTCCTTCTCCGCGCAGGACATCCAAAGCTTGACCAGCGGGTAGCCGGCGAGCTCGGTGTATTTGTCAAAGGTGACGGTAAAGTCCTAAAGATGGTAGCGTCAGTTAACCAAACCGCTTAGTGCATCTTGGTATGAACTCACAAGAGTGTCAGATAGGCTGTGGGCTTCGTAAGCAGCGGAGTATTCTGCTTGAGTTATAGAAGTAGTGAGTGCCTTGGTGGAGACATCGAGGTAGTATTTAGCCTCCTTGGCACGGGGAATCGGCCAGGCCTCTTCGGGTCTCTCCAAAATCGTCTTTGCAGGGCTCCCATTGAAACCAAGAAGAGATATACGGAATTTCGGGGTATTCTCCCAGCCGTTGTCGATGCCCTTGCAGTATCGATCATAGAATTGCTGGAGCTCATCATTGATTTCGGGGCGATAGATGTCGTACCCTACGTTTTGTCAGCGGCTATAAGAAAGAAAACTTCCCCACTTACATTCTTGTGAAGCATGCACGCGGAGCCACTTCTGCTTCGTTTGAGCCTTGAGGAATGTGTGGAACGACCCTTCGGAATGGATACCAGTCCTTGCACGCACAATGTCAGTCCCTGACGTGCGGTCTTTGCACAATATAGATACTTACGAATAAGACGCGGTCAGGTATAGCGGGACATCTTTGATGTTCTCCACTTTGATCGTCTTCTCCTCCCAGTAATCGTCGTGATATGGCCGCTTGGAGTACATCGCGGCCATATTTTCAACACGGCCATGACCTAGGCATTTAGTAAAAATCCACAAGTTCAACAGTAGAGGGGAGAAATACCGGCAAAGCCCTTGATTATCATGTCGGAGAACTCCACATGCGGAATCCCGCCTCGAACGGCTTGCTGCCTGTAGACATCAGTCATGCCTTCCCACGGAGCGAAGGCCTTAACAGCGGGGTGGCTGAGACGTGAGGCGAAGTTCAGCTGCGAGACGGATAGCCATGAGTTGCCACTTGAGACAGTTAGCAAGAGGACAAGATTGGATGGCGAATTGTGGAAAGCTCACGCAAAGGCAACAGAGCCGTTGCACCAAGGCTGCTTGTAGACCCAATCGACAAGGTCATATATGTCTTCCGCTTCCTGTTGGCCCCAGACGACGATGTCGCCTTCGGAATCGCCAACGCCACGGGCATCCACATTGATGATGGCGTATCCTCTCTCCACCCACTCTGCCGGATCCGGAGCCTGAAAGACACACAGTGAGCAAAGAAACTGTTCAAAAAACCGAGTGAAGGGGAATTATACCTCGAACTTGTCAAAGCCAGACGTACGTTCCTTAGGGATTCCGCACCGAAAGGGCCCCATGGAGTCATAGTTTTGGGGACCTTCGATGTTTTAGCAAATACAGAGTTAGATATAAAGATTCACTCACCTCTTCCGCTCTTGCCATACGGACTCCAAGGAATAATTGCTGGAACTTTGCCGCTCTCATTGTCCGATGTTGCAGGACGGAAGATGTCCGTGTAGATTTTCACGCCGTCGCGAAGCTTGACGGCGACATCTTTCTCAAAGACAGTGTCGACACCAAAAGGTCTACGCCCGGGCTCTTTGGTGTAGCCCTTTTCGAGAGTCTTTACAGATGGATTGAAGCCGTCATACTTGTATCCGGGGTGCTGGTCAGGAGCCACAAGCGGCGAGAGGATGATATCTGGAAATTGTCTCTCAAGGATAGACATGGTTGCTTAGCGGAAGACTCAGGTCGATGGGACAGTGATTTCTTGGCTGGGTTATGGGACAGTGATTCCCAATACTAGAGGGTGGTTTTAAATGAGGGTGATGTGGTCCCGATGTGACCCTTCCCGACACCATTTACGGTAGTATCCGCGCTTAGCCGGACTCGGACGGTGTAGAGCATGTAAATCCGATATTCCGCAGGATTATGCATAGAAGTGCGACTACGGCAGAAATAGGCAAGATACGAGGTGTTTATAGAGGAGGCTCAGCTCACTAAAAGCTAATTAAGCTTCCCCGCAAACGGTGGGTGGGCAGCCGCGCCGACGTGACCCGGCGAACGAGGGGCAGCAGATCACGGCGACGGCGGGGACGAGGCCCCGATCACGACACGTCAGATAAGTCCGACCTCGCTCTCCCCATCATCACTCTCCAATCACACCCTGACATCGGGCTGTGTCCTGCTCATCGGCCGCCTACCATCAATCCAGCACTGGCACTCCCGATCCGAGACATGCCGACACGTCCGAGCAGTCCGAACCCAGCGCCGCCGCCGGTCGAGCCGATTCCCCGCCAGGCAGATGCTGGTGGTGATGATTGCCTGAGGCAGCAACCCCAATCCCATCACCCACGACGCCGGAAACTGGACTCCACCAGCCGATCACGCCTGCTCGAGCTTCCCGCCGAACTGCGCCAGCTGATCTTGACCGAAGCACTGCATGATCCTGCCGGGGTGCGTGTCACCGAGGACCGCGTCTCGTCGAGCCAGTTGCCGACGCTGGCCGCGCTGGTGCTGGTGTCACGGCACGTGCACGACGAGGCCCTCGCCGTCTTCGCCTCCTGCAACCACTTCCGCGTCGACAATGCCGACGGCCTGCTCTTCCTGTTCCAGTTCGTCGGCGCCGAGGGCCGCCCGCAGCTGCGCCATGCCGACATCGCCTTCGCGCGGCCCACGGGCTGCGGCTTCGTCGAGAGCCCCGCGGCGCTGGCGAAGGCGCTGGCGATGCTCGAAGAGGAGGCCTGCTCGCCGCGGTTAAAACTGACGGTCGAGCTGTCGCTGCGCGCGGTGCAGGCGCCGTGGAACCACCCGCACGAGCGCGAGAACGAGCATTGCCACCACTACCCGGAGTCGGCGAAGAACAAGGCCGGCAAGAACTTCTGGATCCACCCGGCCAGCGTGCGCGACACGCCGCACGCGGACGAGTTGAAGCGCCTCGTGGCGCGCGCCGTGGCGGTGCGCTGGTCCGGCAGCCCGCAGTACTCGTGGTCCAGCGCCGCCGACGACTCGCTGGACTTTGTGCGGAAGTCGGAGGAGTGGCTGCGGTCCGCCGACGACCCGGGCTTCGAGTACGTCTGCTCGTGGGAGGTGCTGCCGCCGGCGCCGCTGAGCTCGGCTAAGTGGAAGGATGACGATGGCGTGGTACGGCCGGTTGCGGAATCATGATTATTCCTGCATCAAGGTATGTGCTCTTCGCCCTTCTGTCTGAGCGGATGAACATCCCCTTGGTTCCTTCTGTGAAGGTGTTAAAAGAGGTCGTTGTAACCATGTGCTGAAGCTCCCCCACTGTGACCGAGGGATTGTGAGGCGTAGAGGCTGTCCTTGCGAATACCCCATGTTGTTGGACTTGAGCATATTCCGTGAGAGGAAGTGTGTGGTAAGCGCTGTCTCCAGAATTTGCGCCATCGTTGAGCCGTGGCTTGGCTTCTGGAATCATCATGCTCACCAATGAAGTCCTTCGCCCATAGAAAAGAGCGTAGAACAACTGGTCAAGACGTATAGAATCCTCCCGCGAGGAAATCTTTAATACCACCAACTGTGCATCAATGTCTCTGTGAGCGCTGTTGCCATGTCGTGGTCTATAGACTACCTACCGGTTCTTGCAGGCAAGTCCACCATTGCTGATGTATTTTGATATAGCCGAGTGCCATAGGACCCACGCAGCGGGGGGTGTAAGATCAGAGTCCCCATAATGATCGGAACCAACCGATCACAACATGAACCCATCACCTGGAACAAGTCTCGGGAGCTCATACATAAGCCGTTTATCAGTCGGCCCACGCCTGCATAAATTGAAAATATACCCACTTTTTAACGCCACATAGTTCACTTGGACGAACTCTATCGTGTGAACGACTGTATTCAAGTAAAGGACTAACCGACATTCAACGCTCCAGAGGGATTAAAAATACCTCGAAGTCCCAGGCAACTGGCAGTGGCAGTGTCGTAAGCATTGCCGGGGAAATTCCAAATGAGGCTGTAGGGGCCGCAATACCCTGGTCCTAGTGCTTACTTTCTGCGTTTCTGATTGAATCCTCTGCGTGTGGGTGGGAGACCCCCGCGGTCAAAGCGTTCCACCGCAGGACACTTAAGCCTTTTGGGCGCTGCCAACACACCGTAACCTTTCTCGGGTATATCCACATATAAAGGCTGTGCATGGGTTTTCGTTTGTTGACTGACCAATTACGAACCATGGTTGGCGGTGTGCGATCGACCGGCGCTTCTCCCGCATTACCCTTGTCAACCGCTGAACAGGGTAATAACAGGGCACTTACCCTACCTCTTAGCAAGCTCCGCTTCCAGCAAAAAGTCATCAGGACCCCAAATGGGGGCCGAGAATTTTGGTTATTTGAACCGCTGACATGCCCCAGCCTTTCGTTGTAACCGCTTCGTTCGACCAAGCATGAATACCACAGCCGGAGGATCCATCCCACAGGACACAGCATCCCCGTCCCTGCCGGTTTCCGCCTTCGCGGCGGCAGGTCTTGGGGCTGCTTTCCACCTCGCGTCGCAGAATTTCGAGCTCGACAAACATGCATGGCGCCTTATTGGAGGCTTCTACCTTTACGTTTTTTCTGCCATCGTTGCTGCCACCTATTATCTTGGTAATGGAGTCTTGTCGGCCACTCTTCAAGTCGTCCCTCTAGCGGTGGCCACCCTCGTTGGCCTTTACAGCAGTATCGCCATCAGGAGGCTCTTTCTTTCCCCCCTCCGGAAGTTTCCTGGTCCCTGGCAGGCACGTCTCTCCAAGTTCTACCACTGGTATCTGGAGTCAAAGAACCTGCAGCTGTTTGAAGAGGTCCGGAAAATGCACGAGAAGTATGGCGATTTTGTCCGCACTGGTTGGTCACCATCGAGAAGAAAAGTGGTGCACTGGAGCTAAAGTAATGCATGCAGGACCTCGTGAGATTTCCATTCTACGGCCGTCCGCCATACCGTTGATCTACGGCGGCAAGTCGCCCTGCCAAAAGGGGCCCTGGTACGATCAGACCAAGTTCGGTGATGACGGCAACAGCCTGTTCAACATAATCAATATCAAAAAGCACAACCATCGGCGTAGGATCTACGACAGAGGTTTCAGCACCAAAGGTAGCCTCCCTTTCTCTCTATCTGGCTCTCGCCAATCGTAGACTGACGATATTGTCGAACCACAGCGCTCAACAGTTACGAGCCACGCGTCCAGGATAAAGTCTCTACCTTACTCGAGAGGCTCGGTAGCTTTGAGCAGAAACCTGTTAACGTGACTGCGTGGATGGGTTACTTTTCGTTCGATGTCATGGGCGATGTGATCTACTCGAAGGAGTACAACATGATGCGCGATGGTAACGGCAAGATCGCAGCCGGCGGTGTCGAAACGACGCTTTCGAAGCTGCACGACGGGATGAAGATGCTCGGACTGGTCGGCACGACTCCCTGGATTTTGCGCATGGTGAGCCAGATGGGTGACTTTGGAGATTTCGCTATCATGCAGCAATGGTGTCGCGGCGCGATGAAGGAAAAGCTGGCTGTAAGGAACCCCCCTCCCGCCTCAAATCAGCGCACATCTCCCGCCCCTTACTCCCAACCACATTCACGGGTGCCCCTCCTTGGGACATGAAAAAAGCTGAAAGTCCAATCGCGCTGACCCCAAAAAATCCAAACAGGCCTGGGAACCCGGCACCACCCCTACCGACACGGCCTCCTACCTCATCAAGGACTTCATCGACGACCACGCCACGACGCAGCAAACCCAACAATCCATCCTGCAAGACAGCGCGCTCCTCATCATCGCCGGCTCCGACACCACCACCTCCGCCGCCGTCAACGCACTCTACTACCTCACGAAATACCCGGCCGTCTACGCGCGCCTGCAGTCCATCCTCGACGCGACCTTCGCCTCGGCCGCCGACGTCACGCACGACAAGGCGCGCGAGATCCGCCTGCTCGACGACATCGCCAACGAGACGATGCGCCTCAAGCCGCCGGCCTGCGAGGGCCTGGTGCGCGAGACGCCCGCCGAGGGCCTGACCGTCGACGGCGTGTTTATTCCTGGCAAGACGATTGTTAGTGTGCCGACGTGGACGATTCAGCGCGACGCCCGCTACTGGGAGGACCCCGAGGAGTGGAGGCCTGAGAGGTGGGAGGGCGTGAATCCGAATGAGGAGGGGTTGGCGTTCTTGCCGTTTAGTAAGGGTGAGTTTGTGCTTCCTGAGCCCCTTTTTACCCTCCTTTTTTTTTTTTGGCGGTGTGAGGAGGTTGGAAAGAGTGAAGTTGAGCATTGGCTGACGTTTCAAAAGGTATCTTCTCTTGCCCTGGTAAGATGCTGGCGTACATGGAACTCCGCCTTCTGATTAGCCGCATCGCTTTGACCTTCGACATTGAGCTTGCGCCGGGCGAAGACGGTGTCGAGTTCGATACGCACCCGCTGGATACATTTACGATGCTGAACCAGCCGCTGCAGATGGTGTTTAAGCCCAGGAAGCAGCGTGCATGAGCGGATTTCTGGAGAAAGTGGGAGACTATTGATGAAGAGGGCGTATATACCTGCTAATGTTAGTTTCCTTGGAAGGTTAGCGGATTTCGTTAGCGTCTATTTACTGTATCAGGCTGAGACGGGCTTGCACGACCCTCTATAAAACAGCTATATCGGAGGACGTTATTTGTTTCCTCCTAGAATAATCATTCTGCGCACTTCTAATTCTATGGGAACGAGTGATTGAATCCACTTCGAACATGCTGGCGGAAATAAGATTTGACATGCTTGAATCCCAGATCCAAGGAGTATTAGACATTGCTGTTTCGTAGGTACATCCATCTTTCGACAAAGAAAACTACTCCTGTCGACAAACTCTACAAGACGGAAGGTGGCGGCCAGCGCGCAGTACTGTCGAGAGTAGATTACAAAGGTCTACGTGCTCAAGACCGAATAGACACACGTGGAAGAAGTGAAGGTACTGGTACAGTGCCCATGTAGAAGAATAAGCCATCAGTGTGGAATGCGTGAACGCATCCGCGTCTATCCCAACATCCTGTCAACATTGTCTGGAAAAACACATGCCGTCGTAACGCCAACGCCGTCAATGCTTGGAGGAATATGAGGAGTATGCTGTCTATCAGCCAGCGATAAGGACCCAAAGAAGGAAGACTGCGGGGCAAGAGTTAGCGCACGGATATCCGCAAGGCTTAGAAGGGCATCATACAAATCATAAGAACACCAAACATTTTGGCGACCAGCCATCTGTTCCCACTGACGCGGTTCCAGTATTTCATCAGTTCGCGCTGGGCACCCTGGACGTTGTCGACGACGTCTTCCGTGTTGGCGTCAATGCGCTGGATCATTTCGCTCTGTTCTGACACCATTTGTGCCAACTGGCCGAAGATCCCACCAAGCTCGGAGATGGTCCGTTCGATCGCCTCGATGGCTTCGCCACGCTGGTTGATGTACGTGTTCGCAGGCTGAGCCTCTTCCATGAGCATGAGCTGCTGATCCGACATTCCCGCACCGCCTCTTCCTCCCATCAGCGCGGACGAGCCGGAACCATTGGGCTCCAGCGTCAGGAGATCTTGCTGAGCGGCATTTGTATTCTGGAACCCAGGCTTTGGACTGCGGCCCCGAGATGGTGTCTGGTACAGCGGCGAGTCGGTGCGGCCGGGCTCGAGGCCGGGCTGGGCGTTCGAGGAGACGGAAGAGACGAAGTTCTCAGTGCGCGACTTGGAGGCTTGAATGTTCTTGGTGCGGACCTCGAGCACTTCCTTAAAAGACAGGCCAACGTCGGCCACGCGGCCCTGCAGCAGCAACAGCACGTTCTTGTTGTGCTCGCCTTCCTGGTCCTTCTGGTTCTGGGGGTGCTGGGCGGCCGACAGCTGCTGCAGTTGCTTGATCGAGGTGTTGAGCTGAGCCAGGTCCTGCTTTATGACGTACGTGAGCTCGGCAATCTCGACGGGACGGTCGTCGAAGAGCGTCTTGCGGCGAGCCAGCTGGGCCAGGCGCTCCAGCTTCGCCATGGCACCAGAAATGCCGCGCCCGATCTCGGCCGCTTTGCGAGCGAACTCGCTGCGCTGCCGTTGCGGCGACTCGGCGGCCTGCTTCTGCGACTGCGACAGCAGCGACTGGCGCTGGGCGCTGGCCTTATTATTCTGCACGCGGCGCTGGGCCTGCTGCAAGATGCTCCGGAATTCGGGCGTGCGGTCCTGGATCGACGTGGCGGCCATGACGGGCAACGGGCGGGTGCGGGCGGATGTTGGCGAGAGCGGAGAGGGTGGTCAGTGGTCGGCGGAGGAGAGAAGGCGGGTTCGTATGGGCGACGCGAGCGGGCGAGATTGCGCTGGAGACCGCAATTTCAGCGCGGAACGGGGGGCCGCAGGCGTGGGGTGTAGCGCGGTCAAAAGGTTTCGGAGGGTCGGAAGGGCGGCGAGGGACTAGTCGCAGCGGCAGAACATGAGAGTCGGTTGTGTGGGCGGCGTTGAGAAGATTGGGACTGGAGTGGTAGCGTGGCTGCAAGGACAAAGGCACAGACGGAGGTGGTTGAGTCGCAGGGAGAGCGGCGCGAGCCTGGAGCGCAAGCTGGCCTGTCTGGTTGCCGCTGCCTCAGCCCCGACGCCTGGCGACGCGCCCGCATCGCAGCGCTCAGGGGGGCTAGCCACTAGCGACTACGTCAGCTGCTGCTGCAAGCCTCCGTATTGTCCGTCTTGATATGGCAACTATGCCGCCGGTCGTTTATTATTAAGAGAGTTGCATATGGGAACAAAGAGTATTCCTGTGGATTAAGATCTTCACATTTCTTCAAGCACAGCGGCAGATGACAGGCAGTCGAGACAATTGTTACTTGCGCTGCAAATTGCCATGACGTGCACAATATAGGTCCTCATGCCTCGTGCTGCAGACCAACCGTTGAGCACTCTCTGCAGGCATCACGGTTACACGGTATTTAGCCCCCTGGCTCAGCCTCTCCGCGCTGCGTCAACGGCAAACCACCTTCTCGCATCGTGGCTGCTGCTGCCCTGTCTGCTGCCCAGCTTCCCTGCCACGCCGTGCCGTTGCCGCCCGCGCCCGCCTCCTCCGCCTCCCAGATCTCTCAGCCCGACCACGCCTTTCACAACGAAACCTGCCTCTTTTCTACTCAGAATTTGCAGCACATCCTGTGCGCTGCAAAACTGATTGTCGCAGGGGAGCGGACCGAGCGTCATCAGCCCACAGCCCTATCTCATTACGACGGCCTCGTGTCCGCCCATCACCCGCTGCGGCTTGCGACTATACGCCCGCAATTACGAGCCACTGCCACGCCGATCGCCGTCCGCCGCATACTTCTCCCGGCCCGCCTCCTTCGCAGCCGCGCACTTCACCTTGCTCGTTGCCCAGACAAGCCCAATGCCGCGGTCCTGTTAAGCCATACCGACCGCGCAATCCACCATGTCGGGGCCCTACCGCTTCTCGCAGCCGGACCGCGTCACGTCCCCCTTGTAAGTCTCAACAGCCGCGGCAGGAACACCTCTCGTGGAAAGTCAAGCGCGCATCCGGGTAGCTGCGCTATCCCTTTGAAGCGCCGGACTTCCGCGCCTGGACGCGCGCGCTTCCATCCTTCATGCAGTCTCGAGACCATGCAGGCTCACTGCATGGTGCGCGAACCACAACTGACGTTCGTGCAGAGACCAGCGGCCCCCGAATCCCTTTCCCAGCGGCCAGCCCGTGTCGTTCAAAACCAACATCAACCGCAACAAGACAAGGAAGTGGGTTCAAGCGAAGGCCTTCTCGTATGACGGCGATGATTGGGGCGACTATGACGAGGACGATGAGTATGGAGTAGCCGCCCACGCCTCGCAGAACCCCCAGGCTCCCACCGGCCTGAGGCAGCGCGGCCAGAGCATAGACAAAACTGGCGCATCGCGGAGCTTCACCGAGCCCGTTCAAGCTCCCGCGTCTGCCCAAGCTCCCGTGCTTGGCCGTCGCTCATCCTTCGAGTACGGCGATGAGAAGCAGGCCTTCTCAGCGTCGCTGAACCACGCGCAAACGATGCCGCCGCCTATCAACACGTCGGTACCAGGAGGGAATGGAAAGGCGCCTGCTGTCGGGCCTGCGCCCGGTGCCGATGCACCTCAGCAAGTGCTATCTACGTCCCCGCAACAAACCCAAGAGCCCGAATCCGCGCAGAGCCGCATCTCGAATACAAGCTGGGATCCGTCAGTAGTGAGTGACTCCTCCGCTTATCAGGCCCCTCAACTCCGCCGCGACTTCTCCGTATCTGCCCTTCCACCACCTCTGCAAATGAGGCCGCACAACACATCCACTCCCACCGCACCCCAGGAATCACCATCTTCCCGCTTTCCACCCCGGAAAAGCAGCCTCAGCCAGGCGTCAGCAGAACCGGTCCAGGCCGGCGACTCAGCGCAATCAACACCAACAGCGTCTCGGCAGCGCGCCCCCAGCAACCCCAATAAGCCCTTGCCCTTTATCCGCCCGGCCGACATCTACAAGCGTGTGGAAGAGGAGCGCAGAAAGGCGTCAATGGACTCAGAGAGGCCAAGCCTGGATTTCGTAACTCGCCCGTCCGCAGCTGAGTTGCAATCGCCTGGCGCGATAGCAGCAAGCAGCTCGGATAGCCTGGATCGCGACCACAGTTCCAATGTGGACCGCTATGATGGCGGAAGGGGACAGAGCTTAGCTCCGCTTGAGACTGTCGCTGAGAGGAAGAGCGAGTACCTGCCCGAATTTTCCCTCGTTCAAGCCGAAAAGGCAGCAAAGGCCGAGTCTCAACAGGCCACGCCTTCGCAGTCTCGCCCGCCACAAATATCAGCGCTGCCTGATGTCCCTGTGTCGTCGTTCGGCGCGGACTTTTGGGGTTCCGCAGAGAAACCTTCCACAGCATCTTCCAGCGCACAGCAGCTTGCAGAGGCTAACAACGTCCTTCCGCAGCCCGAGGTTGGTCCCTCCGAAGACACGTCCCTCCACCACCAGCCGTCGCATGGTTTCCGTACCGCCGTCCGTAACGCGTTCGAGCGTAAAGACGATAACTCGGTTCCGGCTACTCCGGTGTCTAAATCCAATTCACTTTCTGCCGGAGGCAGTGGTGTTTCCAGGAGCAACACCGATAGCACGGCTGGCATTAGCCCCATCATGAGTCGGGTGCCTAGCGGCGCAAATCCTACGTCCTGGAAAAGGGACATGGAAAATGCCACGCCTGCGATTGCCGAGGAGCCTGCCGTTCGATCAAGACCTGCTTCATCTGGAACTCTCCAGCAAGTCCAGGCCAACTCCTCGCTCTCTCACTCGAGAGACGGATCAACGAGCTCGATCCCGCGCATTGGCACGCCGACTGGCAGACGCCCGCTAGGCACACCAAGCCCCAGCCAGAGCCCCGCCAAATCCCCCTTCATTGAGCCTGCTAAGCCAGTGCCTGCTGGGGAATCTGGCGAGCTCAGCGGGGTTGGTCCCCTTGACCCTGCGAGCCCCACAAACTTCGCCACGCGAGAGGCTGATCTGGTCTCATCCCCTTCCAGTAGTAATAAACGCACGAGTGCTAACATGGGAGCGGAGGAGAAGCAGGCACAGACATCTTTCTTGGAGCATCGACGCCAATCCGTTGAAGCTTCACCGGAACGCGCTTCCCCTGTCTCAAGGGCAGAATCACCGACCAAGGGAAGGGTCCGTGATCTCGCAGGGAAGTTTAACGAGATCGTTAGCGACTCGAGGCGCAATTCGACCTCCTCCCTTAAAAGTAATGGATCTGGGAACAAGAGGCTCTCCAGACCATCATCACCCACGAAGGAAACGGCCGGCGAGCGTCCGCAGCCCGAAAGGGAAGCCAGTTTCCGGCCAAAGCTGCCTGGCACGTGGGAGTCGTACACTACTGTGGGCCAGTCCTCTCCCGACAAGGAAAAGCAGGAACCCGCTATGGCCCCCGTGCAGGAACGCGAGGATATGCCGCTGCCGACTAAGAACAATGACGCTCTTGGAGATGCGGACATAACTCCAACAACGGCGAAGCACCCTGTCGATCACAAGGATGCCGTCGATCCGGTGCATGATCCGATGGGAGCTCTTGCCGCTGCAGGGGCTGCTATTGGAGAATCGATTAAGTCTGCCGTTGCGCCAGAGCAGCGGAGCCCGACCAGGTCGGAACCTGAGTCCTGGGAAGGATCCAACGCTTCGGACGACCAGCCACCAGTCGTGGAAGAAGAGAGGAAAGGCAGGGCAGTTGGCGATGTGTACCTTCGTCCTCTACAGCTTGACAGAACAGCGTCATCAATTGCGTCGTCGAGCGGTGCGCCAACCCCCAATGGCGATCGCGAAGATGACTCGCCTATAAAGGCGCCTCCACCACTCAGGTCGTCCAGAAGCCCGTCCCTTCAGCCACCGGGCCTGGAAACCCGCGACACTGCGCAGACATCTTCTGAGAACTACAGCCCTGGTCCTGACACGTCGGATTTGGCAACGGATAGGCTGACTGCGGACATCATGAAGCGGCTTAGCACTCCTAGTCTCGTTGGCAGTGTCCCGGATGTTAACCGTACTCAAACGCCGCAACCAACTGCTCAAGAGACGCCCAAAGCCTTGCAGGAGACCCGTGCCAGCTCCGTGGTGCCGAGCGAGTACGAATATTACTGGGCCGCTGGCGGTGAAGATGCAAGTGGTGACGGCTCGGGCCACAACGCGGCCCCACAAACCACAGCGCCGGAGAGCACAATTCGCACGGTTGAGCCAGAAGGGCCGGCGGCTCCTGCAGGCGACAGCTCCTCGCGACCGGGCTTTCTGTCAAAGAAGTTCAGTTGGGAGAGACAAGAAGGTACTGGAAATGCCGCCGCTCAGGCCTCTCCTTCGGGAGCACAGGCGCCGGCGGCCAGCAAAGAGAGCGCTTCCACCGCCCCGGGAGCTGACAGCTCATACTTTGCGGCAGCACCGCAGCCTGAAGACCACCCCTCGGTCGCCAAGGCCATTTCTGAGTTGCCCGATGCGCCAGGACTCCATTCTGATGGGTTGCACATTGTCAACCCTGAGCCCGAGCTCGACAGCTCGTCAGCGTCGGGTGTGGAACTCGAGGCCCCTGCAGCGCCCAATCAGCCACTTGACGCCGACGCGTGGCGAGCACAGACGAACGATGTCGATCCCCCATCCTCGCAGCCTCTGTTCTCGCCGGCCCAACAAACGCCTTTTGGAGCCGCGCACCAGCAGGAGCAGCGCATGCCCCTGTTCCGGGAGATCCTTGCGCTGAAGTCCACGGACGAGCGCCTTGCCAAGTATCATCAGACGCGAGAGCAGTTCGCGGGCATGGACACGGGCCTCCGCAACTGGGTCTCCACTACTCTGGCTAATAAACCAGAGCACGCCGAGCTTGCAAACCTTCCCAAGCAGCCGCTGCCACCCATCTCAACCACGCACAGCAGCAGCGGCGGCGGCCTGATGATGCGCCACAAGCACAATGCTTCCATCTCCCACTTTGCGACGGGCTTCCGCAAGACCAGCCAAACGGCCTCCGGACTGACTTCCGGGCCTGGAGGGCACGACAACGTTTCCAGCCCCACGGATGGTGGCCAGCCAAGCGGTGCCGGCCTCGAGAAGATGATGCAGGTCAGAGGCAAGGACCTGCTCAAGGGTGCCGGCGTTCTGGGTGGAAAGGGAATGAAGGAGGCCAAGGGTCTCTTCGCCAAGGGGCGGAGCAGATTCAGAGGCGAAAGCAAGGTAGATTGATGATTTTTCTTGGCTCTCTCTCTCCTACATCCACGACGCTCCCAATCACGCCCAAGTCCTGCTCCTTTTACCTCTCAGCCCTTTTCTTTGGAGTTTTGATTGCTTGGAAGAGGACGTGAGGGTGCTGGCGAGCCTTCCCGGTTTCGGTTTTCTTTTCCCTCTTATCGAGCTACGATCTTTTCGCGGGTTCGTACGACAGCAAGAGAAGCGCATGGGGAGTTGATGCTTGTTCGCTGGACGAGAATCGCCGGCTTCGCGTTGCATTTTTATGTGTTAACGAAAGCTTCAACTCCGCATACACTTCGAGTGCTGCATCCATCTACGAAAATGCCTTAGCTCGATTCACGGCCGTCTTTTCCTGTCTTCGTTCTATTCCCCACTATGCTTTCTTCCACCTTGCATGAGCAACACCTGTACGAATAGGCGAATCTTGGTCCCTTCAGGCACTTGCGTTATTTGTATAATTTCTTCAATCCTAATTCCTCGCTTCCAACTTGCTGCCACGATTCATCACTGCTTGAACCAGATTACCAGCTCTCTTCAAGTTTGAGAATGTGAAGGTTGATTCGATACCCGTGTGCAAACAGGCCTCTCGTAACATCACTCCCCACGATCCTTCCGCCTCTTCCTCAAACACCACTGCTGCTTCACAAGCACAACCTACTCCCGCACCACCATCCCAGCCCGATGCCCTTAGCACTACTGTTGCCGATGCGACGAATCCCTCCGTTCAACCTGACTCAAGTCACCGCGCTGGCCCCCACGTGCCGTCTCCACTTCCGCCTCTTGACACAGCCTCATCTCAGGTCGCGTCTCCTTCGTCTGCAGGCCTACTTAACAGCAGCATCCTCCAATCGCCCGCGACTCCGTTTGATGTTGAAGAGCTAGGGAAAGAGGGAGAACAGAAGAAAAAGAGACGCTTTTCGTTGGGCAGGCTTAGGCAAAGGAGTAAGAGCGCAAGCAGGAGTAGGAGCAGGCCGACTAGTATGATCTTGCTGGAGGAGCCTGGCAGCAGAGCGGAGTCGACCAAGTCTGCTGCCGTTCAACCACCATTGCCCCCGCCTCCGCCGTCGCAGTTCCCGAAGGATTTGTTTGCTAGTGAGAAGCACGACAACGTTGAAGCGAAGGGTGAAGAGAAGGAAAAGGAAGTTGCTGAAGAGCAAGGGGAGGAAAAGGAGAAAAAGGAGGAAAAGGCGACGGAGGATGTGGGGGAGAAGCAGGGAAGCGAGACGGGAAAGGAGGCCAAGGAAAAGATGGTGAACACCAGGCTGAGCGAGGATGTGGACAATCACATCCGAGGCAGCGAGGGCGAGAAACCAGCCATGGCAAAGGACGAAAACGCGTCAGTGGACGCCGTCGATTTCGGGGCCGACCCGGGACAGCGGGCGGACCGGCCCTCGTCGGCGGAAACGGAATCGCAACCAGCTGCCGCATCCGTCGTAGCGCTGTCGCAAGCAGCGACCGAAGTTGTTGCTGCGCCTCGACAAAGCCAAGAAGCAGACAGCAAGAAGGAAGGCCGCGTCGCCGAGATGAACATCAGCAGGCCCATCAGCCGGCAGATCTCGGCCGTCAACTCGCCGGCCGGCAGCAGGCCGGTGAGCAGCGTCGGCAGCGCGTCCGCCGGCCAGTTCGTCGCGCCTGAAGAATGGGAAACCCTACCCGACCCCGCGTCGCCCGTGAGCCGCGCCTTCACCCAGTCGCCCATCTCCCGCATCGGCACGCCCGGCCACCGCTCGTTTGCCGAGCGCGCCCAGTCGCCCATCCCGCGCTCCGTCACGCCCGGCACCATTGCCATGCCCACGGCGCAGTACCCCGCCGCCGACTTCGGGAGGAGCGGCAGCCAGAAGGGCGGCAAGTGGGAGCGTCTGGGCGTTTTGCCCAGCCCCAACATCGAGCCGCTGTCGTGGTTGGATGAGAAGGAAAAGAGAAGGAGCTTGGCTGCAGAGCAACGGATGGAGCGGGTCATTGAGAGCGTTGTGCGCAACAGCACCCCCGTTAGCGTGCGCAGCAAGGGCAGCGCCGGCAGCATGGGCCGGTTTGTGACTAGTGGCGAAGAAGAGGTGCAGGCCAGGCCTTCTGCCGAAGGAGACGAGGATGGAGCAGCCAAATCGTCCAGGCAATCCTTTGCGCAGCGTGCCAATGCTGGTGCTTCTTCGTCTCGGCAGTCTGTTCGCACGAGGAATTCGAGGGGCTCGATCGCCTCGTTGCTGCCGATTCCACTAGACGAGATGGCGAGAAAGGATCTCACGCTCGAGGACCACGAGTTGGACAGGCCAAAGTTCGACGTTTCGCCCATCGAGCTGGATGATACGGAAGCGGAAGCGCGCGATGAGCAGCTTAAGGCGGCTACTCCTCAGCGACAAAACGGGCAAGGTGAAGAGTCTTACGCAGCTCCTGATGCACATGTTGGTGCTCAGAAGTCGCCTTCTCGCGCATCCAGTAGCCATTACGGTGCGGCAGATTCTGGAGAGCCCATTGAAGGACCTCCGCGTCTTGCGTCTCCTCTCCAGGATATTAGTGCTGCAGCTGCAGCCGATGCTCCTAGACAAGGAGGGCAAGAGGACAATTCGCGTAAATATCAAGTCAGCCCTGTCAATCCTGAGTTTGATGCCCAGCCGCGTCCGAGACCGGCAAACAGGGAGTTGGAGCAGGCCCCACGTCCGTTTTCGTACATGGAAGGCCAGAGCACACAAGAGGAGAGTCTACAACAAGGTTACACAGGACCACGCCACGGCCAGCATGCACCACCGCAGCACGGCCCGAACGTTCCTTTGGATGCTGGCATGCAGCGCGGTACGCCGTATGCCAGACGCGGTCCTTACAGTTGGCAGCCGGGCCCGTACCCACCGCACCAGCAGCACCCTCCGCCTCGTCAAGGCTACCAGCCCCCGCCGTCTGCTCCTCCAGGGCTTGAGGGACGCCGCCAGTCCTTGCTTCTTCAAGGCGATGGTAACGACAACTTCACCCGCCAGGATTTCGACCCGCGCTCCTACTCGTCCGAGTTCCAGCTGCCAGGCGTTGGGCCGCCCGATCACTCCGAGAACTCAGAACTGCGGCAGAAGAGGAGGTCCATTCTGGGGAACATCGGTGGTGGCTCGAACAATAGGACGTCGCCTGCAGGCTCAAATCCGAACACGCCATCTTCCAAGTCGACCGAACGCGTCAACGAGCGCATCAACCCGCAGCATGTCGATCAGCAAGCAATGCTGCACCGTACATTCTCCTACCAGTCCAGCGTCGATGAGTCGCAATTGAAGCTCGCACCTGCATCCGGTGGTAGCAAGAAGGTGAAGGAGACGGATGGCCAGAAGCAGAAGCGGCAGAAATCGGGTATCTTCTCTCCGTTCAAGCGGAGTAACTCCAGCGATCCCGCCAGGCCAATCCCGCCACCCGAGGCTGACCGAGCCAGCCCGTCCGTCGCGCCTAGCCAGTCGAAGAATGGCCGGAAGGTGCTGCAGCGTAACGCTAGCTCTGGTCGCTTGCCGACGCAGGCCATGGCGGTGGCTGAGACGGACAAGAAAGAGAAGAAGAAGCGGACTTCGTTATTCGGTAGTATATTCGGTCGGTCCTCATCCGCCCCCTCTGCGGCGCGCGTGAAGGAGGACAAGAAGAAGCTTCGCGGCAGCGAGAGCAAAGGCAAATTGTCGAAGCTGAGGAAGGTTGATAACGCCAGCAGCCACAACCTCTCTGCTGCCCAGCAGCCCCAGGGGGCAATCACTGAGGCTAGAGATGCGGCTTACGCGCCCGTCCCGCAGCCTCCGATGCTGGGCGGCTACCGTGACCTGAGGGAGACAGCAGCTGCGAATGAGGATGCTATGGAAGAACAACAGTCTCTGCAAAACGAGTTCTACGCATCTTCTGCCGAGCAACAGGCCCCTCCTCCGACAAGCACTGCTGGACCCGGCTACTATCCGCCTGGTCCTCTTCCTACCACTCAGCCTATGGGCTACCCTGGCCCTACTTCTGCTCCTGGCTTTGCACCTTATCGCCATTCGCCCCCCGCAACTCGTACCCGTTACTACCAGCAGCAGCAGCAGCAGCAGCCCCCTCAGCGTGCTCTCTCGCATGATCGTGCCTTGTGGCCCAATGGCGTTCCCCCGTCGTCGATGCCGCCACAACCCCGTCGCTTCTCGGAGCAGATGCTGCAGCAGTATCCGCCGGCACCAAGTCGTCCTTACCAGACCCCTCCGCCACCGCAGCAGTACAGCCGCCATCCCAGCCAGAGCAGCGATTACGGTGCAGCCCTTTCGCCGCAGATCTCGGCGATGACGCCGCCGCAGCCTGGAGAGTATCCTCCTCCGCAGCAGAGGCACCCGAGTAGCGGCGAGGAAATGATCGTCAGCCCCATCACGTCGAGGTCGTCGTCCAGTGGTCCTGGAGGCTATTTCGGACGGGTCAGTCCAGAGATGGAAAGGAGGAATGGCCCGGGGAACGTATTTGAGAGGCAGAGGTTGTGGCACCAGCAACAGCAGCAGCAGCAGCAGCAACAGATGCAAGGGTCGCCTAGCAGGCAGAGGGTAATGGGGAGGATCCAGGAACAAGTCCCGGTGGCGCCGTATCAGCAGCAGCCGCCGCCGCCGCAACAGCAACCGTGGGGCCACCCCCCTTACCAACAGCAGCAGCGGCCCTACGAGCTCAGTCTACCCGGCACCACCACCGACTCTACCGACTCGGGAGAAGACGACGATCGTAGTGCTGCCGCCGCCGCCGGGAACCCGGGGAAGAACGTCGTCAACGCGTGGTCGCCGCCGCCCCCTCCGTCGTCGTACCCAGTCAGCGGTGGTCCTGCCGCTGCAGCCGCTGCCGCGTATAGAGAGGTTCTTCCGCGCGGCTACGCGCCCATCACCACTGCCGCTACCGCCGCCGCCGCCACCGCTGCTATCAGCGGCGGCACGTCGCCCATCGCCACGCGCGTCGAGCCGCGGTGGAAGGAGATCTCGCCCGAAGAAGCGGAGACGGAGCTCGAGCGCCTGCGCGAGCGCCAGGCACAGGAGCGGCTGCTGGCCCAGGAACGGGAGCGCGAGCGTGAGCGCGAACGTGAACGTGAACGTGAACGTGAACGCGAACGCGAACGCGAACGCGAATTGGAACTGGAGCGCGAACTCGAGCAGAAGCAGCTGCGCAACGTCCACCCGGTCTTCCGCCACAGCCCCAAGCCGAGTTTGAGCGGCAGCATCGTCCCGGTCGGTGGTGGCAGTAGCGGTGGAAGCAGTCCTCAGGTCAACAAGGTGCCTTCGACAGGCAATTCGCCCAGGCCCCCGCCCGGCTTCGAGGGCGTCGCGGCGCCGCATCATCAACAGCATCAGCACCAGCACCAGCACCAGCACCAACATCACCCTCCTCATCCGCAGAGGTACTCTGGTGGTCCGGTCGTGACGGCCGCCGGCGGCTTGCAGATGGATCCGGCGTATGCGAAGGAGTACGGCATCCCCACTGGACCGCCGCCGCCCCATCCTAGTGGAGCTACCGGGCTTGAGCAACATCAGCAGCCTGGTGGCGATCATGCTGTCCACAAGGTTCCTGGCGGCGACAGCGACGATGACGATGACGACGAAGATCTCTACGCCGAGCCGACGTATCAGCTCCGCAGCAGGGAGTCCGGCCAGCAGGGCGCGCAGGCGCTGGAGCGCGCGCAGCGCGAAGCTGGCTCTTCGCCGCCGCCGCCGATGTCGACGGTGCCGGCGGAGAGGAAGGAGGAGGGCGTGAGCGAGAGGGAGAGGGAGAGGGAGACGAGGGACGGAAATGACAGGGACGACGCGGATGAGCCGGTCGTTATGCAGGCTGCTAGCTACCCCGGTATGGAATGGACACCGAGGTGGGATGGGACGATTGAGTGAGAAGAGATAATGATGGTGGTGGTATCGTCTTGTTTTTGGACGTCGCGTTCTTTTTCCTAGTGTTTTTTCCTTATCGTTTGTTGGTGTGGTGATTAGTTGTTTTGTTTATTCGGCTTTTCCTTGTGTTTTTTTTTTCCCCTTTTTTGCCCTGCTCTTTCCTTGCGTTTGTGTTTCCTATCAGATTGCAGTGTCGTACACAAGGGTGACTTCAGTTGTTGATATCCAAGTTGTTAGTATCTGACAGTTAGCTTTTCCTTTGTTTCTCGTTTGTTTATCGAGTTTTTCCTTATCGAGAATCTCCTGTGAGGGGGCGGCTTTGTCAAATCCTTTTTTTGCCGAAGAAAAGTTGGCGATGGGGTCTTAATAAAAGGAATAATGGTGGTGATTGTGTGATCCGGGAGGCGCGGTAGTCTGACCTTTTGTTACCAGTTTCCTTATGTTGGTCCGCTCATTCTATTGCGCTCTTGTTATTTCAAATCGTTCTAAGATTCCCCATACATGCGGGCGGAAGAAGCTGCCAAATTCATTCATTTGAGTTTTGCTTTAATATACAGCTGTTGTTACTTGGTTATATCGCTGTGTGGTGTTTCCGTTTGCTGGGGAGTTTTGATTTTTTGGAGTCTGTAGCCTGCGGGCTGACCTGCCTTCATTACCTTGGAGGGGTCTCTTTTTTTGTTTAGTTTGTTAATTCTTCTGTTCAATACTTAATTTGAAATAATTTGGAGATAGGTAATGGAGGCAGGTCCTCGCGTAGTTGGTCGCAATACCAACAACAAATAACTCGCGCCCTCATCTCAATTTCCTACTGACCGGGTCCAAAAAACAGCCACTTCAGGAACGCGCAACAAACTCGATGGTTGGCTTGAGATTTTCTACCTGCTTGGTAATGTACATTTCTGGCCTAATTCTTCAGACTTGAACTACACCACCACCTACCACGGGCTTTCGGCCTGCAATATGCGGCTCCGAGGTCTATGCGACCGCGCTCAAAATGCTATCAGGTCACATCCGCGATTCCCTCCTGAGAACCTCAAACGACTTAACCACACACCCCCACAAGGCTCGACTTTCAAGACCAATGTCCCTAAGCTTTGTCTGCATGGGCTTCCATTATGACTCGAGCTGGGTCGCGTCGCTACATCACAGGAGGGGAAAAAAGATAGAGTGGGCCGCCCGCAACCCAGCTGCTGACCTGCTGACCTCTCTCATTGGCAGGAAGAATAACAGTCCGATCTCTGGCTCCACTTTTACCGTATCTTTGGCTGCTATCTTGAACAATAAGTTGCCCTCCTGAATCACCCAAAAGGCACTTGACTCAAAAACGAATCGCCCGATATGCTTAACTATTTGCTCTTTTTTACCTTGCCTGACCTTCATATCTCCTCCGCAAATTACGTCAATCCCTTCAAATTCAAGCAGCATAGGTGCGAGCCGTCACAGGCACAGGGCATTCGACAATTTGGCTGCCCAAATTAATGCAGTCATCATTACCGCGGTGCCAGCAAGTGTCTGGAACGAAATCAGCTACTTCGGAAAAGCAGTATGCATTCCTGACTTACTGTCTGCACACCGGCAGTAGTTTCCAATTCCTTGGTGAGGAGCCGCTCTATGCCGGTTGTCAGTCTTTTGCTAGAAAATTAGAGATGTGTATTAGAGCTTACGCGTTGTGGCATGGCCGCTTGGGCTTCTTAGCAAGTGAGAAGCCGGAAATGGCAAGGAGAGGGAAGATTGTGGTAGAGAACTTCATTTTGAGGGTGGTACTTTGTTGGAAAACTTGTCTTTAGTGTTTGTTGGATTGCGGAGATTCTAAAGATGTTGGCACAGGTGGAATACTTAAGGTTTCCCGTGCAGCTAAATGTTGAGTTGGCATTCCACGTAGCTCTGAAGTTTGGCTGGTGAGTGACGTAGAAAGTACTTGTTTGCTTCCTACGTTACATCCTGAAGGCAGGGCTCTGGTTTGCCAAAATAAAATAAAACAAGCCGCTCTCCCTCCACGTCTTGCAAGACAACTTGACGTTTGCGAAAGGTCGTCTTGAACCTCTTAGCTTGTTTGGCTTGTTTTCGTAATCTTGCAAGACACCTTAGTATTGTAATTTCGAAACTTAGAATGGTGTGGAAGAAATTTTTAGTAGTAAACGTTTTTTTTTCTTTTCTTCTCATGAAGTAATACTATAATCTTATACGTTATAGATAGGGAAAAGTAATATAAGCCATTATTATATTTAATATTGCATATTCTACCAATAGGTTCCTACTCTGTCAAGATAAATCCGACGCGTCTTGGTCCAAGATTTCTAAAACGAGACGTGTTTAACTAAGACGTCAGGAGCAGACCGTCTTGCAAGACGATCTTGTCTTGATCGGCAAGACACCTTGCCAACATAGAGCCCCACCTTAAGGGTGTCTTCTATCAGTGATGTGTACGAGAGCTACTGCTTAATTAGTACTACGCATCCACGTTAGTATATATCTTGCGAGCATTCGCCTGAGCTCGGTCTTTCGATAACATTCGAGGTCTAGATTTAGGGCTCAGAAGCGCATCTACTATAGACTATAGGGGTAACTGTTGGATGGTACCAAGCCAGGAGAAGAAATCCTCCTGCTGATCGCCGGGGAAGGGTTGTTGGGGATTCGTGTACTGCATGAGGCGCTAAGCTGCGCCGCACCCACAAAATACGTCGCCCCCAAACGCGACCCACTTAGCTCGTATACATAGCGTGGCGGAATCCCATGACTGATACTGTATTCTAGTATCAGCTCGAGAAACATTGATGACTCTAAAGAAAAAGGGGGGCTGTGCGCTAGGTCGGTACACTACTGTGTTGACGATAAAGAAAACAGAATCTGTACTGTAAAACTCTATATTAAAGTTAAAATCTAGTTTATTCTCCCGCCAACTATGGTAGAGACTTTGAATTCTTCTCCGCATTCTTAATTTACCGCCAAGATTAAATTGGGATCTTCGGATTTTTCGGCGACGCCGCACCCGCAACCTTAAGACAAACTGAAGCCGGAGACTTCGCCCCTACTCGGAGGTCACCACTGCACAGTACGAGTAAATGGGCCTGTTAGATCCTCCCTACTGCGCCGTACCCGCTACCAAAAAAAAAAAAAAAGGGTAAACCCATTAGCTAGTATACAGGCAAGTGGATATGCCCTACCTGCTGGAAGTAGCGAATGGTACTACACCCGCGAAGAACACGAATCCGTTCTCATACGACTATGAGCCACAACACCATGCTGGTTCAGAGATGACTCGTTGCTAGCCTTCAGATGCGGAACTTCTCTATGCCGACTATTGCGATTTCAGTCCCCAGAATTTTGAAAGGAAACGTTTTGACGTCACAACCTCAGTGAGTAACCCTGCAAAACAATGTCGAATGAGATGCTGACCACTATGAACAAAGTGTCTTGTCACCGGCCATGAATGCAGCTTCGACAGCGATGACCACCGGATTAGCACTGCTAAATGCTCTTTAAATGCTAGCAGCCAAGGTTCATGTTACGCATCAATCATCTTGGGTAGTGTTCCGAACCTGGCTGATAGTAAATATTATTTCGTTCGCTTTCTTCACGCTTCTTCAGTACTGGATTCCAAATTTTTGTCTACACTGAGACAGTCGAACTCCCAGTGCTCCCTTCCCCTCTAACTTTGCTCACCCCATCAAAATCCTGCCACTCACCTCTCGCCAACCCGCCTATTGCCGAAGGTAGTAAATTGGAGTTTCCTCTGTTTTAATCTGATTCTCTTTTCTCCTTGACTTGATCTCTAAGCCGCGCAGTAGATGCGTAGATGCCCCTCGCAATTTTCTATTGGCTGGTTCACGAGCATGCAGTATGTTTCAGGACTCAGCACCGTAAACTTAACCTAATCGGGGAATTCAGAAGTGGGTTAGCGTCGCCTTTTCCTCATAAGCGTACACAGTAGAAGTTGCAATTCATCGAGCTCAGACACAGTATGCTCCGCGGAGAAACTGAGAACGAGAGCTTTTGGGATGACGCACCCACACCACTTGACTCATAAGCTTTATAAGCCTAGTGGGGTCAGCGCGGAACAACTGGTGAGCTATTAACACCTTAAGTAGGGATACCTGCAGCATCAAAGTTCGCCAGAACCTTCATCTTATGCATCGACTTCCAATAGTAAGCGGACGGCTTACAACCAACCTCATTGGCAGAACTTCAGGCGGGAGCCATCGGCACATCTCGGCAACTTCAACATCAGCCCAACAGTCACGCGCAAGCTTACGCCCCTCAATCCTTACAACCTCATCCGCTCCTCCGTCGCGGTATCCGACACCTCGGGCCATCCAAACTCCACCAAGCCGGATTTCCAAGTCTCATCCAACCAACGCCCGGTCCCTCTCTACCACTAGTAATTCAACCACCATGGCATCATCCACCCTCCAAAAGACCTACCCCTGGACCCAAACCCCCCTCATCATCAACGGGCCCATGGGCGGCTTCGCAGGGCCCGAGCTCGCCGCCGCCGTCACCAACGCCGGCGGCATCGGCTTCATCGCCGGCGGCCTCGACCTCAGCGCCCTCGACAAACAAATCGGCACCTACCGCACGCTCCTGGCGCCACACATCTCCTCCTCCCCCCCTTCCTCCTCCACCGAAGACGCCCTCCTCCCCGTCGGCCTCGGCTTCCTCTGCTTCGGCGCGCCCCTCGCCGACGCCGCGGCGCTCGTAGCCAAGCACCGGCCCGCCGCCGCCTGGCTCTTCGCGCCGCCGCAGCTGGCCGACCACGCGACGTGGGCGCGCGCGCTGCGCCACGCCAGCCCGCGCACGCAGATCTGGGTGCAGACGGGCTCCGTCGGCGCCGCGCTGCAGGTCGCGCGCGAAGCGTCGCCGGACGTGCTGGTCCTGCAGGGCGCGGACGCGGGCGGGCATGGCTTCGAGCGCGGCGCGGGGATAGTGTCGTTGTTGCCTGAGGCGGCGGATGCGCTTGCGGAGGCGGGGTGCGGAGGAGGGATTAAGCTAGTTGCGGCGGGGGGCATTGTGGAAGGGAGGGGGGCGGCGGCGGCGCTGGCGCTCGGGGCGGAGGGTGTGGTGATGGGGACGCGGTTCCTCGCGTGCGATGAGGTGGTGCATGAGGGGTACAGGCGGCTGATTTTGGAGGCGAGGGATGGCGGACAGCGGACGGTCAGGTCGAAGGCGTTTGATGAGGCGAGGCCGGGGGGTAATTGCTGGCCCGAGATTTATGATGGGAGGGGCATTGAGAATAGGACGTATGCGGATTTCTTGAAGGGGGTGGAGGGGGACGAGCTGAGGAGGTTGCATGCCGAGTCGCAGAAGAATGGGAAGGTTGCTGGGTTCGGCGAGGAAGAGCTCAGGGTTACCGTTTGGGCCGGCACGGGGGTTGGGTTGGTGAAGGAGATTCTGCCGGCTGGGAAGATTGTCGAGGATGTGAGGGAGGGGGCGAGGAAGGTGCTTAAGAATCTCAGTGCGCAGTTGTAGACTGAGCTCGGAGGGCTTCGTGCTTTGGCAGCATAAGAGCGTCACGCATCAATATGTGCTTAGCTGTGTGGTATGAATTGGACCTCATGTCTTTTACTCAGTGTTCCTCCATAACCACCTGAACGATGCTAAAGTCTCTTCATTTACATTATTCCGCTCCTCAAAGCATGATTGTAAAACAGGGTAAACCTACTATTACATTTTGAAGAGGTCCTTAGTACAAGGAGTCATTGACATACTGACGTAAAAATCAAGACTGTTTCCTGGGGCGAGGGAGAAGAAGCTGGAATAGGTAGGAAGCAAGTGGGCAAGGGATCGAGTTGCTTATCATGCAACGACTCAGTTCCCCGCATTCCAGTGTCGGAGTTAAGCATAGGCCCAGTGCCGATCGATCGTCAGTTTGCGTAAAGCTGCATGGATCCTTCCGAGGCAGTCTGAGTCACCGCACCTACTTTCAGCGAAATTAAGTGGTCAGAAACAAGCCAGATGATAAATTCACGCCGGAGAGGACGGAATGCGTCGAGCCGAGTACCAACGGCCTGCTCTCTACCTGTAATTTCAACACCATCTTCGATCGGCGGCTTTTCGGCCAAGATGCTGCTGCCTGTGAGCTAAATAATATAAAGTTGACAGCGTCGTGCCTTCTGATCATCATTTCGGGGCTTTCGGGAGACAAATTATACTTTCTCAGATCGTCAGTGACGTTCAATCTCCGATCACACCCACTAGCGTGTTAACCTTAATTCAGAGACAACACAAATGACTACTACCCAAGATCCAGCAATCCCAAAGGGCTCGGCAGTCCTGGTCACTGGCGTGAACGGCTTCATAGGCTCGCACGTCGCCGACCAATTCCTTCAATTAGGCTTTCGAGTCCGAGGCACGGTGCGGGATGTCAAGAAGAATGCTTGGGTCGCTGAATTTTTCGACAAGACTTACGGGAGTGACCGGTTCGAGCTTGTCGCTGTACCCGACATATCCGCAAAGGGGGCTTTCTGCTCAGCCCTGAAAGGCTAGTTGCCCAGCTTGGGCACCGTTAGGTGGTAGTTGCTGATATCATGTCGATAGGGATCTCCGCTGTCATCCATGTAGCGTCGGATGTGTCGCTCGACCCTGATCCAAACAAGGTCATCCCCTCCGCCGTTGATGGCACGCTGAACGCACTGAAGACGGCAAACGACGAACCTACCGTGAAGCGGTTCGTCATCACCTCTTCATCGCTTGCCGCGTCGCTGCCGAACCTCAGCACCGAAGTGATCGTGACGAAGGATTCCTGGAACGAGCAAGCCATCCGCGCGGCCCGAGCGGATCCCCCCTATCTTCCGGAGCGATCTGAGGCGGTCTATGCAGCGAGCAAGGCTTTGGCGGAAAAGGCAGCATGGAACTTCTACCACGATGATCCCTCCAACCGGTCGGACTTGATTGTTAACACGGGTATGAGATCTTAAAAAATGTGTCGAAGCGTTGATCTGACAGATTCTAGTGTTGCCTTGCGCGAGTTTCGGAAAGATTCTTGACGTAGACAAGCAGGGGTATCCGTCCACGGCGGGAGTCGTTGAACGCTTGTGGACTGGGAAGAATGTTGAACATATTGCCAGCATTCCACCGCGTAAGGACTTTGCAATCGACCTCTTATAAGGCTAGGCAAACTTGTACTGACGGAAAACAGATTATGCCATCGACGTGCAAGATTGCGCACGCCTCCACGTTGCAGCAGCCATCCACCCGGGTGTCGTTGGTGAGAGGATATTTGCTTACGGACAGCGATTCAACTATGACGTCATCCTAGACATCTTTCGGAAACGGAACCCCGGTAGAGACTTCATCAGTAACTTTCAAAGTGAATGGGACCTGGCTGTGATCGAACCTCAAGCTCGGGCGGAGCAGCTGCTGCGCGATCTGGGCAGACAGGGATTCACGCCGTTGGAGGAAAGTGTTCGTTTGAACATCGAAGCGCTTTCCTAGAAAATGATTGTGATTGATGATGCGGTGGATCCCACATTGTTCGCTTTTCTTTCTGTTTGCTAATTAGTTACCTTACAGCTTTCTTTTTTTACGCGCTGCCTGTAGGTATTTTATCGATTATCCTGCGCACCTTCAGATTTGTACGTAAGTTTGTCTCGATGAGAGTAACTTTTATGTAACACCTCGGGTTCGAGTGCTGCATTAAAACATGCCCAGAACATCAACTTTCGCCATGACCATGCATCTTTAGAGACAAGAGTCTTGTCTTCCACGCCACATCTTATAACGCAATGCATCGACGAAGGTTACGATAGAGTTTGGACTCCTATCCCGTAAAGGCAAAGCACAGAGAAAGCCAAAGCACTCACGGATATGCCGCACATCATAGCGAATGACGTTCATGACAAATTAATGTATTTATGGAGAGCTCGGGCATGATTCGCTGAAATAAAAAGCAATGTTTTTTTCTGACAAATGAATCTAGACGGCGAGTGGTTGCCGTTATGAGGCCACTTTTACTTTGCGATCCACTGACCGGCAGATACGACGACGCACATGGCCGTTCGTGCCTAACCATTGATTTCGGAGCGGCCCGACGCGAGTAATACGTCCGGGCTGCCTTGCAAAAAGTTTAGCCGAAGAACCAGGTAGGCGGTTCCTGCTAGGGCACGCCATTTACTCTTACTGGTAAGTGCTTGGATCCCTCCTCCAACCGCGGCATGTTAACGCGATATGCGCTCTGTTAAAAAAGGATTCCCAAGCCAAGCTCGGACCTCGTATTTATCGCTGTGGGGACTGTTGCCTGTGTGACCGCCCAGACGCATGCACGCCGCAGGAGGCCCTAAGGCAGCAAAAGAACGGCTCATTCGTGCCGATTAAAGATTTCATATTTCATGAGACCCTACGCCGCCCCCTTGGATTTGCGCAAGCCGTAGCCGCGACTGCCAATAAGAAGAGAATCGTGCGCCACGAGCGCCTGTCGCCAAAAGAATACAGGATAAAAAGGAAAAAAAGCAAGACGGCAAAATAATAATTATACAATGGCCATCACCAACCTCTCCGCTCTGCCCACAGAGCTCATCCACCTCATCACGTCCTCCCTCTCCTTTCCGGACGTGCTCTCGCTGCGTCTCGCCACCCGGTCCCTCAGCGCCAAAACGTCGTCCGACAGGCGCTTCGAGCAACGATTCGCCACGCGCACCAGCGACCTTTCGACAAAATCCCTCAAGACGCTCGCCGCCATCGCCGCACACCCGACTTTCGGCGCCCTGGTCCGCGAAGTCACGCTCGTCACCTCTTTCCTCGATACGACCACCCTGCGCAGCACCATCTACACGCGCAAAAAGCCGCCTGCCGACAGTCCCGTCCGCGTCCCGTTTTCGGATTGGGATGAAGTTGGGCCGGAAGAACTGGCCGCGGCACGCCGAATGCTGCGTGTATACGAGGCCCTGCAGACGGACAGAGCGCGAGCGAGCGCCGAGGGCCAGGATCTTGCGTTGTTGGTTGCGGTGTTTGAGCGGTTGGGAGCGTTGGAGACACTGAAGCTGGAGGCGAGCGTGTTTAAGAGCCATGGAGAACCGCGGGGCGAGGAGCAGAGATTGCATGTGCTGCGAGCGTTCAACTACCTGCCTACTCCCTCGATGCTGTTGCCGTCATCATCATCATCGGCAGCGGCTAGTAACAACGCTGGCGGTGAAGAAAGGAATGGGAGGCCTCAGTTACGGCATGGGGAGGCTAGCGGAAGACAGCAAAACCGACGGAAGAAGACGCAGAGGAGGCAGATCTGGGAGATGGCATCGCATGATTTTTCCATTACATTGCGTGCCATGGCGCAGAGCGGGATTGCTATCAACAACATGCTGGTCTTCGGGAAAGAGTGGGGCTGCAGCATCCTTTCGGCGGAAGTCGGAGCCTTGCTCGCCGGTAGAGCTATGTTTGAGGCTGAGGGAATACGGGCGGCGATGTCTCGCCTGAAGTATCTGAGCATCAGTGTGACGCAAGGCTCGCTGCAGATGTTTGGAGGAGACCTGGAGCGGACCACGGTGGAGCAAGATGGCATCGTTGGCAACGAGATCCTGGAGGGGTTCGCAGATTTGCTCGCGACATGTTCGAGCCTCGAGGAGCTCGACATGCGCAATGTCTGGATGTGCAACGATCTCGGTCTGAAAAGGAACTGTACTGATCCCCGCTTCTTCGGCGACATCGCGACAAAGGCTGTCGTGCCGAAGCTCCGCTCACTCACATTGCGCGGATGGACTGTGCGGGCTGAAGACGTGTTGCATCTACTTCGGAAATGCAACGACCTGGAAGAGTTGGAGTTGCGTGAGGTGCGACTCTGGGACGGCCAGTGGAGTCAGGTGTTTCGGATGCTGGGTGAACGGACACGGCAGTTGAAGCAAGTGACACTGTATCGCTGTTTCGAGAAGCAACTGATCCGTATTACGCGGCCTGTGGGGGCAGTAATAAAATCAGACAGCCTGGGAAACAGATTCACTGAGACTTTCAGGCTGAGCGGCGAAGAAGTCCGGGATGGGGTCGACTACTGCAAGCAGGCTGAGAGGTGGAGTGGAAGATGGCCTCACACGCTCTACCGGCGAGAGAGGATGAACGAATACGGGTTCTGAGAAAAGAATGGAAATGGTCCGTGAGAGTCAAGTCTCGTAAAAATGGCGTGCGAAATTGGCGGCGGCGAGGCAAATGACGAACGGCGGAAAACGACGGAAAACGCTGGAATACGGGGCCGACCAAACTGGGAAAGGACTTTTCGAAGGAGACCGAAGCTAGACAAACTCCTTCGACTTGGTGGGTGTTTGCTGGCCCTCGAGCGAGGGGTGCAGTTGCGACAGCTTGTAGGAGCTGCCCTCATTGCGCAGGTACATGTTTGGATTCGCCTCGTAACTGAAGGACGGATCGGTAGCGGGGCCCATGCTCTGGCGGTTGGCGGCATTGGAGCGGGCCGAGGGCGCAGCAGGAGCAGGGCGAGAACCCTTCTTCGGTCGGCGCGGCTCGTCGTCGTCGAAACCCATGTCGCGGTACTTTTGTGCTGCCCTCTCTTCGGCCAGGCGATCTGCTATGCGGCGCTTGCGCATGACGAGGAAGAAGACGATGCCGGCGCCCGTGAAGATGCTGCGACGGATATGTCAGCGGAGTGTCTTACTTGGCAGAGCTTCTTAGGCTTAGGATTTCTTGGAACATACACGGCAAAGATGCATATAGGCACGGCGGTCTTGAGCACGTCGCTGACGGGCTTCTCGCAAGCGCTGTTTTCGGGATGCTTATCGCAGTCGACCATGGTGGCTTGCTGGGTAGGGCTGTTGCGGCTGATAGTTGGTGATGGGCGGTGGGTCGTGGGAGGCCTGCCTGAAGATGGTTGCGGTTTTAAGAGATGCTGACGAAGGGGTCCGGGGCGCTTGAGGCTGGCGGGCGCGTGGTGATGGGCGGTGGTCTTTTAATGAGACCTGGATGCTCTGGATTTGGTCAAGGGAAATTGAAGGGGCGGCGACGGGCGGCCAATCACTGCTGCCGACCGCCGGCTTTATCCCCGGCAAGCAATTCTTCAGGACCGGTGCCTGCCCTGTGCCCTGGACACGAGCAGCAGCAACGACCCCTGCCCGCTAGCCCTGCATCCCCATATCTCGTCCATCTCGCTTTGATTTTTGTCGCACCACTTCGACGAGACGCTCATCAAAAGACCCTTCCCCGCATCGCACCATGTTCCACATGGACAAGCGCACGAGCTTAAGAGCCGCAGCGCATCCGCAGCATTACTAGCCGCCGCTGGCTGAAACCTGGGGAACGAGCAGAGTCGCACCCGAGCAGCCGCAATCATGACCGTCGTCGCATCACCTCTCGAACCCACGCGCCGAACCGTGTCCGTATGCATGCCCACGCGCCGCAACGGAGATGCGACGCTCTGTTGTAATTCGCGCTGTAAGATCGTCAGAATAATGAAACTCTGCTAATCACAGGCATCGCGCTTATTAGCCGCTCTCCTCCTATACCGCCAACTGATGGATTGGCACCTCTTAACGCCCGTGACCCGTGTTCGTCGCTCACTATTGACTTGGATACGAGCATCACAACTATCTGCCATCGGCGGTATCGTGACTTGCCGATCACTCCCGTGGCCTTCGCTAAGGCCTGCTTCTCTTTCTAAGTTCACTCTACCCCGTCTCCTCTAACATGTATGAAAGTCCTCCAGTCTCGAGCTAAAACTCGTTTTCAAATCGACAGGCTAGAGCATGAATGACCTGACTACCAAGGCACACCCTAGCACAATGGCTATTTTCTTGTCGTACTACACTTCGTTAGGCCACCGGGGGCGGAGCATTGAACGCAAAAAGCCGAGGTGGGCCACCCGACCGTCGATGCCAGATACCGATGCCTGTACGGCCCGCAAATGTGATGCTTGGCAGAATTATTGGCCGAAGATCTGGACCCTGCTCAAGGCTCTGCCGGAGATTGGGCGCACCACGAGGTTCGGTCATTTGGTGGTTTGTGCGATTCGAGTATAAGACCATGTCGCGTCCCTCGCCGGGTGAGACTACAGCGCAGCGCCACCTGGGGCAAGTAGCTCTTGGCCCGTGAGAGTGCTTCTTACCCACCGACACGGACGATGGGGCTTTTCCGCGGCAATCAGTCCCTACTTCTGTCCACTTTTTTGTTTCGACATCGATGCTGTGGCGCAGTGCAGAATGCATCATCCCTGGCTGCAGCCGATCAACTTCCTGAGTATCTCAGCCTTGCCGCTCGAAAGCTAATATACCACTTTCCCCTTATAGAATCTCAAAATACTTGACCTGGGGCCCTATCCCATGTCACACTCTTACTCTTCCTTTTGACTTTTGTTAGACATGTTTCTAGTATTTATGGACATATCCAGTTTCATCTGCTCTTTGGAAACTGGATGGTCATTTCTTAATCTCATACTCTGCTATTTTATGACTACCGAGAGGCGAGGTTGCATGAAAATCTTGTTCAGATGCTGAGCTCTGCAGATTGTCTCCATAGATTAAGAACAAATCATTTCACGACACAGAGATGCGTTGTAACTGGAATCTCCAACGGTTCAAAGGGTTGGCTGATTATGGAAGCCATCAGGTCGCATGTGTCCCGCCTTCATGGGAATATCAGGGCGTTTTTAGCAAATTTGGGATGAAGGATGGCACAAAGCGTATCGTTGCGCGCTGCCCCGCAGTTGACTCATATTCGACCCCACCTTTTACATCGTAAGATAAAGCCGCAACATCTTACTTTCTGAGAAAAACTGTTCACGGCCCTGAAACCATTCCTCTGCCGTCAACGCTTTCCCGCTGCAATCGCAACCCATCACGCCTAAAAATGGCCGAATCTCAGCATGCTTCTCCTCCGCCGAGGTTTGGATGGATAGGTAGTTCACCGCCCCATCTAATTGAATTCGAGACCGCAAATACCAAAAAATAACCAAAGCCAATACTGACTCCGCACAGGCCTTGGATCAATGGGCCTAGCCATGGCCACAAACCTCCAAAAGCACCTGCAGTCCCTCGGCGCGCGCGACCTGCATTACACCAACCGCACCATGTCCCGCGGCGCACCCCTGCAGGACCTCGGCGCCGTCCCGTGCACCAGCATAGCCGACCTCGTAGCATCTTCCGACGTCATCTTCCTGTCTTTAAGCGACGACAAGGCGCTATCCGCGACCCTGGACGGCATCCTGAGCAGCCCTTGCGATCTGGCCGGCAAAATCGTCGTCGACACGTCGACCGTCCTCCCGGCGTCGTCGGCACGTGCGGCGACGCGGCTGCGCGCGAATGGCGCCGAGCTCGTCGCTGCGCCCGTCTTCGGGGCCAGCCCTGTTGCTGCGCAGGGCCAGTTGCTGTTTATTATCGCTGGCCCGGATGCGGCTGTTGAAGCGTTTGAGCCGTTTGTTGTGGGAGTTATGGGGAGGGGGATTATCCGTCTGGGTGAAGATGTGCGGAAGGCGAGTATGATGAAGACGGCGGGGTGAGTCTGATGTCTAAATAGAAAATTGCCGTGCGTGCTGACAGTGGTTAGCAATTTTGTCACTGCTGGAATGATGGAGTTGATTGCGGAGGCCCATGTGTTCGCTGAGAAGACTGGGCTGGGGAGCGAGGCGATGGAAGCTCTCTTTGAGCAGCAGTATGGACCGTTGGCGTTCAACATGTCAAAAAGATTAACTTCTGGTGCTTACATGCCTCCGAAAGGTATGTCAATTATTGTTTGAATGCCTGACGGCAACGCTGACCTTTCTTGTAGGTGAGCGGCCATGGTCAAGTCTCGATCTTGCCTTGAAGGATGTTGGACATGGAATTAGATGTGCAAGAGAATCCGGGTCCCGATTAGAAGTTGGTGAAGTGGCATTGCGGCATTTGGAAGAGGCAAAAGACTTCTCCGATGCTCATGGCCGGCCGCTTGATTCTTCGTCTATGTACGGTGTGCTGAGACAACAAGCCGGTCTGCCATTTGAAACAGATTTTGTGCAAAAGCGGGATTCGGGCGACGCATAAGAGCGGACGTGCTGAGGCACCTATTCTGTAGATTTAACTATCGGCGTCTCAAAGCTCATGAAAAAAAAAACGAATAGGAGAAATCGGAAATTATACGCTTAACACGTACAGTTTTAGCAGCCGCATATTGAAAGTTTCGGGGTCTTATGTCATATATTCGTTGATAGAGGCGTCTAAAAGTCATGTAACTCTGCATTTATATTCTCGCTCCCTAGTCGTCTGTGTGCTGATCCATCCGGCCACGGCCACGATTTTCCTTGGACCGTATGGGTGCTCAGACCTTCATGGGAATGTCGGCCTCAAGAACCTTTTCACCAACTTTCGGCGGTTGCGACTTGATCAGAATGAACAAAGCACGAGCCCACTCATCAGTGTCGTTATCCCACCGGTGCATCGTAGCTTGCTGAACCACGGTGTCGTTCTTCTTCAGCTCAGTCCTCGAACCGTCATCCAGCGTCATGGTAATCGTCCCCTCGATAACGAACATGTAATCCAGAGTGACGGTACGGTGGAATACGCTCTTAGAGCGCGGGGGGAGGCCCACAATGCGGAAGATTGCTCCATCGTTGGCGATGCCGGTCTGGGCCAGGCCTTTGTCCTCAGTGGAGTTGACGTCGGGTGGGAGCTCTGCGGTCGACCATACGGGCACGATGACGGGTCCGTGCGGCGCCTTCTTTCCGGCAATCAAGTCGTCGCGGGTCACGACTGCCACGGCATTTTCATTGTGGCCCGTGACGACGCGGCGGATGGGAGTGTTGAAGTCTGCCTCGTTTGTAGACATGCTGAGTTGGTATCAAATTGTCCGGCCTGTGACGTTCAGCGAACAGAGCATGTCTGAGAGCATGGCCAGGAACGTACTACACAAAAACGATTGCGTTGACGAGAAGAAAGTGTTTTCTGGTTGCTGGTTAAAGAGCGTGTAGAAGTTCGTCGTGCAATGCGCAGCATCCGCATTTTATGCATGCGTAGATATGATACCCCATCTTCGCTCGGCTTCAATCACAGTCAAATTGACAAGTTCAAGCATCACATAAGACATGAAGGTAGTAGATTCTCCATAACACCCAAGACCTCTCCATCATACGGGACCAATTGCGCCGAATAAGTGGATGCCGCCAAGACCGGCAGTCCTCAGCCAAGGATCGGAAAAGGTTAAGGTGGGGTTATGTCGGAAAAATCAATGTCCTCCACTCGAGTGATTTCTCCGGTCTTGCAGTCGTAAGCACGCGCAATTGCTAGACCCAGATCCTGAGCAAACTTAGCATCAGCCATGGAGCCACCATGTCGTATGATCCCTCGCGTATGCCACAGCGCCTGCACGGGAGAGTTGGAGCAGACCAGCGCGGCTGTGGTGCACATTTGCGTCTCCACGTTCGACAGAATGGCGTCTTCACTGACCCACCATTCGTACAGCATTTGCTGGTTCAAGAGAGCTTTGCACTAGTCGTTAATGGAGGCTTTCTGTAAAGAATAGAGGTCTTACAGAAGTCAGGATGGTACTTCCGGTTCTTCTCCTGGTTTGCTTGTGCAATCGCAGGCGTCCATGTAACATCGAAATAATGCTGTCCTCGGGCCTCTCGTATCTTTGAATCCGCTCCTGCTCGAACCGCCTCCGACCTGCATAACCCAATTTTTAGTGAAAACGCGTAGAAACATCAAATAGAGACGAACCTTGGCCCATATGTGTCAATCTGCTCATCAGTCCAAGAATTGAACATCGGGTAGAGGGCTTGGAGTGCTTTCGGAACACCGTAAAGCATGCTTGTCTTCAAGACTGCCTCTTTCACTCGACGCTGGACCAATTTCTCCTTCTCCAGGGGAAGGCCGTCGGTGCAAAGTCTGTACAGCTCCGGTGTGTCCTCGCTTGCACTTGCGGCCGCAAGCGCTGCAATCTGAGCTCTATTAGCTGCATTGCGAGGATTCAAACATGATATTGTACTTGCTTACCGCAACGATATACCACCGTGCTTTCAAGGGGTCCTTTCCATGGTCCTGCGCGCGGAATGGCTCCAAGATATCTGACAAAGCCATTTCGTGAGAAGCTTTTTTGGGTACGCTTTTTGTGGTAGATTGGAATGGCCCTGATGACTCTGGGGTTGCGAATTTCGACGCCTTGGGTGCAGACCCTTTAAATACACAGGTGCCAATGCGGAGAACCACTTAGAGTTTCTTAGCTAAAGCTTCGTAAGCTTCATCATTCGCATTTCTAATAATTTTGACCTTTATTGCAGGCAAGGAACAGCTACGTCAGCATCTCAACAAGGGCGAATACGGCGGCCAACAACACTGTACCTTACCTTTGCCCTTCCCTTTCATGAAGCTCACATCAATGCACTCGATAACCCTCACGATAGATCATGCAGGCAAGTTGTGTGGCCCTTCAGGAGCGAACACGTCCATGATATCGTGCGCCCGGATGCTGCGGCGACAGTGAGAGTTCCGCATCATTCCGTGACCTCTGGTATATCCAATAGCTGTCGTTAGATGAGCAGGGTTCAACAACTCAGACGCAACATAAGCCTGTAAGTGCCCCGCATGCAGGCATTGCCGTCGGGTACGCGCGCGGTAAATTGTTGAATGCCTCAGACCCTGATGGCTCGCTGAGAGGAGCCGACAACGGTAGTGTGGCACGCGGGGCTAACCCCTTCGGTAAAGATTCGGATCATGTTAGTGACATGACGTGCATGTGGCTAGTTACACCGCTAGGCGCTCATCTATCAGTGGCTGCCTCCATTGGTGTTCCTTACCTTGAAGGACAATCCTGGCGAATAGTCCAAGAGGCGCACAGCGTCATGGAACGAGGGCGGGACCGCAAAGGAAACGTTTCGTCGCCGTGAGGTCATAGCAGCTTCATGTTCAAAATGTCTCACCGAGGCAAGGCAAGAATGAAGTAACAGCAGTGATGCGCTCACGCAACCTCATGCCCCTGGTATACGCGAGGAGACCGTCGCGACACGCCCGACCATCCACGAAGCACAGCGCGTATCGGAAATTTTGTTAGGATTCAATGAAGTTCAATTAATGAGAAAGTCGTTAGCTGCTACACTAGCAGCAATATCGTAGCCGCTTCGTAACCCCGTTGCACGCCAGCGCCCATCTATGAACCGTACTTCTTGTCCTTGTCTGCGATGGGGAACTCGGAGCCGGTGGTAGACTTGTACTTGGCGCGGATGAAGTCGGAGATCTGCTCGTCCTTGGCCTGCTCGATTGCGCTCTCGTTGTCCTGCGGGCCCTGGCCGAGGAACTTCTCCTGCACGAAGTCGACGCCTATTGTTGCGTTAGCAGTGGAACTCGCTGTCATTGAGATCTGGGAAGTGCAGGCTGACCCTTGTCGAGCAGGTCCTCGTTCTTCTCACTCTCGCGACCGCCGCCGGCCATGCTGTTCATCTTGTCCATGAAGCCGCCGCCGCTGCTGGACTGCTCGGAGGTCTCCTTCTTCTTCTCCTCGGAAGAGCCGCCGGCGAGGTTCTTGACGAAGTCCATGGTGGAGGATTCAGTGAGGAATTGCTGTAGGAAATTGGAGAGTGATGTTGCTTTGGTAGTAGTGTGGTGAGGGCTTTGTTTGTGTTTAGATGCGGGGGCGGGGTTTGAGGGAGCTCTTATCACCTACAGCCACTTGGCGGTGCTAATGACCTGAGCCAAGATTCAGGCGTCGGCAAGTGACATCATCGCAGCTTCCCAGCCGGTTTTCGAAAACCAAACTTTCAGCTCGCGCGGTCGCACGAGAGGGGAAGCAGCAAACAAGAGTCAGAGTCCGCAGGAATAGCGAGCACTTAATGGGGTGATCTGCGCTATCGGTTTCGAGTAGAGCGAAGAACCGTCTGCATCCACTATCTTCCTACGCCCGCTATTGGCTGGAATCCAAGCAAGCAGCTGTCCCTGCACAGCTGATCGCAGCGGGGCCATGTGGGTACTCCACGCGTATCTGGCGCTACGAACCAGGGCACAGCCACATCGCTTTAACGCCAAGTCTAGATTCCTACGTACTTAGCGCGCCTGTCAATCGCATCTGCCGTGACCGCTACTTCTTTAAATGCTATGGAAATTGCCTCATCAACGTGGCCAGTCAGACAAGCACTACATTGCGCATGCCTGGTTTGGAAGAAACTATTGAGGTAAAACAGGCTATCTTCAGAAGCAAATGCAGGAAGTTGGACAAGCTAATGGCAGCTTTAATCTCAGGCGTATTGCTTGTTCCGGTCGAGCTTCCCCAATTTGCCAACGTTTGCCAACACCACCAGTCCAGTCTCTGCGTCTGGGGCTGCATCACCCATCCTTACTACTACGTTCTTCAAAATCCTTGTCCTGTCATCTCCATCCAAATATGATCCTCCTTCATCTACTACTATCTTATTCTCTCGTGTTAAAGATGAGATAGTATCAAGAACGTCCGGTACATTACTCAGACACTCGCACAATCCAGACCCTATAGCCGTCACCATAAGGAGAAAGCTGCATGTGAAGAGAATTTGCAGCCACGGGGTGTGGCACTGTAAGAATTCCTCATCCGTGTGAGACGTGCCGTTGGACGATGCTTGAACATTGAAATCGCCATCCACGGACGCATTGAAATTTGCAAGAATGCTCCTCGGTGCCAAGGATGCAAGCCAGTAACTGTTCAACAACTGGCCCATTCGAATTGCCAGGTTTTCCGGTGTGATATTCTTGATCTTGTCTTCCGGGATATCACCTGGTGAGCTTAGAAGATCCGTTGGATCCACGAGATATTTCTGGAGGTTGGTGGGCGCAAATGCCCTCTTGAGCGGGAATACGTCGAGGAAATTGGATGTAAAGAACGTATATGTCATCATATTCTTGAGCGGAGACCATGAAGTGTCTACTCCTGTCATATTCTTCAATCTTCGAATAGCGGTTAATTGCCAGGGCCTGGAAGCAGAAGAAGAATTTCGCGAAACTTGCAGCTCAACGTAGTTCATGGTGACGTCGAACTCGGCTCTGATGAAACCAAGACTCTTGTCTTGGTAAAGCAGTCTTTGAGGAACTCCTGGCTGCCAGTGCTCGTCGAAACTCGTATCCCGCCAGCTCGGTTCACACCATGTGGCAAGCACTACCTGTCCCTGTTGACCGGTGGAGTTAAGGTAGCCTGCAGTCTTCTTTGTGGCGTTTGCAGTATATTGAGGGCTCAAATCCCATGGTTTGTCCCGGATAAATGTGAAATTGACTGTAGTGAGCTGGAAATACGATGTTTGGAAAGTGAAATCCGCTCTTTCGAGTCCCTTTCCAGTAAACGGAATACCAAGCAATGATGCATGTTGTGCCATGTTCAGATCCAGGTCACGAAACCACCCTTCCGCGTCTGGGGTCGAGGTGTTCTCAAATGTTTCAATGGCCGGCACCAGGATATTTGACCAAGGGTCGACACTAGCATTTCGCGTGGCACTGTTGGCTGCTATGGAAGCGGAGTATACAAGCTTGACTGTATCCCATTGGTCGGTGTCCCTCATGGTAAGCGACCTAGGCCATGGCGAATTGGTGTCTAGTAGATCTATGGACATAGGAGTATCAATGACCCGCGACTGCCGGGAAATGGCCCGGAAAGCAGCCTGACTCCCCAGTGGTGACAGCGCCCATCCAAGAAATAGGCCCAGCATCAACGGAGTCATTGATCTCAGCTTCCAAGGAAGCAAAGGTGTATTCGCAATGGTTGTACTTCCAAGCATTTGCGCCAATGTTCCCAGGGTGAGGCCTTTTTCCGTGCGCCACTTGGCAAGGTTCTTTAGGAATCGGGCCAAAGTTGCCGCGAAGACATAGGGAAAAATCGTCGTTGCCTAAGAAAACATAAGATCCTGTCTGGTAGATGTTCGTAGTTACTACATACCAGTGGGGATATTTTCAACAGAGTATCTCCTCTCGGTTGCTCATTGGACTCTTTGTGTGAAAGCGCTTGACCATTCGATTTGGCGCACAATATTGCGAACACAAAATATGCCAAGGCCGATAGAAACAGAAGCACGTCTAAGAGGCAGAGGCTCCACTTTGTAGTAGACTCTCGCAAGGTTTTGGGGCCCGGCCAAGTTCTGAAAACGCCGGGTTTGACTTGGTTCTCCCGAATAGTAGCGCCTGTAGACTGGAGATTGGAGCTTGAAAGAAGCCTGAGCTCCACCTCGCTGAGTTGAGCCGAAGACACTGTGGTTGGAGCCATATTTCATGGAATTGCGACTGTCAGTAGTCAGTATATATTCCATAAGAAAGGGGCCTGCACATTGATTGAAGCGAATAGCTACACTGGTCAGCTTAAGAAGGCTGCTCAGGATAAAAAAAGCAACGTCTGGTCCATTGTGGCACACAATTATGGATAAAGAGGTCGCACGGTAATCTAAAATAGCTTGTAGTTGCACAACCATGGAAGATTTGGGTGACACAAAGGAGGCTGAGCGGTGCCGGTAGAATGGGTTGAAAACTCCGAGGCTTGACAATGACGTTGGTGCGGGTTTCTTCGATATCATTTTTCTCCACCGTGGACTAAACAACCAAAGTAAGTCGCTACAACATAACTCTATACCTCAGGAGAAGCTCTGACCTTTTAATTCAATGTGGTTTGTCGGTGATACTGTGGTTGCTCGAAGTGCGGCTGAGTGCTCTCGGTCCTCTCTTGGCCCCCATCCTGCAGGATTAGCTCATAGCTGTAAGTGTTGCATTGCACTCCAATTATATGCACTAGCCTTAAAAGTCTAGTAAGATCGTCGTTAGGCTGGCTGAAAGCTATGCTGGACGGAACGAATTAGGATGTTAGCTGAACTCGTGGCGCGTCTATCCGCTATGACGCAATTCACCTGTACGCTCACAGGCACTAACAGATTAGAGACTCACTCACTCGACATTCTTGTTCCATGAAAACTCTCTATTGATAGGACGTTATCAGAGCACTCATCGTTGTCCATCAGATCAGCAATCTAGCAAGCTCCTACAAATCTTATCGCCTACCTTAAGCCCACATAGCCTTGAACTTTCCGTTAAACTCTTCAGAAAGCTTCTTGAAAGCTGCCAAGACATCAAGCAGGCTGCCATCGCCATCATCTTCCCAAGCCGGGGCGCTCAACACTTCGTCCGCACCAGCCTTGCCGGAGCCATCACCACCAGCAGCGGTACCAGCAGCACCACCACCACCACCCCAGTTCTCACTATCTTCGTCATCAGCATCAGCAGCAGCATCAGCATTAGCCTGAGCATCAGCCTCGGCATCTTCCTCCCAGCTTTCAAGGGTACCCGTCCGATCGGCCTTCGAATTCCTTCTCGGCATCGGCTCCTTCCTCTCCATCTTGCCCGGCGCACAACCTGCGCCTCCCTCCCACAACTTCTCTTCTTCCATCTCCTCACCACCACCGCCCGCCATGGCATCTACAGCCACATCATCGTTACCCGCAACGAAGCCCTCCAAACTCGCCACGATCGTTGCAAGCACCATGGAGAAATCGTTCAACACGAACCACACGTCACCGCGACGGATGCCATTGGCAGCGACGAGGGCAGACGCGTCGCCATGCTTAAAGAAGTCAAGGAGGTAAGCATTCAACGGCAAGTCCTTGCCCTGCCCGCTTGCGCCGGAGGCCGCCTGCTGCGGGCGCCAACTGGCAACCGGCCGAGGCTGCGGATAATCGCAAACCGGCATATAAGGAATGACAGCCTCTTCGAGAAAAACGCCAGCGCGCACGGTGCGGCAAAGCTCGCCGATAGACGTGATGCCAGCGTCATCAGCATGGCCAGACAGCGCGACGAAGGCGGAGCGGACGTTGGGCCGCGTGCACGCGGCGTTAATGGCACCACGATCCGCGCTGCCGTCGCCGCCGCACCTGACGCCCGTCAGCGGCAGCACGTCGTCGGGCGCGCGCACGTGCTGCGCGACGTAGGTGCGGACGTACGTCTTGAAGACGTCGAGCGTGTCGTCGTTGTGGGCGCGCAGGATGGCCGCCGCGGCGGCGGGCAGCGGCGCGAGGATGACCGACGACGGCGACGTCTTGACGACGGCTTCGACGAACTCGCGGTCGACGTGGCGGCAGTAGCGGCGGCCGAAGATGTGTGACAGGACCAGCATGAGCGTGCGGAGGATGCGCTCGGTGCTCTCGGGATTGCGGCGGATGCCGGCGCAGAGCCGCTGGAAGTAGCCGTCTTTTAGCAGTGCGTGGAAGGCGAAGCTGGCGTTCTCGGTGTAGTACAGGTGCGAGACGCAGCCGGCGAAGTTGAGCGGCGTGCCGCGCTGGTCGAGGAGGAATTGGCGCCGGAGGTACTCGAGGGAGAAGCGGAGGTGGTGCAGCACAGTCATGCGGTTCTCTTCGCCGCCGAGGTAGAGGCGCGGCTGGGAGAGGAGCGCGTCTATGGAGCGGAGCGCGAAAGCGGAATTATTGGACTCGGAGAGGAGGGTGCACAGCCTGAGTACCAGGGTTGTCGTGATGGGGAAGTGTCCTGTGAGCTCAGGCAGGCGAGAGCTAAGCAGACGGCAGACCTTCGAGACGGGGATGCCGTGGAAGACAACGTTGCCGAGGACGTCGAATCCACGGCGACCAGCACGACCGGCTGCTTGACGGAAGTTGAGCGCGGTGAGGAATACCGAGTCACCGCAGAAGACAACGGTCTTGCAAGGCATGTTGATACCCAAAGCGAGAGTTCCGGTGGCTACAACGACCCGCAAGTAGCCCTTTCGGAAGAGTAGTTCGACGATATGCCGGTACTTCCTGTTCATTCCTGAATGGTGGACGGCTATGCCGCGACCAAGCGCTTCAATCAACCAGTCTTGGACGCCGCGCCACCGGAGCTCCTTAGCATATTCATCCAGCTCGGACTGTTGGAGTTTGGCACCGTCTTTGAAATGGAACCCATCGACGGGCGCGTCCGGATCAAAGCTTTCCCAGGTGTCCAGTGCAATAGCGGACTTCTCCCTCTCAAGATCAGCCTTGCTCATACCTTCCTCCTGCAGCTTCCCAGATTTCTTGCCAGCTTTCATTTTGGATATTTCCTTGCGGTTCTTCTTCCACGTCTCCCAATCAGTCAACTTCTTGGCCCAGATTGAAGACGTTTCTTTCCACTTCTTCTCGGCCTCCTTCAGCTTCTCCATTACAGCTTGGCAGATAGACTCACAGTTGCCGCGGTCATAGTTGAACAGGATGGCCGGTAGAGCGGATTGTTCATGCAGACGATAGAGAAGTGAAAGAGCAGTCTTGCACAAGCCTGCATTGTCCAGACCCATGTCACTCTCAGCTTCCAGTTCATACAAGCTCCTGCCAAGGTCCTGGATGACAGCATCATATGGAGCATCGCGTTCTGTCATCCATTGCTCGAGCAGTTGCTTGAGTGACTTGCACCAGCTGATGATGTCAGCTTGAGCAATAACGTCTGGGAGCGCGTGCTTGGGGTCGAGCGCATCTGGAACCTTGTGTGTCTCGCTCTCATGAGCTTTCATAGCCTTCCATAGTGTGAAGCAATCACGAGCTTCAAGCGAGAAGTCTTCAGGCATCCCGCGAGATCGGTTCAGTAAGCTCGCGACCGGATGCACGAACCGGAAATGTTCCGCTCCCTTGTCCAAGTCTACACGAGGGATAGCTGGAGCTTTGGGCAGCCCTTCAAAAGTTAGGTCATCGTGTGGGGTGAAGACATACTTCCGCAAATCGGAGTAGCGGTGCGGATGGTGAACCATGGCAAGATCGTTGCCGGCAGCTTTCTGCGCCGACGCAAGCCAACTGCGGAACGCTTCAGGATTTCCAACGGTTGCGGAAAGTGCGATGATTGGACAGGGAGACAGCAACAGGAGCTGTTCCCAGACAATACCATCATCCGCCTGGCCGATGCAATGAACTTCGTCGAAGATGATCCGCTTCACACGAGACGACCACGAGCTCGCATTGACCGGGGCCAATAGCATGATTTGGAGAATGTGCGGTACCGTTACCAAGACTTGACAACCAGTTGGATTGTTGACGCGGTAGTCGCGGGTGTGAATTGCCCACACTGACTTGCCAGCGTGCTTGTACGTCTTCGAAAATCGAGCTTGGATCTCTGCCGCAATCTGGTTGACGAGCGCTTTTGTGGGCGCCACGTACACAATGACACCGTCGTTGGACCCTTCGAGTATCTTCTTCATAGCGTAGAAGGAGATGAAAGTCTTACCCGCACTCGTCGGAGCTACCACGAAAAGGCTCTTGTCAGCGTCAATGGCATCGAGCACTTCGCGTTGCCATCCATCAGGAAGGAACGGGACGCGGTCATCATGTGCTGAATCCATCTTGCGATCAAAGTATGGCCCGCAATGAAGAAGTTGGAATTCCTTCGATGGAAGAGGTATCTTCCAGCTTGGGTTCCGTCCAGACAGTGCGAATTCGAACGGCAGCTTTCTGTCCGGAGCCTGTGCTGCGCTAATGATGAAAGGCAGCCCAAGCGAATCCACAATGCGTCGAAGCCTCTCTTCCATGGTCTTCGTGACGCTACTTCCAGTGCTTAGACGACGGGTAGCGTCCCAGATTTTAGCTGCAAGTGGCAGATTGGGAGCCTTTGGACTGATCGAGGTGGACACTTTCCACAGCTCAAGCAGGCAGTGCAGTGCGTAAAACTCGATCTCAGAGCCGACAACAGCCTGCTTCGTAGTTGGAAGAGAGCCGAGGAACTGAAGAGCCTTGATGTAGCGCATGGTGGTTTGCTGCTCCCGCTGTATATCTTTGCAGACAACATGCCATGAATTGAACACCTTCAGGTTTTGAGCCGCTTCCTTCTTCTCTTGTTCGGCAGCAAGCTTGTCCATTCTCGCTTGCTTCTGCTTATTTTTGCCACCACCTATCCTGGTGGTCTGACTTGACTGTTGCTGATCTTTAGCCGTGTGCGATGCAGTGGACTGTCCGTCCTGGGTGACAATAGTCTCAGGTTCCAGGGCTTTCCCAACAGCGTTGGTCAGACTTGCGGCGTAAGCCATCATTTCAGCCATGAAACGTTGGTCCCGGCGGCGCGCATAGAGAGCTGCACGGTCCTTTGCGGCTATCATGGCTTTACGGTTCAACGGGCGTTTCGCATTGTGCCAGTGTGTCAATTCGCGGAATGCTTTTGAAGTATTGTCGCTCGGTCGCTGAAGCGCGTTATCATCGATATCCAGCTTGACGGGTTGAAGGTGCTTGTCGAACCCTTCGGCAGCAAACGGCAGCAGTTTGCGAAGTGTCGCGAAGTTTCCCGCAGGGTCTGTTGTATCATTTCCCACATGCGAGTGTTGAGTCTCGGGAACGATGATGTCCAGTGTGACCAACGAACTGACGATCCTTGCGAAGTCTCCTTTCAGCTCCGGCAGTGGAAGCTGTCTGGTGAGGACCATGTTGAACAATCTTCCATCAACGAGGTCGCTGATATCGCACGCGAACTGTGCCTCGCTCAAAAATGCCTGCCACAGTGGGCTCTTCATAATGGCCAACGCAGTCTTAGAGAACTGCAAGAGAAAGTTTTGTGATGCCTCGGAGGATTGAGTAGACTCGAAGGAGCGGCATTCGAGTGAGAGCTGGCTCTGAAGGACTGTATGCATAACGAAAGACGCAACAGCGGATGAAGGCAAATCTCCATCAGAGACCAGGTTCGCCGCGGTGGCGATGACAAGGTATAGACGCTCCGAAAGTTTCGGCTCCGCAAGTTCGTGATGCTCGACAAAGACTGTGTAGAGCTCATGTCCAAAAACGAGCTTATCGAAGTTGATCTCCTCGCCGGCTGGAGGAGATTGGTTCAGAGCAGGATGCTTGGTTCTATGTGACTTAGACATGCCCTCGATGACGGCAGTAATGGCCTATGGTACGTTAGCATCGAGAAGACTCTGTATGTTGATATCAGCGCGAAAGCAAACTTACTTTAGTATCTCTCCATTCCAGTCCATTAATCAAAGCGACACTATATCCGCGCGTAATAAGCGAGCAGATTGCAAGGCGAAGATCGAAGTTTGCGTCCATATGAGGGATACACTGGCAAGCATCGGCAGCACCATCGTTCATCAAGACAAACATGTATGAACCAGTGGTAAGCACAGTGTTGAATGACTCGCTCGTCAGCGAGGGGAAGACAAGAAGCTTCATGGGAGAAGATCCACGGGTGAGGTTGGCCTGTAGATGGCGTATGACAACGGCACGAGCGAGGCGGTACTTGGCCGATTGAGTCTCGTTCGCATGGGAAGGTATGCACAGGTGCTCTCTATCGTCAAAGAACGCCAGGTGGAAGTTGCAGTTGCGCCGATGGAGATTTTGCAGGAAGTCCTCGACGAGCCAAACGGCATGCAGCATCTGGAAGCCATCTATGAGGGTCAGCACAGAATCCGTACGAGAGAGGGTGAGGACGAACCTTCGAAGTCAAGCAGCTCGTCAGAGAAGCAGTGAAGCAGAAGCGAGTCGCCTTCGACGAGGAAAGGCTCGCTTCCGGCATAATCGCCGACAAGATCAACACGGCGGGAGTATAGCTGGCCATAGAATTCACCCCAGTTGGGTGGCTGCGGAGAATTGGAGGACATTCTGGAGGGAGTACTTTCTTGCAACCGTTGGTGGTATGCAGTTGGAGAAGGGTGCAGTGGGGAGGAAGGGAAATGAAGGGGGGCGATATGCAAAAACCAGCGACTGCCGACAAGCAGGTTCTCCGCTAGGCACCAGAGAGGCCGTGCAAACAGCGCGTGGTGCGGTGCGGCGCGTCGCGTCGCGTGGCGGGTGTGCGTTTGCTTGTTCGCGCCTGCCATATGCACTTGCTCAGCTTTTCCCCGCGCCGTCTTGCGCCACAAAACTTCTACGCAGCATATTTTTTTGTGAATAATCTGACCTATGCGGGGACGTAAATGTGGAATTTAAAATTGTACATCCATGTCCGGACGACAGCTTCAACTGCCCATGACATGAGCATCAAATGAAAATTTGATGCTAGCCGTCGGAAACGCGCGACGAGCATCTACACTGGTGATTCTACTGCTCAAAGTACATGCGGCTCAGCGAGGCAGCACGGCGCAGTTGTGGCTGTGCATGATGCGGCGCGCGCTGGTGCCTATTGCGGCGAAGCATTCGCAGCTGATTGCCAGCACATCGCCTTCCCCACAGACAAACAAAAGCCTAGTCGCGCGCGCCGGAGCCTCGCTACGCGTGGCGTCTCATCTGCCTGAAGCTGGTTATAGCACATCGCCCGCCTTCATTTCCTTCCCTTCCCATTACAACCCCCAATCCTCCAGACCCGACCGTACCACCATGTCCAAAAAGAAACAACCATGCCGTTTGTTCCACCGGCCCGGAGGCTGTCGTTATGGAGCCTCCTGCAGATTCTCCCATGCAACTCCTCTGGCCTCCTCGACCGAGACTCCTCGCCGCCCAACTCAAGACAAGAATCGCGGCCTATCCAACACTGAGGTTGAGTTCCGTAACTGGAGGTTCATGATTCCGATGGACGGTAACCGACTCGCACCTCTGGGTCCCCAACTTTCAACATTCCTCCGAAAGGGCGCTGAACTGGTAGCCTCTGATCCAGGAATTCGCCAGGATGTAATCTCTCGACTGGCGTCTACTGGCGGTTTGGCGCGCGTTCGGGAGCTAGCGGAGCAAGACTTTTCATCGCTCGGTGACAGTATGAAGCTTCGCAAGTTCCTCAGCCACCATGTCCCGTTCTTCCAGATCATCACCCATCCTGATGTACTTTGCTCTATCCTCTTGGAGCAACCGCTCGGTGACCTGTTCACCTTCCTCTACGGCATCAATGGCCAAAGAGCTGTTGCGGTCTTCTCCTTCATTGCTCAAGTTCTCCCGGACACCATCGCCACCACATTGCCCGCTACATCTCCCTCAAGGGAAGAGATTTTCCAGCTCACCTTCTTTGCCCTGGCCAAAGTCATCGACATTAATGGCAGTGCTCAGATTAACCCCGACATTGTCAACCTTACCGGAGTCTTCTCAGTCTTGCTCACACAGTTAGCCGAAGCGCACGGTGAAGCAGCATGTGAGAAGCCTCTTGCTTCTCTTACCAGAATCCAGCAGCGACTGGGAATTGGAGACGCAATACCGGAATTCACCGCCAAGCCTAAGAGTACAGCCAAGCAGACGTCTTTTGGTATTCCGATTGACCCGCCGGGCCACCTCTCACCCCAAGGACCGCGTCACAACAACGACCATGCGGATATACAAAAAATCGAGGTGCTTCCAACTTGGCAAGAGGTCCAATCGCTGAGACCGGAGTACCTTCCTGTGAAGGATCCATCCACGTGGCACAAGCCTGGAATCCAAGGTCTTCTCGACAGAAACTTCCGGCTACTTCGAGAGGATACTGTCGGTCAGCTTCGGGATGTCATTCAGGCCGAGCTGGCGCGCATGCAAAACCCTGGCAACAGTGCGATTGGCTACAACAAGAATCAGCAAGGTGTTCGCACTTACACATATCACGGCGTCAGTGTCTCAGACTTTTCAGTTGACCGCAGGGACGGATTCCGTTGCCAGGTCTCCTTTCCACAACCGCAGCATGTCCGAGTAATGAGTGCAAGAAAGAGAGCAGAGTGGTGGGAACAGTCACGGCGTTTGCAGACAGATGCGCTAGTATGCTTACTAGATAAGACTGGTCTTCTGCTCTTCTGTTCGGTGGTCACCGAGGCGACGGCGGCGGCGGCGGCGAAGCCGAGTGCAACTTCCAATGATGCTGGCGACGAGGCGGTTAGGGCGAAAGAACGGAGTCTCCATTCAGACAGCGAAACCGCATATCTGAGGCTGTGCTTGGTTGAGCAGAGTGACGAACACATTGACAACCTTTTGCGTCGCTCGTGGAACTCCCGTCAAATGTGCCTGGTCGAATTCCCAGGTGTGCTCTTGCCGGCCTTCCAGCCCACACTCAAAGCTTTACAACAGATGTCATCCGGTGATGTTCCATTCTCCGAATTCCTTGCACCAAGCCAAGAGGTATCAGGTGTTGTGCGCGTTCCGCCGCCCGCCTATTCCAGACGCCCTAATTTCAATTTCAATCTTCGCAGCATCACCAATGGAACTAGGACGATTCAGCTCTCGCCCCAGGGAGAATTCCGCACCAGTGAGCTGGTTGAAAACTCCTCACTCGATGATGCACAAGCAAAAGCAGTGGTAGACTCGCTCACGCATAGTTTCGCACTCATCCAAGGTCCACCCGGCACCGGAAAAAGCTATACTGGCGTCGCTTTAATCAAGGCTCTTCTCGAAAATCGCAAGGCGGCAAACCTCGGTCCCATCGTGTGCGTCTGCTATACCAACCACGCACTCGACCAGCTTCTTGAGCATTTGGTGGACGCGAACGTTCCTCAGATTATCAGAGTCGGATCACGGTCGAAGTCTGAGGTATTGCGGCCTCTCCTTCTTCGCGAGGTCTCTAAGAAATTGGACAAAACCAAAGCTGAGAAGGCCGCTGCTTGGGAGCTCCGGACTGTGATGGAGACAGACGAGAAGGAGATCGATGATCTCATTTCTGCCCTTGACAATGCAGACTCGTGGATGTTGATCAAAAACTATCTCCAGCAATACTCCCCACACCAACATGATGATATCTTCGGCTCTACCTTTGATGAAGACGGCTTCATGTTGCCGGACAGGGACTCAAAGAGAGACCTTTCTCGTTGGCTTCGTGGGGGATTTTCGCTCAACTCAAACCAGCCAGAGCGTACCATCTCTGCCCTCCAATCTGCTCCAGTCTTGTCTTTGTCACGTAGTGAAAGACAAAAGCTCCATCGCTACTGGGTCAATCAGTCGCGCGATAGCGCACGTCGCAATCTGGTGCACGCCTTGCGCGAATACAACAATCGAAGAACCAAGTACCAGCGCAACCACTTGGAAATGGATCTTCGCTGTCTTCAAGAGGCACACATCATCGGTATTACCACGAGCGGCCTTGCACGTAACCTTGAAATCCTTCGTCGTGTTAGGGCAAAGGTCATGATCTGCGAAGAGGCTGGTGAAGTTCTGGAATCGCACACACTCACTGCGATGCTTCCTTCGGTCGAACATGCAATCCTAATTGGAGACCATGAGCAGCTGCGACCTCAAATTCAGCGCTACGACCTGGGAAGAGAGCACCCTCGTGGCGAGCAGTACTCGCTGGACGTATCCCTCTTCGAAAGGCTGGTACACCCGAACGATGACACGGCAATCCATTTACCTTACATCACCCTCGAGACACAGCGCAGAATGCACCCGATGATCTCTCGGCTTGTTCGCGAGACCATCTACCCAAATCTCCAGGATGCACAGTCAACAGCCAATTACCCATTGGTTCCGGGCATGAAGGATCGACTGTTCTGGTTTGACCATCGCGAGTACGAAGCTGATGCGGACCAGTCTCAGTCGACAAGCCGTAGCAATGACTTCGAAGTTTCCATGACGTTGGGCCTTGTATCACACTTGATGAAGCAAGGTGTCTACCGTGCTGAAGACATTGCTGTGCTAACTCCTTATCTGGGGCAGCTTCACAAACTACGTACCAGGCTCGGTCAGATGTGGGAGCTTATCATCAACGACAGGGATCTTGACGATCTTGAGAAAGCAGGAATCTCGAATGAACAAGTTAGCAAGACATCCGCTCTTAATGCGCTGAAAGTTGCAACGATCGACAACTTCCAAGGCGAGGAGGCAAAAGTTGTCGTCATTTCCCTTGTCCGCTCCAACAAGATGAACAACTGCGGTTTCTTGAAGACATCAAACAGGATAAATGTGCTTCTATCACGCGCACAGCATGGCATGTTCATCATTGGAAATTCAGAGACTGCAGGAAGCGTCCAAATGTGGGCGGATGTTCTCGACATCTTGCGTACCAGCAGGCAAATTGGCAATGCCTTCGAGCTTCAATGTCCCCGTCATCCGGATAAGCTAATCAAAGCTGCAAAGCCGGACGACTTCACTCAGTTCTCTCCTGAAGGAGGGTGCAACCTCAAGTGTGACCGGAGGCTTGGATGTGGCCATTCCTGCATCAACAAATGCCACTCTGACCTGCTACATGACGCTGTCGTGTGCTTGGAGCCTTGTCCCAGACCATTTAAAGGTTGCGACCATTCTTGTCCTCGCACCTGCGGTGTGGCCTGTCCGGAGAAGTGCAAGGTCATTGTATTCGACGCTGCCAGAACACTTCCTTGCGGACACAGAAAGACAGACTTACCCTGCTGGCAAGCTCAAGACCTCACAACTGTGGCATGCCAAGTGAAGGTCTTGCGCACCATCCCAGGCTGCGAGCACAAAGTGGAGCTTCCCTGCCATGTAGATTTCCGCTCCGACAGCTTTCATTGCCCTGCACGCTGTGACGAGCTGCGTCCATGTAGTCACGCATGCACACACAGATGCCACACATGTAAGACTCGGGAGAACGGCGTCGTGGTTGGAGAGAATCACGGTATCTGCCAGCAGGTATGTGGCCGCAATTACAGCACCTGCCACCACAGCTGCAAAGAGACGTGTCATGGTGATAAGCCATGCTCTCTCTGTAAAGCTCCGTGCGAAGTATTCTGCGGCCATTCGAGGTGCAGCAAGAAATGCCACGAGCCATGCGCACCTTGCGCCGAACAGAAATGCGCTTCGCATTGTCCCCACAGCAGATGCAACCTTCCATGCGCCGCGCCATGCGACTGGATTCCCTGCTCGACAAGATGCGAGAAGCTACTCTCCTGCGGCCACCGATGCCCGTCTTTGTGCGGAGAAGCCTGTCCGGACCCCAGGTTCTGCCAAATTTGCGCTGCCGATAGCGTCAAGGACCAACAAGTCGACTTCATCGAGATGCTTACTTACAGAGAAGTGGACCTTGATGAGGATCCCTGCCTTTTCCCTCCATGCGGTCACGTCATGACAATGGCCAACATGGACGGTCACATGGACATGTCCAAGCACTACCTCACGGCACCGGATGGGAGGTTTGTTGGGCTGCAGCCAGCGCCGCCATTCTCAAGCGACGAACTGAAGGCTTGTCCAACCTGTCGTGCTCCGCTCCGCAGTATCGCCAGATACGGACGTATCATCCGCCGTGCACTGTTGGACGAGTCAACCAAGAAGTTCATCCTCTGGTCCCAGAACGATTATCACCGACTCCAGACGCGGTTCCAGGACGCACACTCAGAGCTCACCAGTACAGCCGATGCAGTCTTTGTCCGCGTAGCCTTCCAGATGGGGCTCAAGATAGCAACAGGTGGACCCTCAGTCCATTTCAAGTCTATGAAAGCAGCAGCCAACACGCTGTCGCTCGAAGGCCGTTACAGAACCATTTTCTCCCTCCGCAGCCAGATCCACACGCACGTCAATCGGGTTCAGCACGAAGAGCAGCCCTTCCGCAAGGTCCACGACTTCTGCCAAGACGCCCGGCGCAGGCGCGAGGTGCAAGGCTCCTTCACCTTCTCCGAAGAAGTCCTGCAAACGCGCGCCCACCTCCTCGCCTCCTCGCTCCTCATCCGCTGCGACCTCGCCATCCTCTCCGACCTCGTAGCCATCTGGCGTGACAAGCTGCCCGCCCACCTACGTGAGGACAGCGCCATCGACCTCTCCGGCAACCGCCTTCGCTGCCTCGAACTCCTCCAAGAAGCAGACGCCACGGACAGCCCCGCGCAGAAAGTCGAAGCCCTCCTCTTCTACGCGCAGCACAACGCCATCGAGCGCCTCTTCGCCGCTACTCCGCCCAAGCAAGAACAACTCCGCGAAGAAGCCCTCGCCCACGTCGCGACCGCGCGCAAGATCTGCGCCGCGCACCCGGGCACAACCGGCGGCCTGCTGGACGAGGTCGACGCGGTGGGCAAGATGCTGCGCGGAGACACGTTCTTCAGCGTCGTCACGTCCGAAGAACGTCGCGCGGTGTTGGCGGCCATGGCGACGGAGTTCCGTGGCACGGGGCACTGGTATTACTGCCAGAATGGCCATCCGTTTACCGTTGGCGAGTGCGGGATGCCGATGCAGTTGGCGAGGTGCCCGCAGTGCGGCGCCGCGGCTGGTGGGGCGAATCATCAGCCTGCGGAGGGAGTGAGCAGGGCGGAGGATTTGGAGAGGGAGTTGAGGGATCTGCATTTGTGAAGGAAGGGTGACGGAGAGGTGATTTGTTGATTGCAATGTAGTGTGTGGCATCGGGTGAGCGATGGGCATCACTTATCTAAGCGTATCGAGAGAAGTTAGATGGAGTAGAAAACAAGAGAGATTAGAAAAAAGGAGACTAGAAAAGGAAGGAAAAGAGACAAGAAAAGAAAAGAAAGTAGAATAGAAAAGAGACTAGAAAATGAAGAGAATTGTTGAAATCTGGTTCCGACTTGACTGTTAGCCTTTTCGGCCATTGTCTGTCTGTTCTTGATACGAAGCTCTTCCTGGTTTCAGCCCTGTATACCGGGATCGAGCGGCGGTACCACACTGGATTTCAAAGAGGGTGAATACTTTTTAAGGGGCAATTACCACTCAACCATCGCCGGCAAAACCCAACAATCGTCGGCAAAACCCAACTTCTTTACCAAAATCTACCATCTTTCAACCGCAGCAGAACTTCAACGAAATTAAAATCTAAGCACTTTGTTCCTACTATAGCAATAGCCAAACCTATAGATATCTATTATAATATTTTGTAGAAGAGAAAGTTAACCTGCACGGTCTAAGAGTCAGGTTTAGTAATTTACCCACTTTTTAAATTCACGTTATAGGCTGTTAAAGTTATCATCGGATGTAATTGTAGATTAACTATTATACACCACTCAGATCCGGATGGTAGCTTAAACTACATAAATATGCTATGTGTCTCTGTTGTTGTTTTAAGAAATAGAAAATAGCTAAGGCATAAGTACTCTATTCGATAATCTTGCTATTTTTCGCGCTACTGTCAGGAATAATTCTGTCCCAGCGGCGTTCCAAAGCCATCATGGTAGATTCATACTGATCATTCATCCTCTACGTTTTTTTTTTTTGAAAAAAAAAACATCAATGGTGAAGAGGTCTTCAAATGTCAATTGGAAGCAGCAAAAGTTGGGTGTGATGAGTTTGTATTAAAAAATACTCTAGTCTATAGATACATTTATCGGATTACAGTACAAGACATTAGGTAGACATTGACGATGACGCTTAGTTGTAGACGCAGACGGTAGCAGGGGCCTCGACCTGGTTGACCTTGACCTCGAAGGAAAGGCACTTGTCCTTGCCAACGGCCTTGCCGTACATCTTGGCGGGGTAGATCATGTACTGGCCAGCGGCCTCAGTGGGGCAAGCCAACCAGTTGGACTCGCCGTCCCAGAACAGCTTGATCTGGTCCTGCTCGGAGCCGGCCATGGAGAACTTGTCGGCCAGCTGGGAGGGGCTGGTGAACTGGTCAGGCAGAGTGTAGCCGAGGAGGCCATCAGCAGCGCCGGAGATGTCGACGAAGCCTGTGGGGAAAATGTTAGCGTTGTTGGATGTTGAGAGAGAAATGTGTCGTGGCTTACCCTGCTGCTGGTTCTGCTTGCCATCGGCGTGGAAGGAAAGAGCACCGGCGGCGCCGACGGTCACGGCGGGGGAGACATCGCCGCAGGTGGAGGTGGTGGCCTTGCCGAGGTACCACCAGCCACCGCTGACCTTGAGGGCGGCGCCGTCGATGGCCTGGCCGGACGCGGAGGCAACGAGGTTGTAGTAGGTGGTGGCCGGGGCGGCGAGAGCGCTGCCAGCGCAGGCAAGGGCGGAAGCGAAAACGGTGGCGGTCTTCATGGTGAAAGTTGGAGTTGGAGTTGGAAGTTGGTGGTTGGTGGTTTGAAGTGGTAGTGGATGAGGAGGCTGGTTGATTGCTGTGTGGATGGCTGATGGAAGTAGACTTTGTTGTGATCTTTATACTTTTTTCCCAGATGCATTGTTGTATTCTTAGCATCGCAGGCCCCTGAGAGTCGGTAGGGCTATGCACGTCATGGTGGCACGGCCGGGACGTGCGGGGTGTCCGTTCGCTCGTATTTACTTGGCGTGCAACCGTGGGGATTAACCGGTCAATCCGGCGGCGCCGAGCTCGTAGGGCTGCAATAGGAGCGATGAGCTTAATGCGAACATGCCTGCAACAGCGTCCAACTAGAGGGACTATCGATTCCGAAGAGGTCAGGTGCGGAGGTGCAGCGGGATCCCCGGAAAACCACTCAAACAACTTCCCATCCCGCTATTGTTCACACTAGGTATAGCAGATGCCCTTCCCCACCTTGCCAAGTTCAAAGATGCTTAAGGAGAAGTTCCAGAAGTCTCAAATACGAATTGCGTTGTCGATGCGGGCCGTAGCCAAGCCACACGCGTACGTACTTGAAAGCGTCGGAAGCTCCTTTTGACCAGATTGGATATGAGAAACTAAGCTTTAGGCTCCACTATCTTCTTATCCTCATATTGTATAGGGGGGATGTGTGTTCGTGTTTTGTCCTGGAGAAGCAACTGTGGAGCGGGGCTAGCTACATCTGGACCAACCCCACAATATGTGGAGAACAACACCTTGGGAGACATCGCGGTCTGCTTGCCCGCTTGGTAAAAAAAATTGCTCAACAAACGCTCGGGGAAGAATTCAAGTCACAAACGGCGGATACTCCGAAAGCCTTCGATGGTGATTCCGTTTCGTTGTTTGATGATGTCCGCAGCCTATGGTGTTGGTTCAGAATGCGTGGGCTTTCTACAAAACCTTAATCAAGTTGACGGTAGGGAGAGAAATTCTCATAATGGTAGAGTGCATGGACGAGCGTACCTTCTCGGCAACCGCATACACCGTTGAGCATGTATGAGACGTAGGAATCAGCGGCATGACGCTGGCATCTACTACACTCAGGCGGTGTTCACCGTAGACCTCAAGATCGGGATTCACGACACCGCCCTCGGGAAATACCTACTGGATGTTTATCCGCGGGTGAGCCTTGTACACGTATCGGTGGGGCGAGCTCTTCAACAACGATCTCATCACCTTTAGAATCAGGGGCCGGTAAGACCTCTGCTGTTTTCGTTACCAAACGCTGCTCTCGCTGATTCCGTCCGCATCAGCTACTGCACCCTCCGAACACCGGCGATCAACACAGCCACGTCGGACTGCGCCATCAATCCTCCGCAATCAATGACAGGCGGGGCAAGGGGCGGGAATTGTGCCGTTGCCGCTGCCACGAAACCGCTGAAGAGTGGCTTTTACATGTACACAGGAATTTCAGGCGCTGTATTGACTGCAAACTCAAAAATTGAAGCATCGGTCGAACCGTATTGGTTGAGGAGAGCAGCGTGTTGCGCATCCCAGCCAGCACGAACGGCCTCGGCCGTAACGGCTCGGAGATATACTTCCTTGGATGTCGTGGCACCGAGTGCCAAGATGGACGCCGTGGCATTTTTCGAGGCGGTGATAAGATCGATTGGAAGAGTAGCAATAGTGTTACCCCCGCCGATCACGTAGGGACCAGTGCGCGATGTAAAGTACTCGGCCAGTCCTTCGACCGCGAGAGTGTTGTTCGTATAACGGTCGATGTAGGTTGGTCTGAGAGGAGCAGAGACTAATGCCAAGGTGAATTAGCCAAGAGGCCAAGGGCGTTTTAAGAAGAATGGGAACGTACAATTCTACAAAGTTACGGCGTATGCATGGTCTTGAAACTTGTAACCCACTCCAGGCAAATCAACAACCACTTCAACCTTGAGTCTCTGAGGAAGTTGTTCATCGCCTATTCCAGAAACCTATAGAATCTGAGGGGTCTGGATGGCTCCAGCAGCTAAGATGATCTCCTTATTCGTATTTACGGTAGTGGCTTCTCCGATCTCCCTCGACGCAAAGACAACGCTGACAGCTCGCTTCCCCTCGAAAATGACTTTGCCCACGGAATGCAATGAAAGGAGATGGTAGTTCGGTCGTTTCTCTACAATGTAGTTGTAATGCGCTGTGCGAGCATATGAACGGGTCCGATTTTTAGGGTCGACTGTCGACGGCACCCAGAAGACACCCCGTTTCGTGCCAACATTCGGGTTTGGGCATTGGCACACCTAATTCGGAGAATCCTCACGTGAACCCCTCTAGATGAACTCTAGTTAGGGTCAAGTAGGTGCACACTGTGTTCAGCAGTTGCGACTTACTCGCTGCGGGAAATTGGTAATTTGGATAACTAGCTTGGATTGAGCCGATTGAGTCGTGCGCAGACATGTCCCAGGAGATATTCCACTCTGCAGCGAATACACTGTCAGGAGGCGTGGAAGTCTCGCTCTGGGGCGAGTGATCGTACTAAGAAATAGCTTCATTTACGACAGGCTTTACCTTCTTGAAGTATGGGAGTAAGCCGTTTCATCCCCAACCAGGATTTCCGAGTTGCTCCCAGGCATCGTAGTCCAGAGCGCCTCCTCGATCGAAGACCATTCCATTGATCGTGGACCCCTCACCTACAACACGTGCGATTGTGGCATTGAAAGTGTTGTTCACCAATCCGGGCTGTGGCAGGCTAGTGAGGTCCGGGAACCAGTATGGAAGCGTGAGGCTCGTGTTTGTCAAGCCAGGCACAAGAACCTCATTCTCCTGATGATCAAAAGGTCCGTCCTCAGTAACTAAAACTGTAACTACTATCTCATTAGCAAGCCCCAATAATACTTCGTATAAGAGAACGAAAGTAGAATAGCGCGATCTCGCTCACCGTTTGGATCCTCGGTCAAACGGTCGGCAATTGTCAGCCCGCTTATACCACCACCTACAACAACAAAATCATATGTTTCTTGAAGTACAACGTCTCGTTCAATGAGGCCTGCAACGGCACCGAGTCTCGCGTGCATGACAGCCGCAAAGAGGAGTAGTTTTGAATCCATCATCCCCCTTACAACTTTTGATAACCAGGTACGAAAGATAGAGGTAGGTCTTGCACTTAAAGGATTTGTATCCGTGCTGACCCCGCCTTGTGTTCCCCGGAGTTTCTTTTTGGCGATTTCTACATACAGTAATGCTCAGCGAAGTAGCGCATCCTCCGAATCCTACGGCGGGATCATCCCGCAGCACGCGAGAACACCTATTGGCAGTGCTTTAATTAATGTGAGCCCATCGAGTTGCTGTAGTATCTTTGATGCTGCCCGAGCAAAAAAAAAAAAAGAAAAGTCCATGGAGCTATGTGGAGGATGGGTTTCTGGTACTCCTTTCGCCTCATCTTTCACCTCCACCGGTATGCGCATGGCTAAATCAGATTGAGGATGGGGCATTGAGTCTCAAGTCTATTAAATAGTATTTAGACAAAATTATCTCGATCGAATCCAAACAGCGAGCCCGAATTCCATTCACGAGTGAGGAAGTGACTGTTTGCAGAAGGGATTTCAGAGGTGTCAACAAAGCGACAGGAAAGCGGGTTTCAATCATTGTTTTATGATTGGTTGTACATACGAGGAGGTATCGCAGCCGAAGGCTAGTGTGAAGAATAACTCTGCCCCGCAGCTCTTTTCTTAGAAAAATGACATATGTGGGTAGCTGAAGCTATCATCCGGACGTGAGTGTATAATTATTAATTCCACATTTACATCCGGACGATGGATTCAACTACCCATGACATGAGCAAAGAACAAATCCACGCTAGTCATTAGCTACAAGAGGGGACTGTACATGCCAGCTGAAACACGAACCTGGATCGAATTTCTTAATCTGGAACAAGCGATGAACGATTATTTGAGAAAACTTCTACGCTAAAAATAGCATCCACATACTCGCCACGTCACTGATAAAGCTAATATATATACACCATGTGGAAGAAAGAGAATGGTACCCAGTAAACAATTTGAATACGGCTTCACGTGATCAGAACTGCAAGCCATACAGATCCCTGCAATCATGCATGAAGCTCGGGCCACAAGGCACCTTTTTACTCTCGCAGCCTTGAATCTCAACCAGCCGAATGAGTCAATATATATATCGTCGTCCCCGCCATGGCATGGAACTCCCAATATTATCTTCTCCATCAACCTCTGAGACCACCATGAACGACATAAGAAGCTGGCTGGGGAGCGGCGACCCGCCCTTGCTCGACTCGCTCTTGGACCTTCCGGATACCTTGAATTGCACCGAAAACCACACAATCGAGAACATGGACCTCTCTTGGTTTGATGATAAGACGTTCATCGGTGAATCTTCACTGTTCGGTGGGTACAATTCCTCGAATCCGATCGGCCCCGATGAACCTGCAACTCAAATCCAACCAGAGCCCTTTTCAAGCAACATCTTGCAAGAAACAGACTTTCCTGGACTCGAAAATCTCCCCGAGGTCGTCGTTGGGGAATCGCATGATTCACTTCTACAAAAAGCGGGCCCACACGTCTTGGCAGATCCAGACGTGGATCAGACCACGACAAATGAACAGAACAAGAGGAGGCCTGGAAGTCCAACTTTACAACCAAGCAAGAGAAATGGGCCGATCTCCTCACAGTCCTCGAAACGCAGGACAAAACTGTCTCCCGATGCAAAGAAAGTGCTGGAGGAGTTCTTCGCACACAATATCTATCCCGAGCCAAACGACGTTGCCAAGCTTGTCGAGCAGACAGGTGCTGAGGAACAACAAATCAAAACGTGGTTTAGGAACCAACGATCCCGAAAGCTCAATTTCGGTAAGTATGATCGTACATCATATGCCGCTGCTGGATCCCTCTAATTTTGAAGACAGGCATGAGTGGTGGCTCAGAAGACACCTCGCAATTACCTCGCGGGCCGTCAGAACAGAACTTCGCAACCGAATTAGCTGGGATTCCACATATTGATCCGAAATCCTTGATGGAGAGGTATCTGGGAGTCCCACTTGATCAAGATGATCGCATGCCAACCATCGTCACACCAATTGTCGAACCAAGGGGAGATCAGACAGCGGCCGGTAGTGACAGCTCCTGGAGCAGTTGCGGCTCACAGAACAGCTGGTCTTCTAGACGCGGGAGAAGAAAAGTGAATAGATATCGCAAAACTGGACTATACGATCCCATATCCGATCCATCTAAATTCCGCTGCACATTTTGCGGCGAGGGCCTCAAGGATCGATATCAATGGAGACGCCACGAAGAGACAAAACACGCGCCTCGCACTGGATGGATCTGCAAAGATGCAGCGTGCGCTGACAAACTTATCGAGGATTCGATATTTTTTCGCGAGGACTTGTTCACGCAACACTGCACCAAGCACCGAAAACATGGGTCTCCGCTAGCACACGGCCGTTCTCGGCACCCATCGACGAAATTCGAGATTGTCTCCGCCAATCCAATACCTGAAGCACACCCTGCTCTCCAGTGTGGGTTTTGCGGCAAACGGTTTCCCGATTGGGCTGACCGTGTAAACCACATAGCTGCACATTTTGAGAAAGGTGCAAACCTTTCCAGCTGGTGGCTGAAACGAGCGGAATTCGTTACGGATCCAAAGAACCCTCCGAGCCAATGGCCTCACGATGATTTCAAAGAAGCTTTATCCGAATCGGTTTTCTGCATCTTCTGTGAGCGCCTCTACCTATCACTTGATGATGCAAAAGCTCAGCATCTTGAATGCACTACATGGTCCTGTGGCCATTTCGAAGGAGTACAGGCCGCATATGAGAAATCAACATCGTCGCGATATCCACTATGGTCTTGCTTATACTGTGACGAGACGATTCTTGAGGTTGCCCCTGACCATTCCAGCCGTCTGAGCCATCTGATCATCGAACATGCTTACCGCAGCTGTACTCCTCAAAGGTTCTCGGAGCTTTCAGATTTCCAAGATCATCTGAGGTCCTATCACAAGACCTCTCTTGGCAGACCCGCAACTTTAGAGTCTGCTTGTCGGATTGCAAGAAACCCCCAGTTCAGGTCGGCCATGGACGCTTCTAGTATCTACAGAACACGACACAACCTGGATTCGTCTTTGATTGACTCATCCTCTTTCAAACACATCAATATCCTTGGCCGAAGTCTTGATGGAGATTTACGCTTTGTATCCGCACTGGCATCTTTCGATTTGATGTCTCCAGACAACATAATCAGCCTCAAAACTCTCAAACTAATCCAATCGAGAATTAATTTACAGATAGAAAAAAGGGGCAATGACAATACTTTCGTAGACACGTCGCCAAACCATGTTGGTGACGTGGTGGTTGAATGGGGTCGCTATTGGGGGGACCAAGGGGGAAGCGAGCTTCTACGACTGGCTCCCGGAGTACACGTTACTAGGTTTTCTGTTAGAGATTACGGCTCTGGCATGATACTGGTCTTTGGTCGGCCTGCAATGGCGGATTTCAATATGATCCGGAAGTCCCCGCCCCAAGTCCAACTCGTATGATTCACGGCTCATATTTTCCGTTCAATTCTCCCTCAGATTGCATTCCTCTTATCTGTATTTAGATCGGAAATTCTATCTTTCGGTGCTCTGTGTCGTGTATCATTGCGGGTTGTAACAGTTTGTTGCTATGAAGCGGATGCAGGATGAATACCGAGGTGTCACGAGACAGAGGAAGGCAACGTCAACAGTCACCCTATATACGTAAATCACCGACCTACGTACTGATAATATAACTTTTCATAATTATGCCAGATCTGCAAAAATGGCAGACATCTACAAATCAGTGAAACATAGCAACTGGGCACGTTACTCCAGCTAAGCAATCCGGCTATAGTGGGAATCATTGGATGCTCCGCAGAATAAAAGGCCTCGAACCGGACCCGCTGAGATTAGGGTAAGATAAATTGTAATTTTTGTAAGCCTGAGCATAATTCCAGGTATACTAGCTAAAGAGTGTAACAGCCGAATGGTCAATTTTGGGTAGGACACGGCAGCGGGAGCGGAACAGCAAGGATCAAAAGAGTCAGGAATATTTGCCGGACAGGTACTGGTTGAGGCTCTACTTCAAGAGGGAGATGCATACCTTGCAAACACTATAGACTTCGCGAACACGTTTCTCTGCGTTCAATCAAGAGCAACTATTTTGAACTCTGCGCCTATTTCCTTCCATCCCTTCAGCATGACCTTTCCTAATCCCACGCGACAATACCTTCCGTTGTGCTTCTCCACCAGCATGACATTGAGCAATATCAGCGGGGATCGAACAAAGTTACGGAGGAGACTTCCAGACTCTGGCAACCACGAATAACGCAACATTGGAGATCGGTCGTGATGTATTTCGGGGATATTTTGGAAATCATCCCAATCTTCTTCTGTCGATCGCGCAACTGAAAGAGCAAGAACCTCTACCTTGGGTGGACTGTAATATGCATCGTCTATATAAACATTGCCAGTTGCTGGATTGTCAAAGTAAGCCCAACCACGAAGGATTCCATCTCCAGTGCGCAGAAGAAAGGGGCCACGCTGATGACCAGTGAAGCCCTCAAGCCGTTCGAGATTGAGCGTAGCGCATTGGGTGTGTACCAGAAGTTGGCTTGGGTTTTCACGTAGTTCCCAGTTGGTCCTCGAAGCTTCTTCAGCAAGGACATCTTTCAGATACGGATTTTGCGGTCGGGTGGCTTGCCAAAATGCATCGTATGTTGGCCATTTGGCATAAACGTGCGTTGAGAGCTGCTCCCAGGACATGACTGAGTTGAACTCTGGCATCAGTGGGCGAGCGAAGCAACCTTCTCTCCATGCCATGATGGATGTTGCATGCAGAAGCTGTGCTATTCTGCCATAGTCTCCAGATGGATCCCTACAACCCCAGAAAAGACGGAGACAGCTCGGAGTAGAGACAATACGTTTAGAGACACTTCGTTTCACAAAAGAACCAAGTGTAGTGTCATTTGTATAGAAGAACCATGTTGCGATAGCGGCCCCAAGACACTTGTAGTGGTATGTGTTGTACTCGATCGCACGCGCTGACGCCCAGGACCAGGATGGAAAGTTAGAATTCCTGGATATTGTTATGGGGGTCCAAAGTATTGCATCGTCAAATTCACGGAAGGGTATGCCGTGTAGGTGATTTTCTCCGACAATGGAATTCAACATTCCCATAAATGCTGCCACTTTATCCTGGGAGGATGTGAGATCGCGTCGGCTGTACCGAGAGATATGTGGGACCAAGTCGATCCAATCAAAATATCCTCTGGGCCACCTCTCTCGTTTCACGTCCAGGAAAGGATGATACTTTCCGATGTAGAGTAAGCGCCGAGAAAAATACTCTTCTTGGTATGTCCAGCCACGGGTTTTCCACTTCATACTTCCGCGGTTATCTGGGTGGGTCTCGATGTCCTCCACAAGGCGCATTCCGGAGACCCTCACTTTGAAAGGCAGCATTTGGCCCCGAGAAATTCCGGGAAGTCCCTGCAGGGCATCATCATTGTCCGATGCAATGATCGTGAGAGCAGAGCCCCTGTAGATCTTGTCCATGACCTTTATCATCTCGCCGGGGTTATCTTGCAAGATGCATAGGCGATCGACCCATAGATACCGCATGCAGAGTTTCTCGCATGCCGTCATGGCGTCTCTGATAGTAGCGGGGATTTCCTGACAGTTTAGGTACCCCGGTGTCTCCAGGCTCTTGATATTGGTGGATGTTGCTTTTAGGCTTTCCATTGCTGCACCTGAGGCTCCCCAGACGTAGCTAAGGGCGATATATTCGCATCTTAGTGGAGCCACCGTGACACAAGCATCACGTACGTCAATAACTCTGAGACCTCTGACTCCATGGTAGTTCAGTGATGTCGAGCATTGAAGCTGGGACCTCAGTGCTCTCCAGTCACTCTCGTCAAGAGACTTCTCTTCAACTGTGATACCGTCCGCATTGGGTATTTCGGGATCGTCCAGGTAAATCCGGAAGGTCGGAAAGTATCCCTTCCAGTTGCCACTAGCGGTGCTGTATCTAATTTGCAGGAAGGCTTGTACCGTGGGATCATTTGGGGAGTAGAGATCAAATTCCAAATCAAAGGTTCCTTCCTTGGGCTGGTCCATAGGTTCACGCCGTGCGATGCGCATTCGAATAGCCTGGCATGCAGGGCATTCTTGACAGATATCTATCTTGCGGAAAACGATGTACGAGCGGTGGTTGAGGCATTCATAAAGGTGTCTGAGACGCAAGTGTGTCCAAAAGGAGCAGAGTGATGAATCTGTCAGGGGACTCGATGAGCACCTATCGCAATCTCCATGAAAGGCTTGCGGAAAGATCCTGGCCGCAGCCGTGAAACCGCGGTCGAATGACTTGCAATACACACAGGTTTCGACTTCGCATTCGGACTCTGATTCACTGTCGTTACTCATGAGTACATCCTTGGTATCGGAGTTGACATTTCTGACACGAGAAATGAACGAAAAGAGAGAACTGCAAATGAACACAGCAATGCAAAAATGTTGAAAAAGTGGTGACTCAGCGATGTCAAGGACAAGAGAATAGTAATAATAAGTGAGAATTGGCATCATGGAAGTTAAAATGTATGACATAATGGGCGAATTGAGGGACGAATATATAATTCGATAGGGTGATGGAGCCATGGACCAAAGAGGTACTTCATAAAGGAGAGCTCTAATCGCGCGCAAGACGGGGATTGATGTGATTATTGAAGCGACAATACGGCGTAGATGATGAAGAGTAGAAAAAGAGGCATTTGAGGCTGGATGCGGGGTAGAGCTACATCTTTATCAAGCCGCTGCTGATTAGGCTATGCACAGCCTCAGCCTCGCGTCCAGGCACCTGAAACAAATGCCTTTCAATGAGCGCGTGGCTGTGTTTTCGCCAATTTGGCACTAGTCGTCTCAATTTTTATCGCACTACAGAGGGGCGCTGCAGCCGATGGCTTGCGCGAAGAATAGCAGGGCTTTAGAACATGGCGCAACTATGTCCCAGATCTGCCTTAGAAAAATTAACATATGTAGGTAGTTGAAGCTATCGTCCGGACGAGAGTGTCGAATTAAAAATTCTACATACACGTCCGGACGATAGCTTCAACTACCCATAACATGAGTAAAAAACAAATCCATGCTAGCCATCGGCTGCGAGAGAGGACTGTAGTGTAGCTATTCTAGTGCACAAAGGTGAGTATGATTAAATAAGAGAATCAATTCCGCCCGATTGCAGGGTAATACCCGGGATGAGCGTAACCGTGGTTCACATCAGACGGTTATATTTTCTGCCTACGCCCTTCTTAAGTCGAGCTTTAAATTTTTGTAATCGATAATTTATTTCAGAGCACGACTGACAGAAAAGCAAAAAAAAAAATTGGGGCAAAATGCAACCTTAGCCTCTGCCCGCATTTTAGTCTCAGATTCTTCAATATTTTTTACAGGGCCAATTTGACAATATATGAGATTCCAAAATGTGAATTCCGTCTTGCCCAGAACCAAATCTGCTGAAACTGATATATTCACTACTGCAAGAACGCAAGGTCTCAAAGCCATAATCGGCTTAAGGAACACACCATCCAGCATCGTACCGAGCAGTGGAGATGGCATCAGGTGAGCCAATGGCACAATTCGCGGTAGCAGCGGCTGCCAGAGCAATCACATTAAAGCTATCATATAAGTAGGCAGCCCTTATGATCCCCCCAAATACGGGCAGGTCAGCACGCCGAAGTTTCGTGGGGATGCCAATGCCATCATACGGCAGCCAGATGAAGGCAAAAGATGCAGGAATGAGCAGGGTGGACTTTCGTACTTGACCTTGTGATCACAGCGAAAATTATGGTAGCCTGCTTTCTATGTACGCGTTCCGTCAAGCCCGATGGTAGATGGAAGTGATCGGAGTACGGCTAGCTCGGGGAGCGAGATGGTCGCGAAGGCCGATACTGTACAAGTAAGCGCTACTGCAAGGTAGCCCACGCAGATATCCAATCATACCATGCAAGCTTCTACTTAGTAATTCAATCATGCACTGAGTCAATGCTTAGGTTGCTTAACCGACATATCCGCTCGGCCTTAAGGTGCTCGTCAATTCGGCCTCCAGCGAGGCCGCCTACCATCCAACTCCTTCTTCGGACGACTTCCCAATTCTGGAGGCGCTCAACAGGTAGTATTTTCGACAGCATGGGATATAAATGGGCAGAAAAGTGCTCGATCAAAGCAACAGAGAGCCTTCAAGCTCATCATCTTCCTTTCTCTCAGCATATCTCTTGATTTCCGCACATATCTCACGACATGGGAGACTTCAAGCTTTTCGACGACGAGTCGTTTCATTTTGAGACTCTGAGAATCCTCCATGGGGCGACGTCAGGTGGCGCCGACATCGCAGAGGTCTTCATGACCATTCCCAAGATCAAGGCCGGAGACTTCGATTCCTGGGCAACAGCTTGGTACGATCTGGCCGTCCGTGTTGAGGCACAAGCACAACACTCCGACACCTCGACGGCCAGCGGTAGAGTCTCAGCGCGAAATGCATACTTCCGGGCTGCGTGCTACTACCGCTCGGCTGACTTCTTCCTCCACGGCAACCCCTCCGACCCGCGCATCATGGCTTTCTGGAAGAAGCACTTGGAAACCTTCGACACCGCCATCGCGCTACTCCCCATCCCCGGGCGCCGGATTGATATCCCGACACCACACGGATTCCACGTTCCCGCCATCTTTTACGAGGCTCCAGGAACATCTGATGGCACGCCAAAGCCGACCATGATTCTTGGTAATGGCTATGATGGCAGTCAAGAGGAGATGTACCACGCCATTGGCGCTGCCGCACTTGAGCGCGGTTTCAACGTCATCTCCTACGAGGGCCCCGGGCAGCCAACCGTCAGGCGATACCAGGGCCTGGGCTTCATTCCCGAGTGGGAGAAGGTGCTGACCCCCGTAGTCGACTATCTTCATAAGCATGCAAGCGAACTGCATGTTGATGTAAGCAGGCTTGGTCTGTGGGGCAACAGCATGGCAGGCATGTTGGGCTTACGCGGTGTGGCGTTCGAGAAACGAATCAAGGCGTACATCGCCTGCGATGGCGTCTGGAACTTGAACAGCGCGTTCCCAGCCGAAGTCAAGGCCCAAATCCAGGCTGGCCATTCCGACAGGATCTGGGCCGGCATCAAAGATGGCTCTGCGCCCACGGGCTTGCGTTGGATGATCACACATGGGCTGTGGGCCATGTACGACGAAGGGCAGAACAGGGCTTTGGAGTCGACTTCAGACGTTATCGAAGACTTTGTCACTGCCATGGGCAAGTACAACGTCGAAGATGTAGTGGGAATGGTGGATTGCAAGGTCTTTGTTGGAGAGGCTGAGGAAGATATCTTCTTCAAAGGACAGCCCAAACTGGTCGCCGATGCACTCGGCAGCAAGGCTACACTGTATTATTTCAGGTCCGAGGATGGTGGTGGGGCGCATTGCCAAGAGGGAGCAGCGCACTTGCTCGCGCAGGCCACTCTTGACTGGTTCGAAGATGTGGTGCGGGGTAGGGCTCAGAAGATTTGAATCCTCAGTGGTCCGCCATCATTCAACTTTTTGACTCATATTCATTCATGCACATTGAATTGAAAAAGCACAATTTGTCATTTTGGTTATTTCATAAACCTCTCCATATCACTCTTTAGCGTAATTGATGATAGCTCTTCCCAAGGCTACTGGCCGTAACCGATGTTGAGAAACTGCTGCTGCTGACGGTCCTTGCCCCTGTGTGGAATTGCTTTCAATACCTCTCGCTCCGGCGTAATCAGGCCCGTCGTCCTCAAGACTTTCCCGTTTCCGTCCACCGCATCCGCCACAACTTTCTTGACCCGGCGTCCAGGCAATTTCAGAGCCGTCTCGAATCCCTCACGCTCCGCCTCTCCGAGCAACTTCCTCGATCCATTCTCACCTTCGAACTCAAAAAACCTCCACACCCTCGTCTCTGTATCCCCATTCCACGACACATACACCGTCGTCCCCGACCCATCCGCATTCTCCAACGCCAAGATCGCCGGGTCCTCACTCGGCAGCCCGGTCCAATTGTACCTGAAGCCACGGTAATTCTGGACGCCCTCACCCAACGCCCCGCTATCAAAGTACGTATGAAAAATAGGCGTACCGTCCGGCAGGTACTCCGTCAGCGCGCCCTCAGAGCCCCAATTAACGACAACATTGCCATTCGGCAGCACCTGCGTCGAGCCCTGGCTCTTCGACAGCAACCCCGTGCCGGGCGGCGGATAGAAGCCCTGGACGAGCTCTGCCGTCCAATCCGTCGTGTTGAGGCGGAGGATCTTGCCGCTCGATGTCGGCGCCGTGTGCACTTCTGACCCGCCGTTGTGCTCGGTGCCGTGCGCCGAGTTGTCGTAGAGCGAGATGAACTCGACGGCTGGGTCGCCCGTTGGGTTGGGCAGGAAGCGCGCGTGGTGCTGGAAGCAGAAGGTCGCGTTGGGGCCGAGGGTGAAGGACGAGTTCTTGCCGTCCAGCCGCCATAGGATCTCGCCGGTGCTGCCGGAGATTTTGTGGACGGAGCAGGCGTCGCGAGCGGAGACGATGTAGTTGCCGTCGGCGTCTTTGTCGACGCTGTTGATGTGGAAGTAGTCCCAGGCGTCGGAGGAGTTGTAGCCCGAGCCGGCTTGGCCGGGGTTGAGGGGGAGGACGGCTTCTGCGAACAGTGTCATTTTGGCCGAGCTACTGGACCATGTATTGAGCGCTTACCATCAGGGGTTACGTGGTCGAGGCTGGCCCATTCAAAGAGTAGTTCGCCTGTTTCGATATCGAGTTCTGTGGATGTGTCAGCTACCTCGTATTTGGAGAGTATCGGGACGTGATTGTACCTTGAATTATGGCATTGACAATCCATTGCTGCTCTTCACTTGCTCCCCACGGCGTGAGATCCCGGGGAACCGGCTGATAGATCTGGATCAAACCCGTCTTCTCTCCAATGATATGGAACTCATGCTTATCGGTAAGCTTGTGGTTCCCGGCCTTTAGTTCTCTGACTGTGTCATAGTGCTTGTTCAGAATTGTCGTGTGCCCATGGCCATGACCATATCCGGGATTATGGTCCCCCTCAAAGCTGAAGAGAATGTCCTCTCCTTTCCATCGGCCAGCCTGGAAGTTTGTTGCCCAGATTGAGTAGATGCCGTATCCAGACCAAATGAGCTCCCCATCATCCCGAAAGATATAGGGTCCGGCTTGGCGTGGACCATGTTGCTCAGTAGGAGTGTCTGGAAGCCCCGCGAAGGGGGCAAGAAACAAGTATCCTTTTTCAACGGTGGGGGCTGCGGGGATCGTAATGTTGAGGCGGGGTGGGGCAAGGTCTGGCCGTGATTTGAACTGCCAATCAGCGCTGGCAAGAGAGAAAAGCCAGAAGAGGCCACTGATTTGCCGGTACATTGCGTCACGGGTGTGCACTGAGTGAAAGGATGGTATGGAAGCACTCAATTGTTTCTCAAGAAGTCTCCTTTTTCTTTGAAGCAGCGATCTTATTTGAGCTTTATTTCTTTGGTGAATGCAAGGCCCTTAACCCCTCAGATCTTCCACGGTATGATCACGCATTCCTACCCCGCCGTAATGCAATCGGAACGCCGGCTGTATAGTGGGGGAAGTGCTACAGAATGTCAGCTCCTCCAAGTCCCTTTAAAGACCATACATACTGAGGCCACAAATTCTATCAAACAATTCTAGACCCAGGTTTCGTGCTTGGGGGGACGACGTAATGGAAGATGAAGCAACCGTTGGGATTGGACTCCGGCATCACTCCCGTCCACAACGCATTAGCGCATCCCCGCCTGTCTGTTTCTACGTCATCAAATAGGCGACCCAATCTTTGAAGATCTCTGGAGAACGTTTGAAAATCCTTAAATCGTCTCATCCAAATTTACGATGCTTGCACATCACGATTTCTTTCTTTCTTCAGCTCGGCTCAGCCATATGCTCTCGCAAGATCCGGATAGGCTTTCGAAATGATCTTCCTGTTCCGCAGTGCGATAATGAACCCTTGTCTTACATGTTCCCCGGCAGCTGTCCCGAACGTTAGTCTAACCGTTAAAGTTAAGTGGCCCGAGCCCCTGCAACTCGCGAGAAGCATCGCAAATTGCGTGCTGCCGCTGATCTCGATGCGTACCCGGTTTTGCTACGCTAGCAGCCCGTTTCCCATATGGATTCTCTCATTATTTTCATGCCGGTCTCAGAATTTTATGGCTAATAAAATTCAATGTAAAAGCGCGTGACCACATCAATTCAGCGCAATCAACTCACGTTACCCTACCATTTCAGCTAGATACTGCGAGATCCAACTCAGCGAATGGCGAACTACGGGACACTGGTATCCAATGACGAGGAGAGCCCCGACCTCGCAGATCACAACGTGTCAGAGCATGAGACGCAACCGTTGCTCAAACCGCCGGAACCGGACGACTCATGGCGGCCACCACCGCGCTTCATTTGGATTGAGACGGCCATATTCGCCAATGTCTTTCTTTACGGCTTCGACAGTACCATCACTGCAGCAACGTATGCCGTCATCAGCTCAGAGTTCGGCGCCGCAAACACTGCTTCCTGGCTTACGACTTCGTACCTCGTCACCAGCACTGCGTTCCAACCGCTCTATGGCCGCTTTTCAGATTTGTTCGGCAGGCGCATCTGCTTCTTCGTCTCAACCATTACCTTTGCCATTGGATGTCTGGGATGTGGACTTGGGCGGAGTATTGTGGTCGTCAATATCATGCGAGCAATTTGCGGATTCGGCGGAGGTGGTCTCATGACGATGGGTAAGTCGTTCTCATGTTCCAATAAATTGGATACTGACACCTGCCTTTCTACAAGCTACCATTGTCAACTCTGACATGATACCATTTCGAAAGCGTGGAATGTACCAAGCCATGCAAAATGGCACGTTCGGCTTCGGCGCAATCTGCGGTGCTTCATTCGGCGGTTCCATTGCAGATTACATCGGATGGCGCTGGTGTTTCTTACTGCAGATTCCTGTTTCCGCCATTGCATTGCTGCTTGGGGCGTTGGTGATCAAGAATCCAATTGGACACCTTAGCCTTCATCAGTCATCTCTCAAGGATATCTGGAAGAAAGTTGACTTTTCCGGATCACTTCTGCTCGTCTCGGCCATTTCCATTCAGTTGGTTGGGTTGAGTCTCGGCGGCAACGAGTTGCCTTGGAGCAACGGATGGGTCATCGGCTCACTTGTTGGCAGTACAGTCCTACTTGTTCTGTTTGTGGTTGTCGAAGCCAAGACCACCGCTATCCCTATCATACCACTGCGTATGCTCAAAGGCCGTCTCCCGGTGTCTGCTCAGACTGCAAATGTTTGTGCAGGACTTGCGGCATATGCTGTAAGGGTTTCAACATCATTTTTAAATTCACCTGCTAATGGAATGTAGTATCTCTTCATGCTACCTTTATTCTTCCAGGTTGTCCTCTTAGACTCTGCCACCAAAGCCGGCGCACGTCTGGCATTGCCTTCACTGGCAACTCCCATCGGTGGTCTTATTTCCGGCGTTGTCATGTCACGGTGGGGCAAGCTGTTTTGGCTCGTGCGCTCCGGCGCCTCCCTGATGGCTCTTGGAAACCTACTCGTCTTGACATTGGGTTTCCATGACCAGGCTTGGAAATATCTGGTCTTCACCTTCCCCGCCAATCTTGGTCAAGGAATCATCTACCCGGGAATCCTATTCACATCGCTTGCAGCGTTTGACCATTCTGGTATACTCAGCCCCCATTTCTAACAAAAAGTACCATTTGTTGACTGACTATTCAAAGATCATGCTGTTACGGCATCAACAGTTTATCTCATCCGCTCTCTGGGTTCCGTGTGGGGTGTGGCCATCACCTCAGCTGTTCTACAGAATACTCTGAAGAAGAAGCTGCCAGTTTCTTTACCCGATGTGCCTGGTAAAGATGAAGTAAGGCATCCTTAACATTTACCAACTGCTTTTACTGAACGTAATCAGATCATCGACCAAATCCGCCATTCGGTAACCACACTGCGAGATCTGCCACCTGAGCTGCAAAATCCCGCCAGACTGGTATACTACGACGGGATACGCTACGCCTTCATAGTCTCAACAAGTGTTGCTGCCTTGGCAATCGTCGCATCTTTGTTGCTCAAGAAAAATGGAGGGATGCGCAGCACACAGAAGTAGGTGTTGATTATCGGGTATTATTTACCACAGAAGCCTATTCCTTGGGGAAATTGTTCAGACCGATTGTGAAATACAGATAGACAACACTTCTTTGGGGGTTATATCAAGTAAAGGAGAATAAAGAAGACTGGTATTTGAGGCGTTTTGAATATAGGCCCGGGTATCACTACATAGGAGCATACTCGCTCTCTCCCATCTCCCTATTCATGCGCTCCTCACTCGGCGCGTCCGCAATCCGTGGCAAAGTGCCCACATCAAGGATGAGGCCATCCTGCTCAAACGCGGCTCTCACCACGTCCGTACCCGGCGTGCTCGCGAACAGCACCTTGACAGCAGCCGGAACGCTGGGATCAGACGTTAGCCGTAGCAGGCTCGACAACGCCGGCAGCGCTTCAGCCTGGAACTCGTCGCGCTCAAAGAGCACCACACCGTCGATGATGAACACCGCCGTGGTGCTCCGGGATAGGCGCCGCACCAGCCAGTCCAGCAGCTTCGTCAACCCTTCAGAGCTGCCGGCTTGCAGTGCGGAAAGGTCGACGTCATGGTGCAGTGGGCGCAGATCGAATTCGTATTGCCGGAGGAGCTGGTCAATCAGGCTAGGTAGCATAAAGCGGGCACCGATGTAGGTGCTGTCGTCTGTGTCGGTGGCGTCGACGTGCCGCCCGCAAAACCACAGGAGGGGCAGGAAACGTGGGCCTCTGGCCTGCAGCGCCCTTGCCATGGTAGCACAGAAAGCGGATAGAGGAGAGACGCCGGCAACGCTGCGTGGAGGTGTTGGCAGGTCCCACTGCACGAGCACTCGAGTCGATAGTGGCGATACCATCCACTCGCGGAAGAGAGATGTATTCACAACTTGCTCAGCCTGAGCCATCTGCCGCGGAGGCAGTTGTGCCTTCTTGTTGACTACGAATGCGTTGTCAATGAGTTCGAGTTCAGGGATATCGAGGATGCGCCGCAAAGCCTCCTGACTGATGGACCACTCCGTGATCGATGGTGGCGGCGGAGTCAATCGGCTTTGTTCCAGCCTTCGATTTTGAACTTCAAGATGCATTATTGTCTTGTGTGCAGCGTTCAACTCTGCTTGTAAGCCTTTTTCAAAGTCAGAAACACGGGATGGCCGCGGAGGAAAAGCCAGATAGTGAACAGCTTACGCTCTCTTGACCGTTCGTGATCCGTCAGAAGGTGATTTAAATGGTTGAATAATCCACCCGCCAAATCCTGTTGAAATTGTCTCTGTTCTCCAAGTAGCTGTTTCTGAAGCCTTTGCGATTCCATTGAGTCTTTTTGTTTGAAGTACTGTCAGAATGAACACTTCAAATAGGAAAGCCGGGGGATTGCGCACACATATGAGATTCGCGAATATGCGATTTAAGAGCCTCTTTCATCAAGCTCTCGCTTTTCTTCTCGATGTTTGTCAGGCTTTGGAGTAGCTCCGACTGGTAATCTCCCCCACGGAAAAATGCACTTGCTCCCTTTCGGACTGTACGTGTTGACGTTAAAAATTAACTTTGAGTGCGTCGAAACGGAACAGCCGAGACTTACAATCACTACTAAGAAAGAATGCAATGGCGCGCTCCACTGCTTCGAGTGTTGTAAGTGTCACATCCATAGATGCGTTCCAGATGTTATGGTCTTGCTCAAAAGTTCCCAAAAATAGCTCAACATCTGAAAAGATAGGAACAAGGCCATCAAACCCTTCGAGAACTTGGTTGCGTACCCTTGCAGCGTTCTTTACGGCCTAATATGCTTTAGTATAAGCTACCTGGTGCTTTTGCTAACATGCATCGGGTTCGAACAATCTTACATCCAAAACAACCTCGACGGCGCCCAACACAGGTGTCGCATATGGATCATTGGGAGCAATCTTCGAGGCAGCATGGGCAATCTCCACGGCTGGGCCAACGTTGTCGGCAGCACTCCGTCGCACTTTTCGCAACAAGCCCACCATCCCTCCCTTGTTCTGGTACTCTGTGCGTGCCGCTAGAAGCATGTCATAGATGGAGTCCCAATCGTCTTTGTCTCGAATGTTATAGCCAGGTTTGCTTCTACCTTTCAGTCCAGGAGTCGACCTGAACCTATCCATGGCTTGCGGAAATATGTCATTCCAGATGCGCATGGCACTGGTAGTTGTCCAGATTGGCCTCGCAGAGAGGTCACCGTTATTCTGGAGCGCGAGTGCTGACATGCCTGGTGTTGTGAGAACGGCAGGATTTGAGGCTGGCACAGAAGCCAAACTGTTGTGCTTGTACTGTCCCGACATGGGATCGTAATGCACAAGAGGATTGACAAATGCGCAGTGGTGTTTCGCAAGGCGGTTGTCGATAAAATCGACAGAGGCAGGTTGACGGCTCAGGTCTGGAACAAAAGTCGGATCTGCCATGGTCAGTATCCGATGACAAGGGTGGGGCGAACAGGACTTCGTTTGCCAGGCTTAAGAATTAGATAGTTCCGTTTGATTTTCGTGGCGCAACATATGCCGGATAAGGGCCCTTTATTAGAAAAACTTGTTGCGCCAGGCTTGACGAAACACCTTTCCCATGCAAATTGCAAATAATCGAGGCATTTGTAACTGACACTCATGACTATCTTGCAGAGGAAAGATCGGCATTTGTGGAGCTGACATGCAGCTCGGGGTAAGCGCTAGCAAGGTCTGAGAAAACTGCTCATTTGTAAACGGCGGCTTGCAGGTGTTTTTCATGCAGTGCAGCTCGTAATCCGCTGCACTTCCTAGGATTATAGCCCACAAACAAGCAGTTTTACCTGTTTTATAGTAACGATAAGCCAGGAATCTACCGAATTCAAGAGAGCGCATCCATACTTGCATCATGACGTGAAATATTCTTGTTAGCAGATACCGTCGAGCAATACGTTTTTGTTTAAAAAAAAAAGAAAAAAACACAAAGGAAGGTTCCGATTGTAGTTCGCGTGCATTTATGAGTTTGATTGGGCTGTCATGCTCGATTTTAAGGCTGAAATATAGTACGCAGCTGCATTTCTGTCCGAATGCGAACACACACTATTGATGGCTTGCATAGAGGTGGCTTATTCTGTCAGCCCCAAGAAGAGACTGATAAGATCCTTTCTCAGCCTTTACTCTGCGTTCAGACTGCTAAGGGTGGATAATTACGCACCGTGGTCCGTAGTCGTCACCATACTCGATCAGCCTTGTGTGTCCAAAGAATTTGTCGATACCACCCTTTCAAACCAGCTCACCCTAGCCTGAGCTCAACACTTTGCTCTACCAAATCAAATTGATTCGAAACAACTTTTGCTTTTACCGAACTTCAGCCTTCCAGCTTGAGCCTAGGCTACTCCCAATGGACTCGAATGAAGCTGATCCAGAGATCCCGGAATCTCATGCCCCCGACCACCATCCAGAGGTCGCGCGTGCTACGCAATCAGCTCCCATCCCAGCTATCGAGAAGGGTGATGCGACGGACAAGGCCGAACAACCCGACACCGCGATGAGAGATAATCATAAGCCTCTGGGGCATGACTATCTCGATATTGGTGACGAGATCCAGGCCTTGAAAGCTAAGATACTTGAGCTGGAGCATCATGCCAAGGCTACCCCCGATGTCCCTACGCAGGAATCCTCCAATCCACAATTGATGACGGAAATGGAACAATACAAACGGATGGAAGCATGTCTTTACCGGCATCGAAAAGAATGGGAGCGGGCCGGTGGGCCCCAGGAATGGCACATGCGTTGGCTACAGAGCAATGGATACCACATCAAGCCCGACGGTTATTCACGAGTTATAGATGGGCCATGGCGCTATCACTGGCCCATCAACAGCTCACGAGATTACAACCGCCCCGACCCCTTTGACTCTACCCACGTATGCGCGGACGGGCAGTATGACACTGAGCCTCCTCATTTCGATGACTTCGACCACACTATTGACTACGGCAGCCGCCGCGAGAGGCTTCGCAAGAACTTTGAATGGGAGATGGACCGCCTCTATTTAGTTGAAGAGATGGAGCGTCGCAAGATGGAAAAGAGCCAGGAAAAGCATATTCCACAAGATGAGAAGCCCAAGAAAGATGAGCAACCAAGGGAGCAAGAGCCTAAGCCTCCAGCCATAGAGCTCAATCGGTTTGAGTGGTTCAACTTCAAACGGTCAACGAGTGACGGCGGTTTCGTCATTGAAGTCCTCGAAGGCGAGCCCATCCTCGACGATCTTGGGCCCTATCGGTCTTGGTATGGTTATTCTGGCCGTCGGCCCCGTGCTAAAGACAAACCACTTGACCGTAAAGCGCCCATCACAGCATCGTCTGAGCAGAGGCCGTTACCTGAACGGCTTCGGATCCGTTCTCCCATACTTGTACAAATCCTCCGTACCATTCTGGGCTCTGAACGTGAATGGCTCAGCTACGAACAAGTAGTTTTTATCAGGCCTTTCAAGGCTCTGGTATATTGTGAACGAGCCGTGCGAGACTGGTGCTCAGCTCTGGAGAAAAAGTTCCAAGCACTACCAAGCACGAGAGAGGACAGTGCAGATGTGGTGGATAACTCCATTACACCCTCCCAAAAGGAAGAAGGCCCCTTCCTACATCAAGCTGTAACAGACGCGAGCCAAGACTTGTCGGGTACAGACGCTACCTCTGAGAAGCCTTCCGCGGCCAATTCTGACTCTCTAAAATTTGTAACATCGCTTCCCCAACAAAGTGATCACAGTCGGCATGAAATCAAATCTGGCCAAGATGAAGAAGATCAGGACGAGGAAGAGAAAAGCACGGAAGATGACGAAGATGGGAAGGATAAGAAGGATGAAGAAGATGATACAAAGTCACCAATGGCACTGGAACACTTGAAGTGCCTCCTGAGGTTTGTGGACTCCGATATCTCGACTCGTCGGACGTACCTAGACGATCCTTCCTGCCGCAAGATCGTTTTCTCCGACCTGTGGCTACTTTTCCGACCAGGAATTGAAGTCATCGGGACCGACGGTAAACAGGCCTACCGTGTTGTTCATACGACCAGTGCCAAACATCGTGTCACACCCGCCTGGCAAACATGGCTGAACCATTCAGCAAAGAAACGGAAAGACTCGCCATTCAGCATCACCTGCGTCTACATAGACTTCAATGGGAGAGATTTGGGACCCGTGCAAAGAGTGTTTGATTTCAAAAAATTCGACGGTGAGACGGAGATTGTTTCCTTAGAGGTCTATCCTCTTCGATTCCATCCCGCGAAAGAGTCAAACTTCAGTGAGATTGAGTGGAAGGAGCTCGCGACATTCCCTACAGCGGATCGACACCGTCAGAGACTAATAAATCGTGGCGCCAAGTTTCTTGAGGTGGCTGCGGTGAAGCACATGTACTATGCCGGACCAACGTTGGAGGTGCGGGATGAGGTTGAGAGCCAGGTCGTGATTGATTTTGAAACAGCATTTTCAACGGGAGGAGATACTGGTATATCATGGAAGCCCGAGCTGAAACCGCTAGTTGGCATTCCGACCTCCGAGGAAGACACGGAGGAGGAAGAAGAATACCCTTGCAATGCAGAGTGTTGCAACCGCCAATCTGTCCACGATGATTCTTATGTGGACCAAAAGCAGAGGGACGAGTACGTGGAGAGCCTTTTACCCAAGGGTAGTGCATCAGACGAACAGCCGTCGATTGCCATCATTCCACGACCCCTGAGAGAACTGCGAACCGGCTACGAGAAGGAGTTCTCCGTATCTGATGATGAGCTGGTCATCATGTCATATCGAGTCTTCGGATTTGTTCTTCGCAGTCGAAAATGGGGTATGTTTAATTCTAAGTCCTCTACTGTGTTGGACTGTGCTCTCATGGTGTACTGATAATCTTTGTTACAGCCAAATTAGACCTCTCCCACTTGAGTGAAGCTCATCCCCCAGATCTTTTGTCTACAACGACTACGCCACAAGGACTGCATGAGAAAACGGAAGCAAATAAGTCGACCACCGCATTTGGTCGCCTCGTCCTCGAAAAAGGACATAAGCGCATGATTGAGTCGCTAGTAGCCCAGCATTTTCGAGATAAGCAGTCCAAGGCTGGCCGGAGAGAGGAATTCGACATCGTCAGGGGGAAAGGTAGAAGCACTTTGTACCGGTCATTCAAGTTATGCTGATCCCTATCGCAGGAAAAGGGCTTATTCTGCTTCTCCATGGTGCTCCTGGTGTAGGGAAGACGTCAACAGCTGGTATGTTATGCTTCATGATATTGTCCACGCCTTATCAATATGTGGAAATACTGATGACACCTTTTCAACTAGAGGGAGTTGCCGAGATATTCAAAAAACCTCTGTTCCAAATTACTTGTGGTAAGTAGCATTCTAAATTTATTTCCAATAGACACGTGCCGGCCTCCACTTCAGAGCAAAAAACAAAATGAAACACGCGCACACACAAAAAATGAAATGAAACGGCGCTAGCTAATCGCTTTTTCCTTACCGCTTTCAGGTGACCTTGGAACAACCGCATCAGAAGTTGAGAGGGCGCTTGAAACCAATTTTAGCCTGGCAAACCGATGGGACTGCATTCTTCTCCTCGACGAGGCTGATGTGTTCCTCGCGGAAAGAAGTAAAGAAGACTTTCAGAGAAATGGGCTTGTGGCAGGTGAGTTCAGAGCATAGTGATGCAGTATTTAAGCTACACAGGAACTAACCGTCTCAGTGTTCTTGCGAGTAATGGAGTACTATGCCGGTGTTCTCTTCCTGACAACCAACCGCGTCGGAGACTTTGATGAGGCTTTCACCTCGCGCATCCACATCAGCCTCTATTATCCAGAACTGAGCCAAGCCAAGACAGAGTCAATCTTCAAGCTCAATATGGACATGATTCAGGAGCGCTTCAAACAAAATGGACGGAAGATCAAAATCAACACATTTGACATTGGCTCCTTCGCGACGAAACACTTCTCCGATCATCCGGAAGCACGCTGGAATGGCCGACAGATCCGCAACGCTTGCCAGACAGCGTTAGCACTGGCAGAGTATGAAGCTCAGGGAAATAGCCACGCCGCCACCCCCAAGCCCGATATTGAGGTCGAACTGAACGTGGAACACTTTGAGGTCGTACGAAATGCCTATCTCGAATTCACCAAGTACATGAACGACCTCTATGGTACTAATACCGCGCGACGTGCCAAAGAAGCCCGGCTACGCGCTATATGGCTCGCAGAGAACGAGAACACTTTGGGAGGTAGCAGGGCAATGGATAGGGCGGCCTTCGCATTCGCATCACAGATTCCTCACCAGCAACAACAACAGCAGCAGCAGCAACATCAAGGATTCCCCCAGGCACCCCCTTCACATTACCACCAAAGGATGTCTTCGCAAATGGTGCAGCCCCAGCGGCAGCAGGAACAACCTTACTCCTCCTATCAAAACCCCACTGTGCAGCAGTCCAACTATCCTGAGCGAAGCCGCACCGGAGTTCCACCGCACAACCCAGCTCCGGATCAGTGCAGGAGCAATGTAACAGGTGGTATGGCTTATCCATCTTTTGATGGGTCCCAGCAAGGGTATGATCAGACCTACGCCCCTCGGCAGCCATCGCCGATGACGACCGCAGCTCGACAACAAGAGCATCCAGCGAACCCACCTTGGCTAAGGGACAGCATCCACTCCATGTATGAACCCTCGGGAGGCCAAAGCACTGGACAGGCGCCTCCTGGTAGCGTCTCACCCGGGCCGGTTGGTTACATGCAAGGAAACCCCACCTAGGGACCACCGAGGTCGCAAGTTTAGGTCAACGAGTGCAAGCTGCTCCAAATCTGGGCACTTATCTTCCTTTCTGTTCACTGACTTTTGACGGCCTTAACGACTTCTGAATTTTGTCTCTTTTTACCTTCAAATACACTCATTTGCTTTACCCAAAGCCAAGAGATCAGCTCTTTTTTTGTTTCTCCTTTTTTTTAGGCCATGTTTCTTATGCCAGTGACAAGTTTCTGTTTTAGTGCTTCATCTGGATCGTCCTTGAGTTTTAATTCAGGTTCGATAGATAAAATGAAGATCATGAATTGTTACTTGCAGCTTTCCACGTAATGTCCCCCAAATTTGACCATTCAACGTCGATATTTCGCCAAATTCACTACTGGAGCCAGCCCCTGCTGTCAAATAGACACACTTCGAACCATCAGATCAGAAAAAAAATATATATTTGAAAGAAAGGGCCAATGAGACAAGACATAAACGGGAGGTATAGCGCAAATACGCTTTGAAAAGGTTCTAAGCCCTGTCCCCCAACAGACTCATTCGTAGTAAGAGAAAAGGGAAAAATAAGAAATGGACGGTAGACGGCCCCGCCAACCATCCACCTCACCCCATAAACAGCCCCCCACTAGCCTGAATCGTCTGGCCCGTAACCCACCTACCCGACGGCTCCGCCAGCATCGCCACGACCAGCGCAATATCCTCCGCCGTCGCAAACCGATGCTCCATCGGCGTCAACCCCTTCTGCGCCTCCACCGCCTCGCGCGGAATCCCATCCACGACAATCCGATCAATCATATCCGTCATCGTATATCCGGGCGCCACCACATTCACCGTATGCCCCTCGGGCCCCAACTCGTGCGCCCACCCGCGCGTCAGCCCCTCCATCGCTGCCTTGGTCGCGCAGTAGATACTACCAGCAGCTATGCCGACGCGGCCGAGCACCGAGCCGATGCTGATGATGCGGCCGCCGCCGCCGGCGGGCAGGTGCGGGAGCACGGCCTGCGTGGTGAAGACGAGGCCGCGCACGTTGGTGTCGAAGGCGTGGGCGAAGACTTCGGGGGTGGTGTCGCGGAGGGTGCCGACGATTTCGGCGCCGGCGTTGTTGACGAGGATGTCGATGGTGGGGCCGAAGGCGGCGGTGGTGGCGGCGACGATTTTGGCGGGCGAGCTGAGGTCGCAGGTGTCGGCCTGGATTTTGATGGCGCGCGGGCGGGTGGAGGAGGGGCCGTTGGAGGAGAACTCCGAGATGGTCGAGATGACGTCGTCGGCGAGCTTTTCGCTGCTGGGGGAGACGTAGGTGATGGCGACCTGTTCGGTGGTGTTAGTGGCCTGGTGGGGGGTGGTTGATTTGGCAGTTGCTCTAATTACATTCGCTCCGCGTTTGGCAAGCTCGATGGCGATGCCTGCGCCAATGCCTCGAGAGCCGCCTGTGACGATGGCGACTTTGCCGGCCAGAGTCAAAGGCTGGGTTTGTGAAGAAACCGTCATTTTTTTTTTTTCCGTGGAGACCTGGGGTAAAGAAGTAAATGGTTGGATGGCTGCACAGAGCTGGATCAGGAGGCCCATTCACTATTTATGCCACATCACAATTAGACTTCTGACAACTGTCCTAGTAGTGCAGAAAATAAAAGTGTGGTATGCGGTCATGCGGCCGGATCATCCCGAGTCTCGTTGTTCGCGGTTGACCCAGAGCGAAGAGGTGCATGGAAATGTTCTGTAGTCAGCTTATCAGGAAGTGAGAATCTTACTTGACCGAGTTGCCTATTCGGTCTATGCTGAAACAAATACCAAGAAATCATCTCTCATCAGCCGACGATTTGCGAACGACCTAAATTCAAATACTGCACAATATCACCTCTGCCAATCTTAAAGTACACAATCGCGTAAACAACAAATTGGCGTCAAATGGACCAATTATAAGCGTTTAATCACTCTGTATTCAAATTTGAGCCTATCTTCTGCGTAATTCTGTTCAAGAAGGTGAACGTAAAGCAACGCTGCGTCTTTTCCCCGCGTCAGATTGTCTCACTAAGCTGACCACGCCACACCAATAGTTCCCTGCCAGACTTAAGGTTATCCTTCGTACCCCGCAATGTGCAGGACAATCACAACTCAAATCTCTCTCACAAACCCCACCTCGACCAATTTGTCAACCGGGATATTCATCTTGGCCACCTTCGCCCTCGTGTTATCCCTGAACCACAGGAATATGCTCAGCACAACGCGCTTGAAGAGACCGTTCTTGTTCTCCAACAGCCGCAGCTGTTCCTTGCCGACGATGTACACAACTTGCGTCGCATAAGCCGACTCCAGCGCCGCGAGCCGCTCCGATACCGTCGGACGAAGCCAGTTGCCATCGCGGCTCTCTACCGGCGAGTAGGAAAGACCTGTAGAATGTCCCGCGATATCAATGGGGTCGTAGTCACCTGCAGAAACTTCCGCCGTCTCCGCGACAGGAGGAGCCGCAGCGGCATCCGCATCCGCATTCGCGTCCGGATTCGTGTTGTTTTCCGGAACCGGAGTGGTCGCAGTAGCAACAGGCGGCGGCACCCCGGGAGAGAACGCAGACGACTGAATCGCCTCGCGCAGTTTCGCGTAGACGACGGCGCCCAGGTCGGCGTTGACGGGATGGTCGTTGTAGCCGTGGCGCAGAACGACGCGGTAGCAGCTGGGCTGGCGCGTCGCCGCGATCTCAAAGCGGTCCTCATCGGCGACATGTGGGATCTGCAGCGCGCGCAGGTGCAGGAAGACGTGGACGTCTTGCTGCGCCTGGAACTTGCGGATGAACTCTTCGTACACAGCCGGCATCTTGGCGCCGCCTGCTTTGTCGAAGAAGATGCCGAGGCCTGGTGGGGAAAACGTCAGTATCGAGATGGGATGGATGGGGTCTGGAGAGGAAGATGGCCGTTACCTTTGACGGTGAAGATGTCGCCGCCACCGAGCTTCTCAGCTAGTTTCGTTTTGCCGGTTCCGTCCTTGATGAGGAGATCCTGCGGCCGCAGGTGATGCTTGGCTTCGCACTTCCATTGCTGCTCCTTGCCGTAACGCCAGAGGATGAAGAAGCTGGCGAGGATGAGAGCGAGGACGAAGGTGAACCAAGCGCCATCGACAAATTTGGTTGCCGCCGACGAGAGGAAGAGGCCGTCCAAGGTAAGGAAGATCAGCCACACTGGGACCACTATCCACCAGTGCGTGCGCCAGACGATCAGTGCCACCAGAGCGACAAGGCAAGTTGTGATAAATGTGACCAGGACGACGCAGAATCCGTAGGCATGGCCGAGTTTGGTGGTCTAATTCAGGAAATGGTTAGCGAGTGCTATCATTGCTTTGCTTTCTGATGTGACATACGTTGTTGTAGACAGCGGTAACAATTACCGTGCCGATCATGATGAGCCAGTTGGCAAAGGGAATGTAAACCTGACCGTGGAACTTGTCGCTGGTGTAGACCATCTTGATCTGAGGGAAGTAGCTGGTGTTCATCACTTGCGCCAAAAGTTGGAATGCAGAAGTGATGAGAGCCTGAGAGGCTACGATGGCTGCCAGAATAGATATGACCAGTGAAGGGTAGAACATGCCCGGCGGTACAGACTCGAAGAAGGGGTTGGCATAGGCTCCCTCGTTCTCTGAAATGTATGCGGCCTGACCGATGTATGCAACAAGGAGGCATGGGTATGCAAGGCACAACCATGACAGTTGAATGGCTCTGTTCCTTATCAGCACACGACCAGGACCATATGGAGATGAGCATCTACCTTTGCGAGAAGGCACCCAAGTCCGCGAAAAGCGCCTCAACACCCGTGAAAGCCAACAAGATGCCTCCCAGAGCAAGCCATCCATCCGTCTTATTGCGCACGAAGAATTGACCAGCGAAGTACGGAGAGAACGCCTTCAACACTGACGCATCATACTTGGCGAGGTTGTACACACCGAAACAGAAGTTCAGGAGAAGCCAGACAATCACCACCGGCGCAAATCCGCTAGCGAGCCTCGAGATTCCCAGCGGCTGCAGCATGAAAAGCAAGACGAGAATGGCGCACGAGACTCCAACGATCGTGTCAGTTCCGATGTCCTCTCGGACCACCTTCAGGCCTGTAGAATAATCAGTTTCTTCCAGTTCCATGCCATCGTCCGATGTGTACGTGGGTTACCTTGTACAGCTCCCAGCACCGATTGCGCCGGTGTCAGAATACTGTCTGCTAGAATAAGGCTGACGCCGAAGACGGAAAGCGCCTTGAGGAGGCCATGCATGGCACGGCTATTCTCCAGGAAATTTCTGATTTTCAGGTTGCTCGTCCGGAGCTCGTGTGTGTGCCATCGTTTCAGCTGGTATGAGGATTTCTTCTTTGGGTCTTGCTTCGTGATGTGACACTGTAGATCTGTTCAGTATGGGATAGAAAATGAAGATGCGGTAATACGTACGTAGCGCGCAAGCAAGCTGTAGATGGCAAATGTACCGCCTTCACCCTCGTCATTTGCGGAAAGAACGATGAGCACATATTTGACCGTGACGATGAGAGTGATGGCCCAGATGATCAAGGAAAGTGCGCCAAGAAGGTCGTCATGCGATGGCTGCGAACTGAAGGTGCTGGAGTAAACGTAGAGCGGGCTTGTCCCAATATCACCGTAGATGACACCGGTAGATTGGTACGCCAGCCTTGCTACTGTTAGCACGACAAGTGGATCTGGAGATCAGGGAGCTTACAATAAAAGAGTCCACCCAGAGAACACCTTGTCGCTGTCAGCTAGTGGGTTCGCCATGGCACCAAGACATGCTTACCTGCTTGTGCTTTAGATCTCGCTCCTGGGGCTGGATATCAATGCTAGCTTCCTCGTCGTAGTACTGATCGACGTCCTTCTCGTCCAGGGGCGCGTTGCGGTCAGGAGGACCACGAGGCCGGAGAGCCGCGTGGTTGGTACTCTGGGAAAGCGATGATTGCTTCGAGGAGGTGTTTTCTCTTTCCATACCAGGTTTAATGCGGAGTGGTGCAAAGTATCTGCAGAAAAGCGCTCAGGCTAACCTTTGACGGTGATGTTGCGCGAATATCGGAAAAGGCCTCACGATGCAGGAACAGCAGCTGCTGCGCTCTTTAAAACGCGACGCAGGCAACGACTGCTTTGCCTCTTTCAGTCGCCTCAGCCACTCGGGATGTGAACGAAATTCCTGTTGTCGCGATAAGACGCGGCATGCTATCCGCAGATCCAGATTGGATGATAAATCGCGCATCTCGACCTCCGCGTCATGTGTTGTACTATATCCCGCACGGCGGTCTCCGCACATGCTTACACGCGAACCTCGGGAAGGATGCTTGACCGGCGAATTTACCGTTCCTCCCACAGATCTATGTGCTACTGGGGCGCTCTGTCCCCACGCTACGCGACGACATTCCACATGCGGCAAATTAGCCGTCGCAGGGACTCTGCCTTCAAGCTTGATCAGACGTCGACTGCCGAATTTTTCTTCACCAATGCCCCATAAAACGAGGAAAATTGCCGCATACTCTTGGCTTTCTGTGCCAAGGCAGACCGTCGCGGATAATGTACGTATATACATAACCAAAGACTCTCGGCTCCCACCAAGACCGGCCGTCATTCCTATCGTGAGGGTCAGCCCAGACATTCTTTGCCATTTGCGCCTCAATTCCCCCGCATTCAGCCTCAGTCATCATCTCCCCACATTCCTGCGAAAAAGCAACATTCCTCAAGACATTACTTTTTGGAAAGCTATCCTGTAGTTTGGTCACTAGCAGTGGTAAAATCTGAACTGTGAAGACGGTCAAAGATTGCTTCAATTCTTTAGCTTCCAACGTCCATGAGAAATCGTCCCGCAGAGTCTCCACGTACCAGCGTCCATGACCAACTCACCCAAGCTAATCCGGCTCTGAACAATACCTATTGCAACAACACATCTCAAGTAGGCAAAGCCAACACTTCAAAGACATTTATTAATCTAGTAGCCGGTCTTGATCACGTCTTCTTACGTGTTTCGCGTATCATCCTGCAATGACTGTTTTTCATTTCTTTTTTTTTTTCATTGACGCAACCCGAGTCTTTCCAGTCCATTCACTTTAGATCATCCATCCATCGCTTTTTTTTTAAAGTGATCATAGGAAAAGATTGAAAAGGAAAGCTGAATAGATCGCACATGTTCTGCACGAGTATTGTGCAGAAAGGTATTGCGGCCAAAAATTAGCGCGAATTTTCTTTTCGCTCATGTCATGGGTAGTTGAAGCTATCGACAGGATGCGAATGTGAAATTAACAATAAAACATTCTCGTCCGGACTATAGCTTCAACTACCCACATATGTTAAATGCTGAGGCATAGTTACCCCAGATTCTAAAACCTTTCGCGCTAGTATTCGGCTACAGTACCCCTCTATAAGTAAGCGGACGAGCGGACAAGCCCGGCCGGTTGCCCGGAAGTGGGGCCCATCTCCCCACAGAAGTACTTGCAAACCACAAAAGCAAGAGCCTTCGCGCACCCTTTACTATCGCTGGGAGTTTTATTTAAAAGATCAACATGAATACACGAATTAAAGCTTCTTCGCAACCTTGAGCGCCCATGGCACAAATTAGGCCTCAAGCAGTTATAGCTCACCATACTACAGGTAATGGCCTCCACGTTGAAAAGGAAAAGCTTACGACAGCTGAGGGATTCAATTCAGATCTAAGATGTCTCACTATATTTCGCCGATCGATTTTAGGCGACTCGCATTGACCCGCATCCGATACTTTATCCTTGCAATGTTGGCAAAACTAGGCAGCAAAAGCCGGGCTGATTCCGTAAACAGATAATCCTACCCAATCGCAGCCCTATACACCACTTCACTATACCCTAGAAAGACTAGGAACAAACCGTGACCCTGGAAGTGGTGGAGACGTAGACTCTTGTGCCGCACATCTCACGCCATTGCCGACTTCGGGATTATTGCTCCATACGTATACCTTGTAGATGCCTTATTTTGGCGTCCATGTCTGAGAAACGTGGGGATACTCAAAATTCTTTCCAGTGCCGACTTCGCGACACATCATCCATACCAAAAATGACGGCCAGTGAGCTCACGAGACCGCAGCCACTCATCGTTCCTTATCAACTGATCAATGACAGATACCACCACGGTCTCAGTCCACGATGAATACCCTCCGCGGGCTGACCTGCGGAAAATGATGGACCAGAATCCTCTGCCCGTTATTGCTCCAGGAACTGTAGACTCGGGTTCTTTGGCTGGCGATGATCCAACCAAGCAGGCGCTCAGTGTGCTTTACAAATTCAACAATGCTCTAGCTGCCGACGATCCTGGGGCGCTGAAGAGCTTGTTTTATGCCAGTCAGGCATTTTGGAAGGATGCATTGGCGCTGACATACCACCTACGCACATTTTCCAAGCCCGCATCAATATCCGCAAATCTTTTAGAAACAAAAAAGCTGAGAGGTCTTACCAAGGGCATCAGGCTTGATGGAGCTGCCCGATTCATACCAGCTGCGCCAACTCTTGTGAGGATTCCTCCTGAATCTTCGCCTCAATGGCAAAAGTGATCAAACTAACAGTTTATGCAAACAGCAATTCATTGATTGTGATGTTACTTTCAGGACTGAATCACCAGTTGCCACGTGCAAGGGGGAGATGTTGCTTTCATCGGCCAAAAATGGGCTTGGAAGTGCTGATGAAGAAGTTGAATGGAAGATATGGATTTTGAGCACCAGACTCGAGAGCCTCGACATTCAACCAGAGGATGAGACATTACTGCAGTCTCCTGGCAAACAATTGAATGGCCTGGAGCATTTCGAGACAGACGTCTTCATCATCGGAGGCGAAAATGCGTGAGTGAAAACACGAGTGATGAAAGACGGTCGAACGTGACTGCTGCCACCACACCGCCTCCCCCCGCACCACCCTCGCCGTCCGCACCCCCACCTACATCCTCCCCCTCTCCTACGTCTGCCACCCGCGCAGCCTCGACGCCTACGACGCCCTCGCCGGTGGCGTCGCCGCCGCTGCGGACCAGCTCTTCCTGACGCTCCCCTCCGTCATCGACGCCCAGCTCGCCCGCGACCTCTTCGCCTCCTTCGCGGCAAAGAAGCCGGACCGCTACGCCGCGCTCGCTGCGGCAGGGTTCCCGGTGGTTGATAGTAGGGATGGCAGCGCGGTGCTGATGCACAACCTGATCGAGCGCGCCGGCGGGCATTATGTGGATGTGGGTGGGACGGAGTTGTTGGCGGAGGGGGGAGAAGGCGCGGGTGAAGGCTGGGGGGACGGAGCCGGTGGGCTGGACGGAGGGGGAGCTGCGGTTTGGGGATGGGAGTGAGGTGCGGGCGGATGCGGTGGTGTGGTGTACAGGGTTTGCGGATGGGGATGCGAGGGGGACGGCGGCGGAGGTGCTGGGGGGTGGGGAGGAAGGGGAGGGGGAGGGCGGGGAGGAAGGGGAGGGGGAGGGCGGGGAGAAGGATGTGCTGCTGGGTCCGCGTGAGATTGCGGCGAGGCTGGATGCGACGTGGGGAGTGGATGCGGAGGGCGAAATTCGCGGCATGTGGAAGCGCCACTTGCGCGTGGAGAATTATTGGATTATGGGCGGGTATACGCAGCAGCATCGGTGGCACTCGAAAACGCTGGCGTTGCAGATAAAGGCGGCACTGGAGGGGATTTTGCTGCCGGCGTATCGGGAGACCAGGCTGTAAGTCAGCGGTGGAGAAGCTGGGGTTTGTGGAGATATGAGGATGCACATTATGGTGGTAGAGAAGTGCGGGGATAACATCGGTCTGGCTTATTATTCACATATATCTCGTAAAAATACTGGATGCTTTCTCGTATACCCCGGAATGGACCAAGCTAAGATAAAACCTCATGTAGCTTTCCAGCCGAGTCAACTCAATACTCTGTTCTCTTGAGTGTGGTAGACTCAGCAAAAACATGCAGTTACTTGAACTCCGAGCAGGTGCCATCGTAGTTGAAATACTTGCAGTTTGGCTGGCAGTTGTACTCTTCGGTAGTGGTGAGGGGGCCACCAGGTTCACGCAGGGCCTCCCACTCGGTGCAGTTCCCCGGACTGATGGTGGCGATGCTGAATCTCGGATGGACGTCTTGAATGGATGCGAGGGAGACACCACTGTCGAAAAAAGAAATTTCTGTGTCAGTATAGAAGGCCACTTTGAATATGCAGCCGGATTTTACTTACCCCCAAAGGCTTCCCGAGATGACAATGCCGCCAGGCGCAGCGGTCTCCAGCTTATCCAGCGTCAGTCCATTCAAGTAAAGGTTTTCCGATACTTTGAAGAGACCGTTAACGCGTTGGAGGTTTGGTGCCTGCAGCTCTCCCAAATAGCGGTTGCCGTAAACGATGAAATCTCCGTCAACGGTGGTCAGACTCGGCATCAGGATTTGCTGCAGGCCCGGCCGCATCTGGTTGGATTCGGTGAAGGAGATGCCGCCGCCCACGTAAGCCAGCTTCGGGAAATCCATCGTTTTCGTATAGGAGTCATGGTTCTCGAAAGAGCCGCCAATGCGCTCCAGGGAGCTGGCTGTCACTTTGTTCCAGTCGTGCGTGGTCAAGGTGCCTGTTATCTCCTTCACGCCTTTCAGCTCGACTGCTGAATACAGAGGTCCGTCTGCAAGTGAAATGCTTCCGGTAAAGGTTGGACAGGCAGCGATGCTATCGGCATCTCCCTGGCTGCTTATAGTTTTGGTGGCCTGGGAAGAACACACTACGCTGGTCAGTCATGCGGCTTAAGCAGTAAGTTGAGTTTGGAGAACTACCAGTTGCATTCTGACCCACGACCAGGGCCGCGAAGGTAGAAATGAGAGCGAGATGGAGCGATTTGGGTGCCATATTCTCCAGAGTGTCTGTGCTAACAAGATCAAGTCTGAGGTTGCGGTTGAAATGGAAGGCTGAAGAAGAGGAACCTGGACGAATTTAAGGAGCTTCAAAAAATGCGGCTGCTAGAAGTCCACCTCTAAGCCACGATACTACTTCCTATCTTGGTTAGGAGCCAATGTTTTGTGTCCATATCTGTACGAGTAAGCGAGCCAGATACGAGAGTATCGAAAGACTTATTGCATGCTTGTGCAACCAAATTGAAGAGCTGCGCTGGCGTCATAAACGCAAAATCACATTGATCTGGCATTTATCTATGCTCTTGCTAAGTACTGCAAAGCGCCCATTCGAATTCCAAAAGGCCTTTTAATCCGATATACCCATATAATCATAGATTATTCATGCGCCATATTGTTCACAGCCCCAATTGTACGATGCCTGGTGCCTGGTGCCTGGTGCCTAGTGCCAAGCTTCGGCTAGGTACACCGCAGGATTCCGCCCCCCAGAAACGCGCAGCCAACCAGATCACCAATTCTTACAATGTGGTCTCACCGTGGATTCCAGCCCAGCTCAGCTCGATTCGAAGCGGTTAACGGCACGGAATCCCGGTTACACTGGAGTAATTGAGGCGACGCTCAACAAGTTGACCAAGCTTGTCTACGTTTTTTCTTTTTTGTTTTTGGTGCCGCTGTCAGGCCAAAGTCTCCCTATAGGAGAACAATATTACAGGTTATAAGCAATTGGAAAAAAGGATATATGTACGTGATCAGCAGTACGGAGCTCTTTAGTAGACGGCGCCCATAAAAGTTTTCGATGAATAGAAACTCGTCATTGGATTTAGTTGTAAAACGCTGAAAGCAGAAAAACTCCATCTCCCAAATCCTCTTTCCGCCAAATTGGTCGCGGATGCTATATTTCCAGACAAGATCTTGTGTTCTCAGAAGAATTGGATAGCCATGATATAGAGATAAGCATGCAAGATCCCTGCCAGAGTTGACCTCGGACATGATGTTGTAAAGAAGATCTTTGTCAGTTTTGGTGGCTTGCGTGGTCCTTGTGAGCGCCTCGAGCAAGGCCTCGAAGTAACACCAGTAAAAGAGGGATATGGGTAGAGTTTTTATATCTACCTATCATTACCCAGATGCTTGGGTGCACCCTCGATTGTGTAATTCCACTCACTATAAATCTCAAACGCCCTCGCCGGGAACGTATGCAGTGGGCGCATGAACGCTCTCTTCAGCGACGTCATTTTCCCAGAGTATCTATGCGCAGCGCATGTCATCTCACAATGAGGAAACGAAGTGACGTAGCACACATGCATTGATACGAAGTCGTTTTGGCGTAGGCAAGCCGTCGGCCAAATAGGCGAAGTGCAGCGACTTTCGCCGGAGGGCACGGTTGGCGGCTCGAATACGTTGACGAATTTCATTCTGTCAACGCCGATGGCACCTTTGCCCGTCTCCACACTCTCCCCGGCTTTTTTAGTGGTTGATGGCAAAGGTGGGCGGCGACAGGGATTCAAGTGCAGCATGGTTGGTACCAGCTCTTTACACTCTGCCTTTCGATTGACAAAAATTCTTATATGCCTACTCTCTGGGTTTAAAAATGAAGAAAGATTAAATACGCTACATGGATATATGGCTAGACAGATCAAAGCTTGGTTGTGGCTGGCTTCCCCATACCCACTTCTCTCAGATCCTTGACACGCTCACCAGGGCGAGAATCATCATGACCCCATGGTCTGTTGTGCCATCTCCATTCCGGCTTGAGGCCTCTCTCTTTCCCTTCTACCGCATCGGCAATATAGCTTCCAATGATTGGAAGGAACTTGAATGCATGACCCGAGTCTCCTGTGGCAAGCAAGAATTCCTTGGCCGGGTATTTCGGGTGGTAGTCAAAAAGGAAGTGGCGGTCGGCCGTGTCCTACAAGACGATTAGAAGGGACATTAAGATCATTGGCTGAGTTACTTACGGTGCACCAGCAAATGGAAGCTCCATGAATCTTCCGGCCAGAAAATTGAGGAATCACGGCATCTATCAACTTATTGATACCATCCATGGCTTCCTTCGGGATGCCCTCGCCGGGATGCTCGCTCGCGTAGTATGGCACAGAATACTGAAGTGTTTTATCACCATCTTTGTACTCACCCACACGATACTGATATCCTTGGAATTCGTTGCAGATCTTGATCCACCGGGATTCTGGGTCGGGTTCGAAGAAGAAGCCAAGTTCTCGGTTGTCGACTACCGGGCAGTTCTTGAACTGGGCGAGCTCTTCATCGGTAACCTCGACGTGGCCGAGGGTCCAGCACTTGGACCAGAGATGCGGTGCTAATTCAGGAAGCACAGCGGGGGATGCGGCTCCGGTACAGAGGATGTACTTGGACGCAGTGTGAATCTTGCCGGATGCGACTTTGATGCCCTTAACCTTTCCGTTCTCCTCTTCAATGCCGACCATTTGTCCGTCAGGGCCGCCGATGAATTTCACACCCATCTTCATGGCCTTTGGGGAGCGTCAATGCATACGATTCTCCGATGCGGGGTAAGTGGCACGGCTCACCTCAGCACCAATTTTCTCCAGTGCTTTTCTGGCATGGGCCCATCCTGCCTGCGGATTCCAGAAGCCCTTCCACTCGTCGATGCCCTTGGCGGCTGCAAGCTGCGGGACATGCTTCACGATGTCCTTCTTAGTCTCGACGAACTCGACGCCCTCTGCCTGGCCTCTGTCGACGAGATTCTGATAGGCTTGGCGGAGGCGTTTGGCGGCCTCGGGGTCTCCGCTTGTGGTGACAAGCCAGCCTTGGCGGAAAGCTTAGCGCACGCTTGGATGGATGCGGCTGACTGCACTCACCCGTCTCGTGGAAGATGTCATCGAACAACGGCTGCCTCCATGCCTGGATGGCCTCGATGGCTGTTGGAAGGGTTAGTGCTGGATGGGGAAAGGCCCGTGCTTTGACGCACCCATGTCCGAGTACAGCGGCTCGTCATACTCGGTGCGGATGATCTTGTTCAGGTCATAGGCGGCGCTGTCAACGGACGGGAAAGGGTTCTTGTCGATGCAGGTGATGTTGGAGTAGCCTCTCTTGGCCAAGTGGTAGGCGGTCGAGGCGCCGAAGGTGCCGCTATCCAAAGTAGGTCAGCGCTCATGCGGTCGACCGGAGAATTTCTGTGTCAAGGATTTACCTGCCGATGATAAGAATTGGGGAGTCCATTATTCGTTGCGGCTGAATGCACAGTCGACCGGCGATGCGGGCTTCTTATGTGGCAACAGCGATGGCACGACTTTTGGCGGCTTCGCTTGGACCTTCTTCGCCTGGACCTGCACCAAACCCCCGCCCGCCCTCACCCACGCGACTCAACATCCCTCGACTTCAACCCCCCGCAATCCCATTTAGCCTCCGAGATAAACAGATAGGACTGTCTATCCGACGCTTCCAAAACCCTATCGACCCGTGTATATAAGAGAGACGTCAATTCCGCCCCAATGGAGCCGTTCCCGTCACGCCGCCCGCACCATGACTTCCCACGAGCCAAAGGCCAAAGATATCGACACCAGTCCGCCGTCTGACGACTATGTCTCCGACACCAAGGAGCCCGAGGTCGGCACCACGACCGTCCTCGCCGCCCAAAATGGCCTGACCGACGCCGAGTTCGCCACTACCGGCGCCATCGAGAACATCGAAAAAGAGTACACCATCGATTCCGACAATTCGCCCTGCGCCGAGGTGCGCGCAAACGTCCCCAACACCGACGACTACCATCTGCCCGTCAACACCCTGCGTATGTGGGTGCTGGGCCTCCTCTTCACAATTGCGAGTCATGCCCTTGTCCCGCCTGCCTAATACGACCAACCCGCTAACTATATCTCCCAGGTTGGCTCTGGCATCAACCAATTCTTCTCGATGCGTTATCCCAGCGTGACAATCACGTCACTTGTTGCCCAGCTGGTCTCTTACCCGCTGGGGTGTGCCGTGGCTAAGGCTCTTCCTGTCAAGACAATCCGCGTCTTTGGCTACCCGCTCGTCATCAACCCGGACCATTCCTTCAACATCAAGGAGCATGCCGTAATCACCATCATGTCCAATTTGAGCTTCGGCACCTCCTGGGTATGTCTCCAACCTTTTCCAGACCGGAACACGAATTGACGGCTGCTCGCCACAGGCTACCGACATCATCCAAGCGCAGAAAGCCTTCTACCACACCGATGCTGCCGTCGGCTACCAGTTCCTGCTCGGCCTCTCCATGCAGCTCTTCGGCCTCGGTTTGGCCGGCCTCTGCTACCGCTTCATCGTCGAGCCGCCGCAGATGATCTGGCCGTCGACCCTCGCAAACGCCGCCCTCTTCGAGACGCTGCACAGCCGCGCCAACCCCATCGCCGACGGCTGGTCCATCTCGCGCTACCGCTTCTTCCTCTACGTCTTTGTAGGCGGCTGGTGCTGGTACTGGTTCCCTGGCTTCATCTTCACCGGCCTCAGCACCTTCGCCTTCATCTGCTGGGCCGCCCCGGACAACAAGATCGTGAACAACCTGTTCGGCATGTCCACCGGCCTCGGATACCTGCCGACCACGTTTGACTGGAGCCAGGTCGCTTACAATGGCTCGCCTTTGGTTGTCCCCTTTTGGGCTCAGGCGAATGTGTTCAGCGGTTGGCTCTTCCATTTCGCTCTCGTCGCACCCATTCTTTACTATACGAACACCTGGTGGACGAGCTATCTGCCGTTGTCTGGCTCTGACTCGTACGACAACACTGGCCAGGTTTACAATGTGACAAAGATTGTCGATGCCCGGGGCAACTTCCTGAAAGAGCAGTATGAGGCCTATTCGCCCATCTTCATGCCTGCCACTTTCGCCCTGAGCTACGGTCTCTCCTTCGCCGTCATGGCTTGCTTGCCCGTCCACATCTTTCTGTACTACTGGCGCGATATGTGGAATGCCGTCAGGGGAGACAGGAAGAAGGACATTCACGCACGGCTACTCACGAGATACAAAGATGTGCCATGGTGGTGGTTCGGAATCATTACGGTAAGCTCAGACGCAGTTCCAGATGTGGTTGAAGGTAGACTGACATTATCACAGATCATTGTCCTCGCCATCAGCATCATATGCATGGAAGTCTACCACACCGAAATGCCCGTGTGGGGCATCCTCGTTGCCTTCGGCATGGCCATTGTTTACATCATTCCCGTTGGCACCGTCTACGCCGTCGCGAACCTCAACGCCAACGTGTTGACTGTGCTCGGCGAGATCATTTCAGGGTACCTACTTCCCGGGAAGCCCATCGTCATGCTCATCTTCAAGGTGCGATGTCTACCAACCGAATTCCACCTGCCAGCCAACTGACATTCCCTCACCCCCAGTTCTACGCCTACACCGCCCTCAGCCAAGCCATGAACTACTGCTCCGACATGAAGCTTGGCCTCTACATGAAGATCCCCAAGCGCACCCTCTTCGTCGCACAGCTGACAGCCTGCATCATGGGCTCCCTCACCCAAAGTCCGTTATTCCCCCTCCTCCCCCCTCTCCCCTCCAACCCCACTAACGCCCCCTCTCCACCACAGACGCCGTCCTCCTCTGGATGCTCGGCAACATCAAAGACATCTGCTCATCAGACCAACCCAACGGCTACACCTGCCCACAAGGCCGCGTCAACTTCACCTCCTCCATCATCTGGGGCGCCATCGGGCCCGCGCGCCTCTACAGCATCGGCAAGATCTATTCCGGGCTCCTGCACTACTTCTGGATCGGCGCCCTCCTACCCATCCTCACCTACCTCCTGAAAAAGAAATTCCCTGCCCGCAAGTGGCTCGGCGCCATCCACTGGCCGCTCTTCTTCGCCGGCACGGGGAACCTGCCGCCCGCGACGGGCATCAACTACACGACGGCCTTCGCGGTCAGCTTCGTGTTTAACCGCGTACTGAAGAGACGTTGGCCGCATTGGTGGGCGAAGTACAATTACGTGCTGTCGGCGGCGCTGGACAGCGGCGTCGCGGTCAGCGCGATTGTGATTTTCTTTACGGTCGTTTTTCCGGGCGCCGAGTTCAAGTGGTGGGGGAATACGGTGAGTGGGACCACGGTCGATGGGAAGGGGACGCCGTGGAAGGATGTGCCGGAGAGCGGGACGTTTGGGCCGAGTCGGTGGTAGTTGTTGGTGGGAGGGTGGGGAGGTGGGGTGGGGAGGGGATGGGAAAATGGGTGTGCTGTTTTGCTTTTGTTCAGGGTGGAGATACCCAGTGTTTAGTCTAAATGATGGTGTTCGTCTGTTTATACTTGATGATGCGGGGCTCACCATTGGCGTATTGATGAGGGGAATGTTTCCTTGTTTGTCTATGTGACACGGCGACACCGGAACCGAAGCACACAAAGTGTAACGGCGCCATATGATGCGTACAGGAGAGTGATTGGGGCCGGTTCGATATCACGTATCATAGCATAGCACAGTCAGCCTCAACATGATGCCGAAAGATTGAGGTCCCAGCAAGCTTCTTAATATACCGCATCAGCTTCCTCAAAACAGTCAACTCCCCGTGCCACACATGGAAAATGTTATATGGACAATGCGCCCCACAGGCCATCAGACACCTACTAAAGCTCGGTCTACTACCTTCCGTGATCGCACGTAAATAACCTCACTTCAACTCCTCCAACACCGGTTCCTCAAACCAACTGGGGCAACCAAAAAGCTAGCGGCAATCTAAAGCACAGCTACACTCTTGATATTCATCCTTTTACTCCTCCTCGTTCTGTTTTTCACTTTCCACCAAAATTTGCTGTAGCTCAAACTGCACACTTGCCTTCTTTTGCTCAGTGTGAATACATAGGAAACAGCAGTATCATTACATGCCGGATGTGCTCAGCATTTCGAGCTGATGCTGAGCGCATTCCTTTTGCAAAAGCGTCGAAGGATGGTTCGAGGGGCGGAGAAGAGACTACGGAACGCCAAGTTCCTTGCACAATCGGCACAGAGAAGGCAACCGAAGAAGGAGTCGCCCTATTTGTTCTTCTTGCAATTTGGTATAACGGACCTGTGTCTGAATGGAGCTGAAATTGAGAATCTTCAACCACCGATTTTATATCCGTCTCCCGGCCGCATCCGCGTCCGCTCGGCCCATCGACCCCGTGCTAGCGAGCGGGCCAGATTTTGGCACATGGACGTTTCTGCCGCGGTGCATTCTGCATGCGACCTGGCATGTAGACTTTGGCATGTGCGCGGCGGCGTCTTGTGCGTGCAGCAGCGGCGACATGGCCGACGCTTTTAAATTGGAAGGCGCTGCTACGGGGACGGGGCAAAGTTTTCCAAAGACACATTGGGAACACTACGAACACACAAGACCCACTTTGGTCGCAGGCTCCTCGGTGTTTCAAGGGTAAGGCCGGGTCCGTGTGTTGCGACCTGATGGTGCAATGATGAATGGGTGAAATGATCATCAGCATCAGTAAAATTTCGGGATGATAGCCAAAATTTTACAATTTTGGTTTTCTGCATACCACCAAGACGGTACTGCTGAGTAGTCGGAGGGTGTTACTCAGTTCACTTGGAGTGAAAGGGGGCCGTACAACAGAGGTTCCAAGTTGTCAAGCCGCTTTATCCTGCAAGCAATCCCAAGGCTTGTACTAGGTTGTGCGAGGAAGACCACTGGCCAACGCATAATTTCTACTGCTGCACACTTCTTCTCGTAAATCACGGCTGCAATTTAACGGAGCCATCCAGGTTTGTTGAACTGCGCGTGTCATTGCGAAGCATTTCTGCATCACGTCATGCATACAAGATCGGTTTGTAATAGATGACGGGCACTTGAAAAGCTCACCTAGACATCAATTTCTAATGATCATTTCAACAAAGCATCCAGAAAGTATCTCCAATTACCCTGACTTCACTGCAATAACAAGTGAACCAATTTCTTCTCGTGTGCAGCTTCCCGTACTACTCTCCCTAGCAAAAAAAATGATCCTACTCCCCGCACAAGGATTTGCTCGTCCCTGAAATTATTCCCATGTATCACCTGGCTTACCAAACTCTCATGTAACCATTTACTATGAGTTTTGACAACTTTGTGGAGATGCGATCTGTGATTACGTAACCAAAATTAATGGCGCTTCGGACCTGATATTTATAACCTTTCGATATTTCACCAGATGCAGAAGTTTTAACTTTCTTATTATTTCAAGCCTGATTGAGTGTAGTGTAAGTTTATGCCACGTCGTTGTGGCTGTTTATTGTAAATGTAGGCTGGATCTGGTGCCTAAACTATCCGACCCAACGTCGCAGATAACGTCTTAGATACCCTCTCTAGTAGTTTTATATAATCATACACTAAGATACGATGTTCCCATTCACCGGCGCATAATTACGTTGAAAAAGTCCGCCTCTTAGGCCAGCAGCCAGATCCTCTCTAACCAATAAGTTCTCCGATGTATTTCCTAAAGCCTTACCTAATTGTTTAAATTGTGAATGTTGAAGCCCACAAGAAATTCTGCTGGCCAGCAATTTGCTCCGCGGTTCTCTTCAGTGACATTAAAGCATCCTATTCATCATATTACTGTAAAGATGGCACAAATCACCTTGGTCTTTGATAGCTGAACAAGCCACTTGACAATGAGACAAGGAGACAATGGAAGCGATCAACCAGGGACAGACCAAACGACGAAACAGTGAAACCGGCACTGTTGTACCCCGAATTTCTCTAAGAAGAGTTCGTGCGCTCCGCGTTTGAAAATTCCCAGTAAAGGCATCTGGACTTCAATTTATTTGTGAATTTCGTGAAAACATGCCAGGCCAGTAGACTGAACACGCGCTAAGATTAAATTTTGCGAGGCAGACGACGCACAGTCCTCCACAATCTCGAGATTCTTTCGTATAGACTTGAATCAAATCAAGCTCAATGAGATACGGAGAGTTTTCAACCGATTTAAGCGTACTGCTTTCCCCATACTAAGGTATGCGCTCAGAACAAAAGTTGAAGCCGACATTTTCCATTGTATGGCCAGGCCTGTTTCATTCATACGATGCACTTTATCAACTCATTTTAATGATGATTTTCACTCCATATCAACGAAGATATTAGGCATGATGAAAATAACGCACGACCACGCGGTGAGTCTTGACAAGCATACTTGCGTGGACCGGACTCCCCAGTGTCCCAATTAGCCTGCATGACCACTTATGCTGTCAAATCGCTGATATCGATGAACTGATGCTTTGGACTCAACCACCAACCCACGAACGAAGCAGTGGCCTTCTTTATACCGCGATTACAGATAGTTCCTGCGCTTGACATAGCCCGTGCTGCTTCAGCAAACCTTGACGTCATCTGCACCAGATAGTAGGCCATCGCCCTCACGCGACCTGACATGCTCATCGGCCGTCACGAGCGGGACGGGTCTGGATGATGTACTTAAGCAGCCCCACATCTCTCCCACAACATCGACAAGAATGACTGCTAAGGTCAATTACAGGGTTTAAAGCCGCCGGCTTACTCGGCTGTGTTTTTGTTTGGTTCAACCGTGAAGGGTACTCGGTCGTGTTTTCCTCCGGGATACATACTACATTTCTCATTCCCATGGATATCGAAATCTCCCTCTCTCGCGGTATAGACGCCCACCATTTGTACAGACTGTTGGGGGACAACGTCATCGTTTCACTATGATGATCACCAGTATGCTTTATTTCTACAGTACAATCCCGCTCTTTTTTGTTGTATCTGCTGAAGACTAAATTTCAGCAGAGGCTCCTCTCCAAACAGTGAAGGGCCAGTACCAATCTGTTGATCTTGCAGTAGCACCATGCTTAAGCTTAGAATTGAAGCAAAGTTGCGGATGCTCTTAAACATTTGCGAAGTGGTAGGGTGAAGCAGCTGTGCATGTGAAATTTTTCTTCGAGGAACAAAGACAAATCAGGTGATCTTTGACACAAGACTGATGCATAACTAGACCAAGGTGAAAATATAAGATGATCATCGCCGTCGATGAGCATTATCCCCTTTGAAGACCTTCCCAGATCACCGTCGCAGACATAATTCATCTGCTCGTCTGCTCAATAAACATCACTGATGTCAAGAATCACCTGTAACGCTCTCATTAATTGTTGTACTTCGTACCGAAACCGTAACTCCTAATCATTGTTCTTTCCCGCTCCGAAAAAGGTCAAACTTGCCAAGCTATATATATATGTACATATAAACCCTTTTGATTAAACGCCATGTACTTAGCCGACTCCATTGAAATTCTCTGAAAAGTCTATCATTGAACGCTCAATAGAACATCGCAGATGCCACTGCAAGTCCTGAAGAGCGAAAATCGATAAGATTGGTGAGCATGTAAAGCCGCGTGTACTGAGAGCGTCTCTGCGAAGGTTGGTACTGTAATGTCTGAGATAAAGCGAGCATGTCAATAGATAGCGAGTAGTGATGTCCTTCTTCGTTCTATACGTCGTAAACCGAAGATTCCCTCTTCACCTCGATGTCAAGCATGGTGTTGGAGGTGGTGCGAGAGATCATGAAATTGCGGATAAAAGAACCGCCGACGATGGTGAGATAGAGGAGAACGGCGACGGTACCGATGCCAGCTGTGTAGCTTATTAGGCGGAATGCCCATGGCGTGATGGTCAGATGGGATGAAGTCATCCAGCTGTACAGGCTGGTAATTGGCCTCAGACCGACCATACTAACAGCCCCTATGCCTGTTGCTGCAGCCGCCGCGAGTACTAAGCTGGCGCGACTGAGCAGAATAATGAAGAGGGAGAGGCCCACGTAGGTTGCAACAGTATTGCCGAGGCCACCAAACGTCATTTCGGCAAGCTTGTGCGATTGCTCCTCAATTAGCTCATGCTGGCTTGCAAGACTTGTGTCGATGATCAGCTGATTCTCCATGATCCGGCTCTGGACCTTTGACGGGTTAGTGGCTGCTATAAGCTGTGTTGCGTAGGCCAAGAAACATACCTCTCGGAAGACCTGCTGGTCGTCCAAAGCCTGCTGCTGCGTGTTCAAATAGTGGATCTAAGCATGTTAGTATTACTCCTAATCAAGACTGCGTTCAACATACCAGTGCTGCCTCAACACCTCGGAGACGCTCTGCAAGAGCATGGACCGTAATGTCTCTGACGCTCTCAAGTGAAGCTTGGACTTCTGAGGCAAGGACTTGATTGTCCCTCAATGCAAGGTCTTGCGCTGTGGTGCGCTCTTGATCGCGAAGAACAGCTTCATTGTGAAGGGCTTGAAGTACAGTTCTAGTCTGTTCGACCTCCTCATTGGCGGCATTGATGTTCTGATTCAAATTAGTATAATCCATACGGGTGACGAGGGAAGAACTTACATCACTCAACTTCTGAGTCTGCTCAGTTGCAGTGCTCATTGAATGGCTAAAGATACCAAGCAATGCTCCGGCAGCGGAATCGAACTTGCCGACCAATCTGGCTACCACGCTGTCGACTTTAGCCAATGCGGCCTCGTTTCGTGTAGCCAGATCATGTTGAAATTGTCGGACTGCTTCGGTAAAACTATGATGCTGCGCAAGACGATCTTCTGTCTCTTGGACAGCGCGCGAGAGCGCTTCGGAAACCTTGGCCTGGGACTGAAAGGCATCCTGAAGCTTCTGGAGGTGTTCCTCTGCTTGAAAATTAGGACCAAACGGGAGAACGTGAAAAAAAAAAAACATATGGGTAGCTGAAGCTATCGTCCGGATGTACATGTAGAATTAATGAAAAAAAAAAGAAACATATAGGTAGCTAAAGCTATTGTCTGGATGCATATGTAGAATTAATGAAGAAAGAGACAAACATGGGTAGGTGAAGCTATCGTCCGGACGTAAATGTACAATTATTAATTCTACATTCACACCCGGACGATAGCTTCACAAGGGGAGGGAGGGAGCGAGAGAGAAAGGGAATTACATCCTATACTTACCGTTCTCCACGGCACCGCGGCTTGCCTGGCAGATGACAATGGCATTAGTTTGAGCATTGCTGTAGCTCGTCCAACGCTGTGCATGATCAAAAAGCGTATCAATGCACTGCTTCAGTTGACGAGACGTGAATTCCGGATAACAGGCGCGCTTGGGTTCATCCTGGCTGGAAGCATTTTTCCGGAAGAAACCTTTCAGGCTGATCCGTGGGCACGCCTGGCGGCTTGGAACGAATGGAGAGCATTCCTTTGGGATACCGGACTTGATACCCTGAAGTTCGCAGACAGCTAGCCTGGCAGCATACTCCTGTCTCGCCTGATCCAGGGGATTTTCCTTGGGCTGAGCAGTGTCCTGGCCTGGCATGGAGCTAAAGGACTGGCATGAGTCGATCAGAGCTGAGGTGGCCAGCTGATGGCAAGCAGGTGATGATTCAATCTCCTGAATGTGCTTCCGGGCAACTTCGAAGACACGGGCTTCATGAAACGGGGCACGGCGGAGCATGGAGCTCAAATCATTCCGAGGGCGGGCGTCCAAGGGCTCAAGGGAGGCAACTTCGATCTGGGAAGGCTTGACTCCGAGAACAGTGCGTGAAAAGAGGCCCGAGACCAGAAGTGTCAACACAAAAGCGTTGAAGAAGATTTTGCAGAGCATGGTATGTTCCAATCGTAGGTGATGTCTGAGGGTGGCTGCAGTGAGATGAGATGCTGTAGTAGTTGTGAGGCGCGACGTCAAGAAGCCGATTCAGCTGAGCTCAATCGGCGTTGTAGGAACTGGGCATGTAGAGCCGGTGCCTTCAGCGCGCGAGATGTTGGATCCGGCGGCGAGGCGGGCAAGGCCGAAGAATGCCGCGTCAAGAGCAGCGACAGCGTGTTGTAGCGGTCGTTGAGGCTCAAGCGTGGTGGATTTTTCGTATGCCAATTACCTTGGAGTGAGAGACGGTTCTAGGAGCTCATGTGCACGCAACTGCCGGAGTTCTGCGATCAGATGGACAGAAGACACGTCCGCTGAAGGAAAGTGCAGAGTCGACGCGTGATGGGACGAAAGGTAGACGAGGAAGTGACGCGTTGATGGCACGGTCCACGTGATGTCGGCGAAGGGTCAGCCGAACCTCCGATGAGAGAGACAGCAAGAACCAGAGCACCGTTTCGGCGTACGACTACGCGGCAGACATCCGACATGTTCGCCTCTTCCGCAAGACGGCGCTGCCTGCAGGGCGCAAGCGCAACCCTCAAGTCCTCCTCGCCAGGCCTGTTTCCCGCCCAGGCTGCCGCACACTCGCCGTCCAACGCTTGCCGTTCTTTTAGCACTTCGAACGCACGCCAGTCGAAGATCGGTCGCGCGCCATTGTCGATACCTCCGGAGGTTCAATTCGAGGTTATTCCACCGGCCAAGGCAAAGAAGAGCAAGATATCCAGCCGGAATGAGCAGGGCGCGACCGTTCATGTGAAGGGCCCGCTGGGCGAGGTGTCATACACCGTCCCGCCGTTCGTGGAAATTGTGCGCGAGACGCCGACTTCGCCGCCTGTAGTCAAGGTCCTGAATGCGGAGGAGAGACATCAGCGTGCGATGTGGGGTACGTTTGTCAATGGCATGACTTGAGGGCTGGGGACGAGGACTAACAAAGCTGGGTCAGGCACCGTCCGCGCGTACATTCAAAATCACATTCTCGGCGTGTCAGAAGGTCACACGGCAATTCTGCGTCTTGTCGGTGTCGGCTACCGTGCTACCATTGAGAAGACTGCAACCACTGTTGCGTCCGAATACGAAGGCCAGCAATTCGTCAACCTGAAGGTTGGCTTCTCGCATCCAGTCGAGTTGGGCATTCCGAAGGGGGTGAAGGCAAGCACCCCGCAGCCGACGCGTATACTATTGGAAGGTGTAGAGAGGGAGGCTGTGATGTCCTTTGCAGCTGATATCAGGGCATGGAGGAAACCTGAGCCGTATAAGGGCAAGGGTATTTTCGTCAACGATGAAGACATCAAACTCAAGTCGAAGAAGATCAAATAGACGATGGCATGGTTGGCACGGATTGGTTGGGAACTGTACAGCAATTGTACTTTTATTCTATGTGGGGTATCTTTGGCTTCTTGTTCAGCCAAAAACGCCAGGCTTCATCCTGGCATGTATACAAGATATACACTTGCTTAAGCAGACTTCGCAGCAAGAACCTCCTTCACAACATTCAGAACCTGTTCGTGAACAGCCTTCGGTGCGGCGACAACGCCAGAGTTGTCCCTCAGAGTCCTGCCAATGCTGAAGTCGAGCCTCTTGCCATTGGCATCGGTGACGGAGCCGCCAGCCTCCCGAACAATGAGATCACCCGCTGCGTGATCCCAAATCTTCTCCTCGTAACCCTTCTTGACCGGCAGGCGCAGGTAGATGTCACCAGCACCGCGGGCGATGGAGGCGTACTTGGCCTGAGAGTCCATGCGGACACTATCCTTGGTGATACCCAGCTTCTGAGCAATCTGGGCCTGATCGCCGTGCGAGGAGTGGCCGGCTTCGACGCTCTCGCAGAAAGTGGCCTGAGTAATGTCCGTTATCGGCTTCATGGAGATGGGGCGGCTCGGCTGGAGAGCACCATCGCTCAGAGGGCGAGAGACTGCGCCCTGGCCCTCAATGGCGCTGAAGAGCACACCGCGGCCCTCGCCGGTCTGGTCCTCCCCGATGCCAGCATCAAGGGGTGCCGCGTCATCAACCGGCAGGTTGGGGCAACCAAGGACGCCGACCTTGACCTGGCCATCGACCATCAGAGCGAGGCAGACAGCGTACTGGCCGCCTCTCAGGAAGCCCTTGGTGCCGTCAATGGGGTCCAATGCCCAGATCCTGCCCTTGGAACCGCCGGCGCTGCGGCCGAGGTCGATGGAGTCGCACATGGCGGTGTCGCTGGCCAGAGGGCCGCCCAGCAGCTTCTCCGAAGCATCATCGCTGAGCTTCGACTTCTGAACCAGTTCCCAAATCTGCGAGCGAAGCTCGTTGTTCTGCCTGAGTTCGGTGGCCTCCTCCTCGCCGACAATCTCGTCGTCCGGGAAGTTCGCGTGGATGGCGGAGATGATGAGCGCCTGGGCACCAAAGTCGCCAATGGTGACGGGCGACTTGTCGTCCTTGGAGACGGTGCCCTTGGCCTTCTCCTGGAAGACCCGCTTCGTGAGGAGAACGGCACGCTGGACGGCAAGCTCAGCAACCTGGAGTTCCTTGGCGTAGGACATGGTGGCGTTGGCGAATGGAGCGGTTTTGGGGATTTGAGTGGTGAGATGGCGGGAGAAAAGAGTGAGGCGTGAAGAAAACGTTGCAAAGAAACTCAGCGCCAGGATGACAGCGGAAAAGAGAAAGATGTACGGGTGGTGCAGTCCCCTCATTTACCTGGCCGGATTCTTAGTGGGGCAGGTCCTGGAGCTGACGCGGGCAGGCACGCCGCTACCGCCGTGTCCGACCGTTCGAAAACGCCGATTCGCCGATCCATATCGACAAGACCGTCAGGTACGCTCAGCTGCCGTAATCCTTTGCAACAGGTAGACGCTCGAGATCCGTCAGCCGGCGGGTGTTTGTCGCTAAGCCAACCCGTCCGCTGGAAATCCGCACGTCCTCTTCCGCCGGTACATTGACAAAGCGCCGCTTGCGCCCGGTCTCAGCGTACGGGTCGCCTAGCAACCCGCAACCCAAACAGACGCTGCCGCCGCTGCGTAGATCAGCTTCCATCTGCGCCCCCGAGCACCAAACATGACCGCTCTCACCACGTCGAAGCGGAAGTTCAACAAGATCCTGGAGAACATCAGCGCCAGCTCCTCCACAACCAGTCTAGCAGCTCTTCAGAAGAAGAATGCTTCCGCCATGTCCGTCGCCGCAACCCCGAACGAGCCTGCTTCGAAGCGCAACCGTACGTCCCTGAGCGGCGACTCCCTCACCTCCGTCGATGGCGACCGGCCCGAAACCGCTGCGAGCGCATCCTCTCAGTTCAACCCTTCGGCGAGCAGCCTGTCTTTGGCTCAACGCGCAAGGAGCATCCGTTTGATCAAGAAGGACAAAGAGAAGGAGAGCGCAGAGCCCAAGAAGGCACCCAACTACACACCATGGAGTCACGATCACTTCGTTGAGCGCATGAAGACTTTCTCTGATGTGATGCGCTGGGGCCCCAAGCCGGATAAGCTGAATGAGGTCGAGTGGGCCAAGAGGGGCTGGGTTTGTGAAAACCTCAACACTGTTGCGTGCAAGGGTGGCTGCGAGAAGAGACTCGTCGTTAAGCTGGAGCCTAAGGAGAAAGACACGGAGAAGAAAGATGCGGAAGGAGGCAGCCCGGAAGTCAGACTGGAAGAACTGCTGGCCGGAGACCTGGATGAAGCTCTTGTCGACCGATATGCGAAGCTCATTGTCGAAGGCCACGATGAAGGCTGTCTGTGGCGTAAAGCCGGCTGCAAAGGTATGTTGCTCCCAACAATAATGAGTTTGAAGCCATGCTGACCCTCGACCGCCAACAGAGGACATCTACCATGTCCCTATGGCCAACTATGAGGAGCATGTCAAGCCTGGCCTGATCGAGCGTCACAAATCCTTACTCAACATCCGCTACAAATTGCCCCCTCTCGCGAACCTCAAATATCCTGGAACGAATCCCGATAGGCTCGAGAAGGCGTTGCCAGAAGAGCTCACCCAGTCTCTCTCATCCGAGAACTTTGAGACTACAGAGCCAGCTGACAGCACCAATCAGACGGATATTGAGAGACGCATTCAGCTCTTTGCTCTCTATGGCTGGTACGGCGAAGATCGTGGAAAGTACTCAATCGTATTCTGTCACGAGTGTCACCAGCGTATTGGGCTCTGGATGTACCTGGGTGAGGGTTTCAAGCTCGATCTTGTGGAGTCCCATCGCATCCATTGCCCGTGGCTCAATCCCGACTCCCAGGGTGGCCGACCGATCTGGGAACAGTTGCAAAAGCGCTTGCTCAACCGCATTCGTGAGACGGCCAGTTCCATGTACACCACTGAGTCCTCCGAACCGCAGGACTTGGCAGACATCAGACCCCCTAGCTCTGCTGCCGATTCTGAGCAAGCAGACAAGAAGAGGATGAATAGGCTGAAGAAGGCCATGAAGTCTTTCGGTGGAAGAATGAAGAAGTAAGGTGTTGACCGGTGACAGCCTTCAATTTTTATGCGCATATCAAGGTCGTAAAAGATACTCTGATTCCCGTCTTCTAGTGCATTCAACCGAGTCCGCAAGACGAGCACGACCTCTTAGACTATCAATTCATGTGGAGGCTGGAGTTTCAACTTCATGTAAATTATCAATCGTACGAGATACCCGGGGAGCGGTTAATGGAAATTAATTCAATGAAACAAACAAGTCGGCATCCTTGTGAGTTTAAAATTCACATCACACAGCTTTTCGACCTCCAGGACGGTATTGCAGCCTACGGCCAGTGTGAATTTATTTTTCGCTCATACCATGCATGGGTAGTTGAAACTATCGTCTGAGCGTAGATGTATAATTATCAATTCTACATTTGCATTTGGATGATAGCTTCAACTCCCCATAAATGTTCGTTTTCATTCAAAGAAAAAGAGAAGAAAACCAAAAGAACTGAGGCCTACTTACGCTATGGTCTAGGGCCCTGCTATTCTTCACGCTGGCCATCGGCTGCAGTGCCCCTCTGTATCAATCCGTGCTCCAAAGCTGGTGAGTAACGCTCGGGTCACTTCGTGTTGCTGTCACTTGTCCAGAAGAACAGGGTCAGCTCAGTGGGGGCTGAAGCGATACCAGCTTGGGGGAAGGGTCCGTGGCAGGTACCGTTCTGCCTAAAATGATCTACGAGATCCGAGCAGGAACGAACCGCTGAACCGGTCTACACTTTCACCAATCACTCTCCCCGTTACGCCAGCTCACATCAGCAGAATTGCCACTCAGCCCACAGAAGATCTTTCAATAATCCCCACATCCGTACGGATCCGGTCTCATGGATGGGCCCACTGTCCTCTCTTTCCACTGAAGCAGATCGTCCTAAATTAAACCGTCCGAGCTCGTTCCATCCCTCAGATCGCGATATCACGTGGGCCCAACAGGACGGGTCTAGGTCGCGGGTCATCAAAGGCCCGGCGGACGCGAGCCGCTACTGATTAGAACCTTGTTCCCTGCTGCGACCACGTGCCGGTACAGGGGCCTTGTTTATGGGTTCCCGGGGGGGAAGGAGAACCTTACACTTCACTGAAACGAAGTGCTGGCTGGACATAACCGACAACCTGGGCGGCCTACACTTCGACTACAGCAGTCACTTTAATCAAAGGGCAAGATGATGTGTGCGAAGACTGAAGCGACCTCGAGATCATCGCCGAAATGCCGCAGACGCAGCTCCCCTACCGCTACAAACGTCTGACTTCGACCGCCACGACGCGTTTGGTCCAGATACAGCCGTCCACTGCGTCTGGATCCGGTTTGGTCGTGAACATCGTCGAAGCTTTTCCCTCGGGCCCGCTGGAGTACGATGCCCTGTCGTACACATGGGGCACGGCGGAGCCGGACAAGCCCATCGTGGCCAACAACGACCGGCGGCTGCTCGTCACGGACAACCTGGCCAAGGCGATGCGGCGCTTCCGCCACGCGACCGAGGTCGTGTCGCTCTGGATTGACCAGCTCTGCATCGACCAGCGGAACGCCCGGGAGCGCAGCCTCCAGGTCGCCATGATGGGCACGATCTACCGGTCCGCGCGCAAGGTCATCGTCTGGCTCGGCGACGACGTCCAGGACGACGGATCATCCCAGCAGCAGCTCAACCTCAAGCCGGGCCTGCGCCTCGCCGGCCAGATCCTCGACAAGCTGCGCGAGGAGCCCCGGCTCAAGTTCGACTGGAGCAACAGCGCCACCAGCTCCCTGCCGCGCGCTGGCAACAGGCCCTGGCAGGCCCTCGCAGCGATCCTCCGGCGTCCGTGGTTCGGCCGCATGTGGGTCATCCAAGAGGTGGTTCTGTCGTCGTGCATAGAGGTCTACTGCGGGCGGGAGATGTTTACGTGGGACGAGGTGGGGAAGATTGTGGACTATCTCGATTGCGACGAGTATAGAGCGTACAACATCCGGAACTCGGAGCTCGTCACCGAACTGCCCTTCTCACGCATTAACCGCATCAAGAAGCAGCACGAGCAGGGGGTTCGACCCGACCTGTTTGAGTTGATGCTGGCGTGTCGGCACTTTGGCGCGACGGATGAGAGGGACAAGATATACGCCTTGCTGGAGCTCGGCGAGCACGATATCACGCCTGATTACAGCATGAGCCCGAGAGACGTGTTTGTGGATTTCGCAGCCCGTACGATAAGGATGGCTCAGCAGCGACGACGTTGCTGCGATTACGGCATCGAGAACCCGCATCAGTTCCACTGCTGCGTCGAAGGCTTGAAAGACAGGGACAAGTACCTCCGCATCATGACCATGCTATGCTGCGCGGGCTCCACCAATCAGAGGCAGATTCTGTCGTGTAGCGAGAGGCTCCCGTCATGGGTCCCGGACTGGACGCAGCCTCTAAAAGTCCGGCCCTTCTGCTTCTGGGGCTCAAAGACCTTCATGGCCGGCGGTAGCGAGTACGGTGAGATATCAGTCCGGGACGAGGGTGCGCGGCTGTCCATCCCCGGCAAGCTCTTCGACACGGTACGAGCGGCGGGTAGCGTGAACCTGAACCTGACCGACATCGCAGACGCGAAGGTGGAGCGGGAGCTAATCACGCAGTGGTATGCCGACTGTGACCGCATCGTCGCGCAGAATCGCTTCCCGTACCCGGTGACGGGTAAGGAGCCGAGGGTGGTGATGAAGAAGATCCTGGAGCACAACGGCATTGGCGAGACGACGGCGGCGGCGGCGGCGGCAGGGGCGACGGTGACAGCGAGGAAAACGCCGGGACACAACAACAACACCACTGCCGCACAACAGCGCCCGCAGGCCTACCAGCAAAGACGCTCGTCGGGCAACCTGATCGACGATCTCGCCAGCCCTCAGTGGGTCCTGCCGGACCAGCACTATGAATCGACAATGGGGGTCGCCGTGGGACGCGTGCTCTTCCTGACGACTTCGGGCTACATGGGTCTGGCGCCGCACGGGACCCGCGACGGCGACGTGGTCTTCGTCGTGCTGGGGTGCGACATCCCATTCGTCCTACGGCCGGCCGGCGGCGGCGATCATTGCGGCGGCGAGGGCGGCGGTGACTACGTGCTGCTCGGCGAGTGCTTCGTGTACAAGGCCATGGATGGCGAGGCGATGCGTGATGATAGCAAAGCGGTCCAGGATGTTACCGTCATATGACCCTTAGACGGATGCGGCGCTAGCTTACGGGCGAGAAACCTCAGTTCAACTGCTGCGCCGCATCGACGGGGAAGATGGAGGATCTAAACGGGCAATAGCGCTTTCGACTCGGCAACTTGGATGAATGACTCCACTGTCGGGCATTGAAGCTTTGTGGTTTTTTTTATTTTTTGGTCCGTACGATGCAGGGACTAGGAGGGTTCTGTGGTCGCGTGCGGAAATGCGCGGCGTGGACTTGTCAAGGATGCGTGATGAGAAAGGCTGTATGTCGCGCATAGCACACGGGGCACATGAGCAATCCCGGATGCTGGGGAGGCGAGGCAGGAAAAAAAAAAGAAAAGAGCCGTTGAGAAGATCCACAATTGCGGCTCTTGCGCAAGAAATACACACGTCGTTCGGTCATTCGTCTACTCAAGATCAGCGCGTGCGAAATCCCGGCAGTGGGTTGCTACTGGGCTGTTGGATGCCTGCTCATCACTCCATTGCATCCTTTCCTATTTCTTCCCCTGTCTCCTTATCATATCGCGCGGATCCATCACAGGCAGGATGATCTAGCAGAGGATGTCAACGCATGGACAGTGTCCCTGTGTCAGAGCAGAGCAACGCTAAGCACAGCCGCTCGGTGACGACGTTGCGCTGCCTAGCGGCGCGGCAATGTGGTGCATATCGTTAAGCACGCGAGCACGGAAGTAGATGCATCTTCCCTACAGCGCTGCTGCACCCGCTATACAAAAGCGGTTCACCAAAGTCGCGTATAAACCAACCAGCGCGAATCGGACAAAGGCAGTATAGCGAGAGCGGAAACCGCCTACTAGCTCATTGCGCCAGTGATCAGGAGAAGCGCCGCATACGACAGGACGACTGGGCGGATAAGCAGGCGCGCGGCACGGCTTGAATCGCTGGGACGGCTCATCTGGCGGCTCCAGAACAATCGTCGTCGCACAACTAGCTACTCATCACTTTTGCGCAGGGCGCAGCATCACCAGTGCTCTGACCCGCTTTCTGCCAGATGATGCCTCCGCACGGCGCGCCGGAGGCAACCAGGCAGGAATGGCCAGCAGCGTGTCCCACGCTGCTCCTCGGCCTTTTCCGCCACGGCCTTTGTTCCTGTGAGGGGCGCGATCGTCGACCAGTCATGGTCAGGGCGATGCAGGAAGCAGAAGGGTCACTGCGTCGCTGTAATTGCGCGGAGCTCAGTGGAGATTTTCCACGTCGCCGCCGGCTATTGTCTGACAGAGCTAATATCACAATGGGGGCCGGGTGGTGCTGTTCTCGGCGTCGGGCAAGACGGCGGTGGTGAGCTCTGATTTGCGCTCGGGATTTGCTGGCTCTGCCGTGCCGGGGAGAGCGGGAGCTCGCTCAGACGAGAACGGGCAGTGCTTACAGCCCTGATTGCGCAGGCTTGCCTGACGATTGGTGTGTTGAGGCGAGAGAAAGCGCTGATTGAGCGGCGTGCCTTGCTCACCTGCGGCCGTGGACTTCAGGAAGCGGGCGCCGGAGACAGCACCGGGCTCGCCTGTTCGAACAGCAAACGGCCGCTTCGAAGCGTTTCGTTGCCGGGGCCTGGAAAGGCGGAGCTTCTGTGAGGAACAGTCCGTTTTAGCCTCGCACGTGACCGTGCGGGCTCGCTTGATCGACATGGGGCCCTGAGTCAGGCATTGCAGCGCACTTCTCCATCACGTCGTAGCACCCTAAGGCGAACCAGCACAGCGCTCCGAGAAGCCTCCTACTTTGCTCTTTTTAGCCGGGTCCCCTTTCTCGCCTTGGCCCAGCCCAGCTGCCACCGCAACGGCCAGCGCAGAGCCACGCTGTGCCCGCTGCATCTCGCGGAGCCGTCTCGCCTTGCAGACGTCCGCTGTGCTCCTCTCCTCCCCTCGATCAATCGACGTCTTGCCACCAGCTGCAGGGTGCCCCAACACATCCCAATGCTTCACCGCCTCTCAATTGCCGCAGCAACGAGCACCCGCGGCGCCATTGTGCGACGAAGCCGGCAACCTTAAAACAGGAAAGTTGCCCACACGACGCACCCGCAAGCTATGGGGGCCCTGTGTTGCGGTCCTGACCGGCGGCACTCGAGTGGCGCCGCAGCTGCGTGAGTAATGTGTGCCTCTCGATCGACGAGAGTAGTGAAGGGAGAGACGGACGAGCTATGTGCGGGCAGCGAAGGAACTGAGGCGCGGCACCGGCGGACCATGGAGCCACGCGCATGAGCCGCCGTCTCACGCCTCCCAGAGATTCGTGTGTCCCTGCCTCGTCTCGTCTCATGCACGGCCGGGCGCTTCGTGCTTGGTGGTGAGACAGTAGACGCCGTCGTCGAGAGTGGGGCTTGCTTGCACGCCTCGAAAAGCCTCGAGGCCAGATGCCGGGCCGGGGGCGCGGAGCAGCTCTGGCGGCTCACTCGTGGCTGTCACTCACTCGTCGTCGCGAAGCACACACCAGGCGGAGGGTGGAGGAGAGTGCGCTGGAGCGCTGTGTGTGGTCCATCAATGATCCTCACGATGTGACGAGGCAGCGCACATCCGCCGCTGTGGCGAAGCGCGGGCACCAAACCAGGCACGAGCAGGAGCACAGGCGGGCACGAGCGTCCGGGCCAGGGCAGGCGCGGAGCAAGCGCGGAGCAGGGCGCGGCGCAACAACGCGTTATCCCAAGTGGAGCTGTGGTGCTGGGATGGACGAGCAGACGGAAAACGCGAGACATGGGCCGGCGCTGCGTCAGAGAGAGCCGATGACGACGGATGGGCCGACTTGTTGGTTGGGGCGGCGCCGCGGCCCAGGCGGGTGCTCGATGGGGGGAGCTGCCGGATCAACGCTGCTGAGTGGTGACGACGTCCCTCGGCCTCTCCCTCACTCACCGGCGAGAAAGGCAGCATGTACGGCGAGAAGGGAGCGGCGTGCCAGGCGGTGAACATCCCCACTTGCTGCCGCTGCTCCTGCTCCTCCTCAGACACGTGGAGGGCGAGGACAATGGGCCGACGGGCGCGAGTAGAGGGACGTCGTCTGCAGGCGGCGATCTGCATGCAGTACCTCTCAGCGCTTGGTCAATGGCCAGGCACTGTCTCGCCTTACACGATGATCGCGACATGCAGCCCAAGACGAGATGCTGCAGCGCTGCTACTTCCCCAGCGCGCCCTCTGTATGCTTGCATATAACACCCACCGTTCACGTCACGCAGCGCGGTCCGTCCGCCGGCTGCCCCGAGCGCTCTGAGTGCTGATGACGATGGCCGTGACCCCTCCCCCGCCAAGCACAGGCGCGCTACGAAAACTGCACGACACCGAGACTGCGAGCGCCCAGAACCTGACGATCCGCTGGGTAGGCGCCGAGGCGGGCGGCAACAACTTACTGCGAACGACTCTGCCGCGCTCCGATTGGCCCGCCGCCCGCGACCTCAGCGTGAGAGCCGCAGCCAAGCCCCGACCTCGACGCGAGCAGAAGGCAGCGACCATAACGTGCTTGCAGCGGCCGCCCCTCGCGTTCCTCTACTCCCTCAGCGCCGGCGCTCTGGGCACCCACGCGCGCCCGCAACGGCATGCCCGGCCAATCGCACCGGCACCCCCGACTCGCCCAATCCCAGCTGCAGCTGCTCTTGCATGCGAAGCCTGCATTAGAGCCTGCATGACAAGCGCAGCCACTCAAACAGCTCGCCCGCCAGGCCAGCAAGACCAGCCCAGAAGCCAGCGAGCAGCAGTGAGCGGGCAAGCCGGGCCCAGCGCCAGGCAGCCCGGCTGCCACGACTTGCTGAGCTCCCCTCCTCCTCCACTCCTCAGAGCGCCGCCCGATGCGCTGCTGTCATCGCCGCACCCGCCCTCACTCCCGACGGCTACCTGCCTGCGCCGCAGCTGTCCTTCGCCCACCCCCTTGCCTGCCCGCCAATTGCCCCAGACAATGCGGGCAATTGACGCAGCATGCCGCAATTGATGGCGTCAGCGCCCTTTTTTTGGGTCCCCGGTAGACGGACACAGAGAATCACATTACACAACAGCCACGCAGGCAAGGCTGGCTAGCTCGTCCAGCTAGCCAGCAGCACGGAAACGAAACGAACAGCACCCCTGCCCCGCTTCCGAGTCCGACCATGATCAGCCCAAACCAAAAAGCCTATCGGCGACCAGGCCACGGGCAGCTTAAGGGAAACATCGTCGGCGTGTTTTGCCATCAACTTCTTTTGGGTAAACGGCGGAACCGCGCCCCTTCTGGAACTCCCCCCGTTGACACACACCCCGGTCCGAGGGCCAGCAAGCTGTAGAAAGAGTGAACACGCAACCGGGCCCGCCCCCAATTTTCATCTCTCAAATTCTGCCTTTCCCACCAGCCCATTTGCCTCAGACACTCGTACTACCCGCAGAAATCCTCACACGTCAGGCAAAACAGAGACGACGGGCGAGCTGCGGATCCGACGGGTCCCACTCGACCATCATGATCACTCGCCACGCCCGCTCGCTCCGCCTGCTGCCTTCTCTTCCCCCCCACAGTCCCGCCAATGGCTTCCCAGAACAGCCCGGTTACTTAGCACAGCAGCATTTCGTCAAGCAAGCAATCTCGCTGGCCATGACCAACAGCAGCAGGCAGATGCTGCAGTGGAGCTTCCCGTTTGATCTCAATGCGAAGCTCGGTTGCTGACCGGCTGCACGCTGTCCGTAGCGCCACGCAACCGCAGAGGGACCAATGTACGTCAAGTATCAGCTACAGGCGAGTGAGGTAAGCAACACAAAAGAGGCAGCAGCGAGCAGAAAAACCGGCTTCGCAGCTCACAGCAGCGGGAGCAATTGATGAGTGATGAGGCTTCTGAAGCAGAGCAACAACTTTTTCGACCCAGAGCGGCAGCACCAGCAGCAGCCGCAGCCGCACAGCCCACAACTGGTCCGGTAAGTGGAGTACGACGGGCACTGAATTGACGAGGCAGGGATTACAGCAACAAGGCTGTGGGCATGGTAAGTCAGCTCCCAGCCCCCCATGCTCATGCCCGGCTCCTCTCCGCGCGAGTCCGTGCGCTGGGATTTTTTTTTTCTTGTTCACCCCTCCATCCAGCTCTTGGACCGCTTCAACCGGAATCGCCAGCCTAGTACCCGCTCTATCGGGCTGTCTCGCGCGCGTTTGGTTGACAGAGTGGGCTGGGGCTGGAGGGGTGGCTTGGTGGCCGGTGCGTACGTCGCGCGTAGTGGGCACGGCAAGCAACACCACTGCGCGCGCGCTTGGTACGTGCGTCAACGCCCGGCCGGCCGGGGGGTGGTCGTCCAGGACCAAAGTGGGCTCGGGCGCGTCGCGGCGGAACCCACCGCGCCTTGTCACTCGCACAAAGCGACAATCCCGTGCTCACCTCCCACCTGCGGCCCTTGTGGGCGTGTGCGCAATCCAAAGCTGGCTGCAAGCAACCCAGCAGACGATGCCATTCACATGACGGCCACCGGCACCAGCGAAAACTCCGCCTGCATGTAGTAAATTTCAACGTCGCCCGATCGCCGACCCGTGGCTGTCGTCGGGCGTTTTGCGACCGTCGCTGCCACACTGCGCACCTAACGCTCTCCACGGGTTTTCCTCTCGCCATGCACGTCTGTCGCAGCTATTATTTCTCATTTTCGACTATATATGCTTGCTTTGTCTACCGTAGAGCCGATTGGCTTGCAGCTGCCCGGTAGCCTTTCTGACCCTCTCGATGCAGCTCAGCCACCTCTCACCACGGCGCAACACTTGTTTTCGCGCGCGCGCGCATGTGCAAGCCAGCCCTGTCTTGCTGCCTTCCCGTCTTGTCTTGGGGTTGGTGGAAAACGAATGGTGGAAGGGGAGGCAAAAAAAAAAAAAACTACCAAGCGAGGCTGAGTGAGCAGCCGGCGAACAACGCATCTCCGACCTCATCACTTGCCATTATCTGCCCCGAACCCCGCGCAATTGCCTTTTCAATTGATGCGTCAGGTAGATGGGAGCGGGCAGAAGCGGTGAGCACACGCATGTAACCAATTGGGTCGAGATGTCAGGCGAGCAGGGCGGGCTTGGAGGAGGAGAGAAAGGCGTGATGATGATGCAGCACATCGAAGCTCGCCACCTCAGACGTCAATGCTTTGACAAGAAAAAATGCCGTGGTCCATACATGAGACGAGGATGACCATCTGCGGGGTAACCAGCGCAGCAATTGCTTGTCAGGCAAGGAGGAGGGAAAAGGGCCTGATCATCCTTGTGTGTCGGGGGGGAGGGGGGAAAATGAGGCGTGATATCGGCATGGAATAGAAACAGAGAAAGGGCAAGCGCGCGGCCGGCGACGAGGTAGGGCAGGTTTATCCTAGTCCAGCTCGGACGAGATGCTGCAAGCTGTTCCCAGGACGTGAGGCCGTGTGTGTGTGCAAGGACGGGGGGAAGGCCGTGAGTTAGGGTAGTATAGCCTGGACCCCCTCCCTTCCTCTCGCCTCCCCCCATCAGACGGGCAAGGGCTGGGAAAAGGAAAGCGGAGAAAAGCACAAACCAGGCTGAACGATTCCCTGGCGCGTAGAGAGTGTGTGTGCGCGCGCGGCCGGCCTGCAAGAGCTGATTGATTATTTTTTTTGCCCTCCCTTCTCTTGCTTTCTCCGATGGCAAAAGAGAATGGATACCCCGGGAAAGGGCAGCCACCTCAAAGAGATCAACCAAACCGCGGTCGCCACGTCAGAGGATCTCCGATGGGGCATACTTCGGTCGAGCCTAGCGTTCCTTTCAAACCCAAATGATTTGCTTCCATATGCGATGACGGCCGAGTTGCCGCATAAGTCCCGCGCCAGCTCCGTTACCTAACACCAAAATGCCTGTCAGCATGCATGTACTAACCAGCCCAACAATGCGTGCCCGCACGGTCAGTGCATGGCCGAGAGCGAAGCGGGAAGACGGTCAGCTGAGGAAAATGGCACCGGCCGCCGGACCATGCATGATGCACGGGCTTCTGTGTCAATTGGACCGCATTGGCGGTTTTGCAATGGTATGACCGCGGGCGCCGTGTCCACGAAAGGCTCCTGCAGGAAGGCGAGATAAGGTGACTGGCTGACGATGCCTGCACCCAGGGTTGCGGTGGGGATGGGACGGCCGGGGTCGCCAAGCCAGACTGTCGTCCTCGCATAGATGGAAGCACGAGAGATTGATCGGGGGCACCGTGCATGGCCGCTGACTCTGTACGCTGATTAGTTGGTGTGACGTCGAGAAAATCCGGATGCTGGCTGGATCCGTTCATCCCCTTCGTAATGAGTCCGCCCCAGGCGCGGAGGCAACGAGGGCACGAGATTGGAGCAGAAAGGGCCAGTCGAGCCGAGCCCATCCGGCGCGGTTGCGAACCAATGCTCTTGGACGAAAAGTTTCGGTGGCCCCTTCTCTTTCCCCCGTGCTGGCGCTCACGGGAAACTAGCCGTTAGACAGCCGTTGGCTCGTAATCCGGTGCTCCGCACTAAGCAGGAGACAACGGACGTCGAGGCGAGCAGCAGCCAATCAATTCCGGCGAGTGGGCGGGCGACGGAAGCCAGCGAATGGCGCGGCATGAAGCGTCGGCCACGTGACTGGCGCTCGGCGCAATCATCTCAACCTTCGTCCGGCATCAAATGTGATAGACTTCGCCCGCCGGCATCAATGCCACCTCAACGCGCGCCAACAAACAGCATCGGACCAGGAGCATGAGGCATTTTGTCCGGAGAAGGAGATATTACGCGGAAGAAAAGCCACCTCGGCGAAGATCCTAAGCAAATGTGATATGGGTTTGCATGTCTGGAACGCCCGGCGCGGGCCTAGGGTATCATTGCAGCCGGCCCTCATGGATCCTCTAGCGGCATTAGGGGTGATCCGTGGGATCGTGGCGATATCGTTGGCCGTTGCGAGTGGGGTACGATAATGGAGCGGCGGCGAACTGACGGCGGGAGCGGGAGGTTCCTTCGCCCAAGAGGGCTGCTAGCCATGGTCTGTCGAGTCGGTGTAGTCGTCCTCCTTGTCCTCCTCCAAGCATAAATAGCCCTTCTTGCGACGGTCAGAGTCTCATCTCCACCATCACCAGCTCCTGCCTTCTTCCCAATCCCCAATTGTCTCTCAGAGATCCCAAGCGCCCTCCTCTTCCGCGACAGACATCTCCACCAAGGAGTACCTCTACCCCCAAGCCGGAACATTGTTTGAGACTCTCCAAGGGTCCAGCACGCCATCCGGACAGGTGAGCTTCGGCGCGTCGAGCGACGTCGAGGGTGGTGGTGGTTGACCGGATCTCAGGTTCGAATCAGCCCTGTCCAATCAGTCAGACGCCATATCAACTTTTTGATATCAAAAGGTAAGGATGGCCCATGCTCTTGCGACGTTGTGGCCCGGGGCTAACAGTGACGATCAACCTTAAGTTCCACCAAGCTCTTGAAACATGTGCTTCTTCGACCAGCACCGCTTTGCCTGTGGCGACTGGAAGTGGGGACACTTCCGCCAGCACTGCAACCGCGAGTACCGCATTGGTGAAACGTGCGGCATGAAGCTCATCATGACGACGGTGCCGGTCAGCCAGAAGTGCAAGCTGTGCGAGAAGATCGACACCAAGATGCGCCGCCGCGCAGCCGAGGTGGAACGGATCAACCGGTGGCAGCGGGAGGGCGGCAAGTTCAAGGCGTCAATCGAGAAGTCAATGGAAATCATCGGGTCCCTGGACAGGGAGATCTACGACCTGAGCTGCGAGCGCAACAGGCGGCTCCAGGGCATCGGCAGCGGCCACTGAGGGGTCGGACTTTGGCGCCGGGCGCGCATGCAGTGAGCGTTCATCTCTAGCGTTTCGTTTGTTCAGGCGTTCGGGCTTGTTTTTCTTTGGGCCACTCGTTTGTCGGCAGCAGCAAAATTGTCTGGAAGCGCTGTGGAGGGGAGCTAGCGGGTAGCGATGAGGCGCCTCAGGGTTGCCGCCTCCTTTCATGTATTACGACGTAGCGGAGAATGCATTTTCTTTCCCTCAAATGATAGGCAGGGTGTAGCCGCTGAGTGATCAGTTGGGGCTGAGGCTCCGTCCAATCCAGGCGAGTCGCGTAGCCAAAATAGAAGCAGCCGGGAAGCCGTAGACGCCGCGCGCACGGCCGAGTCGGCGCGCCGCACGCGTGAATCGAGAATATGAGAGCCCGGCACCGATGGATTCTGATGAGCCTTCAGACGCCCGCGCAGTGTTGACGGAGTGTGGGAGGAAGAGGTCGGTCAGAAGGTCGAAGTCGAGTGATGTGGAGAAAAGCGCTCCACGTGACCCCGCGCTAGCCCGCTTCGGGCGGCCCCCACCTCGCCCGCGACGTCCGCCGGCGACCTCAACGCTCCATCACCACCTCCACGCCCGCCCTCGACCGCGAGCGCGCCCCAGCCCCGGCAGGCGCACCAACGGCCGGCCGCCCGTCGCTTTATACCCCGCCCGCGACGGCCCGCCCGCGCCGCAGAGCCTGCCCGTGCTCACCGCACCGTCCGGCGGTGAGCCCCCGGATCACGCTGGATTGGCCGTCTGCTGCTGCTGCCGCGTGCCCGTCACGCGTGTCGCGAGAGGCGTGCGCGGCGGCCTCGGAGGGGTCCTGGATGCGAAGTCAGCTGGCGCTCTCTCACTCTGGGCTCTCCCACTTGCCTAGAAACGCAAGCCGGGCGGCCGCGCTCGAAAGTGGGAGAACAGCACTGCTCTTTTCAGTCTCCAAAAGTCGTAAAGCTTCGTTAGTTCAGGTTGGGCCTGCCCCGATGTCGAGCAGCTTTTTAGTGCGCCGTCTACGTGGCGGCCGCTGAGTGGTCCTCGTCCGCCGTTGATCTTTTCGACCCCAGTGCTGCGCCCAATCTGCGTGAATGGGCTGGCAGGATCCCGATCCCTCCCAAGCTCTTTTCGATCGAGTGTTTTCGTTGTCGTGTTGAAATGGCCCAAGTGCCCGAGTGCGCGCCGCTTTGGCGGCCTCCGCGCTCTTTATGAGCCCGCAATCCTGTGCCTGTTCCCGGATGCGTCTGCCAGCGCTTAGCACTGCCCCAACGGCGTTGACAGGAGTGCATTCATTCGTGTGGAAGGAGCAGGGAAGCGGCCTGAAATGTACGCGCCCCAGCCAATGAACGCCCTGCGCCGGGGTCCATTCGAGCTCTCGACAACCGACCAGACCAAAGACCACGCATACAACGAGATGACACACATCAGCATGCGGATGGAGATGTGTCAAATTTCGTGTAACCCTCATGCGCCTTCTGCAGTCGTCTGCCTCATCCCAGCGGCAAGCTGTTCCATGGACGCTTCGCAGCCAATACTTTGTGGGTCGACGCCTGACCTCAATCCAACCGTACTCTATCTCATTAAACACCTCAAACCATCTCCATGCGATGCCTCCCAAGCTGACAATCCGTAGCCAATGCTGTCCCTGCCCGTGGCTGTGCCTCTTGTCCCGTACCACCTCCACGTCCGCTGCTTCCACCAACCCCAAAGCCGACACTTGCCAGCCATGCTACATCACTTGGGACAATACCCCACCAATCTGTGACCGACAGCCAATATTGTACCCACTTTCAAGTGGGGGGTTGTCCAGCATTGCTCAAGTGACGAATGACGGCCAGCCAGCGCCTTCACGGGACTGGCCGTAGACATACTTATCTCGTTTAGCAGGGTTTACCCGGTAAAAAAACACGCGCGATGACAACCTGTGTGTATACTTCGCTGCCGGGACTTCACTAGTTGTCAAAATTAACTTACCGACCATGCCTACTTTATGATGACACTAGCCGCCACAGGGCTTGCAGCACAGTCCACCGCGTTCCACTTATCCACATTCAATACCTCCGTCATCAGACACACCCTCCTCCTAGACGCGATGTAGTCTCCAGCCACCAGCCAATCAATCCTCCACAGACCCGCTCCCACAGCCCTTACTGGATGGCTACGGCAAGGGCAAACGGACATTTAGGCGCTCGGCAGTCCTTCACCCACATATTAGATCGCCCAATCGAGCGCATGCACTCCCAAAACAGCACTCACCCCTCAACCCCATTCGCTGACCAGTCGCGCCGCCCGCAGCCACCATCACCTTTTCCCTTCCTCAGCCGCGCGATCGACACGATTCGCACCCAAAACGAAGCCCAGCCTATTGGCTTTTTGCCGCAACTCCCCCGTTTTTTTCGTTCCCAACAACCCGATCCGACCCGGGACCCCCGCCTTTTGCGTCCCGCTCCGCCCCCGCCCGCCCGTCCTACATTCTTAGTAAGGCTCCCGCTCCCGTTGAGCTTAACGTAGGCACCAAAGAAAAGGGAGGAGGACTAAATAGAGGAGGACCCGAGGGAGGGGTTCGTGATCGAAGGAAGGGAAACCCTGATCTAAGGCGCAGCCCTACGTCAGCTAAAATTAACACCTTCCCTGCATAAGCCTATCTAACCTTGTGCGCTCCCTTTCTTATCGTTTATCGATTACAACCCAGCTCCCCGGGTCTCGGCAAGGGCCGCACACACACTTGATCCCCTCTCTTAGGTGACGCTCTGGAATGCAATATTGTTCTTGGTACCTTCCTCCCTCACGTTACAGTAGATCCTTGAATTCCGATGTTTCAAGCCTCTCTACCCCCCTCCTCGTGGTGGGCGGGTGCAACCGCACTGGGCGAAGCGCAAGCGAAAATGACGCGACCTCAACGCCAGATAGACACGTCAAGCAAGGTACGAAAGCGTTGTCCAGACCGAACAAAGAAAGGCTCGAGGGAAGAGAGAAGGGGCTGGCGAGCAATTCTTCACTTGCCATTTCACATCCCACGTTCAAGATTTTCAAGAGAATGATGGACTCCTATTATGCTACCCAGGCAAAAAAACTAAACTAATGTCGAGAAAATTTGTTTTTTTCTGTATCGTTTTCCATCTCGCGTGAACCATGGTGAATGTTCCGTCCAGCGAGAAACAAAAGGAGTAAAAACAAGATTGTGTTTCCCCGATGCCTGTAAATCCCATCTCTTTTGCAACAACGATAGAAGCGGTTTCATATTGCTGTTGCCGACACTGTATGAATAATGAGCGTTGCGAAATACGTTTCCAAAAACAGGTGATGCAAGCGTCGTGAGCATGATGATGACGATGTCCGAAAGAAAAATGGAAAACAAACGAGTGAGGGCAACAAACAATAACAACAACAACATCGCCAGTCAGCGTCCTGCCTCAAGCAAAGACCCGCCGACCAGCACCCTCTCTACCTTCACACCCTCAACTCCTGCGGCGCCCTCTCCACGAGCTTCAAGCCCTTAATACTCACGACCCCATCCACCCCCTTACAATGGCCCACCTGCACCGTCAACGGCGTCTCCACCCCCGCCACCAGGGCCGCCGGCGTCCACGCGCCGCTAAACGTCGCCACCTTCTCTCCCGGCACAGCATCGACGACTTGCTCGCCGCCGACGAGCACCTTGACCTCACACGCCGCATCGCCGTCCATCTGGCTCGCCGAGACCTGGACGTCGTACGTCGCGCCGCTGTGCAGCGCGGTCGCCGGTGCCAGCGCCTGGCTCAGCTCGAGCACGGCGCCGGGCTCCTGGCTGACGACGCTGACGCCGCCCGTCTCCGGGTGCGGCGCCGGCACGGCGAAGATGACGCCGCGGTCGGTGCGCGTCTGCCACGCCTGCGGGTCCGCTGCCGCGTCGAAGGCCGTGAAGTCGGCGTTAGTGAGGAGGTTCTTGTCGTTGTCGTTGTCGTCACGCTTGATGTGGGTTGACGGGGCATAGGCGGGTGTCGACGAAGAGGAGGAAGAGGCGGCGGCTGTTGTGCCTGGGGTTGTCGACGAGGCCGCTGCTGTTGTCGAAGGAGGAGCGGGGGTGGATGTCGTCTCTTCTACTGGAGGCGCGGTGCGCAGGGCTGAGCTAGCCTCACTAGGGCCTTCCGAGGTCTCGGTGCCTGTGGTTGCGGGCAAATCGCTCGCACAGACCGTGACCGTAGTTGCGAACTCGGTAACAGTGGCAGTCACCGTGGCCACTGACAAGGTAACTGTGGTATCTACGCACGAGGAGGAGCTCGCAGCTGTCAGATATGCAGGCAGTGTACCGTTGACCGATGGAACTGGACTACCACTGGTCGGCAGGCTTGCAGAGGGGGTCGCAGTGCCACTGGGGAGTTCCGAAAGGCTGGTGAACACGCCGGTGCCAATGAAAGTGGTGCTGTTGGCTGTATTTACGGGGACGTTGCTAGGTCCAGTGCCCACAACCGTAGGAGTTGAGGATGACCCAGTTCCAGAATGCAGAGCAGTGTTAGGTGGTGGGACAAGAGGAGGAGCAGTTGAGTTGCCTGAATTAACAGGAACACCGCTGCTTACAACCGTTCCAGAGGTTGCCGAACCTGATGCGCTCACTCCCGTACTCACAGGTGAAGTGGAGTTAACCGAGTTCACGGGGACTCCACTGCTCGGACCAGTGGTCACAGCCCCAGTAGGAGTGGCAGTTCCCGATCGGGAAGCCCCACTAATCGACACGGACTCGGTCGAGTTCGCTGACGGGCTTGGGATTGCTCCACTAGATGCTCCAGTAGCAGTTGGTGGAAGCGCCAGACTGTCAGTTCCAACCAGAGTCGAATTTACCGATGGGCTAGGGATTGCACCGCTGGAGGCTCCGGTGGCAGTTGGTGGAAGCGCCAGACTGTCAGTTCCAACCAGAGTCGAATTTACCGATGGGCTAGGGATTGCACCGCTGGAGGCTCCGGTGGCAGTCGGTGGAAGCGCTAGACTATCAGTTCCAACCAGAGTCGAATTTACCGATGGGCTAGGAATTGCACCGCTGGAGGCTCCGGTAGCAGTCGGTGGAAGCGCTAGACTATCAGTTCTAACCAGAGTCGAATTTACCGATGGGCTAGGGATTGCACCGCTAGAGGCTCCGGTGGCAGTCGGTGAAAGCGCTAGACTATCAGTTCCAACCAGAGTCGAATTTACCGATGGGCTAGAGATTACACCGCTGGAGGCTCCGGTGGCAGTCGGTGGAAGCGCTAGACTATCAGTTCCAACCAGAGTCGAATTTACCGATGGGCTAGGGATTGCACCGCTAGAGGCTCCGGTAGCAGTCGGTGGAAGCGCTAGACTATCAGTTCCAACCAGAGTCGAATTTACCGATGGGCTAGGGATTACACCGCTGGAGGCTCCGGTGGCAGTCGGTGGAAGCGCTAGACTGTCAGTTCCAACTAGAGTAGAATTCACTGAAGGGCTTGGAATTGCGCCGCTGGAAGCTCCAGTGCTGGTAGCGGGAAGCGCCAAACTGTCGGTTCCGACGAGGGTCGAATTCGCTGATGGGCTAGGGGCTACTCCGCTAGATGCTCCAGTCCCAGTCGGTGGAAGTGCCCAACTGTCAGTGCCGACGACTAGAGTCGAGTTGACTGAAGCGCTAGGGATTGCTCCGCTAGAGGCTCCAGTAGTGAATGGGGGCAGCGCCGAACTGCCAGTTCCAACCAACAGGGTCGACGAGTTCGATCCGGCAGTTCCCTGAGAAGAGGCTGTCGAGGGACCATTCAGACGCGAATCCTGGCTGCCAGAGGCCGGGCCCGTGGTGCTAGGGGTGGCCGAGGCACCAGTGCCACTCACTAGAGTCGAGTTTGCAGCGGAGATGGGTGCCGTGCCTGAGGGCAAGGTGGAATTTCCGGCGTTCGTCGGTAACCCAGCTGACGTGGCTGGGGCCGTGGTGCTTGCAAATTCACCAGTGCTGGGACTTCCAGTTCCAGAGCCAGACGGGGCGGTTGAGTTCGCGGAGCCCGACGAGGTCGCACTGGCGAGAGTGCCTGTAGGCTGGCCTGAGGTGCTCGATAAAGGAGAACTTGCGTTTGCGGATGGAACTGGGAAACCGCTGCTTCCAGTTCCGCTCGATCCCGCTGTACCAGTTTGCTCACCAGTGGTGCTTGAGAGCGACTCGGACGGAATGATAGGAATAGGGTATGTGGGAACACCTGACGGAAGCGCTGCAGTAGAGTTGGACGAAGGAACTGGGACACCGCTGCTAGCTCCGCCCGTCCCCGCCGCAGTTGTTATGGTAGAGGCCAACACGCTTCTAGAGCCCTGAGAACTGGAGAGTCTCTGTGTGTTAAACGGCAAAAGTAAAGTGTTGCGACCGGGGCCCACCACGACCAGGCTAGTGTTCCCTCCAGTAGTCAATGTCGATATTACGCTTAAAAGGGACGAGCTTGCGACTTGGCTGCTTGGTCCCGTGGTAATAGAAGCCGGGAGAGTTCCGTTGGCAGAGCTGGAAGGCAAACCGCTCGAGGGAGCAGCGCTGGAAACCTGGCCGGTCGTCTGCGTGCCACTTCGCGGTCCCGAAGTGCTACTCAAAGATTCTGACGTCGGGATTGTCCCATTTGAGGAGCTCGAAGGAAGCCCGCTCGAGGGAGGCGGCGCATAGTTACCACTCCCTGTTGTTGCAACACCAGTGCTTCCACCAGTGGCACTACTGAGAGAACCGGTGGCAGTTGCTGCCGTCGTCCCGTTGGACGAAGGCCCAGGCAGGCCACTCGAAGGAGCAGAGAGAGAAGTGCCCGCACCAGCCGTTGAAGTTCCAGTGCGCGCGCCTTCGGTACCGCTCAGAGTTTCGGTCGATGCCGTGGTTCCGTTGGAGGACGATATAGGAAGGCCACTTGACGGAGCTATCAGACTTGACTGACTGCCTCCAGTACCGCTCAAAGTCTCTGTCGAGGTGGTGGTTCCGTTGGAGGATACTATAGGAACGTCGGTTGACGGGGCGGATGGGCTAGATCCACCACCAGTAGTTGCCGTGCCAGTCTGTCCACCTTCAGTGCCGCTCAATGTCTCACTTGCGGTCGTAGTCCCGTTTGAAGATGCGGTAGGCACCCGGCCTGAAGCTGAGGGGCTCGATGCACTGCCGATAGTTTCAGTGCCGGTACGTGTGCCTTCAGTGCCATTCAACGTCTCTGCTGAAGTGGTGGTTCCATTCGTAGACGCCGTAGGAATGCCACCTGATAGAGTTGGAGTGCTTGAGCCACCGCTGGTAGCCGCCGTGCCGGTCGTCCCACTTCCAGTGCCGCTCAAAGTTTCTGTCGGAGTAGCCGTTCCATTCGAAGACGCAGTAGGAACACCGCCTGATGGGGTCGAGGAACCTGAGCCACTGCCGGTAGCTGCCGTACCCGTCTGCTCACCCTGAGTTCCGCTTGACGATATAGTCGCAGTCGTAGTTGCATTCGAAGACACGGTAGAGAGACCGCCTGATGGAGCCGAGGAGATCGATCCACTACCGGTAGCTGCCGTGCCAGTTTGCTCAACCTGAGTGCCGCTTGGCGACTCCGTGGTCGCCGTAGTCGTTGCATTAGATGACGGTGCAGGGACACTGCTGGAAGCGCCTCCAGTATTGGCAGGTAGAAGGGAAGTGTATGTACGCGTGGTTGTATGAGAGCCGCTGGTTTCAGTCACCGTAAAAGTTCCAGTCCGAGTTTCTGAGGGGAATACAGGGCTTCCACTTCCAGAGGACGAGGAAGATGCTGAGGACGGCGCAGATTCCGTACCGCTGCCAGTCGCGGTCGAGTTCGCGGAAATTACTGTTGACACAGCTGCAGAAGGAGAGACCACTATACCGCTTTCCGTCGCTGACAATGGTCCGCTGGCGGTGCCACCGCCCGTTGCCGTCGATTCTGAGGAACCATTGACAACTGTCGAACCTGAAACGGTTGGAACCAACTGTGTTACACCGGTCGGAACTAATACTGTTTCGCCACCCGTCGCTGTCGAGCTCGATCGGCCAACCTGACTAGTGACGACTATGAAGGATGTTGTAGTGAGGACGGTCTCGCTAGGAACTATTATGGTCTCTCCGCCCGCACCAGTAGACGTAGAGTTTGAAACATTAGTCACGACGGCGATTGACGTGCTTACAGTTATTTTGGTTGTCCTCGTGCTGGAAATGGTTGAGAGTCCAGAGGTAGATACAGAAGCCGAAGCCGACTCAGATGAACCACCAGTGGCGGTCGAGTTGCTCGTAGCACCAGACTGTGTGGAACCAGTTGGAGCAGATGCACCGGATCCGCCAGTTGCGGTTGACGTGATGGTAGAGCTCACCTCCGTGGTTACACCAGAAATGACTATAGGTCCGACGCTCGTCGATGTGATCGTCGACTCGCTTGGAGCTGATTCACTGGCCGCGCCAGTCCCGCTAGAGGACCCAGTAGCAGCCAATTGCGTCGAGCCGCCAGTTCCAGTGGAAGTGATCGTAGAGACTACCACCGTTGTTGAGCCAGAGACGACTACAGTTCCAGTAGACGTCGTTGTGATAGTCGAGTTGCTTGGCGCAGCTGCTGATTCCGCAGAGCCACCCGTTGCAGTGGACGTGAGCGTTGATACTATCTCCGTCGTTTCTCCGGAGATGACCGACGTCCCGGTGCTCGTTGATGTAATTGTCGAATTACTCGACCCAGATGCGCTAGATCCATTGGGGCCCCATTCCTCTGAGCCGCCCGTTGCAGTTGAAGTAAACGTCGAAAACACCTCAGTTGTCACGCCTGAGATGACTGTAGTACCGGTACTTATACCTGTGACTGTTCTCACCCCACTCTCTCCGGAGCCACCGGTAGCTGTTGAAGTGAGTGTGGAAACCACCTCTGTTGTCTTACCAGAAACGACTGATGTGCCGGTGGAAGTCGATGTAAGGGTGGTTGGACCACTTTGAGCGGATCCGCCAGCACCCGTTGAAGTGGTTTCAGGTGCAGAAATACCTGAGCCCCCCGTTGCATTGGAAGTTGAGGTAACTTCAAAAATGGTCAAGAGGCTGACGGATGTAGAAGTGTACGTGTACTCCTTAACGAGAGTGGTACCGCTCGAAACGACGGTCGTGTTAAACGTACCACTGGCGCGTGTAGCAGTCGCAGGGATGACAACTGTGGCAGCGCCTGAAGTAGAGGTTGCTGAGCCGCCTGTGGTAGGTGTTGCACCTGGCGGGAACTCCGTCGACCCAGAGGCCTCAACGATGACAGATCCATTCGTAGTAATAGTCTGAACACCAGTCGCTGTTCCGGTGCTGGTCACGGTAGTCACTAGCGCAGTTGCAGGTATGGTGATGAGGCTGGTTTGGGTAAACACTTGAGTGTTGTTGTAGGTGCACACTCGCTGATTGGTCGCAGCATAGGCGTAAGCGGACGTCCAAGACATGTGCACCGTACCACCACCATCAGTGTACACCGTAGAGAAGTACGTTGAAGAGGCACTCTCAGTGGAGTCACCGGGGCTGCACTGGGGGATAGCAGACGTTGTCGAGACAGAGACCGAGGTGCTTGTAAGTGTCACATTGGATGGTGCGGACGAGAAAGGTGCGTTTTCCGTGTTGTTGAAATCCCCCACTCGCAGTAAGGTACCGGAAACTGTACCGGGAGATTTGATGGCCGAAGAGCTGGTAATAGCCTTCTTCATATAGCAACGGTCGTCTCTGAAAACGAACCCCTGGCAAACGGGGGCGTTGGCACCCTGGTTATATGTCGAGCAAAGAGCCGCACAGTCAGCCGAGTTATCAGCAGGCTGATCAATGACATTCGGATCGGTGAAGTCGACGTCGCAGTGGATCTGGTAGGCGTAAGTCCGGTTGCCGAGGACATAATTCTTCACTGATTCGCCATCCTCTGGGCAAGTGACACCCTCCCCGATGGGAACGCCAGTGGAGGTGGGTGAAGTGCCGGAAACAGTGGCAGAGCCGCTGGAACTGGATTCTTCGCCGGCTGTCACAGTTACGATCGTCCTGAAAGTCATACTGCTTCGAGAAGTCTTCGTTGTCTTTGCAAAGACTGCCAATGTAGTCGTAGTCTGCTCACTGATTAGCTTTACATGATTTCTGAGAGAGTTGGGGAACTCACACTGGGAGGGCCATCCAAAGTCTCAGTGGTGGTTCCTGGCGTCGGCAGGCCAAGGCAATCACAAGCACTCGACAACCCAGAGCTGATGGAATTCATAGCGAATGCAGTGGAATCAAACGAAGAGCTTGCTTCGACTTGCCGCACGAAGGCTCTAATGGCTTCGACATGGGCTAGTCTCTTTGCAAGTTCAGGGCCAGGTGTAGGTTCCGGCGCCCTTGCAGCAAGCGTTGGCGGCGTGACTGTGGAGGTAGTAGTGAGAGTAATGCTGACGATATTTTTCACCGTTGCGATGCGGGTAGAGGTGACATCAGTGACAGTGCTGCATGATGAATTAGTCAAGAGGCACCCTGTACAGTATTGTTAGATCAACATACGTAACCGGAGTAGCAACAACTTGGACGGTATCGGTAGGCCGTCCAACTAAAGTTAGGCACAGCTCAGGGGCGCCGGTATGGGTCGAGAGAATCTCATAGTAGTCGTTCGATGGTACGCAAAAGTCGTCTTGACGCTTTCCGAAGAAGTTGAAGTAGTCCAGGAAGCCTTTTTTCAGGCCCTCAGGTGCCGGACTCCTGCGGTCTGCAACAGCAGCATCGGTCACGGCAAAGGAAAGGCTAACGGCCAAAGCCGCTAGAGGAGAACGAGTGAACAGCATGCTGAGCATTCAAAACGAATGGCGAATGCTCAAGCACGATCAACGAGCGTCGCTGTCGATGTTGGTGAAGAGGCAAGTGGGAGCGGCATTCAAAATGCTTTATACAATCGACAAAGCTAAGACAGCAGCTCTTTCGGCCAGTCGGAGGGCCTTCATGGTGGAGAAAATTGTGCCTTGCAGAGCCAATGGCCTTGCTCGCCATTTCGTGACTCGCTGCGGTAGCACTGGCGACGCGTGCGCGAAGCATCTAGGTAGGGGCGAGATGAGAGCAAGCTGAGACCAGCCCTGCTCTCGCTCAGAAACGATGATGGTAGTTCAAAGAAACTGGTGTAGAGCAGACGCAACGGAGGGTGATCTTCCATTCTTGGTAACCAGGAGGCGTGTCTGGGAGGGCGCCCTTGCTTTGTCAACTCCCTCGACGTGATCGGACCTGGGAGATGTTGCACTCGCGACCTAGTTTCTCGTACCCTCGACAAAGGGATACGCGAACGCTGCGCGGACAACGCGCGCGACGCGTTGAAGGGGATCCCAGAGGCATGGACATATGCAGGAACAGTGCGGGCAAACGGCGACGGCGGAACAACGTGAGGACAACTTCAGAGACACAGCATACAAGCTCCAGAGCGCAGGCTAAGTAGGCCGGCTGACGGCGCAGCGTTGGTGGAGGCCGATGAGAGGCGTTTTTCTGCACCACGAGGCGTACGCCCAGCTGACATGCGGAAAACCAGGTCAATGGAGACAGGCGATCGGCCGGCTGCTGGGCCCGCGAGGAATGCGGCCGGTAGGAGAGGCGTGACAGAGGTGATGGTGGTGGCTGGCTCGGCTGGCAGCGGCACGGCCGCTGACGGGCTCTTGCGCTCCCGAAATGTCAAGCGAAACCACATAATCAAACATTCTGTTCCAACCTCACCTCACGCCCAAGCTCCCACGCAAGCTCCCTGAACAAGAGCGTGCCCGCAATCCGGTCGCGGTCCTGCGCTCTACCTCCCCGCGGTCGCCGGCCCATGCAAGCCACCCTCACACCAGCTCACTGAGCCCGCGCTCCCCTTCCACGTCCTCGCAGCCGCGCCCCGTCACAAACTTCATTCCAGATGGGCATCTGCGCTTCGTGCCTAGGCCTTGGCCGCAGGCCTCAACACGATGAGGTAAGAGCGATCCCGTCATCGACCGCACCCGCCTGTGCGACTGACCTCGCCCTTACGCACAGCGCTCCGAGGCCTCGCATCTCCTAGGTGCCGACCAGTACCAGCACCAGTACGGCGCCGTGGCCCAACAAGGCCCGCACATGGGCATGAGCGCTCCGCAGCCCGACCCTGAGGAAATCAGGCGCCAGCGCGATGCCCTCGAGCGCATCTGCGCCCAGACGTCCGAGTAGGTCCCGCCCCCAGCTAGTGCCCGCCGCCGCTGCTAACGTCTCTCTCCCTTTGTAGCAAGTTGATTGATGTCTCGCAATCCGCTCACCCCGACGAAGGCCACAAAATGCACAGCGAATACCATCGCCTCTTCATGGAGCGTTTCCCAGCCGTGTCTCACCCTGAAGACAGCCGGCCTTCGTCCTCTGGAACCGCCGTTGACAATGATGAGACCGCCTGGCTGGCTGAGGTCACCAAGGCGCAGGGCGAGGAGGGTGATTGGGAGCACGTCAAGGTCATTGACAACGGCTCCCTCACCATCCAATTCGACGAAGTCCTGGGCCTGGATCGCAGATCGGCTCCCTCGCCTGTCAGGCTGTAAGCTCATCCCCCGGATCCGTCGACTTTTCCGAGATCTGCGCCACACCCGTCCCCTTGCGGGCCTTCCGCCCCGCGCACCCCGATTGAGACTCTCCTTGGTTAAAACGTTGAATTTGTTCAGAGGCTTCGGATAGATTCCGCCGCTAGATTTTCCTTTGTGGCATTGTACGGCGCTACGGCGCTTTCCAGATGATACCTGTGGTAGTTCGGCGCTCCTTTTTTTTTTGTTTCTTTTCCTTTCCCTTTTGCATGCAAAAAGATATACCCCAAGTTGTTGGTTTAATCGCAAGTTATCCTAATTTAAGTGCATTTGTCTGCTTGTAGCTCACTGATCCCCCAACCCATCTGCTAAAAGAGTTCGCTTTCTCGATATCAAGACACATTTAGCTCAGTGTTGTGCTAGGGTTGTATGATATCCGTATCATGAAACATTCAGCATTCTTTCGACAAAGCGCCAAGATTAGGATCGACGTTTTGCCTAGTGCACATGGGCATCCGGCGTAAGGGTTTACCTGTAGTAACACTCTGACGGTTAAACACCCAATGAGATCAAACATGCTCTAACCAAAATGTTCTTCCTTTGCAGCACCATTTTCCTTTTGGGTTCTAGGGTCTCAACCCCGTGCTATTGTGCCACGCAACCTCGAGCAGAAGAGGTTCCAGCTGTGTGCTTCCGCGAACGTTAGCCGCTTATTTTCGTTGTTGTACCATCATCACGAAGGTCGTTTCTTGTCACATGTATGGCAGGAGGTCCAGAATCAGCACGTGTTCATGAGCACTCAATGAAACAGACTACGTTCAGTGTCTGATTCATTGTTCTCCTGCCGACCGACACGCGAGTAGCAGGAATTTATTGGTGCTTCGCTGGGAACCGTGACGTATGGCTTCGGCGTCTGCCGCTTTCCACTTTTTTTTTGGCCCTGGACATTAGACTCCTACCCTTAACGACCTCGATGGACGTAAGGAGGTGTGTTACTACGACCTGCGTCTCAAAAGAGGCCCTGAGGAAATATCAAGGCTCTCACAACTCGCTTTATGTCGATAAGATCATGAATTAGGCAAAGGATAGTATTATCATAGACTGTCACGGCTGAGCATTAATGGGAAACGATTTAATCACACTAGAAATCAAGCTTCATTGTGCAGGTTGAACGGAGGAGCGTTGAAAGCTCCTGTACAACAGGCGATAAAAAGAAAAGAGAAACTGTATTACAGCTGAGCAACGCTCTTACTGTGTCGAGCAAAACAATAAATTTACCCCTGCCTTGGAGTTCGAGAAAGAAGGGGTCTAAGAAGCAGTGACCAGCATGGACGTTGCCTTAGGCAGAAATGGGTTAGCGCTTCCGACAAATAATGTGCGTCATAGCTCAGATCGGCAGCGCAGCGGCGGGGAGCGCGGAGGTTTTCGAAAAAGTCAGCCCAAACAGCAGCCTATCAGTACCACAAGCTCACCACCATGTCCGCGTCCGCAGGCGCAAGCATGGACTCAGATGCGCCTGCCCGCGGTTCTGATGATCCTGCGACCCCCGAAACCATTGAACAGCGAACGCCCTCACCGTCGCGCGACAGCCCGGCCGATCCGTACACCACGCAGTTGCGCCTCATCCTCCAGCCATGGATCGTCCACTTCAAGTCGCCGGGCTACATCAAGCATGACATGATGGCCATGCTACAAGATATCTGCAAGAAGACTTTGCGCCGCACCATAAAAGAGCCAGAGGTGCGTCGGGCGATTGGCGCCAACGCAAGCTTGTGGCGCGACCTTTGCGAGCTGCTCGAGAATGCCGTGCCCTCGCTGGAGCAGCGCTCTTTTGCGCCCGCAGATCCGCAAGCGCCGGAGTTCGAGGGAGCTTCCGGCACCTTGATTGCTGCCAATTATTCGAGCCTCATGAGAGACCTTGAGCGTCTTAACGACCTTGTTTCAATTGCGCGCAATGTTCTCACGACCGGAGAGGTCGCCCAGGACCTTGCAGCCAAAGCGCAATTTGACCAAGAAATATTTAAGCTCATCAGCGTCTGCGTGAAGGTGACCGCTCGTGGGTTTGACGGCGATGCGGGCACAACAGACGAGCACAAGTGGCAAGAGGTTGTCAACATGTACAAAAAGCTCCTCATTACTTGCCTCCAGTTCCTTAACAATCTCGTGGCCCGAAACGAACGCCGAAAGCTCATGCTCTGGGTTGAGCTGTTTGACAGCTCCCGCGACACCACCCTTCCACAAACCGAAGAGCTTGCTTCCCTCTCCCTTGCCACCGCACCGAAGCCGGGTGGTGCATTTGGCGAAGATCTTGCCTCGTTCAACCCCGGAACCCACCAGCCTGCGTCATCGCCGTTTCTACTATACATTGGAAAGGTTGGGATGGAGGTCAAGCGTGAGCTGGTGGCCCGAGGGGAGAAGTCAGGCGCAACGGAAATTGCGGCCGAGTGCAAGAAGCGATGGCAGGAGATGCCGCAAGAAGCCCGTGACGTATGTGCCCTCCCTCGTTTAGCAGAGTCTCGATTGACTGCTATGGTCTCACAGGCAATAACCTTGGTACAGGAATGGCATACTCTCTACAACGATCTGATCGCAAAGTACCGCCACGACGTTAACTTGCTCAGGTCGGTGAAGCTGCCGCCTGAACCCAAGGCTATCGACCCGAATGCCACCCAGGAAGAAAATGTCGCTGCTCTTGCTGCCAGCATCAACCAGCTGCAGATGGAAGTGGAGCGCATGAAGAAAGCCATGCTCACACCCTCCTCAAAGACTCCTACCGCCCCCTCCGTCCAGCCTCAGGTATCTGCAAGTGAACTCTTGAAGAACTACCCCAACACGCCTTCGCGAGCAGACTTGCAAGATCTCAAGATGCCCCTCGGCGCCGAGCCTCAAGACCCTCCGCCGGCCACCGAGGCTGACTTTCGCATGACTTACAACGCTGCCTATGGCGCCGATATCCTGCAGAACGGCAAGGATGATCTCATGAAACGTCTCGAGACATTTCCTGAGCGTGTGCCACCTCAGAATGCTGCCGAGGTCTCTCCGTCATCTCCAGTCATGTCTCCGGCATCTCCGAACGCTACTGAGCCTGCCGAGGACATCGGGGACGAGGTCAGCGAGGAGGAAGACAGCGAGGATGAGGACTACGTTGTCCCTGGAGATGATGGACGTGGCTTGTTGACTGACGTGCCGCTGATTCTGGGCCCTTCGGAAATCGAGGTTCTGCCTATGATTATCATGTCCGGTATCGTTCCGCCAGCCGAAGGCGCTCCTGGCTACGGTACAACGGCGGAGGAGATTGCGGCCATCAAAAATATGCACACAGTTCGTTGCCATCTTCTGCTCGCTCAGGACAATGGAAGGAACTTACTGCGTGAGCTTCTCATTTTCGTCGCTGCATGGGACTTGCGCGAAGAAGAGCTGTATTTCAAATTCATGGTCAAAATCATGGAGGCTATTCTGACCAATGGGCTGATGCCCTTCTCCTATCATGCCTTTAGAGAGTATGTATTAGCTGACTATCGAGCGGAGCAGCGACTGACAGGTTTCAGATCCAAGGACATCATCTCTCCTGCACAAGCAGTAATCATGAAGCTGCTGACAAACATTTTCAAAGCTCGCCAGACTCAAGCCCAGAGTATCATCGGAAAAGATGGTGTAGCATCCTATCCTCTCCGTGTGGATGTGCATATGGTCAACTTTCTGTTCACCGAATTCCGACGACACATCATTCCTCAGACGTGCGCACTCATCTTCCTACAAGGAAAGATCAGAGCAGGACACGCACACCCAGAAGACTTCCCTCTCAACCTGTGGGACATGGAACGGATGTACGAGGGCGTTTACCAGTATCTAGAATTCTTCGCCATTCTCACGGAACACGACGTGTGGAAGAAAATGATGGCCGATTGGGAAATTACCAGCGAGCTCGTCACTCTTCTTAAGGAACTGGACGCCGCCATACCCAAAGGGACACTCTTGGCACGGAAGCCCCCGGCGATCCCGGATCTTCGCACATCTCAACCCCAGCAGGTCCCGCCACCAGAGACTGGAGGCACAGCTCCTGCGCCTGTTGCAGTCGAGCGTCCTTACGACATCAACGCCCCTTCGATCAGCTCAACCGCAGCAGCCATACCATCAGAACCGTACGCGCCAGCATCCAACAGCCAGTATGTTGATGAGCCAGGCGAGGAACCATCCGACTTTGAATGGCGAAACCTCAAGAAGCTTACCGTATTGGTGCTTACATCACTCGTATGGAAATCACGGAAAGTGCAGGACCAAGTGCGGACCCACAAAGGCATTGAGGCGATCCTCTCATGCTGCCAATATGATGAGCACAATCCTTACATAAAAGAGCATGCCATCATGTGCCTGAGGTTCCTTTTGGAGGGCAACAAGGAAAATCAGGACCTGATTCGCGAGCTGGAGCCCAAGGGCGCGGTCCCCAACGAAGTGCTCGACCAGCACGGGTACGAGACGTTTTGGGATCAGCGGGGCCAGGTAGGCCTCCGACGCAAGGACGGCGGAGGGGGAGGAGGAGCAGCGGCGAGCGCAAAGGCCGCGGCCGCGGCTGTGCAGGCGGCCGCTGACGCCGCAGGGATTGGGAGCAGCAGCCAGGATGGAGAGAAGAGGAAGCCGCCACAGATCGGGTCGGGCCGCCTGGGCGAGCCGCCCAATCTGGACCTCCTGATGCAGCAGGTGATGCGTGATCTGCCGGCGCAGGTGACGGGAGCGCGCCAGGATGCGGAGAAGGCGGCTGCGCTCGCGAAGCTTGATAAGACGCTCAAGGATGGCAAGTGAGACACAACTGTTTTGCTTTGCCGGTACTGGTATTGATTGGTTGGTGTGTGTGGAGTTACGGCTTAATCATGAAGACGATATATGGGACTGGTGGTTCGGGCTGGCGTCATGGTGGTATCTGTCTGATCTGATGCATGAATGAGATATAGAGACGAGGTGGCAGGCATTATCGACGTGTAAGATGGGGCTCCCAGGCCCTCCACGGATCTGGTCCCCCCCATCAGGAAGAGATATAAAAGGCAGAACCTCGACCTTCTCTCTCTGGATACCAGACTGGTACAGTACTGGCGGTCCCATGGAGATGGAACATGATATCCAGGTACTTGTAAGTAGCACAAGAAAATGAAATCAAGATTCCTTCAATCTGCGATTCCTTGCCGTGTTACACTCCAGATCTTCGAGATAGAGCTACCGAAGTATGCAGGGACGCGACCGTTGTTGCTGTACCTCACGATGATGCAGCGAGCCGGAGTGGTGCTGTCCCAAAGGGGGCAAGGGGAATGATGAGTCAGCCAGGCACGCACGCACGCACGCGCAGTCAAGCGAAATCTACCGTCGGCCGCTCCCGCCTTCCGCTCGCACGAAACAACAGATCCAAGGGCTGCCATCATCATCGCCTGATTGTCGCGCGAACGAAAAGGCCTGGTCGCAGATCTTCAGCCCACGTTTGCGTCCGTCGGGCGCTGCCGAAAGTTGCGTGGTGCGGAGAGGCAGGGCTGATGAGAGAACCGCGAGATGGTGGTGTGATGCGCTGGCGACCGTGTCACCCCATCTCCTCGCCACTACGCCGCCCGCCTGAGCCCGCTCGCCCGTGACCATACCGCCAATCAGGGATGGAAAAAATAACGGCGGGGCCAGAAATAGCTGGAACGGTCCGGAAAGGGGAAGAGAGGGTCCGACCGTACGCCGTTTTGGGAGCCATGGGCTCGGAGTCCAGTTACCGGGTTCGCGCGGCGGTGGCTCGAGCGGCCATGCTCTGCTTCCCTGCTTTCCCCGGACTTTGTTTTGGTTGGCTCCGTTGGGCCTGCTGAGCCGCAATCACGCCCAGGCTGAGCCTGAGCCTGGGCTGGCCCGTCCACGGAAAGGATTTCGCTTGCGCCCGGGTCGTCAGCTGGATTGCCCTATTCCCTTTTCCTTTGCGGGAGCGAACGGAGCGGAGGGACGCGATGGGGGCCTGTTGAGCTGGCGTGATGTTTTTTGCGCCTTGGTGATCTCCGTGGTGTCGTGATGCTTGGGGTTGGAAGGAGTCACTTTCACGATGGGGATCGTAGGGCTGGTCCGTATATATTGAGGCATGCTGCGCGACGGTAGAAGTGGTCCATCACACAACAGTGAACACAGCAGCAAACACCACAGCTTCGGCTTGGAAAAACAAACATCGATCGTCACCGAACAACCAACCAACCACCAAATCAACCACCACTCTCCACTTTTTTCCGTTTTTGGAAATAGAGACTTGATTCTACCACAACACCTCAACACCAACCAAAGAGACTACATTTCCAGTCTCTGATCAAACAACCAACCAACCACAACAACCACATTTTCAAAACAACCACAACCATGAGCTTCCGCGCCTCTCCCATCCGCGCCTTCCTGCGCAGCGCCCGCAACCTCGTCGCCGAGCCGCACCCGCACGGCCGCTACCCCGTCAACCGGGCGCAGATGCACGCCATCAACTACGGCTTCTACGCCAACAAGTTCTGGCGCACTGCCTCGTGGTACGTGCCCGTCGGCACCGCCCTGCTGGGCTGGCCGTTCATGGCCATGTACGTGCTCAAGCGCACCGGTATCTGACTCTTCAAACCTTTGGTCATCGCCGTCGACGGCATGGGCCGCAGCCGCGGCAACATCAGCGCCGCCTGGGAGGTCGAGGACTGGCAGGACGACGTCGCCCGCGAAGAGGCCATGAGGAAGGCCAGCGACGACGCCAGGGAAGTCGTCGAGCTGATGGGCAGGATCGAGGCTTGGGCTTGAAATGGGTGTTCTTAGTTGCATATGGGATGGCGTTTGATATCGGGTGGTTAATATGCCTTTGATGAGCTCCTGGTTTGGGAGTCTTTTCGCTTTTTTTTTTTGTAAATATGACTCGAGTAGTGGTCGATATATACCAAACACTTTCAAAAACTCTTTCGAACTCTGAACATTGTGATTTCTTGGGCTTGCTAAGCCTTCGCATGGCACAAAGCACTCGGAGCCCTTTGTAAGCCCATCACATCTAATAGTCTATTCAATGAATTCCACTTCAGTGTTTCGTTTTATCGGGCCTTCCATTTTCGAAACTTGGGGAAGATCATCATTTATTCAACATGATGGACATCATTATTTCCAGTTAAATCCAAACACTTGTGGGTAGTTTTCATTAGAGCTGTCACTCCTACACCCCTAAAAGTAATAAGAAACCGCCGCTCCGAAAACAATTACCAAAGTTAAACTCTTCATAAGTCGCTGTTGCTACTGTCCTGATGATATCAGCCACTAGTCCACTTTGACACAAAGCCTAACAGTGTCAGACTAATCTTTAAGGTTGATCGTTTCTTTATAACCTGTGGTGGATGCCTCTGATCGCAGAGTGCTACAGCTGCAATGGAGGCACCTCATGTGTTTGAACTATCGCCCCTGCGAGACGGCGCTGATCATGTAGTACACCGCAATCTGCACAGCTACCCTTATATGGAAGTCTTGCAAACACCGTAATAAAAGCCTACATGCATGTGATTGGGCATGGGTGGGAAGAACAGCAAGAACTTTGTTATTGCAGTCCCGTGATTCCGACTTAAATTTGACGTGCGTGAGATTTTAAATGCCTAGGTTTCTTCATTTTTGAAGCATACTAGAGACTAAACCTGAATACACATAACTACGAATATGGATTTTGAGTACTGTCCTAGCTTTGCCCCCTAATTATGTCACTATGGGCCCCAGTCGCCTTTCTCGGCCTTTTTAAGCTGTTATGCATTACAACGTTATTTACATAGTTCCTCGATAGTCATCAACATTTAATGTTGATAGTGCATGCCGGCATATAGGTTTAGTGCCCTGGCATACCCAGCATCGTCAGCTATAATAGTGGAAAAATCTTGCCGCAAAATCCAAAATCATCAACAGAAGTCTTAGTCCTGATTGGGCTTTGTATGTAGACTTTAAGCTGAAGATTACCGATTGCTTTATCAGTATCAGCTGAATAAATGTAGAGGTTGCAAAGGAAAAATCGCCATTACAGCTGCGATGGTGTTCGTTTCATGTGATGAACGCCGATTTCGAAGCTCATGTGCGAAACTGGCTGCGCGAACAACAATCTGATAATGATAGATTCAATAGTGCGCGTAGAGAGGAAAACGGACATAGTTTATGGGGATTGTTTCCGTGAATTGAAACACACTTCAAGTCTGGCTCACTACGAATAGAGCAAGTGCTTTGATTTTGATAATAACTGTGTGGATCTGAATTTCCACTTCTATCCTTGATTCGGGTTGCAAACTCAGGCTCTGATCACCACTCTTTGGAAAGCATTTGTTAGCAAAATCGCCATCGTCAACATACGAGGCGCCCAGGAAAGATGTGCCTCGGTCAATACACACAGCCAGCCTTTCAACTACTTCCATATTCTCCTTTCAATATAAGAGCCATCTCTTTCGCACCGATGCAGCAATAGACTAGAGGCAGTTCAGAGCCACGCATCAAGAAAACTCAGCTACTGCAAACCCAGACCGATGCGGCGCCAGTTGGCATTCACATCTTGACAAAGTGTGATAAAGGCATCGTCCTCTATGCAGCTCACGAAGAACTCGCTGAGCAAGTCCTCTCTGGCATTCCAAGGTTGCGCTGCATACGACTGAAGGCGCTTGGAAGCATCTGACTGGGTGGCATTCCTGACCAGGTCAGTCAAGTCTTCATCATATCCGCGGCTCAGCTGTCCGGTCTCATGAGCTGCTGTTTCTTTGCTGCTCGAGAATGGCTGCCTGTGCGAGTGTGATAGCTCATTGCTACCGACGATGTCAATCAGTGATTGCTTCGAAGCTGATGATCCTGGACGTAAGGTCTTGGAACTTTCCCAACCAATCGTGTCGGATGACGGGGCCGGATTTGCGCTAAAGTAATGGCTCGAGGATGATTGAGAAGCGAATATGGATGGCATTTCTGTGGTAAGCTGTGTTTTATGCTTGGCTGTAGTGGAGCGCGAGGCATATGTCGGGGGCTTGAGGGGAGGAAGATTAGCAGTTGACGGGCGGTTGCTTGAAGATGGTCTGCTGTTAGAAATTTGCGATCCCATGAGTCCTGATCCGGACGAGCCGAAGTTGCCAGAGTCTCGGGAGTCTGGCCGTGAGAAGGGGAGCTCGCGCCTGGGCGGTAGCATGTCCATGAGGCCCGAGCCGAGCTCAGTGGCTGGTGCTGTTGAGGGCCGCACATCTTCTCTGTCGTGCGACTGAAAGAAGGGCTGTCTGTTTGGTTGACCAAGAATGGAGTGCTCGCTGCTTGCGTGCTCTCGCACTGAGTTCTGCAGCACTAGGCGCCGCATCCCAGGCGGAGATGAGGGGTAGTCAGAAGCTCCCATGGTCGCGGATTGTGAAGGCGGGAAGTCTAGGGTAGCACTGCTCGGCCGATATTCTGTAGCAGCTTGTGAAGGCGGTCGAGCAGAAGTGTTTGTACTTGGTGGCCCTAAAGAAGCTTTACTCGTAAACATCTTGACGCCTGAGCGTACAATGAGATCATATGCAATCTTGGCGTCACTTGCAGAGTTGAAGGTGAGCTGCATGCGTCGGATCTAAGAGTTTGGTGTTAATTTAGTAGATGTCCCACAAGAAGTGGAAACTCACTCTTCTTGATGATTTCCTGTACATGATCCCAAGTGCTGGCTGATTGGGGCGCGACATAGCCGAGATGGGGAGATCGTCGTTGCGAAGGGCTGCACCGTGCATCTCCATGGCTGCAAGCTGGGTTTTTGTCTGCTGGACCTTTTGATGCACATCTACCGAATCCTGTGAAGAGAGCGCGTCAGTCACGCTGCTCTGATAGGGTCTGACTGACTCATGGCAGTCGGCTATACCAGCACTTTTTTGCCAATGGTGATCTTGAGGTGCGGCGGGGCGAAGGTGAAAGTGAGCCCGGGGCTCATCTCATGCTCCCACTGGAAAGGCTTTTCAGGCGTGTCAGTGAAGGAAAACTTCCTCAAGCCGATCGATATGTTCGTAGCCATCTCGGCAATCTCTGGTGGTCAGAAAATGCGTGCATCGATGAAGCAGTTGAGGTACCATGCGCGCGCGGTGACGGGCGTAGGTGAGCGTGCGGGGCTGTTGAGCGCTCTGTTGCGGGTGATGATGCGCGGCGTGGTGTTGAGTGAGCAGATAAGGCATGCGCGCTGCGGGCGAATGGCGCTAGTGCCTGTTTGGGAATCGCTGGCGAAACGGGCCCTGGCGCTTTTTGGGGCGGGCGGACATGGGCGTCGCGAAGCAGCGAGCGAGCTCAGGCGTCACAGTCGCATCGCCGCGCATCTCCTCCACCGAGCCTTGACGAGCGCGCGCGTCTCGCCCGGTGCCCATCTTGTCGCGAACGCGCTACCCTCTCCGCCCCGCGCGCCGGCCTCTCCAATCGCACGAATCAGCTCAGCCCGCCAGTCACCATGGCCCCAGCGAGGCCGCGCGAATCCTCGATCGAGCGCACGCCCGAGTATGACGACTTCATGAACAAGCTTGAAGATTACCACGCGAAAAGAGGGTACACGCTCCGCCCTCCCTTGCTTGATGCCTGCCTCTAACCTTGGCCTAGCACCACGCTCGACCGCGAACCGAAAGTCGGTCAGCGGCACCTGAACCTGTTTCATCTGTACAAACGCGTCTGCGAGGAAGGTGGATACGACAAGGTCTCCGATACCAAGAACAACAAGCTAGCCTGGCGCCGCATCGCTGCCGATTTCATCCCCCCGGACCAGAATCCCACGACGCAGGCCTTTATCGTCAAGAAGGCCTACTACAAGAATCTTGCGTACGTGCCATCCCGACGCCGCGTCCAGGTTTTGTCGCTAACGCAACCCAGTGCCTACGAAATTAGCAATTTCCACGGCAAGGAGCCCCCGCCGAAGGAGATTCTCGAAGACGTCTCCGCAAAGGGTGGCGATCTTCTCAGGCGCACCAAAGAGAACTTCTCCGCTTCGAGCAACCGCGAGCTCGATAGCCTCACAAACGGCCACGACAAGGACAGCGACGAATCAGACGACGAAGCCCAGAAAACCCCGAAGGAGGACAAGATGGACATCGATGGACCTCCTGGCAGCAGCGGACGCGTGACTCGAGGTGAGTGGTGTCAAACGCGCGCGCCTTGTTTGGCCGCCCGTCATTCCTGCGCTCACCCCCCGGCCTCCAATCTTTACCCATCCTCTCCGCCAAAACCAATTCGCCTTTGAACATGCCTGACTTATTCTCTGTAGCTCTTCGACAAGCCCCGCCACAGCGGGTCCTCTTCCAGCCCGAGTCTACGTCGAGACAAACGCGCTCCTCCGGCCAGCACAACTCCCCTACGCCCGGCTCATACTCGCAGTCCAATGGCTCTTTTAGCGGTGGCGGTAACACCATGAGCATCATCTCGAACTATGAACCGAAGCCGGTGGTTCCTTCGAACGTCAAGCCTGTCATGACACCAAGCAACAACCCAGAGCACTTCCGCACTGTCCGCAGTCGGATGGCGAATAGGTTAGCGAGGCCGGTTCCGCAGAACAAGGGAATGATGCTGCCAGGAAGTAAGTTGTCGCACGCCTGTTACTTTGCGTTCCGCGCTAATTGAGCTCCCGCTCTGCAGCTGGCTTCACCGGACCGAACATATATATTAGGGCCTTGCTCGCCCTCCAGTCGGGCAGCGTCGAAGAACAAGCATACGCATTGCACCACCTCGTCAAGATTTCGCACGAGCGAGGAGACAAATACCGGTTTGACGGCTTCCCGGGCCTGGCCGAAGCTCTAATTGGCCGGCTCCTGGATGTCAGCACGCTCTTTTATGGCTTCCACTGGGAAATCTGCTACAACGAGGACGAGTGTCTGGAAAGAAACGATGCGCTCAATGCGATCAGCGGAACGGCGAATTTGCTCCAAAAAATCCATTCGCACCCGCTGCTGGATTTCACAGACGACGTGCAGACCAAAGAATTCAGCGAGGCTCTTGGTCGCGTCAACGAAGCTGGACTTGTCATTCGCAATCTTGTGATGCTGGATGCGAATGCTCACTACGTCTCTCAGCTGCCGTTGATTCAGGACTTCATCACTATCGCTCTCAATCTTCCTCCCCGGTCGTCTGTCATTGAGCTGAAGCACTACGCGCTTGAAATCGCCGAGCAATTGTCAAGATATTGGCTGCTTACCTCGGAGCATCACCTGTACCAGACTCTGCTTGCCCAGCTGGATTCTAGCGACCGTGGGACGATTATTACTGCGCTACGAGCTTTGTCTCGGATAGCGATGAACGCGAATCCGAGATACGAACTGACCAACGTACCAACCCGGGTAATTCAACACGTGTGCGAGTGGCTACTAGTAGAAGACGAGCAGCTCCGTGAAGCATGCTTGGACTTCCTGTATCTCTACACTGCCACCACCGGGAACGTGGAGACGTTGACGCAGCACACCGACGTTGAAGGGCTTGTGAAGCAGTTGGTCAGACTACTGCTCTACAACGCACAGACAATTAGGCTACCAGTCCCAACCAAGGCATCCGGCAAGCCAAGCAACACGGCGCCTGAGTCGGCACCGAAGCTTGCCGGTTCAATCATCGACCAGCTACTATCTCTCGACGAACCCGATCGTAGCTCACAATGGTTTGTCTCTAAGCCTACTCAGATTCATGAGGTACTAACTTTCGTCGCAGGCTCAAGACGTGCTTTGAAGAAGATCCCATGGGAGAAATCACGCAGATTGCGCTATGGACAGCATACAATGCGGCTTTCCAAGCCCCGATCCAGAAGCTCACAGCTCAGCAGCAATCCCCGTCATTGCCCTCAACACCCGGAAGTAGTGCGCCGCCTGCAACCTCGGCAAAACCGCCCAAGCCTATGATGGCTGCCAAGGACTTCATCACCAACGTTTCCAATACGTTCCCGTCAGCAGCAGCGCAGGTCATCACTGCCGGGGGTGTGCAAAAATATACCATCAAGGGCATCCGCCCGCGGACTGTTCCTGTGGACTTGAGAAATCGGCCTTACATCAAATGCCGATGGGTGTCGCCGCCTTCATTTCCGTCGGGTTCGCAAGCTGGAGGCGAGGAGTGTGGTGAATATGTAAAAGAGCCGAAGCAAATATGGGAGCATATCCTGCAGACCCACCTTGGGCTCAGCAAAGACTCGGATGGGAAATGGCAAATTGAGGAGCCTGCAACCAATGGAGTCAGCGAGGAGAGCGAGGCGAACGGGAAGCCGAAGAAGCTGGACTGCCGGTGGGCAGGCTGCCTGCATTTTACCAGGGCGGGCGAGGAACCCACGGCCTTCGAGGTCGGGAGACACGTGCAGACACATCTGCCGGACAGCTCAGAGAAGTCGCAAATTCGGAACCAGCACAATCAGTCTGGCAACTCAGCACCGGATACCGGGTCGCTGCAACAACAGTACTATGGGCCTTTTGGTCCTCTGCGTGGAAACACCAGAGGAGATCAGACCAGCGAGATCAAGTGGCTCAATACGGCAATGGACGAGCGCAGTGTTGCACAGAGTCTGTCTGGAGCATCTGCAATGGTGTTACGCAACCTGGCCAGGAGGCTGAGCGCGGTTTCGGCGCAAGGAAGCAAGGAGGCGAGCGAGGACACGGACATGGAGGCTGAGGACGGTGGCTGGGTACGGAAGGTGTTCGCTCCGGTAAAGGACGACTTATTTTTCGTCATGGCGCATAACCAATCGCTGAAAGAAGGAATCTTTGATCTGCTGAGGGACATTAGCAGTGCTGGGGTTTGATTGTCGCACTGGCTGTACAATAGATGCACTGGCGTTATGGATCATGGGCAAGATGGCGGGAACGCAGGAACGGGCGTTTCGATTGGAGCAGCACGCGAGGAGTTTACGAACCGTTTCGAGCCACGGAGTGACGAGGCATTTGCGGGCTGGAGGCATAGATGGTTTTTTAGCACCTACCTAAACATAGCTACTAAGCAAATGAGCCAAGACTCGCAGAGTGCGGACTCGGGCGGAGCGCGATAGGGCTGTGCCCGGATCACCCGGATCCCAGCATGCCACGCCTTGCGGCGTCCATCGAGCGGTCTGTGATTGGTGAGGGGCCCAGTATTACTTTGACGCGTTCTGAGGCTTGACTTGAGGGGTCAACTTTAGCAGTCTCGAATAGCGCCTAATTTTAGCCTTTGGCTGTCGAACGCCAGGCACTGGCCACTTCCTCCATCGCCTCTTGCAAGATTCAAAAGCGCGCCCGTCGACTTCGCAGCCAACCCGACAAGCTTCAAGCTCGCGCACCGACGATGCCTCCTCGGCCGCGCAAAGGTCACCGCAAGTCTAGGCTGGGCTGCACAAACTGCAAGCGGCGGAAGGTCAAGGTGAGTGCCAGCAGCTTGTTGCATCTCTGCTCGAGTGCTCACGTCCCAGCAGTGCGATGAAGCAAGACCTGAGTGTGGGAATTGTGTCAAGCATCGCATAAGATGCGACTACCTGGACTCGACGCCCACGACGACTCCACAGTCGCCCGCCGTCGATGTCCAAGCATGCAGCTCAACATCACCCCAAGACGCCAGCATGCTTGGCAGCGACATCCCGCCCATTGACCCGCGCTTCATGGGCAGTCCAACCCCATTGCAGCAGCAAGAGCAGGACCCAAGCCTCCCACTTAATGTCATCGACCTGGAGTTGATGTACAACTTCATCACGTCGACGGCGCACACCATGTCGTCCATCCCTGAGATTCGCAACCTCTGGCGGCTCGAGGTGCCCCGCATCGCCTTCCGGCACGACTTCGTGCTGCGGGCGCTGCTGGCCGTGTCGGCGCTGCACATGGCGCAATTCAAGCAGGAACCCGAAGCGCGTGACTTCTATGTCGAGCGGGCGCTGGCGCAGCACCGGCTCAGCCTGCGCGAGCCTATGGAGATGCTGCACAACCTTACCCCGGAGAACGGGGCGGCCGTATTCGTGTTCGCGGCGCTGACCGCCGTATTCTCGCTCGCAACACCGCGCCAGCCCGACGACTTCCTCGTCGTCGGCGATAGCGGCAACATTACAAACTGGCTGTTCCTGCTGCGCGGCATCAGCTCGGTCGCCGACTTGTCGCACGACTGGATCCTGTCGGACAACATCGCCGGCATGCTGCACCGCGTCCACGTGCCCGGCCTGGACCACGAGATGGCCGAGGAGGAGGGCCCGCCCGCCGAGGACGAGGAGCAGGAGCAGCTCAAGACGCTGCGCCGCTTCCTGCAGCGCGACGTGACCGACCCGGAAGAGTTGCGCGTCTACCTCGAGGCTGCCGACAAGCTGTCACGCGCCTTCGCGTACTTCTCGCGCAACAACAATCGCTCCGCCGATAACGAGGTCCGCGCCATCTTCATTTGGATCTACAGGATCTCGGATGAGTACCTCGCGCTGTTGACGCAGTTCCGACCCCAGGCCATGCTCATCTTTGGCTACTACAGCGCGCTATTGCACCGCTTGGACTCGCTGTGGTGGGTCAAGGGCTGGGGGACGCACCTCATCTCGCTCATTTACGGACAGCTGGATCCGTACTACCGTGCCGTGCTTAGATGGCCTATTGAGGAGATAGGCTGGGTGCCGTTATAAGCGGCTTCAAATTAACGGACTTTTTCAATATGACGTCAAAATTTTGGCTCGGGAGTCCCGTGGTTCAAGGGTAGCCGCGCCCCGAAAGGATCGCGACCGCCATACGTATAGGTCGCGACTCCCCCGGCACAGTTGCCAAAGCAAAGTTCATGCCAACGTGTCTTTCCAAGCTCTGCTCGCCATCATCTTCACATCATCCCGACAGCTCAACAACATTGCATACCACAGACCGCAGGACACTGAAGCAGGCTGTAAGTGATTTAGTACACTTTAAGTGAGGCTCAAGCTGATTTTCTCTAGCTACCAAAAGCATCTCACCACTCGACTTCACTATGCCAATCGATATGTCTAACCCGACCACCGAGCCTCAACCCGAGTCAGAGCTTCAACCCAAGGCAGAGCGAAAACGCGTATTCGGAGCCGACATTCTTTGGTCCATTGCCTTCATTGGTGTCTCGATCGCATATATCATTTTGACGTTTCAACACGAGGACGATGGCAGGCGAAAGATCGATTCAAGAGGTGGACAGTTTATCGCATCCTTGTTTACCTCATACGTTGTTGTGGGATCCTCGCTCTGCACCCACGATGTACTGAACCGCGTCCAAAAACCTGAGTGGGCGGACGTGGGATCACTTTTCATGGCGACTTTCACAACTATTTTCATGTTCGGAATCAACAATCCATGAGAGCCTTAGGCTCACCCATGAGTACGAATAAAGTCATTTTTCTCATGAACTTTACTTCTACAACTACTGGAAGAGTGCGGTCAACAAAGGCGGCAAATCATTAGTAACTGTGGACTTGGCAAGCATTTAAGCAAGGCTGATCAAACAAATCTGATCCAATATTGAGGATCGTGCCGGCAGGCACTGGTAGGCCGGCTGCGTTTGCTACAACACGTTTGTTGCCTGATTAGGCTTAGTGTGGTTTGCTTTGAACGCATATCGTTCAAACCCACCGTAGCTACTAATCGATCATCCTTTAACCTTCATCAAATATGCTTATCGAGGGATAATCGACTGAGTCATTTCGAGTCCCTCTTTTTATCCAATCAACGGCAAGGCTTTGCTGAATTTCCCTCTACAGGGGCGTATCGCAGCCGGCGGCTAGCATGGAGAATAGTAGGCCCCCAGGCGTAGCTATACCTCAGCTCTTTCTCAGGAAAATAACATGTGTGGGTAGCTGAAGCTATCTTCCGAACGTGTATGTAGAGTTTTTAATTCCATTCTCGTCCGAACGATAGCTCCAGCTACCCATGACACGAGCAAAAAACAAACCCACACCAGCCATCGGCTGCGAGAGGGGACTGTGTTCACCGCGTGACGTAAGGCAACCACCACTCCAACATATATGATCTCCAAGACAGCTTCTCAACTTTACCCTTCCTCGAAGACCGGAGCAAGTCCAGTCGTTCAACGCGTTCAACGAAGGGAGCTCGGAAACATTTCCTCATCGCTTCACCCGAGGGATAAAACTCAGTGTAACTCTTTCAAGTTTGCTTTGAGAAACCTCACGGCGTGGATCGTTGCGTCGCATGCGCCTCCAGTTCGCCTTTCTACAAACTCGATCAAAGCCAAAAGGCAAAGAGAGAGCTAAAGAAGAAAAGAAGGCAAGAAGGTAGGAGGAGGGAGGTATTTAAGCGTTGCGAGGTGGTGCTGGATCACGTCGATCACCCGGATCACCTCGATCACCCGGATCACCTGCCGGGGGAAACGACGCTAAACCTGATCTGGGCGGGTGATTTGGGAAAGGCAGCTCGCCTGTCCGGCGTGATCTGACCGCGTGTGGTTGATCTGGACGCGTCGGGTTGGTGCTGCTCTGGACAGCGCGAAGGCAACCGCTGCCGAATTTGGCAATATCGCTGCGCCGGTTCCATTTGGTAAACGGCGTGCCATGCTCCTGGGCAGGACACTCTTAAATTAAACTCTCTCTATTTGCAATAAACGGAACGGCCTTGCCGACCTCCCTTCTAACCAACCGATACATCTGTCTTGTAAACTCCATGCCATGCGCCCAGGTAGCACACCCCCAGAATTCCTACGCATTGCTGTGTAACATATCACTGACCTCAAACACCACCAGTTCAATCAGCAGCGTTATCCCTTCCTCCCTTCTCAAGCTGCGCCAGATACCAAGTCCTCGCCATCCGAGTAACTGCGATCTTCCAATCCGTGCCGAGATTCAACTCCACAATCTCCTCCTTCTCCTCGACCTCGATATCCCGCGTAACCCACGACAGGAACGTCTGAATGCCCTTGGTGTTCCTCTCCACACCCATCTCCCTCAGGTAGTCCCAGCCCTGCTCGAGCCTGCGCTCATGGCACGTCCTGCCCACAAACGCCTCAACCGCCTTCTTCTTGTCTCCGTCCTTCGCCACAGCGTTCTCTTTTGGACCCTTCTTCGACCTCTCGTCAAAGTCTTCGCCCTTCGTCTTCAGCCACAAATCCGGCACATTCGGCACGCCCTGATCCGGACTGGGGTTCCACACGATACCCTCGCCAGGCCCCTCGACGCCCAGCGCCGCGCCGAACGGACAGCGCGCGTACACTTCAGCCGTTAGGCGCCGCGCCTCGGCGAGAAAAGTCGCAGCAGCAGCAGCAGCGGGGGCAGCGCCATCACCGACTTCGTCCAGTGCGAACGGCAGCCGAAAGAAGCCTCCCCGGCTGATATTATACAGCCGCGCGCCCTCATCCGCGACATCAGCATACCGCTCGATATGCTCCCACACGCCGCGAATCCGCACGCCGCACAGCACGAACAGGCGTGGCGAGAGGTCACGTATCGCCGTGTGCGGCTTCTTCTGCACGCCGCTGCCGATCCACTCGCCGGCTAAGATGACATCCTCGTTCATGGGACTGTCGTCGCTGGCCGGATGCAGCTCGCGCCACCGCGCGCACGCGCGCTCGGCCAGCCGCACGATGGCGGCGTGCTGCGCGGCGCAGAAGGCGGCGAATTCGTAGTTGTCCCGCGCGCCCCGCGTGAGGGTGGTGTTGTTGCGGGACTGCGGGGTGACGGTTGCGTTGTCGGGCCCGATGGACAGGTCGATCCGCATGTCGGCGTGCGTGCCGTGCAGCTTGACGGTGCCGGTCATGTGGAGGGGTGCGGGGGCGCCGTGTTTGGATAGGTAGCGGAGGAAGGGCCGGATGTCGCTGAGGATTTTGGGGTACAGGGTTGATGTGGTGGGGGCCGGGTTGTTGGTGGTGGTCATGGTGGTGGTGGTGTTCTTTGTGCTGTGGTTGTAGAGAAGGTATTGGTCGGGTGGTTGCGGTTTCTTTTGCTGCAAGAAGTTCGGCTTGGCGGTGGAGAAAAGTCGATGATGGGGCAAGTGGTTGGTTTTTTTGCGGCAGGAGTGGATATTTTATATGTAGACTGTAGTTGTTGTGCTTCTGACTGAGGCGCACGCCCGGTGGCTGAGTCAAGTAATGTTAGTCATCCGCAGGTAGAACTTCAATCCTTGTGGTAGGATTACCGCTAACTTTGCTGAATAGTGGATCCCGGTCACTAGTTTCGACTTGGTTCGTCAGTATTTGGACCACACCGAACCTCCGCGGTGTCTACATTTGGACGTAGGTGTTGTGTAGACTCGTATGCACAAAGGGTCTCAACCTCAATGTGACACCCAGCCATATATTCAAGCCTGCAGGTATGTGAGACTGCACTGTGTGCGGCCGACCGACGTTATGGCAGGCGCGTCCTTCATGGCACGAGCAGCGCCGCTCCAGAATCCATGGCTTTAAGAATGTCGACCAACACTTCGCTGACCACAGCTTCACTCACTATACTGAACGTCGAGGATGCACACAAACGATTTTTGGTCATATTAGTATACATGATATCCAGTCAGCTTTCGCTTTCCATCAGTGTCTGTTGCCATCTTTTGTCTTTGTACTTGCCAAACATCACCACCAATGACGTCGCGTAGCTCACCAGCAATAGTCATGCTTGCAACTTCCGCAACGTTCTTTCTACACATCATGTCCACAAGTCCCCAGATGACGCTCACCCTCGATCTCAGTCCAAGGGAAGCTTCCCAAACTCTCGCTGGTGAAGAAGCGCCTATTGAGCGAAGCAGTCGCATTCGATGGCGTCTTCGGGATCAAATCCGTGCCGTCAATGGCCAGTGTAGCGAGGACATGAGCAGCAGCCTATACTAATTGTCAGCATTCGAAGGTCCTTCAAGCTTTCCATGCGTAACCCCAAGGTCATCTCACCTTCGCATTAATCGTCAGCGTCGTCGGGTTCGAGTTGTTGTACGTATCGCACGCCTGGTGATAGCACGGATCCTGGTCGACGCCCGTCCCTGTATGCAAGCCGCCCACGGGCTTTCCCAGCGTCTCCATGAACGAGGCGTAGTCGCTGCCGCCGGTGAAGACGGCGGGCGTGACGTTCAGGCCCTGGCCGGCCAAGTGATCGACGAACAGCTTCTCGATGACGTCGGAGCCGGGCGCGCCAGCCAGGCCGTGGGTGCTGCCGTCGCCGTCGAAGACGCCGTAGTAGCCGCGCGACACCATGTCGAAGTTGAGGTACAGCAGGATGTCGTCGGCCTCGCTGGTGTTGGCGATGCTGGACGTATAAAAGCGCGAGCCGACCAGGCCGTTCTCCTCGGCGCCCCACCACGCGAAGCGCACCTTGTTCTTGACGTCGAAGCTGGACAGCGCCTCGAAGACCTCGAGCAGCAGCGTCGTGCCGGAGCCGTCGTCGTTGATGCCCGCGCCCGCCTGCACCGAATCGAGATGCGCGCCCAGCATGATGACATTGCTCGGATCGCCGCCGCGCGTCTCGGCGAAGACGTTCTGCGTCAGCTGCTCCTCAATCGTTTGCGTCTGCTGGAAGTGCGCCGTGATGGCCTCGCCGGCCAGCAGGCGGTCGCGCAGGGCCTGGCCGTCGACCTGGTTGATGAAGCCGCTCGACACGTACTCTTCCGGATCGGGCGCCGACAGCGTGCCGCCGGTGACTTTGGTCGGCACGTTGTTGTAGATGATGACGTTGCTGGCGCCTGCGGCTGCCGCCGGCCGGATGCGCCCTGCCAGCGTGCCGCCCGAAGGGCAGGTGCCGCGCTCGACCAGCACGATCTTGTCCTGCACGTCGTAGTCGGCGTAGCCTTCGACGGTGCAGCCCGCGTCGCCGGTTGGGCCGAGGACGAGTGGTGCGGTTACGCCTTCGGCAGTGGTGGAGGGCGAGTAGGTTAGGCCGTAGACGTAGTAGGAAGTGTTGTCGACTCGGAATTCGATCGATTCGACGCGATTGAAGAGGGCTGGGAAGTCTTGGGTCCAGGATTTGGCGGTGCTGTTGTATTTGGCTAGCTGAGAGGTGACGTAGTCTACTGATGCGGTGTAGCCAGGGAGACCGAAAGCCTGGGGAAGTGTTAGTGGGCCGAGATGTGGTGGTGTTGAGCGCGGAAAGAACATACCCGATTGCCGCCATTCTCAGTTGCGATTCTGTCCAAGTTCGCAAGGTTCTCCATCAATCTAGAAATTTACATCAGAAGTTGTCCTGTGGAAAAGCACTTTGAGAATGTTTTTACCCCTCCGTGGTGATACCAGCTTGAAGCGCCTCCGAAGTGACCCATGGCTTGGTAGCAAGCGCAGCAGGTACCCAAGAAAGGGCAGCCCCCGCAACCAAATTTCTAGTAACAGATCTCATGGTTGTCTTGCAATTGAAACCGAACTTCTACGGAGAGACATGCGAAAGGCGGGGAGCACATATATAAGCATTGGCGGTTGCCGCACGTAATCTCTCGGATCGCTATCTTTCGCCTCCAGCGCGTCATCCGAGCCAAGAGCCTGGTCCAGGTACAGATCGTTCCACGGCCTTGGTACTCTGGTAAAACCGACGAGAAAGACAGGTCCAAGATAATTATCCAGCAGCCAAGGAGGGGTGTTTGCACTGAACCCCTGCGACCTTCCTCTTTCGGTATAATCGCGTCTTGGCTACGGATTGTGCATGGCGTTTGCCAAGTACTGCTACGGACGAGACTTCTCGACTCCGCAACTGAAGGATTTTGAACGCAAAAAGGTGATCCCAAGCGGAGAACGACCTGCCGTTAAAGTGGGTGGACGGTCGGATCACCTCTGCCTGCAAGGTGGGGGCGCTGACGATCAGGGTACGCAGCGTTGATGGTTGATCCGAAACAAACAGGCTCACCACGCTTCTCGAGACTGTTTTTTTGGAGCACGTAGATGATTCAAGATAGCGATGAGGAATTCTTATGGTGTTGAGGCATATGGTGCGGAGCCGCGGAACGCACGGCTTCCGAAAGTGAGACTTCAGCTAATAGCTGCTTTCACATAACGACCTAAGCATTCCAAGTCTTTACTGAAGCATGTATTTAAAGACGACTTCCCCTCCGCCATGAGTCGGCACTGCCGTTTTTCGACAAAAGAATTTCACTATGTCAATATCGTGCTATTCTTTCACTTCGCTCTTTTCCCCGTATTCTTCAAGTTCGACGGACACCCAATTTTCTGTCCTGGTCCAGACTTTGACCATCAATACCACAACTGCCGCTGTCCAGCATCGTCACTACCCGATCCTAATCATCACTAGCATATGCTACAGCACTTCGCTATTATAATCTGTCGCCAAACGCTATTAACGTTTCCATCTACCGATATTCACATCACGCTCATATCACACCTCCATCCTCTCTCCACTTTTTCTTTTTCGAGTTGCGCCTAAGTAGTAAACACTTTCCACCCAAAACGAGTTTGTGAGCAAATATCTTGGGAGCTTTCTTTGACTGATGTTCAGATTATAGAGGGTGGGACACTGCACTGTCTCCTTTTATACATTAATTTACGATGGCATACTGTACTATACATGACGTCATCTGCTATCCAGGGAATAGAAATGTGTGATTAGCTATCGGTTTGTCCGTTGTGACTTCGCCAAACAGTAGAGAGATTAAAGTTGATATTTCGAGGAGTATTTCTTTTTTCCTTCTCTTCCAACAGGGATTACTTGACTTGATGTATGGCACGACCTTTGGGAGGAGGGTGGTGTTGTCAGAGGCGCACTGCCAGATCTACCGTTGATCGGAACTTCGACGTCCCTGATAAACACCAAAGAATCGTGCATGCTCAGATCCAGGCTAGGAACGGAAGGTTGTGAAGCGGAGGAGGTTTGCGGTCTGGTTTATTTTCCCATGAATCAGCCATTGTCGGTATCCGATGGGTCAGTCCTGGGTCTCGTACCCTGGCCTTCCGTATTGTTTCTTCGGAACTTGAGTCGATGGGCTGCCACTGCACTTGAAGGCAGCCTTACTCTCACCAGAGCAGGCTGTCAGTTTCATTTCCAATGAAGACGGTCCCACATGGCCTTGCATGGTCCATACAAGGGGAAGTGAGCCTGGCAGTCGAGTCCGTATGTCTTGCGGAACCGATGAAGGAAATGCTCTGTCGAGGAGAGATTCCCCACCTCCCAGCCACCGAGAACTTCCGTATTCAGATGTCACCGATCGGTCGACACAAACGGTCATGCCGGCAAGCATTTCCCCTTCTCCGACTGCTGCTCCAGCACCTCGGCAATCCTCTTCCCCATCTCAACGCCCTCCTCGATCCACGCCCAGCACGGCTGATCTCTCAACTCGTCATCATTGCAGCTCCCCGTCTCAATAAAGTCCAGCAGGGCCGACTCCCACTCCCTGCGCTCGGGGCCATCCTCGAAGAAGTGATTAACCCACTGCAGCCTTCTGCCCACAGTATCGGGATTGAGGTACACGAGCGCCCCCAACATGGCCTTCCGACACGAGAAAACGGCCCGGACGCGGCGCATGCGCACGTTGCACGCGTACTCGAGCCAGTCGGCGACGCCGTGGCGGGCGGGCGCGTAGAAGCAGCCGACCTCGCTGGCGGCAACGGCGCACCACAGCACCCAGAAGGCGACGACGAAGGCGTTCCAGTCGCGCATGACGCACGCCGCGACGGCCAGCACCCACTGCGCCAGGATGAAGGCGCGCAGCACAGCCCGCACGGCGCGCGACAGGCCCGGCACAAGCCCGCCGCCGTCGGCCGCGCCCTCGCGGTACAGCGGCCGTCGCAGCAGCCCGTTCAGCGCCGCGCTGCTGCCGTGGAAGCCCCACCACTCGTTCGCGTTGAGCGAGTCGGCGGCGAGGATGAGGCGCGCGAAGCCGGCGCAGGAGGAGTTCGAGGACGAGTACGAGGAGGAAGGTGTGGTGCCGACGCAGTTGCCTACTACGCCGCCGAGGGTGCGCGGCTCGCCGCCGTTGGTGAGGACGGCCAGCACGCCGCTCATGGGCATCAGGAGCAGGTAGACGGCGCCGACGTAGAGCCCCGCCAGGAAGGCGAAGCACGTCAGGGCGATCCACAGCAGCCAGCCCAGCGTCGACGTCAGGCAGTACCGCACCGACGACTGCTGCTGGCCGAACAGCGCCTTGCGCACCCGGGATCCGGCGCTCACGTGCGGCGTCGCCGGCGAGATGTGCACGAAGTCGAGCCGTTGCGTCCGTGAGGCGGCGGCAGTGCTGCAGTCGAGCAGCGAGCGGCTGGGGTTCGCCACTGTTTGGGTCACCCGCACGTTCGACACGCAGAGGCGCACTGTCGCGGGGGCGTTGCTCTGGTAGCAGTCGCCGTACCGCGCGTCTATGCACTGCAGCCCGTTGCCCTGGCTGTCGGCGCGGTCGAGAAGGCAGGCGTTGGACGTGTTGTCTCGGGTCGAGAGCAGGAGCCGCGCGTCCTTGGGCGTGATGGGCCAGTTCCAGAGGGGCGTGAGGCCGTTCAGCTGGAAGGCGTGCAGCTTCAGCGATGCGTCGACGAACTCGACGAACACGGCGAGGGGCAGGATGTGCGCTAGCTGCTGCACCCATTCGGGAAACGGCGGCAGCGTGATTGGGGGAGAGTGCATAATTGAGCAGGTCGTGTGTCCGGATACATGGGCGTGCGAAGATTTGTGCGCCTTGCTGGAGGGAGACGGAGATATGGTTTTGTCCCTCACCGTCTACAGACAGCGAACCCTGCATGGAGACCCACGTCTGTTTTGGTGTTGGTGTCTCCACATTCCCCTCTGACGTGTCGTCCTTAACGTCGATCATGGTCCCTTCGCTTAACCCTTCTCAGTGTCTGGGGACCCACAGGTTGAACCGGATCCTCCAAAGCCGCACTGTGCAGCTATATAGCTGCAACTGTCCTTTTCCCACTAGCTTATAGCTTACCATGGCTTTCAGGGCCGTTGGTTCAAGCTATATTGTAGCAGAAAACTAAATTTACCCGTTTTTGTAAAGGAGAAGATAAATGGTGGGTTGAGACTTTCGCAGGGGTTAACTGCAGGTCGATCAGACTTGCATAATTACCACATCTACTGTTGCCTATATGGACACATACTTACAATTGCGGCGGATAATAAAACTACAAAGAGACTTCCCAATGGTGCTCGCCTTAGATATAGCTCGTAGCATAATCCATTTTTCCAGTCAGTGACGGTGTGTTGGCTTCTTGACGTTTGAAAGCCTGCGCGTAATTGCATAAAGAAGCCCTTCCAAATACGCATATTGCGTACCTGTACTCACTCAACCTCGACCGATCATCTGTATGTCTGTTTCAGAGTAGGTAAGGGCCTATCTTTGTTGAGTTGGTCGCATTCAACCCGCTGAACCACGGTTGGTACATTGGTACCGTATTCAGCATTTTATTTCAACATTTTTCACATCAAAAACATCCCTCCTCCGTTGAATTTTACACTCATAGCCTGCAATCCTGGGAAGCTGACTTCAGACGAAAATGGTTTTTGAATCTTTAAAGACCTTTCTTTTTGGGTCAAAGCCGAGACAAGATCCAAAAGGAGGTTCGGAATCCTACACCGCCATCGAACTCGACGAACAGCCATCGCAGAACACAGGGATCCTGAATTTCAAGTACACTTACGACCCTCTTCCGGACTCTGGATATATACGCCTCTTTGAACTATTTCCCCGCTCTCTATTGGGGACAATTTTTGTTCGCCTCTTCGTTGTTTCCATAAACGACCTACCACGTTATGAGGCGATTTCCTACGTCTGGGAACGCCCTACCGACACACGCACCATCATCTGCAACCGTAGGCCGTTACGTATCACCAGAAATCTACACGATGCACTCAAGAAATTCCGAGCCTCTTCCAAGTCGACCAGCCAAATCCTGTGGGCCGATGCCATTTGCATCAACCAAGATGATCTCCAAGAGCGTGGACGCCACGTCCGGCTTATGCCTTCTATCTATACAGAGGCTTGTAGGGTCCTTGTATGGCTTGGCCCAGACGGATTGAAACATGTCATTCCAGCCCATCCTTGGCTCTATTCCCTGGATGAAAGTGAACGACGCCAATCAATGGAACCCTTCGACCTTTTTAGACCGGAGGATCGGGATTTGTATAACGCAGTTAAAGTAGTACTTCAGCTACCCTGGTTTGGGCGTGTCTGGGCCCTACAAGAGATTGGCTTCGCAAAAGATGCCACCTTCTTTTGCGGTGGTTACAAAATCGACTGGGAGTCGTTGTGCCGTATCTTCCATTTCTTCCCTCTCGAGTTCTACGACAGCTTGAACGTGGATGTGAGAAAGATACTGATGATTGAAGATTTCTTCCAGTTCAAACAGGATCGGAGATTGCTCAACTTGAATGTTTTCCAACTCCTAAATGAAGCACGCTCATACCAGGCAACTGATCCGCTGGATAAGATATACGCACTTCTTGGTCACCCTTTGTTCGAGCAAGATGACGGGAGCGAATTCATCCCAATCGACTATTCCCAAACAAGAGACGAATTGTACCTGGCCGTTGCCAAGCGCCTCCTGGAGGAGCCCTCACTCTCAGGTCTGTCCGAGCTTCTGTCTATCGTCGAACACACAGAAGATACCTTCTCTTCGAACTCGAGTCTTCCGTCCTGGGTCCCTCGGTGGGATGTAAAGCGAGCCACCACATCTTTCGATCCCTTCTTGCACTTGGCACCGGGAAAAGCGAAGGCTCCGCTTGAATTCAGAGCGCCAGTGGTCCAGTCTACCGGAGTTCTTGTAGTCGATGGTTCAGAAGTGGATTCGATAGTTTGGCAGTCAAAGGTCTTCAGCACATCAAGTTCAATGGGGCCTCCAGACAAAAAAAGAATGTTCCGGGAAATGAAGGAAATTCTCAACGTTATCAAAGAAACAAAGTTGGCCTCCGCGACAGCGAAAAGCCTTTCCATTCAACAAGCCGATGTTCTGAAGAATCTCGCAGCCGCGCTTGGGGCTCTTCCAACCCTGCAGAATCTATCGACGAGGAGTCGTCTGTATATCGATCATCCCCGTCACGAACACGGCACTGGGAATGTTGCGAGTTTCTTGAGCGACCTACCGGACAGCAGAACGCTTGACCGGTACCTCAACCACCAATTCGGTTGCTGCCTCCATCGGAGACTAAGCGACCGCTTTCCTTTTCTCCGTGGGCCTAAAGGTTTGAAAATGACTGGCCCCTCGAGATATAGCTTAGCAGTCGACAGAGCATGCGCGAATCGGCGGTTTTTCATCACGAAGAAAGGTCATTTCGGTCTGGGCCCGAGTGTCGCACAAAAGGGAGATTCTGTCGTTGTCCTCGCTGGTGTCAGGTTACCTCAAGTGCTCCGACGTGTCGACCAGCATTACCTCTTGTGTGGAGAATGCTATGTCAATGAGATCATGTACGGGCCGGCCTTCGATTTGGCGGTGAAACTAAAGACGTCTTCCATTCGTTGATGGCTTCTTGCACAACTGAAACGTGGGATAATTGGGCTTCTAGAATTAGTATTCACTTTTACGCTCTATTGCAATTTCGGGGCACATGTACCATTGCCGTCGTGTACTAACACATATGCGGTAGATTCCACCGATATGAGTACCTCGTCGAGACAGCATGGAAAGAAAGCTGGAAACAAACCCGTCAGATCTAACAACATATTTTATACCCGGAAAGAGGGGCTCTTTCTGCTATCTACTCAGCTTTTGCCTCCTCTTTGTCGTCCTCCTTCTCCCCTAGATCACCTAGCTGCGCCCTCAAACCCTCCTTGCCGATCTTCATAGCCCTTCTCAGTTCCTCCTCTTCCTCTCTGAGTCTGCCCTTTCCATAAGCCAAATCTCTCTGCTGTCTCCTCTTTTCTTCTTGTACCCTCTTCTCACGATCCGCCAGGGCCTTTTCTCTCCGTTCACGATCCTGCTTTTTCCGTTCTGCCTCTTCCAATTCTTCTGTGGACTGACCCGTAGCTTCTGGCGCGGGAGGCAGCGTCGAGATATACGCTTCAACCATAGAATCCCTTACAGAGGTTGGCAGAGAAATAAATCGCAGATCACGCAAGAGCGCCGATGGCAGGTTAGCCAGCGATGTCGAGCGATTGAGCTGGGTGACGGGCAGAGATTTAAGGAGGCTAGACAGATCGGATTTGCGGGTGCTCTCGGGAAGCTTGAGGCGGCTGATATGCTCGCGGTACCACTTTTCCCTGTCCTTGTCGAGAAGCTTCGGGTTCTTCATCTCGGGCTCTTTTTTGTACTTGCGGCGGAACTCGGGCCAGTAGAGCTTTGGCGTGGCATATTTTTGTAGGAACGCAAGATAGGGGATTGCAGGGTCTTCCTTTGCGGCCTTCTCGCGTTGCTCCTTGAGCGCCTGTGCTTTATCGCGAGACCATTCCTCCCAAGTTTCCTTCCGAGCCTTCATAGTGGTGAGAGCAGTATAGCGGTCATCCTCGATGATGCGGCCTTCATCGATGATTTTGTCCCAGGTGGAGAAGGGATTGCAGTTGTGATCGTCAAGTAGGTCCCTGAAGAGGGCCTTGGCGTCCTCGTCGGTCAACGGCAGACCTTCTGCGCCCTCTGGCAGGTCCTCGCCAACATCGCCGTACTCGCCGGGGTCCAGACCATAATCTTCACCCATGGCCTGAAGTTGCCACGCAATATCATCCTCGTCAAACTCAACAGCCTCTTCACCTTCTTCCCCAGTCTTCTGTCGTTTCGAGGGCCCGTCTTCTTCTTCAGCGTCTTCCTCATCTGTGACTTCAACCTCTTCATACTCCTCGCTGTCGTAGCCTTTATTGTCTGCTGCAGGCGTCACCGAGGGACGCACACCACTGCCCTCGCGCTCATCAGCAGCCGCCAGCTCAGCAGCTGCAGCCTCCTCATCCTCAAGATCACTCGGCTCGCCACGATCTATCCGTTCCTTCTTCTCCCGCTCAATGCGATCGAACTCTATAACGCCTTTCATCACATCTGGGGGGAACTTCCAGAAGCTCTCCTTCGTGTCCGGATTGTGCACGAACCGTCGCCCCAGCTTCGTCTTGACGAGCACCCACGGCGCACAGTCCGGGATCGCATACTTGTGCTTGGGCCTATCCTCGGGCTGGTGGCGACGACGGTCCTGGTAACCATGGCCACCGCGGAAGCCGCCGCGGCCGCCGTGGTGTGGGACAGGGAATTGCTGCTGGTATTGCGCAGGGAAGCCGGCCTGGTACGGCGCGCCGGGAAAAGCGTTTTGGTCATAAGGCTGGTGGACTGGAGGCTGTGGTTGAACGGGCTCGGGGACGGCGACAGGGCGTTGATAGGTCGACTTTTTAGTCTCGGCATTGTAGTAGTAGGTGTGGCCTGCGACAAGTGTGAGCTGCGAAAGACTATGGAGGATGCAATTGCGGACCTGAGGGAGCCTTGTGCTCAGTCCAGCCCGGAGGCAAGGGGGGCGGGGCAGGTGCCGCAGGCGCGGGCTTGTAGGTCGACTTCAACATGGCGCGCAGGACGTGTGGACGGGGAGGTGGTGGGCGGAAAGTTGGTCGCGGGCGATGATGCTTTCGGTCTTGGCGCGGCGGGCGCTGGATCTACGCGTCGGAGCTTGCCTGGAGCTCGCCCATCACCACAACCACCATCCACCGACAACTCTTCGCCCTCCCGCCACGCCCTCATCCGCCGCTGCTCCATCGATTCGCTCGCCGTAGGCCCTCGTCTAAACCCGCATAGCCGCCGTTCAACATGTCTCGGAGATACGATTCAAGAGTCAGCCGTCCCAAGCTTGCCTCGCTGGCCCGGCAGTAGTAGCTCACAGTGTGCACGCAGACGACCATCTTCTCGCCCGAGGGCCGCCTGTACCAGGTCGAATATGCGCTCGAGGCCATCTCGCATGCCGGCACAGCTCTCGGTATCCTCGCACAGGACGGCATCGTGCTGGCCGCCGAGCGCAAGGTCACCAGCAAGCTGCTGGAGCAGGACACCTCCGCCGAGAAGCTGTACATCCTCAATGAGTGCGTCCGCGTCACACCCATGCCACCTCTCCTCAAATAATCTAACGGAGCCCCGCACAGCAACATGATCTGCGCAGTAGCAGGCATGACGGCCGACGCCAACATCCTCATCAACTACGCCCGCCAGGCCGCCCAGCGCTACCTGCTGACCTACAACGAAGACATCCCGTGCGAGCAGCTGGTGCGCCGGCTATGCGATCTGAAGCAGGGCTACACGCAGCACGGTGGTCTGCGTCCCTTCGGCGTGTCCTTCATCTACGCCGGCTACGACCCGCAGCGCCAGTTCCAGCTGTACCAGAGCAACCCGTCCGGCAACTACGGCGGCTGGAAGGCCACCAGCGTCGGCGCCAACAACGCCAGCGCCCAGAGCTTGCTCAAGCAGGACTACAAGGAGGAGTGCGACCTGAAGGAGGCCTGCGGCCTGGCCGTCAAGGTGCTCAGCAAGACCATGGACTCGACCAAGCTGAGCAGCGAGAAGAGTGCGTTTTGGATCATCCCCATCTCTTGTGATTGGCCCCCACTTGCTAACGTGACACCAGTCGAGTTCGCTACCGTCGGCCGCACCAAGTCCGGCAAGATCTACCACCACCTGTGGTCCGCTCCCGAGATCGATGCCCTGCTCAAGGAGCACGGCTTGGCGAAGCCGGACACGGAGAACACCGAGGGCGGTGCGGCGGAGTAAAAGATTGAAAATCGGGCTGGATGGCCGATGTGATGGGATTTCTTGCACTGGCGGGAGCTATGACGGATTACACGAATGTAATATACCTGCCTCTTCATGAGATTCTGATTCTTGAACGACAGAACACTTGAATAGAGGTATAGATGCCCAAGTTTGCGGTGATGCTTCTATGGAATCTTGATTCAAAGTGAAGAACAAAAAACCACTACCATGACTTTTCATGATGTGCTTGGCTGCAAGTCGACCCCCGGGCAGACCTATCCTAACGTGACTATAAAACGTACATCTCTAGTCCTATGAATGATCTGACTCTATCTAAATATCGCTGACATTTATCATCACTAATTCCTGATCCTCACCATTCAATGATAATGCTGCATCACCTTCATATTAGACGAAAAGAGCCGCAACAAATTAATACTCGAAAGACATCTTCAACGAAAACGAGTGTCATCCAAGCGATGCAGAAGCACAGACACACCGAGTAAAGTATTTTTCAGCCCATATGACTGTTTATCAGCCAAAATGTTTGCTGGACATCAGTCTGGGAGACGACACTGGTTGTAGACGGAGGAGGAAGGCTTAGGAGTGGGAGAGGGTGGGGCGTTAATATAGACTCCGTAGGCCGCACCGAAGAGGCGAGGCATGGGGTGTGTGTGTCTTAGGGAGAACAGCAGGAGGACATATGGATATGCAGAGCACAACGTGCAGAAGCACGAGGCATATCTATCTTGCTGAATCGAGTGCACGAGCGCATGTTAGGCGCGAGACATGGGGGATGACGCATGGGGGCGGTGACCGCAAAGGCGCTGCATGACCTCTTCATCAAGTTTATATTTACTCGCTCTCACTTTCTCCAAGTCTTGATCTATTATTTACCAGGCTAGCGGTCGGATGGTACCAAACGATCTACCAAGCAACTCGTCTTGGTGGAGGGGTAGGATCCAGCAAGGCCGATGTAGATTTGAAGATGCTGAAAAGGAAAAAGAAATAGATAACACCAACGCTTCATGATGCAGGGTAGCAAAGTGATTCGGCAGTAGACAGCCAAAAGAGTATCGAACCTCGTCACCATTATCACACAAAGTTACCGTCCACAATTATTCCAAGGTAAAGAAGTACAGGGGGTTTAAAAGGAGACAGATAAATTGAAACGGTACGCGCAGCCTAGATTCGTGGTCTGAAGAAAGCACATCCAAAACGAGGCAGTGTCCCAGCTGCGAGTTCCTTCTCGCCCTCTTACCATCCGTTTCCGTGATCTACAGAATCCCGCAAGCTCTTGTATGTACTTATAAGCAAGCCGTTCATCTCGTTCCACACCTTGGGGCCTGCTGAAACCTACACGTATCACTCAATACATTCACGTGAATTGATTGTTAGGCATGTGATAAATTTTGAGAAATTATTCTGCCAAGGCATACATGGGGCGTGGATTGCATGCAATTAAAACGTCCTCAGTGCTTCTGTTAATCTATGGGGACGGCGCACGGGGGATGAGAGGCACCAACTGGGAGAAGTGCATCCAGGTTGTCGGCTTCATTCACGTCAGTCCTAAAGGTTTGCTATCAAAGGTGATCCATATACACAATCAATGAAGAATTTCTCACCACAGCTTCAAAATGTGAGCCAAATAGCCAAAAATTTTATTTCCAACAGCCCAAACACTATTTACAAAGTTTAATCACTAACCACTTCTTCTGCCAGCCACTCTGGCTCTGCATCTTCATCCTCCGGATCGTGTGAAGGCAATGAATCTGCGTCGTCGCCCGAAGATGCTTGTTCCGGATCAGCCGCCTGCTCGACCTCCTTAGGCCACTGCGCTTTTGTCCTCGATGGTTGTGCATCGCCTTCTAAATCCAACTGGCCAATGTTGCTCCCCTGTGGTTGAGTATCCAATGTTGGTCCGGGTTCTTGGGAAAGAGCTCGGACGGGTTGAGATGCTTTATCCTGATCACCTGTTGATCTTTGTTGCTGGGCCGGCTCGTCGAGGGCGTCAGCCGCCTCCGGGCTCTTGGAAGCCACCGGGGGAGCTTCTGCCTTGACATCTTGATCCTGCTGGTCCTGCGGTTCCTTAGGCGAAATATAGTTAACGCTCTGCTGAGCAGTCGTATCTTCTCTCACGAAGCCACCACCCACATCTTCTTCATCTGGGATAAACCCCCCACCTCCGTCAGGCAGGAAACCGCCGCCGTCTTCTAGAACGAAGCCACCACCACCTTCAGGGATGGATCTGTCTTCGTCTTCGGGAGCGAAACCGCCGCCTTCCTCTGGAAGGAACCCACCTCCGCCAACTGAATCTCTGTCGTCATCAGCACCATCGAAGCCCTGGTGCGATACGAGCCGCCGCACAGGCGCATTTTCCATGATTCTGCTCTTGAAGAGATCATCTCCAGTCTCTTGCTTCTCTTCTTCTCCCCCTTCATCAGGCAAGAAGCCTCCACCATCACCACCATCGTAGTACTCTTCATCATGCCCAGCAGCCGCCAGCATCCTCCCCGCCGTCGGCTCCGCCGGCTTCTCACCCGCGCCCTCCGCCAAGAAGAAGCCACCAGCCATCTCCTCCGCCCGCACCCTCTCCTGCTCCTCCCTCTCTTCCGCCTCCACCCGCTCCCTCATCTCCTTCTCCATCTGCTTCCGCTCATCCGCACTCGCATACTCCTGCACACGCTCCAGCACCCTCAACCCCAGCAAAAACTTCCGCCACAACCTGACCGCCTCCCTCCCGCGCCTCTCCCGCTCATCATCCTGCTCGGCATCCCGCATTCCCTCGAGCACGGCGCGCACGGCCTCCGCATTCTCCTCCGCCACGACGACGCCCTCGACGACGGCGGTGCCGTGGCGCCCGCGGAAAGTGAAGCCCGTGACGGCGTCAGCGTAGTCGACGGCGAGCATCCGCGCAGCGATGCGGGCGCGCGCGTCGCGTATGTGCGCGCCGCCCGGCGGCACCATCGACGGGACGTAGACGTCGAGGTTGCCAAAGGCGTTGCGCGGGACGCGGCCGCGGACGCAGGGCGGGGGCACGTACAGCTCCGTCTGGAAGGGGGCGTAGAGGGCGGCGCCGAGGGACTCTGCATCTTCATTCTCGCCGTCGTCGTCGGCGAATGGCTGTCGTTGTCTTGAGCGGCGAGGTTTGGCGTGCTTGAGGGGTTGCTCGCCCGGCTTGATTTCGCGGCCCAGCCGGTACCACTTGTCGGCCGATTTGAGCTGGTGGACGTCGCGCCGGCGGTAGATGGGCTCGAGGTTGGTGGTGGCGGCGGTGCCGACGTTGACCTTGCCGCATTCGCGCTTGGGGTGGATGACTTCGTTGTGTTTGAGGTGGCGCTCGAGGACGTAGTACGGGTGGTCTTTGAAGTCTTGCACGTTCTTGGGCATTTCCTCTTGGGCTTCGCGGCGTGATAGCTCGGCGTCCTCGACTTGGTCTCTGTCCTGGTTTGGGTTAGTACTAGCCCTCGAGGATGTGTGACTTGGTTATAGTGGTACCAATATTGTTCTCCTCCTGAACAGTTTCAGAGCCTTTCTCCACCAACGGTCGCCATTTTCGGTTGACTCAACGCGCAATTTCCTGGTCTTTGCATTGTATGCTTTTGCGTATCGGCGAGTGACATCTTTTGCTACGCCGTTATCTTCAAAGGCTATGGCGTATGCCATGCTAACATCAGGATCGCTTAATGGTGGTTCGAGGCGTGACGGTTTCGCAATTGTATCGGTGGCGATTGGATCCACTGTAACCCATTTCTGTTGCGCAGAATTAAAGGCATCGACCCAAAAGACTGGAAATCGAGGATGAGGAATTGTCTTATTCGGTTTCACAGGTGACGTGGTAACTGCTTGGCGCGAAGATGAGGAATTCAGTCCAGGGCGCCCGAGTCTCGTGATCCTCTTGAGAGGTGTTGCTTTTGGGGGTGGTGTTGTCTTTTTGTCGCTGAGATCATCTGCATATACAACCTTTCCTTGATCATTGGCGGAAGATGCTGGAGTAGGCTGAGCACCGGCAAATGGAAGTGGCTGAAGAGAGCAAATCAATCTGGCATCCACCCCAAGCGATCTAAGAAAGGCGCAAAAAAGCATCGCACCGGTATCTGGCGATCCCTCGAATGAAACTGCGGCTTTGCGGAAGTCTGAGATGTCCATAACCGGGTCTGCGTTTTCAGGGATCTTGAACTACGACTAGTCAACACATATCCAAGTTTGAACTCAATTGTGTGACATACAACTTCCAGCTCCTTGGTATCGTGAGCCCATTTCGCTCGCCTTAGCCCTAGAGATGTGATTTTGAATTTCTTCCATGCATCCTTCGCAAGAATAAGACCGTCATTGAATGCTTTGGATGCCGCTAACTGTGACTGGTTCGGATCGGGTGTGAACAGATTAATGATCCGAGAGCTTCGAAACCTCTTCAGAGAAGACTGTAGTCATGTTAAAAATCTTCCGTATGGGTCATAGAGTGTGTGCATACCTGGACCTTGTCGTCATTACACCATGCGTTGCGGATATGCGCGTTGTACAGCAGACACAGAACATGCATTTTGTGGATGTGGAGTCTCATGGCTCTTTCGGCAGCAGTAGCTGCTTTCCTACGGGCTCTCGCCGGCTTGTTCTTTGTGTCATCGTTGCCTATCTCTATCTGGAGAGTCTCTTCTGCCTGGGCTTTCGTAAGCGGCGGCAGGACAGCATCCGAATTTTGCTGATTCAGATCCACTTCCTCCCAATCCATGTCGCTATCATCGGACTCGGAGTCATCGATGATGGTTTGCAGCTTAGGTGGTTCATCTTCTAGCCCATTGCTGCTTTCCCGATCAACTGCATTAGGCAGGGCAGGCTCCTCAGCAGACGTCTCGACTTTGCGCTTCTTCAGGGGACGAGCATCTTCGGTGTTATCCGCTGCAGCCTCCACGAGCATCTCTTGGAAGACATCAGGGACAGCGGCGGCTGGCGCATCATCCAATCGCTTGTTCCTAGCTGATCTTCGAGTCGCTCTGGGTGTGCCGGCTGCCTTCCCCACTTTTGCCTTCGCTCTCGCCATGTCGACAAGCCGGAATCATCGGAAGTGTATGTATGCGAGTATATGGTGGATAAACTGCCGCTGGCACCGATTACATTGTTCACAACCGTCGTATGTACAAAGACCGGCGCGACGCCCAGGCAGTCGCTGAGCGTAGGTAGGGCTTTCGAGACAAGATATGCGAGGTTCAAGTGCGCGTACTCTTGCGAATCGAGGGATGTGGCTTCGCGTGACGGGGGCGAGCCTGGTGGGTCAAAAGGCGTTTGCGGTGGTGGAGGTGTTGAAGAGAGCGCAATCGCATCAAAGCGAGCGATGACGTTAGAGTCGCGCTGCGCGCCATCATGTGACCGTGCCGCAATTGGCCCAAACTTACCCGGCGAGCATCACTTTCTCACGTCAAGACCCATCACTCACTTACGTCTTTCCACTTCCACTTTCATCACGATGACAATTCGCCCTATCCCCGGAATGTATGATGCTTTGATCCATCATGGTACCGTGGGAGCACTGAACCTGGTACGCCGGAACTCTCAACCTACGGTTACCTACGCGTCACGTTGCGGCAAGCACCCGGACAGCCCAGACGCGCTATGCTCGTGGAAATCTAGCTGTTCACGCCATTGACCGTCGTCTCATATGGACTTTTACTTGATATTTCCATCTTCTCTTCGGGTGGTCTCTGGACTCGTCCTGCTTGTGGGGTTGTCTGACATGCCACTGCTGAGACTCGACAGACGTCCTGGGATGTTGCATCCTCTTGGCGACCTGACCGATTGGAGAGCTTGAAGTTTGTATTTGAGTGGAATCTGCGTAACAATCAGACCTTGGTTGCACGGATTGGGATGCCCAACGGCCGGCGTCCCCACCCAACAACGTCGTGGAAAACACCGTCCTTTAGTCGTTACCTAGCAAGCAGCTTGTCTTCGTGTGCTCTTTATTCCAAGCGCATATCCCCTATGCCCACTATGTATATGAAGGCGTCGCTCAAAGCCTCACCTCTTGTGGCTGCTCATCAACTCCTGCCACGTCTCTCCGAGTTACCGAGTTCGGCAAGAGCGGATTGCCAGCCGGCGGCACCTGGCCGATTCCGACGCCCCGTGCGACACGCCGTTTGCTGGTTGCTTCCTTTCTGCTTCCTCGGCTTTTCACGGCTTCCGACATCGTCACCCTAGCCCTAACTTCTGAAGCTCATCTTGATCCACATAAACCCACCCCATTTCTTCGAACCTGGAGCATTCTAGTAAGTCACCCATGGCGGGCTGTGCAGTTACTACCCACCTAACCTTCCACTTCGAATATCTAGGTGAGAGGCGTCCGGAACCAGCCACTCCTCACCACCAAGCTCTGCCCAGCGCAGAGTCGCGGTGAAGTCGTCATGGGCCGACAATACGACATCGAGGACACGGACTCTTCTACGTTGGTCGACTCTAGCATCTCCAAACAATCCATCTTCGCGAGGACTCGCAGTCTATTTGGTCGTTTTACTACCCGTATTACTGGATCCAGCGGTCGTCACGAGCAGCATGCCCATGGCAGCCATGATGGAGGACACCACGGGCCTCAAGCACCACACAAGGGACCATGCTGCGGACCTGCGCTTTGCACTTCTGAAGAATCCCTTCCCATGCCACTATTTGTGAGGCATGACTCTGGGGACTTTGAGAGGAAGGAACCCCAGTATGAGAACATCAAGCTCAGCGTATCCGGAATGACGTGTAGCGGATGTGAGAGGTCGATGCAGAGAGCACTAGAAAAGATACCCTCTGCAAAGGATATCCACACCGATATGGCCACCTCGCAAGCTCTGTTTTGCATCGACGTCAATGTCATCTCAGTTGATGAAGCACTACACCACCTCCGCCACACTACTCCTTACGGTATCAAGCAGGTTGTCGAAGCAAGAGAAGGCTCTCAATTCCTGTATGTCCTGGTCGAGAATCCCAAGCGCCTGTTCCGAGGCCCTACTCCGCACGGTGTGAAGAGCGTCAAGAATCAAGCCGAAACAGCGAACGGCAAGACAGAAGTCCGGATCGAGTATGATCCACGGTCCATACTACCGCGAGATCTTGTTGAGAAAGCATTGGCCGACACCAGCGCAGAGTTGGCGCCGATGCCGCCTCCTGACTCTGTGGCTGCTGGGAGGAAGCACCTGCGGAGAGAGCTGATGTACTTCATCATCGCTCTGGTCTTCACATTTCCTGTCTTGGTCCTCGCGTGGGTACCGCTATCCATGTCCGAGTTCAACAAGCAGATTGTGTGCCTTTTACTCGCCTCCGCCGTTCAGTTCTCGGCCTGGGAATTCTACCCTAATGCCTTCAAGAGCTTGTTTCACTCTAAGATGGCCGACATGGATCTTCTTATCGTGCTCAGTACCACTACTGCGTACATCTTCTCAGTGGTAGCATTCGGCCTCTACGGATCCGGAAGCCCGTTATCGGTGGGTTCTTTCTTCGAGACCAGCACCTTGCTGGTCACACTCATCAGACTTGGTCGGTACATGAGTGAGCTCGCAAGACAGAAGGCGACGGAATCGGTATCAATCCGAACATTGCAAACACCTACAGCCCAACTACTCACAAAATCTCGCAACGAGAGTCGAGAGATCGATGTCCGTCTGTTGCAACCCGGCGACACGTTCCGCGTGCCGCCACATACCCGAATCCCTACGGATGGCATTGTCGTGTACGGCGGCTCACAGGTGGACGAGTCAATGATGACTGGAGAATCGCACCCAGTTGCAAAAGGAATCGACTCCAACGTCACTGCTGGCACCATGAACCTCGACGGTCAACTCGATATCTCCGTCACTCGGATGGCATGGGAGAATAGCATCAGCCAGATTGGTGCTCTTGTCGACAATGCCGAATTGACCAAGCCGAAGATCCAGGCCCTCGCTGACCGGGTAGCGAGCTGGTTCGTCCCTTCCATTATTGCCATTTCCACCACTGTTTTCTTGGCTTGGGTGCTCGTGGGCGTCCTCCACCTCAAGAAGAGTGGAACTGATGCAGTTGTGGGCGCTACATCCTACGCAATCGCGACACTCATAGTTTCATGTCCTTGTGCTATTGGTCTCGCTGTTCCCATGGTCATCATCATCGCCAGTGGAGTCGCCGCGAAGCACGGTGTGATCTTTCGAGCACCGACAGCTATCGAGACCGCGAAAGGCGTGACACACGTGGTTGTTGACAAGACGGGAACATTGACGGAAGGCAAGCTATCCGTCATAGCGGGGAAGTTCATGTCCAAACCTCGGGCATCTACCTTGCCTTACCTCCTCGGACTCGTATCCGGTCAGAAACACCCAGTTGCATCGGCTGTCGCAGAGTGGATCCTCACGAAAGGAACCCAGGATAGCATTAACTTCGATACGATCACTGTCATCGTCGGAGGTGGCATTGAAGGTAGACTCGACAAAGAGGGTGTCGTGGTCCGCGCTGGTAATTGCGACTGGCTGGGAATCACTTCCTCGGACCAGGTCCTCAATTTCACGAGCAGGCTCAACTCGCCGCCATCACCATCCACTGAATCGCCCGTCTACCAGAGCACGCTCGACTACACCCTTTTCGGCGTAACGGTCAACGGCGAGCTCCGCGCTCTGTTCGCGCTCCGTGATGTCCTTCGTCCCGAAACAGCCTCGGTCATATCCTCGCTCCAGTCACGCCATATCTTGATATCGATCGTGTCTGGCGACGATGCACGGAGCGTCGAACACTGCGCCCATGTGCTCAACATTCCGACATCCCACACGCTTTCGCGTTGCTCGCCGGCGGACAAGGCGGCGTACGTTTCGTCAGTTCAAAAGGCAGACCCCCGTGGCATCGTGCTGTTCCTCGGCGACGGCACGAACGATGCGGTCGCTCTGACGCAGGCAACGATCGGCATGTCCATCGCGGGTGGCACAGACGTCGCAAAGAGCGCGGCAGACATCATTCTCGCGCGTCCAGACCTCCGCGGACTGCTCATCGCCATGGACGTGTCGACACGGGCGGTTAGGCGGGTGTGGTTCAACTTCGTGTGGGCCGCGATCTACAACTTATTTGCGGTGCTCCTGGCGGCGGGCGCCTTCGTCTGTATCAAGACGTCTGGGAAAGTTGGGTCCGTGGACGAAAAGGGGGGCATCAAGATCCCGCCGGAATTTGCAGGGCTGGGAGAGATTGTGAGCATCTTGCCTGTTGTGCTCATTGCTTTTTCGCTCCGGTTCGCGAAGTTTACGAGACATGGCGGGCAGAGCGCGAGAAGCGAGTGAGACGGGTCTCTGGGATTGTTGCATAGACGACGGCTTGAGAGCGTCTTTTGTTTTCTTCATTCCTCTTCTCTTTCTTCTCTTCTTTTTTCCATTTCACTCCTCTATTGCTGCACTGGCCTCTGCCTGTAGGTATGAATATCAACACGATGAATTGCGATAGGATGCTCGGCATTGCACGGCGGTGTGCGTACGGACATGCACGTCCTGACCGGTCGTCACGTCCCGACCGCAGTGTCATCGGCCGGCTGCGTCTGACAGCTTAGGGCGAGTGGGGCCCGCCTTCCGGGTCGGGTCGGGTGCTTGCCTCACTGCCGACACTTCGACGCACAGAGGCAAGCCTACCGGTACGACAGCATTCGCCGCCTCCTCCTCCCCCTCTCTGCCGTGCTCCAGTCGGATGCACCACCGTCCCGTTGCGGCCCTCGTTCCAATCAAGATCCCTCCCATGTGCCGGCCCGCCGCCTCCCCCCCTCCTTCGCATGCCCCCCCGCGCGCGGGCGCGGAGAGGGCGGGGAGGCGGGAGCGCGGGCTGGCTGCCTCGTCCCGGAAGACGGCAAACGGTCGTGTCACTGCGGTCTGCGCTGCTCTCTCACACTTCTGGACGGGCCGAATGGCAACTTCCACTGGACCCTCCCCAATCCCAACCCGCCCAATCCATCCTCATGCGGAGGCCGCTCCGCACACCTGTGCTGCGCATGAACAAGCAGGGATGGGTTGCACACGCGCCACTGCGGTGTGTGGGGGGTTGTTGTTGGTGGACAGCACGGCAGAGCGGAATTGCAAAAGAAGCGATCGCTGTTGGTGTCATTGCAGCACACTGACGTGCCGCCGCAGATGCGCGCGATTCGCGAAAGGGGGTGATGTGCAGCGTGGAAAGACAAGGCTGTCGGGCGCTAGACGAATGAGAGGTGGGAAAGGAGCTGCATGCAAGATGGCAGAGGAGAGCAAACTGCTCCGTTTGCTCGTCTGTTCATTGGCGACATCTCCGGACAGACAAGGCTCGATAAGCTACAGCGCCAACGTCAAGCCACGCGGAGCAGTACACATCCTTTGCCTTCTCGCTACCACTCGACCCAGATCATCGGGAGGGCCTCCAGTCCAATCGAGGCTCATTGACCCCCTATTGCTCTGACCGAATATGCCCGCTCCCAGATAGACGGGAAGCCGCCCAATCGAGCTCCATGGCAAATGAGGATTCGTACTCCGACCTCGATGAACTTGTTTTCCCTGCATGTTCAGCTGAGCCACAGGCTCCAACGAACACGCCAGGACGGCGCCTTCCTCGCCCACCGAGATTCTCCCACCGGGGATCTACCCTGCCTCCATCCTCGACATCACCCAGCCTCTATCTCGTCACAATCTCGCCCCACCAGCACAGCCACGAAAAACGCCCTTCCCGTCCCGCGCATATCACGAGAGCATACAAGAAAACCAAGCCCTCGTAGCAATGCCCGCAACCGGTAAACGCAGAGCAAAAAAGCCCGCCCCATCTCGCTCTTGCTAGCCTAGATGAGGAAGTCTAGGTCCCGGCAAATTTCTTTTTATTTTCCTGTCAGACCCGGCGCTTATCACTTTAGCGTCGTCCTCCAATTCGCCCTCTCTCCCGCGGCCCTGGGTCTGGACTGGACGACTGGACAGCTGCCATCCTTCGCGGTGACGCCACTCCAACATCACATTCTTTCAGAAAAGTGCACATCACTTCCGCGCGCTTAAAAGTTTTGCCTTGCTCCTGAGACTGATGAAGAACAAGCAATTTTGTGGAGAGCGCAATGACGGTGAAGCTACTCATTAGCCCCCACCTCGACTCAGCTCCCTCAGCGTGTGACTTCATGCGACTCACGTAGTGACAGAGCAAAAAAAAAAAGCAGGCTAGTCTACGTTGCTCGGGCCGTGACCGTCCTTCACCCAGTCTTTGCCCTTTTCTGTTTTGCTCCATCCGACCCATCGGACTTGCCGGCGCTAGCGTTGCGAGTGGCTTAGCGTTTGTGGCTTGGGGGGGAAGGGAACTCTTGGGTTGAGGAGAGTATAGATGCTGCAGGCTGTGGTTTTGAATTGACGAAGACAATAACAAAGAGTGTGGTCAGCCCTCTGAGACCAAGGGAGTGGAGGAGTCGGGACGTTGTTCTTTGTTGTTGAGAGGGGCAAGGACCAATTCGTCATCCCCTTTCGTCATCCTTCGCATGCTCGCGGCTGTCATCGGTTCATGGTTCCCTTTTTTTTTTACCTTCGCTTACGGTACCTTTGGTGGTTGGTTTCGGCCGGATGATGTGCTGCCACCCCCCAATTCATCACAGATCCGTGCGGCTGGGAAAAGGCAATCAAGATCCACAACCCAGCGGCTTGGAATTGGGATTGGGGGGAATGGTGATGGATAGCGAAGCTACTACGAGCATCCGGCCGAAGCATCCACTCTTTTTCCTCCCTCAGCCCATTCGTCGGATGTCGGGAGTCGTTCGTCTCGAGGTCGCGCTCGTGGCGTGTCCCCCGGGCTTCGAGCCGCCCGCCGTCCTCGCCGCTCTTTCTGTGGTGTTTGCGCGTTCCTCCCTCTTCCTTCGCGTGGGGGCCTGGCGCGGGATGAGCGATCTGCGTCAGAATAGGGTGATGGGAGGGGGGAGCATGGATGATGTGGTACGTAGCTCAAAAGCCATATTGCAGGAATGACGGGAACGAAGCAGCCGGAAAGGATTCCACCCGCGTCGCGCCGTTTTCTGCCTGCTGACCGGTCGTGCCGGTCCTCCTTTTGCTCTCCCCCTCCCCTCCCCTACGCACGCGGTGGCTTAGAGCTGGATGGGCTAAACCATGGGCGCCGCTTGTGTCCTTTTTCGGCTACGCGGGGCCGTGGGATGGGCGCACGTCGTTCTTTACCAGAAACACGCCGCGATCGACGTACGATTTATGGTTTCGACGGATGGTTGGAGCTTACGGAACAAGTTCCGTCAGCGCCCTGCATACGGGTTGACATTAGCCCCTCGATGATTAAAAGAGGGGATCGCGAATCAGAATGTACACAAGTAAAAGATTCACGATCCCAGATGGAGATCAGGGAATGAAGAGGGATAGCCCCGTACGCGGAAATACGGTAGTCTCGTGGATCTCCCCGTCTATCACGGTGATCACTTTTGCGTGAGGCTTGCGATGCTAGTAGAGAATGCCCATTGTAAACTGAACACCGACCTTCAGCCGCTGCTGCTTCTCGGTCTCCGATCTTTTGCCATTAACCATTTGCGGAGCCGGCCGATGGGCCGGCTGCGGCGGTTGGGGCTATTGTCAAACATGGTAAGAATTTCATGCAAGGCAGATGGTGGGAGCGGATGCGCCATGGCGTCACCTCCGCATCCGCTCGCCGGACCTACCACGCGTCTGCATGTCACAAATCGGAAAAGAAAAAAGAAAAAAAAAAGATCTCCGCGCATGCGGGCTTAAATTTTTCTCTTTCGAAACATTCAGCTGCGGCTTTTAGGAGAGGGAATAGAGCGAGAAGGTGCCGGCGGCGTGCCGAAGGAGAAGGACTAGACAACTCGGAAAATCCGTGGTGTTTGCAAACACGCCTTCTCTGGTACAGTGGCAAGAGATCAGTCATGCGAGAAATCAAGATGGTGGTGGCTTACTGAGTGCCTCGGTTTCCACATATTGCACCGGCGAAGTAGCAATTAACTTCGCCGATATGTCCTTGGCACAGGTTGGAGCGGCTCTATCTCCATTGATGGCCTTTCTCCGCGCACAACGATAGGCACTACAGCCTGGAAAAGCCGGCAAAGAGGGCTGAGGAGGCCCCGCTGATGACCTGATCTCTGCATCCACAAACACCATGGAACGAACACCGACAACGCGCGTAACGGCCCGTTACTCCACAACTAAAAGCAGCCACATGCGAGATCGATCTCAGATATACGTGGTGGAACACGTAGGTGGTTGCAGTAGCATCTGGTAAACATCGCAGCGCCATGTGAAGGAAAAAAAAAGAGAGAGAGAGTGATGGAAAGCCAAAAGCCAGAGCTAACACGGACCACCCCCTCATGACCTAGACCCTTCCCTTACGCCGCGGGATTGGACAAGAAATCCTCCCACGGCAAATGTCCGGCATTATTCCCAGTAAACTCCCCTGCAAGATTACGCTCCGGTGGTGAAGGGAGACAGAGGTCGGACTGGCTGTTGGCATGTCCTTTTTTTTTTACACTTTTCCAATCCCTGCTCGCTTCGCGTGGACCCGTTGCACCGGGTACAACTGCGTGGACCCTTTCGGTCAGTTAGGCTTAACGCGTTAGCCGCCAGCGCTTGTTTACTTTCAACCTGGTAGAGGCTGTGTGTGTGTGTTTACAAATAATGGCGTGGCTCACCGAGTACCATACAATCATGCGCCGATAAGCACTTGCGATGGGCCCTTATCTAAGAGAAAGAAAATTTAATCAACCGAAGAATAAACGGGAAGCCAAGCGACCGGGGGTGGCGGGGGTTGCTGTGAATGGTGTCAGCAAAGTGATGATGGGCGTGACGTGCTTCTGGTGGTACAGGTAAGGCTGATGTGCACTCGGGTTCAGGGATCTTGCGGGGAAGCGACGAACAGGGAGAGCGCGGAGCGGGAAGTCAGCGGAGCGGAGATTTGCTTTTTTTCCTGCTCGTCTCGCAGGTCCGGGGATGACGAAAAGGGAGATTGGGGACGAGCTAGGGGGATCGGAAATAGTGAAGCGAGACACATCCCGCGCGGATGGCCCAGAACACGAGCCCAGGAGCTGGGGGAAGCGAGAGGCGGAGCGCTTGAAGGCGTTAATCACAAACCAAAAACATCCCTGTCAACCGAGAAGCTTTGCTTGGTCTTGGGTCGACTGATCTTTTCAATTTATTGGATTTGGTATCGTACGTATTGAGTATGAGCTTTGTTTATGCTATGGAGCGGTGGTGGATTGACAAGGTGGGGGTATGAGTTGGTGGTGAGCCGGTGCTTGTGTTGTTGTTGTTGTTGTTGTTGTTTACGGTGTCGACTCGATGTTTGAATACATAAAAGTGAAAATCCTCACGGTCCTCCTCTTTAGTTGAACATGAGTATAGACACCCGAAAGTGGAAAACGAGACTATGCAAAACAGACGGTAGAGGCATCTCCAAAACGTTTAGAAATGGGACCCACGAGGGCGCTCCAATAACCAACATCAAGGGGGAAGCCCTCCACTTTGTATGAAATCGAACGACCCCGCCTCGTGACAAAAAGGAAAGCTCGTGGCGGACCAAACCCTGACGAAAATTTATTTTACGCCTGGACGCCCTGCAGGTAAAAGCAATTGAAGAAGACACATCCAAACTCGTGCTCGCATCTCTGAAGACTTTTGCGATCATGACAACATCAAGGAGACTGTACGCAATCATCCTTGGCTGATGATGACTCTGGCGCCTTCCTTTCCCAACACACCCTTCTCTTTCGCCTTGGGGCTCCTGTCCCTGCCCTTCTTGCGGCTCAAAAAGCCGAGCATGCCCGTTGGCTTCTGCGCGTTGGGATCGTTGACGTCCGGCTTCTGTGCGATCATGGACGAGCTCTGGTTGGCCATGTCCGACCAGCTGCCCGTTTCGTTGAGCACCACCTGCACCCCGCCGCCCATGCTGGTGCTGCGCGTGCTGCCCCGTTGCCGGTTGATCGGTCTACTGTAAGATACTGGCAATGTGGGATCGGCCGTGGGGTCAAACGTGTCCTGGCCTTGACCCGGCTGGCCGGTGGCCGGTGCGAGATTGGCAGTTGGAATTGGGGGCGAACCATTTGGCGACTGAGTCGTGGACCGAGACTGAGTAATGTGCCGGGGATGCTGACCAGGGTTGGTTGTCGTGGGCACCAGTTGGTGACCGTCATCGCACGCCCTAGAGGATTTGGGGCGTGGCCATTCAGACGATTGCGTTTCAGAAGAAGTTGGCGTGCCACCCTCCTGATTGACAACCGGTGCGCGCTCCGCCGCAACAGTCGTGTAATTGAAAGGCTCAAACAGAGTTTCAATCATCTTGTGCAGCTCCTCAGCACGGATCTCAGCCTCCGTTGCGTCTTCCTTCAGAGCCTCACGAGGCTTTTGTCTCCGTGCCCGCGCTTCAAGCGGCGCCTCCTCCAACAACAATTCCTCCAAATCATATGTCGCGTCGAAGTTCGTCTTGTCGCTCGACGGGGTGAAGACGGGTTCGATTTCCTTGGCCTCGAGGGCCTCGAAGTCCAGGGGGCGGAAGAAGGGGTTATCCGTGAACGACTCGAAACTGATAGCCCCGATTCTCTTCGATCTATCCTTTTCGAGCAGCGAGCTGATAGCGTGTAGGCAGGGCATAGAGACGGGCGGGCTGGTAACGGGGTAAGGGACTTCGGCCTTCTGGATCTTCTGCGAGAGTTCGTCGTGCGACCGAGCTTCAAACGGTCGCTTCAGAGACTTAGCAATTTTCAAGAGGCGCCCAGTGCCCAAAGAATGCGTACCTTGTTGTATATGCACTCGTAGAAGAGCACACCCAAAGACCACCAGTCAACCTCGCACGAATAACCCTTGCCCTCATAAACTTCCGGGGCGAGGTAGGCCAGGGTACCCGACTTGCTCGTTAGCGGTTTTGCGGGGGTGAAATCGGACGCGACGTTCTGCATAAAGTCAGCGCACAAGGACCACACGATCATGGCGGGGCAGCGTCTTACAAAGTCGGCCAAGTGCACATGTCCTTCGCCGTCAAGCAACACATTGTCGGGCTTGACGTCTCTGTGCACGATGCCCTGGCGGTGGATGTAGCGGAGAGCACAGCCGAGCTCGGCGATCCAGAAGCGAACGGCGTCCTCGGTGAAGGTTTTGCGCGAGATGTGGAAACGCAGGTCGCCGCCATTCATTAAATCTACTACGATGTACCTGCGAGGGAGGGGGTCAGCACGGGTGGTGGGTGGAGCGGGGGGCGGTGGGACGCACAGGTACTCGATGTCCTGGAAGCTGTATCTCAGGTTGCAGAGGAAGGGGTGGTTGAGATGCTCCAGCATGCGGCGCTCTCGAATGATGTTGCGCACGCTCTCAGACCGCACAACTGTTACACGGCGTCAGCGTCAGCATGGGGTGGTGTCTAGCGCGAGTCGAGGGATTGGCCAACCTTCATCTTTGCGTATGTACTTCAACGCAAACGTCAAGCCGGTGTCCTTGCGCTCGACAATGCGGACCTTGCCGAAGGCGCCCTTGCCGACGACTCGAAGCAGGCGAAAGTGGTTGAGGTTGACTGGCCGGGGTCAGCAGGACTGGCGGTGGGAGCGACTTCGCGGCCTCATACCTTCGTCGGTAAAGACTACCGGCTTCCCGCTCGAATTGCCCATTGAGACGGCGTTGGCGAGGGAATCATCCGCGTCGGGGTGTGTGTTGCATCAGCGGCGGGCGAGGGCCCTGGGGTGCGTCGTCGTCGTCGCTGCGTAGAGGCGCGAGGGAGCGAGCGATGGGTCGGCAGCGGGCGAGAGCGGGAGGCGCGACGTTTGTAGGGTGAGGGCTGGGTGCGAGAGTGAAACGGGCGCGGTGGCCTGCAGGAGGGCGGAAGGCGTATGGCCAAAAGACGGCCCTAGTGTTGTAGAGAGGGCGCTCTTTAGGAGGCACGGAGGCAGATGCAGGGGGCCCCAGCTCTGGCCAGCGCGCGATGGTCGCAGCCGCGGCGCCGCTCCAGCAGCGCTGCCCTGCGCGTGTATATCTCCGATCGCGCGCGACTGCGGATCTGCAGCGCGCAATAAGGGCGAGACGCCGCGTGAAGATTCGCTCGCCGCACCCACGCCTAAGCCCGCCCGCCCCAAGCACCAGCAGCCAGCGACAAGCTCTCCGCGCGTGGCCCTGAAACAGCTGCTCCCGCCCGAGCCGAGCGTCAGCCAGGCGTGCCTCTCACCTCAGTCCGTGCTGGCCAATCTCCACGCCTTCCACTCTTCCAGAAGCAACGCCCGCCGATCCGCCAGCACCAAACCGTCGCGCTGCAGCCCGGCGACGCCACTCACCTGCAGGAGCCGCACCGTCCCACCAGCTGTGCCGCATCTCGCTGCCTCCAAACGACCGCCTGCCAAGGGCCCACCTTCCACTCCGCCCGCCGCAGGGCTGAGTGAAATCATCTCATCTGGTGGCGCCGAGTCCACGGCCGATCTAGGGATCACGGTCGCTCTCCGCCGGCGGAACTCCGCTCCTCCTGCCACCAGAGCCCTTCGGTCCTTCACCACCGAGCCCCTAAACGAGCAGGTGGATCAGCCGCCCTGAGGCTGCCATGTGCTGGGCCCAGGAGCCCGGGAACCTCATACGCACTCCGCCCGGCTACCACGCGTCGCTTATGTCGGTCGCTCACCATCCTTCGTCACGCGAGACTCTGTTTCATTCGCGCCCCGATACGAGCCCTGCACCAGGTAGACCGGCAGCGTTTGCTTTCTTTTTTCCTTCTGGAATGCCGCCGGAAATATTTGGGGGCTCCCTTATGTCCGGAATGGCCGCCGATGATCAATGGCGGGGTTTCCCACGGCAGTGTCATTTGACAGTTCCAGCAAATGCTCCCCGCGAACCACGGTGCCAATCCTATTATTGGCTCTATTGCTCCTTTTCCCATTCCCCGGACCACCGGTCACTGTCCTCGTTCCACGCGTCATACGCCCCTGCAAAGCCTCGTGCTGCCGCTTCCATCACGTCTCCACATCTCCATGCTTTTCCAAATTTACTTTATTCGCAGGCCACGCGCTCGACGATCATGGCACGTTTTCTCGAACCCTTCGTCTCCACCCCAAAATGACGCAGGTCCGTGAACTGCATACTGCAAGAGCCAGGGTAGGTTTCAAGACTGTCCCTGAGGTCTGCATCAACAACAAAGAGGGGCAGTGACTACGCCCAAAAGCCTTCGCCGACGCTGTGCGACCCTTCTGTTTCAGAGACATGTTTCTCGAATACGGCGGCATATTCCTTTGCTATCATGCAGGAGCCAATGAGACGACCTGGCTGCTGCATCACCACCCAGGAGGTTCGCCACATGTTCGTTAACACATTGCGCGTCAGGACTGGATGGCCTGCAGACCTACTTGGTCCTCGTTTCTGCCCGGTTCGTGCTTCTGTCCAATCATGATGCCTCCAGCGCCCTGTCCTTCATTTTCAGGCCTGTGTAGGCCCTGTCAGATGTGCACCAGGGGACGCGACCGCCGCCTCCTCCTCCCTGGAGCATGATGTCGATCACCGTTGGCTTGCGGACGCCGGGGGGGTTTCGGGCAAGCGAGCGTGATTTCGCGCGGGAAGAACGGACACCCGTTGCCACTAACTTGCTCCCCCATTGGCTTGCGAATATCTTGTTCCAACGTCTCTCGTCCAAGGCGCTATTGACACACCTTTGCTTTTTCGTGGTCGGGCCCCCGCACCCCAGCACTGCGGCACTTTAGACGAATTCTACCCAGGCAATCACGCATAGGGCCTTGGCAGCCCGCCATGACCCACACCCACTGCTTCCCTCATATGCCTTGCAGCAGAAGCCGAAGGATTTGGGCCCGCACATCCGTCGCCTGGGTATGCTTGCCTATGCGCCTATACGGAGTATCTCGTGGTATCCTTGACGGCGCTTGAAGAGAAAGCGCAAGGCCACACATGGGCACTGTCGTTATCGTCTTCATGCACCTATGCAACAAAGTGATACAATTCCCCGCCCCAGCATATTTTTCCGTCTGCCTTATTGCCTCGTTCGCGACTCAAACCAATAAACCCGATTTGCGGCACAGCTTCTCACCGACCCCATGTGATGCCCTTTCTTAGATGTTTTGACGCCGAGCAGTAGTTCATCTGAAACACGGAGAAAAACGCCTTATCTTTATATCAGCATGACGAGACTTACCTGGGGAACTGACGTTTCAAGCCGCACTGCGTAACCCAGCCGGTAAGCTGCTCATCTAAACATGCCTCTGACTATTCTGGAGCTAGCCTTCCCAACTCCTACGACGAGCGCCAGGACAAGTGCACCACTAAGGACTGCTGCGACTAGGACTGCCAGTGGCATGTCAATGACTCAGCTAACAGCGATAGCTGCCAAGGAATGTCGAAGGGTTCACGTTGATAGGCATTTTGAGATTTTCTACCCCTTATCCTCCGCGATCATATTCTTCGTTGCCTTCATTGGTTCAGAAGCAAGGCTGAAAGCATGTGATTTATTGACTGAAACTAAGGGGCCAGGGGGCAGGTGTTCGCGCTCAGCTTTCGGTGCCTTGCTGCGCCGCTTGCCTACATAAAATCTTGGCGTAAGCAGCGTGCATGGCGAGACGCCCTTCACGACACTGGGTAAGTCCGCAATTGGTTCAATTAAACGGCCCCCAACTTATTTTCAATTTTGGCGAGCGGCAAGCATCCCCCGTTGCCTTAAACCCATGAAGCTTTGCATACGCATGGGCTTCAGTCATGATTTCAGCCTTGCGATCGACCGCTCCTCACGAGTACTCCTTACATTCACAACATGCTGAAACGTGGACCCCTATCATAAACATGAGCCTATGATGAAATGGATAGAGTGACTTGCCGTCTCATCCTCACTGATACGCACTCCGCCTCCGTGTACATTGAGCACATCGCAGAAGCCGACTCTTTTGGTGTCGATTGCATAGAAAGTGAGATCCTTCTTGACAATAATTGATTTTAAGCAATTTGAGTCTTTCCGTGAATCCTGTCTCAATAATTGCTAACAGGCAAATTTCCTCTCGAGGTACATACCTAAGCAGAACCGAAGCACAAACACGCCCGGAACTTTTGGGCAAAGATTGCACAACGATCGATAGTGCTGTTTGTCCAGCAATACCTTGCGTATATTGTCGATTTTATGAATTTTAGCGCTACGATATGGGCTATTGCAAAGCACAATCGGTAGATGGAGTTGGAACATTCATGACAAGAGACTGTACATACAACCATACCGCAACTAAGCCTTGGTCTATTATGTCACCACTATTCCTTGGGGCCGGTAATTACTGTATGCAGACGCTCATGCCTCCATCTCGAATAGAGATAAAACAGCGTACCGGAAGAAGAATACTCTCGAGATCGGGCTTCTGAGAAGTTACAATTTGTGGGGAATATGGAAAGACCGACCCGCGTTGTATTTGGTGTCACAAACTTTGGCAACCATACTCCATCTCTAGTCAGTGAAAATCTGTTCATTTGACATTTCTACACCTATTGATTCCAAGGCCATTTACAACTCTACCATTTTCCCATCCATCCAATTTGCAGTCCCCCCGGTAGCTCTAGTAATCGAAGACTTCTTTGCATCTCCGGATGTCTGGTGTGTTGCCAAATTTAATATACATTTGTCGCATATCTTCTATCGGGTTACTAATATTTGTCCTATACAAAAATCCCGCAATTTCACGTATCTCAACAATATGCAACGTATAGAAGGATACATAGATCCCTTCGGCCCAACCGGCGAACTCTTGATGATCTCGGAGTATAGTAGTAGAAGAAAACGGATCATCACTTCTGCACAGATGGATTACCGGCAGCTATCCTACAAATTGAAACACAGCCACAGGATTAGTATTCGTAGCGCATGAAAATCTTGACTGCGGTTCCTGGTGAGAGCCCGCCCATCCCGCAGTGTGCAGATAGCTGAAAACCCCCCTTGGAACACCAAGACGGCCTCTCCGGTTTCCTCCTTCCAGAAACAATATTCGCCTACATGCGAAGCTGAAAGCATGTGATTCCTTGCGTAACCTGAGAGACATGGGGGCCAGGTGTGGCGCTTAACTTGCCCAATTGGAGGGATTTGACATGCTGGCTGCGCCCCCGAGGCTGCGCCTCACCTCAGAGTATGATCAGGCTGCAGCCTCAACAACTCCAGCGAAGTACACATATCTCCCCTACCACAACACTTGTCTACCTTGGAGCTCCGTTCAAGCCATGTCGTTTGGCGTAGCAGTCGGTGACGTGATTGCCGTCGGAGAGCTCTGCTGGAAGCTATATCGGAACGTGTATCAGGTGTCGCGCCATGCCCCAGCAGAGCTGAAAGCCTTGGGGAACGAACTGAACAGCTTAAAAGGCATCCTTGACATTCTCAAAGAGGAAAAGATCAACCCCGACTCCGCTATCAACCAGTCCGGACAGGGAAGGCTGGACCTCTTCAACAAGGTTCTTAGCCAGACGGGGGAAACTTTGAACCAGATCGAGGAGTTATCCAACAAGTACAAGATACTCAAAAGGCCTCGGAATGCTCAGTCCCAACGAGGATACTTCAAAATCCAATGGGACAAGCTCAGATACGCGAAAGAGCTCCACAGTATCAACGATCTCCGTGCCAAGGTATGAGGATATCTGCACGGCGTGATATTTATGACTGACACGCTCCAGCTACATTACCACGAGGGCCAGCTAAATCTTCTCCTTTTGCTTACCCAAGAGTGAGTCATGTCTGCTTAGACCTCTGATAGATACTGATACTCCATTAGCTCCTCGCTAGAACGGATTCAACGGCAAACCGCGAGAACGGAGGAGATAATTGATGAAATAAGGACGTTCCTTATTCCTAGAACGCCTCTGGAGATGAACATTGCGACCGAGAAGTCATTTAAGGATCATGAGTAGACTTCTTGAGATCACGCAAGAGGGAGGTCGCCCATGAGCGTCAATCGGTATCAATGACTGGCTGCAAGTGTGCTGTTGATTTCGCCTTGAAGTACGTATATGTACCTCGCTCTTGATACTTATGTACTAATTGAGAATCAGGCCCAATCATGTGTATCGAGTGCTTATCATTCTGGTCATTGTCAGGCCTACGTTGATATCTTTTAAAGCGTCATGTATCCTCACGGACATTGTTTCCAAGCCTCCTCAAAGGAGTCTGATTCTGTAATCCAATCGCTCGGAAGGTAAGACTCCTGAATCAATCAGTGTAATACGTGGCTTTTGCTAATATGTAAGGTAGGCAGAGACAGACCTGAGACCTGCGCTTCAGATGATGCTGTGACTTTGGAATCTGGATAGCGGAGAGGTCAACGGCTCTAGGACCCCAACATCGGCTTGCCGTGACTCCAGCACCGGTTTGGAGGACTGATCATGGTGATATTCTACTTCAACGGTAAGAAGCAAACTCATGCTTGGGTTTTGAGTCCATCTAAGGGATTATACAGATTCGACAAGCTTTTGATGAAGGAACCCAGTGTCATTGTGTCAATTTTCTTGAGTTTCAAGACGCCCGCCGTGGTGAACTTGATAGCTCAAACGTTCGAAGGATACCACACCTTCCAGTATGACGGTACGCATCGCGGATTTTGATGTTTCTGGTTCTCCATTGCAAGCAGTCTGACCAGATTTAGCCGTTTCCCAGGAGAACTTTCACAGTTTACGCCGACTTCTTCAATATTCACACGAATGGGCTGTATTCTCTCCAGAATTTTCCCACAAGCCAAGGTCTCAACCTATGGCAAGATCTCTGTTTCGAAAACTTCACAGGTGAATAATCCAGAGATTCCAGGATTCTCAAGCCAGGCTAATTTTTTTGCAGATGAATATTGTTTTTATTTGTTGATAAATGCATTTTATCAACACCGGACAGATTTCAGCAATTTTGAGCTCGAAAAACTAGCAAATTCGCTATGAAAAGTCGGTTCCAGGAGTTAGCAGGCCCAAACACTGCAATGTCTTCGGGAACTGGAACAAGATATTCACCCGGAGCCGAGATGGCAAATTAGGCTTCTTTAAAGCTTCACCCAGTATCTTAAGGCATGAAGAAAGCAATTGAAGGTTTCAGTCACCGATATAGCCAGAAGGAATTATCCGAGATCTTAGTTTTAGTTTGGGCACACAAGTCCTGGGATGACTTCCGAAGTATTAAAGAAACACTCGATCCACACGCCACCGCGGAGCCATTCAGAGATCTCAAATGTAGAGGAGGCATAATCGAATGTGCATTCAATCGCGAAGTCACTCTGTCCTTGTGAATGGCGATTTTGAGTGGGGTCGTAAAGGGAAATATTTTTGGTTGGGGATGCTCATGCTCGCTTCCAATACTCAACACCTCAAAACACTTGAGACCCATGACGTACGGCTCCTACGTCTGGGCACCAAATTCAGAACAGATGTCCGCGTCGGAGGCCATCTGTCGTCCATTTCCGCTAAAATTGTTATTGGTACCGATTCGATGAAACGCAGGATGCCTTCCCTTGGCCAGGGCCGCTGGTATCGGAGGAGTGGAAAATTGGCGGGCGGAAGCCATTGATAGTTCGGGATTTTGTCCCAGTCTTTTAATCAAGCTGTTACGTATTTTCAATTGCTTGTTATAATGGAATTGAAGAACTCTGGTATTATAATAATTGCTAGGGCTTAGTGCCACAACAGTTCTGCTATTCCACACTGGCTAAAGACCCCTTTCCAGCCCTTCAACCAATTTAGAACGTATTTACTCAACCGGTTTTAACGTTGATAAGCTTTGGAAAAACGGGTATATAAGTTCGCGATCAATAACATCGAAGGGGACAGCAGCCTCCATTTACCTTCCTGTTCAACGCTTTTCCTGAATCACTCTAGGTTATGGTGACTGCCGGAGAACTTATCTTAAATACCCAGACTCCCTTCTCTTCTTTAAACGCATACGTCTACTCATATTAACATTCTTTCTTTTCCTTTCAATATTTTCAAGCATACCCCGACTGGTATCGAAAATCTCGTTCTCTTTTTTCTCCTTCCTTCTCTCAACAAAAACCCATGTATAACTCCCTTGTCCAGCACGCAGTTGCCTCTTAGGTGACCTGCATTCACCACAATTGTAGCGCCTTAACCCTTGAAGTATCGAAGCACACAGCATTATCGTCAACAGAAACGAAAGCAGCGCCAGTTGCCGCTGGGTCTCTTTGTTCCGGGATGGTCCTCGCTATCGGGTAAGATCGGAGACTGAAAACGGCTGCCAGCCATTGACTGCTTTGGTTATCAGGTGAGAAAGAGTCAGTTACAGCCGCCCCATGTCCAGCCGAGTTTCGAGCCCTGCTCTGAGGGTTGAGTTGAGCAGGAGGCGCAACTGCGGCACCATCAACGAAACCTCTCGACACGTCCAGAAACAAAAGTTTAGGGGGGGAAACTTGTTAAAATTCTCCCAGTCGCTCTCCTCTCCGGCTGTATGCTTTACTACAACCCACCCTCCACTTTTCCCTCTTCTTCCAAACCCTCGTTCCATATCTCCACCGGTGGTGCCTCGCGCACACACTTCCTCAACTCCAAAAGCGCCCCTATTGCGCCTATATCTGGAAAAATCCCCCGTTTGTCCTACCGCAACACTGTGCACACCTCCAGAAACAAAAACACGGCGGGCCACACGCCTGCCATCCTCCAGCGTTCGCTCAGCTTTTGTTGGCAAAGTTGCAGTGGAAAAACAAACAAAATTGCAAGCAACAATACTGGCAAAGCACGGGAAACAGCAACGCTCCCCGTGCCTCTGACTCGTATGTATCTCCAAGAAACGAACAAAGCAGTGATGAAGAAGCCCATCAAACCGGAAACCACACCCCTTGTTGCGCCAAAGTACCCAATTTAGTCAAGCAAACTTCCCGTAGAAGCTCAGAAGGAGAGGAGGGAGAAAAATGGGGAGGGGAAGAACCGAATCCGTGATGGTGATGATGCTCGCTTATGCAGGGGGAGTGGGAAATATTAATCGACTTGCGTGAGAGGAAGGCGTGGGAAAGAACCAGTAAGGTGGCGCAAGAAATAAGAGCGCGATCAGATTTCCTCCATGTTGCCAGCCGGCTCATCATCGTCGCCTGATTCATAGCTGCCCACCGAGCTCATTTCCTCCTCCTCATCGCTGTCCTCGTCGGCGTCGTCGGCGGCTTCTTTCGAGGCGTACTTGCTTACGTATTCTGCGCGCGAATTAGGTGTCGTGTCCTTCGCCTTCTCTGAAATACCAGAACCAGGGGAGTAGAAAAGTGATATACGTACCTTTTACTTTAGCATCGTAGCTCTTGGGCTCGCGCATAAGCAGAGCAGCCGCCTCGCCATTTAGCGGATCGGTGGGGTTCGGGTAGCGCAGGAGCTGGGGGAGGAAGACCTCGAAGATGTTGATCATGTCGTACATGGGCGACCATGTTTGGTTGATGACGTCCAAGCAAACGGAGCCGGACCTGTGAAGCGCGGCCTGTTTCAGCAAACGTGCGCCTCGTAGCGTGGGGACTGCCGCATGCGGGCAGGAAACCAATCTTACAGTTCGTCGATGTTGGGGTGGAAGATGCGGTTCACAAAGCCAATGCTGGGGCTCTTGTATGGGTACTGGTCGGGCAGCTCGACGTGGATCTTCCATAGGCCGCCGGCGAAGGGAGCTGCAGGTAGCGAACAGGAAACGTTAACCAAGTCGGGCTCACAGCGGGGTATAGCAGCGCGAGTAGTCTATATAGGTGTTCCATACTCTCTTCCGGTCCCTTGAACCGCACATAGAACTCTTGCCTGCGATTCCGTCAGCCTGTTGCGCATTGCGTTGAGCTTCTCCGGATCGTGGGAACGAACACTGTAGGATACGTTAGCACCAAACAACGTGAAACAGGAGCCAAAGTACAGGTGTACTCACTGTTATCATTGACTAGAGTGACCTCATAGTCGCTCATCAGCCTGCGCGCGCATCAGTAGGGTCCAGCGACGCCTTGGAGGCGATTGCACATACATCCTGCCGACGTGTTAGCAGCTGTCCCCTTTGTCACTGACATCCTTCATCGGCTGTCCATCACGTACTTCATGACCTGTATTCGCCGCGCCGGAAGTGCTCCGTTAGCCCCTAGTCTTCCTTCCATTTCAAGCAACACACAACCGGAGTATAAGGATGACATACATCCGTCTCGATTCTCCTCTTAGGGCTGCTCATTGTGGCGAGTCTTCGGTGTTCGTATGCGTAGAGAAGTATTCGTGGGGCAGGCACTCAGGCACTCGCGGCGGGATCGGGGTGTTGAAGCAGTTGCGGCAAAGGCGGACGGAAAACAGTCGAGTGTAGAGTGGTAGCCGGGCCGATACTACTGGTGGCGTTCCGGGAGGGGGGACGAAGGCCGTTGTGGTAGCGCCGCAGACAATGGGACGGCGGGAACCGGAGGTAGATGGTGCGGTCGGCGGAGGGGGGGCGACGCTTTGAGCGAGGCGTGAGAGGTGGTTCGACTAGCGGGTTGGTGATGGCGAGGGGCGGCGGGGAGACAGCAGCCGTTGGATCTGCGAAGTTGGAAAGCAGGAAGGCGGAGAGGTTTGAGAGTGAGTGATGAGGTCGGGGAGATGCGCCAGGTGGGCAGCGGCCAGCAGGTCGGTCTCGTCATTGGCGCGCGGGCGGCAGTCACGCCGGCCGGGCCGTGTGAGGCCAAGTCATGAGGCGTGCGAGCCCGGCCGAGTGGGGAGTTGGGTGCGCAGAGAGTCGCCCGCTTCGTCCTGCTGCAGCGCGGGAGGTGCCGCATTGGTGCAAGCAGACAATGCAGTGCTTCTTCTTTGACCTGTCCATGCGTAGCCGCCTTCCAAGCTTGTGCTGGCTGACGTTGCACATGGAGGTTGGCTTTGGGGCATGACTCAAGGAGGCCGTATCGATAAGCCGTGGAGGAGCAAGCACCTCATCGACGCCGCACGGTGTCGAGCGATCGAGGGGCAGCCCTCAAGGTGCATTTTCGAAACAACACCCACAAACACTATACAAAGATGCACGCCCCGCCCGCGACCGGCAGCGGGCAGCCCTAGCAGCCTCGGCACCGTGGTACAAACCTGCTCACCTCAGCCTGACAGACAAAGACCGGTCTCCGAAGCTGAGCTTGCCGCATTGGTTGAGCGATAGTGAGAGGCTCCGGCCGGGCCGAGGGATAGGGCTCACGGGCACAACTCCAACGTACTCTGGCCTGCGCAGCAGAAAACATCACGAACCCAGCCCTTATAAAACCTTGCGCGCGCGGCCCACAATGGCTCTCCTGCTTCAACCCGCCGGTCGCAAATCCATCAGAACCGTCTTTTTCAATCCTTCTCCATCAAAATCCATCTCAGATACGTGATTTGAACTGCGATCCGGTTTGAAATGTCGCGTGCCGCCATGTCCCGCCTGCTCCCCTTTGCGCGTGGCCTTTCGCGCATGTCGCCTGTCGCCGCTGAACGCGCTCTGCTGCTACCACTTATGCAGGCGCGCCATAGCTCGCATTCGCCCATGGGCACGCCGGCGGCGGCGCAGCGCAAGAAGGTCACCATCAACACCCTACAGGCACTACACCGTAAGAATGAGCCTATCACCATGCTCACCGCCTACGACTTCCCCTCTGCACACCTCGCGGATCATGCCGGCGTAGACGTCGTCCTTGTTGGAGACAGTCTTGCCATGGTTGCCATGGGTATGGAGGACACAAGCGAGGTCACGGTTGAGGACATGCTGGTGCACTGTCGCTCTGTCGCGCGCGCAACGAAGTCTGCTTTCACCGTATGCTGCCCCACGGTCTTGGATATATCATGAATAAGTACTGACATTGTCCAACTCAGGTCGCCGATTTGCCTATGGGTTCTTATGAAATCGCCCCTGAGCAAGCCCTTGAGACTGCCATTCGCATGGTCAAGGAGGGTCGTATGCAGGGCATCAAGCTTGAGGGTGGCATCGAGATGGCACCCACAATTGCCAAGATCACTCGCGCCGGCATCCCCGTCCTCGCTCACATCGGATTGACGCCCCAACGCCAGAACGCTCTCGGCGGCTTCCGTGTGCAAGGCAAGTCCACGGCCGGGGCCCTCAAGCTGCTGCAAGACGCCCTTGCGGTCCAGGAGGCCGGTGCCTTCGCCACGGTGGTGGAAGCCGTGCCTGCCGAGATCGCGGCACTGGTGACGAAACAATTGAGCATCCCGACCATCGGCATTGGCGCCGGCAACGGCTGTTCCGGTCAGGTTCTCGTCCAGGTCGACATGCTGGGTAACTTCCCGCCCGGCCGCTTCATTCCCAAGTTCGTGAAGAAGTACGGTAGCGTGTGGGAAGAGAGCATGCGCGCCATTACCGAGTACAAGAACGAGGTCAAGTCGCGTGCTTACCCTGCCCCTGAGCACACGTACCCGATCGCTAAGGAGGAGGTCGCCGAATTCGAGCGATTGATCGCGGAGAAGGTGGAAGGGAATGCGAAGGCTGCGTGAGGATGATATTGATTATGGGTGGTCATGTGCGCTTTGTCTGCTGCTGTTTGATATACCCTGTCGCTACCTCTCTGGCGACGTCGTTGTCTCTTATATCCCTAGCATTGCGTGCGTAAGGCGTTGTCTGAAGATGTTTAGCTGTTGTCAGACGTAAGGAATTTAGAAAAACGAAGGAATTCCCAGCTTACCTGAACCTCCTGTTGCTCCTTCAACCAAATGCCGGTGTTATCGAATACGCGACCACAAGTTCGTCTTTCGTTTTGAAGCACTACAGAACCATGATCGTTAGAGTATTTCTTGGGAATCATGACGTATCGTCGCAAGGGGCAAGGAGGAGTTGCGGTGTACTCACCCTCCACAAGTTCCCAATTCCTTCATCCAAACCAGGCGCGAACACGCTGTTGACATAGCAGAATACGCTTTCGTGGTCTTGAACACGGAGCTGCTTCCGCAAGAACCGCACTACCGACTCAAAGCGCGCGGTCGATGATAGCTTTCTGACCGGTTGAGTGAGACCAGGCGCAGATCCGACGGCGCGGAAGCGAATCTTGACTGCGGGGCAAAAGCCGTGTCAGTTACCAGGATAGCAACTATAAGGCAAGTATGGAATGAACAGAGATAGGAAGAAATCAGCAGAAAAAAAAGAGGCGAGGGAATGAGGGGTAATGCCGGCGATAGACAGCGGGAATGCTCCACCGCCACAGTCGCAATGCCGCTCGCGAAGAAAACAGCACAACATGTAGACAGCGCTCATGACGAAGAAAAGCACCGCTCTCAAGAAACACAAGAACCGAAACAAAAACAGCAACCCACTCACCCTTCTCAACACCCACCTCCCCCGCGCCCTCCAGCGCGCTCTTGGCATCCTTAGGCAAGCTCGTCAAGATGACCGACGCCTGCATCGTCATCGGCAGGTCCGCCCCTCCCTCGCCCGAACCCTCGTCCGCACGCACGTCGGGCGTGGATGGCGAGGATTCCGCTCCGGGGATGGCTGGGGATTGCGGTGCAGGCGAGTCGGCGGCGGCACCGACGCCGGTGCTGTGGGTCGGTGGCGGGGAAGAAGACATGGTTGGGGGGCAACGTTGGATTAGAGAGAGAGAAAGAGAGGGTAGCTGTTTTTAGAAGAACGGTTGAAAGCCCCCCTTTGCCCCGTCGATTGCGATGGCGCGCGCGTGTTTGGCTCGTGTCTGGCTGGGTTTGAGGTCGTTGCCTGGGCGGATTGTGCGGCGTTTGGGCGCGAACGCTGGTTGGTGACGCCCCTCAGACGGAGCGGGGGGAAAACGCGTAAGGGAAGATCTGGTGAGGGTAGCAGTCGTATCCCGGGTCGGAAGGAAGGAATCCCCAGCCGAAAGCAGTGTCTGAACAGTGAGTGATCGCGGTTGAGGAATTGCGGTGCACGATTTCGGCAGTGGCCGGCCGCACGTCGTTGGCGCGGACTCACGCGTCCGTCTCCCCGCCATCCTCCGCGCACCCACCCTGCTCGAGAAATGTGACCAGCTGCGGATCTACCCGATATCTGTCCGGTAAGGCTGAACTGAGGAATGTACATACTGGTCTAGACAGGCCGGTTCCAGACCGCTTTGCAACGACTCCTCTGAAATGCTGCTAGCCTCTACTGCTGTCTGCCATACGTCATCCTCGCTGATCCACTCTCGTCTCACTTCACCACTGCTGGTATTGCATTTCACCTAATGAAGCGTACGTTCAAAGTCTGGATCCGTTATGTTCATATACCCAAAGTATGTACACAAACCGATGCGGTTCAGACATTAGTAATCGATCGTTTTCTCGACCGTCCTCATTTCCTCATTTCCACCAGCCAGCAACAAAGCCAGCATAAAAGCAATAGTCCCAGCTCCGTCATCGTCATGGTACCAACGCCAGCTATCCACCCAGAAGACATCCCTCCCAGAATCCGTGATAGCAAAGTCGATCAACGCAAGGTATTTTGTAGCCGCCAGAAGAATCTACATGTACAGTGATCACGAGCCGTAGCTTCGTGGGTCATTTCGTTTGAGGGTTAGAAAAGGGGAATGCCAACTGGAAGAGAAAATGCGCCATGTCATGCAGTGGAATGCGCCGCAGAGGCGAATAAAACAGTTGTTTTTGGGGGTATTTTTGAATAGGCACGCAGAAACGTACGGGGGATTTGGAAGCGGACCAAATGACCGGGAGCTTCCAAACACCAAGCTGTATGGCTTTCACGTTACGAAAAGGAAATACTGTTGGTCGGACGGAATTGCACGGCACGCGGTTGACGACCAATCATACGTCGGACGAGACGAGCTCGGTGCTTGTGACTCCGTCTTGTCGTGATCGGTCGGGCTTTGTACAGAGCCGCGTCATAAGGAGGGTCGAACCAGTTGGCTGAGCAGACTGTCGAGATCCTTCCAGTTCTCCTGGGTAGTCGCAAACTTGCGATGCTTGCGGCTGACGACGTGCTGTACCCCTAGTTAGCTTCCTGAAATCATTGCTCCGAGATAGAAACTTACAGTGTCAAAGTCATCAAACTTCTCGCGACAATTTTCGCAATATCCAGGCTTGGGTTCTCTCTCGAGCGACTTCTTCCTACGGGGGACAATCACCCTGCGGCCGCCCTGTTTCTCGACCTCTTCTGGATCGGGTACGCCGGTGATATTCGCCTGAGCCTTGCTCTTCGCAGCTCGAGGCGGAGCACCACGATCACCATTGATTGCCGCTCTAATATCTGTCATATACGTGGAAGTCGTGCTGTTGGGTGCACTGTTCTTCTCCAGGACCTTCCTGCTTAACTGGTTGAGTTCTTTGCTGGTTCCAGCACGACCACCGGGGGCAGCAGCCGTGGAGGAAATCATTTGAGACTTGATGGCAGACGTGATGTTAGATGGCTGAACACCAGAAGCGATAGGTTCACCACCAGCATAGCGAGGCATTGCACGCAAGCTAGCTTGAGCACTGCCAAAGAGTGGGGGAACACCATCCGGTTCCCTGCGCTTGGCAGGGATGAGCTTCGGTGGATCAAGTGGCTTGGACAGAATTGTATCAGTAGACTCCTCTGTCGTCACGCTACCACGCCTTGACACGCTGTTGTTCTCAGTCAGCGTTCGCTTCGGCTCGAGCCTGGGAGCACGCTGCTTCGCTGCCTCCAAGGCTGCAGACGCAGAGCGTGTACGGGGTGGTGCAGCGGGCCGATCTGGCTTCTGCTGAGTTGTCTTTTGTTGCTCCTGCAATTGCCACTTCCTCAATTGTTGCGGGTCTTCCACAAATGGGCACCTTCCAGGAGCGGTGAGACGGAATTGAGGCCACTTTCCTTCCTCCTTTACAGACACCTTAGGATAATCTCTCATGATAACGGGGCGGTACTTCTCGTTCATGCAGTGAACATAGACATAGTAGCCACGGAAATGGGCCATGTCCTTGGTGGAGACAGCGAGGTCGCGGTCAGCCGGGCCATTGACCTTCTCGTTTTTCAAGAGTTGAGACAGGTCGGCACCGCGAGATTTGGAAGCAGTGACTGCCGTGCTTCCACGAGTGTTGTAGGCAGGAGGCTGCTCTCCAGTATCCGTGTTGAACATGGTGTTCAGGATCCTTTCCAGCTTCTCCAGGGCCCATATCTTCATACCCATCTCCCTCGCCTTAACAAGGATGTCGCCATTGTGGCTACCCCGCGTTCGCGGCTCGGCATCGTGTAAGACACTGGGGTCAAGTTAGCCACTAAGTATAAGCCCGGGGAGTGAGAGACATGCACTTGTGCATTGGAGACGCCCGGCTTCCTCGCAGCAGCAAGCTCGAGGGCGAGCCTGGTACGTGCACCTTGCGACTCGGTCGACCGGTCGAGGAGCGAAGGATTAATGGTTCGCAGCTGCCCCGTTTCATCCTGCGCAATGATGGCAGTGGTCGAAGTCCGACTATCAGTCGAGTTCGACGCGGGCTGCTCGGGGGGAATCTGACGCGTCGTGATGACGTGGGTAACCGACTTTGAGAAGAACTTCTCCTCACGCTAAAAATGCAAGAACGTCAGTATGCTGGGAACAAGCACTAGGAAGGTGGGTGACGCACAGCGCCCAAAGCCAGTATTTGTTTTGTTGCTCTGGCCCGTGCATCGGCGGGTGTATTCTCAAAGTAAAAGACGTATTGCGGGAAGACCTTGCGATAGTGCTTCTGCCATTGGCGGATAGTCTCGTAGTTATCCGGAAGGGTCTTCTGCGGCCTGTCGGCCGGCTTCTGGCTGGACTTGGTGTCGCGTGCTGCCTCCAACTTCTTGTGCACGGCAGACGCCGGGGTGTGACCAGCGTTTTTCAAAAGGGTCTGACGGCGAGCATCCACGTCATTTTCTCCCAAGTAGAGCTTCTTCGCAGGCGGCTGGCCAGCATACGCGGCGTCCCTCTGTTCACTCGCGTGGGAACGCGGTCGCTTGGTGGCTGTTGCCGCGTTCGGGCGGCAGGGCGAGTTGGTGGCATTGGGGACGCTGGCGAGCGGGACTCGACGCGACGACGTCATGTTGGACAGAGGCCGCGGCGATGGAGGCACGGAGACTGCTGCCATGCGTGAGGACAGCTCGACTAAACGAGCTGGCGGGCGGCGGACGTAAGATGACAGAGCAAGCAGCTCACGCGTGTGGTGCTGCGACACGTCAAGACGCCTTAGCAGTGGGCGATGTACATGGCGTCGGGCGACGTGCCGAAGGTGAGGGACGGAGCGATGGTGGAACGAGCGGGCCGAGGGAGTCGTCGATTGGCCTTATGTGGGGGGTCGGAGGAGGTTGGAGTCGCAAGCTTGTTGTGGCTGCGGTCTGCGGTGGTCAAGCATGCAGCCGCGCTAGGCCCACGAACGCCTGCGACGAAGCGAGCGCCGTCCCCGGCAACGCGATGCCCCCCTACGTCAATAAATCTTCACAACAACGGCCGCACGCGTCCAGTCAATTCAATCACCGTCGCACTTCCTACGCTACGCTCTGGAACGAAAACTTTCCACATTCGCCAGCATGCGCCTAGCTACCCCCCAAGCGCCCCGATCGCGTGTGTTCCACAGACCAGCAGCCGGCCCGCGGCCCTTCGGCGGTCGATCTCGCCCCAGCAAAACAACAACGTAAACACAACAACAGAAGCGGGATCATCCGGTCCCATGGTGGCCATAATGCGGGCATGAATGGATAAACGCTTCTTGCCGTTGGCCAAGACGTTTTTGTGGGTGTAATTTCCCTACCTGCATTGGCAGGCATGAAGACTGCGGCCCTCATCTTTGCTGGATTATCATCAAAGAAACTCCTTCTATCATGCGTTTGAAATCCCGAGCCCTCCCATGGCATTCCATCCTCTGGCCCCAGGGCTAGACGCTCACTAGATCAGCAGTCGCTTCTTTTTCAGTCTAAAGAACCATGGCGCCACCTGCAGATACAATCAGTCATCGTTATATTCGGGTCCACGTGTCCATCAGACTCACCGTCCACAAGGAGATCAGCGCCATTGATGTAGCTGCCCGCATTCGAAGTTAGTAGGATGAGGGGCCCCGTAAGCTCCTCAGGAACTCCCATTCGCCCCATTGGATTGCGGGAGGCCCACGCGTTGCGTGCCCTCTCCAGACCTGGTCCTTCGTTGAGGATTGTGTCCATGTAGCCTGGGCTGATGGTGTTCACACGAATACCATAGCGGGCCCACTCAGCTGCGAGGCAATCCTTCAGATGAACGACTGCAGCCTTGGAGACGTTGTATGCGACCTGGGGCTGCGGGAAATTGACGTGGTGTGCAGAGATGGCTGCCGACGAAATCAGCTCTGCTCTTAAAAGCTGTACCCTTGGACCTACAAGCAATGAAGACAATTGAACCCTTAGTCTTCTGCTCAACCATCTGCCTATCGTATTGTCAGCAATTGATCTAACTTCGGCCAATTGCGACCTACTTGGCAGCAGCTTGCGCGCAGAGGAAAGCACCGGTAGAGTTTATGTCCATGACTCGGCGCCATTCGTCTGGCGACATCTCCAGCGCGTGGGTGCATCCTACGACGCCAGCGAAGCATGCAAGAATGTCAACACTTCCAAGCTCTTCGGCAGTCTCCTTCACAGCAGAATTGATGCTCTCTGGAGCAGTGACGTCCACTTTCTTAGCAACGACCTTCTGGTCCGGGAAATCCTCGCGCAACTTTTGGATCTGCTCTTCGGCGTGCGCCGGGTTGATGTCGAAGAGCGCCACACCGCTCGCACCATGTTCGAGAAGAGCGCGAGCGCCTTCTAGCGCCAGAGTTCCAGCGCCGCCCGTGACTGCAGGAATCAGCCCACCATTGCATAAGCCCCGAGTGTGAGTAACGTCACTTACGTATGGCATTGCCTTCGACGGCGAACCGGTAACGGGCTCTCCCCTCGGCATTCAGATAATGAGGCGCGGGTGGTGGCGGGCCGGTCATCGAGGATGCCGAGCCGTCGGATAGCTGCATCTCGGGCAGCTGGCGATTGACCAGAGCATCGCGGGCGTCGGCGTTTGCAGGCATGCTTGGCGAGGTTATAGTTTTGACTCGTGGGCAGAATTGAGGTAGGGTTCAAGGGCTGAGCTGACTTTGAGAAAAAGCAGGACCGCGGACTCTATATTGTGCTGTGGTGTTGCTTGTGGTACCCCGCGACCCCGCGATGCATGACATAACAGCGCTCCAGTGTTGTTCGGACTGGGTCACCCTTCCCGACCCGCACCGGCGGGCACCGACAGGCAGGTCGCGCGAACGGCAGGTTTGGCGACACGTGAAGAAAAATGGCAGCAGCCGTGCCGAGACGGCGACTGGTAGGTGGAATGTCGGACGCGTCCGCCCCGACGACTATTTCCCGCGGGCGCGGGAGCCCTCCACGTGCAGGACGCGGCACCTTCTCACCCACGGCGGAAGCACATGGATCACGCGCCCTCTACCGTACGGCAACGCAACGGTCCGATTGCACCTGATGCCTACTTAGCGCCGCGTGCTCGCCGCTCGGATCTCCCTGCGTGTACAGCTAGGTACAAAACCGCCCAGCACTACGCCTCCAAGCCGCACCCTACGTAGCATGGCTAGCCATACGCCTCCGCGGCTATCTCGCGGTCCAAGGGAGCAAATAAGCGGTGGCCGCGGCGCCGCCATTGGCTAACGCCCAGCTGCCACCATCTCCAGACATTATTTCCTCTCTCGTTTACATGCGCTGCTTACGCATGACTGCTCCCTTTGTTGTCATGGCCTCTTTATAAGCGGACGCTTTGTCCCACTTGCCTTTGCACAAGCAAAGGGCCGAGAGCTTTCCATTTCTTTCCCTTGTCTGTTTTCTCTCTCTACGCTCCAAAACCAGCCTACCCGTCGCCGCCTACCGGCCGCCGCCTGCTGCTAGAGCGTCGTCATTAGCCCTTACCAATACCATCCACGCAAAAAAAATCCCCCACCCACTCTCGGTTCCCCCGTCCAAACAATGCCGGCTCCAAAGATGTCATCCGACGACATCCTCGCGCTGCCGCCGCGGCTACCCGAAGTGGAGCAGTGGCGCGACGAGCCCGTCTCTCTGCTGCCGGCCGCGCTGTACGCCCTGACCGACCTGCCGGATGCCGCTGCCGACCTGGTACGGCTTCAGGACGCGTGCGAGGCCAAATGCGACACGCACCACCGCGGCGAGTGCGTGCGGCCGCCGCCCGACGGCGCGTGGAACTTCGCCGGCCAGACGATGGAGGCCGTCGTGCGCCACCACCTCGAGCTGGCCAAGGGCCGCCAGTTCGACCCGCTGCACTTCGTCGTCGTGGCGGCGGCGTCCGGCGGCGGCGATGACGTGGTGCTATTCGTCACGCTTGACGCGGACGACGAGCAGGAGGAGTGCGTGCCCGACGCCTTCTGGGTCAAGGCCGAGGATGCGGGGCTCTGCTTCATGAACATGGTCATCGGGAGCGCGGACTGGTACGAGCAGAAGGCGCAGCATGCGTTGAAGAAGTAGACGGATTGTCAGGTAAAGATCCGGAGCTAGCGCCCCGCTCTTCTTGCTGCATGCTGACGACTATCAGAAGAGACCCTGCATATGTATGTCTTGCAGGATCGATGAAGAGTGGGTGCGGGGAGTTGTAGTACCTTGGTTGAGTCCAACCCGCGCGCACAATCCCGCCTCGAGCACGATGGTTGTCCGCACTTTACGAAGCCACTTCCACGTCTGGACCAGCAGGAACGATGGACGACCGAATAGAAGAGCCGATTCGAGTGGACGATGACATTTCGTATCTTTCTAATTGGAGTATACACCAAGAGAAGACGGCCATTTCCTAGACCAACTTCGGCGAGGAGGATCAAAAGAGGCGGAGACGCTCTCGACATCTATACCAGGAGCGAACACCAATACTGGAAGCATATTTCATCTAGGAGGTGAGGAGAACCATGGATCTAGACCAAGCTCGGAGGGAGTTCGATTGGTCGATAGACGATAACCTGACGCAAGATGGTAATGAGGAGCTACAAAGTCATCATGACTAGTCGCTCGAGTCGAAGTCTCAATGTACGATATAGGGGTGTGATATCCAGACTTTCGGTGGTAGACATGGCTAGATTTCTTTCTACAAGAACACGCTTTCGCAAGAATGTTTAGTTCTAGCATCCAATTAATTGTTTGGTATCTAATCGGCTTTGGCCGTCAACAATGCCGCCGAGCAAAACGCTACTAGGTGTTCCTCCCCCGATCCTCCTGGATTGTGGCACGTTCCTCTCTCCCATTAAGCAACCCCCCGGCGAACGTTCGGAAGATCAGCAAGATTGACACACATCTCCCGAGCGAAACAGTTACAAGAGACACGGGAATAAGGAGCTTATCTATAGTAATCAACACCAGTTGATTACTCTCGGTCCCTGGTTTCCTTCGATAAGCACTAGGAGTCCTCAAGCAGCAGCGGCCCTTCCGACACCACAAGTAGGCTTGTCCGCCTATCAGGACGATACAAAGACTCGTCAGAAAAATCCTGGTGGAGTTGCCCGGTTGAACGATCTTCCCACGGCTTAGCGCAGCTGACCGGCCATGCAAGGGAAAAAAAATTTGTTTGGGTTGGGTCTTGCGTGCATGAACTAGCGCTGTGGGAAATGACGACGGACCGGGACGGCGTAGGGCTGGACGTCAGCCTTGTGCGTCAACGCCATTCCCGGTGGAGGCTCAGTCAAGCCTCCTCCAGAAAAAATTTCAAAATGCAAAAAAAGGACCACTCGAGACCATGCCGGTGGGAAAAGGGGCTTGCAGCTCAACAACATGTGTGTGCGCAAATGTCGGCTTGTTTCATGCAGGAGGGTCTCCGGTGGAGTCCCCGGTATACCGCTGTCGACACGGAGAAGCATGTGGTGGGGAGGAGCACGCGATGTTCGTACACGGCCTCTCTTCGACCTGCCCTTTTGGGAGCGCTTCGGCTGCGGCTCTTCCGCAACATGCATAAAGTGCGTTTACTAAACGAGGAGACAGCTTGTCAACGTGTCTTGGCCGACCGCTGGCTGTCGAGGGACCCACAAGCCGATGGGGGGTGGACGCCACTTTCTGCGGCACGGAACGAGTTCTGATGTGAGAGCTGAAGAGAGGCGGATCCTCGGGACGGCTTTAGGCATCTCACTAATCTTTTGGCCTTTCCGCACCCCCGGACAAATAGTAAGCGCCCTTTTTTACGTCAAAGCCGCGGTGGGCGGACGATTCGGACCTTCCTCACGTGGTGGCTGCTTTTAGTGGCATCGGCCCAAAGTCTGGGGATCGGCGCTGTCTGGACTCTCACGATGTCTGGGCGGTCCGAATGTGCTGGACTTTCTTCAAACGTCGCGATGGATATAACGTGGGTTTAAGGCGAGCGGGAATGAGGCCGAGGCGACTACTCTCTTGAAGGAATAATCTTCTCGGGTTCGGGTGCATCGTCTCGAGCCACAAGGTCGGTGCGCTTAGTACTGTAGCAGTAAGAATGGTCAATTTAAGCGACCATCTAGACGTGGATGTACGACACGTCAGTGAGCAAACGTCACGGAAAAGAGCTTTAAGGGCCTTGAACAAGCTTCAATATTAGGTGAATCGACCTCGTGTGCCGGCAAAATGCATTGATTATGTGATTATGCAACGATTGCGTCACTTCTGAATTTCACACAGAGCATAAAGGCAGGTGAGTTTAAGAGAATATGTTCAATAGGTGTTACTATTCACAGGCGAAACTCACTGAGTCTCAAACTTTGGCTGACTTCATCGGACCAAATGAACTGTCCCTGTTGTAAACTCCTCCTTAAGAAATCTCGACAAAGAAGCCAATCGGGCAATCAGGACCCTCGCTCTGGGTGAAGCTGAGGGTGCTGTCCTTGCTGCAGAGGCTGCCACTGACGGTGGTCGGGCGGGACGGATCAGTGACGCCGCAGGGACCGGAGAAGATAGTGTAAGCGTTGCCAGGCAGAATTTCCGGAGGGCTGGGAGGGCCTGTATAGGTACATGGTTAGTCTTTTGCTCTTTGATCTCATATTCTGCTCGAAGACCATTTGGGAGAAAGGGAGGAGGGCAACTTACTGGGACCCGGTGCGGGCTGGTGGTTGTAGGTAGTGGTGTCGTCCGCACCGACGCCGGTAGCGTAGCCGGTGAAGTTGAAGTGGCCCGGGCCGGAGAAGTGGTACCACTGGTGGGCCTGCTCCTGCGTGGGTAGTAGGAACTTGAGAGTGCAGGTCTTGCCGGCGGCCGAAGGGGGCAGCTCGAGGTTGGTAATGAAGCAGAGATCGTTCGGCGTAACCTTGGGCGATAGCGAGGGAGGGAAGTGCTGGTCAGGCCTCTTGGCGCTGATCTCGTAGTATCCGCAGGCCGACACGTAAGGAGGGGTCAGAGTGCCACCGACTGGGCAGCAGTCGTCGTCCTGCTGGTTCTTGGGAATGGCACTGGCAGCGGTGAGGCCGAGGAGGGGCAAGAGAGTAAGGAACTTCATGTTGGCGATTGGGATTGAGAAACTCTGAAGTGAGATGCGGATGTTTGTATAGAGTTTGTGCAAGGTTGAGCAAAGTGATGGAGCCTTTGATCTTGCGAGGTGAGCCTGAAGAATCAATTGAACGTTCGCTTTGGCCAGCTATTTAAACCTTTGCTCAAGTCGGCCTCTGATAAATTTGGCGACGGGATACCCCGATGGCCATGTCATAGGCAGGGAGCCTTTTCGCCTTACTGCCAGGCACGAGCAGCAGGTATTGCTTGTTGGTGGTGACATAGTTCAGCTACTGCAAGCAACCGACGCATGTCAGCACAAAAGAAGCGATGAACTACAGGCCACTTCCCCCTTGTGGAAAGTAGCAACAGAGTTTGGGTAAGGATGCTCGGCCGACGTTGCTTGATCCCAGCTCAAATGCTTGACTGGCTGCGCGGGATGCAGGAACGGTGTTGCTTGGTGCTGTTACCGGGAGATGATGTTTCGCCTGTGGCGCCGCAAAAGCTCGTAAAATCAACGGGTCCCCTCCGCCATCCCCGGGGCCGAAGCGAACCGGGCTCAAGCCTTTTTGAGTAGTCGTCCAACCATAGTTTAGTACAGGAAATTGGAGGATGTGCAGAGGCGCAAAAACTTTAAAACTACCCCGCAAATTCCTTCTGCCGTTGTGTTGCGTCTGACTTCCTTCCCATCGAACAAACAAGTTTCTAGTCAGCTTACTGTGTCCCAAGTCTATAGTGCTTACGACTGTGGAGAAACATCATGTACAATTTATTGAACACTCATTTTCTTTTGGCCAGCTGAACTCAAAAAAGGGATTTGAATTTCGTAAAGTGCATGCAAGGGAGAATTCCGAGAAGCATCTGGATCAACCTTAACCAAGGAGACGTGCAGGGACGTCCACATTCTCCTGTAGATCCTCGTAAAAATGATTCGCAAGATTCAGCTCAGCTCTTGATCTCAAGCCATCGTCATTGAACCTTGGGCATCTACCCAAATCTTTGATCTGAGTGGCCGTTCCATTATTCCCATCCAGCCTGGGCACAAGTCTAGAGCGGAAGGGTCTTTCCGTAAAAACTGCTCAAAGACACGTCGTACGAGCAAAATATGCAAGAGGCTTGGATAGCTCCAAATCTTGAGAGTCTACATTCCGGACTGCAGTTAGCACCTATAGCTGAACCCATTGCTGTTGTATCAAAGGAGTCGTAATAATCTGCTCCGGGCTGATGCAGTGAGAATAGCTCCCGCGCTTCTATTCCCGTTAAGTTATGCATGATGGTCAGATCGGTATACACTTCCGCACGTGGCTGTGTGAAACATACGCGGTGATCGGCAGGGCGCAAAAGTCCAGCTGCATAAAAGATGCTGACACGGAAGAAAGCGGAGGCTTTGAAGTGCTTGACGTACTCCCTCCGTAGCCAAGATATGACATGCTTATTCCAAGCCGTCAACCAGCTTCACAACATGCTTTCGGTTGTATCGCAACCCACCTATTCCCATCTATCATCACTCACCCACAGAAAATCGCTTAGTCATCTTGTTGATGCCTGGGGCAGCCATCCTTCGGAGAAATCGGCCACCGAGACGCAGTACAAAATTTCGCTCTCAAGCCTCAACCAAACATCCCACCCTTCATTACTTTACAAATCCCACTTCTTATTTCGTTCACCGCATCGGCTTTGGTACGCTTCGGATCTTGCCATTGCGCGCAACGATCAGTCGGTAGTGCCACCGGTCAGTCGCCTGTTAGCGCATCGCCGCTACTACCTCTACCGCCGTTGCCGGCATCCTTCACGCTACTCCAATGTTCCGAGTCATAGCGTGGAGAGACTGCCGGCAACGGCTGAGTATGGTGATAGGTACGTTCGCAACGATATTCCCTTCGCATTTCCATCCCCCGGAATGATCCCTAAATGATGACTGCGCTTTTTTTCTGTTTCAGCCCCATATGATCTATAATGATTATAATGTCGCGAGTTGAGAATACGCTGAAAGTGGATCTCTTGCATCTTTTGTTATTCACAAAAGCTTCTGCGTAACAAAGTTGCTGACCTTTGTTCTGTAGGATCATGTTCTAGGCTCTATGACTGCAGAGGGCGCATGTCCTGGTACCGAGGGCATGTGCCGAGTTTCATGGAGGAACGTTTGGGGTGGAAGGAACGTCATCTTGAGATACCTAATAGCTTATTGAATGGAAGATTCCGTTTTGATCATTCATCCTACCCTGAGTAGCGAACCGAGTTACATCCATTCGAGAAAGCCTTCGCTACCTTGTCCGTTCTTTACACTTCGATCTACTCTTCATCTTCCGTCTCCTGCGTCTGCGACCACGGCGGCGGCGGAGGCAACGAGAACTCATCCCCCATCGATCCCTGCTGCATCATCATCTGCGTCGCCGTCACCAAACCCTCTACTCTTCTCACAACCCGCGCACCTGCCACCCCCTTCTCAACGCTCTCCACCTCCCTCCGCCCCACCCCTTGCGAATCAGGCACCCTGTCCTGCTCGTCCCCGTCCCCGTCCTCCTCGTCTTGCGTCTGCGTCTGCGGCTGCAGCAAGATCTGCTTGAGATGCAACTGCGTGGGCTGCGAGGACGGGATGCGCTCATCGGCCGAGATGTTGCTGTAATACGTTTCCGGCAGGTAGGACGATTGCGGCGGTTGTGAGGAAGGAGGGGCTTCAGCGGGATCTGGTTTGACGAAAGGACCGGGAGAAGTTTGCGTGGGACTGTCGGTGGTGGTGGCTTGAGAGGGCGGAACAGGGCAGGAAAGAGGGGGTGGTTGTTGGTGTTGACCCTGCGTGGAGGAGTCCCAGAGCTGCAGCAGTTGCGGCTGTTGCTGGGTTTCGGGCTCCCGCTTTATCATAGGTATCGGTGAGGAAGGGGAGGCGTGGGCTGGTGATGGCGGTGCTTCTTGTGGCGTTGCTGGCGCTGGTGATGGGTGTTCAGCTTGGGTCTGCTGCAAACGTTGATGGGCTTCTTCGTCGTAGTTGAACGATCTATTGGCGGTGCTATCAGGCTGTGGAGGAGAACCGTCCTCATCCTGCGTGCTTTCTTCGCCGGGATCGGGCTCTGCTGTCGGCGGCGCTGAAGCGCAGTTGAAGTCGATGCGGCGGATGTAGGCTTGCGTTTCTTGACCGATGTCAATCCCAGCCACGGCGTTGGCGACGTCTTCATTGTCGTCTTCGTCGGTATTGTAATCATCCTCGCTATCGGCAACCTCGCTCGAGGCCGGCGAATGTAGACGGCGCTTATTTGTAGAACTTGGAAGCTGGTCCTTGAATGTAACCGCCTTCTTTGCGCTTTGTCTTATTGATGTTGGTGCAACTTTTGGTGTTTTGGAAGGAGAATCCAAGAGGCTTTGCGGATTCGCGGAAAGCGGATGTAATGGAGACCTTAATAACCTCCGTCGTTCATGCGTATGGATAGCCGATAACGGAGTAACTGGTGGCGATTGTGAAGATGGGACTTCGAGTATGCGGACTTTTCGCGGTGTATGCGGGGGTTGCTGGCCTGTTCCTGGTTGACCCTTGTGTTGTCCACTACTAGCCTGAGATCCTGCTTCCGTTCTTTCTCCTAGCCTTTTCTGCATGCTCATCTGTTCACGAGCCCTAGGTGTGTCTTGCATAGACTCAGATCCGTCAGCCTCGACATCTTCTTGTTCAATTCCTTCATCGTCAGAAAAGCCATTGAATTCCTCCTCATCCGAGGCCAGAACAGCTGTATGTCCCCCCGCATCGAATTCGTCAGGGCCGTCGATGTTTGATGTGGTCTCGCCCGGCTCTTCTGCGTCGCTTGCTTCACTGCCATTTTCATTCTCTTCACTGTCTGATGGCGGAATAGTAGAAATCCATCCAATCTGGGTAAGGGTATTTTGCGATTCAGTCTTCGGAGGAAGTGTGGATCTGCGACTCCGTTTTTTGGGGCGTGGCTCGTCAAATTCATCTTCCGAGTCTCCTATCGCGGGCGGAGCAAAAGGAGATCCTCTCTCATATTGGGTAAGAGTGATTTGCCTGCGCGATGGCGGTTGGGATACATTGCGTCGCTTTGGTGCACGGGAATGCTTCTGTCGAGAGCCAGAGCCTCCTGGGTAGTAAGCGGTGCCTTCGGCAGCAGCTCGCCTACGCGCAGACCCGGACATTGAAGCTGAGAGCGGAACGAGAGCGAGATTATTGGGTTGATGAGGACTCGGCAAGGAGTACACGGAGAATGTTAGTACTTTGGAGACGCGTCGACGCGTCGCAGCTGGCCCGTGCACGCGTCACAGATTGGCGTCACACAGGGCTGCGCTCACTTCTCACCTCCCCGCTCGCTCCGTTCGGAAAGGGCATGCAGCTGACCGAGTTGGCCCTGTCTTCTCACTACAGGGACCGGACTTCCCCCTCGGCCTGCGGTCCGCCATGCAGCCCGCCATGCAGCCCCCCTTCGTTCCGCACGATTCCCCCACATCCCGAAGCAGAAGCTCGGCCGCCACATGCAGCTAAGCACGCAAGCCGACGGACGAGCTCGACGGCAATTGCGTATGTCAAGCCGGACATTTTTGGTACATAACAAAATAATAGCATGCGTCTTCCTGCATTCTGCCATTGACTCCCCTTTCCCCCTTGGTGCCAGTTGCAATCATGCCAAACGAAATCAAGGACATCTACACGATCGACGAGAAGTCGTTCCCCTACATTGTCGAGCAGAATGCGACGGTGCAATTGAAGTCGAGCGAGGGCCTGTGCCGCGTGAACGTCTACCGTCCCAAGGGCTCAGAAAAGGTTCCGGTGCTGGTGACGTACGGGCCGTATGGCAAGGACATCCACTACAAAGAGTGAGTCGATCAGAGCTCGGAGCTACCCCGCAACTCAGCTCACACCCAACACCCCAGCTTCCACGCCAAGTCGTACTCCGAAGTCAACCCCGAGCACCACTCCGACCATTCTGCCTGGGAAACACCCGACCCCAAGTTCTGGACGAGCCATGGCTATGCGGTGGTGCGCGCCGACGAGCGCGGCCTGGGACAGTCGCCCGGTCTGCTCGACACCATGTCGCGCGGCACGAGCGAGGCCTTCTTCGACGTCGTCGAGTGGGCTGCTGAGCAGCCGTGGTCGTCGGGCAAGGTGGGCTTGCTGGGCATTTCCTACTACGCCGGGTCGCAGTGGCGCGTAGCAGCGCGCAAACCCAAGGGCTTGTCGGCCATCGTGCCGTGGGAGGGCATGTCGGACTACTACCGCGACCGCTGCAGGCACGGCGGTATCCTGTCGAACGGCTTTATCAAGTTCTGGTGGGACCGCCAGGTCATCACCAACCAGTATGGACGGCCTGGACGCGCGGCACGGAACTGGGGTCCGGATACCATCGAAGGTGACCTTGGAGAGGAGGAGCTGGCAAAGAATCGCCGGGACCAGAACATCGACAATGCGGAGAACACTTATCGCGACGATCTATACTACGCCTCCAAGGAGTACGACATGGCAGACATCGAGGTGCCGCTGCTCTCGGTTGGTAACTGGGGAGGCATCTTGCTGCATCTCCGCGGCAACGTTGAAGGCTTCGTAAACGCTGGCTCTGAGTTCAAGTACCTCCGCATGATTACTGGTCGCCACGACCTGCCCTTCTACTACACCGAGGAGGTCGAGGTGCAGCGCAGCTTCCTGGACGCCTTCCTCAAGGGCGAGGACCGCGTTGGCTGGTCCGTCAAGGGCAAAGTACCACCCGTCGACATCGTCCTTCGCAAGGGCGACGTCGGCTTCAACGATGCCAAAGCCGAGAAAGCCTACCCGCGCCGCACGGAAAACGAGTGGCCCATCGCCCGCACCAAGTGGACGAACTTCTACCTGACATCCGACCAGCAGCTGACGCGCGTGGAACCACTCCACACGCCGCCCAAGAAGCTGTCCTACCGCGCGCTCGGCACCATCGACAACCCATCGCTCGTACAGTTCACCACGCCGCCCTTCGAAGAGGAGACAGAGATCACAGGCAACGTGCTCGCGCACCTCAACGTCTCGGTCAGCGCCGACGCGACGGGGCCGACGCCCTCGGACATCGACCTGTTCGTGACGCTGCGCCACCTGTCGCCCGCCGGCACCGAGGTCTTCTACACGGGCACGGCTGGCGACCCCGTCCCGCTGACCAAGGGCTGGCTGCGCGTCTCGCTGCGCAAGACCAACCCGGACCACCCCAAGCATCGCCCCTACCTGCCGTGGCGCGAGTACCTCAGCACCGACCGCCAGCCCGTCATCCCCGGCGAGGTCTACGGCGTCGACGTCGAGGTCTGGCCCACCAACGTCGTCGTCGAGAAGGGCGGCCGCCTCGTCTTCGAGGTCGCCAGCGGCGACACGCAGGGCAGCGGCATCTTCACGCACGCTCATCCCGTCGATCGCAGCGAGGAGAAGCTCAGGGGCGTCAACCACATCGTGTTTGGACCCAAGTTTAGCAATTATGTCACCCTGCCCATCATTCCGCCCAGGTTTGGTGCGTGAGGAGGGTCGATGATGAGATGGAGATGGAGATTTTTTTTTTCAGATATAGCGTCATTAGAGTTCAAATGACCATGAAGATTAACGAGAGATTACCAAAGCCTATCTACATTATATGTGCAGTGAATTCCTTCACTGTGTGTCCTTCCTATACAGCTATTTATAGGAAATTTGCAATCTCTGTGGTGAAGTACGGAAGTCGGGAATCATTCTGTGGCTTCTCCGTACTCACAGTAGCGTCCTTTAACCCTAGCTGTCTCGCTTTTAGACAGTTACTCAGAAAGTAAACTAACTCCCTAAGATATAGGGAAGTATAACGGCCACAAGTTGGCTTTGTCAAATAAATGAGCAACACCTGACCGGATATGCAGAGGAGAACGAAGTATCGTTCGAACGGAAAAAAAAAAAAAGAGAAACAAAGGGAGGTATCACAACTTATCAACCATCCTAACCCTCATCATTAGAAAACACACGCTGCCGATACTCCTCAACCGTCGGCGCTCTCCTCACCCACCTCACATAGCACGGAGGCATGCGATCCGTCCTCCGCAAAATATAATCATACAAGCTCTCCGGCCAAACCTTGACAAACGACCCGGCCACAGGCCTTCTATCGTCGTCATCGTACGGCCTATCCCCCGCCCTCACGCCACCGAGAATCGAGTACTGCAGCACGGCAGGCGGAAAAGCCGGATACGTCGGCGGCAGCAGCTCGTCTTCCAGCGCCGGGTCGAGCTGCGGTCCTAGTCGCCGCCGCTGGGGGTCGAAGTCGACGCATTCGTGGAAGAGCACGTCTTTGAGGCGGGGGAAATGTAGCGCGCGCATGCGCTCGTAGACGCGCGGCCATGTGTCGACGACGACGTCGCTGTCGCTGTTGTCGCTGCCGACGAGCATGCAGAATTCGAGGTGCAGCGATTCTAGCTGGGGTGCGAGGGTGGCGAGGAGCGAGAGGAGCGTGGCGGAGGTGGTTTTGATGCCGACGAGCATGATGTCTTTCAGGGCGGGCCAGGAGGTAGTGGTGGTGAGGAGGCTGGCGAGGACGTCGTCGTGGGCGGCGGTGGTGGTGGTGGCGCGGGGGGAGGAGGTGGTGGTGAAGGCGCTGCGGGGCGCGGCCCAGGATTCGCACTTGTATATGTGGTACTGAAGGTGGTCGAAGTCTTCGTCCCATCTAAGGGTGATGCTGATGCGCTCCAGGCGGCGTGCGGCGGCGGCGCGCAGGAAGCTGGATAGCACGTCGGTGCTTTGGGCGTTGGGCGGCGACATCAGGCCGCAGAAGCCGATGTTGATCTCGAGGCTCTTGAGGTGGTGGAAGGCGTCGGTCATTAGGTCCTTTTGCAGCGGTAAGAGGCTGTTGGGCGGCGGCGTCGTGCTGCTGCCAACACCGTGCTGGCCGCCGCCGCCGCCGCCGCCGCATGCTTGGTCCCAAAGCTCGTTGAGATGGGGTGGCCGCCACGAGTGCCGCGCTGCTTCGCCCGGTAGGGATATGGTCAAGGAAGATAGGGTGTTTGTAAAAGAGTTGCGCCACCCCAGCGCCCGCAAGATGAAGGCGGTTTCGGCGGCTCCGTGATACAGTTTCTTCGTGCGTCTAGGGAGCACGTTGTCCCACGAAGTGTCGGTATTCTCGTCCCATGATGTGTCAATCATGCATCCACGCCATCGGGCTCCATGGTCGTCGCACTTGACATCAAGCTCGATGGCTTCTAAGTTGACGAGATTAAGAAGCCCCTCGTCCATGGCGACGTAGGCTCTCTGGAAGTTTGACGGGGTCTGCGGAGGCCATGGGGGCAACAGTGGTCTTCTTTCTCCTCGCATTCGATAATAGGGTAACATTTGCATGCATTCGAATATGTTGTTGTATTGGTAGCGGCGGCCGTCGTGGATGTATTCATTATAGAGGCCTCGCATGTACTTATCATCTGACTTTGCTGCCCCTACCAATATCATCAATGACTGAACGGTGCGGACTTGGTCACGTAGAATTACCGTCCATCTGAATGGCGTCTCGCCATTTCTCAAAGGGTAAATTGGGCAAGCTGAGAGTCTTTTCAAAGGTGAGCTTCCGTACCATCTTTGCTAGCGTCTGAGTATTCGCTACGCAGAGCATCCGAATCAAATCCGCCTCGTCGAAATGGATGTTCAGGCATCTGAACAGATGGCGTGCCCCCTCCTGCGCCATCCATCTCGAACAGAGACGAATCTGGCGGAGATCCTTGTAGTCTAGATGTGAGATGATGACTGCCCAAATGTCTGCGGGAAGCGCAGGGGGTAGTCTGCGTAAGGTTACTCCGAGCAGCGGTTGCGACGGCGCATGGACCACGTCGATGATGCGCATCGGCGCTTTGAACGAGCTCGCTGGGATGGACTGTCAAGCAAGATGATATCCGTGCTGAGTACCGGATCTCGTACCTTGGGTTTGGCTGAAAACACCAGCGTGTGCGGCACCTTGATTTGAGGTGTTGCGGGCGTGGTACGCGTGCCATCTGGGCCCGAGATCCGACCAGTGATCGCTGCGTCCCGTCATCGTTGCTGCTATTGCGTCGCAACCGATGCAGGCCAGTGGCGCGTGATGATGCGTAGGCGCATGAACTGGTCGGAAAGGCAGCGTGGGGTTGGCGGACGGCTTTGGCCCGGAATCATAACGCCGGTGATGGGGCTTTCATCTCGCTTGTCCTTCGCGAATCACATCATGTCCCATCCATCCATCATACAGGGGGGTATCGCAGCCGAAGGCTGGTGTGAAGAATAGTAAGGATGCTTCAGCTCTTTCTTAGAAAAATAACATATGTGGGTATTTGAAGCTATCGTCCGGACAAGAATGCGTAATTTTTATACCCATGACATGAACAAAAAACAAACCCACCCCATCCTGCATCCCTTCTACTAAGGCCCTCCGACCGAGCTATCTTCGTCCTCGATGTAGTACAAGTATAGCGGAGGCATGACCGATGTTTTCTTGAGCAGATAACGATACAGGTCAGATGAGTATCCTTTCCGCATCTCTTGAGGGCCCAAAGATGCATGTACTACAATTTCCGTTGGCACAGAATCGCGAGTGTCGTCAACATACTCCTTAACAGCAAGAATCAAGTCTTCGTCATGCGACTTTTCGGGAATGTCTTGATCGAAGTCGGCGCAACGGGTGAAATCGAGGTGACAAAGTTGTTTGAAAGGAATTTCGCGCATTCGCTCGTAGAAGTTGGGCCAAGTGTCTCCGTCTTCAGTGACCATACACCAGTACAACTGCAGTGAGCGAAGGGTATGCGACACCCTGGAAAGTAGGGCGATGAGTGAATTTATCGAGGTATCCTGGACTTGGAGCCTCAAGTCTTGCAGCGCTGGGAGCTGGCAGTGTTCGACTATGCCCTTGAGTGTATCATAAAAGCCATCGTCGTCATCGCACATGGTGCACAAGTCAAGGAATTGAAGTCCTGGAGCTGAGGCAAACCAATCTCCCAGGGCTTTACAGTGATTATCGAGAGCGGCCTGCTCCATTTTGATTCGGAGACGTAGAGTTTTCAAATGTGTGAATGCCCCTCTGGTGAGAGCCATCTGCCCCCGGACCCATGCAGCCTTGTTCGAAGTTTCATGGTCGGAATTGGTTGATCCATCATCGGAATCGTCGTCGAATATTTGATACTGTACCATGCTTTCCCACGCTTTCTGCACATCGCGTGGCCCCCACCACGTTGTTGTGAATTCGAGGGTCAGGCACGTAAGAGAAGAGTTGGAAGAGTTTCGCAAGCCGATACTGCGCAGCGCGAACGCCGTTGGCGCCGCCGCCACAGCTTCATCGACTCTGAGGTCAAATTCGTGCGCAATTTTTGGGTCGAAATAGGACCCACGCCACATCGGCCTCTCTTGGAGGTCTGGGCCCAATATCTCAATCTCGCGGAGGTTAGGCAGATCGCAGATAGCATCCTCGAACTGCGGATAAAGTGGCCCGTATTCGTCGATGTCTTCCATGAAGCAAACGCGCTCATGAGCGCTGCGCGCTTGCTCATCCTTCTTGTAAAGATTGTACAACCCCTTCATATATCTTGTGTTGGCCCTTCGGCTCTCATCTGCTATTCAGTCAGTCGATGTGCGGCGACAGGAGTAAGGGACCACCCGCCTGTTAATTCGACATATTTGCGAAACCTGTAGAAGCTCAGCTCGGGAATTAATGGACAGTCCTGGATGGTAAGTGATTTGACACTTTTTGCCGGTATCGGCCATTCCGCCACCCTAACCAGTTGATACATGTGCTCGTCGTAGAAAGTGACGTAGACATCTTTAAAGAGGTATTTTGCAGCTTCTGCCGCAAGTAACTTGCACGTGAGACGAAGTTCCATGAGTGTGCGCCAGTCGCGGTCACATTGCGCCACGATCAAGTACAGAATGTCTGCCGGGAGCGTGACTTGTGACTCTGTCGTAGTGGGATGAGCAGTCTCACCGCTGTCGAGACCGCTAGCGTGACGAGTGGCTTGGGCCAGGGCCCGACTTTGGCTGCGAGTGCGCGGCGGCATCGTGCGGCAGCGTTCCGCGCGCTGAAAGCATGCGAGGTTCGGCTGCCGCGTCGCTCTGAATTGGGGGAGTCGAAAGTTGAAATTAGCGAATGTCGAACGCGTCAGTGGGATGTGGAGCGATTTTGGGGATGCGCCTGCCGCGGCCAACGTGTTGGACAGGAAAGTGCGTTTGATAGTGGTAGGGTGGTCGGGTGCGTTCCGTCCTCGCGGGAATCGCGGATTTTCTTCGGCTCCAACGAGAGGACAAGACACTACGCGAAAGTGGCGCGTCACCACAGGACTTCCATTCAAGTTCTTTGCTCATGTCATGGGTAGTTGAAGCTATCGTCCGGACGCGTATGTAGAATTAAAAATTCGACATTCTCGTCCGGACGATAGCTTCAGAGACCCCAGTATTAGCTTTCGCGGCCTTCACCTGAGGCTGCAACAAATATCTTGTCGGACAATGCACTCGATTGAAACGAGAGGCTATCTAAACTAGATTTTATCATTTTGACGTCTCAAAATTAGCTTTCAAAAGTTCTGAAAATGAGGCTATATGCATTATCACAAGTTGTAAGGGGTTAAAATCACCCATACCTCTCTCTGCTCTCTCATATGCCCACGAAAGCAGGAACAACGGCAGCCAATGCCATACCAAACACTTCATTCGTAACGCTCAAGATCGAAGTTCAACCACACTAAAACCCAAGGCTCGGAAAATATGGCCTCTTTCCCTTGAGCACCACTCACAAACCCACCCGCATCCCAAGCCTTAGCTTCACCCTCTCCAATACGTCAACAACGTCTTACTCCCATACCACGTCAACAGACTCAGGCCCGACAGCAGCGGCAAGGCCGTCATGCCGAGCCCGAGCAAGATGCCCTGCTCGAAGAAGCCGATGTTCTTCTTGTAGGGCCGGTTCGGCGGCAGGGCGGTGGTGGCCTCCGTCTTTAGGGACTTGAGCGCCTCGCTGTTGCTGCTGGCCCCCGGGGCTACCTGCAGGATGCCGGACAAGCGCGCCGACAGGGGCGAAGGCTTAGCGTACTGGGGGCGCGGGACGGTGAAGAGGGACGAGGGGTAGCGGTTTGTCGTGTCGAGGGCAGCAGTGGTGGGTGCGGCGGGGCCGACTGCAGGGATGGATGGGTTAGTCACGTCTGGGCAGGTGGAAGGAAGGGGGGACGTGGATGAGTTGCCTACCGAGGAGGTCGAGCGGGAAGTGGTTGGCGAAGGAGAGGTGCGCGGTGGTGAACTGGCTCATGTACTTGCAGGAGGCCGGGTCGGCGAAGAGGTAGGTTGCGAGGGGCGCGTTGCCGGCGATCCTGGTGCTGCAGGTCAGGAAAACTAGCGTCACACCGGGATATCGGAGTATTTTGTCTTAGTGCTTACTTGTTCGTTAGGTCGATGCCGTCGTCCAGGCTCGTGGTAGCATGCACGAGCAGGCAGCGTTCGCCGATCTTCCTGCCTAATGCGGTCGACTCCCTGGGTGGCCTCATTGTCAGCACACTCTCAATCCACCTCAAGTCTCTCCACAGTCTAAACCCTCCCTCCAGTCAAAGAAATGCACTCACCTCTTTTCCACGTCCAAAATCGCCCCGTTCGCCCCCGCCGTCACGACCCTCACGCCCGCCTCGTTTTTCAGCTGCTCCACCACACTCACCCCACCACCCTTCCCCCTCCCATCACCCACTCTCCCATTCACCGCCGCCCCATTACTCTTCTCCCCCGCCACGGCCATATACTTTATACTCTCCTGCACCACCGCATTCAGAAACGCCTCCTTCGCAAACTCATTGACCAGCACCACGTCAGGCGCGTACGGCGAGCGGCCGCCGAAGCCAAAACGCGCCGTCACGAGCGCGCGAGCCGCAGCGCCCAAGTCGGCGTTGCGCTCGACGAGAGCGACGGCACGGGCTGCGGCGGGCGAGATCAGCGAGGCCGACGTCGACGTCGACGAGATGCTGCTCAGCGCTTGCTCGCTGCCGCTCTGCAGCACCGAGATGACGTTGGACGTGGCGAAGAAGGAGGAAGGCGGCCGCGTCGGGACGATGGCGAAGATGTCCTGGTCCAGGGCGGTGCTGAGGAGTTGGCGGATGACGGGCGGGAGGGTTTGGAGGGTTGTTTCGAGCTGTGTGGGTGTTAGCTGCGGGCTCAAGACCAAAAAAAAAAAAAGGGCTCGTGGGGTTTTTTACCTGCACGACGACGCAGTTCCCGGCCGCGATAGCGGAAGCCAGCGGCACGATGACGGAGTAGAAGAGGGTGTGTGCGGACGACGACGACGTCTGCGGCTCGATGTAGACGATGCCCACGGGATCGCGCCTGTCGGCCGCGTCTTTGCCGTGGGCGACGCTGTACTCGCGCTCGAGCTCGAGCTTCGGGCTCAGCGAGAGGAAGTGCTGCTTGACGGCGGCCAGCGTCAGGTAGAACTCGGTCTTCGCCTCGGCCAGCGTGTTGTGCGAGTCCCTCGTCGTGGCTTCCAGGACCGCGGCTTCGTGCGACACCAGCGTGCTGTGCAGGCTGCGCAGCTGGTCTTGCCGCCAGTAGATGTTGTGCAGTCGGCCGTCAATTGCGGTGGAGCGGACGGTGGCGAGCGCCCGGCTTGCGTCGTCGGTCATGTTGGATGTGGTGGGTTTGGTGTGTGTTCTCTCTCTCTTCGATGTTGTCCTCACTTCCTTGCTCTTTTGTGACACCAGATCTATTGCACGTCTTCTTGAGCTGTGCGAGAGCTGCAAACAATCGAGAATTGGAGAGATTATGCGGAGATCAAATCATCAGCATGCGAATCACTGCAAGGCGATTAATTAAAAAGAGGTGGACGGTTCGGGAGAGTGGCTGCTTATTTCGACAGCTGCATCCGTCTCACATGCAGGGTACAAGGGATCGCTTGGGTGGACGGGCCAAGAGGGAGGGGGCCCGCACAAGAGGCGCCACGACGGGAGCCCCGGAGTGGTTTCAGCATGGTGCTCCCCCCACATCCCGATGTTGTGGGGTACGCTAGCCAAGGGGAGCTGACTGACGCCCACGACATGTCAGCCCGCTGATTCCGACTTCTTGGTGCTTATTCTTGCATTTCCGTGCATGCAGGCCCGAGCCCGAGCTCCGGCTTCATCTTGCTGTCTGCCGTCAGCTCTACCCGAAAAATCACTTGCAGCGCGCACCAGCAAACCACCCTTTTCAACACAACCAAGCAAGAAGGTCCAACAACAACGAGACGTGAAGAATACTCACCACCTTTGTCTCTTTTCCATTTTCTCCCAGCGGCAACAACATCCAGCGCATCAACCAAACCAACCTAATCACCCACCACCATGTCCGTCACTACAACTACAAACCAAACCTACTACAACACCGTCAACGTCCTCGCCGACTACGAACTCCACCACTCCCGCTCGTCTCCCCCGACAAATGCGCCCGTCGTCGCCCCGCCCAACGCCAACCCGAACCCGTCGCACCAGAATCCGGATGACTGGCCCACCGACCGTCGCCGCATCCCGGCCTACCGCCCCGTCCAGCCCGATCTGGACCTGAGCACGCGAAGGGTCTACCTGAACCCTGCGGAGCGCATCTTCGTGACGGTCATGTTCATGGGTGTCTGGACGAATGGGGTGAGTATCGTCATTTGTTCTTTGGCCGGAAAGTCAGTGATGATGTGAGAGAGGTGGTATGCTGACATCTTCTGCGATCGGACAGACCGCAGCGCAGGTTTGGAGAAGGACGGGCGGGAAGCTGTGGAATATTCAGTACCCGATTGGGGGAGAATTCTAAACGTGCGGGTAAAGACCTGCCCGGAGACAAGAGCGAGGACTGCGTACATTTTTAATTGCCCCGATATGGAAATTCTGGTGATGGACTTTTGCCGACGTCACTCAGCTGGAATTATTCAAGTGCTATTTGTTCCACCACGGCAATGGAAGAGACTCTGCGACAACTTTGTTAATTTTCGCGAACTGAACATGCCCCGAGTAGCCGTTGATGAGGCCAATCGCTGAAGTGGTCCGGATTCACGTCAGAGCAGTCAGCAAGGCCTACGAGATCCCACACGGAATGGTAAATGGATTGAGCAGAGATATGGTAAGCGGATCGAGTGGAGATATGGTAAGTGGATCGAGCAGAGATAGCACCTGAATCTTACCCGGCGACGGCCGAGTTATGTCCCATCAAAATATTCGCCGCGTTCACGACGAGGTGTGCTTGAGTATCCACTCATCATCCAACAACTCGCTGGCGGTGCTGCGCTTTTCTGGCTCCCACTGCAGCATCTTCCGCATGAAGCGCAGAAAACACTCCCTATCTTCTTTGTCTCCTACCATAGTAACCTCCCTGATATCTTCATCATCTTCTAGGAAAGTCGTCTCCCTGAGCTCAAGTGGTCTCGATTCCGGAATTGGGATCCCCGCACACCATTCACCTGAAGGGGAAAAAAGAATAAATAACGTGGTTAGTTAAGGGATATCTCTGGGTCGGCTCCTCAAATCCAGAGAGGGAGTAACTTACCGGTATCGGAAAAGAACTTGCTCCTATAGTTCGCTCGGGCAAGAAGGCTCGGTGGCGGAGGCCCAAGGAGGGCTATCATCTCAGCGAGATGGGTCCGGCTTCGGTACTCCTTGTGTTCTGGGTCGGTGCCGTCGAAGAGAGTTTCGCCCTCGAACATGTTCCAGACCTGTGAATAAAAAAGGTGTTAGTCAAAAGCAGCGCCCCCGTTCAAGTTATCGACACTCACCATGCATCCCACGTTCCAGATGTCAGCGCTATACGTCCACGGGATGTCCAGGATGACTTCGGGCGCTCGATAGACATCGGGCTGTATGTCTTCCCGGTGCTCGACGCCGTCGTCTAGCGGCACAGCCGAGCCCAAGTCACACAGCACAGGTCCGCAGGGATTCTCGGTAAAGCCGAACTTGCGGGACCGATAGACGATTGCCCCGTCGAGCTCCTTCCTCGGAGTAGGCTGCTCGAGCTGCGTTTGTTCGAATTCTTCGAACACGGCTTCATCTGCTCCGAGAATCACGTTGTCCTCTTTGATATCAGTATGCACGACGTGATACGCGTTGTGCAGAAAATCCAAGGCTTGGAAGATGCACATAAGTGTACCGGCCACGATCGGCACCGGTAATCGCCGCACGTCGTTGCGATACCTGAGTTGACGCACACTGTACCAGAGAGGCGGGTGCACAAGACACTGATGCCGCCCGTTGGGGCCATCGACGTCAAATGAGTCGAGCAGCGGACGGATGGAATCGCAGCGCGGATGAGCCTCGGAGACCTTCTCGATGCGCTTGTAAATCTTGAGCTCGTTGTCTAGCCGGCCCCTCTTGGATTCGGAATGGATGTATATCTTGAGAGCAACGTGCTGACATCCGCTAAAAGAGAAAAAGAGATAAGAAAGACGGTTGAGCAGATACGAGTCCCGCAGGAAAAGTGAATTGAGACTTACCTTAGATCCCGTGCCAGCCATACAGTCGAGGTGGTTCCGAAACCCACCTTCCCTATGATTTGGTAGCGGTCCCGGAGGATTTCGCCAATTCGAACAGGATAGTATTCGGATGCGACGTAGTTGGGGAGCAACTCCTCTTCAACCTTCTGGTCTGCGGGAATTGGGGTGAAAGCATCATTGGGAAATACGACCGGCTTCCATACACGGCTGGAAAGTGGCCACCATGCATTGCTGGAAAGTGGCCTCAAAGCACGGTTGGAAAGAGGCCTCCATGCACGGCCGAGGGGCGGCCTCCGCGCGCAATTAAGGAGCGACGTAGCCATGACCGTTGTGTAAGGCATGCTGGTAACACAAGATGCTGTTGCCTGTTGTCACAGGGGCAGACGGCGGAGGTAAGTAACGCCGAACCTAATAGAGTACCCACTATACGCCTTATACGACATCTGTGAAAAAGTAGGTCTTCAGCCTTGCCTCTATCAGTCACGTGACCTAGTTATACTGTCCGCTTTTACCTCGCCCCCTAAGAATTCGTTCATCTACTATTCTAGACCTGCTATTTGCTCGCAATGATCGCCCCTTTTCGCCACTGTGAACCTCCAGAAATGGTTCAAGGAAGCCGGCAGATTGCATGTATCGCTCGGCAGTCGTCTCGACCGAGACACGAGCACAATTTCCATGGCCAGCAATCGAGTCAACAAACCTGCCTAATTCGCCATTCGCACGGTCTCAGCTAAAGTTACGCTTAGACGAATTTCCATTATTGTGGCGGAGATCGGAAAGCAAGGAGGAGAGCGGTTGCGCTACGGAAACGACGCGCTCGGTACGGCAGTGTAACCCGGTACCTAGCGGGACAAGACCATCGGCCCCACGCCCGCCCTCCACCACCTCCGCGCCGCCACGATGCGCCAATGCTTGTGTTCCCTCCCCACTGCGGCTGTTGCTGACGGAAGATCTAGCCTAGCCCAGCCCCAGAACCACTAGCTCCCCTCCCCTGCGCCTGACGGCTTACCACCCCGCCACTTACTGTAATAAGGGAAATCCCCAACCGCGAAAGATCGGAAAGACTTGGACAGTTTTGCGATACCCTCTGCTTCAGAACTAGACAGAGAGCGGTTTACACAATGACTACGAATATCACTCCCGTGCATTTCTTCTCTCATGGCTCGACGATGATGCTGGGCGAGGAGTCCGAGGCCGCGACCTACTGGAAGAAATGCGGCGACGACGCCCTCGCGCACGGGATCAAGGGCATCGTAATGATGGTAAGTACTTAGAACAAGCAAAAGACAAGTGAATCCCATCACCCAAAAACAAAAACAAAAAAAGAAAAATCAAAAGCTCACAACTCCCCCAGGGCGCCCACTGGGACGCCGACGGCGACCGCGTCGAAGTCGCCATGAACCCCACCCCCAACAAATCCCCCGTCGCCTACGTACACCCAGACAAATACCAACACTACGCCCTGAACCCGGACCTCCCCACCGGCGAACGCTGCCTCTCGCTGCTGCGCGCGGCTGGCTTCCGCAACGCCGAAGGCAACCCCAACTTCGACTGGATCCACGACACGTACCTAATCCTAATCCGCATGTTCCCCGGCGGGTGCCCGCCAACCACCTTGATCTCGATGAACGCGCGCTTCGACCCGCACTACCACGTCAAGATCGGGGCGGCGCTGCGGCCGCTGCGCAAGGAAGGTTACCTGCTGATCGGGTCGGGCGGCGCCGTGCACAACCTGTACCGCAACGTCTGGGCGCCCATGGTCAAGTACTCGGACAACTTTGCGCAGCCGACGCCGCCCGAGGCGTGGGCGCTCGACTTCCGCCAGAGCGTCGAGGATGTGTTTCGCAACAACAGCGGGCCCGACCTCCGCAGGGCGTTGACGCGGTTGATGAAGCATCCGCAGTATCGCGATGCGCAGGGCACGGATGACCATTTCATGGCGCTCATGTTCGTTGCTGGCGCGGCGGGGGATGAGGAGGATAGGGGCCAGTATGGGAGGTTGATGGCTGAGACGTGGGAATTGACGAATATGTGAGTCGTGGTTTCCCTTTGCTTATTTCCCCCGTGATGAAGATGCTGACTGTTTTACTTCTGGCAGGGCCAACTCACAGTTCACCATCGGGACTTGGCCAAATGCAGTTGCAGCTTCTGCCTGAAGTAGTACGGAGGATGAGCAGGGAAAGGTTCCAAGGTATTGAAGCTGTTTAGAAGATTGCTCAGAGACTTGTGCAAGGAGCTATATTCAATTTGATATGCACCGAGGATGAAATATTGAAAGTTTCTTTTGTCTTTGATGTATCTGTAAAGCGTTAAGCACCTCATTTCAAGCGCCGGTAGCAGAGATAGCAAAGGGTTGTCTATCCTCAACTGCGTCATTTCTATATCCATCAGTTAATCAATTCAAGGACGGTCGGTTATGCACTTAACTGTTTCCGCTGATGTAGAGAGTTCTAGTATCTCAAGCTCTTGCATGAATCTAGAGTTTAGTCAATGTCTCTTACACGCAGCAACTTACAAGACTGTACATTTTTAAGCGCCATACTATTTACATTGGAGCTGGACTCAACGAGTCCGCTCAAGAGACTCGATATCGATAACCTAAACGTACATTAGTGCGGAATCCTCCTGGAAGGCTCTGGACTCTGACACTCACCTCCTTGACCGCCTCGGTCGTGAAGATCAGGGGGCTCTCCGGCTGCACACAAACACTGTCCTCAATGCGGATTGCCATGCCCCGGAAGTGGGCGGGCCATCTTTCGTCATCTGGAACATAGATGCCACTGCGAGATATCATCAGTAAATAAAACTCTGCAAGAGAACGAAGGGCGAGAAGCTTACGGCTCGACAGTGACACACTGTCCAGTCTGGAGCTTCTTGTTACGCGGGAAACCAGGTGAGTCATGCACATCAAGGCCGATGTAGTGGCCCAGATGATGAGGGAAAAGTGTTTCCAATGCCTGGCAATAGTGAGCAATTGCTATCGTGTGGGACGCTAGATGATGACTTACATTGCCAGACATGTTAAAGCCCAGCTGCTTCAAACCATCCTTGAGGCCTTCACAGGCTATGCTATGAATCTTATCCAACGAAAGTTGGGCGTCTTCTCTGCAGAGAGAAACGCAGCTTCTTTGGACCTTGAGAACAACCTCGTAGAGATCTCTCTGGGCCGGTGTAAACTTGCCGTTGATTGGCCAGGTACGCGTAATGTCGGTGATGTAGCCCCCGTATTCCTGTTACGAGTGATTAGGATGAACATCGTTACAGCCAGGATTGGGCTCCTTACGCCTCCAGCATCTACGAGGACCATTTCTCCATCACTACGGGAGGAGCATGTCAGCAATTCACGTTTTGGAAAATCAAAGACGTCACGAGTGCGTACTTTAAGACATTGTCGTTCCTGACATAATGGATGCTCAGGCCGTTTGTTCCACCTGCCACGACTGGGATGTAAGCGATTCCGTCACAGCCCATCATCTTGAAACCGAAATCCATATGTGCATGAAGCTCCCTTTCAGTGCTGAACTCGTTCTTCATGGCATGAGTAAAGGTTCTTGCAGAAGCTTGGCCGGCCTTGCGCATGTTCTGAATCTCGGCTTCACTCTTGAACATGCGAAGATCATTCATGATCGGCCTCAAGGGCTTCACTGCAGACGGCTTCACAGACTGCAAGGCTTTGGGGAAGCCATTGTCGCCGGTGTACATTGTTCCGCTTAGATACCTCGTGATGGCAGATCTGTGGTCGAGATTCCGTGGAAGGTCTGTGTATACGTTCTGGTTGCGGCGGATGATCTCTGGTATGATCTTGCCAATGTCTTTGATAGGCGCAGCCTTCGTTTGTTCAGCGCCATTGTGTATCCAGACTTTAATTATTTCCTCACCTCGTCGGCATTGAAGACATCCAAGGCAGCTTGGACGCCCGATCGAGCACCGTCCCACATCTCTGCGCGGGCATCTTTCGGCCTTACGTAGAGACGGAAGACATAGTCATCGCCCGAGCCAGTCTTCTCTACACCACATCAGCCATGCTCTTAACATACTGCCAACCCAATTTATTACCGATTACAGCCAACGCCTCGGGCTCGTTGAAGCCTGCCGAATCACTTCAGTATCCAAGTAGCTGCCCATGCGCCCAAAGCCCATACCGGTGAGGTAGAAAAAGTCGGGGTCCTGGTGGAATTCGTAGAATACGGCGCCAGAGCGGTACTTTGTGTCGGCTCCAGCAAGAATGGCTACGCTGTTGGGAGGCATGGCCTTTGCGAGAGCATCGCGGCGTTCGGCATATTCAAGGGCGGAGATACCGGGCGTCACTGTTGCTTCTGCATTAGCTTCCTGCAGAGACCTGTTTGGATTGACTTGACAATTGCCTACCCTCGCCCGGCTTGAGCAGGTGCGGATGTGTCTCATGGACAGGCTGACCGAACTGAAGCTCGGCAGCTGAGACAAGCTGACGGCGGGCAGGCGCCTGGTGGAAGGCGCGCCGTACAGGGCGCGGGGCCTGTGACCGGGCAGCAGCGTGCAGAACACGCAGACTGCTTCTGAACATTGCGAATGGGTGCAGGTGTCGGGCGTCAGACGCGACTTGCGGCGCGACAAGATTGCCGGTCCTCGTTATCGATAGAAACCGCGGCGCCGTGATTCGCCGGGTCTGACGTCGGTTGGGTTGCTCCTTCACTCGCCTCCAGCCTCCGCATGCCTACATACTCCACTTTGACTCAGCCCCAGAGAATCCACCATAGATTGCCTCCGCATTGCTGCCTGGCATCCTTCTGCATGACTCTTTTTCGCTGCCTGCCATAACCCAAACGTAACTGACGGTTGAGAATCTACGACGCGGCGCCTTCGCGGGGCTATAAATCCATCTCAAACATCTATCCCACATCTCAGACTAGCCATCATTCCGTCTTTGAGGCCTTTTATCAGGATGGTCTCCACGACGGCATCATCCGTCGCGGGCATCCCTGCCGCAGACCTCGAGTCCTTCCAAAAACACCTCCAATCCTCCGACCGCATTCTCGCACTGCTGGGCGCAGGCCTCTCAGCCTCATCCGGCCTCCCCACCTTCCGCGGAGCTGGAGGACTTTGGCGCACTCATGACGCCACAAGTCTAGCCACCATGGAGGCTTTTGAGGCCGACCCTGGGCTTGTGTGGCAATTCTACTCGTACCGCAGACACATGGCGCTCAAGGCCAAGCCAAACCGCGCGCACCTCGCCCTGGCAGAGCTGGCGAAGAAGAAGCCAAACTTCCAGACTTTAAGCCAGAATGTAGACGGTAAGTTTCCACCTTCAATTCCAAAAACACACAGCATCCACGTGAACCCAATTCTAACCCCATCCCACCCAGGCCTCTCCCAACGCGCCGGCCACCCCCCCTCCCAACTCCACCTCCTCCACGGCAACCTCTTCGACGTAAAATGCAGCTCCTTCTTCTGCAACCACGTCGAGCACAACAACTTCACCGACCCCATCGTCCCCGCGCTCGCCATCCCAACCTCCTCCTCCGCCTCCCCTATCGACCCCACCACCAACGCCGCCCGCCACGAACTCGACATCTCCGACCCCTCGACCGCCCTTCCGGACCTGCGCATCGCCGACCTGCCCGCCTGCCCGGCCTGCGAAACGGGCCTGCTCCGCCCCGGCGTGGTGTGGTTCGGTGAGAGGCTGCCGCGCGAGACGATCGACGCCATCGACGACTTCATCGACCAGTCCGACCGCATCGACCTGATCATGGTCATCGGCACCAGCTCCACCGTCTACCCGGCCGCCGGCTACGCCGGCCGCGCTCGCGCCAAGGGCGCCCGCGTGGCCGTCATCAATGTCGAACGCACCGACGCGCTGCAGGAGGGGGATTGGTTTTTCCAGGGCGATGCGGGCGTGGTGGTGCCGGAGTTGTTGAGGGGCGTGGTGGGCGAGGTGGGGGATGGGGAGGGGTTGTGAGGGGTTGATTCTTTTTTTTTTTTTGCTGGAGGGGTTGTCTTGGTTCTTTGGAGTATTGGGGATGAGGGGATTGGGAGGAGTGGTGAGGAGTGAGCGGAGGTGCATTGTGGAGTTGATGTGTGAACGATAGTCAGATTCGTTCAGCGACTTTCGATCTTGTGCCACAATGGAGTCAGTTGAGGTGTATGCTCTTATGACGTATTGCATGGACTCAGGAGTTGATATGGATTGTTTGCTTCGTCGATTGCATGGACATCAATGTCCACTTCAGAGACCAAACCCAACAGTATACATGTGCGCAATGATATAGGGTATAAGCTTGAAATTCAGGACTAGCTATTGCTTTGAAAGCAGCGGAGAGAATGCAACCTTATTATGAACCATCCTCCCATCTCGCTAAGCGATCATGTTGAGACCCTTTTGCCTCCCTCCCCAGGTATCTCGAGCTACATATCATAGCCCCGCTGACCAGTGAGCGTGATAGCAATGAGATATCACTCCCCATCGTAAACGCCATGTACCATCATCCGAAGCGCGGTCCAGTGGCCAGAAAAACCTCCCTTTAAACAATGATTTAAAAGAGACCCAGACCCAGCAGTCCAATCGAGAATCTCAAAAAGCTTGCCAAAAGTGAGTGTGATGTGCAGAACGTCGACATCATGATAAATCAAGATCAGACGATCTTAATAAAAACTGAGAGGGGACTTGAAGACCTCACTAGCGCCGAAACACGTTTTCGCCGTTTTCCCTGGTTTTGGCTCCAGTCCCTCGAAATGAAGAATCCATGTGGTATTGTGTGCCCATTCGCCAGATCAATCACCGCAATGATGTGATGCCGTCGAATCCGATAAGCGCCGTTAAAGATTATGCCCAAGAGTTGTTCGTTTTCCGTTATGGTACAGTTCGAGTTTGGAAGCGATTAGGCCTTGTCTGGTAGCCTCTTGAGCGCAGCTTCAACGTCTTTGCTGTCAACCACGACGCCGCTCTCCGAACAACGGGCTTTGGCGCGCAGCTCCGTGCAAAGACCGTCAATATCGATGGAGCCATCCTTGAAATCTGGCCGATTTTGCAGCTTGTCCCTGTCGTAAATGTATCAGTATTAACCGCTCCCAACGTGATCAGAAAGGTGAATACAAACCAGATCTTGTGGCAGCTGAGGAGCTGGTTAGGATCTTCACCGGGGACGACCTCGTCGTCATCACCATCCTGAATCTTGTCGATGCTTTCCATGGGGTTGGACTTGGAGATGGCCGGACTTTGGTTGTTGTCAAAGTTGAACGGGCTTCCGAAGTCTGCAGTCGGGAATGCGTCGTTGAAGAAACCTCCAGTAAAGTCTCCATCGCCGACAACAGCAGCCTGTGGCTCGCGGTAATCGCCGAAGAGCGTCGGGTTGAACTGGTTGTTGTTTTGAGATGCCAGCCAATCAATGCCGAAGCTGTCGTTTGTGTTGGAGTTTGCAGCTGGCGTGCCGTTAGAGTTGGACAAGGCGCGAGGGATTGGATTGCGAGGATTGCCACAGGCCATGTTCAACTTCTCGCAGAAGCTCGTCTCACCTTCGGTCACCGCACAAGAGAGTTCATGGGATCTGTCGTTTCCAGGCGAGGTGTGACTCGGCTCTGGTGATGTCCCGCAAGACGAATTGGCGCCGTACTGAGAAACAGACGAAGCGGATGGAGAATCATTAGTGGACGAGTTGGAATGGCTGGTGCTGTTGAACTGGAACACGCGCTGAGCGCCCGTCGAGCTCGAGGTGCTGCCACGTCCACCGCTGCTCTTTCTGGGAAGGCCATTCAGACCAGGAGAGTTGTACGAGTCAGTAGCTGAGGCCGGAGAAGCCTTGTCCGGCGACCGCACGCCGTTCTGTTGGCTAGTAGGGCTGACGCTTCGTCCAGTACTGCCTTGGCGGGCGAGAACGCCCGGTACAGCATTTTGCGATGCTGGCTTGGCTGCTGACGGGCTGCCCTTGTCGCCGTTGGAAAGGGAACCGTTGGTGTTGAAAATCTGAGATCCCGGAAGGGCGCCGAAGCGAGGGAACTCAAACTGGAAGTTGCTCGACGGAGGAGAGTTGTTGTGAGTGAGAAGCGACGGAAATCCGGTCGGTCTGGAGATGCCGGTACTGTTGGATGAGAGGCGCTTGCGGTACTCGCGCAGTTCCATCTGAAGTCTCTCCACCTGGGCACGAAGGAGGCCATTCTCGTGGTTAGCTGCATCGGAGGCCTTCTGAAGCTCGGTAACCTTGGTTTCCAGGTCCTTCAAGTGCTTTTCCTTGCGTTCTCTGAACGCGCGCTGAGCAGCTCGGTTTTGGGCTTTGCGTTTCTTCTGTGTGTCAGTGCTAGCCCTTGCAAATGAGCAAAGGTACTCACGGTCGTTGGCTCCGAAGTCAGGGGCTTGCGGCCTGGCTTCTTCGCCGTCTTGTCCTCGCCTTCCCTTCGCTTACCACCGCCCTCTGCATCTTCATCGTCATCGCCCGGGCTCTTACGCTTGTCACCAGTCTCTGTTTCGCCGTCGGCACCAGGCTGCGTTGGCGACTTGGACGACTGGCCCTGAGTTTCGCCGGGCAGGCTGCCGATGAGCAAGTCGCTGGTATCATTGGGATCGAATTCAAAGCCGGTGTCTCCATCAAGAAAATCAACGTAGGGGCTTTCGTCTAGATTGAAATTGTCGAAGCCGGCACCAGCGCCATCTTGAGGGAACAGGCTGGGATCAAGGCCGTCAAGCGGATATTGTTGTTGCTGGTTGCTGTCTAAAGGCTTGGCTGGTCTACCCCCGCGGTTGTTCGGGTTGTTAGAGTTCAGCGCAGCCATGAGAAGGTCTTGCTGGTTGGGGGAGAGGTAGAGGTGGGAGTTGAATTGGTCATTGTTGGTGGTGCCCGCCATGGCGAAGATGAAACCGCGAAGCGGAGGCGGCAAAATCGGGCGGGGTGATCGGTGGCGTTGTATTCAATGATTTGCGGGCAGAAGCGTTCCAGAAGCTACGCGACGACAACAGGACACGGTATTCCCGCGAATAATGTCAGAAGCCGGCAGCAAGGTGGCTGGACGGTAGAAATGTGCGCTGCCTTGGTCTTGGACGGACGTTAGTGAGAAAGCTCAGGCTGCAACGAGGCGGCGCGGCAGAGAAGGGCGGCGTAAGAGCGTCGCCTTGTCGAGTATAGTCGACGCTGATATGCTCGAGCCTCATGCGCAGGAGGCAGCAGCGGAATAGAAATCATCATGGTGAAGGTCGGGGCGAGGCGAGGCTTGCTGGGGCGGGCTCACCTCCGGCTTCCCTGGGACCCTGCAGACCACGCACGCGTCGGTCACGGCAGGATAGCGACAACGTTCTCTCGACCCGTCTCAGTGGCGAGTTCCGGACAGCTTGCGGATGTTGCGGATGAGGACGAGGTGAAGGTGGCCGGAGGGGATGGGTCAGAAGCGCATGTCAGATCAGATTGTTCTGGGCCATAAGAGGAGTAGCGCGCCGGGGGGCTTTGCTCGCGCGGCGGGGGCTCGGGGGCGATTGGCCGGTTCGGATTGGTGGATAAGAAGGCTGATCGGGGCAGAGGTCAAGGAACAAGTGCGGGAAGGTGATGGAAGGCGAAGGCGCTCGGCGGCGGCGTTTGGTTTGTCAGCAGTAAAGCAGCGTGCAGGGTCTAAGCGTGCTAAGGCTGAACGACGACACCGCTGTGACCGCGCTGCTTTAACAGGTTTACGCCGTCAGCCTGCGGCCGAAAACGCTCTGCTGCAGCCCATGATGCGCCTGCGAAGTCGCGCGACGCCCATCAGCGTCTGACATCACCACGCCGTCTTCGCAGCCGCTTGGGGACCGTGAGTCAGCGGCACTGCCGTCGCACGCTCCAGGCCCCTTGGTATGTCATGCCCGCACGCTACTGTGTAGTACGGGGCAGGCCGACGCCCCGTATCCAGATTATCCAGCCGGTGCCTAAGGCCAGAGACACGCTCTATATCCGTCCGCTTCGCCGCGCCCGCATCTCCGGCGCACGTGACGTTCCGAGGTAAGCCCGCCAGGTGGCGCGCTTGCACTTTCGGCAGGCTTATCGATCGGATCCGCGTCGCGCTCTGTTCCTGACCTGACCGCGCACCGCCAACGCGATCCACCTCCGTCGTCATTGCGCCGTCGCTCCCACCCCCGCCGCAGCCAAGCCTCACATCGTCCTGCAGCCTCTCCGCAAGCGGTAACGTGTGTCTGTGACAAGCTCTACGCCTCGCTTGTTACAGATCTACTAAACACCATGAGTAGCGCCATCCAGGAGCTTGAGGAGTCGCTCAAAGACTTCACCCGACAGGTGAGGCCCCCTAGCCGCTGCTACACACCACGAAGTGCCCACTGACGTCTCCGCAGCTCGAGGACGCAAATGCAAACCTCGAGGTCGAGCCTGACAACGCGGGCTTTCTCGAGCTCAAGGCCGAGCTAGAGGCCGGCATCGCCGCATTCGAAAGCTTGCTCGAGGAAGAACGCGCGCGTGCTCCTGCCCCGAAACCCCCTTCGCCGCCCGCGGTCAAGGAGAAATGGTCCAGGGAGAACCATCCCGCTTTCAAGAAATCCGCGCCGCCCCCGGCCGATGACGAGCCTGCCGCACCTGTCGCCTACAAAGTCAACGACGTCGTTCTTGCGAAGTGGAAGTCTGGTGACAAGTCTTTCTACCCCGCCAAAATCCTGAGCATTACGGGCTCTTCGACCTCTCCGACTTATCACATCAAGTTCACCCAGTACAACGACACAGAGACTCTTGCTGCTCACGAAATCAAGCCGATTTCGAACGACTCGAAGAAGCGCAAGGCTGATGGCTCTCCAGTCACACCGACCACGCCCACCGCTCCCGCTACCTCTGGAGTCATATCTGCTGCTGCGGACATCAACCCCGCTCTTGCTAGCCAAGCGAAGAAGGAGCCCAGCAAAGTCAGCGATGGTCCCCCGAAGCCGGCCAAGATTCCTCGCAAAGTGAAGGCGAACAAGGAGCTAGAGACGAACAAGAACAAGTGGCAGCAGTTTTCAGCGTCGGGCAAGGGAATGAAGAAGAAGGACAGCATGTTCCGCACTGGTTCTAGCGTTACTGCTCGAGGTTAGTGTCAACTCTGCACAAGACGTATCAGTTGCTAACTTTTTGCAACAGTTGGATTCACTGGCTCCGGTCAAGAGATGCGCAAGGACCCTACGCGTAGTCGCCATATCTACCAGACGCAAGAGGATGAGGACTAAACGGACATGGTTTTGGAGCATATGGAGTTGGTTTGGCGAATGGAGTTTGGATGGACGGCGCTGGGCACAAGCACCCCACACGAGTATCCCACGTCATTGCTACGCTAGGACAGATGCTAATCTGTGGCTGCAAGGCCTAGTATCCTTGGCCCCAACTAGGTATACAATGGTGAAATCACACCAACGCAAGGACTTGACTAGTCACGAACAACAGACATGTTCGGCTGCGGTCTACGAATATACAGAATCAGAAGAAAACACTTAAGTTCAGATTCGTCGTGGCTCATCCCAGGGAATCATTATTCTGACGGGCATCAACTATCAATTAGGTGCCCTTCACGCGCTATCGCTTCCCAGATCCATGAAAACCCCGTTTGATGCCTTGCTTTTCTTACAGCCTCGGCTCGCAAACTCTGCTTAACTGGAAGCAGATGTTCTAAGTATGCCAAAAATCTGCGTGTAGAATTCGTTTGCGTATCCGTGTCCGCCTTACTGATGCCGAGGAAGAAACAAAATTGAAAGGGAAACAGAGTATGCACACTCGGTTCCTGAAAGGTCTCAGATTGCAATACATTCCTCCAATTTTGGTCTATACGGCTAGGATCTGACTGACCCATCCATCTGGGATGTCTCAACTCTAATGTTACCCGAGGCCACCACTTGGGTTTCATCCACCAGTGTCGGCTAGAAGAGAAAGATTATGCACTGTCCTAGCTTTCGTCAAGCTCGCATAAACTTCGGTAAGCTTTGCCAGTCAAAATCTTGCCCGTGGGCAAATCGAAAAGAAAGATGGTTTGCACGGATCAAAAGTCTTCCACCAGTGGCGCACGGGCCACGTCTACTATTTTCTAGCGGAAAGCTCCACAGAGAGAAAATTTCTCAACGCCGAGGAAAGCCTGGACCTCTTAATAATATTATTTGCCCACCAAGAGCCCGGCCGAGACTCTCGACTACGCTCCTTGGAGGCAGCAAACTGCCTATATGAACACAACAAGCACAGTCACTTTCAAGTTCCACCAAGGAACCCAGTCAACATTAACCTGCGGCGGTGGTGTAGTTGGTTATCACGTCAGTCTAACAGTTCCCTCAAAGGAGCAGTTCACTGAAGGTCCTGAGTTCAAGTCTCGGCCGCCGTATCATTGAGTTGACTCTTCTTTTTGCCTTTGTGGAGGGCCCATTGTCCTTTTTTGCCAGCCAAGGCACTTCTTTTTGCACAGCAACTCAGGGGCGGTATTATCTCGGAAGTTGGTGGTATACCTCAATGAGTTCTCTGGAATGAGAGTATAGCAATGTGTCACGAAAAGGTTCACATTCTTTGTTCGTAAGAGCCTTAGACATGAGCTTTTCTGCAAGACTTGCGTGGGAAGTTAAGCATATATTTACGCACAAAGCGAGGTTTGAGTTGTAGAACAATGTTTAAACGTTGACTTCAGCTACTTCATTGAAGACGATAGGCAGAGAAAAGTATGACGTTTCCGTCCTGCTGTGTTTCTTACAAAAAGAAAATCCCTTTTAAATGTAGTAGGAATAGATTCACTCTTCATTCTTAGCCATCAAAGCCTCTCATAAATTCGTGATCATTTATTTCGACAATTACTCTTTCAGCCTTTAATTTCCATCTACCATAGTACAAAAAGAAGCCAGGGACTCCGCGGAATCCACGGAATCCGATGGCAAAGTCTCGGCGCAAGCCCAAACGAGATGTTAAAGCTGCTGTGGTCGAATGCACAATATTCTTCAACAATTTCCCTCCGTCTATTTGCAAGACAGTACAGCGCAATCCAGAGAATACCAGGTTTGGCCAATGTTGTACGGCCAATTCTGTGCTCTCCATTGAAGATTATGCTTGCTGACGCTGGCGCTCAGACATCATCTGTACGTGTTCCCAGAGTCACTCTCACTTTTGCACCAAATGATTAACACTGAATAGGCGGCGGTTGCTGCGCTGAGCGTTGAGGTGCTTGTCCATCCGTTCGACACCTTGATCACTCGTATACAGTCACCGGAGTACACGAGCATATACAAGCACCCTAATGGCGCCCTCCGTCATTCTCTATTTCGTGGCTTGTATCAAGGATTTGGCCCTACGATAATCACGGGAGTACCTTCATCGGTTGCTTTCTTTGCCATCTACGAGAGTGCCAAATCCAGCTTCCAAGCCAGAAGCAGAGACGGATATCTTGGAAAGATACCAGAGCCCGTGGCTCACGCGATCAGCAGTGGAGTTGCTGATCTTGCTGCTTGCGCTATCCAAAACCCCTCAGAAGTATTGAAACAGAATGCTCAAATTGTTCAATCAACGCAAGGAGCCAACCGCCAGCCTCTCACCCTCACGTTGGCTAAGGAATTCATCAAACGCCCCGCAAAACTCTGGACGGGCTACACTATGATGGCTACAAGTCGCATTCCCGGAACCAGTCTGTCGTTCTCCCTCTACGAGTACCTCAAGGCTACTTGGCTCAAAAGGTCATCCATCAAGGCGGACGATATTGCGGGGCATGTCAAGATTAGCACTTTGAGCGCAGGATTGGCAGGCGCAGGTGTATCTTGGCTCTTGGTGCCGATTGATGTGGTAAAAACCAGGATGAGGCTTGCAGCTGGTAACCACATTGGCCAGACTTGGCCAGCAACCACGATTGGCCTCCAGCCTGCAACTCGGCCTACGAATAAGCAATCACCTGCATCATCTGGCAGCCCTGTGTTGGTAGCAAGGGACATTCTCCATAAAGACGGGGTACGCGGCCTGTTTAGAGGCGCTACCTTGACGTGTATCATAGCTGCTCTAGGGTGTGGTGTGTTTCTTGGGTCTTACGACGGTATGAAGCTGTATTATAAGAATAGTGCGGTTGTGGAGGGAGTTTGAAGGCCTGTTGCTCTGTCACTAAAGTAGACTTCAAGTTCCAGTTTTCCATCTGCGAAACAACACTGACACTGTGGATTTCATTACTATATCGAATGTGATTGTGATGGTCATTGGTGTAAAAACATCACCTGTTCCATTAGTAATTCCCGCCGGGACACCGCGCAAATCATAAATCGATGTTGGGATGTTGCAATATTTACTACAAGCAACGACACTCGACTTATTCAGGTAGGAAAAGCTCACACCTAAATACGAATTCCATACCTTTCTCCCGATGATTGCTTTAACTACAAATCACACGAGCTTACTCAAGTCGTACGATACACAAAATCAAAACCACGCTAGCTTTCGGGTGCTATACCCCTCTGTGTCTCCTGCAGCATTAGGTTGACGAGCTGATATGCAAGGGGCCGGAATGTGAACGAACCCGGGAATTGGGACGCACGAACAACGGAATGGGCTCCATCAGCCTCGGACCCACACGGAGGAAGGGTCTTCTCTGGACGGCGGGTCGGGGCGAGCAAGTCCGTGTCTCAAACCGAAATAGGAAAAATACACCGATCTGCAGCCACAATTGCCAAGGGAGTGATCCTGACGTCGATCGCGTCTATTTGAACGTTGCGACACGCGGACTGAACGCGAGCTTGTTGGTCTGTGGGCCTAGCAGCTGGGCGCCATCATCGACTTTTCTGACAATCTGGGGGACGACTCGTGGCATTTTTCGCAAATGATGCGATCGGATCGGAGGTCGGGTTTGGCGGCTCAAAAAGCTCCGACCAGCAGACACGATGGTTGTCGTTGTGGTGACGCAATACAAGCCTTTGTCCTGCATCCTTCACGCAGGCCAGCCTGCAGAAAGCTGCTTGCAGCCCACGGCCCCCTGCACAACAGCTAAACTCAGGTCTCTCGCCTCTTTTGCTCGGGGCTCGGCTTTCTCAAAAGTCCGTGAATAATGACATCTTTGTTGGCGCACTGGCCGCCGTGGTGGGCGATGGCTTGCTTTTGTACATTACTTATCGAGATCGCCGCTGGTGCCAGCCTTCTTTTGTTTCTGTTACAAAAGTCCGGGAGCTGCTCGGCCTTTGTTTGTTTCTTATCGCCATGTCGTCCTAATTTTGCATCTGTTGTCCTCCTGTCTCACCCTTGCCTCTTTAGATTTCTCCAATCATGGACAGTGATCATTCAGAGAAGCCCACGCCAGACGTCGAGGGAGAGATCCCGGGCGGCTGGCTTGAGACGCCTGCCACCACCAGCGAATTGAACGAGTTTCCTGGGACTTCCCGGCAGACCTCATCTTTCGTTGTTGGGCGCACTGAAGCAGAGCAACGGCACCCCTTGCATGTCGCAACATTTACTAACATTCATGGACGGACATCATCTTCCGGAGAGGACACCGCTGTTCCCAGCCCAAAAGACGAAGAAAGCGTATACACCCCGATCAGTGGCCACGGAGACACCGATAACATGCGCGAATCAATTGAAGCCTATCACAGCGACAAGAAGGACGATGACGACGACATCGAAGGCGGCTTCATGCCCATCAAGACGGGCGCGGAGCAGCAATACAAGCACGACGACCAACAAAAACAAAGCGAGCGGCGGCCCAGCTTAAAGAAGACGGCCTCAGGCCGCACCATCACCGAAGACGACCTCTTCCGCGTGCTCTCGCGCCGCCGCACCGGCCAGTCTTCCACCTCAGCAACCACCGACCAGGACGCGGAACACGCGGCAGAGCAAGAGGAGATCGACCGGCTGCTGTCACGCATGTTCGGGCAGTCGCGCCAGGAGAACTCGGAGGAAGAGCGCACGCGGCACGCGGGCATGATCTTCAAGGACCTGACGGTCAAGGGCATGGGCGTCGGCGCGGCGCTGCAGCCGACGACGGGCGACATCTTGCTCAACCCGCTGCGCTTCGTCAAGAGCCTGTTCAGTACAAAGGGCGGCCCGCGAAAAGCCGCCGGCATGTCGAAGCCGCCGGTCCGCACGCTCATCGACAACTTTTCTGGATGTATCAAGCCGGGCGAGATGCTGCTCGTGCTGGGGCGGCCCGGCGCGGGCTGCTCGACCTTCCTGAAGGTGATGGGCAACCAGCGGTTCGGCTACGAGAGCGTCGAGGGCGACGTGTCGTACGGCGGCACGCCGGCGGACGTCATGGCCAAGAAGTTCCGCAGCGAGGTCTTGTACAACCCCGAGGAGGACCTGCACTACGCGACGCTCAGCGTGAAGAACACGCTGACTTTCGCGCTGAAGACGAGGACGCCTGGCAAGGATTCGCGGAAGGAGGGCGAGTCGAGGCAGGACTATATTCGGGAGTTTCTGCGCGTTGTCAGCAAGCTGTTCTGGATTGAGCATACGATGCCGGTTAAGGTGGGTAATGAGTTTGTGCGTGGTGTCTCTGGGGGTGAGAAGAAGCGGGTTAGTATTGCTGAGGCGATGATTACGAAGGCGTCGGTGCAGGCGTGGGATAACAGTACGAAAGGCTTGGATGCTTCGACGGCGCTGGAGTACGTCCAGAGCCTGCGCTCTCTCACCAACATGGCCCGCGTCTCCACCTCTGTCGCACTCTACCAAGCTGGAGAGAGCTTGTACAGTCTCTTCGACAAAGTTTTGCTGATCGACGAGGGCAAGTGCTGCTATTTCGGTCCCGCGGACGAGGCTCCTGCGTACTTCAAGGAGCTTGGGTTCGTGCAGCCTCCTCGCTGGACGAGCGCAGACTTCCTCACCTCCGTGACTGACACTCATGAACGTAACGTCAAGGAAGGATGGGAAGACCGTATCCCCCGATCTGCCGAGCAGTTTGCCGAAGAGTTCTTCAAAAGCGAGAGGCACAGGAAGAACCTCAAGGAGATCGAGGAGTTCAAGGAAGAGACACGGATACAGGAAGAGAAACGCCGCGCTGCCGCCAGCAAAGCCACCAAGAAGAAGAACTACACCATCTCCTTCCCCATGCAGGTCATGGCCTGCACGAAACGGCAGTTCTTCGTCATGATCGGCGACAAGCAGTCACTTGCCGGCAAATGGGGCGGCATTCTGTTCCAAGCCTTGATCGTCGGAAGCCTGTTCTACGACCAGCCGAAGACTGCTGCTGGAGTGTTTACCCGCGGTGGTGTCATGTTCTTCATGCTCCTCTTCAACGCCCTGCTCGCCCTGGCCGAACTGACGGCCGCATTCAGCTCGCGACCCATCCTGCTCAAGCACAAAAGCTTCTCGTTCTACCGGCCCTCGGCTTATGCTCTCGCGCAGACGGTCGTCGACGTGCCGCTGGTTTTCATCCAAGTCGCCCTTTTCGATATCGTCGTCTACTGGATGTCGAACCTCCAACGCACCCCATCGCAATTCTTCATCTCCCTCCTATTTCTCTTCATTTTAACGATGTGCATGTACAGTTTATTCAGAGCAATTGGCGCTCTCGTTGGCAGTCTCGACGTCGCGACGCGCATCACGGGGGTGGCGATCCAGATCCTAGTCGTCTACACCGGCTACCTCATCCCACCGCGCAAAATGCACCCCTGGTTCAGCTGGCTGCGCTGGGTCAACCCGGTACAATACGGCTTCGAAAGCCTCATGGCAAACGAGTTCTACAACCTCGAGATCGAATGCACCGCCCCGTACCTCGTGCCGCAGGGCCCCGGCGTTGAGCCGCAGTACCAGACGTGCGCGCTGCAAGGAAGCCAGCCGGGCCGCACGACCGTCAGCGGCGCAGACTACATCGCCGTCGCGTACGACTACTCGCGCAGCCACCTGTGGCGCAACTTTGGCATCATCTGCGCGTTCTTCGTCTTCTTCGTCGGGCTGACGGCGCTGGGCATGGAGCTGCAGAAGCCGAATAAGGGCGGGGGCAGCGTGACCATCTACAAGCGCGGTCAGGCTCCTGCTTCTGTGGAGAGGGAGATGGAGAGGGCGAGCAGCGAGGAGGGGGATGAGGAGAAGGGGAGGAGGCAGGATGGTGGTGCGGCTGGCTACGAGGAGAGCGGTTCGGGAAAGAGCGAGGATGACACCAAGGGTGTGGCGAAGAACGACACTATCTTTACGTGGCAGGATGTCAACTATACGATTCCGTATGAGGGCGGCGAGAGGAAGCTGCTGCAGAATGTGCAGGGTTATGTCAAGCCAGGAAAGCTGACGGCGTTAATGGGTGCTTCCGGTAAGTGGTCCAAAGAGTGTGCAGTGCGTTACAAAGGCTTTGCCCTTTCCAATCATCTCGTATGAGGTTTTACCCTACATACAGAGGATATTTGAAGCTATCGTCCGGACGAGAATGTCGAATTAAAAATTCTTCATACGCGTCTGGACGTTAGCTTCAACTACCCATGACATGAGCGAAAAAAAAAAAACGGAAAGGGCAAACTTTCGTAACATGCTGTGAGCACAGCTGTCTGAATTCTGCCGGTTGCTAACAGATGTCAGGGGCTGGTAAAACGACACTTTTGAACACGCTGGCGCAGCGCATTCGATTTGGTGTCGTGACCGGCGATTTTCTTGTTGACGGCAGGCCACTTCCGCTATCCTTCCAGCGTAGCACAGGATTCGCTGAGCAACAGGACGTTCACGAGTCTACTTCTACCGTGAGAGAAGCTCTCCGCTTCTCTGCCAAGTTGCGCCAGCCTCGAGAAGTCCCGCTCCAGGAAAAGTACGATTACGTCGAAAAGATTATTGACCTCCTGGAGATGCGTGAGATTGCTGGGGCGACAATTGGAAAACCGGGAGCCGGACTTAACCAGGAACAGCGGAAGCGTCTGACTATTGGCGTAGAGCTGGCGAGCAAGCCCGAGCTTCTCATGTTCCTTGACGAACCAACGTCCGGTCTGGATAGTGGTGCTGCGTTCAACATTGTCCGCTTCCTTCGCAAATTAGCAGATGCAGGCCAGGCGATTCTCTGCACAATCCACCAACCATCCAGGTAAGTCGAAAAATCCTTGCCAGCCCGAATGAGCGATTGCTGATCAGCCATGAAGTGTGCTTTTTGAGAACTTTGACCAGCTTCTGTTGCTCAAGAATGGCGGCCGTACTGTCTACTTCGGTGAGCTTGGCCACGACAGCAGGAATCTCATCGACTATCTGGAACGCAATGGAGCCAAGAAGTGCCCACCGAAGATGAACCCTGCGGAGTACATGCTGGAAGCCATCGGTGCCGGTAATCCCGACTACAAGGGTCAGGATTGGGGAGACGTTTGGGAGAGATCCACCGAAAACAAGCAGCTCACCAAAGAGGTCCGCCAAATCATCTCGGATCGACAAAAAGCAGGCAACAAGGAGAAGATCCGCGACGACCGGGAGTACGCCATGCCGCTGTCAACGCAAGTGTTGACAGTGCTCAAGCGGTCTTTCGTGGCCATGTACCGGTCGCCGCAGTACGTGATGGGCATGATGATGCTGCACATCTTCACTGGCCTGTTCAACGGCTTTACCTTCTGGGACCTGGGCAACAGCCAGATTGACATGCAGTCGCGTCTCTTCTCGACGTTCATGACACTGACCATCTCGCCTCCGCTCATCCAGCAGCTTCAGCCCCGCTTCCTGGAGGCGCGGTCCATCTTCGAGTCGCGTGAGTCCAACTCGAAGATCTACTCGTGGTTCGCTTTCGCAACGAGCGCCATACTGTCAGAGATACCATACCGCCTTGTTGCAGGGACCATCTATTGGGCATGTTGGTACTTCCCTCCAAATTTTCCCAGGGATACGTACACGTCAGTGAGCATCTGGGCGCTGGTGATGGTGTTCGAGCTGTACTACCTCGGGTTTGGTCAGGCGATTGCGTCCTTTTCACCGAACGAGCTGCTGGCATCCTTGTTGGTGCCCGTGTTCTTCCTGTTCGTGGTGAGCTTCTGCGGAGTGGTGGTGCCTTACGCGACGCTGCCGTACTTCTGGCAATCCTGGATGTACCATTTGGTAAGTTTCCGCGGTTGACGACGACGGTGCAGGGTTGTCGCGGGATTTTCTGACATGTTGTGTGATTGTTGCAGACACCGTTCCGCTATCTCCTGGAGGGGTTCCTAGGGCTACTCACGCATGGCCTGCGGGTCCAATGCGATAGCAACGAGATAGCTCGGTTCAACGCTCCACCGGGCCAGACGTGCGAAAGCTACGCAGGTCCGTTCGCCCAGACTTCGGGCTACGTGCAAACCAATGCCGACGGGAGCTGCGGCTACTGCCAGTACGCCACAGGAGACGAATTTGTGAGTGCCTTATCTCTTTTTCCGGAATACTTTATCCCCCTGCCTTTTCCGCGACATTTGCTTGGCATGGGCCTTTCAGCGGTAAAGCGCGCGCGTGAAATCGGGACGTATCCTAGGCTTGTGATGGCAGGTATCGGAACGGGCCGGGTGCGGAATGGGAGATGCACCGAAAGGGCCGGCTGTGCTGCCTAGGCCAGCCTCTTGGAAGGCGGCTCAGCCACCGCCCCAAGCACGCGAGTTGACCAGGGAGCACCCCCATCTTTCCCCAACCCCAGTGCTTGCATGTGCCTTTCCGCTCCCGCTTCCGTCTTGGAATCCTGGGCTGCGGCATTTCTCCGCATTTGCGTTTCAGATTGTGGGTTTACTTTTTTTTCTCAGCTGACTGAACGGAACAGGCGTCGAGCTTCAACGTCTTCAATCGATATGTCTGGCGCGACTTTGGCATCATGTGTAAGTTTGGTTCAACGCTCGTAACGGTGCGTAGTGGCCGTGCTGATGGCTCTCAGGGGCGTACGTTATTTTCAACTTTGTGGTCGTCTATGCTTGCTCCTGGCTATACCTGTCGGGCGGACGGAGAATCAAACAGGGACTCAGCCCGACGCAGCGCAGACAGCGAAAGGAGAATCAGAAAAAGCTGCAGGACATGAGCAATGACGGCGGGCAGGTCTGAGGGTTGGTGGTCTTCTGTAGCGTTGTTGCCCTTTACGTTGGTCTGGCCCCCGGTTTGCTTTTTCTTCAATATCACTTGAATAATAGATTGGTTGACCTTGCTCGATCGGGACGAGGCGTGTGTCAGAGGGTATGGGTTGGCATGTGCTCCCTGGCGTTTCCGACGCTGTGTGGAGAATGCGCTAGCGAGGATGGGGCAATCTTACGTCAGAGGTTGTGAGCTTTCCCGCGCCAAACGCCATGCGCGGCCAGCCTGGGGTTTCAGCGCCCAGGGCACGCGTGGTACTGACTCTTCTGTTGCGGCCTGACAAGGGAGTCTCACCTCGTCGCGCGCACGACGAGGTGCAGGCAGCGTTCGCCCACGGGACCGATCAGAAACAACGGATCGTGGAAACGCCCGGGGACTGGGCCGGGCACGGCTAGACGCGGCGGGAATTTATTCTGGGCCTGGTGCTGGGCTTGTCATCGGCGCGTGGCCCATGGGGTCGACGATCTCGTGCAAGGCGAGAGCGCGAGCCAAGTGGTCCAGAGACAAGCATCGGGCTAGCAGACACGAGGGGGCCTGGTAGAGGCGGCATCATTTGGGCAGCCCGAGGCCAGAATTTGCTGGGGTCGGTGCGCCGCGTTTGCGCCCCGGTCCCCCTCGGCCCCAGCGGCGGCAAATGATAGGCGGCAGGGCGCAAGTCGCGCGGACGGAGGGATTCGGGAGATCGAGGAGCGGACGGGCGTGGTGAGGCATTATCACTGGGGCGATTACGGGATTCTGGTGAAATTGAGCAGCGGTGTTGGCGTCACAGGTTTTCGGTGGCCAGTCGCAGGCCTGCGGAGTCAGCAAAGAACGCGGGGCTGCGGGCTGCGGGTTGCTGGGGCGCGCCGAATCGTGGAGGGGCAGCCTAGACTGCCCCTCGATCGCCGTCCGCTTCTTTCGTCATCCACGCCCGCCTCCCGCCTCCCGCGTTCGCTGGAAACGTCGCTCCAAGCAAAAATCAGGTCACACGCTGCCCGCACCGACGCAATCGTTGGCGTGTGTTTAAACCTCTCCTCGGTTAAAGGCTCGTCCGCTCCATGTTTGGGCGCCTTTGTCCTCTACGTACCTGTTATCGATCCTTTGCGCCGGCTCATTTTCGTCCGCCTGAGGCCCACGCCGTCGCCAGCCCGACTTGTTTTCGTCAAACGCCCAATCCCCACGACACGGAGAGCTCCCTTCGGGTCACGGCTCTCTTTTTCGGTAGTAACTGCGCCTCCCAGACCACCCTGCGCGGCCAATCAGCATTGCGGCTAACGAGCGTACGCGGAAAGCCAGACAGGATCGTGAATACGCAAGAAGCACGCGCAGACATGGCTGGAACTACTAAAGGCGCCGGCATCCCCATCGATGTGCCAGTTCGATCCTCATCACCCGGCCCTCTCTACACCGGAGACTTTGCTCGCCAGCAGATTCAGAAGCAGCAAAAGAACAATTTCCATTCCAGCTCCCTCAAAATGGTTACCAACCCGCAAACCGTCAACAAGACGGCCCTCCACCCCGCCGGTCTCCAGTACGTATCCAGCCCGCCCTGCCGAGGCAATCATGAGTGCTGACACTTCCCGCCCAGGCCGTCCAAGGAGCACACCGAGATTGAGGAGGAGCTGCACGACAAGGCACACATTGACTACGACCGCGTCGCCATTGTAAGCTTCCCGTACTGTCTCCTCATGGCGTTGGCCCTTGATTTTTAACCGCAGTTCCCAGATTGCCAACCCCTCCGTTGCTGCTCTCTACGAAGATGCATTGGTCTACGAGACCGGCTCGGCTATCACCGCGTCTGGTGCTCTCTCCGCATACTCCGGTGCCAAGACCGGCCGTTCTCCCTCGGACAAGCGTATCGTCCAGGAGCCTTCATCAGAGAACGACGTCTGGTGGGGTCCTGTGAACAAGCCCATGAGCCCCGATGTAAGTTCATGCATGTGCTCCTTTCCGCCGCGGTGTCACTCCATGTGTTACCCCACAAACTGCACCGTGGCCGACGTCATGTTTTTGTGCGTCGTTGCCGAGCCTTCCCCCGCTTGTGATTTGCAGCTGCGCATCCTTCCCCGCATCCGGCTACGCACCGCTCGCTTTCATCCATGCTAGCCTCCCATTCTGGGCTGCAGCTCACGTGTCCACTCAACCACATGCTAACATCTTCGCTTTAGGTCTGGCGTATCAACAGAGAGCGTGCTGTCGACTACCTGAACACCAGGAATCGCATCTATGTCGTTGATGGTTTCGCCGGTTGGGACGAGCGCTACCGCATCAAGGTCCGCGTTGTCTGCGCTCGCGCCTACCATGCCCTCTTCATGCGCAACATGCTCATCCGCCCCTCGCGCGCTGAGCTCGAGCACTTCCACCCCGACTACACCATCTACAACGCCGGTGCTTTCCCTGCTAACAGGTACACCTCCGGTATGACCTCTGCTACCTCCGTCTCTATCAACTTCGCCGATAAGGAGATGGTCATCCTCGGTACCGAGTACGCCGGTGAGATGAAGAAGGGTATCTTCACTGTGCTCTTCTACGAGATGCCCGTCAAGCACAACGTCCTTACCCTGCACTCTTCGGCAAACCAGGGCCAGAAGGGTGATGTCACCGTTTTCTTCGGTCTGTCGGGTACCGGCAAGACCACCCTGTCGGCGGATCCCAAGCGTGCGCTGATCGGTGATGACGAGCACTGCTGGAGTGACAAGGGTGTCTTCAACATTGAGGGTGGCTGCTACGCCAAGTGCATTGGCCTCTCGGCCGAGAAGGAGCCTGATATCTTCAACGCCATCCGTTTCGGCTCCATCCTTGAGAACGTCGTCTTCGACCCTGAGACCCGCGAGGTTGACTACGATGACTCGACCCTCACGGAGAACACCCGCTGCGCTTACCCCATCGAGTACATCGAGAACACCCTGATTCCCTGCATCTCCGACAACCACCCCTCGAACATCATCCTCCTTACTTGCGATGCTCGTGGTGTCCTTCCCCCGATCTCCAAGCTCAACACCGAGCAGACCATGTACCACTTCATCTCCGGTTACACCTCGAAGATGGCTGGTACTGAGCAGGGTGTCACCGAGCCCCAGGCCACCTTCTCGTCTTGCTTCGCTCAGCCCTTCCTGGCCCTGCACCCCATGCGCTACGCCAAGATGCTGGCGGACAAGATCGCCCACCACAACGCCAACGCTTGGCTGCTCAACACCGGCTGGGTCGGTGCCGGTGCCACCACTGGCGGCAAGCGTTGCCCGCTCAAGTACACCCGCGCCATCCTGGACGCCATCCACAGCGGCGAGCTCGCCAAGGCCGACTTCGAGGTGTACGACACCTTCAACCTGTCGGTCCCCAAGAGCTGCCCCGGTGTTCCCGACGAGCTGCTTAACCCGGCCAAGAGCTGGACGGGTACCGCGGACTTCAAGGGTGAGGTCACCAAGCTCGGCCAGCTGTTCGTCGAGAACTTCAAGAAGTACCAGGATGAGGCCACTGCTGAGGTCCTGAAGGCTGGTCCCGCTGTGTAAATGCACGAAAAAAATGTCCTGGGGCGGGCTTGTAAATGATGGCCCTTGGATGAGTTCATTTTCTATTCTTTTTCTGTTTCGGTTTGGCGACTTTTATGCATCATTTCCTTTTAAAGCACTTAAATTGGGCTCTTCTTTTGATTCGGGGAAGAAGAGGCTGAGCAGATGATGAAGAAGGACCCGGGGATACTTGGATGGTGGTAGAGAGGAAAACGTGCAGAACGGCACCTCTCCTAATTGGCAATACCAATAGCGATGAGCTGGCTAGCAGTCTCGGATTCGAAGAGCGCTAGCGAAAATGAAAGTAAAACAATACCCTGAAGATTATGGAGCCTTTGCATGTGAATGTGATGTCATTAGGAATGAAGTGGTGGTGTGCGATCACGATGAGCAGGTTAGGTGATTAGGATGTATGAAGAACAAAGGTGGCTGTTTCGGGGTGAGGCGGTGCAGCTGACTGCTGGAAGGAATGCAACAAAGGTAATGATTTGCGTGTTCCAGGATGTCTTGATTTACCATACAATTCGAGAAGAGAGAAAAGTCTGGTCGTTGAGAATGGCATTTGGAATCGTAAAGTGATGGATTTCTTCATCATCATTCATGTCAAGTTGGGCTCCAATTAGCACTGGTGATGAGATTGTTGTACCTGCGTGAACTACCATCTTGAGAGTATAATTCTCGAAGACACATTCAGACTGTGAAACGGAAGCTTGTGATTTCGCGGAGCCTAGATAAATGTCAAGAGCACACGTGCTCATTAGCTGAAAGAATTATGGGTGACATGTGGCTGGAGCGACGTGATCAGCACAGACCCTGACGCTCATTGTTCGCGTCTCGCCGATTCGCCGACAGGACGCGCGCGCGGTGGGGCGGCGCTGCTGCTCTCCTCCGCGTACCTGGGAGAGCTCAGGTCACTCTCCACAACTTTATCGCTTTCCCTTCCTTGTTCTTGCTTCCTCTCCTCCCGCCTTCCGGCGCGCTTCCGCCCTCTCGCAGATGAAGGAACCACCTCCGCCGCCGACATAGCGCATACCACGCACTCAGCCATCCACCATGGAGGCAGACTGGGACGAGGTGCGCAGCAAGCTTCCCCTCAACCACCACAATGCCGCCGTCAAAGACACCACCGCGCATTACTTCCTATATATCCTACGAATGCACATCAAACGAACGATTCCGCCGGTGCAACATACTAATGGTGCCTTGTGGTAAAATTGTAGCTCAGCCAGATACCTCTGCCTCCCCCGGGGCCGCATGCCATGCCCACGCCCGCCACCACGGTGGCCTTCGATACGCACCAGGACTTACTATGGGCGGGGAATGACTACGTGAGTGCCATCCTCTTAGCTTCCAACGAACGCATCGACTCGGGCGGGCCCCGGATTGTTACAACGATTCCACCTGTTGTTTCTGTTGAGAAGAGGGATAATGCGAAAAGGCACAATAGGCTGATGGTGCGGCTATGTATGTTCTGCGCAGGGCCGCGTGTCTTCGTTCTTCGGCCCGGAGCTCCAGCGCTACACGTCGTATCGCGCGCATCCGAGCGGTGAGGGTGCGGTCAAGCAGCTGCTATTCTGCGACAAGGGTGTGTTGAGCATATCGGTGCGGAGCGTGCATCTGGCGAGCAGGCGCGGCGTGACACAATGGCATCTCACGTAAGGGCAGGCCCCAGAATAAAAAGGATTCCCCCGAAAATCGGAGCATAATGGGATGATGGTTAAGGACTGATGGATGGCTTTGACACGCAGGAACGAAGGCTTCAAGGATCTACGGTGCATGAGCTTCACCTCCAAAGGCGTCCACGAGGTGCTGGTGGCAGGCTGCCAGGACACCATGTTCCGGATCGATGTCGAGAAGGGGACCATTACGGCGACGCTCCCGGCGGAGAACAGCTATACCATGATGAAGAAGGGGGGCCAATACATCTGCGCGGCCACTACTGGCGGTATGGTTCAGATCATTGACCCCTCTTCGTTCAAAGTCGTCAAGTCATGGCAGGCGCACAAGGAATGGATTAACGACATGGACGCGAAGTCGGATTTCCTTGTCACTTGCGGCTACTCCCGGCGCCAGATGAACAACCTGATCTTGGATCCCTTTGCGTACGTTTATGATCTGAAGACGCTGCTACCGCTCCCACCGATTCCGTTCCATGTTGGAGCAGCTTTCGTTCGCATGCATCCGCGCATGTCCACCACTAGCATCGTGTCATCGCAGTCCGGACAGCTGCAGGTTGTGGATCTCATGAATCCCAACACAGCCAATGTGCGCCAGGTCAACCTCTACGACACTTACCTGACCTGCCTAGAAATGGCACCATCGGGGGAGGCTCTGGCGCTGACGGATGCGCTATGTTCCGTGAGAATATGGGGCTCACCCACTAAAGTCCGCTTCACGGATCAAAGCCAGCCGACAGAATTCCCAGATCATGCCATTCCGCCACCGAAGCTGGATTGGTCCATGGAAACTCCACTCAGTACCATCGGCATGCCTTACTACAGAGAGACGTTGCTTTCGGTCTGGCCCAGCCACATGATCTTCGAAGTCGGCGCACCACCACCCAAGGTCGATCCGCAAGTGCAGGCCAGCCTGAAGCGAGCCGATATGGGACAGTGGGCGCCCAATCCACGGAAGACGCGGAGGAACCAGGTCCAAGCAACTCGCATGTTGGAGAAGGATAACCCGCTCAAGGCACCCAAATTCCTCAGCGAAAAGGCGAGGGACGGCAACGGGGGTAAGGACGGAGAGCGGAGAATGAGCGAGACACTCGAGGCGCTTACAGACTTGATGCTCGACGGATCGACGAAGAAGGATGTTCCGGTCATGTACCGAAATGTGGAGATCAAGTACAGCAAGTTTGGTGTGGATGACTTCGACTTCAAGTTCGTTCGACATTGTCCTCTCGTCTCAGTTAAACACTGATCAAGTCGCAGATATTACAACAAGACCGAATACTCTGGTCTTGAGACGCACATTGCTAATTCGTACGCAAACCCTCTTCTTCAACTATTCAAATTCACTCCGTTGGTGCGGAACTTGGCACTGCATCACGCGGCCACGTCATGCTTGTTCGAGAACTGTCTCCTTTGCGAGCTTGGCTTCCTCATCGACATGCTGGAAAAGGCGTGCGGGCAAAACTGTCAGGCCACCAATTTCTTGAAGACCTTCAGCGGGCTTTCGAATGCCGCTTCTCTTGGCCTGCTGGAGGAGCATTCTCCAAACAGCTCTTTAACAATTATGATTCAAAATCTCAACCGATTCCTCTTGGATAAGCTCACGGCCGACTTCCGGCAGATGGCGCAGGGCGTGGGCCATCTAGATCACGCCTTCACGACCAACGCCGTGGCCAACATTCGATGTGCGCAATGCAATAATGAAACGAGACGCCCAGGTGCAAGCTTAGTCCACGAGCTGGTGTATCCGCCGAAAAATACCATGAAGAACCCGATGCGAGCCTCGCGGCCCACATTCTCGCAGATCTTGAAGGCCAGTGTTGAAAGGCAGGACCAGAACAGAGGCTGGTGTGACAGGTGCAAGCGGTATCAACAGCTCGCCGCGCGGAAGACGATCCAAAATATTCCTCCCATCTTGATGATCAATGCCGCCATCCATAGCCACGAGGCGAAACAACTGTGGGCGACGCCAAACTGGCTGCCTGAGAAGATTGGCATCATCGTCAATCAAGGCCAGTTTTTCTGCTACGAAGGCCAGGACTTGGAGCATCATCTTCGGCGCAACTTCTACGACATTCAGGTCTACGAGCTGATCGGCGTTGTTGCCGACATCAACAGCGGCGAGAACCAGAAGTCGCACTTGGTATCCGTGATCAATGTCTCACCTTCATCTCGCAACGAGGAGACGGAGAGCAAGTGGCACCTGTTCAACGACTTCCTGGTGCGTCCGGTTACGAAAGACGAGGCGCTGCGCTTCGAGCCGAACTGGAAGCTTCCGTCGGTGCTCACATACCAGAGCGTCAAGGCCAGTCATCACATCGACGACTCGTGGAAGGAGAACCTGGATACCTCCCTTCTCTACCGTACCTGGGGCCCTGGTGAGAGCGACAACCCAGACTTCAAGCCGCTGCAACCAAGTGAGCACCCGGGCCCGGGCTGGCCTGTGGCCATCGACGCCGAGTTCGTGTCGCTACAGAGGGAAGAAATCGAGATCAGCGCGTCCGGCCAGCGCGAGACGATCCGGCCGTCGCGACTGGGCCTGGCACGAGTATCGGTGCTGCGAGGAGGTAGCCTTAAAAAGACTGAAGGAGAGGAAGGAGAAGAAATAGTAGATGACGACGACGACGACGACGCCGACGAGGGCAAGCCGTTCATCGACGACTACATCGCCATCGCGGAGCCCATCGTCGACTACCTCACCCTCTTCTCTGGCATCTCACCGGGCGACTTGGACCGCGCAACGTCGCGGCACGCGCTGGTGGGGCTCAAGGTCGCGTACAAGAAGCTGTGGCTGCTGCTCAACCTCGGCTGCGTCTTCGTCGGCCACGGCCTGCCCAAAGATTTCCGCACCATCAACATCCACGTCCCCAAGGCCCAGGTCGTCGACACGGTCGACCTGTACTTCATCCCGGCTCGCCAGCGCAAGCTGAGCTTGCGTTTCCTCGCTTGGATCGTGCTCGAGGAGGACATCCAGCAGGACACGCACGACTCGGTCGAGGACGCGCGCACGGCGCTGAAGCTGTGGAAGCACTGGCGCAGCGTCGAGATCGCCGAGGGCCGCGCCGTGTGCGAGGAGATGGTCCGCGACATCTACAAGCGCGGCTGGGAGGTCGGGTTCAAGGTGCCTGGCACCGGTGGTAAAGGCGGTGGCTATCAGCTGGCGAGTACGCCTGAGCCTGGTGGCATGAGCACGCCGACGCGGACGACGCCGGTTAGACCAGGTACGGGCGGGTGGAAGCCGCCGCCCGGCGGTGTGAGTTTTGGGAGTCCGATGAAGTGAGGGTGATGTGTTGGTAAGCTGCCGGGGTGAGGAGAGTGAGGCGGTGGTGGCTAGGTCTTTTCTCAGTTTTAGTCTCTGTTCTTTTTTTCTTCGAGGGTGGATGACATGTTGGGTAGTGGTAGCGTGTGTAGAGGGGAGATTGTGGACATAGATGAATTCAAGTACTTCTTCAAAGTTTGGGTCTGACACTACGCAGTGTTCGTTGTGTGGGTCATGGTGACCCGGTGAGTGAAGTCGACCACGGCGCTTTCTCCAGTGATGGCTTACAGCGAAGGCGCCGCTGGCGTACTGAAGCTACGTACACTGGCAAATATGCCTGCCTGAACATTATATACCTGACAGGTCAGGCCCATCATTAGCCCGGCCGAATGCCAGTAACGAGTGGGGAGTTGACGCAGACGCCCTCCCTGCTTAAGCTGTGGTTCGGCCGCCCCATGCTTGGGTGGGGTACGGCTGGAGGGTGTAACGGGAAAAAACAGGCGGTCCTCGAAGAGCCTGTTTCTATGCCGAAAGGCATAGTTTTTTGCCTTTTATTCTTTCGTCCTGCAGCCCATATATATCAGTGAAGAGCTCCATGTAAACAGGCTTGTATTTTGATTAGCTCTGGTCGCATATCGTTTCACTGTTTTCATCAAGTGAATGAAAATATCGGCAGTTGAGTGATTGCTATGGTATGCCAGTCTTGAGATACTCGAAGCGCTTTGGTTTGCACTGTAGCTACACCACTCCCTTTTGCTGTATCATTGCCAAATAGCACTCACTTTTGTCGTTACCGGAAAGAATTAAAGTGTTGTCCCCACGCTTAGAGCTGATGTGAACCTTCCGCCTGTACAAAGTCTCCTACGCCTTCAGCGACTCATCATACTTCCGGTAAATCATGTCAAACAACCTCAAGTCATCCATAGCATCCTCCGGCGTCGTCTTGATAGGTGCACCTTCGGTAAAGCACTTGTGCATCTCCTGCAGTTCTGCCGTGTACGCATCTTCATAGCTCGCCAACACCTCCTTACTCTCAATCTCGCCATGCTCGTTCACCCCCACCGTCTTGACCTTGATCGGCAAGCCCTTCACATATGGCGAATCGTACTTGATCTCCACGCGCTTGTTCTTGCCATACACCGCCAAATGCGCGTCAAAATCCGGCACGCCATCAATCCCGCTCTCATACGTGACGGCGAACGGCTTGCCTCCCAACTCCGCCTTATTCTTATACGCCAGAATCGCCGAATAGAACGGGTGGTTCGCGCTCACGCCGTCGACCCTCTCCGGGAAGCCCAGCACCTCGCGCATGAGCGAGATGTCGTGGCTGCCCAAGCTGCCGAGGAAGCGGCACATGCTGTAGCGCTCGTCGCCCACCTTGACGCCCTTACCAGGAAACGCCTCTTCCAGCAACTGCGCCATCAACCTCTCGCGCTCCTTCCCCGCTTCCGGTGGAATATCCGCCGTGTACCCTTTCAGCTGGAACGTCCCGCTCTGGTCCACAAACGTCTTGTTCGGCCCGCTGAAGTCGCGCACGCGCGCATACAATATTTCGCCCAGCTGCTCGACCTCACGGCGGAAAGTCTGCACGAAGCTCGGCGCGTACCTCCGCATATACCCGACAAAGACGTTCCCGCCCTTCTTGTCCGCGTCGACGATGCGCTGCGCCGCGGCCAGCGACAGCGTCAGCGGCTTCTCGATGAAGACGCGCTTGCCCGCCCGCAGCGCGCGCACGCAGTACTCGGCGTGGAACTCGTCGCCCGTCAGCACGAAGACGACGTCCACGTCGGGCGACGCGAAGACGGCGTCGGGCGACGTCGTGTGCTGCGCGATGTGGAACTTGGCCGCGCAGTGCGCCGCCGTCGTGGCCGAGATGTCGCAGATGGCGGTGACGGTGTAGAGGTGCGAGAGGAGGGCGAGGGCGGGGAGGTGGATGACCTGATAAGATTGTTTGTTGGCATCGTCCCTGTTTTGCTGTTTGTATTGTGGGGGGATGTATATCATGGTGTTTGCTTACTTGGGCGACTTCGCCGGCGCCAATGACGCCGACGCGGAGCTTCTGGGGCGAGGACATTGCGGTAGCTGCTGTATCTTCAATTGATGCGTTTAGGTGTCTTTCGACATGACTGCGAATGTTGTCGTGAAGTTATGGAGTCCGTTAGGACCCAGCACTGCGTCATGGTGGGGCCGGTGCGGGGCTGCCTTCACCACCGAGGATTGTGGAACCGTTGCCTTTGAATATTCGGCAAATGAGAACACATGCAGGTCTTAAATTAATATAAAAATATCTAGATTTAGCCTTCCCAACTTCTCATGGAGGGAATATATTACCTTGATATATAAACTTAAAGTTCCCCCAACGCACTTTGGCGCAAGCAAACAACCACCGATTCCAATCATTTCTCGGGAATCACAACCCGATGATATTTACTAGTACGTCTCTTACATACAATCATATCATATGCGTCGTAAGGATGCACCCTATGCGACTATTATTACAATCCGCATCCGTCTCTATACAAAAACGCCGCAAAATGCCGAACGCTCTCTCGACCTTTACCGGCCCTCCAACCTCAGCCTATCCAAAGCCCTGCCCTCGTCCCTCCTAGCAACGAGGAACCACGCACTAGCAACCCAGCAAAAGCTGACGCCGAGCCAGCTGTGCACGGGCATCTTGAACTTGTTCAAGCACATGAGCTGGAAGGCGCCTCTGGGCACGCTGATGAAGCTGACGGTCAGGGGGCTGGTGGCCTTTGTGAGCAGCAGGGTGCTCGAGAAGACGGCCCAGGCGCCGATGCCGCCGCAGACGGTCAGGAACCAGAAGAAGGGCACGTCGAGGAAGTAGCAGTTGTGGTAGATGTTGCCGAGCTCGCCGGACAGCACGAGGATGGGCGTCGTGAGGAAGAGCGTCAGCACCGACGTGTAGTGCAGCGTGCGCCAGTACGCGCGCGTCTCCTCGCGGCTGCCCGACGGTGTCTCGTCGAGGCCGGGCGTCGAGGGGAAGCCCGTCAGCACGTCGCCTTGCGGGACCATGTCGTTGACAAGCCTGCGGAAGGTCCGCAGGAGGAGGATGGGGTAGATGGCCGTGAAGAGGGAGGAGAAGACGCCGGCGAGGATGCTTTCCCAGGTAACGCGCACGCCGGGGCGGATGGAAGCGACGAGGAGGCTGAAGGTTGCTGTGAGAGCCGAGGACTGGGTGGAAACCGAGTTGGCTGTAATCGAGGAGCTGCCAGCGAGAAGCAAAGCAATAGGAACCACGCCAATGCGGGCAAGCGTGTACGTCTCTTGAGCGGCGTATCTAAACCAGATCAGTCACTTGCTTACCGTACGCCTGCCGGGAGACTTACGCAAATGAGATGTTGCTCAGCACAACCTTGGCCAGATACACCACAGCCAAAGGAACGACGTGTTTCGCAACGGGCCACTCGAACTCGAAAATGCCACCACCCGCAACCCCACCGTTCCCACCGCCCAGCAACCGCAGTAGCCCACCACGTTGCCTAGGCGGTCCTCTGAACCCCTGTCCGCTCGAGAGCGGCGTCGCTGGCGCCACCATAGCACCGAGTCCAAGCCTCTGCAACGGGCGCGACAGAAGGCGCGTCAAGCCCGCGAACCCGATCAGAAAGATATGCTCCAGCACCAATTGTATCCACGTCATCGTCAGAGGGTATGGGAACTTGTAGACGCCGGCTGCAGCACACTCAATTAGCACAATGCCCGCACACCAATTCCCTCCACCATTCCTCTCCCCCAAGACCCAAGGTTGTCCCAAAAAAAAAAAAGAGAGAACTCACTCAGCAAAATAAACCGATTCATCAACAACAGCCCAAACGACGCGCCAGCCACCCAGAACACCAGCAGTCCCACATACACCTGCCACCCCATCCACGTCCCGAAGAAGAAGTTGCCCAGCCCGCCGGTATTGCGCAGCACGCGCCGCCACGACGACGACCCGCCGGTCCCGATGTCCGCGGCCGACACGAGCGGCCGCACCAGTGACGACGGGCCCGGCTCGTACACGTCGTCGTCCTCGTCCTCGGACGCGCCGCCACTAACCCGGCTGCGCGGGTACGGCGACGGCGTGCGCGAGGATAGGTCTACCAGCGGCACCATGCCGCTACCGCCGGGTGTGAGGTCGCCGCCGGCCGTTGAGCCGGCGGATGTGGTGCGCAAGTGTGTGGAGTCCATGGTTCGGGTAGGCGGAGGGCACACGCGCGCGCGTGGAGCGTGGGAAGGTTCGGTCGGTGGGGAGGAGAGGAAGATATATTAGGCGGTGACTGCTGCTGCTCTTTACTCCTGCGACATGCCTCGGGGTCAATTGCGTGGAAGGATAATCGAGGATGGTTTGGAGCGGCTCGGGGCGACGAGTAGAGAGGGAGCGGAAAGGGAACGTCGGTCTCGTCGTCGGCAGTGGAGGTATGAAGACGCGTTGGTGGTTGCGCGAATGTCCAGCCAGGGAGACGTGGGGAGTTTGGCTGCGCGATTCGGGGGTCCATGCCAAAAGTTGCGCGAGTCATGGTTGTCTTGGCTGATCGACGGGGTTTGTCCTATTCAGGGAATTCGTACCTTTAGGTCATCCATTCGGGCATTTCTACTCTCAAAAGCGCCATTTTCGGAGCCTATGTGCGAAAACAATGCGGATACAACTAGCAATGACACATGCGCTTCAGGTTGGCATTGGAGAAAGGGCATAAGGTCGTTAAAATTCATGATCTAAGCATTAACATTACCATTACGGAACTCCGGCGTATACGCCAACACTCGTGGCCCCTTATTTATACGCCAGAATCCTCAGCCATCAATCCCCTCCCGTCCTGCCATGCTTTCCAAGCAGCACACGTTTTCTTCAACTCGCAGCCGCCGTCGTCCCAAGTACCGCCGATCTGATCTTGCATCTCGACCACCTGCGCCGCGAAACCCATGGCGCTATGCCAGCCCACGTGACAGTGCATCAGCCATGCGCCCGGGTTCTCGACCTTCCATGCTGCAACGACAAAGCCCAGGCCCGGCATGAGTACCGTGTCGCGGCGCGAAGGGTTCTTCAGCCGCAGCGGCACGCTTGCATCGTAGCGACCTGTGCCGGTGGCAAGGATGTAGAAGTCCTGAATCGGTCAGTTACAGGTGGCAGTGCTGAAGGAATGTGAGTGGGGACTTACGTGACCATGGAGATGGAGCGGGTGCGGCAGAGCAATCTCGCTCTCGACAACGATGTAAACCCACTCGCCCTCGTTGGGTGCATTGATCAGCAGGTCACCGCTGTAGCTGGGAGGCTGGCCATTGTCGAGGATGCCGAGCACAGTCGGGTCGTCCCACTTGGCACTGAACGTGTTGCCGGAAATGAACCACCGGAAAAGGTTGTTGGGTTGTTCAACCGTTATATCGCCGTACCAAGTGACATCCGGCTCGGAGACGTCGAACGGCAGGATAGGTACGTGCAGGGAATGATCTTCATCTGTACATTCGGTCGTGTACTGTTGAGCAGCTGTGGTTGGCGTACTGCCCTTGGACCCTTCGTAGCTGAAGATGCCCTTGATGTCGAGGGCTTGTTTGATGCCAGCGCAGGTGTTCTGGTTGTCGGAGCGCATCCAATAGTCGCCAACCTCTTGGTCGGCATGTACAATTACATCGTAGCGTTCACCTGTGCCTGTCAGCAAGCTGTTGATCACATGGGGAAAGTCTGCTTACCAATATTTACGTTGAGTATGTTGGTATCATATGGAACAATGGGCGTGAAGTCGGTAGAGATAACCGTGAAAGAATGGCCTGAGTCAATGGTCAGCAGTGTTGCTTGAGGTGTTTGCTGTAGAGAGTAGCCTTACCGTCAATATGGAACTTAAAAGTGGATTGAATCGAAACGTTAATAACGCGCAGTAAGTACGATTTTCCCTTGGTAACCGTCATCTTGAAACGCTCTCCGGTCGAATTGTAAGAGCCCTCCTTTCCCCACGTGTTCTTGCCGTTGATAAGACCGTTGTCCATGACACGAGCCCCACCATTGTGGCCGGGTGTCGCATCTTGGGCGGCGTGGTATTGGGAGTCAACAGTCCAGTGGCTCCAGTCCTGGAGCATGATGTGTCCAGCATCGACATCGTATTGCCTTTCCGGGCTGCTGGGTCCATGGATAACAACAGGGCCGAAAACACCCTCCCAGGTCTGGATGGCGTAGTGCGAGTGGTACCACGAAGAGCCATAGGATTCAGCGACCCAAGTGTAGGTCATCGACTCTCCGGGCGCAATCGGGCATTGAGTGACAGACGGAACTCCGTCATATTGGTTGGTGAAGTGTTGCCTGATACCGTGGAAGTGTATCGTCGTACCATTGTCTTGCATCTTGTTGATTACAGTGACCTTCACTGTATCACCCCAGTTGGCCTCGATGAGCGGCCCTGGCATCTGGCCATTCACCAGCAGGGCAATCCTGGGAATACCGTCGGGAGCGATTGTGGTGTTGGTGATCTCCAGGGTGTATTCGACAGTCCTGCAGGTCTTCGGCACATGCTTGTAGTAATCGGTATGGATGTCGTAGCCACAGAACTGATCGTCTCCAGGTTGACCCTCGCATCGAACGCAGGAGTCTGTCCGGCCGGCCAGCTGAGATGTTGATCGTTTTGCCGAGCATGCAGGGTCGCCTTGGCCTGAATTCGATGCGTTGTTGGTCGGTACTGGCGAGGGTTGCGCCACCACGCTTGAAGTCGCCGGGGGCGGGACTGCATAGTCCTGTCTCTCTTGAAGTGAGGCGCCACACTTGCCGTAACCGTCTTTGCATCCGTCACCGCAGTAGGCGTCGGTAGAGCCGCAATACCCGTACTGGCTGCAGCACTCGCCGAACTTGGAGCCCTCGCAGGTGAATCCCATCGAGTTGCCGCAAGTCCCATCTTGAGATACTGCGCCTTCAGTCTTCTCGCATAGACCGAACTCCAACTGACATCCTGCGCCGCAGTAATCGGCAGTGGCTCCACAGTAGCCGTCTTTGCTGCAACAGTTGCCGAATATAGAGCTCATGCACGTAAGGCCTGAGGCTCCCCCACAAAGTCCGTCGGTAGAAGTGACGGCAAGTCCCTGTACGAGACCGGGTATGCACACGACAAGCCAATCAGATAACCTCATGGCGATCGCGAGCTGGGATGTGGTTGGTGATGGTGGAGGAGAGGAATTAAAATAAACAAGAAAGAGAACTATCGTGAAGCCAGGTTTAGGGCAAGCCGAACGAGTGTACAAAGGGGCGGATGAGGGTGACAGTCGTCCTTGGGGCTGGAAGGGTGTTGAGGAGGCACGCGCCTTTGTATATGAGATGAGCCCATCTACCTACCCAGCATGCGTCCAGCCTTGTGGCATCCTGGCCAACGCGCTCGCATGGTAGCAACTGACCACAGCCCCTCTCGGTGAGGCCCGTGATAGGATCGATAAATTGAGTCTGGCAGTCTTGGAAGCAACCTAATCATTACCCGACTCAGCAAGCGCGGCGAGATGACATGCGGAGCTGTCATGGCTGAAGCCACCGCTGCTGCAGCATTGCTGCTGTTCTCAGCTTCCGCTGCAGATTGTCATTGGCTGAACATACGGGCGAGAGCGTGATGTAGAGGCTCAAGTGTTGAAACACGGTCTGACATGCCGGAATGAGAGCTGCAGGGTAGACTGCACGAGCCGGGATCCCACATTAGCGTTCCGGGCATGCACTGCTCGGGATGCTGGCGGGGACCCGGGGATGATCCAGGTGCGAATGCATTAAAGGCTTGGATTTCTTGGTGGGATGCTTTAGGCGAAGACCGTATTTCTTCGACTCGGCGTCTTGGTAATATTCCAGGAACGACTGCTAAGAGAAGTGCATTCTCCGTTCGTATACATCGACTCAAAGGAGACTGACCTCAGAAACAGTATTGGCATGCATTTCGTTCATTTCGCAGAGGCTAGGCCGGCCCGCGTCTGGCGCATGCTGGGCCATGTCCTTGCAATTCCACGCGCATACATACAGACGTCGGCGGCCTAAAAAGCAGCAGACCTATCTTGTGATTTTGTGTAGCCAATGACGGCACGCACACCGCCGTTACAAGTCCATTCGCAGCACATGTCCAGGATTGGCTTTGATGCACTTCGCCATCGTAAGAGAAACGCGGCCAGGCTGAACATTGTCGGTGACGATCAGCAAAGGCGTCGCCGGAGCAAAAATATCGCTGCTGAAGCGAGGCAATGCTGCGTGTAGCGGCGCAGCCCCAAAATCAGCAGGCAATGATGTCAAGCCCGTCAGCCTTGGAAAATTGAAGTCCTGTTTTGCACCAATTGCACCCAGTGAGCAGTCAGAACGTGACCATTCGGTCCAGCTGCGGCGCGCTGACTGCGAAGACTCAAGTCAGACATGGAGCTTCGGACCCCAAGACAGACGCCACCAGGCGACGTGGAGGCAGAGATATTGACGGAGCGAGGAGAAGCGAAGCTTGGAATCCGGCGTTATGTAACCAAATCGATATCGCAGGAACATGTCCCAAAGTGCTTGCTTAAGCATCTCTTATTACCAGGGCGGCCAAGCCATAGGAAGGAGGAGGAAGACGCCACGCTGTGGAGGTACCGATCTGGGCAACGCTCTAGAGTAAGAAGCCACATGGATAAGTCTCGCTCAGCCCAGATCTTCACAAAAAACAAGAGTAGGGCTGTTAAAGCTGAGTCAGTGGCGCAGCAGTGTCAGGCGGAGGCGTTGCAGACAGTTGGCATGCAGAATCGACCGGAGTGGTGGCTTCTGAACGGCAGCGGGGGTTGATTGGAGCGGTGCAGAAGGAACCGACGGCAGAAGGCGTCCAGAAGCCGGTTGACCTCATGATCAGGCTGATGACGGGCGTCAAGCAGATAAGCTCAGAATTTAAAAAGAGGAGGAACAAGCGACGGCGCTAGCCTATTTTCAGCCACTTCCCGCCGGTTGCCTCTTCTCGCCCTTTCCTCCGACACCACCACCAACACCCCACAACACCACAAACCACGTCCACCACAACGCCCTCCGGAGAACCCCTCTCGCTCTCACCGGCATGCCCGGCAAATATGCCTCTCTCTCAGCCACCCACGTGGCTGTTCCAAGAATAGCGCCCACGCTTGATTTGCGCGACCCGTCGGCCACGGGGCGACCCACTGACCGGGCCCTCGGCGACTCTTGTCATTCCTGGGCTCATGGGTTATTTTTCGGACCCGCGTGATGTCCCACCTTCGCCACGGTACGAAGAGTCTCGTACCCCGGGCTCAAGGTGTCTTTTCTAGCCTATGTTACATGCTCCTCATCAAGCGACTGCACTGTCTCGCACATTTGCATGTTGACCTATCGTAACACCCTCGATGCGGCTACAGACATGCATATCTATCTCAGTCTAGCCGTCCGGTACCCCACATTTTCCATGAACTACGACAATCTGAACCACTGGATGGCAGATCGACACGCTTTCGCGCACAGCGACTTGGTCCTAACAGCCAGTTCTCCTTATCATTTGGTCGGGGGAATCAATTTGCCTTGGTCGTACAACGTCTGTGTGGAGCGAGAGCATCAACATCGCGCAATTACCGATCCTTTGGAATCTCCCCCATTCCGATCGCCCGCCGGAAACTAAGGCAGTGTGACCCTCGCACCATTCCTCCTATCTTCTGAAAAATGCCTGTATACGCGGATCAGGGGCATGGGTACTCGCTCTGTCCTGATGTCGACAGCATTAACGATTCGAGTCTATGAGCTGAGCTTCATGGATTATCTCAGGATCTGAACTATACATCAGGTGGTATATTGCGGTACCAAAAGCAAGCAATGCAGAGTCATCATGACCCATGCTTGTACGACATCACCACGGAATGAGCCGCGCGGCAGCCTGAGAAGCGAATTTCCCGCGCCTCTGTTAAGCCGCAGATCGGGATCTCTGAAACAAGCACAGGGCTTTTTGCTTGCGCTTGCGGACAGGTTGGAGACATTCTTGCATGAACACCAAGCTTCAAGTCCAGAAAAAGGAACCAAGTGGATCAAAGGCGAAGCCCAGACGCTTGATCTTGTAAGTTGCCACGCTGCGCCTTTCATGCAGATGTCGCTCCACTGACATGCATATGCTGAGATGCGTCTCGACAAAATCAGGCCAGGCCTCTTCACCGAACAGGGCTGCTGCGTATATTGACTTGCATATCGTTCCGGTCTCCCCAGTGCCCTAAACACTCACCGAAGGCTCAATCAACATCACATGCCCAGGCGGAAGCCACAGTGCAGCTTCCGATGGTCTGATGTTACAGTGAAGCAACGCCGCACCGCATGCTGCACGATGCGGTAGTCAAAGGCTTCACAACTGTCATGTGCAGAGCTGTCTCGGGCCGTACATCTGCGAAGAGCCTGAGCTGCGCTTCCTATGCTGGGCACCAAGCATGAGCTGAGTTCCGCGCTGCTCAATCTACGAGACGTGTGGATGGTAGGCCCGAAAGCTCTGCTGGGACCACAACAGCAAGCTTCCAGGGTCTGTCAAAAGGGCTTAGAGCACGTTGCTAGTTATATCAGCGCGTGACTTACGAATCACGGAAAGAGAAATGGCGAAAAGGTATTACGATTGCAGAGACGGAGCTCCAGCTCACCTTCATATTTGGGTGATTACTTCGACCTTACCCCTTCTTGTCTCTTCCGGCTCGAACCTGTGAGCTCTTTGTAATGCTTGCGTTGACGTTGACTGCCCAACTACTCGGAAGCAATTCTCTTGCCCATCGGTTCGCCTTCCTCCAATTCATAACCTGAAAGCATTGCCTCCTCTATTCCCATCTCTGAACACAGGTTACTCTTGATGTGGATAAGTCCTCTGACGGCTCAGGCAGACATGGTTCTTTTATTTCACATCTGACCTTTTCCGAAGATCCACCTTCGATTTCACCAAGCCGTTTACTGTTTTCCCTCCTCAGATTACCCGGCCACTCGCCGCTGCCGCGTGTGCACGTGGATCGTAGCACGATGGACCTAACGGATGTGTACGGCAAGAGATGTCCAAAACTTGGGTCCGATAAATCGTGCGCTCGAACGGAAGGAGAATTATGCGGCCCACTGTACCGAGAATCGAGCCTGCAAGGTCGCCCTTGCATGAATAGTAGCTTGGCGTTCTCCGAGGATGCATTCAAGAAGTTTCCGGTAATGACAACACTATGCAAGTTTATTGCCAGCACGAGCCGACGATGCAACGAATTAACAGCTCTTGCTACTGCCGTGTTCCGGTGTGAAGAGCGCATTACCAGACCTTCCGGCTATGTCGGACTTGAGGTCAGCTGACCTGTTCTTCGCCAATGGTTCCATGCGGGATACCCGATCGCGGACCGAGCCAGTGCTACGAAGGCTCTCTGGATTGTTTGCCATGGTGTATCGACACTAGGCCACGTCAAAGTCGAAGACTATTTTACCCGTGCCGTTGTGCAATGCCGCTGCATCTTGCCGATTACCAATCACCAACAACAGGCAACGACTTTCAAACCAATGGTTTTAGCCGGCCGGTGTCAAGCGAGACATAAAGTCAAGTCATTGACAGGATTTCTGACGCGAGATCATGGCATGATTCAAACAAGTTGCATTAGGAAGGCGATACCTCCGCTCTTAGCGGCGTTCCTATCGCCAGAGATTTGCGTTCACGCAGGCAGCGAGGCGGATGGAGCGGGGTCCTTTTTCTTGGCCTGCTTGGCACCGTCTTGGACTTCCTCTATCTAGCCGGTCGAAGCTATCACCAAGGGCGCCCGCCGAAAGCTTCACGAGGCCATGCGGGTCGCCATATCTCTCGGGTAACAATAATCAGAACTTCAACAGGCACTGGCTGCAAATACAAGACCTCTCCCGCCACGATGCACAGCCTAAACAGCAAACTCACAGCCTCTCCGCCAAGCCTCCAACGGAATCCGTCCGGCTCGCGTCGACGTCACGGAAGAGGTGCCGCGCAGCAAACGAGCCGCCGTACACCCATGCCATTTGATAGCTTATCCCGTAAACCAACACCCAGCCGCCGAAACGCGCCCGACTCTGGGGCGCGGTTTCCCTGCTCTCGCCCATTCACAGCTTCCTATCCAGGCACTTTCCCCCATCTAATGCACAGCCCAGCCATCCCGCATAAACGAATTACCCTATTGCCTCGTGATGTTGCCGTAAATCCCGGCAAGGCAGGCGCGTAGCCTGCACAGCAAACATGGTGTTTAAAACAAACCCGCACCGCGCCAGCCATTCTCTCCCCCAAACACAACATTATTCTTTTTGTTTCCCCTCCATCGTTTTCCCTTGCATCCCTTTGTTTTTCTAAGGGTCATTCCTAAACGATGCTCTACCGCTCGCTGTTTGCTGCCGCCGCAGTCGCTTCGTCGGCCCTCGCCGAGCACGTCCCGGCCGGCCGCCGCGGGCTGCTGAAGCGCCAGGTACCCGCAGACCCAACGGGCGTGCAGGAGATCACGTCGCCCGGCGGCGCCAAGATCACGTACAAGCAGCCGGGCAAGCAGGGCGTGTGCGAGACGGCCGAGGGTGTCGACGACTACGCCGGCTACATCTCGCTCAACGAAAAGTACAACGTCTTTTACTGGTTCTTCGAGGCCAGAGAGAACCCGACGGAGAAGCCGGTGAGTTTGAATCCTGATTTTTTTTCTTCCTATGCATGTGGTTGTTAGACATGGGAGGTGTGGGGATTGAGTGGAGTTGTTTGTTGGTGGGGGCTGGGTGGTGGCTGGGGTGTTTGTGAATTGAGTTCTGTATAGGGAACAGTGGCTGACCTTGGCATTGTAGCTCACACTGTAAGCGTTTCGAATACCTCTTGGGAGTTTATGCGGTTTTTGACTTGGCTTGCGCAGTTGGCTTAATGGTGGCCCGGGATCGGATTCGTTGATTGGGTTGTTCCAAGGTAAGCTGGTTTCTTTACTGTTTCAGCAAAATCTTCTTTTCGATAAGAGCTTGGGAATACCATATGGGACGGGGTTTTTTTTTTTGTGGAGACTCCCGGAGCAGAGTATCCGTCACCATTCTGTTATGGTGGACTCTGCGCCAGGTGAAATGCGAGCATCCCTCCCCGCCGGGACATTCGACCGAGCTGGCGAGACCCGTTTGGGATGAATGCCTTTGGTTTTTCTCTGGACTCTCAGACCGCAATACTCCTATGGTTGAGGATTGTCAGACCGTTTTTTATGTGCATAATTATCTTTTTTCATCTGTTCTGGCCACGAAGGTATGATGATGCTGATGATCGTCTTTTAGAGCACGGTCCGTGCAACATCACCGAGGATTTGAAGACGCAATGGAACCCTTATTCCTGGAACGAGGAGTCGAACATGCTCTACCTCTCCCAGCCTGTCGGAGTAGGCTTCTCGTACGAGACGACCCAAGTGACGGAAGACGGCCGTTATTCCATTGTCGACCCGGATACGACCAACACCACATACGCCGCAGCTGTCGGCGCGTGGGAGCTCATCCAGACATTCTTGGAGCTTTCTGAGAAATTGGACCCGGATCTCTCGAACAGGACGTTCAACCTCTGGACTGAGTCATACGGTGGTCACTGTAAGATCTGAATTGTTCTATTGGAAGTTCCGTAAACTGATTGTTTCAAAAAGATGGCCCCACTTTCTACAGGTATTTCTACGAGCAAAGTCAGGCGATCAAAGATGGAACTGTCGACGGTTACCCCCTGGAGATGGACACTCTTGGCATAATTAACGGCATCATCGATGAGGGTCTGTACATCCTCTCCTTTGACTTCAACACACACTCACAGATTCAATCAGGCATCCAAGCACCGTACTACCCCGAATTCGCGGTCAACAATACGTATGGCATCAAGGCCGTCAGCGACACCATCTACAGCGAGATGAAGGACGCGTACTATCGCGAAGGCGGGTGCGCCGACCAGGTAGCAGCCTGCGCCGCCGCTGATCGCGAGACCAACGAAGGGTTAGTCCACAAACTCCTGACCCCATTCGTACACGTGCCCTTTCTAAACAGCACTTTGCCCAGCTGGCAAATTTGCCGCGATGCAACCGACTTCTGCCGCAGCGAGGTCGAAGAGCCTTACTACATCTACGGCGGTCGCGGCGTCTACGATATTCGTCACCCGTACGACGATCCCACACCGCCCGACTACTTTGTCGACTTCCTCAACCTGGCGTCGACGCAGGAGGCACTCGGCGTCAACATCAACTACACCACGACCAATTCGCGCTACGTCAACGCGGGCTTCCAGTCGACGGGCGACTTCGTCTTCCCGGACTTCAAGGAGGACCTCGAGTGGATCCTGGCGCAGAACGTGCGCGTGGCGCTGCAGTACGGCGACGCCGACTACATCTGCAACTGGCTGGGCGGCGAGGCCGTCTCGCTGGCCATCGAGTACGAGAACTCGGCCGACTTCCGCGCCGCCGGCTACGCTCCCTTGCTCGTTGACGGCACCGAGTACGGCGTCGTGCGCCAGTACGGCAACTTCAGCTTCACCCGCCTCTACGACGCGGGACACGAGACTCCGTACTACCAGCCCGTGGCCACCCTTGAGTTCTTCCGCCGCGTGCTGAACGACCTTGTGCTTGCGGATGGAAAGAGTAGGATCACGGATGATTATCAGAGCGAGGGCCCCGCCAATGCGACGCACACCCAGCCCTACCCGCCGCTGCCGGATGAGACGGGTGCTGCGGGCAGGAGGAAGAGGAGGGGAACGGTGAGGAAGGAGGGGAGCTTGTTCCTGTCGTAGAAGAAAAGATGAGTGGGTGGCGTTTTGTACATTACCTTCGATGGAGTAGGAAGACCCCTATGACGCTTGGTAGACGATTGAACGGATTGTCTTGTGTAATGCCCTGGTAGCAGAAATTCTGTGCTCTTTCAAGTACCTCCTTTCATATCTTCAGGTGTGAGGTTCGCTAAGTCAAGGGGCGCGGGCGGGTGAGATGCTAACTTCAGCTTCGATTTACTACACCACCACACCAGCGACCGTCCGAAACCAACGGATAGGGTTAGGCGTCAGAGGTCCACTTTAGCACCTGACTCAAACACACGAACCATTCTCACGGTCGGATGATCTCGTGTGCAGCAAATTATAGGCAAGTCAATGCTACATTCCATGTTTCCCCGCTTTTGCACGACCTTAAAACTTCTCAACAAAGTGGGAGGCGACCAAGACTTCTTTTCATCCTGTCTCCCAGGGCCATTTTGAGATTCCTGAGGCCTCATGAGTCACAGCTCTTTCAACAATTACGCTTAATGGGGATGGATTCTCTAATGCCCCATGACTGTTTTCCACCACCAGCCGCTTGATCTGACCGAAAGCTCATTCCGCCTGCTCGACATAGAGGGGATGTCTAAAGAAGGCTTCGTCGACTGCACCATCAGAATACACAACTGTGACGAGAAGAACCTCGATTATCAAGCTCTCTCGTACGCCTGGGGTCCAGAGCAACCTACCGGTTGGATTTTGTTGAACGGCAAACCTTTCCGTGTTCGCAAGAACCTCTTACTCTTCTTACAAGCTGCAGTATCCTCACATCCGGTAGCCTGCACCAGGATATGGATTGACGCCATTTGTATTGACCAGGGAAACACTCCCGAAAAGACCCATCAGGTCATGCAGATGGCTAACATCTACCGTAATGCTAAGACGGTCTTTGTCTGGCTGGGTCAATCCAAAGGGGATTACGGAGAGCTATGCAATGCCGTCACACGGATGGAGAATAGTCCCCTTCGAGATGGCCCGCATGGAGTGGTGAGCGGCATCAAACCCGAGCTTTATGCTGAAGATCATCCCGTCTCTCACCAAGTCCAAGACCTCCTCATGCGCGACTACTGGAAGAGAATGTGGATTATCTAAGAGATCATCATTGCGGGAGTCAGGGCGACACTGCTCTGCGGTGAATACAGTTTCAGGTGGTATCCCATACAGGAACTGGTCAAAATGTGCGACAATTGCTGGCAACAGGACAGAATAGGAGTAGCGATGCGGCTGATTCGGATAGCGCACATGTCCACTCCTCTACCTCGCCAAACGACGATTCTGCAGCTGTTGCAAAGACTGGATGGTGGTGGTGCTTGTGCAGACCTTCGCGACAAAGTCTATGCGCTCCTCGGACTGCTCCGCGATTCGGGGAACCTGCGCCCAGACTACTCTATTTCGACCGAATGTCTCTTCTTTCGCGTTCTTCGAAGTGCGACTATGTCTTCAAAGCAGAGTCACGTCACCTTCAAGGATTCATCCATCCTCAAAAAAAGTCTGGAGTTGGGTTTCGGAGAACTTCGCGGCCATCTAAACAGGAAAGACGAGCAAACACACATGAACGAGTCAATACGGCTGGGGCACCAGCCTTCTTTATTATGGCCTTGCAGACTATCAATCAGATTTTTTGTCTGGAAAAGGGTACTTCTGCATGATTTGGAGTTCCGTTTTGACCATGACCAGAGTATTGGAGCAACCACATGGCTATTGGAACATAGAGATGTCCTGTTCGAGTTCGCGAGTTTCAGGCCTGAGGATAAATTCCGGAAGGCAATGGTTCTTCGAGAAGTTGACCCCGGTCTGTTCAAGTATATTGCAATGGCTGAATATCGGGACACCGAGGTGCTGAATTCGGAGGTTGCCGACCGCTGCTGTGCTAAAGAACGATGGTTCTTGTATCATTTGCCAGCACTGATATCAGCAGATTGTTTTGTTGACGAAGATGCTCAGATTATTGTCTCTTCAGATGTGTTCTTGGTCCTCATGAAGCTATCCGAGCTGGGTATGTCAATCGGCGATTCTCGAGTCGATGAGAATGACCTCGAATTCTTGGGAATCAGGGATGGATTGGTTATCACACACTCTACACTGTTCGTGCCCGCTAAGCAGCAAGAAGGCGAAACGGCATGCGGTGACGACTCAACCAGAGACTGGGACATGGCCCGTCTTGATATTCCTACTCATGAAGTCTACGACGGGTATTCCGAACTGTGGTGTGGATCTTCAAAAGACCGGCTACCTACTTGAACCCTGTTTTGAACTGAAGATGTAAATGTGGCATGTTAACTCTAATCCCTCACCACAAAATTGTCACGACCAAGTCCGACTATATGTCTACTCCGCTGACACTTCTGGTAAGCCCGAGGTGCAAGATTTCACAACAATCCCAATCCGGCTTGAGGTTGTTGAACTTTGTATGCACTAAATCATGCTCAGTTGTCGTTTCGTAGCAGAATACTTATTATTTGTACCTCAGTGTAGCACCCTTTCGTCTTCAGCCTGTCGTTTGTGAGGCCTTGTACCTGACTCTCAATAGCCTTCGCCTCCTGACTCTCCTCCTCATTCTCACCAATCGGCTTGATCCCATGTCTCCTCAAACTCCGCAACACCTCCCCCGCATTTACACCCCCGTCAGTCTCCTTCTCCCTCTCCTCAAACTCCCGCCAACACGACGCATGTGCCTTCCCGTCACGCCTCAAATATCCGGCGATCCGATCATCGTAGACGCGCTTCACCCCCAGCTAACCCACGCACAGACCTCCCCATGCTTCCACACCTCCGGATGACAACACTTTGACGTCTTCAGCGCATGGGACTACCATATGACGCTCCTCCATTTGCCCCGAAAGAAGTCCCTTAGAGATTCCTAGTCCAGGAGGATGTTCGCCGCGAGTTGTGCTCTGCGCGTGTCATCGTAGGCGGACGTCATCATCTCGTCCCACAGCCGCTCGTATGGCTGGGATACAAAAATGCCAAAGTGGAATTCGTGGTTACAGGGAGAAGGAAGTGTTGCGTGGTCGGCGCGCAGCTAGCGATACTAGTAGTGAAGATGTGTTCCATATTGCCATTTTTCCCCGTGCATCTTCAGAGTCGACGATGATTGGTGGATGATCGTGTTCGGGATCGAGGTAGCATACTTTGTCGTTTAAAGATGCGGGATTTTGTTATGGTTCAGCTGAGTCCGTGTCTCGTCATATGTATATTACCATTTACTGTGAATGCGAGAGGTATCCTAAAGAAGTTGAGAAACATCTCCGCTGGTTGGGATCTTCTTGGCCTAGATCTAACTGTGCGTTATTTCAAGGGTAGTCAATAAATATGGAGGACCGTAGGTGGAGTGGCCAGACGGAACAGACGGGTATTTGCGCTGCGTCTCATTTGTGCTTCAACACTATGAGATACTGTTATGAGGTAAGTGGCTGGATATTTGGCGTCAATGACTGCTCTATGACACGCTGGAGCACTTGACGGACAATACTCAACGGTTGCATGATCTAAAAAGGATTCGTCACTGCCTCGTCCATCGGACTGCCAGCACGATGCCATCTTCCTATCACGTTTGGGGGCGAATGCTTACCTGTCATTCCCGGGAGTTTATGCGGCGCCCTTGTCTCCAGATGATTTCCCGGCTTGTTCCATGCTGGTCCCTTGTCCACAGGCATGATGGAATCTGCCGGATGTAAATCTTTCCCTTTTTGTCATCTGCGTTGGAATGCTCCCGGCAGGTATGCTCATAACCTCAAACTTCACTCATTTTTCTTTTGTTGAGACAGCTCCAAAGTCCCCTCCGCACAATTCTCCGACAAGCTCCACAGCGGGTGGCGCAGCTAAGGTAACGTAACAGCAAGAGCTGGGCAATACTACGCCCGAATATTTCGCCGACGGCGTTGCAGCGGATAGAAATCGACGGGGAAAATCGCTGAGCCGCAGGAGTACATAAGAGGGGATCGGCAGAAGTATGACTGACGACGGAGGCGAACAAGGGAGTTTGTGTAGGACATCGGTTCCATGTCTGTAGTAAGACACGACGGGAACAAGCAACCAAGTGTGCCCGGATATGCGGTGTAGCAAATATCCGGTCATGTGGGAGGCGGCGCAGTAGGAGTACCATAAGGACGGTAGCCAGATGCCAAGTAGACTTGGCTTTGGTCATTGTCCCTGGAAGAACGTGCGTCTAAAAACAGAACGCTGCGTTGCATAAAGGAGAAGATGTGATCGGACAGGGCTGAACGTGCATTTTATCTTTTAAACCTCTCTCATTGGAAGTGATTTACCGGTGAGGAAGGAAAGAGCTTACGAATGATTTCCGCCAGCTCCGTCCCGGTCGGGAGGGGGGATCCGAGTGTTTTTGTAGCGAGGCTCAGCTTTCATATAGTTTCTGTAGGACAATGAGTCGTGGTTGAGGCTCTTCGTCTATTTAGGTAAAGTAAGCGCGCTAATTGGCTGGCATTGACTCGTGGACACTGCCCTTCCTTCGGGACTTGCGACGCGCGCCGTTTCACGCCGAGGAAGCCCCTGGATGGAATGCACCTTGAAACTACGTGCAAGATGGAAGTGGCGTTTCCCGCCAATCTACTCAGGTCCTGCGGTCAAGACAGGGCTGAACATCCCGGTGACTCCTGTAGATGACGAACGAAAGTCTGGCCCGCGGCTCACCAATCTCTCCACACAATATGTACGCCACAGCCGCCGTGAACATTTGGCCTGACAGACGGAGTTTTCGGACCTTGCGATGCCAGCCTTCGACATGAGTTACGACCCCAGAGTCGCCATCCCGACTCTGGTGGGCAGCGCCCTTTCATGCTTTGCGACAACATGCGTGCTCCTCTCGTGGATGTGCTACGGCCAGGGCAAGAGGTCCTTCCGCTACGCTCTCGTTCTGAACCTTACTTTCGCTGGTACGCCTAACAATTTTTCTAATGGGGTCGTAAACTGACTTGTAGCGCGCAGAATGGGTCAATTCTCTAAATAATACCGTTTCCGGCACTATCAGGGTCATGCACAAGGGCGTGCTGACGGCTGGAGGTCCCTGCACCTTCAACGGCTGGATAGGACAACTGTCGGTTCAGGTACATGTTCCCATTCAATCGGTACTGCGGCATTGTTGACTGACGGTCCGAAGGCTGCAGATTTCTCCATATTGGCCATAGCTTTGGTGACGCTCCTCACCATCAAGCTCAAGTCGTACATCCTCTACGCTTCTTTCGACAAGAAGATTCTCATCTGCCTATCGATATGGCTCGTCCCGCTTGCGACAAGTGAGCAATTCCACCCATCGCCCCACCGGCGCATCCCACTAAACAAATGGCAGGTACCACCGCTGTTGCGATGCACCAGATGAAGCCTGTCAGTGGTAATTGGTGCTGGATATCTTCCGAGAAGACAAACCTCCGCTATGCTCTGGGCCACGGCTGGCGTTTCGCCATTATTATCATCACCATCTGCATCTACATCTACGTTTTTATCTACATGCGGAAACGCCTCTCGTACCTTCAAGAGACGAGCCGCACCTACTCGTACGACTACGGGCGCGACTTGCACGATATGAGCGCCTTGTCATCTCTGCCGCAGAAAGGCGACATGAAGGGCAGTTCAAGCGGCGGACTGATGGTAATCGATGAAGAAAACCCGGCTGCTCCCGAGAGAAGTATGTTATTCGAAATCCAACTTTCCCGGAAGGACCTCAAGACTGACGGCAAACAAAAGCATTGACTGCGCCTCCGCCTACGCAAGCAAAACTACTGGGAGTCAACACCGGCCTTTCCATCATCACGCCAGCCCCACGCGCGTCGACATCACCATTGCCAGCTTCGGGCACGGGAAGTTCGCACAGACGAAAGCAGAGCCACAGCAAGGTTGTCGAGCGCGAAATCTGGCGCATGCTGCTGCTCAACGCCTACCCGATCATGTACGTCGTCCTATGGCTGCCGGGAATCGTGAACAGGATAGCGGAAGCTACGGGTCACCAGTGGAAATGGCTGCAGATAATGCAGTGCTCGACGCAGTATATCGGGCTCGCGAACGCCCTCACATACGGCTTCAAGGAGCATTCAAGAGACTTTGCGTCATGGATACACAGTCTGAACAGATAGGCGCTGGACGCCGGGACGAAGAAAAAGCAAGGGACTGCAGGGCCGGTCCCGACACGTGCCATGAGTGGAGAGCCTTCGACTTGGTCTGCATTTTCTGGAGCCATTGGTTTTGTCATTTGCTTTGGAGTTTTGAAAATACCCCCGGAGTAGCGAGCATTGTATACCATGATTATTAGAGGACCAAAGAGTCCTGTAGAAAAAATGAAAATTTCACGAAAAGCATCATCGGCTCCTTTCTCTCTCTCTCTCTCTCTCTCTCTCTCTGTAGCACCTCCCTTAACAGGCCGTTGCACATCCTTGGCATTCTACACCATTCTCTCCCCCCTGCCTAGTATTTCTTTTTCTCCAAACCCTTGGCAGGGCCGTTAGGCTAAGCGCTGGCCGTTCCTAGCGCAGCCGACCGGCTCGGGTAAGGGACATCCATATTCCTGCCTCGTATCCCTTAGAATTATCCCTCAACGCCATTACAGCGGGAGTTTCTCCGGCCACGCGTCCACGTGGGGACGGCTGCAACGAAGCTTTCCTTATGTCATCAGGCAGGCACGAAAGCATCGCGGGGCCCGAAGCCTCGGGAGGTGGGGGATGAGTGGGGTGGGGGAGGGACGTTTTGTTTCAATAGATTGTTTGATTTGCAGCCACCGTGACAGCAAGCAAACAATGCATTTTGCACCAATGAAAATCAGTAACGCGCAGCTACAAGGACAATATTACCGTGGAAATATGAGGGAAGGGTTGGTCCTGGTGAGCCCGGCACCATCAAAGCTTGAAACAAAGGCAGATCAACCCAACAGATCCTCCAGTCCCTTTCAACCCAAGATCCGGTGGGGTGATGTTTTCCTTTCGCAAGCCCGCCGTTTGATCTTCTTTTTAAGCGGCGCTCGCGCTCGCGGGAAGCCGCCGGCTGGTACCAAGCGAGATGATGAGTGGTCTGTGGGTTCCCTACCGATCATTCTTTTTTGCCCCTTCTTCCCCCTCCGAATCCGAGCTTTACGCGCATTCGGTTCCCCGGAGACGCCGACGGGATAAGACGCGATCACTTCGGCAAACCGAGTCCTCGCGGATGCGGGCCGCTTCGGCGGAATGTGCTTTTCCAAATCAGGCAAGTTTTAGAGATGGGAGGAAATGTGCTCCGTTTCACTAAACATAAGAAAAATATTTCATTCCCTTTGCATCCAGACCCGTCAAATGTCCAAGAGGCACTTAGCCAAAACGCATCTTCAATGGAAGCTTGTGATAGAGTTGATAGTCAATGTCGGTGCTCCATTCTAAGATGAAACATTTGGTAAGGCCAACGATAGCTTGTTGGTCCAGCTCGCTTTCATTTTTCCTCCAGAAAGTTGTCTCGTCCATCTCCTCCGCCGTAAGTCCATACTGCACCTGCACAATTTCAGTGACCACCCTCACCAGATCAGCGGATTTTCCTCTCCCAGAAACAACAGCATTCTGGGCTACGTCAGCCATCTTGTGATGGACGAAGTCTCGGTTCCAACCTCTGGCCTCAAATTTCTCTTTATTCTCATGGACAGCCTGCTGAAGGAAGACGGCCAGCTCAGCACGATGGCGGTCCATCCTTGGCTTAGAGAATGCAAGAAGAATATCCTGCATACCTCTGTGAATACTCCAAGAGAGAGATGCCCAAGGTGTAAGATCCATGGCTTGAGCGAGAAGTTCCTGTTCTTTCATCGGCACAAACATGACAAGGCATTCATCTTCCTCCCGACTTGGTAGAATGAGCTTCAAGGCATCCTGCGGGTCCTCGTCTTCAGGGTCCAGCATGCAAGGCAGGAGGTAGTCAATTTCGTAAGCAACTCCTCCCATGATGTTGTACAAATGGCGCGCTCCGTGTGCCCCGATGAAGCCTTTTGGTATGTATTTCAATACATAGCGGCCCGGTGGTTTGCGCCCTGGAAAGGCGCATCTGAATGCCGGTGCGTAGATCACTCCGGTAGTCATTTGTACACAACGGTCTACCCTTCGCTCGTATGAAGGTGGCTGAACATCTTTTCCGGCGAAAATAGGGTCCATGGGAGTCAAACGAACCGTAGCAGGAGAGCCAAGCGGCCACTCCACATACCATTCGCCATTGTATCCTGCATATGCTGCACGGTAACCTGCGGCGTTGGAGTGGCTGAAGATAGTCCTCGCATTGGTGACGGAGAGAAGCGTGATCAAAGTTGTACGGTCTATGGATATGCAAGCGAGTGAGCCATGGCGGACAAGCTCTGTGGTTTCGCCATCTTTCCAGGTCAACATGCAGTTGACTGGGTATTCTGGCTCGTACATTAGTGCTTTTTCGACGTCCCGACCCGGGGAACTGATTTTTTGAGTGCACTGTATTGGTGCGAGGTGCATGACTCCAAGTAGAACCGTCCAACCGGCCTCGCCGACGTTTTGTCGCGGAACTCGAGACATTTGGATGACTCTGTGGCCACAAAAGCCATCACGCAAGTTGGCAGTGATAACTGGGCCGACTGGTGGCGGTTTGACGAAGGCCCACCGACTGCTGCGAGGCTGTCGTGTAACCCATGGTCCTAAGTAATTCTCATTTCGGATTGCGCTGAAGGGATCGAGTTTGTCTGTAATGATACTAGCCTGAGTGATCAAAGATCCCAAACCGATGACCGTGACTGTGAAGGAAAGCCAGGCCGCCGCCGTTTGAGAGGCATCCATGGCGAAAGATATTGGGTATGCAACCAAGAAATCTATGATGCGCAACCGAATCCTCCATGTCTTGAGACTCTATAAATATAGATCAGAGCATTTGCCAGTTTATCAGCTCAGTTGCCACGTTTCGTCGTTGCCTAATCTACACACAAGGCTGAACTACATGCTGATTTGGTGCGCTCAGCTGTGTTAAGCCACATGCAAGTTAACGTTCCACGAAGGTAAGCGCGGGATCATATCCGGTCAAGCCATTAAAGCCTTATCTTCTTTTATTTTTTGTCTTCTGCTCGCCCCCAATGTGATTAGTGACGAAAGATTGATGTCTTGGACCTGTTGGACCTGTCGGCTGCGAATCCAAGTACTACAAAGACAGCAAGATATTACAGCGGAAAGCTAACGCAAATTAATTCAACTGCCCGTTAATTGAGCGGGAAACGAACTCACGCTATCATTCAGCTGCGATACCTCTCTGTACAGTCCACTCTCGCAGCCGATGGCTAGCGTGGATTTGTTTTTCGCTCATGTCATGGGTAGCTGAAGCTATCGTCCGGACGTGTGTGTCGAAATTTTAATTCTACATTCACATCCGTATGATAGCTTCAAATACCCATACATGTTCTTTTCCGTCATATATAAAAAAAGAAGAGTCGAGGCATACTTACGCTATGTTCCAAGGCCCTGCCATTCTTCGAGCTAGCCATCGGTTGCAGCCCCTCTGTATGTAGCGTGGCTATTGGTTTGAACAGACAGTCAGCAGTGTGTCTGTAGCTGCCCACAGCTTTGCTCTCGTGGTTAACATACGGAGGGATGTGAGTTGAAGGCTCCATGATCGCCTATGAAATAGCTAGTAACCTCCGATGGTCGTTCATGTATGACAGTTAGTCTATTTGCCCAGTAAAAACGATAAGCAAACATGTTCAACGTTTATTGACATTATGGTCTTTTTCATCCGCGCCCGGTCTCATTGTAACCTTTTCAAGTCATCGTTAGTAGCCAGAATTTCTTCCTTGAATGCACAAGTAGTTCCAGTGCAATGGAATTTTGATGAGGCCCTGTGTAGTAAGTTTAGATTTGGCCATAACTAATGCTACAGAGTCCTTGTGCTTTTACGAAACAACGGATAGGTTTAGTGTCCCGATCCGGTTCCTTCACTTGTTAGCGTCTTCAATATGTCCACTAAAAATCAGCGGAGGGTCCGGCTACATTCGAGTCTAGAATTTTTATACTTTAGCTGCGGGGTAGATCTTGGAATTTAAAAACAACCCCACTACATGTGGACGAGACACCAAGAGAGGTCTGTCTCTGTTCAAAACTCAAAATTTCATCCTGGTTTCGTGCTTTTTATAAAAGCGTATTAACTCAAGTGAACCGCAATGGCTCCTCCTCGCAAAGCCTTGATCGCAGTCACATCGGCGCACGCGCCTCTCTACCCTGATGGGAAGGAAACCGGTATGTCATGAGCAATACTTCATGCTAGATTCTCAATCTAAGAAAAGAAAACTACATCAGGTCTATTCATCACCGAGGCCCTGCACCCCTTCAATGTCTTCAAAGAAGCTGGCTTCGAAGTCGACCTTATCTCCGAGACAGGCACCTACCAACCTGACTGGTTAAGCCAGCAGAAAGAGTGGCTAAAGGACGAAGACCGCAAAGTGTGGGAAGACCACAACAGCGAGTTCCGCAGCAAGCTCGACAAGTTGCTCAAGCCATCAGATGTACACTGGAAGGACGTAAGGTTCCCTTTTTCTTTTCCCACCTCCCCTCCTCCTCCTCTCCCCTTCTTTATCAAACCACACCAACAACACAACCAATAACACGCAACCCCCCTCCTTCCACCCCCAACAGTACGGCCTCTTCTTCGCCTCAGCCGGCCACGCCTCTCTAATCGACTACCCCACCGCACGGGGCCTACAACTCCTCGCCTCGCACATCTACGCCAGCAACAGCGGCATCCTCTCCGCCGTCTGCCACGGCGGTGCCATCTTCCCGGGCGTCCTCGACCCGACGGGCGGCGCATCCGGCAACGCGCCCATCATCGCCGGCAAGCGGGTGACGGGCTTCACGACGAAGGGCGAGGAAGAAGAAGGCGTGCTCGACACGATCAAGAGCTGGAACAGGCCGACCATCGAATCGAGCGCCGCGGCTGCAGGCGCGACGTACGTGAGCCCGCCCGGGCCCTGGGACGCGTTTGCGGTTACGGATGGGCGCGTTGTGACGGGGGCGAATCCGGCGAGCGCGCATAAGACGGCGGTGGAGGCGGTGAAGGCGTTTGATGCGCTTTGAGTGAGTGAGGATTGGCGGTTGATCATTGGACCGGGGGAGTGGGAACGAGAGGGGGAATACGGGATGATGATCGTGGGCCTTATGCTGTGCGGATCGTCCGGTAGTTGGTTTCGAGGGCCTTAATCAGGCGAGGGACGAGAATACGCGAACTTGCGGGGTTTTCTTTTTGGGTGGTTTATGAAGGTCTTTCCCTTTTTTTGTGTTTTTAGCTTATAGCACGACCTATTAATACTCGTGTATTTCTGCCCATCAAAATAAAGAAAAGATCCCAAAAGAGAAGGGTAACAAACGAAACCGGAAATCATGTTGCCTCCCAGGTATATATTCCATCCCAACTAAGAACTCGGGGTTCTCATTTCGGCTCTCTCATCATCTGCACCTCCACGGTGCGCACGATCCCCTGATCATCATAGCTGCTCTTACCTCTAGAGGTCAGGCTCGGCAGATGTTGCCCATTGTCGGCCAAGTGTTCGGCCTTGCCCATCTCCAGATCCTCGCCTCCGCGCACGCTCACTGTGATCTTGCCGTCATGCGGTATCAACATGTTCTCATCGGACCCGTTCAAAGTGTGCTTGCCGCCCATGCTGACGCTGCTACGCTGCTCGGTGATGGTGCGCGAGTGGTGCGATTTCTTGAGCTCGATGCCGCTGACGCTGCGGTGCCCGCTGCGGTGTCCGTATGAGCGCCCGCCGCTGCGTTGGTAGCTGCTGGTCATCTGAGACGGGTGCTGCTTGTGTAGGTATTTCCAGAAGGCGGGCATGACGGGGAAGCAGGCGCAGACGATGCCGATGCCAACCTCGGCGATGCTGGAGGGTGGTTGGTGGTTAGTCGCCAGATCACAACTTGGGACAGACGGAGGGAAACAAGCACGAAAGCAAGCAGGAGATTGTAATCTGCACTTACCCCCAGAGGTTGATCAGCGTGAACGAGTACGTAGCATCCGGGCTGCCGCCCATCTTGATGATGTCGATGAGTCGGATGAAGGTGCAGACGCATGCGAACCCGCCGACGCCGAAGACGGCTGCGATGCGCAGTTTGGCCTTGATACCGACTTTGAGGCCGCCTGCCAAAGGACACGGAATGACGAGGACGGCTATGTCGGAGATCAGACTGATAATGTTGTCGGCAAGGATCAGAGCGCGCTGGTCGAAGCACTCGCCATCGGACGATCCAGGAGCCCAAAACAGATGGATAGGACGGCAGATAAAGATCTTGAGGAACAGCATGAGGCTGTAGTAGATGCCCAACATCGCCGTGAAGCCGTAGATGAAGCGGCAGTAGCGCTCGAATGGCTGGAAGACCCGGGTGAGGAAAAATAGGATAGATGCCTTCGTAGCAAACACAGTTGGTCCGTATACAATCTGCGTGGCAAAGACGGACTGCTGCATGTAAGTTTGTGATGCAAAAATTCCATGTCGAGGTTGGTGGTTGGTGTTGAGGAAATTGATATCCCACCCACCACGTGACCCCACACAACCCATTTCACGATGATTTTAGGGCTTACCTGGAAGAATGGAATGACTTCCGTCTCAGGAACATCCCACTGATGTATTCCACCGCCATGTCGTATCACTGCAACGATATCAGCAACGTGTTGGGTCGTACGGGATTCGCTGAATCACTTACTGATCAAGCTAATTGTGCAGTATCCTATGAACCCAACCTGCAGAAAAACAAATCAGCTCGGTTCTCAAAAGAAGACTTGGTAGCGTACGTAGGCAATCATGCAGCAGACTGTCAAAATTTAGTTTGTTGCCGGGTATGCCTCTCGGGGGTTACAACTCACTGTCATCGAGCGCAACGACTCTTCCGGAGACAAGTTGTCTTGCGGTGAATCGCAAAGCGACCAAAGCAGTTGTCAACACTATGCCGACAATGTCAACGGCCAGCGCAGCGCTCTTGACCGAGCTGGTCGTGACGCTGAAGTCCGAGACCTCGCCATCCGGCGGAGTCAAACCGGGGGCAACCATGGCGGAGGTTGGTGATGCAGGAAAGCGAAAAAGGACACAAGCAACCACTAATCAACCTTCTGCGCGGCAACCCAAAAGCAGGGTCCTTGGCCTGAAGGATTGGGGTGCAAATATGGAAGTGGAGAACCCGGCCCCCGAAGCACTTTGGGGGTGGACTTTGTTAGATTAAGAAGGAGCTGGACCGACGTCCCGAGCAGAAATTCAGGACCCTCCTTTCCTTTCTTTGCCTCCGGTGCGCTACTCCAGAGGTCATGAGCCTAAGAGCCATCCACTGAGTAATTGCTTTTCGCGTTCCCTTAGTCGGACGGAGTGGCCGTAGCAAGTGGTATCACCTCCGCTATTGCGACTTTCGCGGACCGGCTCTAAGGACGTAGCTACAAATCCATGCATGATTGGGGGATCCGCGATCAAGGGTGGCTGACAAGGCTAACGGTCCGGCTGCGAGAAATCATGCAACCCAGTCGCCACGGCGCGAGAGAGCCAAGCGAGCGTTGATCCAAGGCAGGCCGGACGTGTCAGACCCCTGATGTTAATACTACCTAAGACCCGAGAAAAAGAGAGAGATGGTGCGAAGTGACAAGTCGTGCAGTGATTGTTGCATTGCCCTGGCATAATTACGGGGGCGTTGGCGCCTGCAACGGCTAGCGCAGAAGAATCCATGAGGCTCAGCAGGGGACGACTGAGCCTCTTCGAAGATCCGACAGGTCAGATCTGTTTGTTGTTGCAAGAAATGAAATTTCCGCGTAAGACATGTACGCATCAGCCTCGGTAGTCGGTGCTGGCACGTTCTCGCTCGCTTCTCGGTCAAACACATGATTGAGTTCTCACTTCATACCCTTTTGTTACGCTGTGCAGTAGCGGCAGTGTCGCGACTAAGCTGTTGGTCTGAGCTAGGGCAAGGGGACAAGAGCCGAAGTGAGGCGGTGGAGATCCATCCCGAACGCAGACTTTGCGCCATTCCAACAATCGCAAGGAATTGCAAGCTATATGTAGCAACCCTTGCCCTTATAGCATTTCATACTCCAACCTCCAAAGGCCGGTTCATCGCCATCCAGATCGACTTTCGATGGTCGGAATGTTTGCGATCGAAAGAGTGGCCATGCCTCCCTGTTCTCAGCTTCGCACGCTCCGTAAAGGCGCTCGTTCGGCAATGCGGCCGTTGCTGCGGCGTGGTTTGAGGATTAAACCATGTCAGACGTTCCCTTTAGTTGGTAGCGATTTCCCTGTACAGTTACGTCGTATGCTTCTCCGGTGCTCCGGGCGGTCAGAGTCGGTTAAGTAACGTCCAGCGACACAGTGCGCCGGAGTGCCCGACGATCCCTCGGGCGCAGGTACTCGCCAATCGGGGGATAAGGCTCGACAATCCGTCGGAAAGCAGAGGGTTCTGATATTCATAGAGCACGTTGGGCTAACGCGAAGCGGTGAGTGAAAAAAGAAAGGCTTTTGAGGGGCCGGTACCAGCGGGGTGGAAATGGGGTGATGTTGCCATGCCGAATCATTTCAACGGCGAGCGAGCTGCGTGGCTGCCGTGCCGCACCGGGCCGCGTGCCCCGTGGCCCGTCCCGGGTACGTCCCTGTCACTTTAGAATAAGAGGTGGCGCTTCCAACGTTCTCTTCCACTTTGGTAAATTTAGCGCGTGAATGGGCACTACTTCGTCACACTCTGCGTGTTTCATGACTCGACCCACAGCTATTTTGTGGAGTACTATAGCATGTGGCCCCCCGATTTGCCATTCCGCTGCCGCACCCGAGCATCTTGGCATTGGATCGCTAGCCTTTCCTTCGCCTTGCAGATCGAGTCCACTAGTTCTCATGAAGGTTGAAGATGTAGTTGATCTTTCTGATAGTCTGTCTTTGCCTTCAATCCTCTCCTGATGAGCGCCTAATAACGGAAGAAGACCCCACCATGTTGCCAACACATGCTTCGACGTTTTCGGTAGGCCCTGCGGGTTCGCTAAAAGATTGCCATGGCGTTCGGCGGCGAGGAGACTCCACCAGGCATATTGAGTGGGACCGACGAGACGAAGAAGGTCCACCGGTTCAGCTGCTTGCACATGGCTGCAAGTTCCTCCAGATCGAACATCTCACCTGCAGGAACGAGGCGAGGAAATTGTTAGTGGACCGTAATCACAGCTGGTCGAGAGGGGGCTAGAACGTACCGATTGGAACGCCCCATCCTGCGAGGATGTACTCGTGCATCATGATGCCTCCTGGCTTGGGTGGATAAACCTGAAACCGTATAAGCATGCCTGCCAAGTACTGCCCATGAGAGTCTGGAACGACCTACCTCCCAGCTGATTGCATCGCCCGCAATGGCTGTGAAGCCCGAGTCCCAGAGCCAGCGAAGAACGTCCATGGTGCCTTCAACGCCAGCGTGGTGCGGACTTGCATTGGCCGCATACGCCTTCTTGGCCGACTCGTCCATGAGCTGGTCCCACTCTTTGGTCACGCCGATGCGCACGAACAGAATATCACCTTTCTGGAAGGTGATATTGCACTCTTTGGCGATCTCATGAATCTCGCTCAGCTTGATCTCATGCTGAGAGAAAGTGGTATACTTGATGCCTTTTTTCTCAGCCCATGAGACGTAGTCAATGAGGACTCCGCGGCCTGTGGTCTTGTTAGTGTCTGGGCACACTTTGAACTGTGTGACTCACCAGCAATTCCCGCCTTTCCCCAATGCTGCATGCCGATGCGATCATTCTTAGGGTCTAGAATCTCTTCCTTGGTGGTGCCGCCATAGAAGACACGCTCGGTGCTGCCTTCGGTGACTGGCTGTGAGAAGTGTCGGAGGCCATCCCATTGACTGCTTTGTTCTGTGGTCAATTTTAGTATTTCTGACTGTGGATATGGAAGCAGAGGCGAAAATGAAAAGGGACTTACGGGGGTTAAAGGTGTAAATATCATCGAAAGCCACGCCCCCAAGCAACGGTACGATTTTAAGTTGGCAAGGCTGGCGATTGAAGGCGGCATGCTCAAGCCTGGTGAGGTCCCAGTTGAGCGTTACCCTCCTTCCCGTACGAATTTCGGATGTAGCAGCCTTGGCGACGCATTCTGGGGTCAGCAGCTGCAGCTTTCCCAGGCCTTCCTCGCGGCTCCCGGGCTTCCCAACCCAAACGCGCTTCGGGTCAGGAAGCTGATCAAATGGAGTGTGAAGAATTGATGAGTCAGCCATTGTCCTGCAGTAGTTCCTTTGTTCAATTGCAAATTCAACGAGATAGGATAGCGGCTCAAGATAAAGCAAGGGTGGAGCGCAAGTGAGGAGAGGTGTGCTACGCTATGCAAACCCCACATGGGGGCCTGAATGCTTTAGCACTGCCACGGCACATCATTGCTCCGGGAGCTCTTTCCGACGGGACTATTGTATGTGCGACGGAAGACTGGGTCATGACTATGCCATTGATAGCAGGACGCGCAAATAGCAGTATGAGGATGTGCGGCGCATGTGGAACGACTGCCGGGTGTGAAGCGAGCGCCAATGCTGACCAGCGTCCAGACGGTAACGAGGGTTGCACGGTGCACTCGCACCTCCACTGCAGTCGATCAATCCCGCTTCCGTAGTAGCCTGACTAACGCTAGCGTGGTCTCGCTGCATGTCCTTCAAGGAAGGTATAGCTTGGGGGAGGGCTGACTTATACCCAGGTTCAGCTCCCCTCCACCGAGCTAGCTGTCGCTAACTTGTTAATTCTCCAAGTCTCTCTGAGTCGTACAAGAAATTTCAGGAGCAACCGAGGACCGAGAAAATTCCTGTCACAAGTCCTGGTCACTCGCAATCACCATGGCGAAGACTGGGTCCCATACCAGTGCCTACGGCAAGCTCGTTTTTGCTTTTATCGCAATCGGTTCACTGGTACGGCTCCTTCGAAAAAGAAATCCTCGTGTGCTAATCTTGTCCCTCAACAGACATACGGTTATGCTGCGTCCATCATTAGCTCGACCATCGGTCTGCCGGGTTGGTACCTGTATTTTGACCTCCCTCAGAGTGAAGAGCCTGGTTATGCCAGCATAACAACGCCCGTCATCTCCACGGCAAATGGCCTCTTCAGCGCTGGCGGAGCGGTGGCCACGCTCATCGTTATGTGGTCTTGCGATGCCTTTGGCCGCATTCGTAACATCCAAGCTGCCTGTCTGCTCGGTATCCTTGGAGGAGCTCTTCAAGGTGGAGCAACCAGCATTGGGTACGTTATGCTTGGACCACGTCTGCCAATGTGAGAGAGCTGACATCGGTTCCTATTCCAGGATTTTCCAAGCGGGTAGATTCATCATGGGAATGTGTGTCGGCGCTATGGTCACGGTTTGCCCGATGGTAAGCAGGACTCAGGAACCCCCGGCGACAAAGCTGACAGTTGTTAGTACTTCTCCGAGATGGCTGATCCGGCCTCACGCGGCTGGCTGGTTGGTCACCACGCCATCTTCCTGGTGTTTGGATACATGCTTGCGGGATGGATTGGATTCGCTGTCTACTTTGCTCCTCCTGAGTTCAGTTGGCGATTCCCGCTCTGCTTCCAGATCCTACCGCCGGTGATCCTGCTCGCGGGTTCTCCCTGGGTCCCCCGATCGCCGCGCTGGTTGGCGTCCAAGGGTCATATGGAAGAGGCGTATGAAGTTCTACGGAAGCTGAGGAGATCCCCCGAGGACCCGAACAACCTGGCGGCGAAGGAGGAAATGTTCCAGATCAAGGAGCAGCTTCGCATGGATGCCAACAAGCTGTCAGCGTACGGCGGCAACCCTTGGAAGGCCGTGATCCAGAAGAAGAGCTACCGCAAGCGCATGATCATCGGCTTCCTGACGCAGTGGGGTGCCGAGTTTGGAGGACCGCTCATCATCGTAAGTTTCGACTCTTCTGGTGGTGCTGACAGAATGCTGATGCAGAGGTGCAGAACAACTATGCCGTCATTCTGTACACCAACCTCGGACAAACGGGCTACATGCCGCTGCTGCTTTCGGCCCTATGGCTGACGACAGCAGGCATCATCTACAACCCGTTGGGGGCATGGTTACACGACAAGGTCAACTCGCGTCGCAAGATGTACATGACGGGATTCGCGGGTATCATCGTCACGACGTCGATCCTCGCGGCCATGACGGCTGAGTATGTCGGCACTACAAACAAGGCGGGCAATGCTATCGGGGTGCTGATGATGTTCCTGTACCTCGCAATGCAGGGTGAGTAGCCTCGAATGGGCGCATGATCGGCAAAAGGCTCACGAATTTTGCCAGGCACTTTCTGCGACACGACCATGTACCTCTACGTGTCGGAGATATTCCCCACAGAGATTAGGTCGATCGGGATGGGGTGGTCGCTGTTTGGACAGTTCTCCTGTAAGGTTTTCGCCCCCTCCGGTGCGGGGTAGCTGGCTGACACATGATGACCGCAGCGACGATTATTCTCCTGCAAACGGCCCCCATTGGCTTCGCCGAGGCGGGTTGGAAGTACTACCTGGTCATCATCTGCTGGAGCGCGTTCTTCCTGCCGTGCATCTACTTCTTCTGGCCTGAGACTGCCCGTCTGTCGCTGGAGGAGATCGGCAAGAATTTTGGAGACGAGGTCGCCGTACACATCACTGACGCGACCGACGAGGAGAAGGCGCGCCTTGACCGCGAGCTGCAGGACGCTGATGTGGTTAAGGACAACGGCGTCGTTGTGAGCAGCGAGGCCCAAGGGGCTCGTGGCAGCGAGAGCGTGAGCGAGCAGGATAACCAGAAGAATGCGTAGGATGACAGAGCGTGGGACGGCGATTTGAGACTTCTTGGAGACACAGATTCATAGGGAGTTTTGGATTCGTGCACATCACGTGTGAGACATAGAAGGTATTAATAAGCATAAATTGACTTCATTGGCGCGCTTGCCGAACCCTGCGCGACGCGTCAAATGGCGCGTCCTCCATCGACATCCAAGTTGACTCCGGTCACAAATGACGCTTCATCGCTCGCCAGCCAGACGGCCGCGTTTGTGACATCGCGCAGCTCTCCCAGCCTTCCCAACGGCACTCCCGCTACAATGCTCGCCTTGACATCCTCGGTAATGGCAGAGCCTATGAACGTCTCCAGCAGGCCGGTCATGGTCGCGAGCGGACAGATGGAGTTGACTCGGATCTTCTTGGGCCCGTATTCAGCCGCCAGGCCCATGGTAGCCTGCTTGGAGTCAGCGCTAATTCATCCCACTCTAGCCAGCTGTTACTCACGTTCGTAATCGCGCCCTTGGACGCATTGTACCAAACCAGCCCGGGTCTCGGACGGTGCGCTCCCACCGATGCAATGTTGACAATTGCGCCCGGAGTGCCCTGCTTCAGCACCTGTGCCGTGTAGGCATTGCACCCCAAGTAGACGCCCTTAACGTTGACAGCGAAGACTCGATCAAACTCGTCCTCGGTTACATCGTTTGTTGACTGCGGTGTGACTTGTCAGCGAACAATCTCGACTGTGCGGGGTCTGTAACCGACCTTATTCTTGTAGGTGGTGCCCGCGTTATTCACGAGGATGTCGACCTTGCCCCATAGCTCTACGGCTCGCTGAATAGCGGCATCCCAATCTTGCTTCTTGGAAACGTCGACATGCTGGAACGCGAAAGCCTCGGAATTGGCTGCCACCTTCTCGCCCGCTTCGTTGTTGATGTCGCAGACGAGTACCTTCGCCCCCTCCTCGACGTAATGCTTCGCGATCGCCTCGCCAAAGCCCGACCCAGCTCCTAAAGACAAATGTTAGCAATCTGCGCATCGGACAAAAGGCGGTTGTGCGAGATACCGGTGACAATGGCAACCTTGTTGTCGAGCCGACCCATTGTCGCTGAGAGATATTGAGAATGTGGAGTAGTACTCGGTGTGCGGCGGGCAACTGCGAGGGGTTATGATAGCTGCGGCGCGGCTATCAGCGCTTCTTGCCTTGTATGCCGGCTTACTAGCTTCTAAGCCGTGCATACTGTTCCACTTCCTCGGTCCCTGTCTTGGCACCCGATTCCGCATTCCCTGAATCCCTCGACCTGCCGATCGCTCCACCGTTATTATGCAGGACCTTGTGCTTGTTGCAGATCAATGTTACCTCTCGCTCCCATATTTCTTTGCCCGTCAGAGTCTCTAGCTCGTTCCCTCCCCCTCGGTTGCACCTTGAATTGATCACCTATTGTCCAAGCAATCAGCAATGGCTTACGAAGTTCCTTTCAAAGTGAGCCACTTCGTCCCTCTTACTAAGACTATTCCTATACTAAAGCTGTCAGCTTAATCGCCCTGATTTGCTCGAGACCAAGGCCTACATCGGAGGCCAGTTCGTGTCTGCGCAATCTGGCTCTACGTTCGATGTCGTTGGTGAGCCAATGGACCGTACCAGTCCCCAGTTCGGCCAAGTACTCAAATTGTCTCGCAGATCCCGGTACGGACAAGCCGTGGGCTCAGGTCTCCGACAACGCCGTAGACGATGTCGCCGCTGCCGTGCAGTCGGCCCATGATGCTTTCTTGAAATACCGGACCATCTCGCCTCGTATCCGCGCTCAGTGGCTCTACAAGTGGGATGCTCTCATCAAAGAGCACAAGGAAGACATTGCCACAATCCTCGTCTACGAGACAGGAAAGCCATTCGTTGAAGCAATTGGCGAGCTTGACTACTCCCTGTCCTTTACCTGGTCTGTTGTGATTCACCTGATACTGAGTCCGAGCTCCTAACAGGCCTCACAGGTGGTTCGCTGGCGAAGCAGAGCGCATCCAGGGCACCGTCTTCACTCCTTCTCTCCCCGGTCGGCGTGTTTTGACGATCAAGCAACCTCTGGGCGTCGCTGCTGCTCTCGTGCCATGGAATTTCCCCATTGCCATGGTCCTGCGCAAAGCTGGCGCGGCGCTGGCTGCCGGCTGTACCATGATCGTGAAGCCGTCGCCTGAGACTCCCATGTCCGCCTTAGCCGTAGCCAAGCTGGCAACAGAGGCAGGCTTTCCTCCCGGCGTGCTGAACATATTGCCGACCAGCCTCGCGAACACGCCCTCTCTGAGCGAAGCCCTTTGCCGGCACCCCCTCGTCAAGAAAATCTCCTTCACCGGTAACTTTCCCCCAGCAGCCGAGCCCCCCACCATACGATGCGCGCCTCTCACTGACACTCCCCCGCTCACCAGGCTCCACCCGCGTCGGCAAGCTCATCGCCTCGCACTGCAGCAGCACCCTCAAAAAGCTAACGCTCGAGCTCGGCGGCAACTGCCCGGCGCTGATCTTCGACGACGTCGACCTCGACCAGGCCATGGCGCAGCTGGTCGGCCTCAAGTGGCGGCACGCGGGCCAGGCCTGCGTCACGGTCAACCGCTTCCTCGTGCAGGCCGGCGTGTACGAGCGCTTCGTCGCGCGCTTCGCCGCTGAAACCGCCAAGCACATCGTCGTCGGCCACGGCGCCCGTCCGGGCTCCACCATGGGCCCCGTCACCACGCCGCGCGGCGTCGAACGCGCTGAGCAGGTCGTTGCGGATGCCCTGGCGAAGGGCGCGCGGTTGGTGTGCGGTGGGAAGAGGGCGACTGGTCTCGAGGCCGGGTGCGAGAAGGGGTATTTCTTCGAGCCGACGATCCTGGCGGATATGCCGAAGGATGCGTTGGTGAGCTGTGAGGAGGTTTTTGCGCCTATTGCGGCGTTTTATAAGTTTGAGACCGAGGAGGAGGCGGTGCGCTTGGCGAATGATACGCCTATGGGTCTGGCTAGCTATGCGTTTACGAAGGATGTCGATAGGATGTGGAGGCTGTTTGAGAATTTGGAGGCCGGCATGATTGGGTTGAATACTGGTAAGTTGCTTTTCTTCTTCCTCGATATTGGTGGGTGCGGTTCGTTGACCCTTGGTTATTGGTAGGCAATTCTTCGGCGGCGGAGTCTCCGTTTGGCGGCATGAAGGACTCTGGGTACGGAAAGGAGTCGGGCAAGGATGTCGCTGTGAATGAGTACTTGGTTACGAAGACTGGCACTCTTACCCTTGAGGGTGTGTAAGATGGGAGGCAGGTCTCGTAAGGTTAAGTATGGTGCGTAGCGAAACGTTACTTGCATGATCTATCGCCTATTGTCTTCAACCATGGTTCTTCTCGGAGTGCAGTCAACACAGGGATTACTAACCGTAATGGAAAGCAGTGTACTGGTCTGATCCAGGGTAAGTCGCCTTCAAGATAAAGCGATGGTGGAAGTTGCCGGAAATTAACAGGCTACTAGCTTGACACATGATTCGAACTTCTCCGGGCATTGAAGTATTCCTATGCGGTACAAGCCGGTGCTGCGCTTTGCACCAGGGAGTTTGGGGTTAATATCAGCCTGCGTTGAGCTGTGGGGAACCTGCAATGCCTCCGCACTTTTGTGGAGTTTGCCGTGTGGAGGCGAATATACTCAATCACAAGCTCGTTGATTGCAATTGCCACCACGGTAAGACTAAACACAGGATAAGGTATCTTCCAATCATACGAGATAAGCCCGAAGGCTTGCACATTGACGACAGGTATTATCACATCCCTTCCGCGCGTTTATCTCCTCAGCAGCCCAAACGTTTCTTGGCGGGGGACGAAGACTAGCAGCAATTCGAGAAAAGGCAGTCAAACAGGCAATCTGGCCCGGCTTGGAAGGCTCACTTGCGAGGGGTCTCGGATGTTGTTTCGCCGTTACCACTGGCTGAGCAGCACGCAAGTCTTGGTATCGATCACGGCATCGTCGGCCGGCCGCCGCCCGGGATTCTTGGCGCGCCGAGGGTGGTCTTGGACCCAAGAACTCCAACGCTGCGAAAACACACGTTTGCCAACGCTCTCAAGCTTTTTGGCTACTCAGCTGCTAAGAAGTATTGAGGCGTTTGGAGGCGGCGACTGCGGCAATTGCTGCGGATGGTGCAATATGGTGCAAGAGGCTCGGGTCCGGCAGGGCTTTTTTTTTCTTTCCTGCAGTCTTCTCTTGCATTGCTTGATGCGACGTCGACCTGGTCCTCGGGTCCATTTAAAGCTTTTTAAACATCCACCCAGTACTTGCATGTCTGTTGTCATCGACTTCCTACCCCGCCTCCGGTCCCTCTCAACACAATGGCCGCCCCTGATAACAAGGAGATCGCCGAGACTTCGGACGTAAAAAACGTCGCGGGCACTGAGAGCAGAGAAGATTCAATCCAAGACGTTGAAATTCAAGGGGACTATGGATCGGGCAGAGACCACGTCTTCTCCGACCCCAAGGTAGCGGAATACTGGAGAGACGTCTACGAGAAGGCGCATTATGAGGGTCGCCATCGTTTCGACCCAACTTTCACTTGGTCGGCTGAGGAAGAAATAAAGGTCAAGCGAAAGGTAAGCACTTGCGATAAGCCGGTGCTAAGCAATGTATGCTGACAGGCCTGCCAGGTGGATTGGCGTATCATGACATGGTGCTGGCTGATGTTTGTGTAAGTCGAAGATTCCTACTGCATTCCATATCGGCGTTGACGGCTAACATTTCCACAGTGCCCTGGACCTGAACAGACGTAACATCAACCGAGGTATGCATTCTTGCTCCTTGGCGAGGCGCTTTCTAATGAGTTGTAGCTATCAGCGACGACATGCTGGCGGATTTGGGCATGGACACCAATGACTTCAACTACGGTCAAACCATTTTCCTGGTATCCTTCTTGGCAGCGGAGCTTCCCTCAGGTCTGATCTCCAAGAAACTCGGTCCTGACGTGTAAGCACCTTTCGGCAAATATTCTTGTCTTAGTTTGGCTAACGGGCTGTAGTTGGATTCCATTCATCATCACCTCATGGTCCATCATCTCCGCGGCTCAGGCCGGACTGAAGAGCAAAACTGGATACTACGTCTGCCGTTGCCTCCTCGGACTGCTGATGGGAGGATTCATCGTATGTTGTATACTCCTATTGCACAAAGAATATGTGCTAAGATTTACCAGCCTGATACTGTTCTTTACATCACATACTGGTACAAATCAAAGGAGCTTCCGATCAGACTTTCCTGGTTCTGGACTGTCCTTAGCACCTGCAATATGTAAGGCACACAGAAAATTTTCCCTGGGTGTCACTGACCGGTGTGTAGCGTTGGCTCTCTCATGGCTGCTGGTATCTTACAGATGAGAGGACGACAGGGCTGGGCGGGTTGGCAATGGCTGTGAGTACAGCCTCTTTGTTTCGCCAAATTATGACACTAATCAGGGGTAGTTTTCTTATCGAGGGCGCTATTACGGTAAATGAAACAAGCCTTTTAAGCAATACCACAAGCTAACAGTAACGGACCGTCATTGGAGTCCTGAGTTGGGCACTCATGCCTCCGGGTCCCTGCCAGACAGCCGGCCGCTGGAGAGGCAAAGAAGGATGGTTTAATGAGCGCGAGGAGAAGATCCTGGTCAACCGCATTCTCCGCGATGACCCTTCAAAGGGCGACATGCACAACAGGCAGGGCGTCGACCTTCAGCGTCTCTGGAAGTGCATCAAGGACTACGACCTGTGGCCGCTCTACCTCGTACGGACACCAATACGGCATCCCTTTCACTGTTTCATGCCAGCTGACTTTTGACAGGTTGGCTTGACCACTTACATCCCGCCAAACCCGCCGGCGAACTACCTCTCCTTCATCCTCCGCCAAATGGGCTTCAGCACCTTCCAAGCCAACCTGCTGACCATCCCCTCGCAATTCCTGTTTGGCGTCAATGTAAGTCCAGCTCTCGTCCTCCCCGCATAAACCAAAATTCGGGGGGAGAAAAAGGACTAACGATAATCAGCTCCTCATCATCTCGCGCGTCAGCGAATGGCTCAATGAGCGCGCCCTCGTCGCCTCGACGTCCAACATCTGGATCTTCCCGTGGCTGGTGGCGCTCGTGGCCATGGGCGGCAGCGCCAGCCAGTGGGTCCGCTACGCCCTGCTAACCGGCCTGCTCTCGTACCCTTATTGCCACGCCATCATCGTCGCCTGGAACTCGCGCAACTCGAACACCGTGCGCACGCGCGCCGTGTCAGCCGCCCTGTACAACATGTTCGTGCAGGCGGGCAATATCGTGGGCTCAAATATCTATCGTGAGGATGATAGACCGCTGTGTAAGCTTTTTCTTTCATACGTTTGTTGTTTTGTAGTGGGTGAGAGGAATGGCACTAACAGCTTGGTACAGATCAGCGAGGAAACAAGATCCTTCTCGGGATTTGCAGCTTCAATATCGTGCTGTTCGTGGTCGTCAAGTATTACTACGTCAGGAAGAATCAGCGCCGCGAGGAGGCTTGGGCGAAGTTGACGGGAGAAGAGAAGATCGACTACATCCACAACACAAAGGACGAGGGTGCGAAAAGGCTCGACTTCAGGTTCGCCCATTAGTGATCCATTTCAGTCTCCGGAAACAATTACTCGCAGTGTTTACTCGGAATCACGTCGATATCCCAGGTAGAATTAGACGAATGCAAAATATCTATGCGTAGATCATCACCGTGTCGAACGGTAGTACAATGGGATTTGTTGTTTTCTTCAAAAATGGTTTCCCTCTTCCTCTGTGAGTCCAAGCCGTGTGTCAACTTCCTGATAGTTCACGGACAGACAAGAATTTTGTACAGAGACGTCACTACGCTACTTACATGGCAGTCGGCATGGGACCAATTAAATAGCTTCACGTGTGTTTCCCGCAGCCCTACCAATGCAAGAAGATTATCCAACAATTATTAACAATGCCGCAAAGCATTGATCTTGTAAAGATAGCATGGCTCTGATTGCCCGTTCACAGATGTACGGTTACCTCATAAGCTTACTGTTGCACAAAGTTGAGGGAACATAAGACCTCTTTGCCCTCTGAAGTGACAGAAGCGTCAACGCATGTAAGCTTGTTCGGGTGCTTCTTGCTAAGCAAATGCATGCACCCATTTTTTTCAGCTTTCAATACATAGTCACAGCCTTACTTCCGAAAAAATCCCTGTCCCTGAAGAAGGTGCCCCGCGAGTCATGGATGCCCTGCGCCATGTCGTACTGCCTCATTCTCCACCTTTTCGGCGATACGGACTGCGCCCTCGTGCATAGAAACCCCTACACCGCCCCGGTTCCATGCTTCGTTTGATCGCCCCCTCCGGTGGCTGGGCCCCGTTATAGGCAATTACGGCGCGTCCTCAACGCCCAGGCTCCAGTTTCCTACCTGCGACAACTCGAGACCACATCCACAGCCGACCAAATTTGCAATTCAAACTTGTGCAGTAAGGATGTGTTACGATCCCTCAGGCAAACAATCAGAGGAAGATCTAGGTGAGTGTTACGACCGCTATTGCACGTCCAAGCAACTGACCGGTTACAGAACCTGCCCTGAACGCTCGAGTACCCGAAAACCAGGCGCAAGTGCCCAGGGGCCAAAAATCATCGAACGTGGCGATTTCTAGCCGATTAACGGCTCTGTGTCGGTCTGAGAGAGGCACTTCCATGAGTTACACAATCTCGCGAGATGTGACAAACGAGAGGAATTCAACAAATTTAATAGCCCTTGATGATCGTAGCAAGCGGAAACGGGCCAGGTCTCCGATGGAGGAAGAAACACAGATGCACAAGAAGCGAAAAGGATTCTTCTCGAGCTTGGGTGATTCAAATAGAAGCGGAGGTCTTTCTCGGCTGATGGCAGTTCCACGGCTACCAAGGCTTAAAGAAACCTTCAAGTACCGTTCTTTGTGAGCAACGGCATTTGATTTAATTCAGTGACAAGCCATTATTATTATTCACTTTTGATCCATACGACATTTTTCATGTAGCTTGTATCCGTTGTTTCCAGAATGCCATAAGAATCACACTGCCATTTGAGACTAGCCAGACGTACGGTCAACCCAAGTCGACACGTAATCAACAATCTATCGTTATAATGTTTTGTGCTTATTCTATCTTTCACGTACAACCGTAGGTCGGGATATCTTGTCCATTGGTGCCAACCGGGGCGGGGAAAGGCATCTTTTCTATCCCACCCGGCAGAACAAGGAGGCACGGTCTAAAATCAGTCGCAAAATCTTCTAGGAAGAGATTCTCGCATTGACGTATACATCTCTGCAGACAGAACAAGCTCAGAAGTCCCGATAGGGGATAGTAACGGTTGCCTGAGAGGGCGGCAAGGCGATTACTATAGGAAGAGCTCGCAGCTATCTGCCATATATAGTCTGCCATGAACCAACTTCATGGGCCTTTTTCGTCCTCGATACAAAGTACCATTTTCCCTTAAACCCGTCCCAGTAGACCGGGCATATCACTTGATTTCTGATGATGTAAGGAGTTGAAGAGGGCGACTGCGCGGTGGCGTTCTGGCAGCCGCATGGATGACCGTTGCAACACATGCTGTCTAAGAGAATAGACGTTATATTAGGTTTTAGAAAAAGGAAGGATTATCTTCTCTAACTTACGACTAGCATGCAAGCCGTCTTCGTTGGTAGTGTTTTTGTCAATGCGCTGGTGTGTGGTCGGATGCGGGGAGAGGTCAACACAGATCATGGCTTGAGAGGTGAATATATAATAGCATCAAGCGATAGCCTTGTTGACATCGGTAAGCAATACTCAGCTATCACCTGAGCATAGCTCACCCAGTGCAAGAAGCCATGTTGGGCAAAGATGATGTAAGAGGCTTTAGTCGTAGGTATGCTCTATTGGGTTAGGACAAGGATGACGCAAACGCCATGCATTGCTTTTTTACAATATTTATCACATATCCCGTTATGCCCCTCATATTGCGCGATATTAGACTACGCTAAACCAAGTCAGCGCGTTTATAAAAGAAGGCAGCAAATAGTAGCCCGCCAGTCCAGCATTTCTGATACACTGTGATTTACTTCATGTTGCTACGACTCGTTGCTAGCGCCCAGAGGCCGCAAGGATAGCGCTGACCCTGCGTGTCATTGCGTATGTTCCAAGAGCACTATCAACAGTGCAACTCATCTCCACACTGGCGCTTGTTGCGCTAAGCAGGCTGTGAGATGGGCTGATAGTGTTGCCCCGATACTATGTGGAAGAACTGGGCTTACTCTTGGCACCGTTTCCCCGCCTCATGCTGTTAGCGAATGGTCGACGGCTCGCAGTTACGTGACCGAACTCATCCCTCTAGCACGCTACAGAATCCTTTCATTTGGAAAGACCGGACTGAATTAGGATCCTGCGACAGGACACAGCAGACCCAGACCCAGCTGAAGCAGCCAAGTGGGGCGGCCGCTGTGACACACTCAATATAATTAGGGCCTTTTAACTTTGTCTGGATCCGTCAGACGGACCAGCTGGGCAAGTTGCCCCGATAATGTTGGGGAATGTTTAGCTTACCCTCAGAAATGTTTCTCCGCTCGCCCTGCCGGCTGGCTTCCGCGATAACGTGAGTGGATCTTGTTCTCGGAGCGCTGCTCGATTTGCTGCCCTGTAAAGACACAGATCGCTATTTGCAAGGAGTGCAGGTATGCCGTATGGCCGGACCAGGTGAAAGGCCACTTAAAAGGAAAATGCCACCGGACGAGCCGCAAGCAGGCGGAACTCATCAGCAGCAAGATCGGAGATTGGCATGGCTTAAACATGTTTCCCAGCGAGCTGGAGGTGTTGGCCCAGATCCAGCAGCCCGTTACAGAGCTGTCGCTATTCGAAGATGGACTGCTGTGCCAGAAGGACCCCGATAACTATAGGTACGTCTGCAGAGGCCAAAGTGCACTGGCATACGAACCAACAGTGGCCTATATGTGGCAGTAAGAAATGCGGAAGGTTGGGAAAGAGCATGGAAGCCGGTGGTAATGTTTTGTGTCAGGACGCAACTTAAGCATGACTGGCGGAGCCCGGAGCACGGGCGGTTTAAAGCTTTTATCAGGCTGGTAGAGAAGGCGGAGCTAGCTGCAAACCAGGAAGACCAAGAGGAAGAAGATGAACAGGATAGGAAGGAAGAGGAGCAGGAGTCGCAGCCGAAGCTAACTGAAATTCAAACCGCATGCTTGGACTTTTGCATCAAGCTGCTCAACCAAAGAATTACCCAGCGTGAGTATGATATAAGTGCGCTCCAGGGTGTTACCAACGACGGCTGAAGGGAGCCGGGTCTGTACACTGCCATTCTGTCAGCAATTATGGTTATCCAAAAAGCACTGCAGATGGCAGCTCCAGAGGGGGATGGTATCTTCAGCAGAGGTAGCAAGGGCAACAGGGACAGCAAAAATGGCAGCAGTAGGAGCAAAAGTACTTAGTATTCGCGTGTATTTAAAGCATGCGGTTTAAATAGGTAATTATGCCTGTACTTAGTTTTCCTCGCTCTGAGTGAACCAATCGACCCACTAGTGGGCAACCAGGCAACTGTCAGTTGACTGGAGGTAATAATAATTATCTGCAGCTCCACCTTCCACGTACGACCATAGGTCGCAGAATGCAGGGCTTCCCGTCCGCTCAGCCGTACTTAAGCTGCGAACCGGCCGATTAGTACTCAAGTGGGTGACCATTGGGGAATCCCGGCTGTTGTACGTTTTTTTCCTTAAATTTTTTTTCTCCGTCAGAGTGGAGCCTTTTCGGCTATTTTGCGGATCATACTATCTATTAGTTCCCTTTTTCAATTAGTGATGGTTGTTCTTCCCCTGTCATTCTCATGCGCACCTGGTTCTTCCGAATTCTTTAGAAATGCCGCCAGAACCGCATCGCCTCTCAAAACTGTCAAACACCAGAATAAATTCAATCAAGTTTAATAGTCCCAAGACATATTGATTTTATTCACTATGAAAGAAATTCAAATTCCAGCGCTCTCCTCAGGCACCATCAGCCAGTCATGGCATCGCAGTGCGGCTCTTTACCAAAGGCCTCAAGCAAGTCTGCAAATAGCACAATGGCAGGCTTATTTGGTCTGTGAGTCCGGCTGAGTGATGGCAGATTGTGAATTGTCAGCCAATCGTCCATACCTTGGCAATCCTGTTCCTCTATCCCTGGTCAACCGATCACACGGATCTATGGCCTTCCCTTCTATGATCTTCCCTAATATCATCGCGAGATCCATACTCTCCTCTAACATTATCGCGATATCTATAAGGGTGGTTAGATCTCCGTTTTCGCTCCCTCCGTCGGGGCCCAAACGCTCCAGAAATCCCTGCCGGTCTTTCCACGTCCTGGTTATCTCCATTTCCTTGGTTCTCGTTCACCTGGTCAGATTTATTATCTTGCTGTCTATTCATGTGGTTGACGTATGTAGCGACGTGATGCGAATTCTCGATGTTGATGTTGATTGGCGAAGTGCTTCTCGAGTCGTTGCGACTTCTTCCCTCCTGCTAACTCCTTTGTTTCTTATTAGGAGACGCGAACACTAGAATGAGTTCTGAAACATTACCCGAAGAGCCATTTGCATATTGTTCTGGGTTGTCGGGCCTGGAGTTTCGTTGTTGATCTTGTTGCTGGTACCCGTGTGTGTGAAGCAAGTGTTGCTGATATTGTTGTTGTCGCGGGTCTGGTAATGGTTGCTGGCTTGGTTATTCTTGCTGGTACCCGGGTGTGGAAGGCAGGCGATATTGAGATACGGAAAGTGGGTATCGCTGGAATGGTCCAGAGTCGAGAGGTGGGTATTGCTTGCCGTCTGGTTGTCCAGGGCTGAGAGGGTCGTATTCCTCATCGGCTGCGTCTCTCTGATCAAGGCTTTGGGGAGCCTCATCATCTGTTTGTGTCGGAACGGGAGTTTGGAAATAGATATATGTATTCTGACTGAAAAAAGCATTGACTGGATCTTCTCAAGTATGAGCGTACAACCAGGCTGGAAGGCGTTGCAATGTGTGGGTAGCACTGACAAATGAACCAGACCATGCGTATTTTGATGACCGGCATGTTCATTGCTCATGTTTTGAGGCGCTGTTGAGAACAGGACAGCGCAAGGTAAGAAAGTTGTCGAAGCAATGAGCTGAAAGCCGGGACAAGCTAAAATAAAGTCAGATAGCCGCTGACAGCCTGATTTGCCGATAGCACACACAGTTCCAAACATATTTTTTCAATGCAAGGTGCAGATTCTCGTTTGCTGCGCTCAATATGTGGCTGCTTACATGCGGGGTAGTGGTCTGGAAAGACATTGTACAGTCCCCTCTCGCGGCCGATGGCTAGCGCGAAGAATAGCAGGGCTCTAGAACATAGCGTAACTATGCCCCAGCTCTGCCTTGGAAAAATTAACATATGTGAGTAGTTGAAGCTATCGTCCGGACGTGTATGTAGACTTTTTAATTCGACATTCCCGTCCGGACGATAGCTTCAGCTACCCATGACATGAGCAAAAATCAAATTCACGCTAGCCATCGGCCGGGAGAGGGGACTGTAGCACGAGGCTGAGAGAAAAAGAAAAACAGATCAACCAATCGCATCATATGAATGTGCATACACTTTCTCCTGTCATGCTGTGCCGGTATTCCCAATCTCAACCGGCCGAGGCTCAGCGGATAGCTCATGCACCCCGCCCTCGCCAGCTTCTACCGGCGGCACTTCCATCTCCTGGATGCCGTGCCCTTCTGCTTCAAGACAGTGCTCAGAGGCATCTACCTTATTTACCCCCAGCTCGTATCTTCCACCGGTTGGCTTGTACGGCTCATCCCCAATCTTTCCTCTGCGCTGCCGCTTCCTCCAAAAAAGCACACCTCCAAGAATGCATAGAACCGCCACAACAGCTATCACCACTCCAGCAATTGTTCCTGGAGATAATTTCACATTGTCCAGATCCGCTTCTGCCGTGAAAGATGATGCTGTTTCCGTTGATGAAGCGCTCGCTGAAGTTTTCTGGATGTCTGTCGCATCGTTGGGGTTCGACATGGTTGTGTTTTCGGCCAGGGTCGTCGTCGCAGCCACTTGCTGATTCATGATAATTGTGGTGTTCGCATACTGCGAGGCTGTCCTCGTGCAAGTCGAGCGCGTAGCATTCGCCACGCTCATCCACAGTCCGCAAGAGTCTTGCTCCTCGCAGCAAAGGTCGTCTCCACAGCAAAAAGAGCCATCGGAACAACAAGTACCACCGCAACAGAAAGAACCGGCAGCACAACACGTCTCCTCGCAGCATGTTTCACCCTGCGAACAGCAATTCGAGCCGCAGCATGCCTCAAGAGACCAGCAGCAACCTTGTGCGCAAGCCACTCCAGCTCCGCAGCCAGCCATAGTTAAATCTGGTGATTTCAAAGATGAAGAACTTATTTGATGTTTTTTTTTAAATAAAAAAGAATCTGGCGGAAAAGCGAGGCTTGATTTCAGCACTGCTCGGCTATATATATCTAGATTATACCCGGTGCACCGCCCCGCGCATGTAACGTATGACAGGCGCCTTGCTCTGTGAATTACCCACAGCCAATCGGCTCCTAATGAAAAACAAAGTCAGCAACGCCTAAGTATATTAAACCTACCGAATTGACCGTATACGCGCCGTAATCCCGGTCACCATGGTGCCGTAATTCATTTACGCGCTTGAGAAACAACGGAGAGGATGAGACGGGTCATCCAGCTTATTCCAAACTTAATCTCTACGACGGCTTTGCTCATCGGAATCATGCATGGCTAAGTTGGGTGGGACCAAGCCAGAGAACATGGAGAAACCTGAGACCATTATGCTGTCTGATCACGACCACGAGAGATTCTTCGAGTCCTCCAGGCCATTCCTTTCTTCCGAAGCAGAAATACAGCAGCAGCGCCACAGACGCCACTCCAGATGCCCAAGAAAGTAAAGTACCATCCCAAGCCCACAGCCTCAAGCAAAGGCTGCAATATGGCAACACCAGTAGCCGCCATGGCGCAACGAAGCATGCTCGCCGTCGCCGCAGCGGTGCTGGGGCTCTCGGAAAACAAGTCAACCAGAAGCGTGTTGTAAATGGTATAAAAGCACGTCCCCCAAAAGCCCTGCACGAACTGGAGAATGAGCGGCACAGAAACGTGGACGTGGCTGCTGACTGCCCATCCGTAGCCCACGAGCGTGGCGGTGGAGATGAGGAGAAGCCAGAAACTTCCGCGGGATCTGGCCTTCTCAATTGGGAAATCATCTATGTTATTTCTCGATGCCGGATCCGGCGTCCAGCCCACCTTTTGCGCCGTCACCTTGAAGTTGAGATCCATGAGCCTGCCGTTACAGTAGCTGCCGATGATGATTCCTGCACCGCGGGGCAGGTATGCCAGTCCGGTCTGGAGCTCGTTGAAGGAGTAGATGTCCTTGAATATGGCAGGCACGGCGGCGACGAGAGTGTAGTCAACAGTGTAGAACGAGCCGTGCATCCAAAGGGCCAGAAAGGTATCCAGGTGGAAGATAATGCGAAGACACGTCAGAGGATTGGTAACGCGGCAACATTCAAGGAGTGACTTCTTGCGAGGAGGGGGCGGAAGACTGCTAGACTCAGTATTTCCACCGTTACTACTACCTTTTCTCATGCATTTCAGCAGCCGCCTCCACCAGCACTTCTCCCAGAACTCTTGCGATGGTAGTCCCTGATTTGCAGCGACAGCATTCAGCGTCTCTGGGAGCAGCAAGCCGATGCAGAACCAAAGCGCCGCCCCAACAACAACGAGCGTCCAAAACACCCATGCAAACCCGCCGCTCCGGTAGGCCACCCACCCGCCGACCACCGGCCCTATGCAAGCACCGAGGTTGAGTGCCATGCTGACCGGCCCCATGATTCTCCCGCGCTCGCCGGGCACGCACACATCCGCGACGACGCCGTAGCTGATGGCATAGGCAGCGCTGGCGCCAAGGCTCTGGAATGCCCGGAGGATGAGTAGGGCGGCATAGCTGTTTTGATTCAGTGCCAGGCCGAGATTGCTGAGGGTGTAGAGGGCCAGCGTGAAGAGGTAGACGGGACGGCGGCCAAGGGTGTCGGAGAGCGGGCCGAAGAAGGCGGGCGAGAGCGCCTGGAAGACGACATACAGCGTTATCGTGAGGTTGATTGCTTGAGCTGAGGTGTGAAAGTGCGCGCGAAGGAGCGGTAGGAGCGGGAAGTAGATGGTAGCGGTTAGTGGGGAAGTGATTGTTGCGAAGCCGACAAGAAGCATAAGCTGGAGCCTCCGACTGCAGCTGAGCGACTCGTACAGTGATGGTTGATCGGCTGGTCTGTTGGCTGGTGGTGATGTTGTTTCCGTGCATGTGATGGAGGCTTTGGCGGGAGGAATTGGCGACACATTGTTGTCCGTTTTTCCTGGTGTCTTTTCCATGGCAGAGGGACGTTTCACGCGTACCTGGGTAAGGACAGACTTCACTCGATCATGAACGGTTGTTGCGATGTGGAGTACCCGTACCTTCCCCGCTTGAAGTATAGAACCCCACTTTTGATATATGAGGTGCATGCACAGCGGTGTGTAATCAGATTAGCTGTATAATTGACATCACGCTGACGTAAAACCAGAACATCTTCCGCAAATCAAATATGACATGTGCATTAGGCAGAACAAAAGGGGGATCCCATCTGCAGTTTGGTTCCTTGATCCACGTTTCACAGCCAATAGACAAACACATACTGCTACTTCCAGGTGCAAATTTGACTGAAAAAACTTCTAAAGAAGAAACTCAGGTCTTGATCCAATGAATTTCCGCACTCTGCTCAATTCAACGAACAAAAGTGAGTCTCAGGTTGCGGTATGGTCCCGTTCCGCTGACAAGGAGACTTTGTCATCCGCTGAGAGCCTTGGAGGACCTTCTCCATCAGGAAACGGCGCATATTTGTCGATGAGATAGTACATATCCTCGTACGCACTGGTCACAAGTTAGTAAGTGAGATGGCAATTTTTACATGTATACCTTCCTCTGGCGCACAGCTTTGCCCTGGCTCATGTGGTTGACAGAGTAGATGACGTTGTAGTAGACGCAATACATGCGATTTCTGTCATCCCATTCTTCCTTTGGCTCACTTGGGCCAAAATGTCGCAGGTACGTTCTGGTATATACCTTGTTGTGAATCTTGTTGTAAGGGCACCTCCAGTCACCGATTTCCATTTCGTTGTGAGCATAGAATGATGCAGCATCGAAGATGTAGATGTCGCCGGTCTCGTACGATGTTCCTGTGTTACCTTCCCAGAGATCAGCGTGAATCAAGCATGGCTTGATGCTTCTTCCATCAGACTCGACGGCGCCAATCAGCCTTGGGATGACGTGGCTCGTAATCCTGCGTCCTACTTGGTCCAGCTCCGCCCAATGCCCGTTGGTTTTCACGTCAAGCTGCATGACGTGGGTCAGCATCTTGGTAAAGCATGCGGTCCAGCTGGCATCCCAGCCCACTTCCTGGGACGAGCGGCCCTGGCAAGTGTTGATGTGAAAACCGAACATGCCGGTAGGGGAGACACTGTCACGGTGCAAGCGCGCGAGCTTTTTGCAAAGCTGGTTCGGTTCTGGGACTCGATCGCTCATGTCGATGAACTGAGAAAGAAAGAAATATGTCCGTGGTTCCTTGCTGCGAAACTCACCCCACGAGTGAGGTTTTGGGACGAATTCCGGTGCAGCAGCGTAGAGTGCCGACATAGCGTGGAATTCGCCTTCCATGAGAGCACGACCAGAGTCTTCGCTGGCGCATTTCAGAAAATAACGCTCTGTGGAGCCTTCAGGCAACTCGACTTGCAGGCAGGCTGTAATAGTCCAGGCCGACGTCCCGAACGGCACGGCCGAGATGATCTTTGTTCCAGCAGGAAATTTAGAGAGAACCTCCACATCGACAGGAAATCCACCCGGCGAGGTAAGCGTGTTGGGAGGGGCTCGATTGAGCAGTTCGTGTACTGCTACACTCATGGTCGGGCAAGGCTGGACAGCTGTCGCGAGGCAAGCAAGATCTTGATGGCATCCTACGAATTAGTACTTTTGGTCGTACTATCGATAATATTCTCATACTCACAGTGATGAAGTAGGGTTGGGGAAGAGCGAATACTGTTCGTGGCGTAGGAAATTCTAGACAGCCTTATGCTGGCGAGGAAGCATTATCTCCCAGAGTATGGGGGGTTACACAACAGCAGCTGAGCTATTCGTAGAATCGTTTTTTTCCAAGCGCTCAGCTAGAGTGGGGTTACCCGAGACGAACCCTGCATCCCTCCCGAGATTAGTACACCCCGCTGATGGGCGTTGCGGTACTTGTCCGTAATTGGCCTGCCTCATATCACTTGCGCCTCGAATCACATTTTTTGACGCCTTCACTGTCTCAGCCGCCGCCGCTCTTGGTTGCGACGCCACGAGTTCTGGGGTCCTCGGAGACCCTGCTCCGCATACGTCCCGGCCACTCCCCCAGCCTTGCACAGCTGCCTGGTCCCACGTCTCGCAACCCCCTACTTCGCTTTAGCCTTGTGCTTGTTTCCGCGACTCATCAACTGTAGTGCACGTTTGCAGCAGTCAACGCTCCCAAATCAGATCATTCATTTACAGCCACTTAGTGCTCCTAATTTGTCATTCATTTAGGGAAGCAAAAACACACGTACTGTTGAAATCAACTGGACGCGCCATACTCCAACAGTCGTGATGGTGCGTCACCTTTCGTGCAGCATGTTGGATGGTTGCTGACAACGACTTAAGTTCAAAAGGTTCCGACGCGCAAAGTCCGATCGAGACAGCCCACAAGAGAACCCTCACGCAGGGCCAGCCTCCTCACAGCGGCATGGATCCACAGACTCATCGTTTTCCGAATTCAACCAAAAGCTCCTCGCGAGGCTTCAAGTTGGAAGGTCGAAAAGCGAGGGCTTTTCATCCGACAATGTTTCGCTTCCCAGCCGGGAAGCACTGAGCACAGACTCTTCGGCGATTTCAAGTGATCTAGGCCTCCACATGATCCATCAACCGGGACCCTCGGCACCTCTCGATATAATATTTGTCCACGGGCTTGGAGGTCACAGTAGGAAGACGTGGTGCAATAACCATGATGAGGGCCTCTTCTGGCCAAGACTATGGCTACCTCTTGAGTCAGATGTCGGAAAGGCACGCATATTCACCTTCGGATACAACTCGTCATTCCGGATCAACGCTGGGAGGAGTATTTCGAGCATTGCCGACTTTGCCAAGGAGTTATTGTTCGAGATGCGCTTCGCCAAGTGCAGCTCTGGAGAAGACCTCCACATCGGAAGAGTGCCCATTATTTTCGTTGTGCATTCCATGGGCGGTCTGGTGGTGAAGAAAGCCTGCCTTTTGGGCGAGAAGGACGAGCAATACCGACATATTGTGGGCTCCGTATCGGCAATCGTATTTCTTGCAACCCCACACCGAGGCTCAAATCTAGCCGAGACGTTGAACCGAGTGTTGGCAGTCTCCCTTCAATCGCGGAAGAATTTCATTGATGATTTGAAAAAGAGCTCTCGAACTGTCGAGGATTTGAATGAAGATTTCCGACACCTCTCTCCCCGTATGTCGTTGTGGTCTTTCTACGAAACATTGGCCACCGGTGTTGGACCCAAGAAACTCATGATTGTCGACAAGGATTCATCTGTCCTTGGCTACCCTATGGAGGTTTCGAGGCCACTCAACGCGGACCACCATGGGGTATGCAAATACTCCAGCTCTGAGGATGCAAATTACTTAAGTGTCCGAAACGCTCTGAAGACTCTAACTACCCGTTTCATCTGCAAGGGGGCAGAGGTCATGAACAACCAAGCACATGAAGAAGAGCAATTCTTCCGAAAGCTATTTCATATCCGCAACATCCCGCAGGATGACTTTGACGCCTTCCATCGTCTGTGGATGCAGGGGACCTGCGATTGGTTCCTGTCAGAGCCTCAAATCTCGTCTTGGCTAGAACCTACAGCTGGGTCCCAGATTGTGTGGTACAATGCACCCCCAGCCAGTGGGAAATCCGTTTTAGCATCCCACCTAATCAACCACCTCCTACAAACAAACGCAACTTGCCAATACCACTTCTTCAGGTTTGATAACCAAGAGAAACGTTCACTCAGTGCCTTCGTCCGATCGATGGCTTATCAGGTTGCCAAAGACATTCCGGAGTTCAGGCGACTTCTTTTCGAAATGTCTGCGGAAGATTCCAGGCTTGAGTCAGCGGACCCTAGTTTCGTCTGGCAGAAGATATTTCAGAATCTCTTATTTCACTTGGAAATCTCACAACCGTTGTACTGGGTAATTGATGCGATGGATGAGTGCGAATCACCAAAGAAGCTCGGGGACTTGCTTCAGAGCATATCGACCTCCCGAGTAGACATAAGGGTCTTGGTCTTGAGCCGTGAGTCCCATCAGTTACGTGTCGCCTTTCAGCGGTTTCCTCAAGACATGGGTGTCCACCTGATGGAGCTTCCTGATCAAAGCCAGCACTCTCGGGACATCCAAATGCTTGTTGACAGTGAAGTCAAGCATATGCGAGGAGGTCGTGAGCTGAAAGAAAAGGTCATCAAAAGAATCATGGAAAGAGCACATGGGAACTTTCTCTGGGCCCGACTTATCCTGGAGGATATCCTAAATTGCCACACACATGAGAGCATCCAACAGTCATTGGATCAAATTCCAACCGACATGGACAGACTATATCAACGTATGGAGCTTGCCATTACCAGAAGTCCACGTCAATCCGACGTACGCCTAGCAAAGGCACTGTTGCAATGGACCATCTGTTCGCGGAAATCTTTGAGCCTCACCGAATTGGCCCAGGCGCTGGCGGAAGACTTTCCTGGTATCCTTGATCTCAAGCTTACTATTCAAGATGTCTGTGGGCAATTCGTTCGCGTTGAGCCAAACGGCAGAATTGCGATGTTGCATCAGACGGCTCGCGACTACTTAATGCAACCAAGAGAGAGCGAGCTGGTCATCAATCTACGGCAATCTCATCACCATCTTTTCATCAAAACCCTCTCAGCACTTCTGAGCCCTGAACTACGTTTCAAGATACCACACACGGTCCAAGTTCTTCAGAGCATGGAACCATTCATCATGTATGCCGCTACTTCATGGTCATTTCACTTACGACATAGTGACTCCGAATCGGACACTATTCTCGATATCCTTGTGAAATTCTTCAAGCACGCTTCAGTACTGACTTGGATTCATATACTGGCATTGTCCGGTCAACTGGAGGTTCTCGTGAAGGCGTCGAAAACACTGGGCAGTTTTGTTGCCAAAATTCGCAAAAGCAACAAGAATCGGAACCCAATGCTTCACAGACTTTCCGACCTTGACTTACTGGACCAATGGGCCGTGGATTTGGTGAAGGTCGTAGGAAAGTTCAGCAAGCACTTGCTTACTGACCCTTCGGCTATCTACAAATTGGTTCCCCCATTCTGCCCCGAGAAATCCGTTCTCCACCGGCAATTTTATGAGTCAGAATCGTCAAGTATCTCCATCTCGGGCAGATCCAGTACAGACTGGGGTGATAACCTGGCGAAGATTTACCTTCCAAATGGGGATCAAGCCTGGAATATTGCAACCGCAGGAAGACATATCGCCATTCTCGGATCTGTTGGTGTCATTTTCATCTGGAACTCACAGAACTTCTCAGAAGTTGCCATCTTGCGTCATTCAGAGCATGTTACAGCCATGTGTTTCAACAGTAACGGGACGAAATTGGCCACTTTCGGTCTCAAAAGTACGAAGCTTTGGTCGATTCCTTCAGGCGAGTTGTTGGCCACAACGCCTAATCCTACCGGGAGCAAGGCAATGTCAATCACGTTTGCTGAGAACGACTCAGTGCTGGTGGCAGGCTCGGATGACAAAATAGTACGACGACTTCGGCTAAGCGACATGGAGGCAGGTTGGGTCATCGTCGAGGCGATCCTGGACAAAGATGGCGCAAATATCGAAGGGGCCCTCATGAATACCCCAATATGCATGGCTCTGAATGCAGACTCGTCCCAAGTGGGTGTGTCATACCGCGGATTCCCATTATCGGTCTACAGCCTCAACGAAGCCCGAACCGTGCATAGGTGTAGGCGTGCGGCCAGCTTTCAGGGAAAATCCAGCCAAGCTTCGTCCAGCTGGTTTGCTGTCGACCGCTTTACCTGGAACCCCATCACTGGCCACGTCATTGGCATTTACAAAGACGGCTGTGTCTTCAAGTGGCACCCGCTTACCGATGAGAACCAGGAAGCTCAATCAGCCGCGGACGAGGTTTCAGCAAGTTCCAATGGCAAACTCTTCGTCACGAGCAGCAGTGATGGCACTGTGAAAGTGTGGAACTTTGCCTACTTTTCAGTCATTTATCAAATTCTCTCGGATGATTTGGTCACCGGATTGACCTTCAGCCCTGATTGTCGGCGCTTCTACGACATGCGCGGCAATTGCATCAATGCCTGGGAGTCCAATAGCCTGATCCGCTTTTCCGAGGGCGAAGATGTGGTCAGTGAAACATCCAGTGAAGCTCAATCCTCGACCTGCGTCTCCAAGGTGTCGGAGATGTGGCTGTCTCAATTTGATGCAATATCGGCATTGTCTGTGGCGCCAGACAATGACTTCTTCTTTTCTGGAAATGAAGATGGATCTGTTCGACTGCACAGTATCCGGGATGCCGATGCCGATTCCGTGGAAATCCTCAAGTTTTACAACTTCTTGAGCGTGTGCCATCTGGAGTGGAGCCAGGACGCTCGGTATATTGCCGCAGCGGATCTTAGCGGCCAAATCAATGTCATACAGCTTCGAGATCCGCTGAGCGGCACGTTTCCCACCTCGAAGGTCACAACAAAGCCCCTGCCAAGCCCTGACGTCCAACTGAGCGAGCAGAGTATTCATCAAATCCTCTTTAGCTACGACTCAACCTATTTATTGGTCACCACTGGTGGCACTAGTCAAGTCTGTACAGTGGAGGATGGCAAGATAGCCTCATCTCGTGCTCTGCAAGACAGTCATTCCAGGAAATGGATCAACCACCCAACTGATGATCAAATCTTCCTTGGCGTTGGACCAACCAATGTTAGAGTATTCCGATGGCGCGACTTCGACGAGTTGCCGACTCTCGTTTTCCACGAGTGCCACGCATCACCACAAGATCAGCGCACGACCCACCATAAAGACACAGAATCCCCAACGCATGAGTATGATACGTCATCGGTTGTCAAAGTGGCCATGACACAGGATAGAATGCACATTCTCATCCATCTGCGAGACGGCTCCATCCATGGCAAAATCACGATACGCCTGCTTCTTATCCCTACATCCGCCTTCAACGCTCCCGAACATCGAGACTCACCAGCCACCCTCAGTGCCATCCGAATACCAAATATCGTGTCGCAAAGACTCAAGGTACCCTTGGGAGTGCTGCCCGGCTCGAGGCTAGTTTTTCTGGATCAAGACCTGTGGGTGTGTACTTTCAGGCTTGGCCTTTCCCACGAGGAAGAATCTTATGGCTTCCGGCGCCATTACTTTATCCCTCCAGACTGGGTGAGCAGCACTAGTATTGGAATGTGCTGTATGACAAATGACGGGACATTCCTGTGCCCAAGAGATGACATGGTCGTAGTTGTGCGGAGTAGCTTAGACATTGACGGTTTCTGAAGCCTCGTGAGGCCACGAATTAAGCACGGAATGCCGATATTCATCAGCTTTTCCTCAAATGCTTCTAAACAGAGAAAGTCGGGAAATCAATTGTTTTTTTTTTTTTACACAAAACGTGTCTGTACATTCAAATGACATAGGCGCCATCCGTCACAGTGCCGCCCATCCTTCCTACAACGCAACCCCTTTACAAAAGGCCCCTCCTCTGGCACTCTTCCTCGAAGCTGACTACATCACCGGTCTGGGCAACGACATCGCCGACGGCGAACTGCCTGACATCACCACCGAGGCCCTTGTACTCGGGCCAGTCGAGATCCCTCAAGCCCTTCTTCGGGTTCTTTGCGAAGGTGACCCAAGCATCCTGCATGGCGTGGCTGACCTCGTCCTCGAAAGCGGTGCTCTCGCCGCGGAAATCGCTGGCGGTGCCGAACAGCTGGGGCAGCTCGGACGAGTGGTAGGCGCCGTCGAACCACATGGGGCTCACGTTGGAGAAGTTGCCGGAGTAGAAGTAGCGGTGGGTAGTCAAGCCAGCAGCACGGCGCTCGATCGACGTCTTGGTGGCCGGGCAATAGAAGAACTCGTAGCCGAGGGTAGCGACGGTGGCGGCGTCGGGTCCGGTCGTGGCGTTGTAGGAGGCCAGGAAGGCGCCCTCGTTCTTGTTGAAGCCGATGACGGCGGGCAGGTCGCTGACCAGGTCCTTGTCCTTGATGCGCTCCGTGTAGTTGCCAAAGACCCAGACGTTGTCGACGCGCGGCGCGAAGGTGATGCTCGGGCTGGCGCCCGAGTCCTCGTACTCGGCCACGAACTTCTCAATCTTCCAGTCGGGCACCTGCCGCATGCATGCCAGCTCGGCCGCGCTGCTGCTCTGGTTGCCGCAGCCAAGGTTCTGCGCCACGAAGGTGAAGTTGGTGTGCGCCAGGTCCCAGCTGGTCAGCTGATCCAGGTGAGCGGTGCCGGAGTCCATGATCAGGCCCTTAACGATCGGGTCTTCGGCGTGTGCGAAGTTGTAGTAGTCAACCGCCACAGCGCCGGCCGACTGGCCCCAGATGACCATCTGCTCCGGGTCACCACCGAAGGCGGCGATGTTGTCACGGATCCACTCGACGCTGTTTTCCGTTCAGTCAGTGCCTCTCAGGGGAATGGTAGGCGGAGGTTGAGACTTACGCAAATCGCTGATCCATCAGACCCAAGTTCTGAACATTGTCGTCCAGCGCCGCCGCGTTCGGGAAACCGAAGATGTTGAGGCGGTAGCTACATCCCCATTAGCACTCATTTTCTCTCCACGCAAGAAAGAAAGAGGGCAGAAATCAACTCACTTGAACACAACAACCAAATGCTCCCCACTCCTCTCCACCCACTTATCCGGAATCTGATACGGCACATCCGTGCCCCCCGTCGCAAACCCACCCCCATAAAACCACACCAACACCGGCAGACCCCCCTCAATCCTCTTCTCGCCCTCGCTCAGCGTCGCGTTGCCCCGCACATTCGCCTCGGGCGCCCACACGCTGACGGTCAGACAGTCCTCGCTCATGCCGGCGTCGCCGATCATGAACTCGGGCGCGTCGGTGCGCAGGATGCCCGGGGTGACGCTGACGTACTGCCAGCAGCTCTTGGGCGTCTGCGACGCGTCGACGACCGTCTTGTCCACCAGCGACGCCCACGGCTCCGGCGGCGCGAACCGGCGGTCGCCCGTCGGCGGCGCCGCGTAAGGGATGCCCAGGTACTGCGCGACGGAAGGGGAGCGGGTGGTGTTGATCTTGCCGTGCAGCTCGAGGCCGTTGGAGAGGGTGACGACGGGGGGCGCGGCGGTGGAGTTGGTGCCAGTGGCGTTGACGGCGCGGCGGTCCATGTGGAGGAGGGGCGAGGCGTTCGCGCCGAGGGCCGCCATTGCGGCAAGGCCGCTTAGGGCGGTGCGGGTGGTGAACATTATTGTGGTGGCGTTTTTCTTTTTTTGACTTTTTCTTTTTGTTTTATTCGAACGATTGGACTGCCCTCTTAAACGGGAGGGTGGAGGAGTAAAGGCGGGAAGACGAGCGAGAGAAGCCCACCCTGGAGAACGAATGACCTTGTGGGAAGAGCTGGACAGGAATTCCACCCTGGTGGGAGCGCGCGGGGATTTATACCCATGTCCTCCGTAGATGTCTCCGACACGCGAGGGGAAGGCCCGTGGGGAGGATGATGTGGTGACAGGAAACAGAAACACGATCGAACCCACGGACCGCTCTGTCGTCGGTAGTTGTCGCAATTGGGCGGAGGGAGCAAGGTTGACATCCGACGGTTTAACCAAGAAAGCCCGGGAATGCCGGCCGTGTGTCGTCGGATATCGTGATGGCCCCCTTATTGTCAGGCCGAGCCCTGCTGCGTTTGGGCAAATGGGCCGACCATCCACGAGTCATCCTCGTTCGCTGAATCTTTGGGATCAGAGCTGCATTGAAATTCTTAATGCTTGGCAGGGCGTGGAAAGCGATTCTGTGTTTCAAGGTGCCTGAACGACTAGTCAAGCGCTTCGTATTCGCCCTATAGGGCTGTCCAAGACTTTGGTAGCGAGCAGTTGAGCCTCTTTAATATCGAGAAGGACTCTTGCCTACTGATGAACGCGGGTGCGTCGAGTCCCCACAACGGGCCCCCTTCCAGGATGTCATTCCTTGTTCCCCGCTTTTCTCGTTCCTGCATTGGCGAGCGGGCCGGGACCAGTGACGCTTTGGTCTCTTCACGCGCGGCTTGTCCCGATCGGAAGGTTTGGGATTTCACCGTTGTACCGAAGGCCGCTTCCTGCGACGAGGTAGGAGTGCTACTAGATTGCCAGGTTAGCTAGCCGTAAGGAGTAATCGGAAGAACAGAGCCAAGTAAATGCTTGACTGACATGATGCACGCGGCGGCACTTTAATCTATGCCGAGTAATAATAGAAACCGCAGGTGATTGTGAATAGATACAGGCATACATCAGGTCTTCTCTCTCCAGTCAGCAAGGTATAAGGTGTGCAACTTATCAACAAAGGAGCCAGCAAAGACAGCAAAAGAAGAGAAAAGAAAAACTACATCGAATCAGTGGTGTCGAGTAGTCAAAAGACTGTTAATACCCTCACAACTTCAGCCACCCAAACCCGTCATGTTCCTCACCGCAAGCAGCTTGCTCTTTCTTCCTAATCAGACATATCTTCAATTTCCTTTTCATCTTTTTCGTTGACCTGCATAATTTACGCCGTCTTCTTCCACACCGACCAGAGACCCAGTAGGGAGCTGACGGTTCCCGAAAGACCGACAATGCCGTCATCCAGGGTGACGTAACCAAGAGCCGACAGAGGAACAGCCAAATCGCACAGATCCGAGATGAGCTGAATCTTGGCAGCATTGCCCTCCCTACGTAAAAGAATTAGCCCAACCGAACAAGTGAAACGACAACTCGGGGGAAATTGAACATACTTCTGGATCTTCTTCTTCTCGACCACACTTTCCGCCTCCTTCTCATCGACAGCCCCGCTGCGCTTCCGCAGCTGCGCCAACTGGTACACGCCGGCCACGACGCTGAACAGCAGACCCGCCGTCCACGCGCGGTAAGCCTGCTCCTGGATCTTCTTGGTGTTGGGGCTCTTGCGGAAGCCCACGACATCCGGCTGCACAAAACACGCACAAATGATCAGCCCTCTCATCCACCCACACGTTCACACATCCCGGAAACCCTTCTACTCACCACCGTCAAGTTATCCATGGCCATGTACCCAGCATAGCCCAGCTGGCGACCGATGGTGCAGTACTTCAGCACGGCGTCGGAGCCCTTGGAGTCAGCGGCCACGGCGGCGGCCTTGAAGTGCTCGACGAACTTGCCCAGCCGCAGCAGCTTGCGCGCCATGCCGAAGTTCTTCTTGACCGCATCGTACTGCGCGACCTTGGCCTGCGCGTTGTTGGTGCGGTACAGGTACCACGCGTAGAAGCGCGCCCAGTACTGGAGCGTGCGGAGGAACTTGTCGCGGCCGACTGTTTTTTTGTGAATCCCGGATCAATTAGCTACGGATTGCTCGGTGTGTGGTGTGGTAGATGCGCTCGCGCGCATGTGATATGCTCGGAAGGAAGGGTTGCCGTACCAGTCGTCGCGATGAACTTCAGGTAGTGGGCCACGGTGGGGTGGTAGACAACGGCGTCGGCGACCATGATGGGCGAGTCGATATTCGAGGAGCGCGGGTGAGGAGGTGCGTGCGGAGGTGGAGATAAAGTCGAAAGAATGCGGCAGACGAGAGACGCGGCGATTCGAGGGACTCGAGGATTCTAGCTCGGCGGGGATGTACAGCTGAGGGAGTCGAAGGGAAAAAAAGTCGTAGGGAGCGCAGGGTTGGTGGATGACGGTTGCTTTGACTTGCGAGGACGACGCGACTTTGGGTGCAGCAGCACGCAAGCAAGCAGCTTGCCGGGGCTTGTGATTACGAGCAGCAGCCGTGATCGGGACCTCGGCAGACACACGGGCAACCGATTCCCGCAACACCCGGTCAAGAGGGTCCGCAAATCAGGCCGCTCTCAGCCCATCATCGACCTCTGCAGAAAGGCCTGGTAACTGCGGCTCTCCACACCCATGAGCTTAGCTACTGCTGTTGCTGCTGTGCCCACTTCGGACACGCAGCCGTGCCCATCGGACAAGCAGCCGGCCACTCGGATGCGCAGCCGTTCCTAGCTCAGTCTTCTCTTCTTCCTAGATAATGCACTCCCCGCTCATCGAAAGGCGGTGAGTGCTGCAGTTATTTATTCTGTGAGAGACGCGACGCTGTGTTGTCCGCAGCCATCATGATGAGCTCCCCACATGCAGGAATCCCACTTCCAGACCATTCGGATATTTTTTCCATTCTTGTTGCAACGCCCTTTCTATATCAGATCGAATTAAGGAAAGAAATGTCGGCCAATTCTCCAAGTCATCCGGTCGACGAAGAAAAATAAAAAACGAGCATTCACGCAGAAACTCTTTCCGCAGCGTGAAGAGAGCTCTCCCAATCCTTGTTGTTGGCGCGCCTGAAGCATTCCATCTACATCCAGATCTCCATTTTACCCCACCATCCGAAATCCCTACCATTTCTCCGCGTATGTGCCGGCAACAACCCTCCCCATTCCTCACTCACCCCCTCTCAACCAACCAATCCCCTCCAATTCGCTCTGACACAAAGTTTGATTTGTCGTCAACCCCCCCCCCCCC